CCTATCATCGGCCGGTACCAGATTAAGATGACTGATATGATCAAGATGATGGAACAGGGCAAGCAATGGTTCCACCTCCACGGAGCCAAGGAGGGTCGTGCTAAGCTGATCTTGAACTGGAAGCCCGTTGCCCTGGGTGCTCTTGCCGGTGGTGCTGGCTTCGTTGATCCCATCGGTGTGATGCGCTTCCACTTCAAGAGTGCCAAGGACTTGCGCAACCTTGAGGCCATGGGCAAGTCAGACCCGTACGCCCGTGTTCTGCTTTCTGGTGTCACTCGTGGCCGCACTGTCACTTTCCGTAGCAACCTTAATCCCGAGTGGGATGAGGTTGTCTACGTGCCTATCCGCAGTGCTCGGGAGAAGCTGTCTGTCGAGGTCATGGATGAGGAGACTATCAACAAGGACCGCTCTCTCGGTTGGGTTGAATTGAACGCCTCTGACTTCGTGCGCGAAACTGAAACTGGCGAGTACGAGATCGATGATGAGAAGCAGGTTCTCAGCAATGGTCTGAGTATGGGTGGTTCTGGTGCTAAGAAGGGTACCATCAACTACACTGTCTCCTTCTTCCCCGCTATCCCCGTTGTCAACCCCGAGGATGAGGTTGAGGAGGAAGAGGAGGCCGAAGGCACTGTTGCTGGCACCGGTACTGAGGTCGATGGTGCCCCACGCAAGAGCATGCACTCCAAGTCTGCCAGTATCGATTCGAAAGCCTCCAAGGCTTCCAAGGCTCTTTCGAACGGCGTTACCAACGGCACCAACGGCACCAACGGCGAGACCTCTGGCCGTGCTAGTATGGAGACCACTGCCTCTCGCCCTCCTACCCGCGACTCTGACGCCACTTCCGTTCGTTCAGTCAAGTCTATTCCCAAGACCTATCTCAGTGCCGAGGACCTCCCCAAGCATGAGTCTGGATTCATCGTGTTCAAGTTCCACGATGGCCAGCTGGCTCACTCCAATGTGCAGCTCGAGGTCTTGATGGACGACTACATGTTCCCTGCGTACACCTCGGCGAAGATCCACTCGACTACCCTAAAAAACACCGACATTGGTGAGGCATTTGTTCGTGAGCTTGAGTTCTCTAAAATTACTCTGCGCCTGGTCAACAAAGACAACCACAAGGACAACAAAGAAGATAATATCGTTGCTAAGTTGACTGGTGATACTCTGCCTACGCTCCAGCGCATCTTGTACACTCCCACTGAGCTCATCCTTCGCTCGAACACGGGCCAAGTGAGCAAGGTCACCGTCAGCGGTCGCTACATCCCCGTGCAAATGAAGTTGGATCCCAAGGAAAGCATCAACAACATGGGTTCCCTCCGCGTGGACATTCTCGACGCCGCCGACCTGCCCTCTGCCGACCGCAACGGCTACTCCGACCCGTACTGCAAGTTCCGCTTTGGTGAAGACGGCGACGTTGTCTTCAAGACCAAGGTGCAGAAGAAGACCTTGCATCCCGCCTGGAACGAGTTCTTCGAGACACCCATCAAGACCCGTATCGATGCACAATTCCACGTCGATGTCTACGACTGGGACTTTGGCGACTCGGCCGACTGGCTTGGATCTGCTAAAATCGACCTGGAGGACCTGGAGCCTTTCGTCGGTAAAGAAGTCACTCTACCCCTGGACGGCAAGTCCGGCGCGATCCGCTTGAAACTTCTCTTCAAACCCAGCTACGTCGTTCGCTCCCGTCAGGGCTCATCCACCTTCTCCGGCACCTTCGCCGTGCCCGGCAAGATTGTCGGCGCCCCCGTAAAGGGCGTCGGCTTCGTCGGCGGCAACGTCGTCCGCGGCGCCTCCTTCCTCAAGCACGGCGTGATGCGTATCGGCAAGAAAGACAAACACGGCGACGACGCAGCCTCCATCGCCCCGTCCATCATAGAAGAGAACCCGAAACCTGAACACAACGGCAGCCTCGCCCCCGCTGCACCCCTTGTCGACGGTGACTCGTCCCCGTCAACACCCAAGGAGCACTCCCGCAACCGCAGCACAGCATCTACCTACGGCGACCGCCTTAGCGCGGCCGGAACAACCGGCCGTGGCGATGTGGGCTCCGCGAACATCACCATCGTCTCGGCATCAGGCTTCCCAGTCGGCTCGAACCTGCGCATCCTCGTCCGCATGGCTGGGAGCAAGGGCTGGAAAGAAGTCCACAAGACAAAGCCTCAGAAGGGTTCCGATGTTACATTCGATGACTCCTTCAGGGTGCCCCATGCTACCGCGGACGCGCAGTTCCAGATCCGTGTCTTCGATCACTCTACCTTCGGCTCGGATGGCAAACTAGGCCAAGCGCCTTTCTTCGTCGCGGACCAGGCCGATGCCGCCAATCAAGATAAGACTATTCCTATCGGTGAGGGATCTGTTGTGATTCGATCTAGCTTCGTTCCCTCTGAGTCTTCACTTCGTCCTTCGACTTCGCACTCTACCGCTGGTGGTGCTGGTGGTGATGATGGTGCGGATAGTCCAGCTAGTAAGAGGCGCAGTTTCTTGAGCAAGCGGAACCCTAGTGGATCGCATGCTTGAGGTACTTCCCTCGGCTTGACCAAGGGATAGTGAGGATGGTATATGAAAAAGACACATGACGGTTTATTGGCTTGCGATGTGATATCCTTATTTTATGCGTTGGTTTTGTTTTACTGTTTTAGTTCCCCTTGTGGGGATGTTTCTAGATGCACAGTGTTGTAGACCTTGGTCTAATGAACTGATTTCAAAATATCATTCCCAAACAAATAGAACTAATAGTAGAACTAGAGCTAAAATCAAAAGAATTCCCAAGACCTGACCCCGTACAAGCTCCCTTGGATCGAAGAGTCTAGATACAGAATTCCTAGATCCCATCTGTCAACTTCCCGGAAGTGAATATAGTGAAGATGTCTCCGGTCCAAGAGCAACCACCCTTCTGGTCAGAGTCTTGATGAACCATGACCTGGACCCATAGACTTAGTCTGAAGAAGTTGATCATCCGCTTTCATTGTGAACATCTAACGTAACGTTCCCACGAATCCCTCACCCGTTCCCCCTTTTGCGTGTACAGTCCAACGCACACGTAAGTGATGGAGTCGAGTATCCCCATTTATATCCCATCTGGTCCCCATTCTACCAGATTGAACATCTAAACCATTAATCGACATAAGACACCCCTTTTCAAACTCGAGTCGTCAATTCAATAGTTTGTTTCGCGAATAAACTAACACCCCCGCCCCTGACCCATCTAGACTATATTGAGTCTCTAAATATAAACCCCCTCAATCTATCAATAATGGACCGCTCCGGCTAGACGGGTATAGGTATAGGGCTAGACAGCTCAGGAACCACACCTTAACAAATCCCGTGGATGACGGCCCACAGATCGGGTACTCGGGTACAAGTGGACATTCCGCGGTTTGGGGTTTCGAGTCCAGGTACTTTGTGTCCGTGTCAAAGAAATAGGGGTCCAGTACCCTTGTGGAACTGGGAAATGTGTTGCCTGCACAGCCCCCTTGGGATGATCTGCGAGCCGAAGCTTAGTCTGGACGGAGTACTGAGTGCCTTGTGCGAACGGGAGCGGGTCTGTGATTCTACTGTAGGGTTTCAAGGTTTGGACCTAGCTGCAATATTGGGCTGGGTGTGTTGGCTGTTGTATTCATTTTGCAGAATATAGATTTTACCATTATAGTATTGTTACTATTAAGGGTCATTTAACAGAGAGGGGTACAGTAATTTGATATGAGAATTGTTCTATCCCAGACGGGAAAATTAGGAGCTATTTTGGTCGGCTTTGGTTCGGTGGAGGCTAATTTGCGTGGTGGGCCGAACGGGCTTGGCGGCAATTCTGGAACTTGTTTCATGGGCATGAAGAGCTTGGTTATGGCGTTGAGGTCGTATTGGGTACCCTTTGGTAGTAGGAGCTAGGAGTGCTACCATCCCACACATAGTTTACTTGTGTACTTCGTCGGTAGTGGAGTACCAGTACTTCGACACGGGCGTTTATCCATGTCCTGATACCAGGTGAGATAGCCCCGGGTACTGTACCTCGTACAGCTTACTAGTCAGATGAACAGCTGCAGCCTCCTCTCTCCAACTGCAACTGGGGATGGCCGCACGGTATGATATTATTAGCCCGCATCTACAGATAGCGTTCCGGGCAAAGCGTCCCGAGCACGAATCGGTATGCAACAACGTCCACGATGGCGACGACGGTGGGGCCGGGGGCGTCGCCTACCCACTGGAAAAAAAAAAAGGGGGCCGAGTCCAGATTCTCTGTTTTGGCCAGTCATTCTGGAATCTGCGTGGAATCTGGGCTATTCCCCACGGGTGAGTGTTCTGCCAGACCCCGACGGGAGTGGGAGGGTTATGGGTTGACCGGGGATTCTCCGGTGGAGAGACATGTCTCTGGCCGAGACTAGCTCACCGAGAATTGAGAATCAAGGTCGAGGGGGGAAGCTGAGTTTGGGGATGGGGGCTCCCGACCGCTCCAAAGTTGCACGGGCCGTGATAGATGTCCGTGTTGACAGCTGCGGGACTGGAACTAGATGTAAGACCAGACTGGAAGTGGAAGTGGAATTGGAATTCGGGATAATTAAGGAGAATAGGAATACTAGGGAGAATAGGAGCAGACGGAGACGGATACGGACACACGATAACATAACAAGGTGAGACATGTCCATGTTCTGAACACAGAAGAATGCGATAAATATCACGTTACTCCCCCACCTCCCTTTCTTCTTCTTTCTTGGATCTATGATCATCTCTTTGTGATCTTCATCGTGGTGAGTACCTTCCCTTCAAGTCCTGCATGTCCCAATTGCCCCAATTGCCCCTCAACGGTGCCCCAAATCCCAATGACGGAAGTTTGTCGACATGCACCGGTAGAGTGGCTTTCCACCCGAACTGATCGACAAGCTGTGGCGACCCCTCCTTCTCCTGTTTTTTCTGAAGCTGGCCACGTTTCCTTTTATTCCTGGCTTTCCCTAACTTTCTCTCTTTTCTTTCTTCAGTGAAAAATATCCCATCTATCCTTCACAATGGCCTCCAAGGCTCTTCCCACACACCTTCGCGCCCCTGCGAACGAGGCCTCCGCTGGTTCCTTCGAGGGCAAGCACCATGGCAAGTCCCAGTCGCACATGGTAAGTGACCACGATGTTGAGAGAGAGAGAGGGGGGGGAGCGAAGCGGGAGTGGGGTGTGAAATGTGAGATGTGAGATTTGAGATACGAGACGAAACCAAATGCGGCTTCGTTTCCGTGTTTATCGTGCTGGTGTTTACGGGTCGCTCCTTCTGAAGCTGGTTGCGCCCTTGGGCCTGGTCTTCGCGGCTTGGATCTCTCTTATCATCATCATCACCATCTTTGCTTTCCTGCTACACCCTCCTTTCGATCTCATATACTCTACTCTATTCATGGCGCCCCCCGGTTCCTCGCTAACGAAACACCCGCAGGCCTTCGAGAATGCCTCAACCAGCGTGGCTGCCTCGCAGATGCGCAATGCGCTGAACGCCCTCTCCGATTCTGTCACCGACCCCTCCGAGAAGAAGCGCTTCGAGGCTGAGATGGACAACTTCTTCGCCCTGTTCCGCCGCTTCCTCAACGACAAGGCCAAGGGCAACGCCGTCAACTGGGAGCGCATCGCCCCTCCCCAGCCCTCGCAGGTCGTCGGCTACGACGAGCTCGGTGCTGAGGCCTCTGTTGAGTTCCTGAACAAGCTCGCCGTCGTCAAGCTCAACGGTGGTCTCGGTACCTCCATGGGTTGTGTCGGCCCCAAGTCCGTCATCGAGGTCCGTGAGGGCATGTCCTTCCTGGATCTGTCCGTTCGCCAGATCGAGCACCTCAACCGCAGCTTTAACGTCAACGTTCCCTTCGTTCTCATGAACTCCTTCAACACCGACCAGGACACTCAGTCCATCATCAAGAAGTACGAGGGCCACAACGTCGACATCATCACCTTCAACCAGTCCCGCTACCCCCGCATCATCAAGGACTCCCTTCTCCCCGCCCCCAAGAGCTTCGATTCTCCCCTCCAGGACTGGTACCCCCTGGTCACGGTGACGTCTTCGAGTCTCTGTACAACTCCGGTACTCTCGACAAGCTGATCGAGCGTGGCATTGAGTACATTTTCCTGTCCAACGCCGACAACCTCGGTGCCGTCGTGGATCTCCGCATCCTCCAGCACATGGTTGACTCCAAGGCCGAGTACATCATGGAGTTGACTGATAAGACCAAGGCTGATGTCAAGGGTGGTACCATCATTGACCAGGACGGCAAGGTCCGCCTGCTCGAGATCGCTCAGGTGCCCAAGGAGCACGTCAACGAGTTCAAGTCCATTAAGAAGTTCAAGTACTTCAACACCAACAACATCTGGATGAACATTCGCGCTGTCAAGCGTGTTGTCGAGGAGAACGAGCTCGAGATGGAAATCATTGCCAACGAGAAGTCCATCCCCGCGGACAAGAAGGGTGAGGCCGACCAGGCCATCTACCAGCTTGAGACCGCTGTCGGTGCCGCCATCCGTCACTTCAAGAACGCCCACGGTGTCAACGTGCCCCGTCGCCGCTTCTTGCCCGTCAAGACCTGCTCCGATCTCATGGTCGTCAAGTCTGATCTTTACCGCCTCGAGCACGGCCAGCTGGTCATGGACCCCAACCGCTTCGGTGGTGTCCCCGTGATCAAGCTCGGTTCCGACTTCAAGAAGGTCTCCGACTTCCAGAAGCGCATTGCCAGCATTCCTCGCATCGTCGAGTTGGACCACCTGACCGTGACCGGTCCCGTCAACCTCGGCCGCAACGTTACCCTCAAGGGTACCGTCATCATCGTGGCCACCGAGGGCAGCACCATTGATATTCCCCCGGGTTCCGTCCTGGAGAACTGTGTTGTGCAGGGTAGCCTGAGAATCCTGGAGCACTAAGCTATAGTGTCATGGACACATTGATCCGGGTATTTTGTCGTTCTGGGAGGTGCATTCGTGGCTACGGAACTCTATGGAGTATGCAAAAGATGTGCTTGTATTACATTACAATAATCCAGCGTCTGTTCTTTCTTTCTTCGGCTGCATTGGGAATCGCGGTCTTTTCTTCCAAGTACTATTGTTGTCCAGGTATCCGAGTCAATGCAACCCATCCGCTTCCAATTAAGTGAATCTACAAGTGCCCAGTATATTCAAATGTTTAATATCGGTTTTGTTCAATTTCACCATGTTTAATGTTGGTTCAATAAAACCCCGCACTCGATGTCCACTGTCCACGTGTATAGACGACAAAAGCCCAACTAAACACCCCAAAAGGTAAATTCACGAGTCACGTGCCCGGCAGTAATCTCCGTCGATACAATACCACTCCCACTTTGCCAAAACCTGTTCCCCTCGTCAATCCTCGAAAACTAGCGTACAAACTAGCATTCCTGCGGCTAATCGACGCTCAATAAAGCCGGCCATTAAGGGGGGCCTAGTTTTGCCTCGGCCGTGGCATCATCCTGTCATCAGCCTTGTCAGGTAGCTCACCGGCCGCACAACACCAACACGATAGGCGGAACTGTGCTCCTGATGACTCTTGCAAACGTCATCCGCCTCTTGAGGCAATGCCTCGCAGGGTGGCTGTTAGTGCCAGGGGCCATTGACTACCGCAGGTGATGTTATATAACCTAGCTCTGCGGACCGGTGTATGACAATCGACCATTCCTCATACTTCTGATCTGCTTTGCACAGATCCTCTTCTTTCAGCGTCCGCGCATTACCTAGGTATTCTTCGGTTACCATATATACATGGTAGGTCTTGAAATCACTAGGAGTTGTCAAACAACCTTGGAATAACGTGATCCACACTCTCGCCGCCGCCTTCAAATGCTGGAGGCGTCGGTGTCACAGTCCCACCTTGAGGCAGTCCACACTCAAACGCCGCAAAGCGTGAATCGGTTATCATTGCCGCCGTCGTCATTTCCCGCATATAGCCACCATAGGAATATAACCCACATCTGCATCTCATCCACCCCCGGCCCCCACTCCCCTACATCCATCCCAGTACATATAATCCAAATACCGTTGAACACAAACTCCCCGCAGAGTTGGCACTTGGAAAGGCTCAAATACATCAAACCAAGGAAATGACCGAACAACGCACCCTTCCCTCCTACTCCCCTGTCTCAGAAAGCCCCCCAAATTCCCACCATTATACCAAGCCAGGTTCCACCTCCTCTTCTTCCTCAAACCCATTTCAAAAACGCGTCTCAACAGCCTGCCTAGCATGCAAGAAATCAAAACGCAAATGCTCCGGCTCTGCACCCTGTGCAAACTGCACTACATTTCATCGAACCTGCATATTCGACGAATCCCTCGACCAGCGCCGCCGCGTCGCCGCAAAACGAACAGCAGATGAACTTTCCTATCATCGCGATCTCCTTGATGATCTCTTCCGACTCGTCAGATCGGCCGATCAGCCTACATCACTTGTCCTACTTGATCTCATCAGAAGGAATGCATCGTCTAGTGAATTGCGATCGTATATCGATCGCACATTATCAGCTTTTGGTTCGAATAACGGGGATTCGAATACGTTGGCGAAACTCGAAGACGTGAAAAGTGTTATTAGTGTTGAGGATCCAGAACCTGCGTTTCGGAGTAAGGTTATGGACATTCATTACCTTTGTGATGAGGCGCCGGTTAAGGTTCCTGTGTGGCCTTGGACGAGTGTTAGTGATGATGAGGGGCTGGTGAGTTATCTTGTTAGTCTCTATTTTACGTGGGGACATCCTGTCAATACATTTGTTGATGAGGGCGTTTTCTTGAGACATATGGTTGCTGGGGATGTGGGGAGTTTGTTTTGTACTCCGTTTTTGGTTAATGCGTTGTTGAGTAATGCTTGTGTGAGTTCTTCCTCTCTTTGTCGATCCGGTGGTTGTTTGGGGGTTGAGATGAGGGTGGTGGTGGTGATGGTGAATGCTGATTGATGCAGTATTTCTCGGAGTTCTCAGAGACATATGTCGTTCCGGGAGATATTTCGTCGAAAGGGTGTGCGTTTCTTGCTGAGGCGGAACGATTGAAGGGGGAGTTACCTACGCAGCCGACTTTGGCTTCATTGCAGGGCATGTTGCTTATGTATGAAAGGTGTGCTTGAATTCAATTGAGATTCATGGCAATGGCTGATTTAATAGATACGCATTGTCTCGCAATGACGATCTCGGATATAAAACTCTCCACGAGGCCATTCGCATGGGCGAGGCTTTAGGGCTGGTTGGTGATAGAGGCCCGCGCATTGCCTCGGAGCAGTTGTCAAGGGATATGGACTCTTCGTGCAGGAGGACGGCTTGGGGGTTGTTTAACATCGATACGTGAGTTACTACGATCTACATCTCTTGTTATCGCTTTTTGAGGCGATGCTGATACTAGTGGAAATAGCATGGTTCATACTGGTTTTTTGCGGCCTTGTCTCATTTCGCATGTCAATATGCCCCGCCCTGAACAGAACCAGGCGCATGATCAGTGTGTTTGGCGACCTTACCCAACACACCGTGAAACACGTCCATCGTATTTGAGTCCTTGCTTTGATGAGGCGTGCAACTTGTCCACCATTGCGCGCGATATCTCACGCAGTATGTTTGCAGAGGAGAGGCTCAATTTCCATCAGTTCGAAATGCATCGGCAGAGTCGGCAGGTGCTCTACGAGCGTTTGAATCGATGGAATGAGCTTTTGCCTGAGGTGTTCGAGGATAGGTTCAAGCCGCCACCGCATGCCATCCTTTTGAAGTGAGTTAATTTATGGACTGAATTTGAATTTGAATATACAAATACTGATTTCAATGTTAGGATGCGTTATCATACTTTGACTATCAACTTGTTCAGCTGCATTTCTGATCAAGTCTCAACCAGTGAAGCACCCAAGACTCCCGAAAGTCCCGCCAGACACACTCCCGAGTTCAAGAACAATGCATGGGAAGTCGCGCAGTCAGCAGCTCGCAGTATTGCAGCACTTACACGCCTACTTCGGCGCGAATACGGCGTCAGTCGCGCGCATCATTTCGCAATGTACGCAATCAACCTTGCGCTATTTACAATGCTGGAACAAGAATCTTTCGACCTCCTTGATCCAGACTTCCTTGCGCTTGCAAGCGCATTCTCTGTCGTGGCTAGCCGATCGGCACTGGGACGTAATCTGTTCCATATCTTCCGACAATCTGTTCGAGCTAAGGCCCAGGGAAATAGAATCCGAGGCTCGGACTCTGTTACTGACGATCTCAAGGATCTTTTCGATGAGGGATCCTTGAATGAAGGCCATAGCCGGTTTGATGGGTATGCAGATGGTCTTGAAAAGCTCAATCAGAAAAAAAAAGTACAATGGCATCGGGGAAGACGGACAAAGTCTCCAGGATTACCCTGGCCTTGGCCTATCCGACATGCTTGATCGCTATGAAAGCCTGAGTTTGGGCAAAGATGATGTTCTCTCCGAGCGACACCGCCCATCTGGCTGTTGAGGTCATACGTGATCTTACATACTGAGAAGCTGCGATCCTGCTGGCCACCATTACGAAATAAAGAAAGAAACGACGATCCCGCTGCTGTGGAGCAATCTGTTATCCAGATGTACCAATCACTGGTTGAAGATATTAATGATCTAGATTGCCTCGTTCTTTGCCTTGTACTTCGTGGGTTGGTCGAGGTCCAGGGGACTGACGTCAAAACTTGTCGCAGGGCCGCACGACCCACAACCCGCTCGCAAGTGGCAAGTCGGATCCCCCCATCTCTTCTCCGCATGATAAAAGCTATGGATCTTTTCCAGTCTTAGAAAAGAAAACTGCACTGTGCCCGGTTCTAAGCAAGTTTAAACCGGTCGCTATGAGCTCATTGGCGGTGTCGCCCTGGTCCAGACTTAGATGCCCCCCCCCTCCCCCATTCGAAGCTAAGAACCGTTCCCATTGAACGCCATTCGAAAACTTCGTCACCTACGTTCATGATTCTGCGACATATACGAAACCGCCAGCGTCATGAATTCATCCAATGTATTGGGGGATTCTACGCCCGACACCAATACCTCGGTGCCTTCCAGCCACACCGGCCCGTTATGGCTTTCATCTATGAGCTCCATGTCGCCGCCGCCGCCGGAGAATATCTATGGCCAGAACGTATTCTACCCTCCGATGCCTGCAAATCGCTCGTGGGAGAACCCTTCCGCGTCCCCTAGATCGACCGCGCGCCTGGCAGATCCGGCAGTGCATAAGGTCGCTATTCCCCGTCTTGCGGCTCCTACAGGCATCCGTGGACGACGTCGTTCGGCACGGGCGTGCGAGGCTTGTCGAACGAGAAAAACTAAATGTGACGGTGCCAGACCGACGTGTGGGCAGTGTGCTTATCATAAAAATCGCTGCGCCTACGAAGATGTGAAGCGCGTTCGCGATCAGAAGATGCTCGACGTTTTGGCGCGGAGAGTTGATCGGTATGAAACATTGTTGCGCAGTTTGGAGGGAGAGAGTGATCCGGCTACGACGCGGAGGATTCGGAAAGCGCTGATGGTATGTTGATCGGATGCGAGCTGGAGATCTTTTTAGCCTGTCATCTTCTATATCGATTGGCAGACATTAATAATGCGGTTCTCGACCTAGGCCAAGGATGATAAATCCTCAAAGAACAATGTCGACGATTCTGACTCCGATTCCTCCATCGGCTCTCTCGAAGACGTGGACCTAGTCGATGAGGATATCAATCGAAACGAAAACACTCGCGCGGCGGGGTACTTTGGCAAGAACTCTGAAATTGCGTGGATGCAACGCCTGGAAGATGGAATAGAGAACGACAGTCGACAGCAATCAATCGCAACCTCGCGGTCCGAGAGCACCAGTGAAACGACATCCCGTCCGCAAGAGAATGTCGTCCGAGATACTCCCATAGCCGTGATGAACTATCATCTCGATGATCTGGATATACCCATTGCAAAGGATGTAGATCCCTTCCTTGTGCCGCCACGCGAGGTTGCTGATGAATATCTGAACGCGTATATGGCTTTCGTCCATCCCATTTTCAGTGCTGTTCGAAAGCCGGCTTTTATCTCACAGTATCGCCAATTCTTTGATCGATCGGCTAAGCCGCCAAGAAAGTGGTTGGGCATTCTTAACATGATATTTGCGATCGGGTGTCGATACTCCAAACTCACGGGGTTCACTAATGCGCCCCATGGGAATGATCTAATATTCCTGTCCCGAGCTTGGAAGCTGGGCATACAGAGCAATGTTCTTCTTGAGCATACAGATCTTCAGCAAATCCAGCTGGAGTTCTTGGTTGCGGTCTACCTCCTCTGCCTAGGACAAGTCAACAGGGCATCTAAGTTCTCCGGCTTGGCCCTTCGATCCGCCCTATCCCTAGGCATTAACCTCCGTCTGACAGACGACCGCACTCATAACGCCTCCAAAGAAGCACGCTGTCGCCTATGGTGGTCCATCTACTCCCTAGAACACCTCCTAACCTCGATGCACGGCCGGGCCTCCGGCGTTGGCGAAAGCTTATGCTCTGTACCCGCCCCCATCCCAATCGAAGAAGAATACTTTGAGCAACCTGACGTCCAGCGCCTCTTCCACGACCACCAAGCACGCGAAGCCCAACTGCGCGCAACACTCTTCGACACACAGAACAACCACTCATCCCAACCTAACTCATCAACCTGGATCTCACAATGCGTCCCATCCTCCTCCCTCTTCTTCTACTACCTCGTCGACCTAGCCCTAATCTCCCAATCCGTCCTTAACAAAGTCTACAGCATCGAAGGAGTCCGCGAAGGGACCTCCCAAACAGAATATCGTCTCCAAAAATTTTCAACCCTTATGGACCGCTGGCTCGCGAAACTCCCTTCAAATTACCAATTCACCATTCCCTCCTCCGGCCCCTGGCACCTCAATCACCCAAAACTAGACGACACCTCCGCACCTTACGTCCGCGAATGCATCTGTCTAGCAATGTCCTACTATTCCTCCCGAATCACCCTCTGCCGCCCATGTCTCTCTCACACCCAATCCCATAATTCAAGTGAATCCGGCTCAAACCTCCGCTCTGACATGGCTACACAATGCCTCCAAGCCGCATGCGCTCTCATCTCCATCCTCCCTGAATCCCAAGATATCTCCTGGCTCGCCCGCGTCACGCCATGGTGGAGCATTCTCCATTTCCTAATGCAAGCCACGACTGCACTCCTACTCGGCTTATCAAGCGCCTCCGTTTCACATAGTTCCGCATCCGCGTCTTCTTTGTCCATCCCGTTGAATGGGCAAGATCTCGCGGCAGTGATCGTTGAGACTCGCAAGGTCTTCTTCTGGATCCACGCTATGGCTGCTGTGGATCCTGCGGCTAGACGGGCTTTCTTACTCATTGAAGGCGTTATGAGGAGGATTGCGGGACCGTTGAATCTGGACTTGAAGGAGTGGCCTTCTTCGAAATCTCTGGCGACGTTTGGTGCCGATGGGGCGGCGAGGATGGAGGGGTTGGATGAGTTGGTTGATTTCGAGGGGACAGGGTCTTTTGGGGATGCCGAGTGAATGGGCTGGACTGATGAAAATGACAAATGACAAATTATCAGATAGAATGGCGTTTCGGTTTCTGTCTTGACTTATGGGTTATGCGTTACATGCTATATCTGGCTGGCGTGCTGTGTATTATTTGCTATGCTTGATGCTTGATGCTTGACGTCTTACGATTAATGATTTTGACAGTGAACCTCCAGAGATTGCCCTGGTTGATAAAATTAACTTTTTCGGTGTGTTTTTTAGCCTTGGAAATGTTCAGTACATACTATGTCCCAACCTTTAAATGTCTACGGGTTGAATTAGAGGAGAGTGATTAGCTGGTGAAATAACATCCTCTTTCATCACCTGGGCACGCCCCTATATCTAGAATTGGAGCATTCGAACCGGAATGTCATTCTCCACGTCCCGAAGTTATGAGTTAAGAATGCCCGCGGGTCTAGATAGGTTTAATCTACTAGTTTTTTTGACATCTAGGACCGAGAGAGATGTCTAGAAAGACGTATCCTCTGTAGTAGGTTCAACAAGTCTTGCTCAATTAGAGTATGTACTGTAACATTAATATATATAACCTCCCTCTTGGCTCGAATGAAGTATAACATAAAGCAGAGTGCGTAAGGATGCCAACTTAAACGCTCGAAGATTGATACCAGCAGAAACACCACTCATATTATAAACATATAAACGGGGAATCAATGCTCAGCCGCGATTTCATCGGAGATAAAAGATAACGCCGCAAGTACCCGGGGAATATGATGTTGACATTGCTCAGGTTGGCTGGGGTTGGAGCTGGACTTGGAATGTGTGTTGGTGCTGGTGCTGGGGTGCGGGTGCTGGGGGTGCGCGACCCTGCTGGACGGGAGTTCGTTGACCCGGTTGGGGTTGGGTCTGCTGGGTTTGAGGTTGGGGGTGCCCATGGACGGATTGCGGGTGTTGCAGTTGTTGCATTGGTGGCATTTGCATGAAGTGGGGGTGTTGAGGGTGTTGAGAGCGTGGTGCGTGAGGTGGGAGTTGTTGGTGCATCGGCATGTGTGGCATTGATATCGGCAGGTTCGCTTGTGGGGGGAGCTGGCCTTGTTGTGCCATGTGGTGGCCGGGTTGAGGGGAGAGATGTTGACTTGGTTGTGGTGTCATGTGCTGAGCGTGCGAGGGCATGTGGTGGCCCGGTTGCTGCTGCATCGGTTGACCTGGCTGTGGACGAGCTTGAGTTTGCGAGAGTGGCTGGCTCTGCGGTGGTAGATGCTGTCCTTGAGGGTATGGTGGTGTCGGGCAAGGACGCTTGCGTGGGTCATTATCAACCGGTGCCGCGCGCTTCTGAGCCATGTCTGTGTCCATCTGGTCAACTGGAGATTTGTTCTCCAACTGGGCTTGATCGCCACCTGCAGCTGCTGCAGCCGCAGCAGCCGCGGCGGCGGCAACGTCTGCCTTGCGAGGCCTACCCCGCGGCCGACCGGTGCCGGCTGGCTTCTTGGCTGTCGACGGCTTCTTCGGCTTTGGTGGGGGGAGAGGTTGCCCGGTAGCTTGAGCCCATGCGATCTGATCCGCCTTGCGAGGACGACCCCGCTTCCGCTTCATAGGCAGCGGAGTGCCATCTGGGCCAATGATAGGAGTTTGGATGCTCGGAGCAGTCGGGGTCATGTTTGGCGTGAAGGAAGCTTGTCCTGATTGAGAAGAAGGAATCGGTTGACCATTTGCCGCCGCCTGCGCAGCCGCGGCAGCTTGCCTGGCCGCGACTTCCTCTTTCCGTGGCCGTCCACGTTTCCGCTTTGGGAGTGGTGTTACCGGTTGCTCACCACCGGTAATCAAGGCAGAAGTCGCCTGTGGCTGCGCCTGCCCGTTTTGAACAGGGGTGGTGAGTGGTACGGTGGAAGGAGCGCTCTGCATTTGAGTTTGTCCCATTGTAGGTTGAACTTGAGCTACGACCTGGGGAGTTGGCTGAGATTTGGCACCAGGAGGTCGACCTTTGGGCCTTGACATCTTCTTCGGAGCAGGACTTGGCTCTTCGCTTTTGACGGTTCCAGTCGATGCCTGGGTTGCCACAGACGGTCTTTGCGACTCAGCCGAAGGTTGTGAAGGTGGCTGATAGTGCTGGAACTGCGCTTGTGATTGAGGGAACTGAGGTTGCTGAGAAGGTTGAGAGAATTGAGGTAGCTGTGAGGTATACTGGCTCTGAGCCTGGGGTTGCGGATGATATTGATGGAACTGGGTTTGGGTGTGCTGCGAGAAAGGGGAATGTTGCTGCTGGTAAGGATGATGCGCTTGAGCTGCTTGTAGCTTTTGCATCCTTTGCTGCTTCAGGTGTTGCTCAAGACGCTGCTGTTCCATATGTTGCTGCTCCAGTCGTTGTTGTTCAATACGCTGCTGCTGTTGCTGTTCAAGGCGCTGCTGTTCCAGGCGTTCTTGCTCCAGACGTTCTTGCTCAAGACGCTGCGTTTCAAGTCGCTTCTGTTGCTCGGCCGTTTGCTGCTCCTCCATCCGCTTCTGTTGTTCCAGTTTCTGCTGCTCAGCTTGCTTTTGCTGCTCTATACGCTGTTGCTCAAGGCGTTGCTGTTCCATACGTTGTTGCTCCAGTCGTTGCTGTTCCATACGCTGTTGCTGTTGCTGTTGTTGTTGCTGTTGGAGTTTCTGCTGCTCTAACCTTTGCTGATGCATACGCTCCTGCTGTTGTTGGAACTGCTGATGTTGCCTTTGTTGCAACTGCTGCTGGGTCTGTTGAGGAGACTGGGGTTGCGACTGAGGTTGGCGTTGTTGATAAATAGCATTCATGGATGGACTAGCCATGGAGGGACTGCCAGAGGAATGATTCTCTCTCTGGTGGAGTCCGACCCGGGGAAGCCCGTTCAACGCCTGCTGTGGCGATGGCATGTTCAAGCCATGCTGATGAGGCACGCCCGTGGGTGGACTCATTCCCGGTTGTCTCTGTAAATGAGCCATGGGGTTATAGCCGCGCTGTAAATTCTGCAGCGCCATAGGGTCTTGATTCCTAGCCATCAAGTCCGGAGAGCTTTGTGGCGGAAATTGACCGGGAAATTGCGCAAAGCTAGTCGTTGTCGGATACCCTGCAAGAGAACCAGAGGTCGGGGCCATCTTGCGCAAATCGGGCGACTGCGATGCAAAATGTTGCTGCGGCTGCGCTCTGAACAGCGGCTTATTTCCTGGAAATGGACTGCCATGTTGCGGCAAATTCGGCGCCGCGGCCAGCGACGGCGACGGGATATGCTGGCGCGAACCACCCAAAGGATGTTGCGCTTGAGTAGTTTGCTGTTGCTGCTGCTGTTGCTGTTGAGGTTGCTGCTGCCCAGGGTGAAATGGTTGACCCCCGTATGGCATCATTTTCAATGATGTGATGTAGCTTTTGCCGTAAGCGGTAGCAGATTAGAAGCGCTTTCTTCCACTTGGGCTTTTACCCAGGCGCAAGCGAGCACCGTTAGAGAGACCTAAGAAAAAAGAAGATGCAATCTAGAGATCCAGAGACCAGTCGCGTGGCCAACGATATCACGGTCTGAAGTCCACAACCGGCTGGAGCGCGCCGCGTGTTTTGTTTGTTCCGAGTCACCCAGGTGCCAAGGCAGCCAGGCACTAAGGCAACAAGACACCAGGTAAAATCCAAAAGCGGCTTAGCGGCGGAGACCGAGTACCGCCGATTCCGAGGTCAGCGCAGGAGAAAAATCGCCAGGCGCACACGAAAGGGGGATTCAGGGGGGGACAGGCTGGCACGATCGGGCGATGCGCTCTAGCAGAGTCCAAGGTCCTGAACGAAAACCCTCTGGGAGATGGAAGGGCACAGAGGCGGTCGATCAGGGACCAAAGTGGATGTCGCTGGGCTGGATCTCTCGATGGGAGGAAAAAATAAAATATTAAAAATAAAATAAAATATTAAAATAAATTCGCGTTCTCCACATCACGTGAATCTGGGGTTTCCCACGTCTATACTGCGTACATTCGATCATTCGATCTATTATAACTTTCTCGCTAGTGCTTCATTTTATTCTTTCATTGTTGAATCAAGCTGCCTTGCCAGCATCCCTGTCTTCTTCTGCCACCCGAAGATCTCCTAAACACGGCGCATAGAACAGCTTCCCCGAGATGGCGCCTTTCAAAGTGCCGACACTAACGATGATCCATAGCACGACCACAAATACAGAGAGGATCTGAAAATTAGCCATCGTATCAAAGCTTTCAGAGAAAACAACTTACTGTCCCTAGAATATTAAAAAATCTCGAAGGCAGTTCTGTTCCCATCTGAACGGTACTAGTCGCGAACACTCCGAGTGGAAAAGTAAATCCCCACCACCCAATATTGAAAGGGAAACTCCTACTATAAGCGATCGAAGCAGATGCAAAGAAAAGCCAAACTAGTCCAGAAGACCACAAAATAAGCGCGACCAGGAAACCCAGAGTATAGAAAGTCGCCCCGGAGGACTCTTCCAATGTATGGGTTTGGGGGAAAATATCCCGCGCGCACTGGCCCAGCTTCATCGCCCTAGATGAAATTAGCGAATCGGAATATCAAAATAAGAAAAGAAAAGAAAAACATACCCATATCCACCCTGTGCCAAAGGACCCAGCGGCAGAAACACACTGACAATCACAGCCTTAGGAGGCAACTTGTGAAGCGTCAGACGCAGGAGATAAATCACCATAACCATCATGGCCAACGGTAATCCAATCCCCCAAAGTGCATAGCTAACAATGACTGTCCATAACGCATACTGCTCATTAGGAAGTACACCAGCGACGATAGCCCCGGACGACGCAGCCACAATACAACTAACGATGGGAAGAAGCCACACCGCTGTCATCGAAGATAAGGGTCGTTCGTTTCCATGCGCCATCCTAAACTTATTAGCAGAAGTCTTCTCAACAATGTAGAGCAGAGGAACTCACAATAAAAACGGCAAAGACAACGCCGTCATCACCGAAACAACAGCGTCGAAGATCCATAATCCCCAAGCGAAATACCTCGTCCATTCGCCCCAGGCTGGTACACAGACTAGAACTACCATGTTGATTATAGTAGCTAGGCCCATGGGGAATGTTCCTATGAACATAGATTGAACGGGATGCTTGATCATCAGCATGAAGATCTCTGGGTACAATGTGTACCGTAGGATACTTATGATGCATGCAGTGCTGAAAAGGATGATGTTTAGAACGAAGACTATTATTGAGAGGTAGTAGAGCCAGTCTCCATTGTAGGGGAGATTGTGGAGGAGGATTGAGACGATTCCAGTGCCCATTGTTACGGAGAACCATCTGTATGGAGGGTTAGTGGGTGATTTTTTGGGTGTGGCTGGAGAACGGACGATGGAGTGAAGTTGCGGACTACTCTTCTCCAGCCATGGTCGTGTTTTGAGGTTGTGGGTATTGGGGTTTGGCCATTGGAGGTTCGGGGGTCGGGAGGTGCTGATGGTGAATATGATGAGTCGGACTGACGCGGGCTGCTCGCCATGTTCATTGAGTTCTCTGTGCTCGTGGAATAAGAACCAAGTACAGTAAAGTTAACAGTCGTCAGCAAATGAAGCAAGCAGTAGATATGGAGTCGAAGTGCAAGTATGACTCGATGATGTCGGCCGAGATCACGGGTTCCGGTACGTAATTTTGGGCAAATCCTTTTCGGGACGCCTCAAACTCCACATTCCAGAAAAAACGGTCGTGAGCTCCATCCTGGCCTTTTAATTGGCTGTGTTAGTTTGTCAAATTTCCAATTGCGAATTTGACATCGGTCGGGATTCGGGTTACCGAGCTGCGTGATCGTGGCACTATCTTCGATGCATTCTAACGTTCGGCAGATCTCAATACGATGAGCACGAGCTTTAGAACAAATTAATGGCTCGAGTTCATTTTAAAGAAATTTCCGAATCATCCAAATGTTTCTTTTGAGCCTCAATATACTCCTTACTTCTGCAGAGCCTAAAATAGTGCGATCGGATCCACTTCCTTGCTGAAGCCACCAAATGACATGCGAAGTAGATCATTCATCCTTGCGTAGATTTAGTCGATTGACTTCTATACCCTAGTATCAAGAGTCTATAACATGAAGCATGGTCAAAAATACAAGCCCAATAGAGCATTCATTTATTTCAACTATATACGAACATCACAACATTAATCCATAAATAGACCCTCTCAAGTTTTTACAATCCAAGCGGGTTCTGCGCATTTTGCTCCTTCCCGCCGTAACTCTCCTGCTTAGCACCCGAGTCACCCGAGGCACTCTGGCCAGCACCCTTGGTCGCGTTGCCAAGTCCCTGAGTGGTTCCTGACACGGTGTCTCCGACTCCGGATGTCGCGTCACCAACTGTGCTGCCCAGTCCACCGACTGCGCCGCCGACCGTGTTGGTTACGCCGCCGACTGTCTTGCCCAGGGTGTCGCCCACGCCGCCGAGGAGACCGCCGCCTAGGAAAGAGGGGTGAGATTTTTTGGGGTTGAAGGTAGAGACATCAAGTACTTACTGCCTTGCTCAGACATGTTGTGGTTATGTGTAAGATAAGTAGATAAGTGTAAGGTTGTGTGTATCTGTCAAGCGAGACTTGACTTGGTTCAAAGTTTGGAAGTTCGAGATCAAGATTGAGAATGGATAATATTTTGAAGATGGAAATAAGACACCTTGCAGCAAAAGCACCATTCCTTAAATACCCATGATCCCAGCAAACAACGAAACCGGTTCTAGCAATGATATAATGAGTGCAACCCCAGTAATACGCGCCACATTGTCATATGAAATACGCACATCCCCATGCACCACACCATCGAATCAAATGCCATAATCCACCTGTCATCCCCATCACTAGCCACCCATCGGATCCAGTCTCCCTGTTCTGACGTACATATCCATGGGCGTTGATCTCATCACTGTGGCACGGTTGTGCTTATTGGGTGATATCTCTCCGCTGATCGTGGAGGTGGCGTCGTGGCGATGTGGCGTTTGTTTGGATGATTGAACTCTCTTTTATGAATGGTGGGCTGGCTGTATGTGATCGAGACGATTTCTTCCATGGTGTGGGAGCTGCGGTGTGGTCTTTTGGGAAGGAAATGACATCATTAGCTGGGTACGGTGGATCGTGACGGGGGTTGACAAAGTGTTTTATATTAACTGGGTGGGGCGTGGTCTGGGCTCTACGGTGCAGGTGCTATTGGGTACGATATTGGGAATTGTAAGAAAATTAAGTGAATTAGGCGAGTTGACGGATTTCTCTTTTTTCTATCCATGACAAGAGCTAGGCTTATTGCCTGATCTAATTATTTGCCAAACCAGGAATCAAATTTGATTAGAGACTTGCTTGGCCTCGGGACTCGTAGGGCATTAGGAGGACTAGAATAGCCGCGGCGAGGAACAATGCTCCACTGACATAGACTGGAGCGGCGGTCTCGAGGTTCGCGAACATGGCGATGATGGGTGCCATTATGCCGAAGACACGATTGGCGGATGCAGTTAATGCGTTGCCCGTGCCGCGGTCTTTAGTGAGGAAGATCTCGGGTGTGTAGGCGTACAATACAGAATACATGAGAGTGCTCATGAAGTTGTAAGCGCAGTTCCATCCCAGTAGAGCATTGGAAGTGGTTGCTCGCGTAGATAGCAGCAGGAAGACTCCAGTTAGTGCGGTGGAACTGGATAGAGCGCCCTTCCGTCCGAATCTGGGAAGCTCGACGAGAACACCACCGAGGAGGCAGCCAGGAATTCCCATCACAGCGATAATCAGTGAGTTCCGGTAGGTGATGTATGTTGACCCGTCGCCGAATTCTGCCCCGCGTGATTGTTGAATGTATGGCAGGAAAGCGTTGTAGAGCGGGAATCCCAGTCCGAGGAAGGCCCATACGAGAATAATCAGAGTCGTGGAATAGGCCCGCTGAGGCGTATCGAACAGAGCGCGGATGTGATCCAAACTCAGCTTTTCCAGTCTCTGGCGGACGATGTCGGCAGCAGTCAGCCCCCGACTTCCCTGATCAATATCATCCAGTTCATCTAGCGTCAACGATGAAGCCTTCCCATTTCTCCTCGCAACTTCATGCACAACCTTGACAGCCTCCGCATTCCTCCCCTTACCCATGAGATACTTGGGCGACTCATATATAGTGAAGAACATAAAGCGTCCTACAAACATAGCCATAGCCAATCCACCCATCGCAACGAGGAAATACCTCCACCCCATATTCCCCGCCTTGGTACATCCCTGTTCCTCCGCGCAAGACATATTCCCAAGCAAAGGCCATGCCCCTAGATTAGCCAGTAGCTGCGCAAAAGCCCAATCCACCGACAAAACAGTCAGAAGATACTGATGTGACCCAGGCAAGAACTCCAGAAAAATAGCTGAATCCACAGGCAAGTTTCCCCCGACGCCAATAGACCACAATGCCGCAAATGCACACATTGCTCCGAATCCAGGCGATGCCGCCGCAATAAGACCGAATACCGCAGTGATTCCGATCGTGAGATTAAACGCCCACCGACGTCCGAACACATCACATCCGAAACCCCAGAATATCGCACCGATCAGTAATCCGATATTCTGCGCCAGCGTGAGTAACGCAGGACGTGAAACAGAAAATTCATAGGAAATTGGAGGCAGAATTAGAGATGTAATGATCGGCCAGAGATTATCGCTCGCCCAGCCGAATCCGATCACGATGAATAGTTGCCACTGATAACGACCCATTCCGATCTCTTGAATCGCGCGGTTGAGCACTTCCGCCTTGGCCCTGTATCGAGCGTCGGGGCTGGTGTCCGTAAAGCCCGGGTCCTCAGCGGCTCCTTGGTCCGGGGATTTAGAGGCGGACATGGTGGGATCGTGATCTTTGAGGGGAAGGAGCGGGAGAGATGATTCGGCCTCCATGTTATATGCTTGTGAAGTCATGGGGTTGCAATGGGGGCGCTTGCGCGATTGATGTCGCGATATCGCACCAGTGGACTGTGGTCGATCATGCGATTGGTAAGGCGTGCGACAAACTCTATGGCGGTGTGTCTGTTTCGGTGCGTTTAATGGCGTGATCGACGCCTTCCGGCACACTTTGATGAGGATCGCGGGGATCAGGGTCCAAAACTTTACGGATTCTCCACAATTTGGCAGATGCCTAATTAGGTGTGTGCTCGTCTTAAAAACGGCGCTGAAAGGGATGCTGTGTATTGCTATTTTACTTTGCCAGGAAGTTCGAAGGGATAAACAAAGGGGGCGGGATGTCACTTGACGTCAGATCCGACGCACCACGCACAGCATGTTCAAGGATCACAATCCCCAGCAAACAGAGCGCCCAATCTGGATCCTTCAATCAACCACCTAAGCAGAAGTCGACTGCGCACCCGCCAGCGAGCTATAAGGAGTCGCACCAGGGTAGAATGAAGTGGGAATCGCAGGAATCGGAATGGGCATATCCGTTCCATAGGCAGTCGCCAGATCCGACGCCATAGTCGCAGCCGAGTAACCCGTCGGAGCAGCAGTCACAGTCATGGTGGTGGTGTACGTGGTGTAGTCGTCGCCGGAGTCAAGGCACGCGCCGTCGCCGTAGGCGTTCTCGCACGAATACCACTGGTAATCGCCTTCCTCGGTCCACATATCGAAGTCATCGATCGTGATCTCGGTGCAGGGGGCTCCGCTGGCGCAATTCACCTTGATGGGACCGCGCTCGGCGCCGTCGGCTTCAGTGCCTTTCCAGTTGCTGATTGTGATGTTATCGAGTTGGACGCCGTCGCCGGCGACGGTGCTCATGCTGGACCAGGCTTGGTCAATGTCGAGGGAGTAGGCGTTGCCGTGGCCTGGATTGTTTAGTTTGTGTTTGTGTCAATGTTGATATGGGTAGGGTACAAACCGATGAAGTTCTCGAGGAGGAGGTTGGAGACAGTGCCGGAGCCGCCGTTGCTCTTGACCATGTACATCTGGTTTGAGGACCAGGTGTAGACGTTACGGTAGATGACATCGGAGATATCAGTGTCAGCTCCCAGCGAGCCCATGGCACAACCACCGCTCCAGTTGCAGTAAATGTTCTCGACAAGGATGTTCTTGGAAGGACTCTGCAGGGAGTTAGCTGGGTACTCACAGTTTGAAACACACCACTGACCTTGACAGTCACACATTCATCCTTGTTGGTAACCATGACATCGTGAACCCAGATGTTTGTCGACCAGACATCAATACCATCCAAACCGCCCGAGTTACCACCACGAATAGCCATGTTATAAACCTCTCCATTCTCACAAGTATCCATCGAGAAATGGAAAGCCGGCGCATCCACGAGCGCAAGATCGTGAACCGAGAAATCCGTAACCTCATACATTCTCAGAATGCGCGGTCCACTCAGCGATCCCTCGCGATGGAACTCATACCCCCAGCCCTGCACGGCACCCTCAGAAGTCGAACTGAACAGTTCGAAGTCGGTAGTATGCTCGATGAAAATCATGTTTCCTCCGTCGGTACCAGTACGGTAGATGATTCCGTCCATGCGGATCGCCGTACTGCTGCCGCCGGTCAGAGTGACCCAGGTATCGAGCGCATAGTCACCGGATGGGATGTAGACTACGCCATTGGTCTTGCACGCGGCCCAGGCGGAGGTGATGGCGGGGCCAATATCGGTCGAGTTGTCGGCTACACCACCGTAGTCGAGGACGGAGCAGATCTTGGAGGCGGCTTTGGTCGCGTAGCTGGTTGTTGGGCCTACGGTGCCGGAGAGTTGGGCGCTTGCGAGCAATGGCGCCAGGCCGATTGCTAGAAGGGAGGTGAACATGATAGAAATATAAGAATAAAATAAGAATAGAGGAGAATAGAATGAATAAAAGAGAATGAGTGGAATGAAGGGAAAAAGAAATAGAAATCGAAACAACCACAGGACACGGAAGTTATATCTCAAACCTTTGGCATGGAGGGTCGAATCTTTTCCCCCAGTCAGACCATGCCAATCCCGTGTCAAGCCCCGAGTCAAAGAGAAACACACGAACTCCCTAGATACTCCACATGCCGGCAAAGCATGATAGCTCCGGTGGAGCGTCCGTCAAGACTAACCTGACAAGAAGAAGGTTGAGATTGGAGGGTTAAAGAGGGCCCGAAGATAATGTTTGGTATTAATTGATCGGCACACTTAGCACGACCCGTGCTTTACGCATGCCTAAGGGCTCGGTCGCCTATTTCCTTTGCGGGCGCTAACTCCCGTCTCCATCTTTCTCTAACTGCTAGTTATGCTGCCCCTGAAGTGTCTCATTTTGGGTGCTCGGCAGTTGTAGGCTGCGTTGATCGGCGCTCTTCTTGGAAGGTATTTCGTTTAACCGACGTGCTATATTGATGTGATGGTAAAGTAGATGGAGCGACACCACTGCATGGCGTGACTGGTGGCTAGGCGAGCTGCTACAAAGCTTGTCGATCGTAGCTAAGCCTTGTCAATGTGAAGGCTTGAGCACACTGCCGTTCTGGTCGGGACATATTTCACCGAGGTATGAGTTCTTCCTAGCCAAAGTATAATTCCCCGCAGGAGCTACGACCGATGCAACAGTACCCCGGCTTTGGACGATATTTTTCCGAGCAGATCGGTGATGTTGGGTGCTAGTTCGCTCATTCATTGAATACAGCCATGATTAAGTAAGCTACGTAAACTCGACAGTCGTAATTGGGCCAATGGACAATTCTACAAAAACAAAGGGTTCTCAAAAAGTCTGATATTGCATCTCATGGACTGAGAAAATCTAGCTAAAGACTTCACCAGCAAATAGCGGAGACACAAGCGCGCCACGCCCTAGAGGCATCGCGCAAGCAAACGCTCCACTCCATATCGATACAATGCCCAATCTCAAACCTCAAGCCTAGATCATCAGGCGCTCAACCTGGTTCTTCAGGTTGCGGATGGTGGCAGTCAGGTCGGAAGCCTCGTTGGTGGTGATGCTGCAAGCGATCACGGGGCGGGAGACACCGGTGGCACGACCGAGAGCCATCTTGCTGGGAACGTAGACGTAGGGGACGTTCTTGTCCTCGCACAGCAGGGGCAAGTGCAGAATGATGGGCAGAGGGGTGGTGTCGGCGGCCAGGATGACAATCTCGGAGGTTCCGCGGTTGAGGGTCTTGGTGGTCTCGTTGGCACCCTTCTTCAGCTGGCGGTAGTGGCTGGCCTGCTGGACGAGGTCGAGCAGGGACTGGGCGAGGGTCTCATCGGCGATGGGCCAGGCTGAGATGCTGGTTAGCTTGGTTCTTCTTTCATGGTGCGATGGTAGAGGACTCACCAGCGGAAGCGTCTTCGGCCATTTTTAGAGATGTTCAAAAACCAGATCTTTGAGATAAAAGATATGGCTCACGCAAAGGATCACAGCCGTGTAGACAGCGGAAATAAATGGATGGGTATGGGTTGGTTGAATTTTGTGGAGGAAATTTTCTCAGATGGGGATAGGCGCGGGCTGACCGCTTTGGTTTTGCCGGGTTGAAGGTTCTTCAGTCAAAGAGTGCTGACCGCCTTTTGATTTTTTTTTGACCATCTAAGTGTGCCTACATGCCTCAGGCATAAAGGCAACACTACGTTGAACTTGGGAACTTGTGGTTACTGACTCATGAATTTTATTCATCGCTATGTATGTATGGCCATTATGCTGCCGAGATCAACTCGGTAAATGTACAGAACTCGTTCTATGACTTCGTAAACTCAATAGTGTCGATCATTCCAATCATGCAAAACCTTACGCGACCTGAGTACTGAGAACGGTTCTCGCAAGTCTAGACCGAGCTCGCAGAGCAGGTCCGTACTTGAACAAGGCGAATGGAATAAGGGTGAGAAGGGTGGCAATGAGAGCCAAAAGCAGACCAGCCCATTGGCTGCCCATGTTGTGGAAGAACTGGGATGCGAACAAGGGCGACACGGCACCGAGGGTGTTACGCATGAACCCCTGACCGGCAATAGCAGAGGAAGCGTTGTCACCGTAGCAATCGGCAGTGTAACTATAGCAGGACTCGAAGATGAAGAAGATGCCGAGGCCGATAAGGACAAGGCCGACAACGGGGCCGAACCAGAAGAGCTCTTTGTACTGTGTGAAGCTGTAAATGAACAGACCTACGGGTAGCCAGACGGCACCGCACATAGCACCGTAGAGACGGGCCTCGGGGCGGGACTCCTGGTTGGGGTCATTGATGACGGACTTATACTTCCTGATCTGGAGGAAGTTCAGACCGAAGCCCATGGTGGCACCGAGGCAGAGAGCGATGTAAGGCAGGCCGGAGACACCCTCACTCCAGCCCTTCTTCTCCTGGTAGGTGATTGGAATGACGGAGAGGAAGAGGAAGGTCAGGAACCAAGCGAAACTGATCCAGAGACCGAAGGCGAACACGACGGGCTCGGTAAACAGCATCTTGATGGCTTTAACGGACGAGTTGTGAAGCATCATCTTGATGCCGGGGGCTTCGAGGTCATTGTGAGTGACGAAGCGTTCGTCACCGGTAGACTGTCGAATCATCTTCGCGCGCTTCTTGAGAGTCACACCTCCACGGGTCTCACGGAGGAAAATGGCAATGACAATGACAAGAGGGATGTTGGCAAGACCCTGAATACCCTCAACCCAACGCCAGCCAAGAGCCTGGTCAATGAAGCCGGCGTAGATGGGAGCGGCGACGGTACCGAAGATGGCGATGAAGGCGAAGGAAGCCATAGGGATGGCACGGTCTGCGGGGGTATACATGTCGCCGAAAGTACCACCGACGAGGATAGTACCGACACAACCAAACAGACCGAGCAAGGCACGGCAGACGAGAATGGTGGCAATGTTCTTGGCCAGAGACAGGCCGATAAACATGAGAGCAAAGCAGACATAAGCACCGACATAGACAACCCGTCGGCCAGCCAGCTCACAGAAAGGTGCCAAGAAAAGAGGTGCGAGAGCACAAGTGAAGTTAAAGGTAAAAAGACCCAATTGTCCCAACTCATTTGAGACACCAAACTCATCCACCATCCGTGTGATACCAGAACTGTAGGCTGTTGTGGCCAGACCAATGAACAATGTCATCAGACAGAGCAGCAAACTGATGAAAGCCTTATACTTGGGGTTCCAGTTGAAAGGATTCTCTTTATCGCCCTCGGCGAATTCCAAAACGATCAAGTTTTGTCCGTCATGTTGGGTGGGCTTGGTAACGGTAAGAGGAAGGTCAAAGTCCACCTCTTGGAGGAGTTGGCTGTCGAGTTCTTGGTTGTGCTCGTCTTCGTATAATGATTCACGATATTTGCCGCCAATGATCCAACCCTTCTGTTGGGTCTCCTGGTGAGCAATGGAGGTTTCTGAAGTGTTCTCAGTATGAGAAGCCGTGATAGGCTGCTGCTGTTGTTTTGACTTCATTATGGCGATATTATGGGAGGAGGAAGGGAGAAGAAAACACAACCTTAAGAGAAGAAGAATCTGACAATCTGGGAGAATCCCGTCCCATATAAATCAGGTCCGGGATCAGGGCCTGTCGTCATCCGCATAACTCCGTGCTTGCAAGTATGGGGACTACGGAGCTACGGGCCTCCGGTCTCAAGGCGTGGGGGACCCTAGTCTGGTTCGGCACCAGTCTTCTCAACGTGTCCCTGGCCGTGTCATTTGATCGATTTGACTTTTCAAGTGGAGGTCAGGGGGCAGTATTCCACACCGCGTATAGTATCATGTATACTTGCTGCTTGGTCTCATACATCTCGAACTCAAAACCTAGAATTTTATTGCCTTCACGATGTGAACGACCTCTACCCCAGCATTTCTGACATTCCACCCTGGTGGCTTCATGGCTGAGAATGGTTGGTGCCCCATCGTCATCAACAGCTATTGTGCCTGCCCGAATTGGGGCATGGCCCGATACGTAACCAGCCTCAGTCGCATAAGTTTTGTGGACCATGAGAGCGCTGGCGAATTGTAGGCGCCAGCTAAAGCGCCACCTAGCAAAGCAAAGGCCAGTCTCGGTCAAACACCGCAGTATATCGGGGCTTGGTGAGGTGTTGATAACACCGAAAAGGTCCCGAGTACGTCCCGACCCTGCTTTATCCGAGGCCGAGCCAAGGCAGTCGGCATGCCTTGGCTCGGCCCCACCAGGCGAACCGACCGGGAAGCCGTGCGCAATCGGGTTCGCGGTTGAGCTGGAAAGGAGCTCTAATATTTATTTGAACCTATTATGCCAAAGATGATGGTGACTGTGGTTTATTTTGCTGCTTGTTGAGAACTAGAGAGTCCTTGGGTCGGGTGAGTGGTTCGCGAAAAATGTAGATGGACTACCGCTATTTCCCCGTTGGGTGACCGGGCGATCGCCCGTCGGTAGATCCTCGGGGTGTCCACCGAATGGGCGTCGAATCACAGTAAAGAATGATCGATACTGTGTTCACTGCGCTCGACAGGTACTGCGAAAGTGGATTTGCTTTGCCCACTGCCGCCCTGATGAGGCAGCGCATGTTTCAATCATGCATCTCATCACAGCAATGACGAGCAGGGCGTATAAGTCGCTCATAGGAACAGCGAACAGCATCGCCAACGCAGAGATCATCGATCATCCTGTTTTATGACCGTTGGTATTCTACCGGGCTAGGCAGGTACTCACTTGAGGGCTACGTGGCGCGAGAGATCAGATTTTCTACGGTCCATTCTTTCTGGATGTTGTAAAACTTTATTTGAGAGTGGAAATTTCATCTTTCTGTCGTAGGGATAGTTTTTTCGGGTTTGACTGGTATGCTTGGCTCTTGGTATATTCTTTTAGGATCTTTGCCACCCAGATAAATTTTTCCAAAATTCAGCGGAACCAGCGATCGTCTGATGATCTGATCGCCGGTTGACCTTCCTCACTAGTGATTGGTCCCAACTTCTACACAGCGCCTGATTGGTCGAATGAGCTACAGAACAAAAAATTATTGTTCCTTCGATGCTAGCTATACATACATCTATGTGGGTCAAATATTGCTAACATGCCCAGCCCAATTCGTCTAAAATAACTCGTTGCATGCTCATTTGAAATAAAACCTACCCATATGCCTGCCTGCCTGCCTATCTACAAACCCACAAATATACCTAGTGAACCAAAAGTAGCGTCAGCTTAGAAAATAGACAACTGACAGGGAGAAGCCCGGCCCATAAGATAATCTGGGCGAGCTGGTCAACCAGCACAGACTCTAGTGGCGGCCCGCCAGCTCACTCTTTGTAGGAGCCACATGCCGCTGGACAATTATTGCAGAAATAGCATCATTGGGCAGAGGACAGATTCCGTCCATAACACCCAAATGCTTGTTCGCCAGTTAAGAACAAGACTCCGGTGGCATATCCTGACATGTGCAGTCTCCCAATAAGCAAGACCCGCCTATCTTTGAATGGCCACTAAGGCATTAAATGACCGGAGTTATGTTGGTCAGAGAGGCCATATGGAAGAACAAATAGCCGCGCAGGCTACAAACGTCGCCCTGCATATTTACGGGAACTCCCGGTGACAAAAATGATGCGCGATTTCTTGGCCCATCTACCTGGATGCGGATTTGAGGGCGTTGATGAGTAACCAGGAGACCGAAGTGTGAATCTGGCCATTGACGAGTTAGTTGGCTAGAATTTGGGCAGGATATCATGTCAAGCTTACGTCTTGGCAGGCACTTCCGCAAAAAAGTTACGATTTAATGGCGCAAAGCTCCTGATGCCGTGCCCTAGAATAGTGTCGTAGTAACCTACGCTTGATTCCACTCCATTACCTTCATTCCCCCACTATAATTTGTGTGATCAACTTGTCTGAGTACCTCCAACGGTCGACTGTCAAGCTGATTTACGGCACAGGCGCAGAACAAGCTCGAGCACAAAATGCACAAGCAGAAATTAAAAGTAGAATATTAACAGGGCCGATCTCTTCGACATCCAGGTAAATAGGTACAACACTTGTTTCTTATGTGATGGCCCCGAGGACCTTTCAGAAAATTGAAACTTGGCGCATGGTTCCTCGTTCGTGTCGCTGCCGTAATGCGAGTTATGTTCAATCTGGAACGTTACACATGGATGACTGTATTGTCGACGTTGCTAATGTCTGGAATAATATATCCCGAAATCCCCATAATTGACAAGGCCATGATCAAGATAAGTATCTGCAGATACCTTAGGTAGCCTTGGAAGCTGCTTTTAAGAGATCTCTACGAGTGATTGTACGCAGATTTACCGTAGGGGGAACAGATATACATACTTATAATGAACTCGTACACTATGTATTTCATCAGAAAAATTTGCAATTCTTTCAAGTGCGTTCGGGATTTCACTGGGGCTATCATCATGAGTGTTAGCCTTGTAACACAAAAGTCAATTACGCCGGGCATAATTATGCTTGGAATCGTTCTAGATTACCCCGCAGCAAAAAAATCTCCTGATCGAGCAGGATCATGTGACAAATCAGGTTGTGCTGCACTATGACATCATCCCTCGGATATTCGGCGAATCCCCAGATTCACCTGCAGGGGATCAATTGACAGTCGCAGATCGCAGTAATGGCTGTTCAATCAATTGATAGCTCTAATAAGGGATCATTTGTTCATTTATCGGGCCTTAAGTTACACGGCTTTGAAGCAGACCACCGCCAATTCAATTGATTGAAGTGAACGTGGTTAACGTGTGCCTAATCGAACCTTGCTATTTTTGAATTAAGTGGCTATAATAGCCGAAGCCTAGGTGCTTTAGATTATTGTATCCCACCGCGTCACCATGACGCAAGCTCTCGAAACAAATATATAAACAGATCTGCTGCCAAGTGCTGCCAAGAGGATTTACACTGTCAAGCTTTCTCGTTTTTTTAGCTTAACCCCTTTCAGAAGACGTTGACGATACCTAGGGTCTCTTCGCTACTCACGACATTGATTGTTTCCTCGCTAAACCTCAAATTTTCAAGAAAGGAAGCCATTATCGAAAATGCCCTCTAAAAATGACGACTCCCACCACCTCCACAAGTAAGCCTCACTTTCAAGCTCCAACATCTCTTTACCTCTTAACAACCTCTTAACACTCAATCGATTAGAATTGGTGGCTGGATGCATCCAGACTATGCTGCGCACCAAGAATGGCTGGGCGGTATCATTAAGCATGTCGATAGCAAAGAACAAACCCTGCATCCAGTCTTGAAAGAGTTCAAAGAGCTGATCGAGAGCAACACCCGAGTCTATGCGCTCATTGAAGGCATGCTTAGAGAAGTCCCTCACAAAAAGCCCTACCAGAATGATCCGACTGGCCATCCAGAGATTCGCGACTACCACCATTTCCTCCGCGTCCTCAACCACCTACTCACCACCGCACCCTCATGGACCGACAAAGCTCACCGCGTCGGTCTGGTCGGTCTGCCCATCAACGCCGTCTTGGACTGGCCCATGGGCACACCAAGTGGTTACGCAGCATTCCTAGACCCAGAAATCAACGCAATGCTAAAGAAGGTCCTCAATGCATGGGGCGAATTCCTGCGTTCCCCAGCTTCTGCTGAAGTCCTGAACACATCTTCTCTCGGATGGTTCGGCGAAACTGGACATCGAGACCTCACAGCCGTCGCAAAGATCGGCCCATCAGCTGCTGAGAACCTCGAGTTCCATCAAATGTTCCAATGTGACCCCTCAGCACCAAACTACGGTTTCAAGTCTTGGGATGACTTCTTCACTCGATTGTGGCGTGATGGAATGCGTCCGGTCGCAGAGCCTGAAGACGGTCGCGTCATCGTCAACGCTTGCGAATCCAAGCCGTATAGAATCGCTCATAATGTCAAGGCTCGCGATCGGTTCTGGATCAAAAGCCAGCCATACTCTGTTCTTGATATGCTAGGACATGATTCTCTGGCTGAGCAATTTGTTGGTGGAACCATTTATCAGGCTTTCCTTAGTGCATTGAGCTATCACCGCTGGCACGCTCCTGTCGCTGGAAAAGTGGTTAAAGCATATGTGGTTGACGGGACGTACTACTCCGAGCCGTTGTTCGAGGGCGTTGGGAACCCGTTTGCTCAATCTCAAAATATTCATCTTGAAGGTCAGACTATCTCGCAGTCGTATATTACTGCGACTGCTACGCGTGCACTGATCTTCATCGAGGCGGATGAGCCTGCTATTGGCCTTATGGCATTTATTGGTGTTGGCATGGCTGAGGTCTCGACCTGTGATATTACTGTTAAGGAAGGCGACCGTGTCAATAAGGGTGATGAGATTGGTATGTTCCACTTTGGTGGATCTACTCATTGCTTGCTCTTCCGCAAGGGCGTCGATATTTCTGGATTCCCTGAGCCTGGCATGGAGGAGAACATGCCTGTTCGTAGCAGATTGGCAACCGTTGCATAGGATGTAAACCTATCAAGATTTGTGGCAGTCTTATTCAGGTCTGATCTATCTAAGCAGATTACTCGTCTATGAACTAATGGAGCAATTTACCTGTAAATAGAAAAAATTATTATATCTGGCCCCTTCTCGCGATCTTGAATTTCAAAATGCGTTAAATGGACAAGGCACTCTCTTCGCATCTGCAACAGTAGCTTAAAGAAAGAAAGTAACCTACCTCGGGCTAACTTCAATCAGCATGACTGATCTCTAGCGGAATCTTGAAGAACTAGAGCTAATGATATCATGAGGAATTGCGTTCGTACCCACTCTGGAAAATCCACCAATCGCAGGGCGTAATTTGCTGCTTAGAAAAAGAAAGTCAGCAGTGCATCAGCACGCTAATCCCAAATAGGCATAGCGTGTCATTGTTGATCCATCGATAATAATCGCATAATCGTAACGCGCTTTCTCCAACCATCCAGATTCTAGATCCCAGGCTATTTAAACCCTCGATCCTCCTGCAATTGAGAGAAAATCAAAAATTTGCAATACTTTGATCTGAAGACTTCCGCAATTTCCAGCTACAAGAACAACAGCAACAACACATCAATGACAACCCCACTATCCCACGCCAAGATCGTTCTCCGCCGCTCCAGCGAGCGCGGATATGCCGAACACGGCGGCTGGCTCAAATCATTCCATACATTCAGCTTCGCCAGCTACTATGACCACCGCTTCCAGAACTTTGGAAGTCTCCGAGTCCTCAATGAAGACCGTGTCGCAGCACGGAATGGCTTCCCGACTCACCCCCACCGCGACGCCGAGATTTTCAGTTACATATTGAACGGCGAGCTTACGCACCGCGACAGCATGATCAAGAAGGGCTCCGAGGGCGAACAAGGAAAGGACTTCTTCCGTATGAAGCGGGGCGATGTACAGTTTACTACTGGTGGAACTGGTAAGTTCTATTCCTCATCGTCGTATTAATGGATCAATGCTGAAGCCAAGACAGGAATTGCTCACTCCGAGCAAAATGAATCTACCAAGCCAGTGCATTTCCTTCAAATATGGGCTTTGCCTTGGAAGCACGGACTCAAGCCTCAGTATCACACTAAGACTTTTAGCGAGCAGGACAAGCGTAAGGCTTTCGTGCCTATCTTGTCGCCTCTTGCTGCGGGCCCTGAAGCTACTCCCGCGCAGGAGAATGCTGCTACGCCTAAGATTCCGGATACAATTCCCATTCACGCGGACTTTGTTATGGGTGCGGGTCTTATTGAGCCTAACTCTACTTTCAAGTGGGATGTTGGGGCGGGAGATGTTGTCAGCTCGAAGAAGAAGCGCAATGTTTACATTCATCTGCCTATGACCAAGCAGGGCAAGATGAAGATTAAGCTTAATGGCAGCGAGGATGCTATCTTGGAGGAGGGTGATGGTGCTTTTATTACTGGTGTTAACGCCGGCGATGCGCTCCGCGTGGAGAGTATTGGTGAGGTCGAGGCGGAGGTCATTGTGCTAGACAGTGATTAAGCGGATACGGATATAATTTATATTTTGTTGTAGAGATACGAAAATAATGATATGGCGTTTGGACGTGCCCGCTTTGAATCAAATAATCTTCCCGTCCATCACGACTCTTGCAACTGTAGAGAATATATCAATACCCAACCTTCTGCAACTCTACAGCATTACTCTCCTCCCAAGGATGATCCTGCTCCACTAACAGGATGAGAGCTTCTAGCTCCGAGCTTCGAGGCTTGATATCACACTGGAAAGGCGAGGCATGGCTAATAACACCAGGGTCGAATTGCGGCGTCGTGACCTCTACGCCGCCTTGTTTAGCCCCACTAATATTGAAAGCAGCGAGTGACTGAGCCACGCTCAGGAAGACTGTATTGTCAGCTAAGAATCGACCTGGACATACGCGGCGCCCAAATCCGAAGGCAATCGCATGAGGGTCGGGCGCGGGGGTTTCGCCGAGGAATCGCTCGGGCTGGAACTCCATTGGGTTTGGGTAGACCTCGGGATCGTGCATCATGGCCCTGTACATAATTAGATTCGAACATAGATGGGGGGCATTTCCCGGGTGAAGATCCTACCAGATATTGGCGAGAACAAGAGATCCCTTTGGGATGAAGTATTTCTCGTAGGTGTCATCGGCTGTCGACATGTGCGGAATACCCATCGGAGCGACTGGGTGCCATCGTAGAACTTCCTTCACCATGGCATTGATATAGGGCAGATTCACGCGATCCTCAATGCTGGGAAGCTTATTTTGTCCAACCACACGCTCAATCTCCTCTTGAGCTCTGCGCTGAACATTGGGGAATATCGCCATGGCGAGGTAGAAGCAGTTGATAGAAGAGACGGTCTGGATTAATGTTAGTAGAGCCGAATTCAAGAAGGGAAGCAACTCACTGTGTCCGCACCGCCAGTGTAAAGCGACGCGGCCGTCCATTTCGCGACTAGCTCTTTCTCCGACCCTGACTCTGGGAAACCAGCCTGAAGCATATCGCTGAGGTACGATGGTGTGTATTTTCCATTTTCAATTTGTTGTTTCACGAAGTCATAGGGCCTATCGGCAATGCCCGAAAGATGTTCTCTCCAAAGATTTGCAGTCCGCTTGAAGCCAGCCCCTGGGAACCAGCTGGGAACATATTTGACTATCTTGATCAGCAAGGCGTTCTTTTTAATGACGAGAATTCTCAAAATACATACGGGCAGGGATCAGATCCACCATCCAGGCCCCGGGTATTGTAGCTTGACCGAATTCGTCCAAGGCTTCATTGGTGAGGTGAACTAAATGATCCCGTCCGAAAGGCTCGACTCTGTAGCCATAGGCGATGTTAAGAATCACGGCTCCAGCCTCACTGTTTGCATATATTAGAAATGTGACCCTTTCCAAAGTTCGAGTTCTCAGTGAAAGTTACGTTTGAATGTGCTGCAAAAGATTCGCGGGATCTTTCAGCACACGAAAGAGGAATCGTCGTGATTCCACTTCTTGCAAGGGATTGAACTGTGCAACTGCCGACTCAGAACCAAAGCTTGGCTGAATTGCTTTACGATAAGCGCGGAACCTATCGGTGTAGCCCTGGAATGCGAGACCATCTTCCCATCCTACCCTAGTGATGGAGTGAATATAAGTGATGTTCTTCTTCTCTTTCGCAGACTTACAACTTACATCTCTGACGCAAATGTCATCCTGGGTCGAGAGGAATAAATCGAAGATTTTTTTGCCAACAAGTCAAGTGCGATTTTGGAATCATTCACAATCACAAGGGTTTGTCCCAGTACCGTGATCGAGCTGATAGGACCTGCAATTAAGTTAACAATTCGAAATCGGGGTAAATTTGGAGGAGGAGATTGATGGTCCTTGGAAACTTACCGTAGGAAGATTTGTATTTTAGCCAGTGTAACCAATCCTGTTTACCGCTCGGTGGGAGGTCATTGATGTTGCCGACAATAGGCAGCGGTGAAGGCCCTGGTGGCAACGGCCCACGGGCAATTTTCCGCTTCGGCCCAAGAAGAGTGTACAGGGCAGCGACCCCTAACGTCAGACTAAGCAGCAAGATAAAGTTCATTGTGAATAGTGACAGAGATCCGCGAAGAGCCCTGGCGGGGGAAAACAGAGTTAAATAGGTGGGCCCGATTTAGACCGTCTTTTCACTATGAACTCGAATTGCTAATCACTCTATTTTTAATCAAAAATTAGACTCATTGTATTCGTCCCAATTCAGGAATTGTTACGGAGTCGCACAGATGCCCCGCTAAAAAATCCTACATTCCCATGCACTTAGAGCCCCTAGGCGTCCTAGATATGCAGGCCTAGAAGAAACCCCACTCTGGCCGCATGTGTACACCTTAACCTATTCGCTACAGTTCCCGTCCCGGCGAACCTAGTTTTTATTATCTACGAAACGAGTTAAGTAAAGCGCACTAGCTTGAGACATGCTCCGTAACCTCTGATTTAACTGAGCACTGTCTGCATGCTTACTTCCCTGGGCTAGGCTGCTTTTAGGGCAGATCGGCGATTTCGGCATATTTGATCGCTTGTATGGGCTTGTCTAGACCGATTTGCCACGCCATACGTTTGCTTATCTGCAGAACTTGGATGAGAGCTTATTGAGGTGAAAGGCCGTGTAGTTTATCGTGAATGTATCACATGTTGCTCACTGTTTAATTCGAGTCCTGTGCGGACTTGTTAATACTCAATTGATGTGAATGCTGTACTGGAATTGCCCGATTAGTAGATAGTCTGTCTCTCAAGGTGCCAGTTCACGTAGAAGGCTGAATATAAAAACACTCTAAAAGTTATGAAGCTGTGATCGTCGTCCCCTGAAGGTTGGCGGACAGCTGTGCGGGTTGCGGATCGTTGGGGCACGAGCATTTTCTATACCCGCGATATGGATTTTTCGACTAGTCCGCCTGTAAAAGCTAGACTGGAAATTATTCAAATTGCTCAAACTGCATAGAGGATATCCGATACCACAATGGATATAAAGCAGTTCTAATCATCAAAAGAAAGCAAAGCCGTCGCTCTGTTCTCCGGATTTAATTTGAACGTGATGGGTTATGGATATATTGTCGCAGCTTGTCTTCGCGTTTGAAATAACAGGGTTTGAGGCAGAACTTGAACTTGAAAAAGCCTCGCGAGATACGCGCCCATAGGCCTTCAATTTTATTTTTTTGGTGAGTCTGTCTCCAGATCAGCGACTTTTGAATAGACCAGGGCAATGGCCCCAGCATTAAGGCTAGAGGATCTACCCTAGTAAAAAGAGGGGACGGACTGATGGTTTTCTTTAGTACGTCTGCATTTTGTCCACCATCGGAAGCAATGCTTCGTGAACTTGCTTGGCCACTTGCTACGGGATGGACTACAGGAGATGAGTCGAGTGCAGAATTGCCGAAAATGGAAAGCTCCTGTTGTGGGGAATGCCCTTGCATCGAATATTTCGTGCAGGTAAAAAGCCGATGTGGTGGTGCATGCAGCCGTGGTTGATTTATTTACCGTCGTAGACGAAGATACAGGTAAGCCAAAGGACGCTGCAGTGGCACTCACGCCTAGTGTCCTTATCATCTCGCACTCGCATTGAACCGCTTTCCTTCAGCCTGCTACTACTTTCAATATTCGCTTCGTGTCCTATATCTCTTCGCGCAGGATAATTCATAAACCAAAATGTTTCGCTGGAAACTTCAATTGCAAGAGCGTTAAACCTGGGGTAAGGTTACTCCATACTCCATCGCCGTGAAGCTTCCCTTTCTCTATAACGTTATATCTGCTTACACCAGCCCGAAGTGAATGATTAAAACAACCGCAATAGACAAACGAAGTCAGGAAATAACATCGTGTCGCGTCAATTGTCTTCCAGCAAGCGAACACATTTCGTTACTTCTCCCCATCCGAGAAACGGAGGAGTCTGTCATCTGGACGCCATTCGAACACCATGAACCACCGCCACATGATTCCGCAATCTATCCCTTCGCCCCATTCCAAAAGTCTTTTCACACCAAGGACATTTGTGATGTTCTCGAAAGATGTGCTGTGCTTTTATGTGCCGCCATAGAGACCCATCTCTGGTAAAGGGGTTTGGGTATGTACATCCATCCCAAAGACATGAGACTGGTTCAGGAAAGTTGCCCCTGAGTAAGAGTCAGTCGTTAAGGATGGTAAAGATAAGAGATACATCAAGAGCATACCCGGAATTTCTGCCTCTTTGCCCACGACCACGAGGTGCACTTTCGGTAGTGTTGGGGTCGTTTGCCGTGAGGCCGGCAAAGGGAGGATGACTTTCAGAGCTGTTGAAAGAGAAAAATTCATGCTACGTTCGGGTGATTTGTTCGGGTGAACTTGTGTGATGTGGGAAGGTTTCTTGTCCTTGAAAAGGATTGCGTCCTGGGAAAGATCCCACTCGAGGCGTTAGGTGATCTACAACGATTCCGTGTTGGAATGGAGGGCGTCGGGATGGGCCGGTGGGTGGAGAAGCCTGACTAGAATAAGGTTGACCGATAGAGGGAGACATCGTTTGAGCTTGCAGGGGCGGTGCTCTCGTTGCGTCGGTGGACCAGCCTGTTGGATGTGAGCTTGGAAAGAGATCGGATACAAAGTCATCGGAGATTATAGAGTGTCCTGACTGAATCATCCAATCCAAGTCATTGACCTCGGTGTTCCTGCTAGATGAATTGACTCGACGAGTAGAGTGACCCATGGCGAGGCGGTGGTAGAAAGGAGAGAAGCAGAGACCAGAGAGATATGAAAGATAAAATTCTACCGAGTCTAAAGAATGACTGAATTACCGAGGCAAGGGATGCGGGGATCTGGTGTTATTGAAGAAAAAGAGAATCACAGATAAAGGGAAAAGAAAGTAATAAATTAATTGTAACAATATCAATTACCTAGCTTGGGTCCGACCCCGGAGCCCTTAAGCCACAACGAAAAAAACGCCCAAGGGGTGGCGCAGCCGAACAATTCAATCCCGGGGTGTCATTAGAGGCTGTGAAGTCGGTCATCGAAATTGGAACAACAAAAACGGCATCGGAAACGGCGCAGCAAACCACGAAGCAAATGAAGTTAAGATAAAATTTCGAGGAACCACTGAGGGAGGGATCCACGTGTTTTGCACCCAGAATCACTTACCTGACATGGCTTTGAAGCTGAGAGCATTGTAGTCGCTAGCGGTGAACGTGTTATCGTTAGCGGAGATTTCTCCAGAATTCAATTTGTTGCCTTCCTTTTACATACAGATAATTCTATCAGGCGAGACCCACAGCCTACTTGCGGAAATGTGACGTTGAAGTATGAGTTGGCATTTCATAGCATAAGCTGGTAAACACGTGGGGCGGCTGTTCCCGAAAAACCTTTGATGGAAGCAGCTCAAATGGCGAACCAGATTGTGATTCTTGCTTCATAGATAGGTAAATTCTGTAACCATGAGCTTCAAAAGCGTTTCGATCGGCGAAGAACTGGAATCTGCCAGACAAAACTAGCAAGACCTCATTAATAACCTCGGCACTCCAAATTCTTGAACCTCATCAACTCCTAGTCTATTGTAATATTTTGAAAGACCTAAAAGTTCCAGCAAGCACCAATTTGAGCCCTGGAAGATTAAATTTGTGCCAAGCATGTCTCTAGCAATGATAGACCGTTCTGCATGGAATGAGTGAGCCCAGGACTTGAGGTAGCCCGGGTGACGCACCCCAAATTGGCGGTGAGGACGAGCTGCTGAAAGTGGTAGGTTCCAGGTTTGGAGATCTTTTTCCAATGACAATGTGGCGGTGGCTGGTGAGAGCAGTGCTCGATGGGGGGTTCCATGTTAGGCTGACCGCTGCTCAAGAAGCCTGGAACCCTTGTCAGACATGCAGTGTGATTAGATGAATGTAGACGTGTGCTTCGGGTAATATCTGGAAACCATTATTTAGTTTATCTGGATGTGAGGACCCGAGATCGCTACCAGTAAGTCATGATAAACACAAATTTAAGCTTAACAGTGCCTTAGTAAGGTTCTCACGCAACTTCTCAGTTTTGAAATGCGAAAGAGGCCCATAAGCACATTGAGCAAACTTAGACAGGGAAGTGGCATGAATTTCAAGCTCCCTAACATCCTGCTCGATAGTTCAAATTCAGGCTCTTCGAGATGTGCAAATCTCCTCGATTTTGCGAACCATTTAGGTTGCCTTCTGCCAGCGTGTTTGGAACACTTGGATTGAGCGACCGTTTGTTTGATTTGTTTGAAGTCTTTGTCATATTGCCTGAAAATACCCCGGGCTATCCCAAAAGGCATCGGTGATCCAGGTTCACAATAGTCGTGTTCTTGTAGGATTTCAGCGATACCGCGCGAGATGCGCACGGGGACATCATAGCCGGAGACATTTGGAGTATCGTCATTGAAGTTGCGGTTGCCGCGGTCTGCAATTAGAGTATACCGTTGAGGCTCTACCTGACTCGAGTCTGGTCACCGCTGGTTGCCTTCTACCCAAATCTTACAAGGAGAATGGAGGACAGTTTTGAGGGTTCAAAATTGGTGTTGCCTAACGGGCGGGGCTATGGCTGTTGTTGGGGCGGTGCACGACATCCTAGGCAAGCCGTCCTCTATTGGCTGCCTCATTGGCGCTGTTTATGCAGAACGGCTCAGCCGGTGCTGAAACAAGGATCAGCGTGTCGTGGCAATATCTCATCTGTTGCTATCGGCCCCTGCGATTCGAGCCAGGAAAGGCCATGAAGGAAGTAGCCAGTGATGAACCAGGCCCGCGCATAGAGCGCGCCCGAATAGCAAAGAATAATCACAATGCTGACGCGACATTCTTGAATATAATTTGTCTTTCTACTATAGCAATAATGAGTTTGCTAAGTCTACCTAGCCGAGCGTCTGCTTAACTGACGGTAACTGACCAGGGAAACAGCTAGCAATCCTTAGAGCCAGCTATGCCGCTCGGATGCTCCACGTTCTGAGAAGATCAGCCCAACCTACTTACTTGGTACCGTATACGGTCCCATTGGCTTAGCCTTAACATCGAACAAAAGCTCGAGGATTAAATGCCATGTAGAGTTTTGAAATCTAATATCGTTTCATCGTTACGCATTGAACTCATATACAGCCTTCCCGAGAAGAAAATCCAAAGGAGCCTCCAAAATTGAGTTTTCGGTTTTTTCTCGATATCCATTGGAATCTGTGGACTTTAAAACGAGTTTCCCCGAGTCATGGAGACAAAGACTCGTCCCTGGTGAGACATCGGGCTCTATTAGAAAGGCGCGGAGGAGGTCGCATTATGATTTGTTCGCAGTGAATGGGGTTCTGCCCCTCTTCACCGCATCCCTTGCCTCAGCCTCCATGATAGATCTAGTTCCATAGCTTCCATCTCTAGAATCTACATCTCTCTCTTTTCCTCCTTCCTTCTTCATAATGGTATTGGGGCGGCGTGAATGGGTATTTGGGCCAAAGTCTGGAGAAGAAGGAGGAATCAGAAAAAATGTATCTATAGTGTTGATAGTGGGGATAGTGACCAGAAAAAAACCTGAATTGCCAGCGCGTTTCACTGCCCTTGGCGAGGAAGAAGACCCCAGGCGTACTCCAAGTGCGCCTAAGTTTGGATCAGCCATTGAATCGGCTATAGCCAGGAAGAGTCTGTTAATTGGGATTTCTGCTATGCTACGTTTCCTTGACCGTAGATATAACTGACTTCTAATGATAGTAGCCCGAGAGCACAAATGCTTAGCCTATCGCTTGAGCCGGAGGATAATTTCGGAAAATGAAGCGTAACGAAGCAATACGAGCATGAAGTTTCAATCCATGGTCGCATATCTCGGAGTCGCAAGTGCCAATCTTTGAGCTGAGAGCCCGATTACTTTTCACTCAAGTGTCCTCCGTATGAACTAAGTGGCACATTGTATCATTCTCGCCGCGAAGTTTGGAAGATTTGTGTTGGCCGACAAGCTTCATCAAGAGCAATAAATAATTTATAATCAAATATTACAATTACCGCGCTACGTGCAGTTAGAAATAGACCGATTCTTGCAGTGATGTACCCCGTGTACCAAGGAAAAGTTATTTCAGATACGCCTTCAGAGACAGGAGAGGAATGATGAGTTCTATGACACTCTATCAAGATCCATCCGATTTAGAGTTCACGACGTTCATCGGCCATTCCATCAAACTAAATAATTCGGGATCGCCGAGATCCGCTACCAATTTATGGATCTTTCTTATTTCCACGGCGAAGTTTTCACCAAGGTACCAGAGCTCATGTAGTAGTGTAAGAAGCAAGTATAGATGCGCAAGAATGATAAAGGATAGTCCGGTAGGTATGTCTGGACTACCTTCCGAGTCCAATGACGAGACGAAAGTTTCAGGAAGTAAATGTGGCCAAGAAGTAATAGCCGCATCTTCTAGTTCGGCTTGAATGTCACGAGTTGATGAACAAGGCTCGATTCGTTCTAGCTGGAGCACATAGATGATCCGTTGATACATCTGCTCAACAACCGAAATTGCCTGCTCTTGGCTTGTAAAAAATTCATCTCTCTCGGGATCTCCGTTGATATCGGGGCTGGTGCTTGACGTCGGCGATGGAGCTAGGCTATCGGTATCAAGTCTCGCGACTTTAAGAGTCCTCCAAAAAATTCGCAAGCCCAAAATGGCCCGAGTGGCACCTGTTGCAAATAACGAAAGCTTTTCCGATCGCGCACACCCAGGTGACACGCTGGTCGGTAGCGGACCAGGACCTAGTAGCCTCCAGTCTTCGTTGGAATTGCTGAATAATAACAGTGGTCTCAATCGACTTATTTTGAGGGCCTTCCAAGAATGCCTGGCAATGGAGCTGACACCGCGTACCAGTCGCAGCCATTGTATATGGGGCTTTCCGAAGGAACTTGAATGGCCCGGAAAAGTATAGTCTCTAGGAGAGGTATTTTGGGATGGCTGAGCAAGAAACTCCAAGTTCTGAGCTCGGAGCGAACCAAATGCAAAGGCAACGATCAACATCGAACCAGCAAATAACACCTCCGCATTTGTCTCCTCGATAGAGGCTAATCTTTCTTGGAGGCCCTGTAACCCCTTTTGATGATGCTCGACCAGAGTTCGAAGTTCGGTTGAGTCTAAGGTCAAAGAGGTTCGCTTGTCAGGGGTTTGAGCTGTCAACAAATTCAGGCCAGATACTGCGAGGAGCAAGTGCATAAGAAAGACGTTCTTGGCAGCGATCTCGGGAATGATCCGCTCCCATATAAAGCTCTTGCGAGAATTGAGACTGAAGTTCTTTGAGGTATGCAGAATGTAATGCTGGAGGAGGTTTAGGTCATGCAGGTTTAAAGCGCTGGACTTGAGATCAAGATTAGGTGCCCGGGCACCAGGCATATTGAAATCTAGCGGATAGATTGGCGGTCTACGCGAATCTAGCGGAATGGTCGGTTGACCCTCACCCTGCCGCGTTGAGACATGACAAGGAAGATGTCGTCTTTGTTTCTGGTCACGTGTCTCTTGTGGATGTGGAAATGCGCATTCATTTCCACGGATGGAGCAGGCACCACAGATTGGTCGTTCTTCATCACACTGGCGCAATCAGTACTTGTCGAGAGGAGTATGGAGTTTGAAGATGTTTTAGATACCTTTACACGGCGATTTTTACACTGGAAACAGCCGTTTCGTGATTTGGTGTGGCTGATCCGATATTTTGGACGCGTTCGTGAGCTTGACATGGACGCTGACAAGGGGTCTTTAGCTTCGTGAAGCCCGTCACGGGACATCGTCGACTCCCAGATAATTGAAATAGACAGGAGGTCGTCGTTCTGAGCTAGATATTTTTCAAGCTGGTTGGAGTTCGACCCCTAGGCTGTGTGTGAAGAATGTAAGTTGGGGTGATGTGGCTGGAAGATGCGGCTCTCACCTCAAGGTGGTAAAATTCTGCCGCAACTCTATTTAAGATTCTTGCGGAGCGCAAGGATTCCAGGCAGATGTATTGCCATTCATATTTTGAGGGTCTTTTTTTTTCTCTCTTCGCGTGAAATGTACTGACTAAATATGTGTTCCAACCTTCAAGGTGTGACGGAGTGACATTCCTGTGTGTCATCAAGCGCATTGAACAATCGCTCACTGGCGTTTGTGATAACTGAGCTGCTTTAAGAATTCATTGAAAAGTTTGTATAAATTCAGGCGAAGTAAATCTACATGGTGATGAATCCTCAGGACAAAGTGAATGACAAAAAAAAATCGAGTGTGTGTATGTTTCAATTCGCTCGGCCCTTGGAAATTGACTCTGCACGAGCGAGTCCTTCCTCCGTAGCGACGAGTTGAAGCTCACTATCCCTCTTGTTGCCACTTTTGGACAAGAAAGATCCGGGGTAGATAAAGATCAACAAACCTCCAGTCAATGCCATAAGGCAAGCATCAAAAATATATAAGAGATACTCCCTGCGCATGATGAAGCCATTGTTGCCCTCAACGAATTCCACGACTCGAAAGACAGACCGGACTAATATAAGCAAACAGGCCGCATAAAGTGCCCACATGATAGCTTCCCATGCCATTCGAGTCGTGGGCCTATGCGACTGCTCACTGGAGATATGACTGTATCGCGGTTGCTTCTTGACGACCCGCCAGTGGAACACAGCGGAAACAATAACGAAAAAACCGAAGAAGAGAAGCTGAACAACCAAGCCACCAACTACAATGTTGGCACCCGTGTCCATCGCAGATAAAGTTCCAGCAGCCATATAACCGCCGCCTATGGGCAATCAGTACCTCAATATAGTCAAGATCAATAAGCCATTATTTTATCATACCTCCACATTGCAAAAGGAATGAAATTACATCCCCAACCACGAATAATTTGGTGAGAAACCGGACTGGAACGATCGATTTGTCTTCTGCATTGAGTTTAATCACAACACGACCGAGGGTCATGTAGACAGAAGCAGCAAAGAGCGGGGGTGCGACCAGGATCAACATTGTTTGAACGATATATGGACCAAGTGCAGTCGTATTGAAGTGTGAGAAGATGCGAGCGATATAACCGGCGCATTCAACTGTAAAGCACACGTGTTAGACAATCGTTTCTCGAGTACGGGCCAGATGCTTTTGATCTCACATAGTAATCCAACAATGAAAGGGATGAAAAAGTAGGTGCGATTTCGGACCAGCCGAATCAAATAGAAAATAGAAAGAATAAGAAAAATTCCAGCAAAGACTGCTGCTGCAGAGATGGACGGTGTATACCGATAAAGAGCGTAATCAACCCCGCCATCATTAGAGGTAGCAGACATTTTAAACGTTTTGGAGGCGTTGGAAGAGAGTGAAGCTGTAAGTATAAGTTTGACTTATTGGATCGAACACTTTAATTATGTACTCCTTACATTTTGGACAGCGACGGAGATGGACCGCATAAATTCAAATTTTCATTTTACTCCAACGTTGGGACATGAAGAAAATACGGGAATGCGAAGATACGTGGATACGAGAATGCGAGAATACGAGAATACGAGAGTGCGAGAGTGCGAGCGCCAAGAAACCTTATTTGGCAAAGGCAGATCGGGGACACCACAGATCTTACGATTTATTTTGCCACCTAAAAATCTTGGGAATCGTTTTCAAGTTTAACCAGATAAGGTTCACAGCGTCTTCATCAATGTATGTGTAGTCTCACCGCCTTTGCCTTCTAGCTTTCTTCTTAAATAGATTGTAGCTTCTTCTCTTTTTCCTTCTTCATAGCTTCAATCTATCGCTTTCTTCTCTTTGTTTCTTTCGTATCTTTAGTATCTTTAGTATCCAATGAATGAATGGTCGGAAGGCAGGTACTTTCATTCCTCCGCACAAGACCTCAGGCCAGCATTCCTAACATTACGAAAAACTACTAACTCGGTACTTCCCTGTTCTGGTCTTCAATTTCTGAGACCATTCTTCTGAGATGATAGTAGACATAGACATATGAATGAACCGAGTCGATTTTCCTGGACGACTATGAAAAGCTCCTGAAGCTAAGTGCCATGTTTGAAGTGGTTTTGATGCACTCAAATGGCAGCGACCCGCCAACCAACGGGTCAGAAAACCAGTTGGAAATCTGGCAGATCAAAGAACGGTACAGGGCTCTTGCACAGTTTCAATCTACCCTAGGATCATTCTCCGAGCGTGCTTGCCCTGTGTATAATGGGTGTAAAATATCTCGATTTTTCGATCCGTCCTACTGCCAGTCTAAGGGTGTGAATTATGACCACTTCGCATCGCTGGACGTGCGGGACCATGAACAAAAATTGCTCGATTCACTGCAGCTAGATTTGAACCAAAACCCCAAGCTTCTATTGATGTCTAGTGGCATGGCCGCATTCACCGTCATCCAGCAGTACATAGCCTAGCAGCTCAAACATGGCGATGTCGTGGCAATTTCTCCTTAAATCTACTTGAAATCGTTTCGTCATTTCACATCCAGAATTATTTGTCTGTGGTGACCGTAGAGTTTTGATCCACAAAGTTTGATTGAGACTACAGAGAGAAAAAATGCCCGTGCTATTTTTCTCGACCCAATGTGCAATGCAGTGGGTCTAGAAACGTTTGACGTACGCAGGTTTGCCCACCTGGTGGCTAACAGAGAAGGCTAGCTAGACCGTCTGGTCGTGGTTGATGGAATGTTGGTGTCTGCTGGACGCAGTTTTACGACTGGATTAAAGGGCCTCGCTGCCCTAAAGTGCTCTACTACGAGATTGCCCATCAATACATCTAGTTGGACCTGGACCTCGTCATGATTGGATATGTTGTAATGCCGGGAGACCTGATATCAACGATACAGTTGATTCGACAAATTACAGGAACTGTCACGTACACTGGAAATGCCAGTCTCCTTCCGTTGACCAGACTTTTTTAAAATTTCCGATTGTCTCGACTAAAAGAGTGCTGTGGGAGAAGTAGGCTATCTAGACTACAAACAGTTTCGACTTTGAGAAGAGAAAAACCTGACGACTTCAAAAGCAACGCTTTACCCTTACTGTGGAAGAGATCTGGATTGGCCCGTGACTTCTCCGAAGTCAGGGATGGCCTTCAATACAACACTCTCCTGCAAGCCCCGATGGTGGTCAAGGCTTTCATTATGAACAGATTCGACATCAAACAGCGTGACCACCTGCAATATTCTAGCCAAGAAGTTTTTTGAAACGTGTTCAACATCCGAACATTTACCGAGAAGGATATCCTCGGCGAGCCTACAGCCGACCCTCAATATCGATAGAAGAGATGAAAGCAATAATTTGAAGCTATGGAGAAGGAAGAAAATAAGAAACTACAAGCTATCTAGAAAGTGCAGGGCATTCGGGTGAAAGACAGGGCGGCAAGGACGACCTAACGGATCAAAAAAGCTCAAAAAAACATACAACAGCAGGGATTCGCTGGTGGTCACCCACCCAACTACTAACCTGCCGGCGTGTGGCTTAAGTACGGCTGAGCGGACGGGAAGCCCTGTTCTCCACACCCTATGGTCGTATGTATTTGGGTTTTCAATTCAACGGAGTATATTGAGTGGAAAGGCCATAAATGTGGACAATAGGCCTCACTTCTGTCTTTCAAGAGGATTTGTCCCGCTGTTCTTTCTCACCCATAAGCATAAGTTGACGGGTCATTCATCAGGGAGTGTCAATGCCATTCAAAATCACAGGGCCCTCCTGGGGACCGTGCCGTTGTGGCTATAGTTTCTAGTGCTTGTGAACGGAAAGAGGTATGCTCATGTGTTTATAGATCTCTGTCTCCCAGATAGCTACATCCATCAAATTCCTTCGCTCTTCCTCCGAGTTACGACGCCCTCAGGTCATGATATCTTGTCTCTGAGATGTATCCCATGTTATTATTGAGATATCAATAACCGTCAACCTTTTTTCTTGGGAGGAGAGAGTTCTTGAAATCATCATTATTTTTGATCGTGTATCCAGACGCGATAAATTCTCATATTTTTATTGATCCGCATAATCTTATTTTTTCATTCATAACCTAATTCAACCATCCCTGCGATCATGTCCGATCAGGGACTACAAGTAGTTGGCCTGTACAACGACAACGATGACTGGAGTGGAATAACTTACAAGAAGGAAGAAACGGAGGCAAATGGTCTACCGACAGAATCAGTCACCTTCTGCTAGATGGAGTTAGTCCTTGAGAAGACGCATGAAAGGCAAGTACCATATAGCATCCTCAATGTCTTGAACCGGAGTCTCTGATCGATACTAACTTGACATGGCTAAATAAAAGAGATTCCAAGACGTCTACCGGCGTGTGATTTTTGATGACGCCATCGGACCTCCTCCATACGAGGGCACCTTCTTTATTGAAACACATAACTTCATCCAAGCACCTATCGAAGTCCCTGGACGTACGCAAACGTGATCACGGTCAAGCATCTCAGGCCAGGAGAAGACAAGGATCGCAAGGGTGATATCTAGGGAGGTGCCCGATGGATACGTGGCCGGATCAAGAAGTCAAGGATAACCTGCTATTATACCGCTGGGAGGACTCGGGCAATCTTCGGAATTTTTACCCAGTTTACACTCTGCCTATTGTGCGATCACATTTATAGCTTTTCCACTCTATATAGGCTGTTGAATTAGAAACCCAAATACATACGACCATAGGGTGTGGAGAACAGGGCTTCCCGTCCGCTCAGCCGTACTTAAGCCACACGCCGGCAGGTTAGTAGTTGGGTGGGTGACCACCAGCGAATCCCTGCTGTTGTATGTTTTTTCCTTTTCCTTTTGCTTTTCACGTTTTGCCGGACACGTAGATGGTAGGTCTCGTGTCATGAATAGAAAATCACACAGTCGATCAGAATGAATTTTTTGGGGAACTCTACCGTCCAAAAGTTGCCGGCACTTGGTTCGTTTGTTAAAATTATGGGGGATGTTTAGAAACATGAGAGCGAAAGGCTCGGTGGCTAAACGCTGGAAACGATGGTGGTAAAGTGCAGTCAATGTCGCCGATTTTATGCGTCACATGCACGATACACGCGACATAAAGCAAGTCATAGAAATCGGAAAGTTGACGTCCATATGCGTCCCTCTTTCGGGTATCGTCGCGAGCCCAACAAAAGCCGTTTAGGGACTCGGAGTCGAAACAATTATGTCGAGAATCAGAAAATACAAATTTAATAGAGTATGTATTTCCAACGATTCTCGATACATTTTTTTTTCAGAATGGAATAATTCCTGTTTATCCGCGAATTATGCTATAAGCTTCTACAATACGAGATCTGATGGAAGGTACGCTTAAGGTTCGTCCATTTATTTTAACTATTAGTTGGGCCATTAGGGTTGGAATGACCACTCTTCACTTTAAGGTTGGATTTAGGAAGAGAGGGGTTAGTAAGCATAGTCTACCTCGAAATTCGTGACGACTCCCTAGAATTGATTGCAACTATGTTCTCAAGCTCGAGTCCCTCCTCTTGGAAGATAGAACAGGACTCTAGACTGCAAAGTGAATCTTATGGTGGAAATGTAACCGAGAAAGATAATGATTAACTAGAGGAAGATCATTGCTAGGTGATATCCTCAAATGGCCGTACATTACCTTCCTTACAATCTAACAAACTAGTGCCATTCCTAGTACCTACGTTAAAACAACCAAGGCATTCAAAATACCGACCAACTTCAATGTGGCCGAGTTTGACGAATTCACAAAGTGGCAAAATTTATTCGGTTTCTTGCGGCCCCGGGGCCGTCATTTATTCTAGACCAACCGCGGAACCACAGCCAAGCGAGGCAGTGCTGTCCGCCGAGCGGACCAAGTCTTCCAAGATCTTGGCGCCGAGTCATCACCGACCACAAATTCGGGTTCTCACGCAATGACAGTTCGTTCTCAGGAACGTGCTCGTTAATCTTCTTTTATTGGCCCCGGAAATTTTTTTTCGGTTCTATAGTCTCCGGATACTGAGCTCAATCCGCCCTTGGCATCCAGTCTCGGCGATAACTCTTTCCTACTTTCATAGGAGACATTCGATGTCATGCAATCTTCTCCACCAGTGAGTGTGAACAGCCAAGCGCACTATGCTGGAGGTAATTTTGTAATTGGATGAGCTTCTCATGATGTCCGGCCGAATGCCCAGATGATGGATCAGGCCAAGTACAGAACAGGCTTTCATCCCAGATGAGCGCTTGGCGATGGGCATGCTATTCCTTCTTCTTATAAAGAGAATATTGGTAGTTCTAAGAAATGTGTCTGAGCTTTCTTTTATCACCCAAGTTTTCAATCATCTCTTTTCTCCTCGCTTCCGCGAGGCAGCTGTTAACATGGTGCCAGCCGCTACCGCCAAGTACGATTGGATCCTTGCACTTACCTCGATCGCCTTCATCTTTAGTGCTTTCGGGAATGGAGCTAATGATGTCGCCAACTCATATGCAACTTCCGTCGCGGCTAGGACGCTGAACATGGCCACGGCCGGTGTCTTGGCAGCAATCACTGAGTTCGTGGGTGCTGTCGCGATGGGTTCCCGAGTCACCGATACTATCAAGAATGGAATCATCAGTATTGACCGATTCGAGGGAAAGCCTGGTGCACTCATGCTGGCCATGGGTTGTGCAGAGATTGGCAGCGCAACGTGGTTGATGTTTGCTACCAGCATGGGCTTCCCTGTGTCGACGACCCAGACCGTTGTTGGTGCTCTCATCGGTGTTGGCTTCGCATCTCAAGCCTCAATAAATTGGGACTGGGAGAAGGGTAGTGTGTCGCAGGTGGCCGCATCTTGGGGTATCGCTCCTCTCATTGCGGCCGCAATCTCCGCCATCATCTTCGGTACACTCAAGTATAGCGTCCTTGAGCGACGTGATTCGTTAAAATGGGCTATGCGTCTGATTCCTTTCTATTTGGCTATGACAGGTGCCATCTTGGCCCTTTTCATTGTCATTGAGGCGCCCACCGCCCCGTCACTGGAAGAGTTTGGCGCAGGCAAGGCGGCTGGAATCATCATCGGTGTCTTCTTTGGATGTCTCCTCATCGCCTATGTTTTCTTCATCCCATATTTCAATCGCCGTCTTGTCAAGAATGACACACGCGTCAAGTTCTACCATGTTCCCTTGGGTCCTCTTCTCATGAGGGAAAACCCACCTCTCTATTTCCCCAGCAAGGGCGACTCGGTCGTGATCAACTATTATGAAGACTCACATGGCGAGGTGCTGGCAGGACAGAATGACTTCTCTAAACAAGAGCCAACTACGAACGCCGATTCGGTTCTGCCATCCCCCGAAATAACCGCAAAATCTCATTCCGAGCGACCGGACGATGACGAAGAGAAGAAACTAGACACTGCGCCTATCCCGGAGATGAAGCCACGGAAAAGGCATATCGAGCCAACAGAGCGATTCATCGACCCTGTTCGCGACCTTTCTTGGATCAATCCGCAAAAATGGTGGGGTTATACCAAGTGGTTACTTTTGCAAGGCGTGACAAGAGATGTTGTCACCCATGACTCGCCTGCCCTCCGCGCTATCCATGCCCGCGCCCAACGATACGACGACCGCGTGGAGCACCTTTGGACATACTGTCAAGTTGTCTCCGCTATGATGATGTCCATCGCCCATGGTTCAAACGATGTCGCCAACGCCGTTGGCCCCTGGGCCGCCGTATACAGCACATTCCACGCCGGTGTCGTCGAGACAGAAGCACCGACCCCAGTCTGGTTCGTTGTTGTCGCTGGCTTACTCCTTGGCATCGGGTTCTGGTTCTATGGATATCACATCGTGCGCGCTCTTGGAAACAAGATTACTCAGATGTCGCCGACACGTGGGTTCAGTGTCGAGCTTGGTGCGGCTATCACTGTTCTTTTGGCTTCGCGTCTTGGATTGCCTGTCTCCACGACGCAATGTCTTACTGGAGCCTCTATGGGCGTGGCGCTGATGAATTATGACTTGGGGGCCGTCAACTGGAGACAGTTGGGTTGGATATTCGGTGGCTGGGTCCTGACTCTCCCGTGTGCGGGACTGGTCGCTGGATTGATCTGTCTGATGGCATTGAACGCGCCTCATCTGTAATATGCCGCCCGTTGTGCCATGTTCATTCTTGTATATTCGCACTCTTGTATAGTTATATTAGATAGCATTCTTTAGCATTCAAAGGAAGATTGTACGATGCCTCTATGAGCAGTGTTTATTATTAAAAGCAGGGGTGGTATTTGTTTTGGTGTGGAATAACTCGCGTATGAATCCAGCGTTGTTACTCGTCTTGGCACTAATACCGTCTGGGTATCTCTTGAGCCCTCCTGCATATTATGCGAAATCCTGATGTGTCTAGTCGCCTAAAATTCCCTTCACAGTGATCATAACTGCATTTTCCATTTTCGGCCCCAGTGCCAAGAAATCAGAGAGCTTCTGAAACACCGGAGTAGAGCGCGGGTGCTTATTTCGCTTATTTCGGTTACTGGTCAGGACACCTCGGATTCATGCAAGTCTAAAATAGGTATTCAAGGTGCGGGGCAAAGAGGGTTGCATTTCTGCACAAAGCAAACGTCGACTAGTGGAAGCTACTTCGGGCGAGGAAACGACAGGATTGGATCCTGTGAGAAACTAATCCCAAGAGGCCTGTTCCTGCGCCACCCTTTGCAACATAATTCTTACCAGGCAGTCGAGTCATGACTGGGCCTAGTTCACCTATCGTCCTAATATGAATCAGGGGCCTTTGTGATAAAAATGAATAAGGCAAGCTATGAAGCTACATAGAGCGGCCCCGCTTCTCCACTGGGAAGTAGTACATAGCTGATGGCAACCCCGCCCCGCAAGCGAGTATGAAGAATAGGAAATCCAAGTGATTAAACGATTTGAAAATTATGCTTAGTATCAGGATCAGCATTTTTTCTTGGTTGTGCATCTCAGCAGCCACAAGTCTAGTCTAATTAATTAACAATTCTCTTGGACTAGCAACATCTTCCTCTCACGTAAGACGTTGGACCCTCGGATGTAGGTGATCAGCCCCTCAGCTCCGGGTGTAAGTGGATATTACCACCTTCTACTGCATGAAACCCATTATTACGAGATTGAGTTTCTCAAATCAAATGCCAAGACTAACTTCAACTTGCAGGGGCATCCCCGGAGACATTTAAAATGAAGGGATTTGGCACGTTAAAGGAGCACATCATTCAAAGTTCCAACAAAGCGAGAACAACCTACTGGGCTTCTTCCTAAAAATCATATTAGAGATATCAATTGCTTTTATTATTGACCAAGCATCATCATGCTGGCCAAATCACTTGCCACGGCTGTGTTGACCCTTGGTCTCTCAGCCCAGGCCACTCAGCTTTTTAGCAACACTGGAACAACCTCAGGCTGGGATTCCACAAACAAGGAGCATAAGGGAACTGTGCAACAGGTCACCAACATTGTCTATGAAGGGACCACTGCCCTGAAAATGACCCAGATCTACGACTCGAGTTACACCGGACGATACCATTCCGAGGTCGTCAAGAACAACGTGTACAAGCGCGGAGACACTGGATTCTACGGATTTGCCTTCCGTCTACAAGAAGACTGGCAATTTTCTCCGGCGCAAACTTACAACATCGCTCAATTCATTGCCGATTTCTCGGACACCGGTTGCGATGATTTCATGCCCTCAAGCATGGTCTGGTTAGAAGGCAACCAGCTTTACTCCCGTGTCAAACAGGGCACCATCTGCGCCCAAAAGACACAAACCTTCTCGAACCTTGCTACGGTCACCCCAGGCGCTTGGCATCGAGTTGAAATCCAGGCTAATTGGCAGACCGATGGCACCGGATACTACAAGTTGTGGTTTGATGGTACTAAGGTTTTGGAGGAATACAATATCGACACTACCATCGAGGATGATCGCTATTTCCAGTTCCGCGTTGGACTCTACGCGAATGGGTGGCACGACGATAAGGAGATGAAGGGAACTCAGGGAACTCGCCAGGTGTGGTATGATCAGATCGCGGCTGGCTCCACCTTTGCCGATGCCAACCCTTCGGGGTGGTGAGCGTCGAAAATGCAGTTAATAAGATGGTGCGCCGAGCGCGCCCCGTGCGATTATAGTATGCCTTGATGGTATTAAGCATTTTATGGAACTATATGCGTTTTCGTGACGTGATCATACTTGGCTAGTGTGTCCCCTATATAAATTGTCCATCTAGGGATTATATGATAACAGAGTCTAATGCCCGTGATTTGTTGACCACCTTCGTATTTCGAACAGAAGATAAAGGGTATCGGCCGCTACGATTAGTGAAGAACGCACGGATAAAAAGCGTGTGATGGTATACCATTACCGAGGGAATACTACAGTAGGTACAGTTCTAAGAATCTCAGAACCGTCTAGCGGTTCTGGTTCTGCGCGGTTCCATGCCGAGGCCTGGTGGCATAGTACTAATTGAATCAATCTTGCTTTAGCCCTTCGCATCTAGCGACAGACAGACCTAAATAATTTTGGTGCATATCATATTTAGACCGCGTATTATACAAGATCGTTCGGAAAAATCAGACGTAAGCATTTTTAACGTTTATCTACAGTGGTTTGACGGCTTTGACCGTGCATTGTATAGCAAAAAAAGCTGGATACATTCTACAATTATTACTTTTAATCCGCTCGGAGCGCATGAAGAGATATTGTCCTGAATCTAAGACTTTGAAATATAATGCATCTATTTACCTTGCAGTAACTAGAGCTCTGCCTCTCTCAATTTAGCCACAGCGAGCGTAACTTCATCAAGAATTTTGAAGTCTCTGAAGTGGGCTACAATAATCACCTCGTTTTTCATAGCGCAGGTAACATAAACAACCACACTATCACTCTAAACTATATTGTTAGTATATTATAGTATAGAAGAAACCACAAGATTGGGTTAATACTGAACATGCAGATATAGTGGTTTCAGTATGGTGGATGCAAGTGTAATGGGAATTTCCCATCTTGAATATCCCACTGCCCTTATAAGTAGCGCTAGGGTTCTTAAGAGCTCTTCTAAGACCATTGCAGCTATATTGGGTATGCTATTTTCTCTAATTAGCTAAAGTGTATTAAATAATGAGTGATACAGATAATCGGAGTAACATACTTCACCAGCAGGTGCATGAGCTATCATAGCCTCTTCACCACCCTCTTCGCCAGCACTAAAGACGGAGGCTTGTTCCACGGCGGCATTAGAAATCAATCTAGAAGCGCAGGACTTAATAGTAAGACTTAATGCTTAATACATAGGGAAAGCGATACTCTTGCGCCAAATAATCTATAGCTAATGTTAGAGGTTTCAGAGGGGCTATTCATCTCGTATAACTCACTATGATAGTCCATTACGAATAATTTAGTTTAGCTATTGAATAAGCTGACAGAATATATTGATCCGTAAAACTTGTCTAGTTCACCTAAGTCCCTTTATACCCGAGGGAATGCTATAGTAGATCAACTACAGGATCTTTACAGGTCAACCCGACGGCATACAGTCTGGGATTTAATCTTACGGAAGAGAAAAATCGCCGATCCTTTTATTTACGTGCATGTGCTGGATACGTAGCCCTATATTTAGCGCCAAATTAAAAGATATCAAGTAGCAGTGTAGATCAGATTACGATATTAAATTATGGTGTATGTACACTCCCTGATTATAAGATTGGTGAGCCGTTTGATGGCTTCGTGGAGAACTCTGGCGGAAATTCTGAATAACAAGTTTTCTTGCAGAGCTTCTCCATTTCCTTGATGTCATCTTGCAGTATTAGTGATGTGTCGATCGATATCTTGCATTCTTTGATGATCCCGCTAGCTCGTCAATATTTCTGAGATCGGTGAGATCAATCGATCCTTGGAAGAGCGGTGAAGATCTGTAAGCTAACAGTCCCGTGTCTTGGCTCTTTTGCTAGAATCTTTTGCTAGAAATCTTATAAACAGACTCAGGCGCATATTATGAAGTGAACCTCTTTTACAAGCCTGCAATGTTCCTCGCTGCTCATTGTCGTGTTATATGTTTTCAATAATGCGTCAGTCAGAATGAAAGTAGCATAACATTTGTGAAAATAGCTTAGTTGAATGCCATACAAAATCTCCATGCATCGTGACCTGTCAGAGATGAGATCATGACGTATAGTCAACCATAAGCTAATACCAAGATCAAATAAGGATGTGTCATCACTCGAAGTTTTGAGCTCTGAGATTGTGCCGCGTTTGCCTGAAGCTGGAGCACTTTAGTAGCCAACATATAGGAAAAATTACTGTTGAACAGATAATGTAGATATTGAAATGGGGATGGCTCGATGGGTGCCTGGCAATGCAGACCGGGCGCCAATAACACACAACATACATATTCCCAAGGACTCAGGAAGGCGTAGTAGACATACTCTATAGGTATATATCGCTTTCTTCTTGAAACTGTATCATGAAGTAAAGAAACCAAAAAGTGCAGTCATATTTCGAATAGTTCTGCCTCCGTGTGTGTTCATATAAGATAAAAGAATGTAGAAAGCCCCGAGGCATGTAAGACATGTATATGTCGGTACGAATACCGTGGTGGACCGGAGATATAATTATCCTTCGTGTTTATTACTTATGTAATGTAGAATCCCCCTACAAATCGCCAACATGGAGACTTCAGGCTTTTCCCCCTACCAAATCTGCAGGGAACTTAACCTGGTGTTAGGACGCGGACCAACTGCTTTGTGTGCGCTGATCAGTTGGCCGGAAACACCCACGGTCATCATCTATGATTAGGTCTCGAACCAAGTATCCGGCGTTGACTAAGAGTGAGTATTGCTTAGCCTGATTGGCTTTGCGATTTGGCTTTCTTGAGTAGATTGTAGCTCTAGAAATCTCACCTTCGTCACTTAATCTATCCCTTGCCCTCTCCTTTTCTATCTCTCGTTTCTTCACGTATGGTTGAATATCCTCGAATCGATTAAACGGGAGCTTTCAAGTTGATAATTGCGTGTTCTCCATCGCTCCAACGGTCGACTGTACGTACCGACGCCTCCTGGGAAGCTGTACATGGGCATTGGTGTTTCGTATGGAAACGATCTGTAAGAAATTCGCACGCTGCTTATATGGGTTTGAGATTTAATCATTACCTTTATATTAACAATAGAACTCGGATGAATAGTTTACTTCAAAGACTTGCCATCTCATTCGGTGGGCTGTTATTTACATTGGCTTCTCGAGTAATAGTTCAGAAACCAGCGTCAGGACGTGTCCTCATTAATTTCTCTCAAATCAATAAATGGCCCTGGTGGGCTTCGAAATTTTTAAAGTTATTCCCGACCTTGCAAGGTCTATATCAATTAATTCAATTAAACATACATTTCTGCAACAATTCCATATGTTGCTGGAATGCAGGCTGACCAAAATATATTTCAGCGCCAGTATGTACATTCAATGTTCGTATGCTATCTTCTCAAGGCTTATGGAAACTGTCATAGCTCCATGGATCTTGCAATAGACCACCGATTGACACGATACGCATGATTCAATTGTCGGTACTTAGAGATTGTCGGCCTCGACATTGAAATGTGGGCGGTGGGTTGCCCCAAACGCACGGTCCAACAAGTGACATCTCCACACTTCCACCAATTGGCTCCGAAAGACAACTCTCGGAACAACATTCAATTGAAGCTAACTGCCTGTGGCTCACGGCTTTTGTCCTAGTGATGAAAGTTTTTGATACCAAAAGGACTGTCTGCCTCGCTTCAGTCCCGAGGTCCGAATATGGCTCTTTAAAGGCCCTTTTGTCGGGCCAAAGCGCCGAACCCGCTCGGAGCATCCCTACACACGTAGCCCGGAGAGAACGGGTTGAAGTTCAGGAATCGGTCTTACGATGTTGCCGACCGCTATTTTCTCGACAAATCACCCAGTCCCTTGCGATATGTGCTTTCTTGTTCAAACAAACTCGATACTTAATTGTGTTCAGCCCTTGATCTCTCCCATACGCCCAGAACACATGACGGGCCAGGCCACATTGCTATCTCTTAGGATTTCACGATTATGTTTTCCTCTTGTCGGAAGCGACCGATCCGATGAATTGTAGCACATGAGCACCTTCCAATGAGACGTAGACCCACACGGGAATCGGCAACCGGGCGGAGCTTCTAGAACGGGACAAGCATCAGCCACCATGTACGTCGGCGATTGACCAGTGATTGTCAACATCGATATAGCCGTTAGGCGTCTGTACCGGACGCACGTGCGTGAAACAAGTCAATCGGGTTTAGATAAATCCACAATAATCTTACGGCATCATGGAAATGCGATGAGCCGAGTCAACCGCCTTTCCACTTGCGACCAATCGGCATTTTAAGCGACATTCCCACCGAGACCCAGACCCATATAGCGGCGTTGGCATACCGGGTGAAATGCTTGATCACTTGGAGAAAGCTTGGTTGGTGTCGGTCGTAGGATTTCTAACCCGGTGTTCCCAGGGACCCACCTGGCCAGCCAGTCAAGTGGCTCGAGTGCACAACGTGGCCCGGCGTGGGACGGCCCACATCGATGCGCCACCAATTGTATGCTCTGTATCGAAAGTGCCCCAATTTCAATCGGTGCCCCTTGCAGGCACGAGCCCTTCGATCAGCGGCCAGTCAACTGTACGACGAACGCGGCGTGCTGCACGAGGTGCCCTTCATGGTGGAGAAAGTAAGAAAACTACTGCACTGTACTGTAGATAGGAAGACCCCGTTGGAGTAATCGAGGACTGTGCGGTTTCCCGGTCATCTTCGCATGGAGTATAAGACGGTGGGCAATGCCCGAGGATCATCTCTTCTTGTTCTTGATCCATCCCGGTGCTAGACAAGCAAAAGAGACGCCATGTTTACGAAACAGACTCTCGCCGCCTTCATTGGCGCCCTGTCTCTGGCTTCTGCCAAAACCATCCCCGCCTCTGCTTCCATGCCCAGTTTGGCGGAGATTGAGAAGGCTGCCGCAACCGCGTTGCCTTATTCTCCCGTTTCCAACGTGAAGGGCCTGGCCTTTGATCGATTCCACCAGATCTGGTTCGAGAACCAGGTGAGTAAATACAATCAATTTGCGTGTGGAGTTCTCTAATCTGTGGAAAAGGACTACAAAACCGCTGCCGATGACAAGAACTTTGAAAAGATTGCGAAGGAGGGTATTCTCCTGACCAACTACTTTGCCACCACCCACCCTTCGCAGCCTAACTATGTTGCGTCTGCTAGTGGTGACAACTTTGGTATGGACAACGACGATTTCAAACAAATCCCGGCCAATGTTTCTACCATCGCCGATCTGTTCGATACCAAGAACATTGCGTGGGGCCAGTACCAGCAAGCTCTCCCATACGCTGGCTACCAGGTTTGTTTTGCCCCGTGGTTTGCAGAGACACAAGTCCCCTTCGGAGCGTAACTAATGTTTCTGTAGGGTTACAACTTCTCCAACCAGGAGACTTACGCGAACAACTACATGCGCAAGCACGACCCTCTCATCATTTTCGAATCCGTCACCAACGATGCCGTCCGTCCTCGCCAGATCAAGAACTTCACTTCGTTCTACGATGACCTGAAGCACGAGCGCCTGCCGCAGTACTCCTTCATCACCCCTAGTATGTTATCCGAAAAGTCATTCTGAGATCCAAATTAACAATTGAAGACATGACCAACGATTGCCACGATACCAATATCACCGCCGGTGGCGATTTCCTCGCAGATTTCATTCCTTCCCTCTTGGAAAACGAGTACTTCACCAAGGACACTCTTGTCTTGGTTACCTTCGATGAGACCGGCAACTACACCGAGTCCAACCGTGTCTTCAGCATTCTTCTTGGTGGTGCCATTCCCGAACATCTCAAGGGAACCACTGACGACACTTTTTACACTCATTACTCCGTCATTGCCTCCCTTAGCGCCAACTGGGGTCTTCCCTCCCTCGGCCGCTGGGACTGCGGTGCCAACATCCTGAAGCTCGTTGCTGAGAAGACTGGATTCGTCAACTGGGAGGTCGACCTTACCGCCGTTCCCAACCTGCTCAATGAGACCTACCCCGGTCCCTTGTCGGAAAACGACTACTCCGACTACGAGCCCTTCTGGCCTATCCCTGCTACCGAGGAGCAGTGCACTGCTGGTCATGGCGTTGTCGATGTTGTCAAGGAGACCTACGACCGCCGCATGCCGTCCTACAACTACATCAGCCCCGTTCCCTATGATATTCGCAGTGGCTACAACACTGGCATCAAGTACTGGCGTACTGTAAGTTCCCCTTTCCAGTTCACATGACTGCAACAACCCTCGCGATAAATAGATTTGCTGACCAATTCTTCAGAAGGACGGCAAGAAGGAGATGGGTATTACTAACTAGATGTTACGAGTATTTAATTTGGAGTGACCGTCTAAGCTGCAAATTGCCATGATGCACGAGAAATAATGAACAACACATTTGGTTGCTCTCGAGGCAGAGGCACCAAGGCAACTTGTAAATAGCAGTTTCGTGTAAAATACATGCCAAGAATTTTGGTGGTCTTACGTCTCCTCTGTAGAATACGTCATGGTAAGAAATATTACGGTTTGAACCGGGTTATATTTCATTTCAATTGACCTGTCGGTCGTTCTTGCCCCATGTGGCGTTCACTCCATCTCGCCGGGTGGGCCGAAGCACTGGTGGCCTGCTGAAAGGGTCAAGGAGCGATGGAGCCAAAAGATCACTCACCATGAACCCCAGTCTGACCCGAGGATTTTAAGACCATCCATGTTAGGTCTCTCAGATCCCGACTCAAAAAAATCGAATCTTTCCTAAGTCTGATCCCAGCGCGTGGATTGCTATGAAGACCCCGACACCGGAAAGGGGGTGATCCATCTTCATAGAGGAGCTCATGTAATTGTCTGCCAATACACACTGCCCGTTGACAGTGCGGTGGCCATAGGTAGTCATCACTGTCCACGTCACCTTGGGTCTTCTGAAAGGACGGGTGAGATCACGCCAGCTAAGGTTATGCCGCGTGTGTTAATGAACTGTGCATATGCCCGCCTCTCACAGACTCACTCTGTAATAGTGCCTGGCTTCCGCTGATCCTGACACGCCCCATACGATCATCCCAGTGGTCATCGGCTGCAAAGAAGGTGGCAGAGAGATCATCTAAATGATGAAGTCCGTTGGTCTTGAGACCAAGTATCAAAGTTAAGCAATCAGGAGGCATCGAAGCTGTAAGGTTGCGCGCAGCCTGGGTACTTCAGGCGGAGTCATGGCTGTCCCAAAGTTGCTGTAGCTCGACGCCTAAGGATTTGACTGGCCATCCAGTTCGCCGGCGGCAGGAATCCAGCAACCCCAATATCGCGTCACGGGCTTGGGTCTGTTGGGTGAATATTCCAGCTACCGTCTTGTTAGCCAAGTCCACAAGAATGAGAGACGCTCACATGCCAATGAACAATGCTTGCGATGACATCAAACTAGATGCAGTATCTTTCAAGGTCATGGCGATACCACAGATATCTTCCACGCAATGTTTGATCACATTTTGTCGATCCATATATTGATCCAGTCCACCCAGGTTAGGCTCATTGGCTATAAGCAACATCCTGGAGACACTAAAAAACTGAATCGCAACGGCTTTGTTTTGTGAGTCTGTGGCTATTCCCGAAAGTGAGCTTGATATCAATTACGTACCAAAGGCAGGTGGACGGATCCAGACAGGTTGAAAAGATGTCGTGTCTTTCTTGGGACCCAGGGGTAATGGTGAGAACTCAAGGCTCAGATGTCGTTTCCAGTCATCCAGCATAATGCGAAGGTTCATTGCTCCTTCAATACGATGTTGGATATTGTCCATGGCCGTAGACTCTGCGCAGTAGGTGACCACTTTAGCGGTAATGTAGATTGCCCTGGATGCTAGCTCATATGGTGACAGCACAGAGAGTGGCTTTTGCGGAACCCAGAAAGTAAGTGTCTTGCGTTTCTCTCTGAAAGCGGCCCATATGTCCTGGCATAACCATGCCCACCAAACAGCAGAATGCAATCCGCCAGACTCTCCGTGAATTACTTGAGATCTCTGGATCAAGAAGACTCCTTCTAGGTGTCTTTCCCAGTCATTTGTAGAGTTGTCCAGCATCTCGTAAGCAGAAATGATGAGAGTTGTTGCGAGCAGTTCAAGGCTTGTCTTGTAGCTAGAATATTGCATCGCTCTTTGCACATAGTGAAGTGTCTGGTAGTAGTATTGAAGAGCTGACTGCTCCTTATTAGGCATTTCTTCGGTATCCAGACGTGGATTTAATGCCAGATGCCGAAATGCGAGCGCGAGGATGGCATTCATGAGTCCCGCATTGCGTAACTGTCGCCCATCTAGTCAGTCTATTACAATATTCCAGCGCCAAGAGACATTGCCGCTTACAGCAAGGTGAGATACAAGCGTGGAGAATTGGCTCATTGGGTCGAAGAGGTCGATCTGCCGAGAGCATTAGTTAGATGCCCAGTTCTGGAAAAGCCAGACCGGATTGAAGACATGCCCATGGGCCCACTTGGTACACAAAATGCTCAAATAAAGTCTGTTCAGCTGGTAGGAGTTCAATAGGTCCTTGAGCTTGCCAGAATTGCACTTCTCTCAAACTATGACCACCCGGAACGCCGCATTCCGCTGCTTCCTGGCTCACACTAGTACCAGGGTGAGGACTATCTAGTACCTGGGTCGCGCGTTGCAGTGAACTAGGTTCGGTCTCATTACTTGTACCGGAATCATCAAGAGCGAGAATTTGAGTAGCATAGGTGTTAGGAACAGTGTCAGAGACAGTCTGTAGTTGCGGGCTGTCTCTGGCGGCATCACTTGCCAGTAGCCCAAACCATTGGGCCGCTGCAAATGAAGCATTTGATGGCGACAGATAATTATTCTGGGGTGCGATGGGACTTTGATTTGGAGCTATGTCGGAGTCTGCCAAATGAGCAGACGGAGATGGACTCAACTCAGGCTCAAAGCTGGCCCTATGCAGATCATTACCCTCAGGGTTATCACGTTGCGCATGCTTTGTGAGGTATCCGTTCAATGAGTTCTGGTTAGCTTGTTGCGGAGACAATGTCTCCGGTATGACTGGTCGGGCGACATCATTGATACCCGAATATTGGGGGGAGCTGCGACGGGCCGAAGCTGCATATTCGCAGAGCTTGTCATTTTTGGCACAAGGGCCGCAGATCGGTTTAATCTCGTCGCACTTGAGATGTCGCCTCCTGCAAGTTATGCTGTATTGTACGCGTCAAGGGAGGTACAACACTCGACGTAAGGGTCACTTACCATCCGCTCGTCGTGCGCAGGCCTCGGCCCCGGGACCTCCGAATGCGTCGACGTTGGGAGGGCATACGTGTAACCATTGATTCAGTGCCGTCAGACCATGTACTGCATGTTCTGTCGGGGTTCAAGGTCGAATAATTCATGCTCCACCATGACGTGGCTGCATTCCTATGTTGACACCGTCTCGGGGGACTCGAGATCCTTGGCATTGCGGGGATCACATGATTTCCCCGCGTTTAACCCCCTGCCCGTATACAATGTATACCTCGAGGGCTTCGGATGGATTCCGTGATGGAAGGTCTGATGCTATGCCGTCTCGGTGGTCTTATCCCGATGGGAACGCGGGGGAAGGTGTATACCCCGGAATTTATCCTCCTTGGTGGAAATTCTGATGACACATATAATAACAAAAACCCTTAATTTGGGCACGGTAACTGAACAAAATATATTTCTCGGAAATATTTCAAAGAAATGATGCCAAAGGTTTCCAGGCCGTACTGGGGCCTTCGAGGAGGATGGCTAACATTCTGGATTACGACGGCGTGTGGTGCGGACATGACACTCCTTGGCTATGACCAGGTACAGCAAGATACCAAAACACCCATGTCCTTGGGTCAATTCATATATGTAGATGAGGTACTGACTCGTCAACTACGTCCGTCTAGGGAGTTTTCAGCGGGGTTGTTATATCGCAGGACTTCCTTCGGACGCACAATCTTGAAAGCCCGTCTAAGACAACGTTACTCGGCACCGTCACTGCAATTTATGATATTGGTTGCTTTCTTGGATCAATCCTCGCGTACTGGCTTGGAGAGCGACTTGGTCGCAAAAACACGATCCTGTTGGGAAGCACAGTGATGTCCATTGGTGCTATCCTCCAAGTTTCCTCATACAGCGTGGGTCAGATGATGGCGGGTCGGGTCATTGGTGGAATCGGTAACGGTAAACACAATCTCCGTTACCAGAGGGAACGATGACTGAAACTTGACTATGATACAGGGCTTAACACATCAACAGCTCCTATCTGGCAAGTTGAGACATCCAAAATGCACCTGCGAGGGAAGTTGGTTATTCTTGAGAATGTTCTCGTTCTTGTTGGATTTTCTCTCGCGAATTGGCTTAACTACGGTCTTTCGTTTGTGAATGGACCTGTTTCGTGGAGGTTTCCCTGGCATTCCAATTCATTTTCATTTTCATCTTGTTCTTCACTACGCCATGGCTTCCTGAGTCTCCGAGGTATGCTATAAATGCCTCCTACCTATTGAATTACTCTAACAAGTGTTGCGCAGATGGCTTATGACTCATGGAAGGGAAGAAGAAGCAATTCAAATAATTGCAGACCTCGAAGACAAAGATCTTGATGATCCGTTCGTACAACTGCAACGAAGCGAGATGAAATACAGCATTGAGTACGAGCGAGCCAACAGTGTCAGCTTCAGCGATATCTTACACAGGAAGGCCAACGAGAAAGCCGGTACAAAGACTATTCGTCGTCTCCTTCTCGGCATGGGCGTTCAGGCAATGCAACAGTTCTCTGGAATCAATGTTGGTTCTTACTACCTACCGACAGTCTTGACCAAGTCTGTCGGATTGGGTGAGTCGCTTGCTAGACTCCTTACCGCTTGCAACAGTGTTCAATACTTGTTGTTCTCTCTCATCGGCATACCGAATGTGGAGAGGTGGGGTCGTCGGAAGCTTTTAATATTTGGTGCCACAGGACAGTGCGTGTGCTATATCTTTATAACGGCACTCATTCGGTATAATGAGATGCCAGAATATGCGCACCGTCATCAAGTAGCGTCTGCTTCTGTAGCATTCTTCTTCCTATATTATGTGTTCTTCGGAATTGGCATGCAGGGAGTGCCGTGGCGTGAGTTGAAAATCTCTTGTCTCAAAGGATCACGAACTGACGAGAATGGCTCAATTACTAGTCTACCCCACGGAAATAAACTCGCTAACCATGCGTACAAAGGGCGCCGCTTTGGGAGCGGCTACGAACTGGATCTTCAATTTCATGGTCGTTGAAGTTACACCGATTGGAATACAAAATCTCGGATGGCGCTTCTACATCATTTGGATTGTGCTCAATGCAGCCATGATACCTACAATTTACTTCTTCTACCCTGAGACGGCGGGTCGCTCTTTGGAGGACATGGATGACTACTTCCGGACTAACCCTGGACTCCTAGTGTTCAGAGACAAGGAGGCAATTTCCAGCAAACGCCCTGAGAAATATCAAGCGAAGGATCAGTATATCATTCACGCAAAAGAGGACGTTGCGATAGAGGAATCGCAGCATCTTGAGGTTGCAGTCTGACAAGGCGAGGTTGGCCGCGATGGCTGGTTTTTGGCGGTTTATGATTTTTTCAAAGCATTGCAAATCAAGGCAGACTCATCGAGCTTTCATTTCCTACCATTTTAAACCCTTTCATTATACGCATCGTATATCATGCGCTCATCTGTAGCCACTAAGCTACCGTATCACTACTACTACTACTAATCGTATAGGGATATTATACTTTAATTCTGATTACCAGTCCATTTTCCTAGATATACTTTCGTACCTAATCGATAGGCCTTCTATCCTGAGTTTTTGGAGGCGATAGAGTGTGTATTGCTAAGTAAGAGTACGAAAGGATATAGTATGGTCTACGGGCGGTATCCTATGGCAGATAAAGTAGGCTGAAATGACCGTACGTATCCAAATACAAGGCCCTGTTATCACAATAGTAAGCATTCACTCTATTCTTGGTTTCGTGTGTTGAGGCGAAGGGCAACAGAAGGGTCCTGTGCGGGTTCCACAAGATGAAGATGGCTGTGAAGCCCTCATTTCATTGGTGATTCCGAGTGGGGCTCGTGGGCCACAAATATACGAGAGGATCTGGCGAGTCCAGTGATTCCCTTTCGATAGACCTCGGACGCATCACATCGCAAAAACCTCCCGGCCTAGCGGTGCTTGGCACTCTTAGCCTCAGGGGCCAAAGCTTGCACCAGCCCCAATCTGACAATCATGCTCTCTCTGGACGGGACCCCCCGGAGGAAAATGAAGATTGTTGACTCCGGTTTGCATCGAATTACTCCATGAGCTGAAACGGCATTGTTTATATTTAGCAACAGACATCGTATTAGGTCAAGAGCAGGGCAGGCAACCCTTAGCTTCGCTGTTCATAACAGACTCTACGTGCTTTGACTTTGACCAACACCTGGCCTCCATACTGTAGTACTTTGGCTCCAAGCGAGTCAGGCAACTGAAGCTAAGAACTAGCTCTTTACCCACATTCTATACGAGCGGTGATCACTACTCCAGGCGCTGCAGATAACATCATTAAATTGCGAAAGTTTGATTCCTCTCGGGGCCGGTCCCGCACATTCTAGCCGCTCAGCGTGTGCCAGTGTGAAATGATTCTCCGCCAACAGCCTGAGCGTCCAGTAATCGACGCTAATTTTATTAATCATTTACGGTGACAGATGTTCCCAGTATTTTCTTCCTCTTCCCCGTCCCCTTCACTTCCTTCCCACCATCTGACCCCCTACATCGCCGCGTAGTGACATCACGTCATGACGCCATGGATGTCTTTGACCCTTGGAGTGTTGGCTTTGTCGCGTCAAGCACTGTGTGCCTCAGGTGACATTTGCTCTATATACAATGTCTTGGGTATATTGCCATCTTCCCAGCTTCCAGGACATTGATGCTGACTCGGTTATAGCTAGTATTATAGACGATCGACTGTACTTCATAGGTGGCAATTACAGCACAGCAACCTATGATGGACAAGTAATTAAACCTAGTAAGCGTTTATCGAAATTTCCACGGAGTACGTTTCGAATGCTAAAGCAAGGCGAACAGGTACGAATTTGTACTACCTCGACCTTGACAGCCAATTTCCAGTCGAAAGAACGATTCCAAAGTCCTCTCTGCATACCGACGCTGTCACCCCCAGATCCACTCCCGCGTATAACCTGGCAAAGGGTGGAAACGGAGATGGGGTAATTTGGACAATGAACGATACTATGTACTTCTTCGGAGGCGGTTTTGGAGATAGCGATTTTGCAAACGGCGTCGACACTATTTCATCATATAACGCTTCAACTGGAAGGTGGAAGAACGTTCAAGTAAATGGCGGAAACTTCAACTTTGGCAATCGTAGCGATACGCAATCCGCAAGCATTCCTGAAGCAGGTCTTGGGTTTGTTTATGGTGGACGCGAACCCTACATGCATGGCATGATCCGTTTTGATGCATCCGATCCCAACAATCCATCCTGGACTAACGAGACCCTCAACAACGGATCACATGGTGTTGATGTACCGAGGCTGAATGCTGGTGCTATGGTCTACGTCCCTGCTGGCAAAGAGGGCATGCTAATCAGCTTCGGGGGTGGGAATGTATGTATTGTGTTTGTCCCTTTTGGCAAAGCAATCTCGAATTTCCTCTCGCTGAGCATGTCTCTAACAATCTTCACCTTATAGATTACTCAAGGACTAAGTCCCTCTTCTGGATGGCCGTTTCCATCAGATTGGAACGTTATTTATGTTTACGACATCGCCTCCCACACCTGGTGGATGCAAAAGGCCTCTGGTGATCCGCCAATAGACCGAACTTCATTTTGTGCCGTTGTCACGGAGTCGCCCGATCGCAGCGCATTCCATATCACCACCTACGGTGGATGGAGTCTGACCGAGCAACGCTCCTACGAAGATGTCAACATTCTGACAATCCCATCGTTTCAGTGGATCGATGCCACCGAACTATCAAAGAAAACCAATCTGGAGCAGCAAGTTAACTCGACTATCGGTCGCGATGGTGTCAGTCATTGTCAGATATATCAGGGCGCACAGATGGTCGTTCTCGGAGGCAATATCCGTGCTGGCGCGTACTCGATCACCGATGAGGAATGCAGCAATGTTTTCGATCCTACCCGTGTCCTGGAGCTTTCTACATACAAATGGCAAACGAACTTGGATACTAATTCTACCTACAAAGTACCTTCTGTCATCTACGACAAAATTGGGGGGGGGTGAGTACCAAGCCTGGTCGCGTTCTGTCTTTGATCAAGGTTAACGGAACCGAATAGAGCTACTGGGGGCGCTACAATTACGGTACCTTCGGCCGGGTTCGCAGACGCTACACTCGCATCACTAATTCAAAATCGCGTTCCTAACTCCGGAATCTCTGGCTCTATCTCATCTTCATCCGATGGCCCTTCATCTACCAATTCGTCTTCGCAGGGGTCAAATAACACCTCGAGCCATGTGAAAACCGGTGCTATAGCCGGTGGTGTGGTCGGCGGAGTCGCTGGGCTGGCTTTAATTATTGCCCTAACCTGGTATTTGGTTCAACGTAAGGAGCGACCCCAGACAGAGGAAAATTCAGTGAAGCCTCCAGTGGCCAATGTGTTGTCTGAGCTTCCTGGAGATGCGCAGGCGGAGCTACCTGTACAGCCTGGTATGTATGTGGAAATGCCAGGGGGTCAAGGTATTGGAGAGTTACAGGGGGAGAGTAAGCCACGCGCCGAGCTACGTTCATGAAGGGGTTCATAATATCTCTCCACAGGGGACACCGCCCTTACCTACCTAGCCTTTGAAAAGCTGTCACAAGCAAAAGACAATTGTATAAACAAAAATAATGTTCGTAACCTCTACTTTAACTGCTACATAGATACGAGACTTCGAGACCAAGTGAAAGAATACCGATTGTGTATTCTTGGAATATCCGGAAAAAGCCTCCAATGTTCCAAATTGAAAACTTCATAATATCCTGGGCCGACACAGTATGCATTCAATGTCGTCTATAGCGGGTAGCAGATTTTAACCTAGCAAAACTATGCTAAGATTGGTAATGATGTCCTCGCCGAGTGAGACAGTGTCGGCATGAAGACATGACGGATCTAGCACTAAAAGTGTCATTGGCATTTTTAGTCTAGTGGTCAAAGTTTTGACAGACAGTTTATGCCTTGGAACAAACGACAGAGAAAGGGGCAGCAGTCCCCGGGCCGTGAATATTGATTCTGTTGTTTCCCAAGGCCTATGATGGCGTCAATGTACCCACATTCACACTTCTACTTGTCATGTCTAGAAGCACACTCAGAGGCACAGTATTAATTCCATAACATGTCCCGCGCCTAGATTTCATGAAACCCTCCAGATTTGGTAACATAGCTATTGGAGATTACTAAACATGCCCCCGTCCGCCAAAATACCCGTAGCATTCACATAACGACTCATTGGCTCACACGCTAAGAAAATCGCTGGACCAGCCATGTCCTCCGGATTACCGATGCGACCGAGAGGAATCCGCGCTTCCAGGGCAGCTTTCTTGGCCGGATTTTTCATATCGTGATCAGCTAGCTGAGTGCTGATAGTGCCAGGCATCAGCGCATTGCATCGGATCCGATCTTTGCCAAGTGCAATTGCCATAGACTGCATCATAGATAAAATGGCTGCTTTAGTGGGTGTATAATGTGTTTGGAAGCCGCCACCTAGCAGAGCGCTGATGGAGGAAATTCCGATGATTGACCCTCCATGTCCCTGTTTCACCATCTGCCGCGCTGCAGCTTGGCAGCCATAGAATGTGCCTTTGATGTTGACGTCTAGACTGTGGTCGAGGAGTTGTGGCTGAATTCTGGGTGTATTAGCTATCGACATCCTGAATCTTTATGTGATCGACCTTACTTGAGGAACCCTGCTTGTTTGAAGACACCGGCATTCGCGACGAAAATATCAAGCTGGCCCCATTGGGCCACGGCCTCTTGAATCAGATCGGTGCTGGTCTCTGGGCTGGTCACGTCGCCTGGAAGTTCCAAAATCCTGCCCGCCTCAATGCCCTGTCGCTCAAGTGCTTTTGCCTCCTCTAGAAGACTATGACGATTTATCTCATCCTTGGATAGGCCGAGATGATTCACGGCGACATTGCACCCTTGAGTGATATATGCTAGCACGACTGCCCGGCCAATTCCAGTCGTACCACCGGTAACGGCGGCAGTTTTTCCTTTGAGCAGGTTCCATGCGGGTAACGCCGTCTTAAACGCCATAATAGACGAAAGTACAGTGGAACGGGGAAGGAGATGACCAGACTGCAACGAAGAGTAGACAATCGATTCGTACAATGCGGTGTTGCGTAATTAGACGACCGAGGGCTCAATTCAAACGATTCCAGCCTGGAGCTTCAACGGTTCTGCCCCGCCACGGCATTACTCCGAGATCTGCGGGGAGATCTTTCGCGTGTATCTACAAGGGCCGCCAGGTGAATTTCACTGGAGTGGGTCCGTTGGCACCGTCTCGGGGACACACCCCGCTCTTCTCCATTATGCCTCCCCACAATCAACATATCGGGCATTTACTTCGAAGGCGTCATTGCTCTCAGATTTTGTCTCCGTTTGCTATTTATTAACAAGTAGCTCGGCCATGCTATTAGGTTCTTTGTCGACGGTTCACAGTTCTGTTTGCCAGCTACACCTACGATAAAACATGGCACCTTCCGCAACAACCCAAGAGCCGGCTACACCGCGGTTCACTGGAGCGCCCCAGACGCAAGTCACCTTAGGTGGAAAAGTCATCGCTAGTCTGTTTCTCATCCCACAACTAGCCTGCAAATTAAAAAGACTAATGGAAAATCCTAGTTACCGGCGCCAACCGCGGGATTGGCCTTGGCGTCGCCGAATGCTGCCTTTCCAATGGTGCCGCCAAGGTCTACTCTATTGACATTGGTGAGACTGGAGATGACTTCTCTGCCTTATTAAAATGCTATCCTGGTCAGCTTTTCGCCGTCAACGCCAACGTGACCGAGGAAGAGACAATTACAGCTGCAATCGACAAGATTATCGAAGAAGCTGGCGCTTTGCACGGCATGGTTGTCAACGCCGGGCGCACGCATCATAAGGCTGCTCTTGATTTTACCAAGGAGGAGATTGAGTCATTATTTAATGTCAATCTCTTCGGTGCCTTTTATTCCGCGCGTGCGGCTGCTCGGGCCTTCATTAAGCTGGGAATCAAGGGGTCGGTTGTTTTCACCGCGTCGATGGCTTCCTATAGACCTAATAAGGTGAATGTTCCCTTTATTTATTAATTATTGCACTAACTGACTTGAATTAGCGAGTTCCTTCCACTCCATATGGTGCATCCAAAGCCGGTATCCGCAACATGACCCACACCCTCGCCATGGAGTGGGCCCAATACGGCATCCGCGTCAACAGCGTGTCGCCAGGCCTCGTGAAGACTGCTATGACTTACTGGGTACCTCAACAACCCGATTGGGAGCAGCAGCTCAAGTATTATGGTGGGTTCCCTCGCTTGGCTGAGGTGCAAGAGCTGGGTGGTGCCTATGTGTATCTTCTCAGCGAGGCTGCTAGCTATACTACGTCCATTGATATTCCCGTCAATGGCGTTATTGGGAGTAAGTGTCTGGAACAGTCAATTTCAGAGTTAAACACTAACGCTTATTAGTCTGTTGAACTCCGGAAGTGAGATTTAAATGGAGGGTTCATGCTTTTCATTTACATATTTGATGCTGCAGTAACTTAGCTAAAACTCAATATTGATTCTTGGCCCTTAAAGTTTGTTTACTTTGGTAAAATGCAACTCATAACCCCATTGGAACCTTCAGTGCATTGCTATGCTTTTTCAAGTCTAGAGTAGTCTTTGCATGCCCAGCTCAAACCGATAATAATTTATCAGTAGCGCAATACTTAGAAATTCTATAAGTTAAACGAGACTATGGAGAATTCGGCGAATATTATTGCATCATATGGATTATAATGTTAAATACCCACGTTTTCTAAACTCCATGTGCTCAGAACAGGCACGAGAGTAAGCCATTACATCTCTTTCACGAAACCCACTTCCACGAGACGGTCACTATCAACCTTCATCTGCTGAATTTTCGTTCTACTCGAGTCCCGCATCCACAGGAACAACCAGATCACAATCTTGCGGATGAAGTTCTTGCCATGCGCAATCTTTAACTGCTCCTTACCGACGATGTAGATAACCTGAGACTTCCAAGCGCCCAACAGGGTTCTCAATTCGTCCGATTCGCCGGTTCCCTGATCAGCACGACTATTCTCAGATAGGTAGGCGCGAATCAGATCGAGAACATGGACGGCCAAGTCGGGTGTGATGATCTCGTCGGTGTAGCCGTGTCGTACCATCAGGCGGTAGCAGTTGGGAATTAGCTTTTTTCCTGGTCCGCTGCCGTATGTGAAACAGCGGGTTATGGTGTATCGCTCGCTGGGAGCGACCGATGGAACCGAGAGCGATCGTAGGTGCAGAAAAACGGATACCTCGGGCATGGCGCTAAACTTTTGTAAAAAGTGGAGGAATACAACGGGAGTGTTGCCTGGGGTTCCTGATTTGTCGAAGAAAATGCCGAGGCCGGCGATGGTTGAGATGGAAGAGCCTCCAAATGCAGTCTGTAAGTGAAGATTGGTATCTTTCAAGACAGTGGTCTGGGATAGGGGCGCGTTGTCTGATTCTTCGGCGGACCATTGCTCTTCCTTGCCGTAGCGCCACAGTGTGAAGACACATGTGATAACAACGGCTAGCATGAGCGTAAACCATGCGCCGTGAGGTACCTTGCTCAAGGCGGCGGAAAGGAACATGCCGTCCCAGAGGGCGAAGATGACGAATACAGGCAGGACGAGGTAGATTGGTAGTCTCCACACGATAAGGGCCACCACCGTTACCATGCAGGTGGTCAGGAAGGAGACAAGAATGACGCAAGCTCCGTAAGCCTCACCCAAGGCCGTGGTCTAGTTGCCAATATTAGTGACTTATAATGCATCAGTGTATGAAAGGTACGCACATTGTTGTAGACGGCCGTCACAATAACAGTCCCAATCATCATGAGCCAATTAGCCATGGGAATGTAAACTTGTCCATGGAAGGTCTTGGATGTGTGATAGACTCTAATCTGGGGGAAATATGACAATTTCATAATTTGGGCCAGCAACTGTACTAGTGTTAGTCGTCATCACCTATTGCTTAGCTGAAAGATCATTCAATACCTGAAATGAACCGGTGATCACAGCTTGGCTGGCCACGATACAAGCCAGAACCGCCATGATAAGACTGGGATAAAGCATTCCTGGAGGAACTGTGAGGTAGAAGGGGTTGGCGTATGCGCTGGGAATGACACTGATATGCGCGCCTTGTCCGATGTACTGTGAGAGAAATGAGTAAGATGTATATTGTATGTCAGACGGGTACGATGAGGCTTACCGAAACCAGCAGGCATGGGTAAACAAAGAACAGCCAGGAAATGCGAACGGCCCTTTAGAAACAAATCAGCAATGTATCCTTCCACTTATGTGAAGAGAATGATTACCTCTGACTGAAGGCTCCCAGATCGGCGAAGAGAGTCTCAACACCTGTAAATGCCAGCAAAATACCCCCAAGCTGCAACCAGCCTGATTGCCCGTTACGGACCAAGAAAGCCCCAGCAAAATATGGAGAGAACGCCTTCAGAATGGATGCATCGTACATAACAAGATTCTGTGATGGGAGTGTCAATGTCAGTGTAGCTCTTATCTCGGTGTAAGATTGATTGATTGCATCAACGTACGTAGATTCCAAAGGTCAAATTGAACAGCATCCAGACAATAACTATCGGTGCAAATGTGCTCGCGATCTTGCTGGTTCCGAAAGGTTGGATAAGAAAGACGAGAACCAGGATAGCGCAAGAGACCCCGACAACCGTTGATGAAGAGATATTTGGATTCACAACGGTGATTCTAGTTTCAATCAGTCACAATCTGTAATAGCTGCGGCAAGTATTGACCTACCCTTGGATGGCACCAAGAATCGACTGTGCTGGAGTGAGAACACCGTCTGGAAAAATTCAGCCGTGATCAGTTTTCGGAAACTACAGTGATACAGGGTACGCACCGGCAAGCAGCAGTGATACTCCAAAGGCGCCCACAATCTTCAACAGCCATTTCATAAAGCTGCTTCGCTCCAAAAAGTTTCTTGTCATCAAATTGGGCTTCTGTAGATCGTCTGTATTGAAGCGTTGCATCGGGATCAAATTAGTGTGACGAGGGTCGAACCGGACCAGATGAGCCTAAGAAATGTGTCAACCCCATGTCTATGATCACAGAAGAAGGAACTTGAGTCGCACATATCGAGAGAGAAGAGAGTAAACGGCGAAAGTTCCGCCTTCCCCTTCATCATCTGCGAGCAAAACGATGCAGACGTATTTTATGGTCACCATGATTGTCAGAGCCCAAATGACGAGGGAAATGGCGCCCAGAATGTCCTCCTTGCTTGGTTCGCTGGTGAATGTTGAAGAGTAGACATAAAGGGGACTGGTACCAATGTCGCCGTAGATGACTCCAAGGGACTGGTAAGTAAGCCTTTGTTACTCTGGTATCAGCATTGTTTTGGATTGAGCTCGCTTGAGGGAGAAAGATACCATGCAAGCGACCAGCCTTTAAACACCTATGAAGAATAGGTCAGTAAGAAGCTGCAGATATTATGAGGGACACAGGAGGGTAGTGACCTGTTTTTTGGGAAAGTCTCTCTCGTCAGTGTTCATCTCCGAGACAGATGCCAACTCCACGTCAGGAGTCTTGGACTCGGCGGAGATCACTCCCGGGGGGGCATTAATTTGCTGAATGAGGCGAGAGGAGCACACTCCACCCGAAAGAGAGTCACGGTGGATATCTTTCCCGTTCTCGTCTGTGTCTTGGGTATCAGTGGACGCGGGCATGGTAAGAGACGAACGTTTGACGGGAGGGAAGAAGGAACAGAGGGAGAGTGAGAGAAGACAGAGACTTCGGCGGCCACTTCCTTAAATATGAGTGACAGCTGTCAGACCATGGGATCACTTCTACCTTTTCGAAAACATGGTAAACGTTTCTTATCAGAATAAAATTGGATCAACTAAATATTGATACTTGACACATGGATGCTCTACGCCAATCGCGTCTCTGACGGGCTGCTCGTGGTCTGATAAGCGGGATGCCTCTAATACGAGATCGAAAATACCGCACGATCTTAGCGCGGTTGATTTTGAGGCTGAATAGGACGCTGATGTAGTTCCACGCAAGACTGGAAGGGAAGGTGTATCCCCAAGTCTACTGATCTCCTTGCCATTCATCGGCAGATCTTGAGCATGTAGAATCAGAGTCGGAGAGTAGTTGTATTTCATTTTAATCCAAGTAGATGTTTCATAATATACCGTAGGATCTTTATGATTGGGAAATTGGAGTCAGTAACTAAGCCACGGCCAAAGAGTGGGGAAGTTGTACGAGGCAATTATTTCCTCCATAGAATCCGGCGCCACACGACAGACACGCAATCGGAAATTTGATTGACCTTGCAATCCAAGGTAAACAGATACGAACGGTCATCGGTCGAGCAATTCTGCACTTTTTCTTTCTACTCAGGCTATTTGGCTCTGGGTTATCCTTGGAAGGTGGAGTCACGTGAGGTAACTTTGGTGACGTCATACATCATACCTCGACGACGAGCTCCTCCCGTCATTCTGATCCCAGAGTACTTTCTAGTTACATCCATTACGAAAAACATTGCGGGCAGCAAATCCTGATCTTCTTTCAGTTCCGCGGGTGTAGCATACCCCGACGGTCATCATTTCACAGACGCCAGAAGAGATCATGCAGGAGAGATCCCCAAGTCCTCATCAGCATTATCCTTTCGAAAATGTCCAGTCACCAGGTGCTTCTACCTCAAATCATCAACATCATACGAGCAGAGATGATGGTAGAGAGACCCAAGATTTTAGCGGCCTCCGTGTCGCCGATGGACTGACCAAGAGATTATCAGGGTGGGGGTTCTTGTCACCAGAATGTGAGGGACCTTCTCAGACAAGAAAAATCACGTCGGATCAAGGCTTTCCAAGCCTTTCAACGCACTCCAACCCGAAGGGATCGTCTCTAGATTCCCCAAAGCCCGCACAGGGCCGGAGGATCTCGGCAGGAACCACCCAATCAGAGCGGGCATCGTTCACAGATGAATACGGAAGATTCGTTAAGGTGCTTTATTACAATAGTACCAGCACGATTCAATTATATGAGAAGAAAGCACCGGCACCGGTTCCCGAGATGACAAAACCTCGACAAGGCTCTACATTTACCAGGTTAAGACGTGCATCTATGCCCAAGCCAATGATCAGAGAACTCTACGCTATTAAAATGTTTCACCTCGCTAAACCGGACTCGGATCATCTGCCCCATTTATCGCGAGGCGCAAGTGAACAACTCTCGCTTCCCCATCCTAATATTCTCTCCGTCATCGATATTCTCTACAATAAGCAGGGGAATCTCTGTCTTGTCATGCCCTTCTGTAGTGGGGGAAACTTGCACACTTTTCTTGAACAAGAAGCAAAATCAAAAACAAACCCACCACTTGAAGAGGTGAATTGCTCAGGAATTCAGATCCTGCGTGCAGTCGCCTTCTTACATGAAAATGGAATCGCCCATGGAGACTTGAGGCCTGAACACATCCTCCTCACTGCCCGAGGCGCGGTGAAAGTGAGTGGTTTTGGAGAAGATGGGGATGCAGTACGAGAAATGGTTCATTTCTCTCATCATGAACATCATGGAAATCACAATGGGTCTCGCTCGGGATCCAGTTCTGGAAAAACACCGACATCCAACTCGAAGCTGCTCCTCTGCATCCGGAGGAGGGTGTCAGAGTTAAGTACTCCTTATCTTCCCCCGGAAAGATTCTCCAGTCGCCGTGACTCCGTGCGTCAGGGATATACCCATCAATACCTTTACGATATCAGAGCGGGAGACATGTGGGCATGTGGTATGATATACATGATCTTGAGGTCTGGCCAGCTTCCCTGGCGCGGTGCTCAGGGAGTTAATCGAGACAAGTCGTATGCGGAATACCTTTATTGTCGCTTGCAGGAGGATGGCTTTCGTCCTATCCAGGTTCTCGAAACCGTGAGTTCTCATCTGATTCCAATGATCGAGGCGAGTATAACTAATCTGGCAACCTTGAACAGCACTGCCGCAATGTGATCTATGCCATGCTACATCCTGATCCGAGCTTAAGGATTACGGCGGAGGAGGTCTTGAGGTCCGAGTGGGTCCTTGGGACTGCAATCTGTGAGGTTGGGGACATGGGGCTTTAATAAATAATTTGCGTTTGACCTTTACGTCTCGATCAGGAATGTGATCTACACGACAGTCAACATCAATTGTAACTGATGGAGAGCATGATATGCCAAATTAATGAGTGAATCCTTTGACGGTACCATCAATCCCCTCCAAATCACTGTAAAGTCGCCACTCATAATCCAAGCTAGGATCATTGAACCGAGCCTTCGCATCGAGGATCCCAATCTCAGCCATATCTTCCGCGTGCAGCTCAAAGTCTCCCTCAATATTTTCCTCAATCTGCCAGTCCACCACGCTCTTCGGAATGACTGAGCGACCGCTATTGATGCCCCAGGCGAGGACCACCTGCACCGAGCTTTTTCCATATTTCTGTCCAATCTCCTTCAGAGCTGGTTGATCGATGACCCTCATCATGTGGGAGATCTCTTTTGACCAGCCAGTTTGTCGATAGAAATCGTTCATGTTGCCCAGGGGGCTAAATTGGACCACGTGAATCCCTTCGCTTCGCAGCCACTCGTTGAATTCCTTCTGTTGTAGGTATGGATGGACTTCCATTTGGTGAACTGCCGGGACCTTTAGAATTATCAGCCGTGTCAAATTTGTGTGATGGTCATGACTTACCGTATCTGACTCTGTGATGAGCTTCTGGATCTCCCCCTTGCTGAAATTCGAAACTCCGATTGCCTTGACCTTTCCAGTCTTTGTTAAGCTCGCCATCGCTCTCCAGGTATCCACAAAGGTTGTGGTACCATGTATTATCTTACCACCACTGTCTCGCGGGAATCGATTCTGTCCCCGGGCGAACGTGCATGGGTAATGCATCAAAAGAAGGTCGACATACGGCGTGTCCAGGTCGCGCAGCGAATCAGCTAACGCGCGCTCCACATCGTCGGGATGATAATCACTGCACCATAGTTTTGTACCAAGGAAGATCTCCTCACGAGGAATTCCACTACGTTTGATGCCTTTGCCGACTTGCGCTTCGACATCGTAGACGCGAGCTGTGTCAATAAGACGCATGCCTTTATGCAAAGCTCGGCTAACGGTCTCTTCTTGCGAGTCTGGATCTTGGAAGGTGCCAAACCCAAGTGCTGGTATTTTGGCGCCTGTGTTGAGTGTGTAAGATGTGGCCCGTGTATTCAGGCACCGAGTCGATGATTGTCGGAGAGAGTGCGAATCCGTCTTGAACCCGACTTTGCTAGGCACCCTCCGTGCGAAGGAGGAAGCCATTATATGCCAAAGTGAGGTGTCCGAAGTGCTTTGAATATTTAATGTCGGCCAATTTAGCCTCACAGACTCTGTTTTTGGAACAAGTTGGGAAGTTATCATCTGCAGGCAATAAAATTCTGGAATTCTTTGAGAAAAATATGACCTTGAATCAAATGAATACCGAAACCGTGTATGCTTCGCGAAAGAGCAAACACTCCAGAATATGTTGACTATGAATGCGAGTGTCGATAAGATACCCGGCTCTGAAGTCATCAATGCAAACGGGGAGGTTGGCAGGGAATGTCACCTCGAGACGGTGCGAGTGGGGAAGACTCGAGACGGGACTTATTTCGCGCCCTCGCATCCAGGTGCCCCATTAACGAGGCAGGGCGGCCATGAATGGTCATCTAAACACTCGCTCGGTTTACTATGGTGACCATACATTGTTTAAACGATCACTTGAACACTGGCGTGTGATTAATAACAACATTCAAATAACACATAAGTTTTGTTCTTATTCTCACGCGACTAGAATTTTATTACGCCAAATTATCAACATCTGTAGGAATCATACAGTTCATGAAAACCCCGAATATTGCACCGAGCATTTGAACTATATTACTATCAGCATCAGCGTACCTCTACTCGCCTGGATCGATGAGTACAGCCCAGTACCTTGAGGGTCACGGCGTATTTGTCACGGCCGGGGTATCCCTTCTTGATTTCGCCATTTGCGGCCTTTTCAAATGGGCAAGTTATGCGTGTCAAGGACAAGCGCATGGGATGATATCTATCAACACTGCAGTACTGACACATTTAATCCACGAGAGTCACTGTCGGAGCAGTATGTTCACAATCTTTCAAAAAGAGGGGCTGACCAAAGAATATTGGTTATATCTATCGAGGGCAAATGATTTATATAACAACCATCGAAACTGCGACACGTTAAGATATGAAGCCATACAAGACCCATCACCACTCGAAAGCACAGTCCAGTGAGCCATTACCCCCCGCAAATCTTCCTTAGAAGACATCGAGGATCAAGGTTAACTTGGGCATGCGTCAGTCATAGGATCTGCGCATCTGGGGACAAAATAGACTGGAAAAGTCAGAGAGTGGTTACACTGGAGGGCATGAGGAAGACTCACAAAGGGTTGGCAAAGACCGAGCCATCATCCAACTCAAGCACTCTCTATATCGTTGCCCTCGGAGGCCAACGCGAAGCGAGACTCCAGACCATGAGCGAGGGGTCTGTCACGAGTCAGTCCGGTTCCAAACCGGACGGGGTGGCGCATGCGACTTGCCTTGAAATCCGATCAAGTTGGCGACACTCGACGAACCTAATGTGTGAAGGGCCGAAAGAAACGGATCAGCTCGCAGGGTGATAGGAGTTCTGAAACTCACATGCAAAGAATAACAACAAGATATGCATGGAGAACAAGAGAACGACAGGTAGAGCAGCAAAGGTTCTACACCAGAAAAAAACGGCAAAGCACAATGGTCAAATGGGAAGGTAAGCCCTCTCGGAGGGAGGGAATTTTTTCTGTTTTCTGGGAAAACACTTAAGGGACTGGCCACCGGGCCGAGTGAAAGGCCAACCAAGGGCCAATTGGGAGAAATAAAGGAAGCAAGAACCAGGAAAAAGAAACCAGGACATGGCACCAAGTAGACAAGCCGGCCTCAGAGGAGATCGTAGCGGATGAGAGCCAGAACACCAACGAAAGCCACGATCGCCGAACCCAGGAAGACTTGGCCAATGGCCCGACCGTAGTTGAGGCGACTGGCGGACTCGTCTGAGCCCTTATCACTCTCCAAGGGCAGGATATCGGGCGTTGCGTTGGTCCTATTGTCCGGGGCCCGCTATCTGAAGAATCGGGACGCCGTCTCCTTATGCTTATCGGCATTTCGTTTTTTGCTATCTTCCAGATCCCCGTTGCTATTGCCCAGAACCTTTACACGATTATTATTTGCCGATTCATTGGCTGTCTCCTTGGCTCTGTGAGCTTAGCGGTCGGGAGTGATACTCTAGCTCATTTCTGGTCTCCAGTAGAAAGAAGTGTGGCATTCTGTGCTGTCTTTGCAGCAACATTTGGAGGGCCAGTGGTCGGACCAATTGTTGGTGGGTTCCTCTCTCAGTCATTTCTGGGATGGCGGTGGACGCAGTGGATCACTGTCATAATGAGTGCATTCTTTGGCGTGTTGGCTGTATTCTTGATACCCGAGAACTCCGCATTGTCCATCCTGCATTCCCGGGCAAAGTGTAGAAAGAAGTCAATAGTCAAGCTCTCTACTGTAGACTGTATGTGTGCTACATTGCAAATAGCACGAACTAGTAAACTAAACCAGCTCCCTCGCCTTATATGATCACGAGTCAGACACTTATAAACAGCTCCATGAGATCCAACGCTTGGATAAGACAGCTTAGCAGAGTTGTTACGAGCCAATCATTTTTCATTCTGCTGTAGACATTGATATAGCCCATGGGCCGAAATCTTTGTCCATGGACGGGCCGGCCCATGGCCCTCTTGGCGGCCCATCATACCCAAGAGACATAATTAATACAATTTTTATACTAGAATACCTGTATTCGGGACGTCTCGGCACGTATCATGGATTAAACCCTTTATCAAGCTACAAAGGCCTTCTAGATGTAGCTTTTTATGTTGAATTATAGCGTTAATTAAGCTTTAATTTCATCTTTAATCTCTTTAAAAGTGGGAATAAGGCAATTTAAGTTTATTGAAAAAGTGAGCGTAATTTGAAGAAAGGTGGTAATGTTACCACACGCTTCAGATAAACCTCTTCGATTAAGGATGCCTCTTGACCACATTATTAAGTGCCGAGATTATACATCTTGAAACTTAATATGGCCTATAAGATAGTATTAAATAGCCTAGAAACAAAGATAAAACCTATAACTACCTGAACAGGTAGTTATAAAATAAGCTTTATGCCGTACGTATACGAAACAGACGTAAATAATAATAATTAAGAAGCAAAATAGGCAGAATAATTAGGCATAGGTCAGGCCAAATTCGGCCAAGTTAGGCTATTCAGGCAGGATTAGGTGTCGATTGGCCGGACCTTTTGTCTATGGACGGCCCATGTTCTCCCTTGCATGTTGAGGTGTAGGAAGTGCACATGAGGTGATTATGCACCACCGAAGAGGGACTGGATATATCACCTTCGCTTGCACCACCTGCATATACCACACAATGGTCCACGGGATAAGTAGTAGCTATACTCCACCTCCAGGGGATCAGCGATTAGTCTGAATACCATCATGCCGTTAACAGGCATACCTCAGATTCCTCACTCGTATCCATACACCCCCTCAGGACACTCACATAGGTGATCCTAACAATCCCTCGTGGCAATATGAAGTGATCGTACTCTGGACTGTCGCTATGTTCGAAGCATCATCCACAAGGCATTCTTTTTCGAAGCGAAAGTATCAAGACATCAAGTATACTTTGAAAAAATCGAGTGAATTGTTCAGGAACAACCGCGATTTATCTGTCTGGAAAGACGGAACTAGCATAAAGCCCTTGAAACAGTTGTCAGAATGGGTAAATTGTGACAAGTAAAGAAATTTTGAGCATGGAATCATGGCCGATATATCGCAAAAAGGAAAGGCCAGTATGGAATAGATAAGCCAAACATCCCACCCATTGTTCCGTAAGAGGCTAGGTACCAATATCCACTCCAACCAGAAAGTTACAATCTTATATGAACCACTATCACGGTACCCGGAGCCCATACGGGTACGAAGAAATTGACGGTGATGTCTTCATGAATAATCTCTGGAATGTGGAATGGCTGACATCGATATATTCAACAGTCCACTGGTCGGATTTATCACCTAGGCACTTGCTTCTCGGGTATCACATAAAATCGCAAAATTTGAAGATTGTCAAGATATTTAAAGAATACGACATCCCCACTGTGTAGAAAGCCTAGTCAAGATTTTATTTGTAAAGCCAAAATAGATGCAATGCCGATCAAGATAGGATGAAGTGTGCGGGATCATTTAGCACTTCAATGCTTTCTTTCGGTGGGCTCCAAGTGGATGAATCGTAAATACTAGAAGGAGTGTAATCTGCACTACTCCCATCAAGTTTGGCGATGGAGATCTCACTAGTCCAGTCGGTGTGATTCAAAGCATTTGCTGACTCGATCCCTGCGAGCAGGGTTTGAAACGACGTGATTATTCGTTGAACTTGCTCTCCGGGTCTCATCTGTGATAAGCAGGCGAGACTTTTGTTGATCGAAGGAACATGCGCTGGCACTTTGTCGCGATCATGCAGAATGTCGTAGCTGAGCACAGCACAACAGTTCTCCAAAAAGACGTGGTTATATCTCATATCCTAATATAAGTCAGAAGGGTTACATCCAACCCCGATCAGTTAATTTCTATGCTCTTCCGTGGCATACCTTGACTGTCTGATTGGACGAAATTGCGAGGAAGAGGTAATCTATAAGCTTCTTGGTGGCGTCGAGCGCATATCCGCATGCCGTGTCGAGCCATGGTGGATTGGATCGAGAACCATGCTCACTGGAGTCAGAACAGGGCTTTTGGGTTTTCAGCTTTCCACCGAATATGACGAACGGTCGAAAAATGAGGATGAAGGTGTGTAAATATACTGTGAGTTTTGTGTTAAAAATGTTCTCAAACACTCATGCAACATCCCATGAGGTACGAACAGGTTGTCAAAATCGTTTGCGGCACGTCCAGCTCCCCAATCTGAGAGCGATGATGAAGGCCGAAACCAAAAGTATCAATGATCATGTCTTCGTACTTGTGTAAGTCAGATATAAGTGCCACAGCACTCATCCAAATCGGGAGCAAAGAGCCTTTGTTTGGAATGTATATCTGATTCGAGCATTTGGTCATAATTTCTGAAAGTCCGACTAGGGCTAGAAGGAAAGGGTCTTTCGGCGGAGGCACAGCAAGTTGAACAGCAGTGAAAGAGCTCGGGCGCCCTAAGTGAACACAAATCCAGCTATTTCTGTTGTTAAAGTTCTGCGTGGGTAGATGGAAATGATGTAATAAGATTACCTCTCAAAATTGTAGAGGACCCAAACGAGATTCCTTTGCTCCTCAATCTCTAGGTCTGACCTAGACCCTTGCGGCGGATCCCTATGTAGACCGGCGGAGAAGATCTTCCGGGTGGCCGAGCCTATTGATAGATATGCGTCGTTGGAGAGTCCTTTCTCGGTGTAGTAGAAAGCGTGTTCTTTGAAACCCGGTCAGTGACAAAATGACAGGGAGAGGTGGAATACGTATCAGGAGGCAATCGATTTCTATTGACGACGTAGTTAGGTTATCATCGGCCGATGAAGACAATTCGTTGAAATAATGAATAAAAATGTCCGCCAACTTATGATGTCTCGTGGTCAAAGAGGCAGTAGCTAACATGAGTAACAATGCTCTTCGTCGAGCGTTACTCAATGCCGGGATCGATTCAATGTCATATAAAGAATGCAAATCACATTTAATGGCCTGTGGCTTTTGAACAGGTATCAAAAGTCGGTGCACAGCAAGAAAATGTTCCAAGATCTCCTCAGCTAGTGCGGGAGCGACTTCATCTGCCAGAAAAATAGTCTTTTGGCAAAATTCCGATATCGCAGCGGGGTCAATCATCTTAGTGCTACTTTCTCCCAGAGACTCGGAGAAGTTATGAAGCCGGCGGATCAAAAAATCCCCGCCAAATAGGGGATTGAACGATTGATAAAGGTGATTGAGTAAAGATATGTTCGATGAGGCACCATAGTGAACTTGATACGGCCGCTGAGGTGGAAATGAAGAGACACGTCGGACCATGCGCGGAAAAGTGTCAGGCACAAAATATGGCTTGCAGACCTTGTCATCGATGTCTTTGCTCTGAGTCGGCTCTCTTTCAGCAGAAATGACGGATGCCCTCTGCATATTAGCTTGCTTCGGCCTCCGATCGCGAGTCTTATCACGGTAGAAACAGCATGATAGCCCTCTTTCTTGGCATGGTGTGCAAAGAGTGAGACCGTCACATTTGACCTTGCGCCGTCGACATTCTTCACAGGCTTTCGAGGTTCGGGACTTGGGTGTTGACCACCTTGGGCAAACCCGGATCTGATCACGCGAGACAAGCCACCCAGAAGAATTACGGCTGGAAGAGCTCATATTGCGTAGGAAGATCTTCCTACTCAGTGTTGCCTTTCCTTTTCGAAATGGGTAAAAAAGGGTTGGAACTTCGAAAAGAGAAAGAAAAACTAGAAACGAAAAAGAACCCTTGGAACCTTTCGGAGGTGATGGTCTTATTTGGTCAGCGGAATTACGGATATAACATTTAGAAGTGGGATCCCAACCATGGCCGGACGGCCTTACCTAATGAGTGCCCTCCTTTTCCTAAAAATGGGTTAGTAAAACTCAAAACTAGTGGGAAACATGCGTAATTTTCTAATTACATTTTTATAATTGATAAACCTTGTTTGATTTTTTTTTGGCTCTTCAACGAAACTGATCAGGAGCGTAGTCTCAATAAGCTCTGAATATGGCGAAGAAGTAAAGCGGAAGGGCAAGAAGGACAATACAAAGAAAAGGAGTGTGAAAATGCGAATACACGAGGTGTTTCTAGATTAGTAAGGATGGGATGGGATGCAAACGGTGAAAAATCAAGCAGAAATAAAAAAGGTCAAAGGATAGTGTAAGAGTTTGGCGGAAATAATGTAGTGAGTTCGGCCAGAGGTTGCGTCCAGAACATCTCGATGATCACCAAGCCTTTCCCAACTAGTGTCGATTAAAGTCCGAGAACCATCGGGAAAGGTAGATCTTCACTGTGGATTATTCTGCCTTCTTCGAAGCCTTCGTCCTCAGTTTCATCATGAGGTACACAATGGCATAAGAGCTGATTGCAAAGATCACCACAATCGCAGCATCTCTCCAGCCGTCATAGTAGTCAGTCAAATTCATCGTGGCCAAGTAGTCACTGCCACGTCGATACTGACACACATGGCATGATGAAGTTGCATCGGGGTTGTCCAAATAAGTCCTTGAACCCTTGTTCAACATGTAGGACGCGAGGTATTCCTTGCAGGTTTGACTTGCAGGAGGATCAAACACAGCGAACTCGCTTTCTGTGCACTGAACTTTGGAGTCGAAATTGGTAAACACCAGAATGCTTCCCATGATGTAGTTGAACGGATTGAGATAGTACATCCAATACCTCCAAAACACATTGATCTGGGAATAAGGCACAAGAACACCGCAAAATTGAACAAGAACACCCAGAACCAAAGGGTTTGCCAAGGACGCGAAAACTGCATTTGGTGCGTAAGCAGCAATGAACTGCCCGATTCCAGTGTAAACGAATTCGTAGGTCAACATCACAAAAAATGTTGCTCCAGCTTTGTTCGAGTCGTGAGGGAATCCAACAGTGTAGTACCAGCAAAGGAAGTAGAGAACAGCTGATACACAGAGGTATGGGATTTCAGAGACGATAAGACCCGTCACAAATGCAACCCAACTATACATTCGTGACTTCTTTTCTCTTGTGTCGTAGATATCGCGTCGGTCAATAAACAAAGGCTGGAGTTGATTGATGACGCCAGGAGCCACATAAATAAAGTTGAACACGGTAAAAAGTCTGAGTTGAAGCCCTGCGACAGTGGGACCAATTTTCCAGAATGTGAAGCCGTTGAATAAACCGAGGATGATATGTAGCATCAATTTGTTGTTGACATATTCAGTATTTCGGTAAAGAGCGAAGTTCATTCGACGCGTCACAATTTTTATCTGAGTCCAAAGAGAAGTCGCAAACTCTCGGCCATCATCCGCCGTCTGAGGAGGTTTTGCACTTGCTTCAGAGATAATCTCGTCGAGCTCTGTCACACATCGAGTATGCTCGGGCGATTCTAACCAGATCTGATTCCAATCTTTTCCCTGTGATAAATGACCCGAGGTGACATCAATCATAAACTCTGCTGGATTGGCACTTGGTGGGCAGATTAGTCCTTGACGTGCGAAATAATCTTTGATGGTGTTTGCATGATCGCCGATATCGCCGAAGTAGACAGTTTTACCCCCTCTGGCTAGGAGTAAAAGGGTATCGAACTGGCTAAATAATTGTGCGGATGGTTGATGAATCGTCACAAGCACGGCTTGTCCAGCATCGGCAAGCTTTCGAAGAAATCTGACAGTGTTGTAGGCAGATTGACCATCAAGACCAGAAGTAGGCTCATCGAGGAATAGGAGGATACTAGGCTTGGCGACTAGCTCAACTCCAATTGTCACTCGTTTTCGCTGTTCGATGCTAAGACCGTTGCCAACTTTCCCAATCAAAGTGTCGGCAATATCCTCAAGTTCTAGGAGCTGAATAATTGTCTCGACATATTCTAGCTTCTTCTCCGCTGGCGTCTCGCGTGACTGGCGAAGGAGCGCCGAGAACTCAAGAGCCTCTCTGACTGTAGCATTTGGTTCGTGGACATCCAACTGCTCGCAATAGCCTGCGCATCTCTGGAATGAGATAGGCAGAGGTCGTCCATCCACCATGATTGATCCATGAATTTCGCCTTCTGTTTTTCGCTGGGCCAGAACATCTAGCAACGTTGTCTTTCCAGCCCCCGAAGACCCCATAAGAGCACCAAGCATTCCAGGCTTGATCCACCCGTGCACATCGTCAAGCAAGACACGATCACCCGAGGGTGTTTTCACAGTGTAAGTGAGATTCTTCCAAGTAAAAACAGAAGTGTTGCGGACCAATTGACCATCAAGCCGGTCAGAGGTGGAAGCGACATGAGAAGAACGTTTCGACTGCCACTCTTCATCACTTTTGGCCGCTTGATGCTTTCTTAGTCGCTCGCGGGGAATCAAAACATTAGAGCCAGATTCAGAAGCATCATGCCACAGGGTAGTTGCAACGATCGTAATGGCGACGAATAAAGCCCACCACGCCCATACAATGCCGAAATTTCTCCAGACATGAGAGTGGCTATAGCTCAGAGACTTAAGATAATCGTCTCCAAGGACAGAGACAGCTCCACTCGCTGCACCACCAACACCAGCGCAAGCTTGATAGGCCGTGTCGTTGTATCCGGGACCATTTGGAACAAGATTCGCACCTACACAATCAATGATTTTGCCGTGGAATTCATTGCTGATCAAGGACTCGAAAGAGTAGGCAATTGGATCAATCCAGAAAATCCAAATAAACCAGTCGTGCATTTTGGGTTTCTCAACCATATACCCGGCGTACATCACGGTGGCGGATATCAATAGACCTGAAACCTTCGATGCGCTATCAAAGCTGGTGAAAGCTGCTCCGATAGCTCGGAACATTGCTGTGAGGCACATAGTGATTGCGAAAAGGCAAATCCAGTAGGTGAAGAAGGCAGATACAGTGGTTGTGAGACCGACCAAGAAGTAGAGCACAATCCCGAAAATAGTGATTCCAAATAGAATGATGGGAATATCGGCCGTGATCTGAGAAATACAGAAGGCTGCTGGATGGTAATAAGCAAAGTGTTTATGCTTGACCAACACCGGCCGTCCACTGAATGAGTCTGTCACCTCAGATAGAGCCATCAAACTGTTGTAGAGAATCGAAAAGAATAGCGCGCCCCCCTTGGTGAAAATCCCAGCAGATGTGTCTGGTGCGTTGTAAAACAAAGAGCCAGCAATCAGCGCCTGGATAAGATTCGAGCCTTGCTTGATGATGAAGGTTGGCTTATCACCCCAGATGATCTGATATTGGCGACTAACACAAGCCATAACCTGTCTAGCGAAGCTTATAGTGAGAGGCGATTTCTTAGATAGGCCGTTATCCTTTTCGAGGACAACTGATTCCATAAAGGAGGCGGTATCTGTATGGGCAGTCTCTGTTTGGTTGTACTCATAATCAAGGGTCATTCTCTGCTTCAGGTCGGAGTGCTTATAAAGATTCAAAATTTCATCAGCAGTTCTGGGAAACTTTGACTCAAAGCCAGGTAGAAGTTCCCGTTCAGTAGGCACGGTAACACCTGTCAAAAAGTCCGCGACATTTGCTCCATCACGGCAATGGAAACCAATGGACTCCATAAAAGGCCGTGCTTCCTGCATTGGACCGTAGTAAATCTCTTTGCCAGAATCCAGAACCAAGACTTTATCGAAAAGTTCAAAGATTCCGTTTCCAGGCTGGTAAAGAGTCACGACCGTTGACAAGCCAAAAATATCCGTCATTGTGCGAATGGCTTTAGTCCAATCCAGAGCTGTGCTAGCATCAAGACCTCTGGTGCTGTTGTCCCAACAAAAAACGGACGCCCGAGAGGCCAAACATTCAATGATTGACACGCGCTTTCTTTCTCCTCCAGAAACACCTCGGACATATTCGTTGCCAATTTTTGTGTCAGAGGTATGCGAAATGCCCATTGATTGCATAAGAAATTCTTTGACATGCTCCTGATACTCTTGAACACCCATACTATCAGGTCTGTGATGTGGAACCTTGAGTTTAGAGGCGAAGGTCATGGTTTGATCGACTGTGAGTGTTGGGAAGAATAGCTCGTCCTCGGTATTCATAACGATTTGGCTTCGATAGCGCTCGGCTTCCTTGTGCTCCATAGATCCAAAGAATACATCGCCGTCAACAGAGTGATACCCTTTCCTTGTGTTGGCAAGCAATTTGAGTAGGGTTGTACAGCCGGAGCCTGGGCGACCCAGAACCAGCAGCATCTCTCCAGGTTTCACGCAACCATGATTCTCGCTCAGAATTGTTGTTGTGGGTGCTTTTTGTTTCAAGTCGCGCCACTTTTGAGCCAGATTGAATTGCGAGAGGACATTTTCTTTGACTGCAGACTCGGCGCTCTCGACTTGCACAGAGAGGTTGTTCCAAGTGATGCCCAATTTTCGCTCTTTCAAGTTTGATGCGATGTTTCGGTCATGAAAGGTTTTGACCTCTTTGTGAAGAGGCCAGTCGATGATTTTCGGCGGAGTGTGCTCTTTGAGGTTCTCCTTGGAGTTTCTGATAGTCAAGGCTGGACTATCATCATCGGAAGACGGGGAGGGGGAATTCTCCATCTCCATGATGAAATAAAAAAAAAGGTTGATTTGTTGTAAAAAGAGAGAAAGGATTAAAGGCAGTTGAGGAGTAATCTTGGAAAGTTAAGTTAAGACAGGCAATGGCATCTGGGTATTTTTCAAATGTTAAATATGTCCCAACTCAATCTCCGAGCCCCGGGAGTGTTTCGTTGCCCAACATAATCGAATTTGAGGAGTGCAATGTATCTCCGTTATAATTCCGTTTTGGTGTCCTCATTTCCATGCCCAGATATGCCGCTTACTAAGTTGCCGTCGATAGCTCAAAGTCCTTGCCGATCAACCCGATGCTATGGACCAATGGAAGAGATAAACCCTGGCAGTGTCCAAGCCTATTCACTGCTCTTTCCGGCCTTATAATTTGTCATTTACGTTACTATTTCCTGACTTGGACGTCTCCGAAGTACAAGCAATTATTCTTGAACAGGGCAACATAAGTCCTCCAAGGCTTACGCTATGACCTTGACAGAATAAGTGTGCAAAGCATAAATTAGCTCTAGCTCAAGAACAGTACTTTTGTAAAGACCTTCGAGAAGCACTAAGTGGGGGGTTGCTAAACCTGTCGAAAGTTCGACTCCTCGGTTTAAGAAAACGGAATTATTCTTAGCCCGACAGAGTGGGTATAAACTCGGTGGCAACTGGCTCCACTTTCCTAGTTCCGAAAAAATGCTGGGTCGCATGCTTCATCTAGACCCTTCAATTCTACAGCCCCAGGAGGCAATTGATGACACATGAAACTACAATTTCTGCGCCCAACTATCCACACATAATCAGGCAGTACAGTTGACACAAGTCAGCTCTATATGTGGACCAGTTATTAACTGCCAGCCATTGAGTATTTTCTTTACTAAATACCCTACATTTAGATAACATGCGATCATCAGTCACGCACCATTTCAGCATGAATATTAGCATCTCTCATTCCCAGTCCGGAGCCAATGATGTTTAGCTATGTATGAGACTAGAGCGTATGTTCTCTCTGCCAAAATTTATCCGATAGGAATCTTCCCAAAGCTGCGCCTGACAAATATGTGACCATGAACAAAAGACTTATTGCCCAAGCTCTACCCGCAAATAGAGCGCCAAATACTTCCCAGCTGATGGGAAGATCCATGATGTAGCTAGATACGAATGACAGTTACCCCGTGCCTGAGTAAACAGGTGAGAAGTTGTTGGCTCGAACTTATCAATTGTTCGGTGTGAAAATGGCAGCTTTGCCTTGACTCTGTACGAATTTTGTAAGTAATTGTATGGCAATAGCCTTTTTTTCAATGGTGTCGCAGACCTTGAGCAGTAGTCTTATGAATCAAAACACCTTGAGAAAATACCTGTGAAAGAGAAGATATTGCTTGCAGTTCGGTTTTGTGATCAGCCATTTGCGCTAAAGTCTTTCGTCGAACTTTATGTATGCAGTCGCCAATTTGGGGTCAGCATAAGTTGGCGCTAGCTCTAATCGCCATATTTTTCTCGAGCGGGCTTGGGGGAGGGAGCAGTGACTCAAATGAAGATAACGAAGAGAAAAGATTTCATTTAATCCAGATACAATCGCAACTGTACGCCGGGTAATCGGATATAGACATCACACTATGCCCAATATCCGCTGACTGAGCATTTCAGTCTTGCCTTAAGCCACTTAGAGGCGTACCGTGCCACGGTCCGTGGAGCGGTAAGCACATACAAAAATCCAGATTCAAAGAGTCTACTTCATTTCCCAAACATAATTGGAATTCTCCTATGAGACGAATTTGGAAGTGAATGGAAATCTATATTTTTCATTTTTGAAAGCAAATGGTGCGCTTACTCGACACTTCCATCCATTTTCAAATAGGAAACCATTCATCCCGGGTCCTTGTCTCCGTAGTCTCTTGTGGTCCAGGCTTCCTCATAGATATGATCCAGTGACCGCAAGAAAATTTGCATTCACCGAAGGATGAGTGGTATTATCTTTACTCGAACGTGAAGTCTTACCAAACAATAAATTTTCAAGTTTCTCCAGCCGAGCGGGGAGAGACAGCTTTTCATTCGGCCGCAGAAGATCAAAAATATCTTTTTGTGAACACGAAAGGGAAAGACGAGTGCTAGTGCGCACTGCAGAGGGATCCGAAATTAAGATTTTTTCAATCCTATCCATTCTGCGGGAAAGAGAGATCTCTTTGGACGATCTTGAAAAGTTTGTGGTTAGCTCTAAACCATGACTGGAGTTCTAAACATAAACAGCAAATGCTTTTAATAAACTTATGTACAGATTCCTAGCCGAGTCCTCATTAAAAACACTGAGCAATTTACCTACCTATTTTTGCGGATTGGCTGTTTGAATATTTGACAAGACTTTGACTGTCCATTGCGAACAATTTTTTCGTACTGGCGAGTATTACATTGGCGAGTGAACTTGCTGGATTGAATAGTCCCAGGAATATTGGAGTGTAAAGACCAGTCATTATCTTCCCAGGGTGATGTACTCATGACATCTTGAGGCTCTTCTGCCTTGACTTCCATAACAACAGTCTCTGGTGCCAAAAGTGACGAAATATCCATGGCGTTTCACAAGTGATAGAGTGGATTGGAAATCGATTGGAATTAATGAAAAGAAAAGAAAAGAAGATTATTCACAACATGAAATGAGCGGGTTAAGCCGAATGGCGAGCCTGTGCGTATAGAAAGTTTCCTCTATTCGCCACAAAAAGCAACTCATATGTTATACTGGAACTCTGTGGCCCAAGGATTGACATAATGCCTTCAAGTTATCTCCGATCTTCCTTTTCAAAAGGTTCCTATATGTCTGTCGATAATCAGCGCCACCTACATAGTCCGCTTTTTTAAAGGTTCCAGCAACCGAACCGTCATTGCAGGTTTGGCAATGGGGGATTCCCGGCGGCCCACTCAAGTCCACATCCAATTAGCCCCCCAATGAGACGAATATTGAACATCGTGGGCTTAGTTTGAGCGAATAATTTACTTATATCCGGTGCGTGTGGAGTCTGATGGGGGTTTTCCAGTTCCCCCACCGCTATGATGCGTCCGACCGGGGAGGCGTGTTCTGACGCTCGGGTGGAAACGCCTGTAACTTAGATCATCACGCTTATTTTTATTCCGTTTTTCTGTAAACCTGGTACAATACTGCAACGCCACATCTACAAGGTCATGATGTTGCAAAAGGAGAAACCGGACAAGTCGGCTCCTGGAGCCCATCGCCGGTTCCGGGCGCGAATCATACCTCACGGAAATCCGTGGCCGGGATAAAAACGGATGTAGGATTCTAAGAATTTTGACCCACATATACCGTTCTCCATAGCCCGATAGCATCTGTGATCTGATGACTCTCATACTGTCTCTGGTCTCCGGTCAAACGAATAGTTGAGCTCCCTATTAGATATTCATCGTGCGGATGTTCTCAGTCTGGATCCTTAACGAAGATAGCCTTTTGACTTTAATCTAAGCCTTCTTGGTTGTAATCGAAATTTATCCTCGTCTAGATCAGTGTTTAGTACTTGAAAGGTGAATTATATGGCAATAATTACCTGTAGCAACCGTGAAATAGGCCTCGAGTGTCTTTCCCAGCGCTCAAGTACTGGGTCTCGGTCCCGTTGCCTGGCCCTTCGTACTCAAATGCGTAATGCTGAATTTCTTAAATTCATAAAATTTAGTATGCAAAAGATGAAAATCCCATCTCATCACCAGAAGATATTTAGCATTCCATTAAGTTTTCGATCACATTTCACATTTGTGCATATTTTCAAGATTATTTAGATTTGGATATAACAGTAGTCAGGATCTTTTACTCACACCGCCCATTCGGGGGTATTGGTGGGCCCCGGCTTCACGCAAAACCCCGGCTTCGCATAAATATCTTTGTTCTATTGACCCTTATACCCTCTCCCCTTAGATATTTATAAGCATCTTGCCTTCAAATGAAGCCTTAGGTGCTAGGCTACCTGCTCCGACCTCTAAAAATGCTATTTCTGCTTACGTTTTTTTATTTTTATTTTTATTTTCAGCTGCGCGCAGCTCGCGCCGTTTCTGAAGCGCTTCTTCTTTCTCATGTCGTCCGCAAATATAACGTAAAGCTTCCCCTTTCGCTAGCGTATTATACCCGTCAATAGCCCTTCCACTTAGTCTGCGACTTTTACCTTTTTAGTAGGACGTAGAGTCTTCGATGTGCTTGTCTTGAAGTACTTTGCCGATAGAATACGTGCACGGGTGGCTTTACGACTTTGGCCCTGAAAAAGCTTCCTTCGATCTTAGCTGCATAGTGAGGCGTCGATAAGGGGAGTAAGCTCTTGGCTTCCTCTTTCGACGCTCATTAGAGTGGTTCTTAGTGCGGTAGTATCTGCAGTAGGTCGTCGAATACTTGAAGCGTTGGAACGTCTTTCTCGCTTGTTTGGAGGGGTGAAATAACAATAGATAGGTTAAATAGATATATCCCTCGGTTAAGGAATAAGTTGCGGATAATTCGTTACGTGAATGCGTCTATACGCGCTTTAGCTATATCGTAAAAGAATACATCCTTTGTGCTAACGTTACCACTAAATGCGATAATTTTATTATTATTTCTGCAAAAACGGCCTTTTAAGGTCTTAAATAGTGATCCGTTGAGTAGCTATAATAGGTGTGTTATATGAGGTGGAAAGTAGATTGGAATATCATTACGTTTATCGCAAAACGTGGGAAGTTCAATAGTTTTGTGAGATAGATAGCCGTTGAAGAGAAGGAGACGCTTTTGACCGCGTTTAGTACGGTCTTTAGTGTGCTCATGAAAGAATTTGAGCAACTTAAGGACAAAAGAATCGTTTAAATGGCCTCTTATAGTGGTTGAGGAGTATTATTCGTCCTATTTAGTTAGTTGATCGATATATTACTCTTCTAGTAATTTCTCGTCTTTGATAATGAAAAATAGGGGCAAAATAAAACCGTCTGCGGCTGCAAACCCGATACTAGTGATAGCTCAATAATTATCACCTATAATAAGACGTGAACGGATATTTAAGTATGCAGTGGCTACTTTTTGGGCTTTTCCTTAACCGATTTGAAGCTTGGTTTCGTCAAAATTGTAGAAATTAGACGGTGGTATTTGATAGATAAATAGTTCGATCTGATCGAAAAGAATTTGGATAGAACTAATATCCTCGGCTAGAATACATTTTTTTGACAGAATTTTGCTTAGTGAATGATATGGGTTTCGGTAGGCGTCGTAAAAAGCGCCAAACCCAATTTTTATCTCCTGGTTCGGGCAGCTAGCTCTAGGTACTGCGAATAATAAGCTAGTTTGCAGCTGGGGTAATATTACTTGCGGTCCTGAGTATATAAAGCGAATCAAGCTTCTGTGTCCACAGAATAAGGGCAGCTTCTTACGTGGTGGTTAAACGACTATTAGGTCAAATAGCGCTTGTACGAGCTGGTCGGCCGAAAATACGGGCACGTAGCCGGTGGTAAGAAACATCGTGTATACGCGCCAAAGTAGAGATTTCAATGTTGTATCGTGGCTATAGGCTTTGCAAGCATCAATGATTCGTTCTTCGGTAGTTTGATATTGATCATACATGACATGAGTGAATAGTAGCTAAAATAACAAAATTATTTGTGCTAAGCCGGGGCTTACCCATACCCCCGAATGGGCGGTGTGGGTAAAAGGTCTTGGCTATACAAACATGTCAAATATTGTCAGCCCCATTGGATTACTTTCGCAAAGCGAGATCGGCGATGAATCGAACCTAGATGGGCTTCGAAGGCAATTGTCTTCGAATAGATACCTAAATGCCTCAGAAATGGTAGTTCGCCGCGTGGATCGAAAATTTGGCTCTGCGAAAGGACGACGAGAGTTGAAGACGGAATCTTCACACGGGAGCTCACATTCCATTTCGGTGTAACTTAACCGGGATGGGTAGCTTTGGAAAAATGAAAAAGCACAATCGAGTAGTAAAGTAATGTTCAAAGTGCTGTGATATATGAGATTCAGGAGTTCCTCAATTTTAGCGAGCTTCAGGAGCTGGATCCGTACCGAATGCGACTTTCTTGTTGAATCCACGATTTTTCGTTTGTACTATCCAGTAGTTGGTGGCGGCACTTCAAACCAACTTGACGGGCAGCCTATTCGTCACATGCATTAGCTACAAATCCCACGTTATACTTTACCATCATTGTGCACCTTGATGACCTGACGGAACCTCTCCTCTTTCGCGCGACTTCGCGATGTATGACTGCCGCTCCAGTACTGCGCAATGACCATGATCAATCCTGCTTGAAGATCCTGGAATTGGGTCCAATCTTTGGGCTTGTCACCAACATCTCTGTTCTTAAAGAAGGCGATACTGATTTCGCTATCATAGGAAAATATAGGACTGGAGAAAACAAATAGCTCCGTAAAGTCGACCACTTGCTTCGCGGTGCGTACTTCCATCTCATCCTTTGAGTACATGGCTCCCATGAATATAATGGATGTAAGTAAGGGCAGTGAGATGGTTTCCAAATCAAAAGACGAAGGGTGGACCATCGCACCATTTGGGTGCCAGTGCTCGAAATACATTTCTTTGAAGCGTTCAATGCGTGCAGTTGTCAACAGGAAAGCCAAGTTTGAGAATATTTTGTCCTGTTCTATTGTTTTGAGAGGCACCTTCCATGCTCTCGTCAAAATCGACTGGATCAGAAAACGAGCAAGCGGCCTCTCAGGCTCAAGTTTGGGCTGCTCTGTGAGTGACTTGAAGCTAGAATTCGGCATCGTGGATACGATCGTCTGGTATGTGGCCTGCTCTGCGAAGGTATCATTTACCCGGTTACATGGATAACCAAAAGGATTGTTGAATAAATCGTTAAACATGTGTGCAATGCAAGGCAGGTTATCCGGTTCTGTGTCACTTAGTGAAGTTCCATAATCGACACCATGTTGTGGCGGGCTGCAAGGCAATGTGGATGTAGTAGCCTCTAGACCTTGGAGCTTATGGTATTGAAAGTCACGAATCGTATCATTGTACGAAGGTGGGAGAAAGAAGTTTTCAGTGAAACTGTCCGTTCCTTTTGCAAGGATGATTTTTGCCAAGACCTGGTCAGAGGCCTGTTCGGACTCATCGCTTTCCATCAAGACGGTGCCTGCGGCAAAGGATCAATTAAATTATTCTCAGAAATTGGCCGAGGAAGACTTTATACCTCCGGCGAAGTCGTATTTGTGCGACATTGTTCTTTCAGTATCGCACAAGTAATTTTTTTTCTCGCAGGAACTGCAAGGGTTATTACCATCGCAACGGAGTTTTCTTGAAATGCACTGCACATCAGGTCGCCAGTCAGCAAAGCTTGACGCATTAGCCAAAAAAGAACGTCAAAAAAAAATCTGAACTTGCCGGTTGACAGGCATGTCGTTTCCGGCCAACCTGTAAAGTTGAAGGGATGAGTCGGTTCTCACGTTTGGTACAGATTGCAAAATGGTTCCGAAGTGCATCACTAGGGTGATGAATATGACTGTCAACCTCGCGAATCTGGTTTAAAACAAACTCCAATGAACAAGGATAAAGACAAAGACATTAATCTCACCAACGGGTAAATGATTCATAGCAAAAATCACACTTGTATGGCCTTCGTCCAGAATCTGATCGAAACTTCAGCAGGTAGGAAGATACAATGTTCAGGGTGAGTTTCGCAGGAAGTTGCGGAGGGTACAAGGACAGAAAGCGAGAAGGCGTATGTATGGGGTAGCCTACGACGAAGGAAATGTCTTGCGAGATGATCACTGCGCGAGAATCTCTCCTGACAGACAGTACATATCAAGGGTTTTTTAAATAGGGATGAAGTAGAGTGAGTCATGGTTGTTGTGTTACATGTAGTGTGCGGTGGGCTACAACCGCTTTTTTGAGGCCGCGTAGTCCCGGGTTCAGGCTTAGTAATCACCTTCCGGTCAATTTCGACTTGTGCCCGGGCGAGTGGATCTTTATTCATCCTCTCGGAGGCTTCTGTATGTATAGAATTCAATGGTCAGTAATTGAAAATTCAAAGTCGTCAAAGAAACCTCAATATCATCATTGCTAATCATGATCAACTGCGCCGGAAATGATCTATTCATCCGACTTCATATGTACATAAACTCCGTGAAGAAACTGGTCCAATATTTTAAATATCCTCCTTCTGCTCAACACCTGCCTTCTCTTCTGTCTTCATCCAAACATCGACCTCTGCAGCTTCACCCTGAGGTAGATGGCGCGCCATGGAAACAATCGACCACGGCGTCGGCGCATCCCGGAAGACATGATTTAAAGCCTCGAGGTTCCGGTTCATAGTCTCCGGGTAGAAGAAGTACACCACGAAAGGAATGCATGCTGAAATGACAGCATACATGATATAATATTGATATCCAATGGAGTCCAGAGCGACGGGAGTGATCATAACGACCACAAAGTTCCACAGCCAGTGGTTTGCTGTTGAAACGGCGGACATAGCGACGCGAAGACGCATAGGCGCGACTTCGGTGCAGTAGAGGAAGTTTCCGCCGAGGAACCCGACAGGGTAGAAGGAGTTGAAAAGGAAGATGAAGACAGCCGAGACGACTGAGGCGGTGTGGTTATCGCCGAAGCTGGTCGTGATGGCGAGGACCATCATGCAGACTGACATGCCTGCACCGCTGATCATGAAGATCTTTCGGCGGCCGAGTCGGTCGATGGCGAAGAAGGCGATAAAGCTACACATGAATTTCCAGGTCATGGCGCAGGAGGCTAGGATGCGGGATAGGTCGCTTGTCATGTGAAGGTTCTCTTCGAAGATGGTGGAGACGTAGGTGGAGATGAGGTTGCCTCCGCACATTTGTTGGAAGAATTGGAGGGAGATGCAGATACAGAAGCGATAGAGGAGGCGCTCATCGTCGACTTTGTTTGGGTTGAAGAGGTCGAAGAGGGAGGCACTGTCGACGGAGACTTCGAGAGAGGTCTCGATGCCGGAAATTTCAGCGCGGACGGCTTCGTCGTCGTCGGAGAGACCCTTGTATGCGGCGAGACTGCGGGTTGCTGCTTCGACACGGCCAACGGTCATGAGCCAACGGGGAGACTCTGGGAGCAGGAAGACTGAGGCCAGGAGGATGATAGAGAAGAGGAATGAGACAACGAGAGGAAGACGCCATTGCAGGCTGCCATCGATCTTGCTTAGACCGAAATCGATCCAATTACACAAAGCATAACCCAAGCAGATACAGATACCATCGACGATGACATGTTGGCCTCGATGTTTGGCAGATGTACACTCGGACTGCCAGACAGGGACGGCAACACTCAGTTGCCCAACACCCAGACCAAGGATGACTCGACCGACGACGAATTGCGGAAGACCAAAAGCAGCAACCTGGAGCACCTGTCCAATGACGGTCAAGACGCCACCAAGGAAGATAGTCCAACGTCGACCAAGACGATCACCGAGACCTGTACAGGACAAAGCTCCGATCAGAGCACCCAACTGGAAAGAAGCAATGACAGCACCCTTTGCAGTCGAGTTAGTTGACTTCACCGCACCTGTTGTGTTGATGGTATCAATCTCAGGGAAGACCTCAACCCAGCTCTGCAGTGTGGCCAAAGGCCCCAAGCCAGACTGGTTATATCCGAAAATAATAAAAGCAGGCGCAACAATGAGAAGCGCCTGGGCCACGCGAAGATTCTTGCCTCGAAACATCGTGACCGGCTGGAAATTATACCGAAAGAAACTATGAATTAAAAAAAAAAAAAGAAGGAAGAAAGAAAACAGTGCGAGGGAAGCGTCTTCGGTTTATATTCACCACACTACTCCCCAGCTAAAGGACCCCGGGATAGCCGTGGAGACCCCGCGCGAGAATTCTGATTGCTAGCAGACAGTGGGGCCATTAATTGCACGTTGGTGGGTGCCTTTGTCCAACCGACTTCTCAGAATTTACTGATTAGGCGTGATCTTCCTCCGAATTGGCTGTGTCTGCCATCTAAATTGGGGTAAGTTAGGGTTTGGGCCCGGTGGGTGACGCTGCCGTGTCTCGCCTTGCCCGTACATCGGAAAGGACCCACGGATGGGGGCCAGAAACAAGGGATTGTCATGGGCTGATTGGGGGTTTCCCCTCAGGAAGGAATGCCGATGATCGGGCGAACCTCGCATCCTTGTTAAGGTTGGAAATATGCTTTAGCTCGAGCTCGCCCATCTTTCCAGGCTATCTAGGCTAGGTACATACTTCTACATCAGGTTTCACCAAGTATTTCCAATATAAGTACCTCGAACTATCACTCTCGGTACTTGAATTTGAGCTTTGGCGAAGCATTTATTCTCCGGTTTTGCCAAGGGGCAATCTGGTCTTAGCTGAAAACACGCTTCGGTGATCTTTCCCCGGTCGGCCATCCTTTCCTACTCGGGCCGAGCGCCGCAGCGGTCTGATTATTCGGGATTAGCATGGTTGGGAATGGAACACCATGACTTCAACGAGTATGGCCCCAACGCACCGATTGGCTTGATGATTTCAATGACCATATGCCAACCCCGTGTTACATGCAGCCAAGAATATCGGATCTCGCTTGGTCGTACAAATTGACGGGGTATTCGGGGTTTCGCGTGGGAGCCACCTTGGCAGGGACTCGGGTTGCGTCAGATCGATCGGTCCGGCAGACTGAGCCTATGAGCGGCCACCCGAGTCTAGGTCTGAGCTTAAATGTTGAAGCTTGTTTGGATTCGTTTAACTAAGTCTCCACTGCCAAGATACAGGTCAAGAAATCCACTATCATCTTCGGAGCCAATCCGGGGGTGATCCGGGGAGCAGAAGGCAGACTATGCCAAGGCGTGGGTGGAGGGACGAGGGATGGAAACCTTTCTCCGCGCTCCACCCTTCGGTCATCTTCCGAACGTCTGATTTTTAGGCGGATCATCTACTTAATCCGCCGATAGCCCAGTACTCGGAGGTGAAAGGTCGGGGAAGATGCGCGATGTGCTTACTTTTCTTGTACTGGACTATGCAACGAATTGCCTTCATGCTCTGGAACACGTTGCCATATTCTCAGACTTGCAATGCAGCATCATCATTGATTGCAAGTGAAGCAGGATTTTCAAGATCAAGATATAAATGAACGCTTGACCACGGAGGGATCTCGGTCAAGTTTCGGAAGTGGCTGAATCTTCACCGACTGACCAGTAGGTTATGCGCCAAAGTGGCGGACAGAGCCTCTAGCGGCCCCATTTATACTCACATCCGTAAGGAATTTCTGAGATCGTACACACTCCGTTGTGTTCTAAAGCGGAATTTAGAACTTTTTCGGTCCTTCGGTGTCGACTTTTACCCAATCTACCCCAACTCCGGCTGTTTACTCCGGCAAATTAACATTATTAATCTAGCCAAACCAAGCCGGGACAGGTTTGTTTGCTCAATGAATTGATCAGAGAATTGCTAAGACTAGATAAACTTATCTAAAGACGATGACTTGGTCATCATTAAATTTATTATTGGATAACTCTATTGCCTCCTGTCGGGACCCACCGAAGACATACCTGTCTCAGCATCCTCCTTTCTCCCCATTGCAAGTCCATTCTCCTGTTCTCGATTTCTCTTTTCCTTCTTTAAATCCCTCCGCAGCAATAGATTCCAAAGATAAGGCCGAGTAGCAATCTCATGCCCTCCGTCCTTCAAAATCCAAACATTCCCAAGGAAGGTCGTAAGAACCACAACAAGCCACATCACAGGAATCATCGCAATAAACGCCCACTTAATACCATCCCTTGCACGAGCATCCCCAGCGCCGCTCGTATTCGTGAAGACCGTAGTCATGATTGTGAGGCCGATCAGACCACCAAATGGAATGGCGAAGGAGACAAGACACGAGATCTGCGCTGTCATGGCGGGGAAATAGGCTAGGCCATGTAGCGAGGCTGGGTTCATGCGCATTCCGACTCCATGGCCAACTAATGCCATCATGCCGTAAATCACGTTCGTTTCTCCCGCATGAACAGCCCAGGCGAGAACTGAAATGCCGATCGCGGCAGTTATACTCCCGAGCATAAGTGCTGGGAAAGTTTGGCGGGGCCAGACGTTAGAGGAGAACATAGCCATGTAAGCGCCAACTGGGAATTAGTTAGCATCAGTTTTGTTTTTGGCAAATATTCAAAGGTTTATACATACCACCCAAGCCAGGCAGGAAATATAACAGCGCAAGACCGGAATGACCAGAGCTCTTCCCCTCCACGAGCGCAAAGTACAGGTCCATGAAATACATAACTGCAAACATGCCAATACCAATGGAGAAGTTGACCAAGAATAGCAGACCAATATCGCGCTCTTGCAACAATTCCCAAGGAATCATAGCCTTCTGGTGCGGAAGCGCTCTCGCAATAGCAGACCCTGGTATCATAAAATACTCATACACAACCCATGCAATTGCCAAGACAGCACCGATGACGAGTGGAGCAAGGACAGCAGCCGAATCCCAAGAATAAGTACCTCCAGCCCATGTGAAAGCCAGGATCAATAATCCGAACCCCCAAAGGAATAGCAATTGGCCGCCATAATCGAGAGTCGACATCCTGGCCTTGAATCGTCCCGATATTGTCGTAACGTCCACACCTTCCATCATCAGAATAGGTTGGGGACCTTGTAAGTCATTTCTCAATACAATGACAATCACAACCATAGCTATAACTGCGATTGGCAGATTTATCGCAAAACACCATCTCCACGAAGCCTGCGTCAAATAGCCACCAATGACAGGACCGATACTAAACCCGATGCCCGAAACAAGCGCGAAAATTGTCCAGTTGAGTGCGTACTCAGAAAGTGAGACGTGGTCGGCTAGAATTGTTCGGATGGACATATTCACGCCCGCGGCGCCGACACCTTGAATGGCACGGCCGAGAAGGAGGACTGGGAAAGAGGACGTTGGGGCGCCGGTGCAGATTGCGGAGCCGATCATCATTATCAAAATTGCAGATTGGAGAACATAGTGGCGACCGAAGAGGTCGGTTAGTTGGGCCCAGATGAAAAGGAAGGCGGCGGATGTTAGGTTGAAGACGGAGATGATCCAGTTTAGTTGTTTTACTTGATCTGTAATGTAGTCAGTAGAGTGCTTTTGATTCATATGATTGATGAAGATATATGCTCGAGGTTGGGAGTGTAAGGAATAGCATACTAAAGTCTTCCGCGATATATGGCAGTGCCGAAGCCACGATTGTTGTGTCCAGAGCTTGTAAGCAGAAAGGGCTGAACAGACCGAGAACGATTTTCCATCGATAAATGGTCCTCCTCTTCTTCTCTGCGACCTCCTCAGGGGTAAGAACCTTCCTTTCCTTCTTCTCTTTCAAGTCTTTGGCTTCAAATGAGGGGGCTTTATTTTGGGATCGTTCCGCTGGTACATCGTGAACTGGTGCGGCATGCGCTGGTGTCGCTTCAGAGTGTTCGACGAATGTAGCGTCTAGAGGAATGGCTTCGCGTGAGCCGTGTGCCAGGGTTATATTGTCGCTTGCGTTTTGAATGTTCCCCGTATGCTTCAGAGCTGCAGCCTCAACCCGTCTTTTCTCGTTCCGCTTCTTGATATGTTTGTAGATCAAAAACATGGTTTCGAGAGATCCGCTAATCCTATGGTCAAGGTGAGTGACAAAAAGAGATTCGAGTACATAGTGCGGTAACTCATTTTATTATATACACCCTCGCATGTATGGGAAGATGGAAATTGCAGAGCGAGCATCCATCAAAAGTGGAGCCCTTGTGTGAACTTTGGAGAACATCGCGAAATCTGACCCAAATAGGCTTAGCGAGCTGAGGGATAAGTCGCAGTCCTTTCCTGATAAGGACACCTTGTCGTTATCGAGGGACTGATAAGAGAAGGAATCTCCCGCTAGAAAGAGTCACCAGTGCGAGAAGGGTGTAAGTGAATCTTTTTTTCAAGTTGATAGAAATCATTTTGAGCTCTTCAAGATGTGGGATTGAGTTATACTTAGGCAGCAGCGAGTTCCAACCCGGCTGGTTCTGTCTGGGTTGACGCTTCTCTAGTGGAGTTGGGCTCATTCTTCAGGGTGAATCGGGTCGAACCGAGCGGCTGTGCTCTGGCTCGTATTCACAAATTATGCCTCTTATCAGTATGCAGTGTTGACGGAACTTGTACTAGCCGCGGAAGACATTGGAGGCATTAGTATCTCGAGAATCTATTCTCTCATCCTGCCAAATCAAGTATCATACAGGTATCCTCTCTTCTCGCCATGGATTCACAATATGACTTTCCCCCAGTACCCCCTTGAGCACGAGCAGTATATCATCAACCGCAGACAAAAACTTTAAGTAAGAGCTGACCGCCACGCAATACCGACGGTAATCTTCACTACGCACCAAGTCCGTACTAAACTCTGCCTTGCGGTGCTCCGCGTGCCAAGCTACATAGCATCGATTAAGTAGCGGTGCGGGCAATCTTTCTGGTAGAGGATCACCTGTCTTTAAAGACTGGTTGATTACTCCGAGGACGACCATGACGGAATCAATGATGGTGTCATCCATGATGCCAACATTGCGCATAAGACGATGCTGCAGTTCTAAGGGGAGGGATCCCGTCAGAGCAAGCAGTCGGCCTATTGATTGGTTCATATCCTGGCTTAGTTCTTGTATTTGAAGAAAAGTTCCCTGATCGAACGGGCCGAAGCTGATCTCGAATTTCAACAGATTGATGGGTCCTTGCAGGGAGAGGAGTGTCTCGGCCAAGTCAAGGGATATCTTCTCTGCCACGACGTTGACAGGGCTAGGGTCATCCGCTCGGCCCCAATGGGAAAGGAGCAGGGCATAGTGGTCTGATAAGATGCGAATAGCGTTGAAAAGCGAATTGCGGACATGCCGACTTGCCGACGGAGGTTTGGGAAAGATCTGGACAACGAACGCAGCGACTAACCCCAATAGAACGGTCACTAAGCGTTTGTAAAAAGCTTCGTATCCGTATCCTGGAAGTCCATATTGCTCAGTATGTTTATCGTCGTAACTGAACCCGATCACCAGCACGTAAGTCGCGCCACTCATGACAGCGCATGGCAGTAGTGCGGGCGGCAGGAACAGTCGCCACCAGACCAAGACTAATGTCATTGCTGCGGTTATAGCAGACAATCCATATGCGTTACCAAAGCCATTGCCCGACCCGATATACCATGCCACCATACCCATTACGCCACCAAGTATGGTGCCAGCGGTTCGACTAACAAATGAGAAAGTGAAGTCTGCCATGTAGATAACCACCCCAATTTGCGCCGTGATTGTGCCCCAAATTCCCTTTTCGCGGTAGAAAAATCCCGCGGTCGCTGGTAAAGACGCCGGAATAGCCGTTGCAATTGTGACCACCACCATACGGATGGCATACATGCCTCCCGTATCAGTGAGCCAATGCCAGCTGCGCCTGATGATATTGCTTAGCCTGCCTTGACGACGCCTCACTCCAAGGCCATGGCTTATACCAAGCTGGCGATGTGCTTCTTGGACTTGGTCATCCAGTATGGTGGGATCATCTCCGCTACCCATAGGCATTCCAGACAAAGGAGGGTTCTGGTGCCCGTTGACCAGCCAGGCTACAGCGTAGCGAACGCCGCACGGATACCATATGCGGTGCTTGGTGCGTGTTCTACATAATCCCAATATCCGAGCCAGAAGACTTTCTGTGGCCGTTGCTGATCCAAGAATTCTTTCTTCGGCTACCATGCCCAAGACTAGGGCGCGAAGGGCATACGGACCTTGAAGATCTGGAGACTTGAGATTACCGCTTTCGTCGAAAAGATCCATGTGGCTCTCGATCAATCCTTCTGTGGTTTCACTGGCACAGCTCTTCTTGGCAGAACGCAGTTGATCCAGAATTTCCTCCACACGAGAAGCCATCTGGTCAAATTTCTCGGCCGGGTGTCGGCGGAACCATCGACGCGTGTTGACTAGACGGATACATTCAGCGATCAAGCTGATGGCTTCCGAAGATACATGCAACAACTCTGTGGTAGATTGTCTGAGGGCCAGCGTGGTATTGGATCGGATTTCTCCAATCTCTGGGGACTGAAGGGCATGCATCATATATGTTCCTTCTTGCAACTGCCGATTTCCCATTCCAAAAGGGGAGGTATTTTCTTTTGTACCTGCATCGCCGTTTTCACCACCTGAGTCTGACTTCATCTTACTTATCTTCTCATGGGCTCGTTGTTGAGCGATGTGAAAGTCCAAAAGAGCGATATGAGTAAGCATCATCTGCCGGACAGGAGCAAGAAGACTCTTAATATCCTCGGCACCCCATCGGCCACGGGAGATATCCAGTGGTAGGAAAGCCATCATGGGTTTCATAGCCTTGAACGTCTCAATATATTTTGCTTTGGAGCACTTCATCTGGGCAAGGTCTACTGGCTTTTCAGTCAACCTGTCCCGCGTGCATTCTAATGGAAAATGCCCCATGAGAACTAATTTCTCCATTTGAGACAGAATCGCGTATGATGTGGACTGCGGGAACAGCAACAAACAGCACGCGAAGCCGAGAGCGATCCCTATAGCACCCGGCTCAACGAGGACTTTGGCGACCTCCCCATTCCATGATGGGAGGGTTGGACCGAAGAGCAGGAACAGGTCCATGACGATGATGCCGAATATCTCCGCGAGAACGAACTTCTGATTGAGCACCCTCAGTCGCGCCATCACATACACGAAGACGCAACTCATCACGTAGAAGATAACAGTGACTCGAGCATCAAACATAAAGCCGTCATGTATGAGGTTTTCTGCTATTGCTAGAGGGTTTTGCCCAGTTTGCTTGGCCTGTGAGGCGGCCTCTTCTTTCAGTTGGAGCAGTCGGGCCATAGTTTGCGAGTCTGGGCGCGCGGCCAAGGCGGCTTTCATGGTAATTAGTCCCCATGCCCAGGCCAAACACATACCGAATAGAAGAGACAAAGCTGCCAAAAGGTAGATGATCAGTATGCTGCTGGGAGGCACAATGTACAGCAAAAGTGCGCCGAAGAATGTGGCGATTCCGATGCTGTGCAGGGCCGGGCCGATGAACATTAACAGGGATGCCACCCAGATAGCTACCCAACAGCGAAGAACGATCTTCAAGTCGTGTTTGTTGAAGTGGTCCAGCCAAGCTGGTAGCTGGAACCGACGGCGCTGGGCAGACGCTTCTGCGCTGCCGTCTGCGTTGCCATTCTCAATCTTCCTATTGACGTGGGTTTCCCGGTCGGCGGGAATTTTTATCGGCATTTTGTTTCGGATGACTTAATGAGGCCATTGAAAACCCTTACAAATGCTCATAATCGCTCGGTTAAAGAACGGAGCGTAGCGGAGGTGAGCATTACTATGATTGGGTCGAGACCCAAGTGAATGCTGTCATCGTCGGAGACTTTTTCCTACCATTGGCCTAGGAACCACCAACGACTGCATCAATTGACAGCGAGATTTTTAGAGGCATTAATTACCTGAGGTGAATACGAATCGAAAGACAAATAACAAAATGCTGCATAGCAACAAATCTAACTGTTCTCCAGCCCAGTGATTCCTTCGGAAACCTCGGAGCCCCAGCATCGGGGGGTCCAACGTGCTCACTGAATTGCAAGTCTGATATCATTGGTGCCATTTCACTGGGACATTGTTATCTCGTGTTCACCTTTTTAGCCTAGAATGCCGCGACACTAACGGGGCGATCTCCCGATTTTAGCCAGATAAGAATCGCCCCCCAGCCGCGTGACCGCCCCACAGACCTGTTTAGCCGATTTACGCGATGGATTGTGCGGATTGTCATTTCACCTAGAGTATAAACTCCCTTGGTACACCCACAAGGCAGCCCTATGGATCTTATTCCCTCCTATCTTCTGGTTTGTGGCTGGATCTAGCCTTGTGACCTTTTTTCATAGCCATGTCTGGACAGCCGAACACTTCGTCACATAACCTGTCACCTTCCCCACAGAACACGAACCCCTTCTGAATTGGGCAATGTGGTGTTCTTGAACGGTGGTTTGAGATGCCGGCTTCCCTGGAGCCGCGGCTTGGTTTGTTTCGTGGATCTAGACCTTTTAAGACTATTCCAACAAACTGGTCATGTGAGCCGAGCGCGAAGTAGATTTACAATCACATTTCATTAAAGGAATTAAAACTTCCAACCCATCACCCACTCTACCTTTCGAGGATTCTTCTAAGAAGTCTTCTGAGAATGATGGCTGTTGAAATCTCACCCAACACCTCACAACTTCGCACCTCCATTTCAAACGATATGCCCTCTCCGTCGCGTACGACTTTGGAAAGCATTCTCTCGGGCGAGTCACCAAAGCCGTACACATTTAATGCTTTCCTGGATTTCCTACATCAGAACCACTGTGAAGAGACGTTGAACTTCATCTCGGAAGCGAAAGCGTACCCAGGTGTCTACGGCACGCACTGGTCTTCTCCGGACAATAGCATCGTCATTCAAGACCCTATTATTGTTGGAAAGCAATGGACGTCCCTCATGGGCACCTATATTTTGCCCGGGTCTCCCAGCGAAATTAACCTGCCAGGTTATATCCGTGAATCGCTCCTTGGAATTTTGGATGTGACCATCCTACCACCCCATCCAGATCAACTAGACTCTGCCCTTGATCATGCCTATGAAATTCTCACACACGATGCCTTGATCCCATTCATAAGAAGTTTCAGCCTGGGTGATGATCGGCCACTGGATTCAGAATCTCATTCCAATACGACAACATATTATGGGGGTTTTGTTCACACGTTTTCGCGAAGATACAGCTCACCGAGCAGGAACAAGTCGTATGTTCATTGGAAATTTCATTTGGTCATAGGAGCGCTAATTTGAGATTATAGACCTTCCCCTACTGAGTCTTCAACGAAAAGTACTCAGGAAATCCAGCCTCCGAGAGGCTTCCGAGTACCGCCGTCATTATACAATTTCTCTTGGGTCAAATATGTTGGCGGATTCGGATACTCCAGAGGCCAAAATCCGTGATTCAATATGGAGCAACCTATGGGACTTTTTTGAAATATGTTGATCTGAGGACCTACGAAGGATCACAAGGTCATGCTATGGAGATTTAGTGTCATGGTACTCTCGTAAAACACAAGCCATCAAATCCTTTCCGAAGTTAACGGGAGTTACCTGGGACCTCAAGAACCATCCTTTGATAGAGTTTACCAGAGAATACTTTCCAATCGAATACGTCATTTTTGAGATTTACGAAGCGAGATGATCAATCCGTAGCCGGAAGTTTACGCCTGAGGCATCAAGTGGGCGGAAACTGCCGACAAGCATCTGCTCGGGGCCCGTGCCATTCACTATTCTGCAAATTAACTTTAGGAATGGTACCCGGATACAACATTGTAATGTCTCGGGATATACCATACCGAAGCCTAGGGGGACCCATGAGGATGATTCCCAATGACCGGTTCTGATGCATATTGAATTGCGATCTACAAATGCGGAGAAGACCCTGACTGCCCTCGTTTTTCCCGAGACTCAATTCATACCGTATCCTACCTTTGAGAAGACTTCGTTAGGATGGCTTCTCAACAATTCATGCTTCGAATTGGAGCAGTTGTATCGTTATGTTCGACCGTGGCATATGCCGTTGACGCTTACTTCCCAAAGTACTACCATCTCGGCGCCGAACCAACTATTGACGGGCTGCAATCCTACGATAGAAGCTCAGTTACATTGGATGAACATAACTCCGTCTTGACTCTCGATTATACCACCGAGGTTGGGGGTTGGCCCTGGGTCGAACTTGAAAGCCCGAGCTCTCCAGTGCAGATTCAACTCAAGTATTCTGAGCCATTTGACGGCCTGGAACTTCCGCAAGGGGATGGACCTTGGTAAGTTGGGTACTGGACTTAATACTCTCCTTTCGGCTCTAACACAGAACCAGGCTATACTGCAACGGTCTCATGAACTCTTTCCGTACTGAAACCTTCAACATCACGGATTCAGGAACGACCCAATCCTTCTTCCTTCAAGGGGGCCTTCGTTGGCAATCCATCACTCTCATTGGAAACACTCCCATCACCATTCGCAATATCGGCATCAAACCCTCTGTCACCATTTCCGACCCGGCAACACTCCCAGGTAGTTTCTCTACCTCCAACGATATGTATGAGCAAGTGTGGAGCCTGGGCGCCCGCGCAGTCGAAGCAGCCTGTGTTGATGCAGGCTCACAGCCTTCAACCTGGGAGATCTCCGATGAAGGCGCTCTTATCAGAGGGCAATATCCGGCCGTATCCGCGCTTGCGAGCAGTTTTGCTAACTACACCCTGGAGTTCAGCACAAAGATTACTGCTGGCGGTACGGGTTGGCGCGTTGCTGGTGGTGCCAATGGTGGTTATGGAGCTTACTTCGTATTGACATCCAATAAGGAGGGGCTGGAAAGTAGTAACATTACATCACTTGCTCAGAACAGTTTGATTGCCGGGTATGGCTTCACTCTGATCGACCAGGCGATTCTGCCATCTGCACCATCCGAAACGTATCCCGTTTCGACCGTCATTAAAGAAAACGAATGGTACTCCATCAAGACTGTGATCAACGCAACTGGATATGCTATCTCTGTCAACGGTCAGGATATTGCTTTCGTCGGCAACTCAAACTTTGAAAGCTATATCAACGGCGCTTGGGGCTCTGGCAGCTTGACCGAAGGCAACTTTGGATTCGGTCCCTATCTGAACCAGCAGGCATGGTACAAAGATGTCAAAGTCACCGCACAAAACGGCACTGTCATTTACCAGCAACCTTTCACATCCACCGACATTCTCCAGGAATATGCTGTCGCCAGCAACGAGTACGCCGTCTGTCTTGATGGAGCGAAACGCGACCGGGAAGTCTGGATCGGCGACTTCGCTCACACTGGCCGCATGATCGCGGCAAGCAGCGGCCGGTATGACTACATCAAGAGTATGATTGAGTTCGAGTTCGATTGGCAGTACCCACCTGGCCCTGCGCACGGTCTGGTCCCGATCCAGGCATACATGGGAGCAGGTGCAGACTATCGCGAAGTGTACTATCCTTCGGAATTTGGTGAGACAGACTACCAATTCTTCTTTCTTCTAGTCTTGAGTGACTATTTTGCTTTGACCGGCGATAAGGACACTCTCAGCAAAAATTGGGATGGTCTCAAGCTATTGGTCCAGACATTGGTTGATCGATACTATGATCAGGGGTCCGGTCTCATGGCCAGTGCCGATGCCTCGTGGTTCTCTGCGCAAGGCAGTCAGAATGCCACTGCACCGACTGCTCTCTTTGTCGTCGCTCTGAACCAGCTATTTGAGGTTGCAACCGCTCTCGGGGACTCGGATACCGCATCAACCTGGAGCCAATTGTCCACCAACATTACCACCGCTATCAATGATTCCCTCTGGAACGAAAACATAGGCGCATACAGCCTATCGCTGGCACAGCCAGACGACACCGCAATAATGGCTACTGCGTTCACTATCCGTGCTGGAATCGCATCTTCCGACCGTGTCACTAGCAGCATCGCCCGACTCTCCGACGTTTTTCTGGCCATAGGCTACAAGGACAGTTCCGCCGCTTCCAACTCCGCCAGTACTCAGTTATCCCCAAATACTCAAGGTTTCCTCCTCGAATCCCTCTTTCTCGCGTACACAAAGTACAACGTCTCCGTGGATGTTGTAATCCCAGCCATTCAAAACCTATCTGAAGTCTTCTGGCCTAAAATGGTTACCCAAAATGAGTACTTCACTGGCGCGAGCTGGGAGTATCTCTACCAAGATGGTAGCCCAGGTATTGGAATCTTCACCAGTTTGAGCCATCCTTGGGGAGGTGCACCGACCTACATCTTTAGTAATTATATCCTTGGTGTAAGGACGGAGTGGAATGCCCAGGTCAAGAGCTATGAATGGGTGTTCGCCCCGGCTTGGGACATTGCCGAGGGCCTTGGTCTTGGGTGGGCCAGGGGCAGGGTGCCTTTGTCTACTGGTGGTTATATTGAGGCGGAGTGGAATACTACATCTAAGGGTGAGAAGCCTACGATGTCTGCGACAGTGGTTGGAAATGGCAATGTCAAAATCAATGTAATTGAGAGGCTCTAGATTCTAGCTATTCCGTAACTCAGCAAATGCATACTTTTATTTCCATCGAAACCATTATTCTTTTCAAAGATAACCTCCGGGTAGCCTTCCAGTTCGTCGTTCCTGGTTACACCGAAACTCTATCCTATACTTCCAAAACCGAGCCATACTCCCTGGATATCGGCATATTAACGTCCGTTCAATATTGCATTTCCGTGTTCCTCCGTCATAATGATTTGTTTGAATACTACCTCCGCATCTGGTTCCGAGCCCCGTGTCTTGGACCCCTAGTCTCCCCGCATTGATCGTCATGTTGCAATCAATTCGGGCAATTTGCGGGGAATTTGGTCACCTCGGGGTTTTCATCACCGAGAAAAGTAAGACTTCCAGCTTTTCCTGCCCGTTGCATTGTCTTTACGGTCCTAACACAACCCTTATATTTGTGGGAGGCCACTTGGGTAACCATTGTCTCATGTAAACATTGAGAAAAATGGCAGTACTTTTCACTTCTACGAGAGGTATCCTCGCCTTGATTTGCTTTCTCATTCTCAACCCCCTGGCCAGTGCCTGCTGGGGAAACTCACCCTGCAATGGACCATTGGAAGCTTCCTTCCCTGGTCCGTGGGAAAATTACATGCACTCGCCATCATCTCGCCTCGTCTCACCGAAATCAATCCTCAATTCCGATACCAGCTTCCAGACTCGGTACCCGAGTCTTTCAAAACTTGCAGGAAATGGCTCCCTCGTGATATTTGACTTTGGACAAGAAGTCGGTGGAATAGTCAACATCAACTACACAACCAACGGAGCGGGGACTCTCGGCCTCGCATTCACGGAGGCCAAGAACTTCACTGGTTTCAATTCAGACGAATCAAACGGCGGTTCGACTCCAGATGGTGCACTTCTCATTGATATCTCATCCGATGGCTCAAAAACTTACTCCATGCCTCTGGACAAAATGCGCGGAGGGTTCAGGTATCTGAGTGTTTTCACTCTCACCAACTCAACCGATTTCAACGTTACCGTTGATACCGTTGATGTGGAGATCACCTTTCAGCCTTCGTGGCCTAATCTCAGGGCGTATGGTGGTTATTTCCATTCCAGTGATGAGCTGCTGAATCGCATTTGGTATGCCTGTGTCTATACGCTTCAAGCGAATAATATCCCGCCTACTTCTGGTCGAACGTGGCCAGCACCTACTCAGGGATGGGAAAATGATGCAGACCTGGGACTTGGATATAGTGTTCTGGTGGATGGGGCAAAGCGCGACCGGGCTGTTTGGGCGGGTGATTTGGGAATCTCTGTCCCTGCTTCTCTTGTTGGCCTTGGGGACTTTGAGAGTAGTAAGACTTCTCTGAACATTCTCTATATTAACCAGGTAAATATAAGTTTCCTATGTCAGTGGGCCTTTCTAATGATTACTAGGATCCGACTACCGGAGAGCTTCCAGAAGTTGGACCGCCGATCAACTTCTTTGGCTCGGATAGCTATCATCTGGCAACGATGATCGCGACACATGATTACATATTGTACAGTAATGATATGGAGTTCCTCCAGTCAATCTGGCAGAACTATACGCAAGCAATGACCTTCATCATCTCCCGAATTGATAGCACCGGCCTGCTCAATGTCACGGGTTCTTCTGGCTGGGGTCGATCTGCAGATGCATCCGGTTACAACATCGTCGGAAACATGCTCATGTACGGAGCCCTGCAGACTGGCGCAGTCCTGGCGATTTGGGCCAATCAGTCAGATCTAGCGAAGGAATGGGAGACTACGGCGTCGAGACTGAAAAGTGCGGTCAACTCTCCAAGCTACAACTGGGACCCATCAGTTGGGTAGGTGCTCCAACTCTATCGCCGAACTCGAACTAATCTCAAGCAGCGCATTTAAAAACAATCCTACCGACATTATGTTCCCCGAGGACGGCAACAGTATTGCCCTCTTATATGGCGGTGCGAATAGTTCCACCTCGTCAAACGTCAGCGACTACCTCACTACCAACTGGGGCCCCATCGGCGCCGAGACACCAGAGATGCCGGGTACCATCTCACCATACGTCGAGAGCTATGAAGTGAAAGGAAACTTCAAGATTCGAAATACAAAACGTGCTCTTGATCTCATCCGTCTCAGTTGGGGCTGGTACATCAACAATTTAATGGGAACTGGCAGTTCAATGATCGAAGGGTACAATGTAGATGGCTCGTTCCTGTATACTGCTAACGAAGGGTACGACAAATCGGGCTCGTATATTTCACATGCGCACGGGTGGAGTACTGGACCTGTTGACGGGTTGGTCTCGTATGTGGTTGGGCTTCAGCCTACTGCCCCGGGTGGTGCGAATTGGACTCTGGCCCCGCAGAAGGGTGATCTGAGTTCTGCACAAGGTGGGTTCACGACGCCGCTGGGGAGATTCTCGGCGAGTTGGGAGATCCAAAACACTGGTTTCATTCTTCAATTTGATACTCCGGCGTCCACTCAGGGGCTGATGCAACTTGAGGTTTCCAACTCGGCGAAAGTTCTTGTTGATGGACAAGCGTATCCGATAAATAGAGACCCTGTCACTGGGCTTTCGGAGATTAGTGTGTCTGGTGGTAAGCATGTTGTAATTTTGCAATAGGGATGTCAAATTGCGACGAGCGAATCGAATATACTCACTTCGAATGTTGGCTCAGATACGTTGTACCAAAATCTCCCATATGATTTCAGTCCTAGCTCAATGTTTCTAAATTTCGGGACCCAAAATATACCTCAACGGCCGGCCTAGCGCGACCGGGGCAAACAAATCGGTTCCAAAACCCCAGAAGCTTTGAGAATCAAATAGTAGTATTGCAAAAGCGAACCTTTGAAGTACAAACGGAATCTTTCCAAGAGGTGTGTTGAGAATTGTGTAAAAACATGTGGATGTAATCCATGCGGCTCTGCTGCCTGAGACAAAAAAGCCTTGGCGGCCATGTGTTTGCTGACAGCCTCGTGTTTTGTTTTCTTCTCTCTTTCATCTGTGTCTTTATCTTCTTGATCATCATAGCAAACAATGGGTCGCCTCCCCGACGAACCCTCGGCGTCCTCGTCAGTCTCACTCCACACCATCGATAACGATGACCTACCGCCCCCCTACACCGACGAGCCGGAATTCTCAACCGCTCCCGCTCCGCAGCCCACATTCCAACCCCTAAGACTCAGCGACTCAGCCTATAACATCCCCGGCGCGAAAAGCTTCACGGTAGCTGACGCTCGCATCGTCTCCTATGCGCCCTCGCTGTCACAGAACAGCGATGAGCTCTTCCGCGTTATCCGCAGGCAGATGAAGCTACCCTTGCGCCCGCTGCTTGGAATCCAGGGAACACATACTGAGTCGGGTAATGATGGCAAGAAGAAGACTACCAATAACGTGACGGACTTCCGCTTCCATCTTGATCTTGCGGAGACTATGTTGCGGGGTTGGGAGGGACCACTCGATGTGAACTGGATGCAGACTGAGGTTGTTCAGGATGGGGATGAGCAGAAGACGTTCCGGGGTGGAATTGTTCAATCACGTCAGTATAAGCCTCGCAAATCACATGCTAAGAGTGTTTCGCTCGACGATAGCGATGCCGCGTTGCTGGAGTCGGAAGCAGATGTCATGGACGGCGTCGAGGAGGGCGGTGCGGTTCTTTCGGAACAAGAGGAACATCTCAAGATGTGGTGTGAGAGGTTCTGCAGTGACCCTGCACCCGTCAAATCGTATGTTTTTCTGTGATTCCTTTTCGCGATGACCTTGCTAATTATTTGGGGAAAAGATTCACTATGACCCGAGAACTACAAGGCTTCGACTACAAGCCAATGCGCAATGTTCTTGCCTCGCACATCCGCGAACTAAACTACCGCGGGTCGACAAACTTCTGGTTTAAAAAGGGATACAGTTCCGTCACAATCTACTCACCACATTGGATCAACCAGCTACGGACTAACAGTTTTGTCTGGTGGATCTGCGTTATCCTCCAGCTCTGGATTATCACCTGGCCTATCATCAAGCTGATGGAGAAACGATACGAGGTCGCCCGGTCTCAGTGGAACGCCTCGCTTGACCCTGGCCCTGAGACGGGTTTGCTCAAGTGCTACGCCCAGAATCGTGACGAGACACAGCTTGGTGAATTCTGGGCTACGGCCGTCAAACAAGCTGCGTGGACTCGACGACAGGGAGAAGGTGCTTTGCTGACCAGGAACGATGCTGATCGATTGCGAGGCATGAGTAATGAGCAGATTTTGCGTATCCAGAGCTGTGAATCGGAGGCTGAGCGACAGCGCCGCGAACGCGTCCACAGTGGCCAAGGCGGACTCATGGATAGTGTGGTCGGCCTGGTCAGAGGCGTCTCGGAGGCCTCGCAGGATTACAGACTGACGATGGGATGGGGTGCTAACACCTAGGCTGTAATTAAATCAATTGGCTTCACCGGCGTTTGTTGCTTTGTACCTTAGGAAGCGCTCGCTTTTACCCAGATTCTACATAGCCTTTATCCTATATTGTGACAATTCTATTCCCCGCCGCAAAGGGCATTGTATGACACCAATGCGCACATCGCACTTGCTTACCCACCACGAATGGGTTGTTCCATTCGCCATGCAACCTATGGCTCTCCCGATTCGTTGGTGTATTTACATCCTTATCATAAGAACATCAACCCCGCATCTGCTCGAACTTCTGAATCGTGAGAATTGGATTACTGTGACACTGCCCTTGTGCTCTACGAAGAGAGATCAGATAAGCTTTATCATCTACCGTGCAAACAATCCGGCTTCAAGTACCTCACGATGGCGACGATGGAAAAAGTATTCGCAGGCTATGAAGCCCGAAAAGCAATCCTTGCCCAGAACACCAATCCCTTCACAAATGGCATCGCATGGGTAGCAGGAAAGCTCACCCCACTCAAAGAAGCTCGAATCCCCATGATGGACCAGGGTTTCCTCCGCAGCGACCTGACCTACGACGTCCCCGCCGTCTGGGATGGCCGCTTCTTTCGTCTAGACGACCATCTCACCCGATTCGATGCGAGTTGCAAGAAGCTGCGACTTAGCATGCCTCTCTCGCGACAAGAAGTGAAGCGGATCCTCGAGGAAATGGTCGCGAAGAGCGAAATTCGAGATGCTTATGTTGAAATTATCGTGACACGCGGCATGAAGGGTGTTCGCGGGAATGATCCAAAGGATTTGATCAATTCGCTCTACATGTTCGTTCAGCCATATATTTGGGTTATGGAGCCTGATATTCAGCGAGTCGGTGGAAGTGCGATCATTGCGCGCACTGTTCGGCGTGTTCCTCCTGGTTCGATGGATCCGACTGTTAAAAATCTTCAGTGGGGTGATTTCACGAGAGGTCTTCTTGAAGCTGCTGATCGTGGAGCTACTTATCCGTTCCTGACCGATGGTGACACGAATCTGACTGAAGGGGCGGGCTTCAATATTGTGGTTGTGAAAGGTGGTGTTCTCTATACACCCGCGCGTGGGGTCTTGGAGGGAGTTACGCGGAAGAGCGTTATAGATGTTGCCAAAGACAATGGTTTCGAGGTACGCGTTGAGCTTGTGCCTGTTGAAAGGGCCTATTGTGCGGATGAGATCTTCATGTGTACCACCGCGGGCGGCATCATGCCGATTACGAGTCTTGACGGGAAACCTGTGAATGGAGGTGGTATTGGGGATACCACAAAGAAGATTTGGGATGGTTACTGGGCCATGCATTATGATCCTGCTTTCAGCTTCAAAATTAATTACACGGAGACAGAGGATGGACGTATAAAATCACGTCTATAAGCCCATATTACCCAAGTAGCTAATCCAACATATCTGAAGGATTCTGCTACCAAAACAACTATCATGAACCGGTCCAGGTTATGTTCGTATTAAATTGTGAATACTGAAAGCTCTGATCTTGCTTCAAGCCTAAGGCTCACAACTCGAACTTTGAAGCCTTGGAGCCTTGGTCTTCCAGGTAACTACCTGCCCCCGCATTTCCGCAACTACCCCTGGGCCAAACTTACTTGGTCAAAAACATTCTAGAACTGTTCCAGAACTTAACGTTGTCAGTGGCCGAGCTTGACCGGACCGGGCAAGGGGCCTACGAAGAAGTCGTCTCGAAGACAAACCAAACGAGGCAGACCTTGAGAGCGGGTCCACACGCCAACAGCCTCGGTGTTTACCCCACATTATGAGAGATTTACCCTCCCTGATCGGCAAAATGCCCCCGTTGATTACATCGTTCGAACGCCAAACGCCAAGGGACGGACTTCGGAACGTATTAGCTGCCACTCGGACTCCCAAGAGGGTCGCAGCGCTTCCCCCGCTCTAATTGATTAACAGCTATGTCCAAATCAGGGAACATCTCCAGTGATTCTGGTCCGTCAATTGGCTATTCTCCCCTTAGCGATGGTCAGCCATTAATGACAAGCAATACGAAGACATTTAAGCGACTACAAAACCGGTATTCTCTTCAAGGCTTGTCTGCCATCCATCTCCTCCGCACCTTTTAAAATGCGATTTCACTGGGCAGAAGTGCTTCTCTTAGCTGGCTCTGCCCTTGCATCCCCATCTACGAAGACACGTGGTGCGCCATGTATCAACTCCCTGGGCAGTTTGCAGGTGTTGCATTATAACAACCTGGGCCCCCAGAACAATGGAACGTCAGCCGTTCTCGTGTATGGCGAGTTGAGCCACAAGGACGCCGCAGCACGGTGTGCTGCAATTGGAGAGGAACTTCATCTATGGTCCTCTACATCGTCTCGTACGCAGACACAGCTCCTCTATGAGCTGGACTACTTGGTTTTCTCTAAGAAATTACGTGCCGATGCTTTCATTTGGGTATCTACCGAGCCAGTCCACGGCAAGCAGTGTCACGCTCTTTCAATTTCACACAAAAAGCTACTGCATATTCCATGCGATGTCGAACTCCCCTCGTTATGTTCCTCAGCACCTCCTCCATCCACAGATCTTGATAGGTGCCCGAGAGAGTCGACCAAGCTCTCCATTAAGTCACAAGGCTACAGTATGACTGGATATCGCGATGCCCGCTCTTTTCGATTCCTCGGAATCCCATTCGCAAACCCGCCGATCGGTCATCTACGCTTCGCACCTCCACAAGCTTACTCGGGTCCAGCGGTCATCGATGCGACTACGATGAAGGAATCTTGCATCCAATCACTGTCTAGCTTCGGCACGCTAGATAATGGGGATATCTCCGAGAATTGCCTTTATCTCAACGTATATACACCTGTCTTGCCTTCCCCAAGGGATCAAAAGACCGGACTTCGTCCGGTCGCGGTTTACCTGTATGGTGGCGCATTTACGAAGGGGACTGCAGCCATGATTGACTATGACGGGGGTAATTTCGCGAGTCGTAGCGATGTGGTCATCGTCACCCTCAATTACCGCGTCGGTGCGCTTGGATATCTTTCTACTGGAGACCTAACTACTGGAAGCTATGGGACTCGTGACCAGATTATGGCCTTGAAGTGGGTCCAAAAACACATTGCGGATTTTGGCGGAGATCCATCTCATGTTACACTCTTCGGACAGTCTGCTGGTGGGCAGAGTACAGTGGCTTTGCTATCATCTTCTGCTGCAAAGGGTCTTTTCTCCAGCGCGCTCGTTCAGTCTGCGCCACTCGACCTGCCCTGGTTCCCACGCAAGCTATACTCGAAACACATAGCACCGGAAGTTGGCAAAGCGGTTGGATGCGATTATACGAGCTCGGAGCAAGCTTTTCTCAATTGTCTTCGGGCTGTTCCCGCTACGAAGTATCTCGACAACTCCACTGCCTTTGAAAATGCTACTACCAGCATTACCGCAAGTATCGCGGATCACTACTATCACAACACGAAGATGCTTTCGGGAACCGAACCATTCATGCCGATGGTTGACGATTCAGGATCTGGCGTGATTGACGATCAATTCTATGAGCTTCTGGCCAATAACAGGCTCCCCATTCACGTTCCAACGATGTTCACCAACGTGCACGACGAAGCCGCCCTGTATACCGATGGGGAAATCTCAAATTTTGGATCCACACAACTTGCACTGGATGCCTTGCTCCAAGTAGCATTTGGCGCTGAACTAGCCCCCAAGATGATTTCTTCCAATGCATTTGAAGTCAATAGCTCAGACCCAGATGGCGTCCGTAACGCTGCTTCTGATGCGCTTACAGCCAGCGAGTGGACCTGTGCCCAAGGATATCTTCTCAATAAAACGCGCTCCGCCTTTCCTGCCCTTTATGAGGTGGAAATTACCAACGGACATATCCAGACCAACGTGGGTGTTCCAGCAATTTGTTCTCCCAACAATGACTACAACGCGTCGTGTCACACTTCGGACGTGTTGCTCGCATGGGGCACGTTGAATTCCAAGACCAAAAACGTCGATCCTTACTACGATGATCAGGATATCCGACACTCGCAACTCTTACACGATATATTCGGCGCCTTTTTCCGCACCCGAAATCCGAATCCCGACCTTTCCTTCCTGAAAGTTCGTGGGCCCGCTTATGCGACGACTCATGCTATTTTTGCGGGCGGGAAGCACATAAACCCTTCGCATGGAGAAAAGCTCAAGGGCTATTCAATTGAGCAGTATCACCCGGAAGATCGGAATTTGACCCTACTTGGCATCCCGCCGTCTCATATTGCCAACTTTGAAGATTCGGACAAGTGTGCTGTTTTCTACGACTACGGACTCACTTTCCAGCGCGCAAAATTGACAGATTAAGAATTTTTCCGAGGCCTCTGGCACAATGGTATACGGAATGATAAAAGAAAACTTGGATTTAAACCCATTTAATCCAAAAACAATTACGTGAACAATATCACCAACTTGAATCTAGAATACCAAATAGTTTTCAGTTTTCAGCTGGTATCCACACTCCTTCGCGGGAAATTTCAAAAGTTGTAATATCCTTGGATCGGGGCTGTGCTCCAAAAACATGCATATGGCTATACACTCGCCTCGAATCCTCCCTTCGATCCAGGGCTGTAATTCTGCTAAGGAGCACATAAGCCCCATCCACTGCGCCAGTATGACTAGAGCTGGCGAGTCTCTTTGTCGTAGAAGCGAAAGGAAGTCACAATCTAACCGACCCATGAATGAGGCGCAGTGTCCAGCATTTGGTACCGTTTTTTCCAATTCGAAAAGTGGGGTCAGGATCCGAAGAGGACTGTAATAAATATTTGTCTTATCTGTAGTAAACTCGTCAATGCCACAGAGATCTGCCAGATCAGAATCGAGGCCTTCTCGTCCTTGTTCAATGCCTTCGAAAATTTGGCGCTCTTCTTTGTTCAAGTATGCGAATGCATTTGCCCAGATACTGCCGGGTATGAATGGCCCGGCGAGGTTTAGAATGCATTGAATGCCACTTTGTAAAGCGAGCCAGTTCATGGCCTCGGGTCGGTTGGTGAGTACCCATGATTCTGTGGGGTCAAAATGCTCAGGGCAAATTGTCATAGCTCCCATCAACATGCATGATGATAAAATGGCATCCACGTTAGCTTGATGAATTTTTGAAGACAGTTCCGCTTGATAGAGTTCTATGGCGCGCTGCCAGAAAAAGGACTCGGCAATTGATCGCTCTTTGTTTGGTGAGACTCGGTTCATATGAAGCATGGCTACACCAAGAATAGTGTACATCAGGTATGGTGTCTGCATTGAAATTGTCAGAAACTTAATACTTCAAAGGTGGTCATTGGAGAATTTACAGCGAATGACACTCTTATCATGTCCGTTCTCATTACGTCTCTAATGGCGGGTTGGGCGATTGTCTCAGTTGAACATTTCACAAAATGGTGGAATGCAATACCACTCATTGAATGTGTGGACCCCGGTGCTGTTAAAGCATAAGACGACCATTTAGGGTCAAGGCTCAAAGTCCCCTCGACATTTTCCATGACGTTATCAAGTGAAAAGGAGAAACAAATGGTGCTCGGGTCGCTCGGGGTCGATATTATCTCAACACTCTTCTTAGCGTTCCCATCAAGGGAACTATTCGACTCTGTGGAATAGTCACATTGGATCCCCTTTTTCTGACATCTTTGGCAATGCGGTTTTTGTTCATCGCACTGTCCTAGACGTCAGTCTTGCTCCAAACGAAATCAGGTATCATCATTCATACCTTGATTCTTCTTTTCTTGCATGTAAGACAACCAGCTCGAGATTTTCGATGTGCTCGCCTTGCATGGAATACATGCTCATGCGTTTTTCCATGCACGGCTATTCGGAATACATTCTGAAGGTGGCGGCCCGTCAAGCCCGCTTCGGCAAGAGGATTGTCAAGAGGCGTGTGCCCGGAGGAGCTACTTTCGGATGACATCGGTTCCAGCGTCAGTCTTGGACTGCGTCAATTATTTCTGATTTTCATTTTCAGCTTGATGACTGTTTACAGTCAAAGTTGAAGGATATCGTTGGCTTCAGCATAGCCACAGTCCGTTGTCGCCATATATCCCCCGTCGGAGGTGGAAAAAGTGTTAGTCCTCATATATTTGCATTGTTTGCATGCTTATCCCATAACTAACTAGTTAGTCAGTTACCACTGATCGGGAAACCACCGTCACGTTCTAACACAGAACGAGATCTTCGGGAGGCCGGAAAAATGTTATTACTTATTGTTTATGCTGTTTGCATGGCTATCCCTACATAAACTGTCGATCCAGGGCTAGATAATACCAGAGATTTCCATCACTGATCGGGCTGACCGCTTTTGTATTTGACATTCTTGAACGGCCACATCTGTGATTTTGAGTAGAGTTACGTGCTCGCTTTTCGCGTCTCTTTACGTACAGCCTGGAGGTCTCATTAACCACCCCCCGGCTACACCGGTATATACGGAAGATTCTGAATTGAGGCCACCCCAATGAGGTTTCTATCAAGCTGGTGATTCAAGCAGATACCCAAGTAGTCCTTCCGTATGAAGCATTCATCAACCCGCCGGGCGAGAATATAGATACTGGACCACTCGATCTATCTGATGTCATTATCAATACTGGTGGTAATAGTAATACATCTGCAAGGAAGATATATATGGGCCACTACTACTTGATATTCCGACCGATACGCCTATCAAGGGGCATCTAGATGATTTATCTACCGGGAAGGGGTATCGGAAGAAGATAAGTCTTATATTGAGGCTTTGATGAAGCTACACACAAGGCTACAGTTAAATGGGAGGAAACATAAGACACTGGAGCAGATGGGATTCAAACCTAAATAGAAAATCAGGGATAGGGTTTTAAGTGTGAATGTCATATAAGCAATGCCCCGTACATGAGACGCTGCACACATTGGGGGTGTGCAACCGCTAGCTTTAAAGGTTGCGCAGCTCCTCCTCAATGACATCCCAAGCCCGAGGCAAAAGTGTTCCCATAAACCAATAGTTCTCTGCATGGTCTTTTCCAAGCATCACAAAAATGTTGAGCCCCTCGAAAGTATTGTCGAGAGATTCGTTAAAGTAGTTTACCATTGTCCCAAGAGGATTTGTTCTGGTTTCTGTGTTCTCGCCCTGGGTGATGACTGCCGGACCAAAGTTGGCAGTCTTCATTAATTCCGCTTTGATGACATTGTTGAAAATCACGGCAACGCTATCCGAGTTCCCGAACAGAACCCTTGGAGCCCTCCCCGCTTCGATATCTGCCATCACAGCCTTCAAAAACTTGCGGGTTTGTTGTTCTGTTCCCTGTTCTGTGACATGTTGGCGATGACCAAGTGCAATCGGCCCGAGTGGACCTTTAGCAACCTGTGAAGAAAGGAACGCGTATGTCCCCAATACCATGTTCTGAATGAAGACTCCACTTGATTGAAGCAGCAATGGAATTCGGAAACGAAGGTTGAGAAGACTCATAATAACAATCGAACGCGAATTTGGCTCGGATAATGCGATGGCCCGGGTCGCCCAGGCCGTGAGTATGTCACTCTCGCTGACAAAGGGAGCAGGCTCAGCTTCCGGAGCGACTGTAGCGACTTCTTGCCGTGTCCGGATTTTGAGTTTCTCGTACGAAGCCTTGGGAAGGAAGATAACTCGGCGTTCTCGAGAGCCACTCCGAATCATGTCCCATAATGACCGTAGCTGGAAGATGAGTAGGCTAAGTCCCGTCAGCCGACTTTTTCCGAGAATAAACTCATCGTCGTCATCGGCTACGATTGCTGGATGTTGGAGAATGTCTTCGCGTGCGCCCAGAACAGGTGGTACGTCTTCTTCCCGACCGGCTAAAACTGAGGACCATGCAGCTAGAAGGGCTTGGCCGCCCATGACATCCATCAATACATGAGGCCATACTAGAGCGGCGATGGTCGCATCGCGAAAAGAAGTGACATGAAGAAATATCGGAGCGATATCTTTCTGGCTAACTTCCTCAAACTTGGGGAAGTCGGCCCGAGCAATGAATGGTCGGAAATCGCTCGGAATTGGATGAGTGGATGGGCCATCCGTTTCCTTTGGAAGATTCCGTGCAACTGGATGGTCTTGAAGTCTCATGTCATAAGTCAAATGTGAGAACGACACATTCTCTCTTTTCGTGGCAGATGAGTTTTGGACGTGAATTTTCCATTCTTTCTTGCCCTGTTACGCATTAGCTGACTCAGGCTCTAAGAAGCCTTGGGACTTGCTCATCTCCCACCTTGCAGCGTATACGTCCACCAAATTTCCTCCAGTCTCCTATCTCTAGCAACCTGGAAAGGGAACTATTCAGTTTTTGAGCGTCAAGAACATCATTGAATCGCATAACCCAGTTCACCCAATTGGGATTATTATCCAGGGCGTGTAGCGGATAAATATCATCACGTGCGAAGGCGGAATGTTTCTCAATATCCATTCTGATAGGTGTGGAAATGAAATTTCTAGATCATAGAAAGTCGAGGGCTCAGGGGTGATTTTGTAAAAGCAGCTAAGAGGCTGATCCATACGAAACCTAGAGCCATTATTGGGTTATTCAAGTTGGAGACCGGACGTTGAATGTGTAACTGGTATTATTGGCCATTCAGGGGTCCGACACGTTTTATTGCGGACCGATTATCGAGTCTATTGCCAGAGTCACGTCAGAGTGGATCTGCACAGGCACCTCGAGTTGGGTGAGGGCCAATATAGGTTGAGATCTGCATTTCGTGAAGTCTATCCAGGGTAATAAAGTCTATGTGGACCGGTCGCTGCGAAAGCTACCTCGGTTTGCAACCAATGCTTGAGAGTTTTTCTGGGGTTTACTTGAGACTCCTCGGTTGCAGGCCCTTGTTATTCTAATACCAGTTTTTGAGCGATGTGAAACGTCTCAATTTTGGACCGTTGGCCCACACATCCGTGTCAGATACGATGCGAACGCCAAGAGCTGATCATCCCGGTCGGAAACGTACGGCACCTGCCCATATCGGGAGCTCCGCCATGAAAATCGAACCCTGACGGAAGAAATCCTAGCTACGTAGTTCAAGTGTCGCATCCATCCCACTTATTCAAAAAACAGGGTGAATTCCTTTTCAACGGCTCGCATGTTCCGGAAAAGCCTCCCAGTCAATTGGAGCAGAGGTTTCACCACCGGTATGATCTTAAACTATGACCTTGTACGTACGCTAGTAAGAAATTGATTGTAATCATATGAGGAATGTGGGTTTATAAGTCGAAGAAGTAAAACTGCTCGTTACGATCATATATCTCGCGACGTAACGTTTTGATAAATCAGGAAAGACATAAAATTGAGCGATAACATAACCTTGAAACTAGGCTACACCACTAACGGCCGACATACTTCAGCTCTAACCATCTCAGGCATGGAAACACTATTCCACTCCAGCTCGCACCTAGCGGGATGCCAAAGTCGATTCCACCTCCCACGAGGTTGCCGATAGGTCCAGTAAAATAAGTCTGGTTCATTCCCAGAATTGCGCCAGCCCACCCGACAAGAAATGCAGCCAGCGCTGCGAGACCGATTGGCAGAAGCTTGGGACTATTCCATGCTGTCCAGTCATATCCAGCCTTGCGGCGGAAGATAAATTCTTCCTCGAGCGTAAGCGTAATCCAAATAGCGACCCAGTATCCCATCAACGCCAGGAAGTTTTCAAACACATCATAGAAGCTGTTACGCCCGACGCAGGCCAGCACTGTGTAAATCATGACGCCAACGACTGTCCAGATCAGACGAGGGATCTGCGCAAACCATCGCCCCAGGAGCTGAAAGCTGAGTGCGGCCGAATAAGTTCCGGCGACATTATTCGCGATAAGTCCTAGGGCCAGTATCACGCTGCAAAAGCTGCCGAAGCGATCAAGTGGGCGGAATATTTCGACTAACAGGGCGCCAGTGCTCTGGTCATATGCATTCGCCCAGTTCGGGTTCGACGCTGTTCCGGTACCGATGCCGACGCCTAGCATGGTGGTGAATGCAGTTGAGATTCCAAGGCCAAGTGTGGCTGAGAGACAAACCTTCCACCGGGTGGCGTTTGGCGAGAAATAGACGTAAAAATCGGCGCCGGCCGGGGCCCAGGTGAGCGACCCAGAGAAGACCAAAAAAAGAAACTCATTCGATCCGCATTCTTGACCTCGTTTGATGAACCTGTTGTCATTGCGTCGGTTTTGAATAATGGACCGGCGAGTCCGATGAGGATGAACATCACCATGAGCTGCGGCACCCATGCATACCGTTCGAAGGTATGAAAGACCCCAATACCAAATACAACGACCAGCAGTGAGACGAGAGAAGCGACGACAACCCCGACAATCACGGTCATTCCACCTCCATCTATCGCTGTCAAGATCTGTCCTGTGATGAGCACGTCTACGAGGCCCCACCCAAGCATAATGACGAGATTGAGAAGAACGCAGATGCGAGAGGGCCACCAGCCCATCGTATAGCGAATTATGACCTACTACTATGTTAATGAATCTCAAATTACCCGATCAGCACACGGTGTTTACCATCGTTCGGTTTCCGCTGGCCGGCCCGAACGTGGAGATATAACCAACAGCTAGGGCCGCCAGCATAGTGGCAAAGACTGACAACACCAGGCCATCGCTCAGGCCGATCCCAAATACTTTCGGGCCTAACAGGCCTATCGCGATCGAGGCTGCTGTGCAATTCGACGAGAACCAGACTAAAGCCATTTGGCAGTAGTCCATCAATGAGGTTTTAGTGCCACGCAGCTCTTCTGGGACACGGTCGATTCCTCGTGCTTCCATACCGAACTTCTGCTCCAAATAAACGACCCAGCGTTGCAATAGGTTCTGTGGTTCAGACACCTCTTTTGCGACACCGGCTTCGATTACTGAAATTTCATGATCGGGAACAGGCAATTTGTCCGCGTCCATCGTCCTTGTCGGATCATGATGGATCGCATCAAATGAGGATGGTGACATGACGCGCAAAAAGATCAGCGCGAGTGATGGAAACGGAAGCCGTCTAGTTTGATGTTGAAATGGGGCATTTTGTCCAGAAAGCATCTGTTTAGCTGAAATCGAGGCCCTCGCAGGTATTCCCAACCCCGCCTCTAACCCACGCTGGGAGATGGTAGAAGCCACCCCACTCTTGGACATTTGTGTAACAGATTTCGTCATTGCATAATCGTATGTACTGTATCGCAGCTTTCTAAACTTTTTGCCTGAGCCTAGTACATATTAAGCATGATAGACAGGGTTTTCTTCTGGGACTATGCACTTCCCATGTTCCTCTCCTCCCCGCCAATATGCTCCTACAATGTCCTATCTTAGTAGCCTATGACAAACAAACAACTTTTGACAGATTCTTTTCGTTGATGGAATACAGGGATAGAGTGATGTGCCACTCTGGGAGATGATCTGCACTGCGCTATGCAGGGGTATGTGGACACGGCGACTGCCGGTCCTCGTTTGTGCAGATGCTTTCACAAGTCTATCCCTGGAGGCTGTGAGATCCACCGGCTCCATTGGACATGGTTGTCCACATTCCCTTTGAAATATATAAGCAGGTACATTAACAAAGAAATGTCCTATAGCCCAAGTGCATGATTCAAGGGCCCACAGAAATCATGGACTGTAAATTTGAGTTCTAACTGAACGTTTACCGACACACGAGCAGGAATGTAATTAGGGCTAACGTGACAATTCTGTTAGATACGTTCTTGGGCTTGCATCTCTCATGGGCCGGGGTATGTAGTCTAAAATATTGAGCGTTGCACGCCACGTCTACTACCTCTAATTCCCTCGGCCATCAAGTCATTTGTTTCTATTCTCGCTGTCCAACATAGTTATATATATCTACGATGGAAGGGCGTAGAGAACATGGTTTCTCGACCGATCAGCCGTACTTAATCCATATCCTCTGGACTTTCTCTTGCTTTTCAATCTGCTGTCAGTTAGGAAAACCGGGGAGAATACGATGGGTTATCGTAATCACTGGAGGCGGTAACAGGCACGCAAAAATTAAACTTACAAGATGGCCAGCGGAAACTTGTATTAAGACGTAGCTACCTATCTGTGGATAATCCTACTCAGGCGCTAAAAAGCCAAACGCGCTGAGGAGTTTTCGTGGAAAGAATATAGACTTTTTCGACAACAAGTATAACCAAGATTCAAGGTTTACTGACCCTTAGCCCACTAAGTAATCACCCATTTTAAGTTCTTATGGGCATCATAAAGCAAGCGTCAGCGGGATTGTTTCGGGAGGCGTCTCTGATACAATTCTAGCTACCTGTTCTAGTACTAATTGTGGGTCTGAGCAGCCAATTGACTACCTCAATACCTATACGAACTCGAACTTCCTTTTTTGCCATTGAGTTCACAAAGATCAACATTATTAATTATTCTTCCCACACCCTAAGTTGATTCATTTATTTGCAATCTGAGAGTTGGCCCAGCCAGGGGTTCAGTTACGTAAGCGTTCAACGGCCTTTTTCCCTCGCTTTCATGTCATTAATTGACCTGTGCCCTATCTCCTTGATCCTTCTGATCCATTGATCTTGTTTCTATCTCGCAGAACTCTTCATCATATCTTTTAATCCTTTTTTCCGAGTTATCATTAATTTTAGATAACACGACTCCATTTAAGACCGTCGTGATTAGCACGGTGGAACAAAAAGGTATTATTCCTTATTTTTGACTCGTAAAGTGCACCTATATGAATTTAAAAGGTCCTCATCACTAAAAGTTCCCTTCACAGATTCAATCATGGGTCACAGGCTCTCCACAGTCTATAGTCATTTATCTTCCGCTATACATCACACGGGTCAACTGCTATTTACGGAATCGAAGCCATAAGTTCAGTTAAGTTGTACGCGAGTTTCATTTAGCGAGTCTTGGACTTGTGCAGTAGACCAGGGAAAGAATGGCTGTAAATGGATGCAGCAGTATGTAAACTTTGCACATGCTTCCATGGTTTCTATTCCGCCTAAAATGGTGCAGGTGTCGCTTTTATGTTCTTAGTTGTATAAGGCAGAGAACAATGTTGGTAGGCGTTCTAAGATTAGAGACAGATTTTTGGCAGATTACCTTCTTTTCGTACTTATCCATAATGAATCCTACGGAGCAATCTCCCAATTCAACGTTCGCATTTTGCTTTGCTAATTAGACATGTTACATACTTAGGCACCCTTTGAATCTGAATTATTAGCATTGAAAGGCTGAGACATCGATGAGCTTTCCAATCCATCAACAGCCAGACCTCTGACACTTGAGGGCCCAGCAAAGCGCTTTGATGCAGTGGTAAACCAGGTGATAGTGCTAAGTAGAGTCACCAGTCCAATGGCTGCACTGGTATAATTCATCGAGTCCGAGGTTACTGGAGCCTCAGAGGGGAAGTTGAAAGTAATTGATGCAAACAGCAAAAATAGGAGACCAATCGCATTGCAGGCGAGTGAGAGAGGCAGAGACAGTGAGTAGGCTCCCGTAAAAGTCGCCGTGTGATGACCGAAGAAATATCCGAGTAGTCGGGCAAAAAGAGCCAGGCCGTAGGACGCATCTAGTTTAGATTCGTGTTAGATTTTGAAATTGATTATATTGGAGAGAAATGGTTGACTCACAGAAGCCGGTTGTGGCAATGGAAACTACCGTGTCAAATCCAGTGACCGTGCCGAAGTAAATTGCATTCAGGGCCAACTGCACTACCAAGGTCAAGAGTATAGCGTAGATCGGTATTTGACGCTTAGGCTCAACTTTTGAAAACAGACGCGAAAATGGCAGGCCATGGTCGCGGGCAAAAGCATACACAGATCGCGAGCCCTCTGCCACAAGACTCACTGATGCGACGATGATAATGACTGTTATCATACTCGCCAGGATACAGGTTCCTACTTTGCTCTGAGTGGAATCATAGAAAATCTGGATAACGGGAACACCAGTGGTTGAGTTCGCCGTTGCTTCAATATCGCCCATGCAGAAGCATAAAGTGAGAAGAAAAAAAAAACCGGTAACAGCACCCATGGCAACCGCCAAAAGTATTGCCTTTGGAGCATCTCGACTAGGATGGGTCATCTCTTCCGTCATGTGGCTGGGAGCATCATAGCAACACATCCCGAAGAAGCTCTGCAGGATTCCAATAATAGTAGCCATGCTAGCGCCGAAGCCAGTCATATTCTGGAAATCCTGAAAAACAAAACTGGCGTCCTGTTTATTGTCGTTTGTTGCTAGTAGAGTGATAATGACAATGAAAAAGGAAACAATGTTCCACATCAAAATCAAGCGTGACAGACGGTGTAAGGCGTGAGGAGAGAAGATATTGACGGCCGTAGCAAAAGCTGCCACGGCCCAGGCCACCAAGACGGTATGCCATCGCTCGATTGTATAATCTGGGAAGACAAGATTGGCTTGGCCTAGAATATAATTGGATCCAAATGAGTTGTTCACCGAGCCCATTGCCAATATACCTATCAAGCCATTTAGTTATGAAGACTAGGCAGGCATGTAGATTATTTTTGTACTCACCGATCAACATGAACCATCCAGTGATGTATGATAGTTGTCGAGACACTCGTGGCGGTGCCAACATGGCCACCCACGAGTACTGCCCTCCGGCTACTGGCCAACGCGAGCACATCTCAGCCATAGCCAGCGCAATTAATATAGTGAACACGCAGACACCGATCCAGCCAAAAATCATGACAGGGGGGCCGCCTGCCTCTACTCCGATAATAAAAACGCCACTCAAGGCAGTCCAACTAGATAGTTTAGCGCATGACACCGATTCGTTTTTTCACTCCAGCGGCAGTTCTTACCAGGTCACGATGCTGAAACTGAATCCCACCATGTCCAATAAGCTGAACGAACGTTTGAATTCTACCTCCGAATCAGTTTTCCAATCTCAACAATAACTACCTCACTTGCCCACCTTGCTGATACCCTAGGTTCTCTAGGGCAAGGTCCTCCTCTGTCGAGGCATCGAATACCTCTTTAGTCGCCATGTTGATTGTCGACAAAGTGGAAAGTAACACTTGATAGCTATTGTACAGGCCATTCTTCTTACATTGGGAATATATATGATAAAGGTTGGGTGTGGGTTACTATCATGATCCCTGTCATCTCGCGCGGTAGATAAGGTATCGATCGCCCAACCAGAGCGAAGGATTGCTCATCGGAGCTACCGAGGGGCTTACCTGATTATCGGCCCACCCGACGCGCGACGATAAGCATGATTACCCTGTTCCTAGGGAGGATCTCGCTGGCTCTTGACATTAAATATGTGACACACATCGGCTCCTTCAAGCCGCCAATCGAAAGTTTGTTATTGCATCATGGCATTATCCACAACCCTAGGAATGATATCCGCGCCCTGGTTATTACCTAGCGTATTATTTATTATTTTGGCCTGCAAATGGATCTATAATATATTTTTCCATCCGTTAGCCCGCGTTCCTGGCCCCAAGATCGCAGCCTGTACGTCACTGTGGTTAGCGTACCACACATATATCGGCGATGAGTGCACGGTTGTGTTTGACTTACACCGCAAATACGGCCCTGTACTACGCGTCGCGCCTAACGATGTCGACATTGCCCATGGGGATGCCATCGAGCCGATTTATCTAGCTCGCGGCGGCTTCGCGAAATCTCCAGTATACTCAAAGTTCGACATTGACGGCCACGCCACGATTTTCTCAACACTGACACTCCCCGAACGAGCGGATAGGGCTAAGTCCGTCGCACCACTCTTTTCAACCGCGTCACTTCGGCAGTCGGACCACGTCTTGTCGGGGGTTTTCGATGACTTCGTAGCCCGGTTGCGGCGAGAAGCTACAAAGGGAAAGCCTGTCAATGTCCTCAACGTGTCGCGTTGCATGGCGATTGACGCGGTAAGCGCGTATCTCTTCCAGCAACGTTACGGGGCTCTCGGGGAAGACTCGCGGGTAATGTCGGTCTCCCCATTTGTGGACGCGTACGTCGGCGTCGGCGCATTCTTCAACCTAATTCCCGGGATAATTGGAGATCTTGTGGTGAGGATCGCTGAGCGACTCATGTCAACCGAAGTCACAGAGAATGCTTTCAAGCTAATGGACAGCTATACCGGCCAGCTTGTCAAGGTCGCAAGGCCGAAAAGTGGAAGTTATCAGAGCCGCTTGTTGGAAAAGCAATCGGCCATTCAGTCACAAATTGAAGTGAAGGACGTCTGTTTTGCTGGGACAGACTCAACCAGTATGAACACTGCTACAACCATGTGGTATCTTGCGAAATACCCCGAAGTGTAGGTCTGCCTCTTTTATCTACAGCACGATTATATACTCAATGCAGATATATAGCTATAATCGTCTACAAGAGGAAGTCCAAAACGCAACCAACAAGGGCGAAGATCCGGCTCTCTGCAGCTACCTACGCGGAACTGTCCGAGAAGGACTTCGTTTGTCGTGGGCGAACCCAATTCGACTACCACGCACAGTACCCGCTGGAGGATGGAACTATCATCAATACAGCTTTCCTGCTGGGACAAGCGTGGGGGTTGCCTCGTTCCAGCTTCATCAAGACAGGACTGTCTTCCCAGAACCACTGAGTTTCATGCCTGAACGGTGGTTGAAACCTACAAATGAGATGCTTAACCATTTCTTTTCGTTTGGGAAAGGCACCAGAGCCTGCATTGCACAGAACCTGGGAACTTTGGAAGTCACAAGTGCGATTTTGAGAGTTGTCCAAGCTGATCTGCTTCGCGGATCTAGAGTAGTTGGTCATAGTGGGATCCGTATCAAAGAGTGGTTCAATTCCAGAGTGGAGGGGGAAGAAATTCTGATCCAACTAAGCCCTGACATTGCTACGTCTTGAATAGCAGTTGCCGAGAGGGACTCTTTATGTGGTTGATGGGCCCATGAACGCATGAGGCTTGGTCGAATGTATCATGAACACCAACAATTACAAGCATAAAATGAATTACGGCAGAATAAATTGTTGCCTGAATAAAAGTGTGGGGGGGGGGGGGTGTCGATTTAGCCCGTCCCAAAAGAAATTGCCAGAATATTGGTCATAAAGTGGTGATGAAAGCACCACGCTCACCTTCTAATTGAGATAGACCTAAGTATACTAGATAGCTCTCCAGTCTTGGTCAAGAAGATTTTGCTATAGCTGAGCCTTCGGACATAAATGAAGTCTCCCCCGGGTTCCAGCTGGCTGGGACTCCGAAAATTCTGACTAATCCTGGGACCCAGCCAACTTTTCGGGGTCCGGCCAGCTCTGTCTCCGTAAGTCCGTGTCAAAACGGGCCGAGGATTGGTCATGGGTGGGCAGCTCGGAGAAACCTACTGTTGTATTCCTCCGATCTATGCTATGGGGGGTCGAAATAGCGTCGCGACTCTAGGACTTAACCAAATATACTTTCAAAAAAGCTCGGATGTCGGTGATAGGGGTTAGGGGTTTCCGCTTTTGTCTCACGAAATTGGGTTTATTAACTAGATGGAAGGCCTATTGCATCAACTTTAAATTGATCTCCTTCGTCATTGATCTATTCTCTTCTCAATTTCACTTCCAGCATATATTAAGCCCTATACCCTCTCCTTTGGTTCTACTCAGATATCAATCTCATCATGAGGGTTCTTCTATTAGGCGGTACCGGCAATGTTGGATCGCGCCTTCTATCTGCTCTTATTCAGAGAGAACATACGGTTTTCGCGTTCGTACGCGACCCTTCGAAACTAGCTCCCGGTGTCCAAGACAAGCTCGCAGGTATTAGCATAGGTGATGCCAAAAAAGCGGCCGACATCAAAGCGGCAGTAACCCAAAACCGATGTGATGCAATTGTCAATACTGCGGGGCTGGCTGCGATGGCGCCCTGGGGCAAAAGCGATTTGCCTGATATCGTGGAAGCTGTAACCACCGCTGCGCTGGAAGCGGGTCAAGAGCGGGGAAGCCCCCTGCGCGTATGGTATCTCGGAGGGCAAAGCATTCTGGATATTCCCACCAAAAAGTGCATGATTATGGACTAGTACGTATCGAGATTCTATTTCATATCGTATCCTTATTCCGATTTTACTCTGGAATATCGAATGACTGACTTAATTTGGCGATTTTGAACAGTGTTTGGATCTTTCCGACACATCGTTTCACGTGGAATAGGCTCCGATCCTTACCTCCGTCAGCGATAGCTTGGTCCATCCTCTGCCCTAACTATATGAACCCCCTGAGCGAAACCACTTACCCCTTTCCCGCCGAGGCTTCTGCCGACAACCTTGTGGCTAGTGCTAGTGTCCCGCCCGATTGGTCCCTGAAATTCCTGCGCATTCCGCTAATTGGCGTCTACCTTAACATATTGAGCCAAGCTTCCGGGTATGCAACATTGCTCGAGGATAACGCCGATCTTGTTGCAAAGGACCTACTTGATGGGCATGACAGCAAATGGATTCACCAGAAAGTTGGTACCAAGCAAAGACAGCACTGAGCACTGAGCACTGAACCTGCTTCGGGCAAATTGAGCAGTATTTCTATTCTGGGATAAGGCAAATTCGCCCACGTTTTGCGATATTTGATATTTGATTTCTGCAATAATAATGAAAAGCATATAATTTATACGGTTCTAAACTCGAATTCTAATATGATAAAAGGGCCTGGTATCCCTAAGGGAGACTGTCGCCGTGGAGATAGTTTAGTCCCAATGGGTTATATAGGGTTTTAGGGTACACCGTCTTTTATTTGTTCAATATTCTAGTCATTTGACGAATCTACCTGTTTTTAAGACCTATTATAGACGACACGTACGATTACGTTATTCTACTTTCTCTGCCGAAGGCACCGCCTGTAGGGCATACTTCTACACTCTCGTACTCTTACTTAGTAATACATCTTACTCAGCAATACATACTCCCTCGCTTCTAGAATCTCAGTAGGACTAAGTAGACGCTCTAGCTGCCATAGGAGTTGGTCTATCAGAAGGTTCCTACTGTCGAAGACACCTTGACGGCATAAAAATCCCACGAATGCCAGAAAAGTGTTATTCCTTATGTTTATGCTATTTATACGTCCAATTCTATAAGGTGCTCCATACGCGATATATTATTTCCTCTGAGAACGATTTTCCTGATAAAACACGTACAAAACAATTTTCTTTCTGTATAACCTCGGGATTAGACCTCGGCAAGGACCGGCACTGTTAAGGACTGGGTAGACTAGGTAAGAGACAAGATGGTGAGGAATAGAACATCAACGTTATCACTGGATAGAACTGAACTAATCCTTGGAGAAGGAACATCAATTGCAAACACATCTATTCTCATCTCTTCTCTTTGTATGCTTGTGGGATCACGTGGCGCTCGCTTCCACGCAAGGTATCTGTGAGTTTTCGGGCGGAGTACGGGGGTTCCTTATCGCGTCCCGATATGGTTGTTGGATAGTTTCTTGTTGTAGATTGCACCGTAACAATAGAAGTATTTATTGAGTTACCTAGCTTACGCGTGCTAGGGAAAAGAAGGGTGATTAATATTTAGCTTCCTGAGCTAGATCATAATAAGATCCCTTTACCTAATTTTGAAATTCGGAGGCATTCATTAGGGCGTATTCTAAAGAGATCAAAACAACACTCGCACACCCCGAACGCTGGCGGACTAGGTATGTTGGGTATCGGAGTCGGAGGCGCTGATGCTGTTGACTTCATGTCTGGGATGCCTTGGGAGCTGGTCGCTCCGAAGATTATTGGGGTTAATCTAAATGACCAACTGCAGGGTTGGGCATCGACAAAGGATATCACCTGCAAACTCGCTGGCATTTTGACAGTCTCCGGTGGAAAGTGCTCGGTCATTGAGTTCTTCGGCGCTGGCGCTCAAGCTTTAGGAGCTACTGCTATGGCGACCATCTTTTCAGTTACCCCGTACCACGCTTGCACGACGCCTCAATGGCACTATAAATCGCGCTGGTAAGCGGCCCTAATAGCCATAATACGACCTAAAGAGATGAAGAGGCGGTTGTATAATAGGTGTTACAGTATGAATGGATGGATGGCTTTATTGCCTTGAAACGAAGGAACGAAGTAGAAGGGATTACAAACCGCGGACCTGTGCGACCCCGGCTTCTAACGCTGCCAGTTTCACAACGACACACACAACCAACTTTCGCGCCAAACCTCTCTATCATTCGTGTTTGGTTGGATCCGTGATCATGTGTTCCTTCTCGTCTTTTGTAATACCTCCTTCGGTGGGGTTTGTCTCAGGTGAAACACATTTCACGAGGTAACTAGGGCTCTTGGTAATTAGGGCGGAGACTTCTCCAGGTTGGCGGATCTCCCCAAGGTCCCCGTGTGGGTCAGCCATAGATTTATACCGTCTCTGCATCCATAGGGCGGTCATTGACGAATCATAAAGCGGACCGGCGTACAGTCAGCATCTTTCGTGTAGCAATGGAGTGCTGACTATTCCCCAATAAAGGCAAGCCAGTGGCAGAATCCTAGGTTGCGGAAAGAAATTGACCCAAGTTGACTAATTAGCCCCTATAGAGCTTGGCTGTACGGGACTGTATAGTGGTTTTTATCGATGTCGGGTCCTATTGTGTTTATTCCAGGTTTGATCACTTTAATTCATCATTATAGCTAATATTTCTACGTCGTCCGATCCCGAGCTCCCTTACGGTACCTGTCAGCCGGGAGGGAGGCGATGCCACGATAGCTTTATCGTGTCGCGGGGTACGCTTTTGCTCGCTTCCCCACCACGAACCGTAGGCTTCCCGACCACAAAGGACTAAAGAAGGCAGAAGGATAGTAGAATATTTGAAAAGAGTGAAAGGTCTGTTAATTTTAATTGGGTCTCACGCGTATTTATAGACAGAAAGTGTTCAAAGTCACATTCTTTAGATCAAATAAATAGAATAGAATCAGTGAAGGAAATGTGATAGAACTGGCGGTGTGATAAGGGATATTCCATCGATCCGGTGGCGTAAAGAGGGGTAAGCAGTTTAGAGGGATAAATCATGGTTGTATCTCTTTCTTTCTTATTTCTTCTTCTACTTATGTTGAATAAGGGGATAGATTCACTCAGGTAGTATTTGTTAAGGAAATGTTGGACTAGGTAAAGGACAAGATGATGAGGCACGACAACACCAATTGTATGATGGATAGAACTAAGCTAATCCTTGCAGAAGGAAAGTGAACTGATTACATGCATTCCCCTTTTGTACATCTGTGGGACCAGGTGGCACTCGCTTCCATGCAGTTTATCTGCAAGTCATTGGGCGGAGGACGGGGGTGTTCTTTACCACGTCCCGAAATGGATCCTGGATAGCCTCATGTTGTAGATTGTATCGTAACAGAAGTGACTTGAATTATCCAAATTATCATTCTTTCTACTAGCTTTGGCGCGGACTCTCAATTCGGACCCGCCTATACGCCAGAAGTACCGTAATTTACTTGGATTATTGTACGAATCATGTATTGTAACTATACTAGCAAACCAAGGAACCAGAATTTTACGAAGTAATGCAAACAAGTCAAACTCTCGGGCCTAAGAGAGCCTCGAGAATCTAATAAGGTGTTACTTTTCTTTTGCCGCTCCTATGTTCAAATGACACAGTACGGTAAGGCTGTCTACACGATTTTGTTGAACATGCTATATCAGATGCAGTCCCAAGGCTGTTCAAAGAGCACTCACTCTCACCCATGATGTGCTCATGAGTCAATAGTTCGAATGATGCCACGATGATCTTAAGATGACAAGGCGGCTGTCAGTCCTTTCAGTAGGAACAAGTCTTTCAAAAGGAGAACCTCGGGTCTTTTGACTTTGGTAAGGCGATCAATGGTGAACTGAAAGTCACAATGACGCCTTTAACCCATGAAAAGATATTGATCCGTGATTGAGTTTATGACTTTGAGATGATCTAAAATTTCCGTCATGTGCCTCATAGAGCTCATGATATAAGTGTTGAGCGTTGCTGGGATCGATTTCTCAATAGTTCTCATAAATTCATCAAGTGACAAATAATACTCTAGGAATTCATTCTCTTCTTTTTTGATATTGTTCTCATCATGTCAGCCGGACAGAGACAGCCGGAGCCGCTTCGTCGAATCATAACAACACATGATCCCACAAGCGGCCGAGCTATCTTCAGCGACGCGGTTGGGGAGCAGGTATCGTTTACTGGATTCCCGGTTCCCCCCGGCAAGCCCACAACCTCAGATTATGCACTTGCCTATAACACAACTACATTTCCGGTGCAGGGGCTTTCCCCTCCAACATCTGCAACCCAAGAATCCAAAGCCAACCTCGATATTAAGCACTATCACTCTCAGCTCTCGGATCCATCACCTTTGAATCCGCCAAATGGCACCTCTTGCACTATTGTTGAGGTACCTCCGGGCTCAGCGGTCCCAATGCACCGAACAGCGACTCTTGACTACGGTGTCGTAATGGATGGTACTACAGAACTAGTCCTTGATTCCGGTGAAAAGAAATTAATGACAAAGGGTGATGTATTTGTTCAACGAGGTACAGCCCATGCTTGGCGAAATTTGACATCAAAGCATGACAATTCTGGTATTTTACGTGTCTTTTTCGTGTTTCAACCTATCGAACAGGTGCGATTGGAAGGCGGAAAGGTCATCGGCCAGGACTTGAATTTGTCTCTGCATGAGACTTGAGGATTACGTGGCAGGGGTGTATCACTTGAACCGCCGAACAAAAGTTAGTCATTTTTTAATTTATTATCTCTTGTTAAATCTCATACTCAAATTTCTAAAACTTGTATTTATATACATACAAGTCCATCTTTGTCATCGCATTAATTTTAGTTGTCTCATTACATTAGTATAGTATAGCAAAGTTCATTTAATTCGCATTCTTTGTGGAGTTCTTGCATTGAGATTTCGATTCAGAAGTAAGATGTAGGAAAAAGAGATATATATAGATGATGAGTTTTTCTATCTAGATATTGTACAGGTGGAATGCATGACTGTAGCACTGTTGCGGCCTGAGGTGCCATAAATGCCTCGGAGGACACGAAGTATTCTCTCATGGAGTGAAGGGAGAGATTCGAAGAGCAACTACCCAAATATGACCGCACTTTTCACCAATTTATTTGATTTGAGATACGGCATTAAGAGTAATCCGATCCCAACCTCCAGAGGTCACTTTCTCCGCCTCTTCACTGGGCATGGGAGTAGTTGTGTGTGCTTTCTTTGTTGGTGCCGCCCAGTCTGCAGAGCCAGACTGCCATCGAGCCATTCTCATTCAATATCTAGATGCGTGGAAGGATGGAGTCATGTGAGGCTAGTTTTCGAACAAGAAGAAACATAATAGTGAGGTTGTACGGTACGCCTCTTCGAGTTCAGGGCAGAATCTCAAATACATCTTCATTTTTACTGCTATGACTTCGGCATATATACCATATTCACAATCTGTTGTTTGAGCGCCGACCTTAGGGTGCCACTTCAGATATGAAACGAATGTGAAACATTTGAACTTGCTAGGAAATTTCCAGGCATCAGTGAGGCTCATAGTACTGTTAATGAAGGAGCTCCTGGCGATGGAGGCGCCGAGAACTTTGTCTGGACGAAGACCTTCTGCATACCCGGGTTACGCTTATTAAATAAATCATAGACCGTCTCCATGTCCTCGAGCTTGTACCGGTGGGTGACCATATGTAGGGGGTGGATCTTCTCCTGCTGTATATACTTCAAGAGATCATTCCAATATTTTTGCACAGGAGCTTGTCCATTGCCAGCGAGATGGATCCCGGTTTCCATCATGGAACCGATGTTGAAGTGATTGCACTGTACAGCCACATCAGTGGAATTGTTTTACCATGGTAAAGTCGCCACTTACATAACCGGCGTATACGCCCGTAACACCACAACGCCCAAACCCACGAACAGAAGTAATCATCTCGTTAAGGAGCTCAGGTGTATCCGTTTCCATGCCCAGTAATCTTTCAAAGTAATGAGCCCATCCTTTGGTGTACTCGCCTGCGGCGCACTCAATTGCCACATCGGGTCCGCGGCCGTCGCACATTCTCTTTAGAGTTGAGGTGACAGACTCGCCCTTTGGAAGGTTCGTATACTCAATTGTCTCGAGCTTTGGTAGAATCTTCTTAACGAAGTCTAGCCGCCATTTTCCAAGGCCGCCATCAATAAGAATGACTCTGTCAGCACCATTGAAGAAGCTGAATTCAGCTGCCATTTGTCCAATTGGGCCAGCTCCCCATATTGCCACGGTGTCACCCTTCTCAATCCCAGTATCAACAACGGCATTCCAAGATGTTCCCAGCACGTCAGAAAGGTAAAGACCTTTTTCATCGGGGACGTCGTCAGGCAGCTGAAGAAGGTTCACATCACCGTATGGGACGCGAACATATTCCGCTTGCCCACCGGCAAATCCCCCCGTGAAGTGGGAGTAGCCAAACATGCCTAATAGGGGCCTTAGTTCAACAGCCCCACCAACATCAACATAGCCATTTAGAGAGGAAACATACCGGCTGTGCGACGCCCATATAGCTTACTGGCCTCCTCGTTCGAGTTCGTCCTCTCACACATTGAGGACAACTTCTTCTTGCAGTAATAACAGTCCCCACAAGCAATTTGGAAAGATGCCACAACGCGGTCACCTACTTTAACCTTCTTGACTACTGGCCCCACGCTTGCGATAACACCGCAGAACTCGTGGCCGAGGATATCACCTTTCTGGAGATCTGGAATGGCCTCTAGAATTCGGTAACAGATATTGCATTAGCAGATCCACAAACCCTTCATTAGCTGTAAGGAAGTCACGACATGCCGTGGAACAGGTGCAAGTCACTCCCACAGATGGTGCTGCCCGTCACCTTTAGTATGACATCGCCTTCATCGATGATCTTCGGGCGAGCCGTATCCACTATAACGAATGTATAAGCAGGTGAAATCGGATTTTTTTGAGGTAGCCAAAATGAAGAGAAAGCCGTGGTATGCAGAATGACTGACCAACTTTAACCGAATTCTTTCCTTGCCAGGTTAAGGCTTTCATCTTATGGCCGAGGTCGCCGTATCCCCGAGCCTCATAGTTGCTGATATCTGTAGTGATTGAGGCAGACATGTTTTATTTCGCCGAAAATTTCTGGTCGAGTGAATTTACGAATGTAGTGGTTTAATTTCGTTTTGATGATTGGTTTCGGCGGGATGCATTTATCTGAAATCCGCATAGAGGAGAGAGATATATATTTCTCACTAGAGGGCGAGGCATTTTCGGCATTTCTGACGTCAACCTTATGTCTACTTGTTTACATCACCATGATCGTACCTCCGCCAAACCTGTGAGACGAAGGGGTGAGTGAAATTTTGAATCTCATCTTGGCGTCATACACGTCGTTGACCATTTAGATGTAAGTGAGACGCGTGGTCTTTACGTGGTTCTAAATTGGTTGGGGCTCATATGACTGCCGTACTTTAAATTCAGCGATGAACTAGAACTTTGATGGGGCCCATGGACCAAAAAAGCTCCTGCCACTCTAGTGGGGCCACTTATGATTGATTATCAATAGAGTTAGTACCAGAGGGTGATGATTCTCAGAGGTGGGGCGTCGAGTTGTTAATGAATGCCTATTACAGGTAATTTACAACGGGCTGGAGTTTCTTAACTTTTGTATGACCGAATACATCATTCAACGGCAGGAATGGGTCGGAGAAATCGCAGTGCCGACAAATGTGACTTTTTAATTTGGGTTCGAGGAAAAACGAATTGGTATAGGTGGTGACACCAGTTTCGACTCACTGTATGAAGCTAAGTGCCTAAATATATTCGGTGCAATCCCAATATGCAAATACGCACATAGCGGATCAAGGAGTTAAAAAAACTACTGTTTGTCGTGGTCTCTTTGGCAGATACTAAGCGCATTTAAGAGACATAGCGGAGTATCAGATAATAGCTCTATAGTAGACTGCGGCACCAACCGCAACCGTAAACTTGCAGCTTCCGTTTCCATTTTACTGAACGTCATAGAAGACGGATGGTCACGGGTACTACAGTATTACCGAATTACGGTCACTGTTACCTAACTGTATTGTTAAAATTACATACTGAAATGGAGATGGCTCGATGGCTGTCTGGCAATGCAGACTGGACAGCAACAACCAACGGATAACACACACACACATCCAGCACGTAGTAGAGGTCGTCCCGGGGGAGGTCGCAAGTGTTTTTGCTGAGGCCGTGGAGCCGTACGGGTAATCTGGAACGCAGTAATCCTAAATGAGGCCGTACGGTTTACCGACTGAGGCTATGTGGAATGTACTTAATACGGCATCATGAATCAAAGAATGCGGTGATAGCTGGAATGAATTGGGTAGATGCCTCCTCTCTCTCTATCCTCATGTAGATACTGTTGCTTACATCTAAGGTATTCGTGATACCTCAGGCCATAACTGTATTCATTATGTCATGCGTTCTACTACTATAATACTAAGTCTCGTGACTTGAGCGCTTAATAATTATCTAAATTTTAGGTATTGTTGAAATTTTTGATAATAACCTCTAGAGGACTCTTGTGTACAGGGCTAAGGGATAGTTCGGAATAAATTTATTCTTGTTGAGAATATTGTCGAACCTGGAGGAAGGTGATGCTACGAAGGCTTGTGGCGCTGTTGTTTGTTTCTTTAGCCGGGAGTGGAGGTGGGGAATGAACTTGAAAGAATGGCCACTGCAATAGATTGAACCAAAGCCTTTAGTCCTATTAATGATGCGATCAATAGGCCTTCTCAAGGATAAGCTCATTAGGCCACTTCTAGTTTCGGAAGGAATAAGAGAGATTCCGAAGAAATAATCAAAGTTAGGTAGACTTTCCAAGACTAGACAGCTTCGGGTAAATTGCCTGTTCTATCATTCTTGGACAAATACGGGTAGTTAAATAGGAGTTTTTAATTTCACTAAACCTTCTTATGTTGAGACAAGTGGAAAAGATCCACCCTATGTAGCTGTCAAGGGGGGATGACTGAATACGGAGATGTTCGAAAGAGTGATAAATGGAAGAGTGATGAATAAGTGCTATGAAATAGTAGGCTATCCAGGCTATAAAAGTAGCATTGGCCCATATTCCGAAAATATGTTTCTTAGCTAGACTAAGCTGGCCTAGTAGTATTCAACTGCATAGAGAGTTAAAAGAATCAGTGCGCTTACTTCACCTTAGTAGGTAATTCTTCTCAAGCAATCTGTAGCGCAATCATACTTCTCATCCCCGGTTGCGCGACGCTCACCAGATTATTGACTGCACATAAGCCATATGCCGGCAGATTAGTATTTGGGTAGAAGTCCACCAACAATTCCCTGATGTCTTATATTTCTGTTCTTCTTGCATTTCGTTGTTGACAGGTTGACCAATTTCTGGTCATTGGCAATATATCGAAACTTTACCCTCTTCAACTCCCTCCTGACCATTATCCTCTCTTAATTCTGTAGATTCATTTTTGCTACAACTGAATCGCACCTAAATTTAATCATGAACAATTCCCAAAAAAATAAAGTTTAAGAAAAATTCCCATTTTGTTATTATTAACTATCAACAATGTATCTCTTGGAAAGCTAATCGTCGCCATCGCGCATAGCTCAAACTATGCTACTTCACCAATCTTCTGTAACTTCGTAAGCCCACTGGACATCAAGATAGTTGTTTTTCTCGTCCGCAAAAGAAGAGGTGACATCATATCTTCCAAAGACCCCCATACCAGACGGAGCTTCTTCACCGCCAACTAGTTGACAAATATTAGTTCCACAGAAGAGCGGAACCGGGACGGAACATCACTCACATGTTACTTCGAAATCGGGCTGGCCTTCCAAGACAGGGGCGTAGGATCCCTATTGAATTTGTCAGTTGCATATCAGCTAGACAATACCATTAATACTCACCATCAAAGTGTCGCTTTTTTCGATCAGAATACCCCGACGCTTTTTTTCCTCCAGATATTTCAAACCAGTAATAACATCAAATCGCACTCTGAAGACAATTTTCATTTGGTAGGTGGCACCCTCCTTGATCTTTACGGGGTGTTCTGATAGCTTCTTGCGCGAATCTGGAGTAGAGACATCGAGAGTGATATCTTCGCGTCCTTCGATCTCAAGGACAATAGCTTGAATGATAACATTTCGTCTATCTACCACCATTTTGTTTGTTGGATCAGAGAAAGAGAGAGAAGTGAATTGATGGTGAGGTTGTCGAAGGTTGAATTTCAGTTTTAAAGCTCGTTTGGTGTGGCTCTAGTAGTTAGGCGGTGTGGTACCTTTCGGTGGGGCATTTTGCCGTTTATAAATGAGTCATGTGGCCGTGCCCATGAGGCGGTGCAGTTTTAGGTATTTCTAAGTGATCCCACTTCAATTCCCATCATATCAATGCTTGAAGACCCTGCACTGCGTATTGTTGTAAATTGTGCGAGCGCTACCAGTATAACTTAGCGTAATTAACTAGTTGCAATTAATTGTACATTCTATGGACCTTGTCATTTACCGACCAAGTGAGCCAGTTGATGGTCGACTCTAATTACATATCACGCCTGTTGATTGATTTATGTAGTACATGTGCAGTTGTACTTCAGACTTATCATGGGTTCAAACTCTTGGCACTTGGGCTGTTAATGTTGATTCTTACTATGGGCCATAAAGAATGTATAATATTTGTGTCCTAGAGAATATCAACAGGGACCTCAACAAATTTATCCCGGACATAATCCAAGAAGCCTTTTCCAAACCCATCCAGGCGGCTAGAACTGCTCACACCACGGCCCAAAACCCCATAAACAACGAAGTGCACTGCATGGATATGAGGAAACTCAACACGCTCAATGAAGAAGCTATCATGCCAGTCTTTACCAAGGAGCTGGCGCATACGCTCCCTAGTCAGGTAACCTTGAAGCCAGGGCCAATGGGCGGGATTCGTAGGAAAGAAACCCACGTTAAGATTCCCTCCCTTGTCACCTGACCGACCGAGCGCGATATCCCCCAGGCGCATCTGTCTAGTGTTGCAAGTGTACATTTGTGGATTCTTGGGGTCATAGTTATCTCGGATGCCGAGTTCTTCGTATCGGGGTGGGTGCCCAGTTCCGAACGAAGGGATCTTATCGAATCCGTCAATGAAGTTAATTGTCTCATTGATATCCGATTGCTTGATCATGGCAGGATAGTATGCAAGGAAAGGTCGTGGAATGGCGGTTCGCATATCCAATGACGCATGGAAACCTTTGGCGAAAACCCATTGTTAGTCTTGTTTGCTTTTTAAAATATGAACAAATGTAATGAGTCTTGCATATACCAGAGAAATGTTTCAGAGAGATATTTCCCATTGCCTTTGCCACCACAGCTACGGTTTTCTCATTCCGAGAAGTAATGAAAACTCGGAGATAGGTCGTGCTCTCCAACTGAGAGCATGGGTTTTGAGCAGGAACTCCAACTCTAATTTGTCTTAGCATCATGCCAATGCCTGGTTTAACGAACTTAGATGTGCTCGATTACTTACCTTTGGAATTCCAATGTTTCGAGATCGTTCATAGTTTCTACTGGAATAAAGTGACGGAGTTGCCTTTCCAGAAGATCCCACTTCTTGGCAGTACCATATCCAGTCGCATTGAGGAGGAGCTGGGCCTCATATCCTCCTTGATAAAAGACTGCGCATTTTGTGGTTGACGGTGGCGGTGATCCTCTAATGCCAGATACAGATACGCTATATGGTTTGTCTGTCAGCCCGAGTATCCTAGGAAAGAAAGCAAATGCGAGAAGCTTTCAAGGGACAGCTATTTCCCTTCAAACCTCACGTACCGATCTTCTCCAACTTTTTCAACGCGCACATCGGCGATATGGGCGCTAACGTCGCTGTTGAGGTACGTATTTCCCTGTAATTCGTATAAGAACTGACAGCGAATGGTATCCACGTTGATGAATCCATCTGTCCCGGGATGTTTAGCAATCACACATGAGCCATTGGTCGCGATTTCGGCGATCGGGAAGCCTGGTGCAACAAGATTGTCCAGCTCATACTTATCGAAGCCGGCGAAATTGCCACCAGTCACGTAAGCTGAGCATTCAATGAGGTGACCGGCGATCAAGGATCCCGCAAGCTCATCATAATTTGTGTCAGACCAATCATGCCAGAACCAAGCGGCAGCAATAACGGGGCTGGCATCGGCCACTCGGCCACAGATGATAATGTCAGCTCCTTGCCGGAGACCATCGACAATTCCTCGAGCTCCGAGATATGCATGTGCAGAGACCATGGGAACTGGGACCCCACCGTTGTCGAGGAACGCATAAGTGAGCTCAGCTGGAACTGTGGAGGTATTTACGGAGTCTAGGTGACGTAGTTTCTCTTTTGTGGTGGGCATATTGGGACCAAGAGCTGGATAGAGGTCATCCCCCGAGAGATAGGCAACGCGAAGTTTGAGGTTTTTTTCCGAAACCTAATCAATCCAGAAATTTGGTAAGTGAAACTTTTGCCTTTGTGACCTTATGTCGATCAATCCGAGACTGTTCACTGACCAATGCCTCCACTTTTATTGCAAGAGCTTTGGGATCCAAAGCACCCCCGTTGATCACCACTCGGATGCCCTTTTGCGCAATGACATCGATCGTCTGTCGAAGGCCGTCCCAGGCGGTCGGTTCATAACCCGGATGCTTTCCATTCCTCCAAGCTTGTGCGTTATTGGCCAGATTGACCTCTGGATGTATGTAGATCAGCTTTCAGTCCCGGATGTATCGAGATATGGAGCATCAAATGAAGGTACCTGCAAGATAATCGCCAGTGATGAAGTCAACATCACCCAGTGTTGCCTGGCGATACATTTCGAACGCTGGGTCGCCTGCCATGAAAATTTAACAAGCAGCCCTGATTTGTCGATCGTAAGCTATAGATACATACCATGGTAGCCAGAGCAGTTAGCTACTCGTACAGGTCGTGCCTCAGAAGGACGTGACATCTGGATGGAAGAGTCTGAACGCGGTATGAATGAGTGTAGAGAAATCCGACGATGAGTATCGAAGCTGGAGACTCTAATAAGGATCTCCAAAAGGGCCGCCGAGAATACACAGGTCAAATTGAAACGCCTTACATGAGCTAAGTTATATTTCCATGTTTTCTTGTACACCAGAAGAGACTTGGATTACGAAATCCCGTGGCGCGGGGACCGCGGACTTCTTTTTCAGCGGGGTCGTGGAACTCTAACGCGGCTCTCAACTCGAAAACTCGGCCGAGGCTACTTAGACTACTTTAGATTGACATCGTAAGGCTACGAAAAAATAGAAACATGTTCGTCAATTAGCACAGTAGAATAGAAACTGGATATCCAAAGGTACTAAGTTAGATTTTGCTGAGCTTGATATTCCTCGAGATAGACAATGGAATATTACATTGCCTTTCTAGAATAAATCGTCGGAAAATGGTATCCTTGTTGCGAGGGGTGATCGATATGGCTTTTCGGAAGTCCTAAGTATCAGACCGAGGTGTAAACAATGTTCATTTTCGAGGTTTGTGGGCTGACGCGGGGAAACGGGAGGTTTTCCCCGTGGCCCACGGGGGTCTGCTCCATGGCCCCCTGAGGCCGTGGAGGCCAACAGCAAACAACTCCGGGTACCAAATCCACCTGGGCCATTTTCAAAATGCATGAAGACCAATACCGTGAGTGTATTCTTTTTTATTCATCTTCCTCACCTTCTTGAATGGAATCTTTGTTCGTCCCAGATACTTCCAACGCGAGGATCTGATCAACTCCCATCGCTCTTGCTCCCGTATACGCAATTCGTTAATTCCACCATGTCCGTTCTCCACGAAACGATTCCCGGCACAGATGTGTACGGCCCAGGCACGTTTATCGACGATAAAGTTCTGCCTGTGCCCGAAGACGCCAAACGGGTATTCGAATTCCTCGCTTCGCAAACACCTGGTTTCACCAAGAATAAGGCCGCATGGGATACTGTTCATTTTGAAGGGCAAGCTAAGCCCATGATCCCAGGGCCTATCAAGTCTGCTGTTACATCATCGGCCCTTCATGCTATGGCAGGCCTTGTTGCCAATGAGATCTTGGAACTCCGTGATGGAAAGGCCGTGTCTGAGAGCAGTGTCACGGTAGACACTGACCACGCTGGACTTTGGCTTGGCTCTGTGTTCACCACTTATATCGATGGCTTGGATATTTCGGCTTGGGGTCGATCGGGGAAAATGGGGTCCTTGTTTCCCCGAGATTATGAGCGTGGCGTTTTCCAGGGTATCGCGGGCCGGACCACGGCGATCTACCAGACAAGGGATCCTAAAGTCTGGTATCAGTTGCACGGCTCATTGGACGCCAAAAAAACCCTCGAATCTATGGGAATTGATGCGACTGTGAAGTTTGAAAAGCCTCAGCAGTACTACAACTATATTCAGGAGCATATCATCCAATGGAGTCCGGACGAACTTGAGATGCACAACGTGCGCCATGGCTTGTGTGGCAGTATTTGCTACTCGCCGGAAGGTTGGAGGGAGACGGAGATGGGAAAGAGACTGAACAGCCACCCCTTGATTAATTTCGCCGAGCAGACATATGCCAAACCCACACCTTCCGTGCCTCTTGCCAAGGATTTATCTGATCGTCGGCCTCTTGCTGGTATCAAGGTCCTGGAGATGGTTCGAATTATTGCTGGGCCTCAAATTGGCGTTACGCTGGCCTCTTACGGAGCCGATGTCATTCGGGTTAACTGCAGCAGACTAGTTGACCTTAATGTAAGTTGCACCCGTAGGTCTACTATATGATTACAACAGATGACTGACAGTATACTCATGATGCAGGTGTTGCAGCTCGTCTTGAATGCAGGAAAGCGGACCATTGACCTTGACATCACCAAGCCGGAAGACATGGCTCGTCTCCAGGAGCTTCTTGCCGATGTTGACATCTTCATCCAGGGATTTCGAATGGAATCGTTGAAAAGGAAGGGGCTCGGCCTAGTCAATCTTCTGGAAATGGCCGCCAAGAGAAACAAGGGAATAATTTATGTTGACGAAAACGCCTATGGACCGGATGGCCCGTTCCATGCGCGCCCTGGCTGGCAGCAGATTGGAGATGCTGCATCCGGCAGTTCATATGTCATCGGCAGATCCCAAGGATATGAAGAAGGAAAGAGTGCGTTGCCACCACTTCCGGTCTCCGACATGATTACTGGCATTGTTGGCGCGTTGGCAGCGATGATGGCGGTCCGCGATCGCGCGATAAAGGGTGGCTCATACCACGTCACTAGCTCCCTTGTTGCCGCGGATGCTATTTCGCTGGACCAGGAAGTTGGGTTGTACCCGCTCGATGTTGTTGAAGACACTGCAAAGCGTCTTGATTTCCCTGACACTACTCCGGATCAGTATGTCTCAGAGGTTCTGGTCTCGGTTGTGAACGGATGGAAGAAGGCACTTCCTGGATATCTGGATGAAGACTCGAAGTTGATGACAACATTTGAAGGGGGGTTTTGGGCACACCAGACAATCATGAAGCCTGTTGCGCGACTTGGCGATGAAGATTCAACAGCGAGGTGGACATCTCCTCCTGTGCCACACTGCCATCATAGTCGCTCAGCAACTTGGCTGTGAATATATAAACTTTTGGGAGACGACCGGATTATGGTGTTTTGCCTCAGCTAGGCCAGTGGTGGACGTGGTTGTAAATATATAAGGTAGCGACAGACCGGTGTTCACAAGAAGAATCGAATTTTCCGAGTCATTTCAATTGCCTCCATGGATATTTCCCCGCAGAGAGAAGTTTTTAGATGATGTTCAGATTCCAGCTCTCAAGTAAATTCATTGGTTCTCGCTCTGTTCATGTCGGGAGACGAGGGCATGCCAACAAACATATCCTGCCAATTCCAAAATGGAGGAATTGACCATTGCGCGTTGAAAGAATCTTGATTAGTATGAGTGAGGTCAACTTCATTGTTGAAAAGACTATTATCTGAGTGACCAGCAGGCTGTTGTTGATCGGAAAGGCCGACATCTGGAAGATCGACATTTTCGTGGATACCAATTGCCGGTTTAGTTGCATCGCTCCGTGCTTGGTGAATAGTGCGTCGGGCAGAGATTTCTAAATCGGAACACACGCCCAAAATAAAGTCGACAAATGTGCCCGGTTCTTCGCATGAGACATCTGTGAGGAATGCTGTCACTTCATGAACCATGGTAAGATCATCGTTGGAACTTTGATCGTTAGGATTGATGCGTATTTCAGATGACAATGCCACAGATGCCGTGGCAAAGAAATAAAGCATATTCCTTATGAATCACAAATTAGCTAATATCCTTGAAAATAAACACCCTTTCTCAACTTACCATCTGTGGTTAGATCCCAGCAAGCGAACATATGGAAGCATAGCAAGTGCGGAGCGTGCCGAATCAATAGAGCGTAAGCAAAGCGCTGTTATCTCTTTGTCAACCTCTGGTTGGTCATGGGATGTGTTGTTGGCGTAGGAAGTAGCCAAGGATAGTTGGCGAAGATTTGCATAGCAACAATGGTATGCAAGGTTTAATCGAAGGATATGTTGCCTTGAGTGAATGGGCTCGGAAGCAAATAAATGTTCCGGTCGAAAGATATCGGGAATAGAGCTTTTCCATAGTAAAAGGGCTTCTTCGCATGCCTTAGCCGACATGAAGGCTATCTCTTTGGGTTGTTGGATAACGGCCACGGTTTGAAGATGCCGGTAGGTACGCCTCTGCACTATTGCAAATTGAGCCAGCGTGCGAAAGAAATTTATCCGAGTCCCGTCGATGAAAATAATACCTCGACCATCGTGGGGTGCCTCTGCTGGCAGTGGTGTATTGTAGTCTTCCATATCCTGTACCGGTGGGCGTCCAACCCGTAAAGAGATATCAGCATCCATGATAAATGATATCCAGAATGTTCTCCGTCGTTCTTCAATCTCGGTTTTGGTGAAGCCAGAGGTGGTGTTCCTGTGTAATCCAATAGAGTGCGATAGCCGCATTGCCGATGCCGCGAGCATAAACAAGGCTTGTGCGTTAGGCGTCCCTTGGAAGTAAAGAGCCAATCCCAGTAGACCTTGCACAGCAGGGAGATCTGCATTTCGCAAGAAAAGGTCTACGACCACGTTCAGTGCGTTTTTGATGTGACCCAGTGATTTATGCCAATCATCGCTTGCGTCCGCGGATGTTTGTGCTCTCTCTCTGTAAGAGAATGCCATCACAACGTTGAGCAATACCCAGGATGAAGGGCTATCGTCTGGATTCCAAGAAAACTGCCTCTTCACCAAACGCATGAGAGATGTATCATCGACTAGCGGAATAGTGCGGTTGAAGTTAGCAAGGAAGTCGGCCACTAGACTCAGTGTAGCTTCCTTTGATGGTAGGGGTTGAGTTGTACGTTCTTCAAAACTGTCTTGGAGAATTCGAGGAATCCAGTTCGTCAATGGCCATTGAACAGCACTGCGTCGGGCCGTATGCTCCCAGCCGAGCTTTGGTTGTTTTACCATCGGACGGCTAGCTTCTTGAGAAAATTGCACACCAAATCCGGAAGACGCTCCTGCATCGCCGAGTCAACTTTCGAGTATCAGGGATAATGCAAAAATCTTACCGAAGAAGCGCATCCTGCCGTCCTGCGCTCGAAGAACGTATGATGGCTGATCGGACGTGTCCCGGCCTGCCTGAAAAGCTTCATCATCTGGTGACCGAGCATCCGCAAGGAGATTTCCTTCATCTCCAAGATCAGAATTATCAACGCCCAGGTTTTTAAGTAGGCCTGTAGCTGGACTAGGAGACTGAAAATCTGGGACACTTTGTTGAGGCAATTTTTCACATCGGCTAAGCCGCTGCAATTGGTCTTCCATGCATTTGACGCGTTGCTCTAGTTCGTCCACGTATGCCCTACAAAATAATAATTTGGTTTTAGTTTTGTCACACAACAAATGAGGTGTCATGTAACAAGCAAGGATCAGATTTGACTCACCTACTGGTCCGCCTAGATTGTGTCCCGTTATTCTCAAACCCGCATGGGAGCTTGAAAATAATGCACGATGAGCAAACCGGCCGTTTCCCATCACATTTGACTTTCTTCCGCCGGCAGGTATTGCATGCCTGATCTAGGTTAAGTTCAATCCACTCGGCGATTATCCCCGGCTGTGTTTTCACTGACCTTGGCCGGCCGAGATTTCTCAACACGAGAAGGGCGGGGGTTTTCCATGTTTAGAAGATTATAATGCAACAGAGAGGACTGCGCCAAGTCTGACGGAGTGAGAAGTCGTGCGGAAACCGACGGGAGGGGCGCGTAGCAAAGCCGAGGCTTCCTCATGAAAGTCTAATTTAACAAGAGCAACTGACCTTCAAAAAGCTATAGATTGGATTTTGGGATTGATAAGAGGTGTAATATCGGATATAGCCAACCGTTGGAAGCGATAGATCGCACGACAGTCGCGTCGGTCAACCGCGACATCCGCTAGGAGAATTAATCACGTGATCTGATACGCATTTTGATAACCGAATCAGATGTCATCTCGTGCAGTTCACCAGCAGCTTCTTCAGTAGTTATTTTTCAGGTGGAATTAAAAAGCCTCTTGATGACTTCCTCGTCGCTCCCGCCAAAATCTCTGCCAGCGTAGTCTGCTTTCAAAATATATTTTTGTCATTCGCATATCTTGCGTGATGGACACAGTTTAAAGACCGTCTTGAAAACGGCTCAGTAAGTCATGAGCGGAGACGATTCTGTCGGGCCTCCACAAAATGATGGATTTCACAAATAGCGAAAGACTTTCACTTAAAGGGTGCTCACTGGCCCGTTGACCGTCAATGGAATTTATCTCAATTAAAACATTACACTACAACGCTCGGTGAAGGTAAATTGAATGCCGAAAGCGGCTACTTTTGACACTTACTTAAGCGCCCGCTTTGAAGTCTCACTCATCTTGCTTCGACCCACTGTTACTATGTGCTTACGGCATCTGCAGAGAGAGCTTCATGAGCAGTCATCATCGACATAACAGATACAGAGGTGTTGCAGAACGCCGTATGAGAGACAAGCCTACGAAGCGGGTAAATACTCCAACTCACTGTAAACTTATTATTTTAAAACATACTTAATATGCTTAGGGCGAGGTTATGTTGATATAACAACCATAGTATCTTGTAAAATTTCCACTGGTTCCCATTCAAATAAACATCCCACTTGCTGAGACTATCCATATTTCCCTATGCCTCTCTTTTGATATGGTTCAAATATTTGCCGTCACTTCTATCTCAACATTGGCTGCTCGAGGTAGTTCCTTGACAGCTACACAAGTACGGACCTTAGACCAATGGTTAGTAAAAGAGGTTTCCAGTTTATTGTCCTATAGCATATCGGGTCAATCTCCTGGTTGAATTTCTGATTTGTAGATGGGTATTTAATCTCACGCTATTTTCGATAGACATCTCGAATGCTGTCACATGATCACTTGGCAGCGTTTCAGAACGGCTTCGGTCACTACTAACTCAAGTAAGGTAAGGTATCTGAGGTTATGGCCTCTGTTGTCAGGGATTAAAGGATTACGCTGTAAAGTCACCAATCAATGAGGCTCTACCATGGCTGCGTGTAGATCCTAGGAGGTTTGTTTAGCGGTCACATTCAATTTTCAATCACCTTAGCCGGGCTGAGCAGCCTATGCGGCCTCCGCGCGTCCCTCGAAGGATCTCCCCCCGATTATCACCCTATCTGTTGCGCACTCTCATATCTCACGCCAAGTCGCGCGACGCTAAAGAGGCGCTCACTCAATCCTTACCCGGGCGGCACTCACCCAGCTACTGGCGGCAAATAAGCCACGCGCGCCGGCAAGTTAGTAAGTAGGTGGGTAATAACAAGCGAATCCCTGATATAGTATCTTCATTTCTCAAAATATACCGCTGTTGCTTTCTCCCATCTGCCCTTTGAGGCCGTTGTAGTTGACAGCTGTGACTGGTCCCAAATTTCTTGCACCCTTCTCCTCACCCCAGTCCATTGCCACCTAACTAGGCCCATGCTGACCTTAGAAGTGGCGCCGACGTTTTTGTCTAGTTTATTATTTCCCGCGTAGTCGCCATGCCACTAACGTGTATAGTACCAGTCGTCACGCGTTTTGTCAACGTGATACAGGAGGCGTGATATTATTTATTCATAACAATCTCAGTACTAGAGAATCTTGCTATTAACCTCATCCTTTTTTTGCGGAATAAGTTTCTCTCATCAAAGTGGAGCTGAGCCTCGGTAGGCTTTTTTTATCAGGCAAATCCGGGGAAGCGAGCTCTCATGTGAGGCTAGCGGCGATGAAATACGGGGTCTCGGTCCTCCAGGGACCCGGCTAGCGCGTGGGTACAGGGTCTCGGTCTAGGATACCGACCCCTCTCATTGGCTGCCAACAACAAACTCGCAGAAGTGACAAGGATTAGTCCCTGGGTCTGCCGTGTCACTTTCAAACTCCGCTCGAGAGCCAATCGCCTCGAGATGCCATTCCACCCGTATCCCTGCAGTTGTTGTCTTGTGTACTCTTTAGCCTCACAAGGGATTAGAAGTCACCGCCACCACTCAAACTCATTCTCTCACGTTCTCACAGCACACTGATGATATGTTTAGGCTAAAATGTTCTGCCAGACCTAGGAGTCGTCGCATATCAAGTTCGAAAGTTTCCTATCCCCGGACTTGGCTCCTTGTCGCACTAGGCAAGGGAAGGCTTAGTGAAGCCATCTCCAGCCTTACCCCCCGCCTTTCCCATTCAATGGATCAGGGTAATTGGCAGACACTATGGTTCAATTTATCCTATTTTGCCGCCAAAGATAGACAATTTCGTAAAGCTTGCCGACTACCGGTCTAATTCTAATGTTCAAATACCTCTCACCACCCGTCACCGTAGGCCTCCAACTCGTCAAAGATCGAAGGAGTTTGACTTGTCCCTGATCTTGATCTTGGTCTTCTGCTACTACCCGAGAAAGATCGCCTCACGATGGGTAAAGACACATTCGAGCTCGCCGGCCAGCAATGGCCAAAGGTGACTTGGTGGAAGATGAAGGGGATGCGTTTCGTGTATCTCACGTTGTGGGCTGCAATGATTACTTCTGCGACCAACGGTGAGCCTCTTGCGACTAAGATCGTTCCTTTGACACCCCCCGCTCATATGTTATAGGATACGACGGCTCTCTGATGAATGGCTTGGAAGCTATGGACTCCTGGAATGAATGTAAGCGCAATCTCCTTACCGATCCGCATGATTTTTTCCTAATTTTGTATCAAACTAGCCTACAACCATCCGACCGGGTCCACACTTGGCCTTCTCGCCGCTGCTATGTCGATCGGATCTATGCTATCAATTCCAGTTGTGCCCTACGTGGCAGATGTCTTTGGTAGACGCGCTGGTGTGGTAACTGGATGCATTATCATGCTATTCGGTGTAGCCCTTGTATCCATTGGTTACCATATCGCGCTCTTCGTGGTTGGGCGTATCATTCTTGGGTTCGGCCTCGGAATTGCACAGGTGGGTTAAAAATAAGCTGATAATACCAATTCTCATAAGCTAACGGATATCGACGAGAAGGAATGTTCACCATTGTTGGTCACTGAGCTGGTTCATCCTCAGCACCGAGCTATCTACTCCACAATCTATAACTCACTCTGGTATGTGGGCTCATTGATTGGTGCATGTGTCGCACTAGGTAAGTTGTTCATTCGAATTTTTTTCCTTCAAAAATCTAATGATTCACTCTAGGTACAAATCACATTCAGGGCAGTGAGTGGTCCTGGCGAGTTCCTTGCCTTCTGCAAGGCATTCCATCCATCTGCCAACTGATCTTCATCTGGTAAGTAGCCGAATGTTACCTGAATCATTTAATCCTCGCTAAAATATTCTGTCACTCTCACAGGACTGTCCCCGAATCGCCTCGATGGCTGATCTCAAAGGGAAAGCTCGAACAGGCCAAACAGGTTTTAGCTTACGTTCACGCTCAAGGTGATGAGAATGACGCTTTGGTAAATGCTGAGTTTGATGAGATCCAGCAAACTATTGCCCTCGAGAAAGAGTTTGAAGGAAACAACTGGTCCGAGTTCTGGTCCACCCCTGGCAATCGCCATCGCTCAATCATTCTCATCTCAATCGGTTTCTTCTCGCAATGGTCTGGCAATGGTATCGTTTCGTACTTCTTACCTAAGGTATGTTCTGCTTACAGTGAAACTCGAATTGATATGAAAGATAGGCTAACGAGTCTAGGTTTTGGCACTTATTGGTATCACGAACAGCAACACCGTGCTCACCATCAATCTTGTTCTGAGTGCTGTAAATGTCGTTTCAGCTACAGGAATTTGTTTCTTCGTTGATAAAATCGGTCGCCGAAAGCTATTCCTTACTAGCAGTTGCGCTATGCTGGCTTGCTATGTTTCGACTACCATCGCCTTGGCTCGTTTCACCTTGGATAAAGGTGGTGGCAACACCAACGCAGCCAATGCCGTTCTCGTCTTCATTTTCCTCTTCTACATCTCCTACAATATTGGCTACTCTGGCTTGTTGGTCTCTTATTCCTCTGAAATTCTGCCTTACCGTCTACGCGCCAAGGGTTTGACTATTATGTTCTTCTGCGTGGACTTGTCCTTGTGGTTTAACCAATATGTTAATCCTATTGCGCTCCTCAAAATCGGCTGGAAGTACTATATTGTGTACTGTGTCTTCCTTGTGTTTGAAATCTTCGTTGTCTGGAAATACTACGTTGAGACAAAGGAAATTCCTCTTGAAGAGATTGTGAAGATGTTTGATGGAGACCGAGCTATCCTGGGTGGAGCAGCTGCATCGGAGAAAGTCAACCAACTCACCGGGCGCAATGACTCTGTGGGATTCGATGGAGAGAAAGCTATCACTACACAGGTTGAGCTGAGATAAATTATGCTCACTGTCGACATCTTTGACTCACCAGGGATGGGGGAGGCGTACCGAGGGATGGATGCAATTGAAATTTCTGCAACGATATTTCTGAATTTAATACGAGGTTCAACCTTGAACCGTCAAATTTTGGAACTTTGGAGTCTTGAAACTTTTGTATTGAGTTCGATTTTGAACGCTTTCTGTCCAAACCTCAGGTCTACATAGCACTTGCGATGAAGCACTTGTTGGAAATATATCCCGTACTCATATAGCACCCCAGGTGCCTCAATTATAATTGATTATGAAAGAAGAGCAGGAGTGAGAGAGATAAAGATCGTAGGATTCAGCTATGGAAGACTACCTAGTTGGCTATGCGAGGTAAGGCGGTAGAAGTTGGTATAACCGCCATTCACTGTGAACACCCTCCTCGGGCGTAGCAAGCCACGAGTAGCATAAACTTCTGATTATGTGGTGAAAGAGTGAAAAATGAAGCTGAAGGATCAGGTTACAAATAACACAGCGACAGCTTCGTATAGCATTCTTTGCATGGAGTACTCAAAAGCCATTTGGGCTGGGTCAGAGCAGTCACATTCTCTCCAGACAGCAGCTTGATAGCATCGGTCTCCGATGATATGACAGTCAGCCTCTGGGAGATTAGTACAGGTTTCACCTGCAGAGTACTGAAAAGTCATTCTAGCTGGGTCAGACAGGTGACCTTTTCTCCAGATGGCAATCTATTAGCATCTGCTTCTGATGACATGACAGTCAGGCTCTGGGATATGAATTCGGGATCTACTTCTATGGTGTTGGACGGCTATTCCGGTTGGGTGAGAGCACTATGGTTCTACCAAGATGGCAATCTAGCGATCGCAGCGTCTGATGATGCCACAGTGAATGTCTGGGAAAGGGTCAACGAAAAATCCCATCCAAAAAGGGGTTTGAGCAAAATCACACCTAAGGGAGACGAGTGGAAAAATATTTCGAATGCTGGTTGAAGACTCAGGAGGCCAGTATTGTCGAGGGCTTGATAGGGGTGGAAAGGCGGTCGCTTGGCAAATTCACAGCACCAGTGTTGTGCTTACTGTAAAGTTCCAGACCCCCTGGAGACCTTACGAGTCTATTACAGGAGCTATTTTTAATCTGTTATTTACGTCTGTAAAGAAAAACTGCCAAGAAATGGGTTCAGGGGCAGGGTAACCGTAGTAGGTATACTCTGTGAGGAAATGGTGAAACTAATTTCGATCTATCTTGCAATCCTAATAAAGTGCAATTACAGGATAGAAGAAGAGCAAGCCCTACAAACTTCTTCACGGCTTTGAAACAATACTGGAACAATTTTGAAACATTGCAGTGGAGTAATCTCCGAGCTCGGTTTCGTTCTGGACGACACACTCTGCCCAGGCCAAACTTTCCGCTTTGGACAGATTGACGCAAGGCATAAGATATAAAGCCGGGTAGATTGACGTATTGGTGGCGGTGAGAAAAGTGTGATGCGCGTTGCGAGTCACAATGGATTCAGTATGACAGAAAACGTACAACACCAGTCATCCACTCGAGTCTACAAAATTGGTAATTCAACAGATGAAATAACATTCCGGCTATAGGGATGATAACACAAGAGACAGTAAGCTATGAAGATAATAGACAAAGCGGTCGCAAAAAAGTGAATGGCTGGTTGGCAGCAAATTTGCACATCCTTATTGAGCTCCCTGAGAATACCTCATGCTTAAGAAACCGTAATGGTTGCGGATCCGCTACTTTCGTATCCTTCGGTAGATAGAATCTGGTAGTTGAAGCTACCCAGGTTCATTCCAAGCGAAGCCCAAGCGTTGAAGTGGTTGGCAGTGGTCACGGTTCCACTAGACCGTTTGTTTCGGCGAATGGACCAGTACTGGTTGAATGTTGCCGTGCCGGAGATAGAGGGCTGGTTAACCTGCTGATGCTCGTAGATATCATACACCGAGCCATCACTAGTGACAGTACCCTTATAGGTCATGGAACTGCCCGGGTTGTACGTGCCGTAATCCTCCATGATGTAATACTCGACGAGTGGGCCAGTAGTCCAGCCGTAGACGGAAAGATATGCGTTTCCAGATGGGTTGAATGATCCGGAGAAGGTGATTGCCCTGGAGTAAAAATTAGATTTACTAAGTAGTGAAAGGATCTCGAGGAGCAGGTATCTCACCGGGCGCTTCCAGTGCTCCAGCCTTTGCCAGAAGTAAAGTCTCCGCAGTTTGTCCAACTCACGCTATACTCTCCCGACGCACCGTTGGTATAATCGACAGTACCACCACCGTTGGTCCAGAAAGAGTAGTAATAACCATTGTTGGTTCCTGTTTGGCTGGTAGTAATTGTTTGGCGTTTGTTGTAGTCGCCTGGCATTGCCAGAACACTCGCGATGACCGAGAAAGCCAAAAAGATGTTCTTTGCAGAGATCATGATGAAATCTCAGGTGCTTTGGCGGATAACAGTTAAGTAGTGGTCGTCTTGGTTGCTCGAAGGAACTTTGGCACTGACCTGAAGAGAGAATCTACATGCATATTTATACCGATGAACTACCAAGGTGGGGCTACCTAAACGGTTTATTGAGCCGGAAATCCCTCAAGTCCTGATTATGCTATGAGTTCATTTAACCGATTACTTAGTAGAAAGGTATCAGGCCCGGTAATTCTCACAATTTGGGTGAAACGTGCTTCAGCATAAGGAAGAAAACCTCTAACCTCGGTGTGTTTCAAATATCCACTAGTATAATTGGCTCGAACAAGGAAAGAAGAAGGAAGATCGGATTTCTGCTGGGTAAATGTAGCTTGATCAAGTTTAGCGCATAGTCTAAAGTGGCTAAATTATATGAGCCTGAAGAATCCTGCAGAGTTCAGCCGTGAAGCGCCAAAATGAGGGGACCTCACGTGAAGGCAACGCCAAGTCGGGCAAAATTGATTTGACATGATGAAGTACGGAGCTGAGTGAGGACTTGAAGGGCCTTAGCTTCTTGAAGTAACAAAGGTCCTTAGGGAAGGGCGCAACTTTAATCACCATCCCCACCAGGCTCTTGCGGACTTGCGTTATTCTATGTGGTACAGTTTTCCTGAGGGTTTTTGGCAGTAACAAAATAAATGACTTCTCAGTACAATCTCCAAGTGCTTGTGCTACGTGTACTATTCAACATCATTCTGCAGCTTTCCGGCGCTGCCCTCAACCACCGAGTGCCTTATAAGTTTGTTCGACATCATCACCAATCTGGGATTCAAGATCTTCAATCTGCAGCCGATAGAAGTCTTCATCCCCTCCCGCCGCTGCTACCATGCTTTTAGGCACGTCCTCGAGATATTCTTGTTTGGACATAGAGACGTGCGCATTGACAGCAGCCCGCTTCGCCGACCACATCGCATGATATGCATTGGTAGAGCCATCGTTATTGGCATCGCCGACAACATAGAGACCACCGACACTTGACTCCATGCTTGTCTTGACCTTCACAGACTTTCCATCCATCTCCAAGCGCAGCTGTTTGTGAAGGCTGGATGTCTGGGCAGTAGGTACTGAAATAAGCATTCCATTTGTGACCAGCGGGTTGGGGCTACCGCCGTCCAAGTGCACTCTGTACTCGTCGTCCTTAGGCTCCATATTGGTTGTGGTACGTTCGATCTTGGTGATGCCATTTTCTCGGATAGGGATCTTGTAAGTGTTCTTCATGACGGTCTCCCAGCCTGGCCAGCGTGCTTCCGCTTCATTTTTGTCCTCCTTTGTAAGGGGTCCCCCGGTCACGATGGTTATATCGGTCGTCAACTTCCTGAAATTTAGGGCAGATCCAATGGCGCTGGCAAGCTTGCCATAGACAACCATTTTGCGATTCTTGTAGTCATGGCCATCGCACCAAGGACACCAAAATACGCCTCTGCCAAAGGCCTCTGCAAAGCCGGGCTTATTGGGTATGACGTCCTTGATACCAGTGGCCAGGATGACCCGCTTGGCTGTGACTTTGCCGCCCTTGTCATCATATACACGGAACCCTTTCTCCAGAGGAATGATCCCGGTAACCTTCTTCTTGCGAGTGGCCCAAAATGCATAATCAGGGTAGAGTTCGTCAATTTGCTGTCGGACAGCTGTTCGAAACTTTAAAGGTACCTGGCCTTGACACAATCAGCTCATCGACTACCATCACAACATCAGATCTCATAATCACCATCTTGGCCTAGGACGTCATGCATGTATCGTGTCTGTTCATTTCGATACTCCTGAGAATCATACAGGAGGGATGTGCGGGCAACTCGAGCGAGAGACATCGATGCAGCCAGACCACCGGGGCCACCTCCGACGATCACAACATCGTAATCCCATTCTGTAGGATTCCACTCGTCTAGTGTGGTGTAATCTGTGATGTTGAACCCGGTATCCTCGGCAGCAAGATTTATAGTCTGATCAGAGACAGAATCTTCCGAGTAATGCGCAATGGGCTTCTGAGGGACAGTCAAAGCGGAAACAAGAGGAAGAGAAAGAATGCAGAAGCACCGAGCAGAAAACTTGAGCTGCACCATGTCGCCAAGGAGCACAAGGATAACTCACAGCTTGGGGGTTTTAGCAACGGCGGGGGCAGGATCTCTATTTATGTCATGCCCGACCGGAGCTTGTTGATCAATCACATCAGGGCTGTTGATCTTTACCTTGCTGCTTCATTTTGGAAGGAAGGCAGCTGGCATCTTCATGCGCCGTGATAAGTCCTCGCGCGATCGCCACTGCAATTGAGCCCACGCAACTACCCCTCTCGCCAGACAGTCTCGATTCGTGGGTCGAAACGACACGACCCACATGTTAGACTTATCCTGCAGATCTGTGCGAACTCCTGCAGTTCGTGAAGATCGGCCCAATCGTGATGCGCGGATAGAAAGGTGCGTTCACTTCAGCCAGCCATGCTCGAATGGATGCTCGGATGGGCGACCTGACCGAGGCGTAATGGACGTTCACCATGATTTTCTTCTTCCTTTCACTTCGACTTGTCCTTCAAATACCACGAACGCAAAAATTCGACAATGAACAAAGGTATGAATTGATTTTATCTTAACAAGAACAGAGAAGACTGCAAATGCTTACATGTACATACAAACGCGAGAAATGCGCATGAGATCTCCAAAGCGGTCCAACTCCCTCTTAACGGAATTCAGCGGACTTGTCGTTGCCCGTCAAGTTACGTTTATCGCTGTCCGAATGTTTGAGTGTCGCCTGAGAACTTTGGTAAGATGGGAGCTCATAGAGATCCCCATAGTCATCTTTCGAGGCTGCCCCTGGCTCGTGCCCCGCAGAAGTGGCCCCGCGTACATAAGGACTATCGTTCATGGGCGGTCGGTGATCGTATGGGCTGTCCATTGTCCGGCGATTATTTCCCGCTGCAAACGCCCTGCGCCTTGTCGATATTGGGATATCGTTGGGGTCATCACGGAGCAGCCTTTTACGGCCTCTGAAATGAAGGAAAACACAGACGGAAACAGCAACCACCACGATGCTGCGACCCAGTCAGAATACATCCAGCGCCGAGGTATCTTCGTCAATGTTCACTTACACGCAGGTAATAATAGCCGGCACGCCGTAAAGGAGGACGTTACTAGTAGGCTTGTGGTCGTCGTCGTCTCTCGTCACTAATGACCAGGCCTCGGAGAGCTTCATTTTCTTCTGGTCGTTTCAATTTGCGTGGGGTGGTCACCCTAGATTTTTTGCTCGGACGGTTCAAGGGGTCGCGTTTAGGCAACAAAAGAAGCAAAGTCACGCGTTGAAATGCCGGGCGCGTGGAGAGTACACAAAGGATCTTGGGCGATCAATGGGGATGTTTCAGAACGGCTTAGAATGGGGTTGAAACTGATGATGATCTACCCGTGCAAAATAATCAGAAATGAATCTTTGAATTATCTTTGATTCCAGGCTGGTGGTCTAATGTCCCTGGGGGCCGTCAATTTTCCTGCCTAGCTAAAAGGGGCGTCCCAGGAGGTCCGGGGGGCGTCAGGAAATACGTATTCACCAGTAGTAAGCGGCATTTTGCTTTCTGGCTATTAATGGCCCCTCTAACCCAGTATCGGTTAGACATTTAGTGAATTCCGAGCTCCACAGTCATCTCAGGTACTCGCGAAGAACGAATAATCTGACATGTCGACATCCACTTGAACAAGATTACGTTGACGGTAGTCAGGAGGAAACTAAGCAATTATTCGTCTGAAGCACCCCATACAGTTATACCCCAACCCGAGCAATCGCTATTCAGGAGACTGATTGGTGTGACGGAAGGTTCATTGCAATGTCGTGCCGTCCTCAATCGCAATCCCTGATTCACCCTCGTTTCAGAGCCTCGGGCGCATTCAGACTTTAATTTACTAACTCTCTCCTTGAGTGGGCGAATTCGCTCCTCTTCTTTTTTTCGTCTTCGTCTACACCTTATACTTCTCAGTCTGGCCAAGCTCTCTCTTTTGCTGTCCCATGGCTTATAGCCTACATGAGAGTGAGAGTGGGCCATCATCTGAAAATTCTCTGGGCGTGGTTACTGCGTGGTTTCAGACTCCTACCGACGGAAGATTTCAGGGATGAGGCATCCCATTTTACCCCTTTTTACGAGGGGCCAAAATGAGATGGTCACGTGGGTAAACATCACCTGACTGCTGTGCATTACAAGGCAGATAGCCCACAGGGATGCATAAAGGACCCTCCTTTCCGGCCCTTACTTTACCCGAAACCCACAGCCCGGGGTCTCTTTTCTTTGCCTTGCCCCTAGAGCCACCCTGCTTTTCTCCAAGGTTCGTGAATTCTAGCTCTCAAGTGGACCCCACCTTCCGCGACCCTATCTCATCTCAACCCTTGAGTGTTGTTTCTAAAACTTACAGCAAAGTAGGTCCACCGTTGTCCATTTCGAACATGTGTTCGAGTAGTAAATCAACAGTGGTGATGACTGCATTCGCGTCCCAAGTGTTGTACACGACCCATCCCAAAGGGTTCTCTATTTTCTCCCCGGCTGATTGATGGGCCAGACGGATCTAAGAAGCCTTGCTCGAAACAAAAACGTAGTAACTGCACATTTGCCGGAGAACTTGTACAGCGAAGCGCATCCTCTGTATTCTTTGCACCGATACTCCAAGCTTAGCGGGGTCGACCTTTTCGGGGTCAAAAGGAGTTCTTTTGATAGACGTATATCTTCCATTATGTTATATCATGTGTTGCTTTATGTGGGTCATCTTGTAGGCACCTAGCGGTCACTACAAACACTATATGGGATAGAATCCTCTTTCCGCTGAGCGGGTCGAGCCCATGTTAGCGTGTCCTTCAGACGCCTGGCTCTAAGCGGATATACTCGGGTTTCCTTGGGTATACCTCGACGTCAAGAGTCACAAGGCCTCGACCTATGCTGACAAGACCTTTTAATTGAACCGTCTCGGAACGAATCCATTTTGAAGACTAGCAAGGAACTCACAGATGAATGAGTGAAGCATAACGATAATGTGTAGCAGATGAGAGATTATTTACAGGACAAGATCGAGGACCTTTTTTCAAATGTAAACCTCTCTTGGGACAGTCACCCCCGTAGGTAATTCAGCCAAGATAGTTTCGATCCCATCGATTCAAATACAACCTCATTGACACTCAGCAGGTCACAGCATCAACGGCTTGCAAAGAATAGGTGAGGGCTGTCGCATTGTTACTCCAGCCATAATGCCCTTCTGCTTCTCCGAATGGCATTCCATTGACGCCACCAGGAAGATAGTGAAGATCAATAATAATGTGCATGCTGTAACTGTTGATGGCATATGTCGCAATATTTTTCAGAAATGATACTTGATTGTCAGTGTAAAGTTGAGATCCTGGGACTTTGATCCAGGCAGCGTAGGAGGTCGGAATGCGAAGAACGTTTACAACTTCTGCGGCGAAAGTATCGATGTCGGCAATGGCAATCCAAGTGACATACCGGCGCTCAAGTACTGGTCTGCACTGGGAGCCTAGACAGGCACCGCGGCTCCTCATATGTACGACTTCGAGTCTCTGGAACAATGAACCAAGCCAGTACCGCAAATATCAGCATGAAAGCGCCATATACAAATCCAATCTTCGCCTTGAGGTTTCCATAACCGGGTTTAAACATGTATGGAGCGACGAAATACCACATTTTATAGATAGCCACAGAAATTGAAAGGGTTATAGCAAGGGTTCTAGTGCGAAGGATAGAAGTAGGTACTTCGCCCGCGATAGTGTAGACATTGGATCCAACCCCGGCATTGTCGAAAAAATTGCACGTAGTGTAGAAGCCAACCGCTGCCATCGTAGCAGCGGATTTGTTGATAGAACCGGCAATTCCCACAAAGCAGCAGCGAACCCAATGCACCCCGCAGGGAACATGGGCCGTCGGCCGACCATAATGCTTATAAGGCAGGAGATCATTGCACCGGACATTGATAGAATTTGGGCTCCAATGCCGTTCGAATGCTGAGAGCAGGACTGCTTTGGGGAACGATATAGCAAAGACCGGTAGACCCTTTTGTATATAAATAACAGGGTCTATAGCCCCTGTCCAAAAATCGAGGTGGTCTACTCAGTATGTCGGGGCAAATTAGCCGTTCGTTTGAAGATCCGGGGAACAGCTTCGAAGTGAGGGGCAGAGTCCGCTCGCGTTAATCAAGGCCGCGACAGGAGAGAAAACTCAGAGAATCTATTGCATAATTAGCATCGGCTTGTTGAAATGAGTCGAATGAAATTGCCTAGTGATACTCGGACCCTGCGGTGCTCGTATTAGCCACAAACGCTTGGCGCGTCCGACACTTGGCCAATATCTCCCCACTTCCCGAGTCACTGTCGATTGTGCGAGAAACCCCAGATACAGTGCAAGGATTTAGACAGTCTCCGCATTTGCACATATAGCATGTGGGGGTGGGGGGTGTCTTTTCATGGGTCAACGCTGCTGCTGCGGAGACAAGTCATTTTAAGCCCAACCTATATATCTGCCATTTTCCAACTTTCACCTGAGCATTTACATCTTCTCACTGCGCTCAACTGACTAAAATATTTGAGCTTCAATTGGCTGAAATGGCTGCTTTTGCACATGCATTTTCTTTGTCTCCTGAGGAGGTCCGATCTGCTACTCCTCCTGGCACGGTCATTCTTTCAGGCACGCAACTCCCCCAGAACTGGCTTGACTTGACAAATTGAATACTTTGAAGGGGTAAAACTAACTAGGGACTTTAGTCCGATTATTGCAAACTGCTGGACAAGCGGCTGCTCAGAGTGATGAACTGGTGTACACCCCTCAACCCAGTTCAGACCCAGCAGATCCACTCAACTGGGCAAACTGGCGCAAAATTGCCGTTTTGGTATGCATGTCATTATATGCTGCTATCGCAAATTTTACTGCGGCCTCCATCGCAAGTGCTTTTCCTATTTATGCTACGCCACTGGCGTTCAATCCTCCGGTGTCATTTGGAAAACTGACCCATTTGATCGCGGTGAGTGCTTTATCCTCTCCAATCACTGAACTCTACGCTCTATCTCAAGTTACTAAGCCAGATACAGGTTAACTTGCTCATGCTGGGTGCAGCAAACATTTGGTGGGTGCCATTAGCCAATATCTTTGGCCGTCGGCCTGTGATACTGGGAGGTATAGTACTTCTAACGCTATGCTCAATGTGGGCCGGGCTAGCTAAAAGTTTCGGCAGCCTTCTAGCTGCCCGAATCTTTATGGGCATTGGGGGCGCGCCAGCCGACACGAGTAAGTCATAACTTTTGCTGTCGATGAGGGTTGACCCTTTAACGAGAATGATCAACTTAAGTTGCTCCAAATGTGGTGGGAGAAATCTTCTTCACTCATGAGCGAGGTCGAGCTATGGTAATGATTCAATTCCTTCTGCTAATAAGAGTCAAGTTATTTTCTAACACTTTACAGGGTTTCTACACCGTTTGCATTTGCTTGGGGCCCATTATTGGGGGCATGTCCGGCGGTTACATTGCTGGGAACAAAGGTCTTGCTTGGATCCATTGGGTGAACGTCATTTTGTCCGCCCTCTTGCTTGTGGCTTGCCTCATATTAGTACCCGAGACACGATACATCAGGGAACAGACACAGGTCTCAAGCCAAAACGTCAAGTCCACAGATACTGAGACAAAGGGAGGCACTGAGGTTGTCGAAGATACGACTGCCCAAGCTCCACGGCCCCATTCGAAAAATAATGCAAACCCTGCCTCTATGTGGAAGCTTAACAAGTACCAAGGCGATGCGTGGAGTACATTCTTGGCGCCTTGGAAAACTCTTGGCCTGCCAGGTGTGTGGCTTGTGATGTTTTGGTACGCCGGGCTGGTAGGAGGGGTGGTTACTGTTACGACTGTAGCCTCAACCATCATCTCCGAGCCGCCATACCTCTGGGGTAATAATGCTGGCTTAATCATGACTGGTGGAATTATTGGGGCATTACTAGGGCTTATTGCAACAAACTTGACCGCTGACCGGATAATTTCCTCCAAAAAGATGCTGCGAGGTGAAGTCTTCGCTGAACCAGAAGCACGTCTTCCTGTTGCGATTCCAGGCCTGCTACTAGCTACTACTGGGCTTTGGACCTTTGGGTTCTGTGCACAGAATCCCGGCCCGCCACATATGTGGGTTGGCATGCAATTTGGGATTGGCATGCTTTGCTTTGGCCTGATGCAAGCACCATCTATTGGGTTTAATTATGTGAGTCAAAATACCGCTTTGGTTTCCAAATATCAAGTTCGCTGATAGCTTCACCTACATCTGATAGCTTATCGATGCTTATGGCCCTCTTTCTGCGGACTGCTTTGTGGCAGTGACTTGCATGAGAGCTATTGTAAGTTTTTCCTGGACGTTTTTTGCAGGGGAATGGGTCGCAAGCTCTGGTCCAGCTATTCCGTTTGGCGTATTTGGAGCGCTTATGGGAGTGTTCTCGTTGCTCCTCGTTCCTGTCTGGCTTTGGGGGAAAAGGATGAGGATTGCTACGGCAGGTTGGGTACCAGTGCTTCTTTAAAGATGTGATTGGTCTTTTGTTAGATTCTCGTCTGTCCAAGGAATCAAGCTTCTCGCACATAGGGATATTCAATTTATAAGTCCGCAACATATTGCAGTCCACAAGGTCTGAAGGCAGCTTTAACATTTCCATCGTCTTTTTTACAGCGCTGTGAATGTAAGCCCTCTCAAAAGGATTTCACGTTCACGGAACAAAAGTCATTGGGCTGCATCCAGCGCCATCATCTCCGCCAGAACCGTCGCAGCACATAGCATCTTTGTATTCACTTGCACAGATTCCGAGGAAGTCGCTTGCATCCGTAGGCTTGTGTTTAGCTGTCGCATCAGGGGTATTAGCTTTGCCTAAAAAGAAGCGGCCCAGATAAGGGGGGAAAAAACTGCTGATCAAAGTAGCGACAAGGACAGAACGTACGAGCTGTACAGTCGAGCTTTCCCCCTAGTTTACCAAGAAGATTCAAGGAGCAGCATTGGGGTTTGCCATCTGTGCAGATACCGGCAGCCATGCTAGAGCCGACGAAAAGGGCAACGAGGGCGGTGATGATTTTCATCTCGAATAGGTAAATCGTGGAGGTTTGAAATAATGCTGGGTCGAGTAGGCCGTTTGGGAGATTAGGAGGCGTAGGCTAGTTTATAAAAAATGGGTATTGTTTTGCTTAATTTGGGAAGTGAATCACCCAGGCAAGGGGGAGGCGTATAAAAGGGACCCTTGCCTGCCACCTCAATGTTTGGCGTTTCCAGCTCGATGTAATACTGACCACTCAATTTTTCTATCATTACTGCAGGTAGACGAGGCACTCGAGATGAGCCAGTCGGGAAATTTGGTCCCGTTAACTTTCGAATATTTAAACAGCATTAGTCACATATACTTCCGAATGTCCAAGCGGGGTAGCCGAGCCGACTGTCAACGCATAAATGAAAGCTGCTGTTAGAAAGGGGTGTTAAGTAATGTTCGGACCCATGACCAATGACAAGCGGAAAAAAAATCATCCTTAACTAATATCTGATCCAAAACAAGGTGTGACATGGTTTTGTTCCCTCGTGGGTCCTTTTTAGCTGGACCCTAAATAGTAGGTAAAAGGCCCGATCGCGCAGGAACCTCAGGACAAACCACCTCGAGAAGAAATGAATCAAGCGACCCGTCAGAGTGGACAAGATCTAATGTGACGAATAAAATAGAAAGCCATCAATCAATCCTATACACAAAACAGGATGCAGGCTAAAAAATTACCGACAACCTGAAAAGCCAGGCCCCAAACCAAACCCAGCCGCGGGCATTATAAAAAGCAAACTCTGAAACAAGATCGACCGCGCAGCAACCATTCCAATAAGGCCCAGCCCCATTATAGCACCCCAGTAGCCGCCTGCATCAGATCTGACGATGGCTTGGGATCGTATGGTCGAGAGACGCCCGGGGGTTTTAAAGCCCCCTCCAAGCGCCGGAGTGGGTACTCAACGCCGCCACACATCCCGCCCACAATAACTAACCACTACGTCAAAGAGCTCTAAGAGCTTTGTGCAGCTAAGCTATCGCATCTGCAGATTGATCTATGGAGCGGCTCAGGTATCTCAACGGCCCTGATTCGTTACGCGCGGCGGTTGGAGTCTAGACATTCCCTGACAACGGGATGAGTGAGGCTAAGATGGCGTCTGGGGTGGTCTAGGCGTGGTGCTGCTAATTTGGTATGATCTAGAATTCCTATTTCCTTTGTATGTTGGCGGCTATGGCTTTGGTCTATATAAGGGTGGACTGTGTCTTTGATGTTTCTGTGGGAATTTACGACGGTTATTACTTGTTTACTCTCATTCAGATATTCTCTTTGTGTTCTTGTTTCGCATTTCTCAACCACTCTCCTTGATCAACGTTGAAGTTCTTGACTGTTTATTAACGACATCACTCGGTTACCTTCAATTTATTCAGCGACTTTCGACTTTCGTCTTTCATCTCTCACGTTCATTCTATACGCTATATATTTCATACAACATGCCTCGCTACGGAGCTCTTGGCGCGACTTTCCAGTTGGCACGGCTGTTCCAATCTGTCTCGCTCATCGCCGTAATCGGCATGACAGCCAAATTCATCGCATCGATAGTCTCGAACAACGCAACACCTCCGAATATTCTCATCGGGACAATTAGCGTGGTAAGTCCTCAATATCAAATCTTTTCATCTCATTTCTAATGAACGTAGACTTGCATCGCAGTAATCTACTGTATAATTACAATTATCCTTTTCATGGATAATATCCTCCCTTTCCTCGCCTGCGCAGCCCTCGACGTGCTCCTCCTCATTGGATTTATCGTCGTCGCTGTGGTAATGGGAAAGCCGTTGTCTTACTTGAAGTGCACACCTCTGGCCGATTTAGGATACAAGGATGCCACGGCCTACGCATTCTCGTCACACCTGGATAGTTACATTGCCGCTATCAGCAGGAAGATTGATTACGAGGCGTGGATTGGGGCGTCCAAGGCTATTTGTCTGGAGACGAAGGCGATTTGGGGGCTTAGTATTGCACTTTGGTGAGTTCCACTGTTGCCACTTTCTGAAGGAGCAGAAGCTAATATGTGCACAGTATTCTGTTTTTCTTCTCTGCGATCTGCAGTATCTGCCTGTGGCGCCAGAAGAAGGCTCTCACCGTATCTGAGGAGAAGTAATCGGCGCTATTCTTAAAAACACGTTTTATGAGTGTGATTTGCATGATTGAAATCACCTTCTCTTAAAGGAACAGAGGAATTAATGGGCATTGGAAATGGAAGTAATGAGAGAGAAGGAGAGAAGCAAATTGTTCAACCCTCGGCACACTAATGGTCTGGTTTCGGCGTTTGGCGTGTTGATTAAAGAAAAAGCAAAACCCCAAAATAGATCCAGAATGGAACACACTCGTTTAAGCCATGGCAAGCTCGCTCATGTTCAAACATAGAAAAACAACATTGGCTCCGGGTTGAGGAATTAATCACCCCGAGCTGACAGGGGGGATGATCGCGACCTCCGCCCCGGACTGGATTAATCGTGTAGGCTCGTCGTCGAGGTCGACATACTCTCCATCGACGCTGATACCAGAGCTGCGCAGGATAGCATTCTTGATGCCAGGGTATCGCTCTTCGAGAAGTGGGAATAAATGCGAGAATGTGGTTGGTGCGGGCAAACGCTCTGTGTTCTTGGCAGTGTATTGGGATGCCGCGGCGAAATAGTGGATTGTAAAGGACTCTGAGCTGTTTGCACCTCCCGTGTTCGTCGTGGAGGTCATGGTTAAGGTGGTAGTGAGGGATGAACGAGGTTGAGGTTCCGGTTGATTTAAAAAGGAAGGTCCGGATTGTGTCGAAGGCGGGGTTCGCCGATACGGCTCGGCGGCTTATAGTTGCCTCATATACTCGCTCTAGCCACCACGCAGTACAGAATAGCCCGGACTTATTCTCTTCATCATTTCAATACATTTACCAATTGATAGCAAATGCATTAACCAGGTCCGTGATAACCGAAGCCCGAGACCGCTATCTTGTACCTATTTCAATTATACCCTGACTCTATATCTACTGATTAATGCACTCACTGCCCAGCCAACTCCTTGAAAGCCTTAACAAAATCCCTCTTCAAATCTTCCCAGTTCTCCAACCCAATACTAACCCTCAACAATCTCCGATCAACAGTCATATCAGACAATGTCCTCCACTCAATCAAACTCTCCACCCCACCCAGGCTAGTAGCATGCTGGAACAAATGCAATTTACTCGGCAACGTCCTAGCCAACATCTCCTCCTTCATCGTGATAGAGAACACAGGCCCGAAACCATTAGGCATCTGCTTCTTCAACCACTCTTCTTGCGGCTGCAGACTCGCGTGGAATACCTCGGCCAAAACAGCCTGGACGGCTGCCTCGTCAGATCCCGGTGCTGGGGAGGGAGTGTGTAGGGCATTATGGAGCCAGGAGACTAGTTTTGTGGTGTTATCGCTTTGTCGAGTGACGCGCACTTCGAGGGTTCGGAGACTGCGGACGCCGAGCCATGATTCCATGTTTCCCATTACTGAGCCGAGGAAGACGCGGTCGGAGAGGAGTTGTTTGTACCATTCCTTTGACTGGGTGGCTAGGACACCACAGAGGATATCACTGTGTCCGCCGAAGTATTTGGAGCCGGAGTGCATGACCAGATCGGCGCCGTGGAGGAATGGGTCTTGGAGGGTTGGTGGAGCGAAGGTTGAGTCGACGATTAGGTATGCGCCGCGTGAGTGGGCTTTTTCAGCATATGCGGAGATGTCGAAGGCGGTTCCCTTGGGGTTGATGGGTGTTTCGAGGAGAACTACGTCGCCTTTTGAGAGGTCTGAGGCGGCACAGTCTAGAGGGAGTTTTTGTAGGCCGGTGCAGCGGGTGAAGAGGGCGATGACGCCGTGGCAGCCATGGTAGCCTTCACCGACGGAGATGCGGCGCGGGTTCAGAAGAGTAAGGGCTGCGTGGAGGGCGGATAGGCCTGAGGAGTAGCTGATTGCGTCGCCATTGAGGATGGAAGAGAGGATTGCTTCGAAGCGGGATGGGTTTGGTGCTGAGGCACGGGAATAGATGTGGGATGCTGGATTAGAGGTGGCTAGGGTGCCGGACTACACGGATTAGACGAGAAGACTCGGATAGAATACAGGAAGGCATACAGGTGCATCAGCCGCGGGAACTAAGGCAGCTGGGTCATCGGGATATCGGAAGGTGGTGGCCAGGTGCATGGGCGGTGCAACGTCGGTGACGACGTTCAACGCGTCGTCCGCGTGAAGGGACAGTGTAGAAATACCGTTGGACATGGTTATGGTATTGCTATGTTCTCTGAATTGTATGCACAAGATCGGAAGTTATAATACAACCGGAAGTTGGAGTTTTGAGAGAAAAAGAGGGGCACGTAACGGGTCACGTGGTGTGGGGAAGCCGATCTCGCTGTGTAGAAATGGGGAGATGAAACTGAAGATTGGGATGAATGAGAATATCGATGAGATGGGTGAGAGGGTGGGAATGGGAGCATGACATGAAAATTTGGTGATGGAATAATATGAATTGAGAAAGGAGAAGTGAGGGTGTTTATCGGCGTAGAGATCCCATTCTGGATGGTTCTCGCACGGATCCAGGCAAGGCCACCTTGAAGCTTGAACGGTCTGTAAAATTATTAGCCAGATATCGCAAAGTATGATCGAATGAGACTTACCGGTTTCCGTATCGAAGGCGATAGCAATGTCATCATGCTCAATCGGGTACTCGGGCATGTCCAGACACACAAAGTCGGACGATGGGTCATCGTCCTTCTTCGGAAGGGCAAACTTGGCATCAACAATGCGAAGACCAAATTTGCCAGATCGGTTAAAGGACTCAATATGGTCGGTCCCCTTGAGTACAAAGTTCATGCAAGTGCCATGGTGGAAGTCTGCGAAGAAGACGAGTATTTGTGTGACCTTTTCTTGACGCACGATCTGGATGCGGGCCAGACTGGCTTCCCACTTCTTGTAGATGGGCACGACCATGCGGCGGCGAGAGATTGTAAATGAAGAGGCGATTCCATCGTAGATAACTTGGAAGCCTGTGACAGCCTGTTCGAACGCATGGAGATCTAAACTTGTTAGTAGAGTTAACCATGCAGTGAAAGAGACAAGGGACTTACGCTCCATCGACGCGAAGTCTAACCGGCGAACCATCGCTTTGGCAGTGATCTTCTGCAAAAACCCGGTGACCTGCTCGGGCATCTCCGACGGGACAAGGTTGTCCGCCAGTGAAACGGTCAGATCCTGCTGTGCTGAACGGAACAAGCTCATGCCGGTCTTCTTATTGACGTCCAATGCGATTTTGAGTTCTCCGGGCCCTGCAAAGGTTAACACAAACTCGACGATAATCAACGTTAATCGACGGGGCTACCTACCTAAATTGATACGATCTGTAACAGACCCCCACTCAGTAGCAATGAAAGCTCTCAAGCTTTCAGACAAGATGGTCGGACCGTAGCCATGTTCCACATAGGCATGTTCCTGGTCAATGACGGACACGTTTCCGGCGGGGAACTGCAACTGCGTGGTTGCTGTCCGGCCGCTGCCAGAATCGCCGGGCTGCTCGATGGCATACGACCGGAGAGAAATCTCGGGGGTCTTGGTCTCCCCCTCCCGTGGCAGCATCCCGAGAAGCACAGAGTGCATCTGTGTGCGCTCGTCCACTTCATGGAATGTCATCAACATCGACCGTGTACGACCGTCCTCGGTGACTTTCAGGAGAAGAGCTGGAGCACCGTTCTCTCCCCGCAAAAGACCGAACACAATAGGCGTACCGTAGCCCAGGATGTGGCGGACGTTACTGAGAGTCTTCACCTTGGGACTCGTCAGTACGGTCAAGCGGAACCCACGATGGGCATTCCGAGTGCCAGTACCTTCAGTGATGCTCACTGTTCGCTCGAACAAACGAATACGACAACGTTCCAAAGCTTCGGCAGGGAATGCCTTCGGCGTCCCCGGGTCCATGTATTGGAAGACTTTTAAAGTGTTCTCAAAGACCACAGTCTCACCAGCTTCAGGCTCGAGACTGGCTTCGGACTTTTGGGTGTACTTAACAATATTCCACAGAGTCTTGAAGTCCTCTTCCTTGAACATGACATCCAATTCAAATCCACGAGGCAACTTGACTCGCATGGAATTCGACCGGATTCCCCAGTCCACGTCCTCCCACGTGGGTCCTTGTTTGCGATCGGACTGAATAAGGACATTCACGAGCTGACTTTGACTGCTAATCGCCGCATGAACGTACCAGTCAGACCGCTCTCGGATAATTGTCAATGCACACGGCATGGCGTACTGTTCGCCTTCGTCGTCACCCGAACTCACACACGCCTGCACGAACATGGTTCCGTAGCTGAAGTTCCGACCGGTGTCGCCAAGAGGCATCATGGACACCATGTTCGGTGATTTCGAAGGCTTGCCAGCCAACATCGATCTTGTCGCACTGCCAGACAACACCGCAGAGACATCAGGTGCAAAGAAGGGGTATCGGAGCCAGACACTGGTGTCAAGCTGGCTGGGAGAGTTCTCGTCGCGGAGAACAATAGAGAGAATATCATTTCGCTTGATAGACATCGAGAGTGAGCGGAGGTGGTTCATAGTGACCTGATGCAGACTGAGAAGGTCCACCATCTCCTTATCGCCGGTCGTATTGACAACTGCTAGCACAGCATCCACACTCATGGATCCATACTTCGCCACTTCGTAGTGTGTGGGTACGATATTCTCGTTGATCCACAGGGCTTTTCCAAGATCAATAACAGCCTGCTTGGCGTAGGCGGGAGGTGCTGTTGACCGAGAGCGAGCAAACCCTTCCAAACGCGTCTTGCCCCTAAGGAACCACCATACAGCGGCTCGAATCCATTCCGTCAGAGCGGTTTCAATCAATGGCTTAACACTTTCTGCAGACATGTGAAGAATACTGTCGTATCGAGCGATATACTCTTTAAATTCAGCAAACGCGGTATCTCCAACTTGATTGGCAATGTTTCGCAATGAAAACTTGGGCGGCTGGGGGCTTCTGGATGGCTCTCGACTCGTTTGGGTGGACAGAGGCGCGAGCTGGCTCAGGGATGGAGATTCACGACTGGCTTGGCTGGTCTGACTGATTTGGCTGATCTGGCTGATCTGGCTCGCCGGAGAAGCCAGCTGATTTCTTGTTCGAGGCTCATGAGTAGGAACCGGCGGACCTGCTGATGTCTTGGCCGGGCTTCCTGGTGTAAGGCTGGGGGGCATGCGGGGGTCGACGGGACTCAGATTAGCATTAACTGGAGCGCGATGTACGGCCGGGCTTGGGGGGTTGCGAATCGATTGCACGATCGATGTGACCGAAGGTGCATGTTGTGAAGCAGGTGTCTCGTAGACCGAGTCTTGAAGACTTCGGGGACTGCGAGGGCTATGCGATGGCAGGGGCTCAGGGCTGGAGATACTGTCCTCGTCATCTGTCGGAGATGCGACATCTTCGTAGCGATTGTGTAACGCACGGGCTTCCTCCACCTGCATCTGATTGCGCACCCTCTCCGCAAACGAATGCGAGTCGGGGGACCCTCGAAAAGATAAACGAGAACCGGGTTTGTCGATGTGTAAGGTGCTGAGGAATTCCGCTTCGTGCGGGTCTTGGACAAGCGGGGGGCTGTTGCGCGCTGGGGCTCACATGTTGGTCCGCGCGCCGCGATCGCCCATCACCATCGGCCAGCGAGGTGTTGACTCGGAGTGTCGGTAGGTGCTCCCGAGATGGGTTCGGGGAACGCATCGAGGGCAGTCGGCGTGGTTGCGAGGATTGCGCGGCCTGTCTCTCGCGCATGCGCTGCAGGGATCGCGAGATCTCGACCGTGGGGACCTCCGACTCGTCGCCTCCTTCTCCGATCGTCTCAGGTGCACGATCTGAAAAGCCGACCCGCAGTCCTTTGCCTTTGCGGGGCTTGAGAATTGTCGGTGCCCGCTTGACTTGGACATTGTTGTCGGCAAAGTTGAAGGCGGAGTAGTTCTCGTTCGAAGGCGGGATCGTTGGTAAGGTGCGCTGCGGGGCAGAGACAGGGGCAGGAGCAGGGGCAGGAGCAGGGGCAGGGACATTCGCAACGTCCTGCGATGAAGGAATACGCTGTGTGGACACGGTTGGAGCGGCATCTCTGGGGTCGGCTTTTTGAGCTGTTGCGGTCGCAAGGAAGTCCTGAATCTGTCTGTCGGGGGTGGAGCGACTGGTCTTGTCTTTGTTGAAGAACTTCTCTTTCCACAGTGATTTCTTCTCCTTCACGGATTTGGCGGGCTTGATATGTTGAGGCTTCGACTGGGGCTGCTCAGCCAAAAAAGCGAATGGGTCATCGGGAGGCATGTCGAAGGTGGGATGTAGGGTCGTCAACATCGCACGTCCACAGTTTAGTCGAAAACCAGTTCCAGTTCCAGTTCCTTAGAATTAATCCCCCCCCCCGGTGGTGAAAGGGTTCAGATCGACAGGGGGTTAGAAGAGTTGTAGGCGGGGAAGGGGATGTGTAGATAAGGAGGAGGAGGAGGAGGGTTAGTGCATATGCTACTTTCGAGGTAGGTGAGGCGCGATTGCCTCTAGTCAAGGATAAGATCGACTAAGGGGAAAACAACCAGCACAAGAGTCGTAGTTAAACTCTAACGATTAAACAAAGCTGTCTGGGGATGTGTGGATCAAGGAGAATGCCTCAAATTGCGCTTGGTATAAGGGGGGGGTGGATGTGGAGCAGGGTCCTGTCACTTTGTCACTGTATCACTGGAATAGCATAGGTACTAACTATCCTTGGTACCGATCCATCCTATACCGAGGTCAGTCTCCTATCTATTTTCATCCTCGATATTTCCTAAAGTACAAACGCGTTATCTCCTTGCAGCAGCCTCAAAGCCACCTTGTCACCAAACTCACCAAACGTTCCCCGCTACAGGTGCTCCACCTCCACCACCCTCACCAATAATCAGCTGTAACAACGCGGGTCTCATTATGAAACTCCGCTAAACTAAATTCGGTCAACACGGAGGGACAGCGGGTCTTCGCTGACGAGGTCTTTCGGTTTTGATTTGGTCTCAGAGATGCTTGGAGAAATCGTGATCTTGTGCCGATCCAGATTGACACCATTTACACGTGTACAGTGCGTGTAGAGGCGCCGGTGCACTCTACATATCTCCATTGGCTTAACACACGGAGTATACAATTTCCACCGGGTCTCTAGCTCAAGCCCGAGCCTAAAAAAAGCCCGTGCTAATCTGGCAGTTGATCGGATGTCCCATTCTTGCGGCTTCCCCTTTTCGTCCTTCCGATGCAGGGGACGTTGGCATGCAATCCCTTTGAGGCATGTCCCATGTCCCATCTAAGCATAAGATTGACTTGATCCCAGCGTCACCGCTACATTGTCGAATGCCTCTCAAGGGCATGCTCTCCGCCGTAGGACAGGCGTCGTACACCAAGAGGAAATCCTAGCGTGATCGTCAGCTGAGGCCATCCTGCACCCCATACTCGCTATATCCACTATTCGTCGGATATATTCCATCGATTCTAGTGGGATGGGTTCGATGTTACCCGCCGAACGGTCTATAATTAATTATTCGGCTGAGACAACGATCTCCCCGCTCTAAATTTATCCTTGAGAACTCGTGGGCCCATCCACTGGGACCGCGCAACAGTGCGCCTCCATGCAGGTCATGAATCGGCTAGACTTATCTCGACATTAACAGTTGACTCCGACATTTAAAGTCGTCGCGAACACTAGTTTGCATTTCATATGGAGTCAACCCCCCCAACGGGCTCGCTCTCTTGCAGTAGACTTAAAACCCAGGATGCACGCACCACCACAGAAGTCTACAACCCCGACTCCAACGGCCCTCAGGATACACGGTTAAGTCACTTAGAAAGAAATTACAGACCAAATTCTCGTAGACTCGTAGTAAACAGAAACAGAGCCTCCTACCATCGCCACCGAGGCGCACCGCATCCTCATCCAGCATCTTCAAGAAAATCCTAAACTCAACCTGCCACCAAGTGTATACACCCTCCTGAACCCGACAATCCTCACGTCGAGGCTTATTTAACCCCACCTGTACCAGCCTCAGCCAAATCATCCGAATTACGCTCAGCATCTTGGGCTCTACTAGGCGCATTCTCCGCTACAATCTCAGAGTAGCGATACCATCTTACCAGACAAGAATTAACAATCAGCGTGCACAGCGCAACACTACACCCAACATGCGCACTGATCATGATGGTGGACAGAAAGAGTATATGGGAATCATCAATCAAAAAACGCGTTCTAAACCTGGACCTCGGAAATTCCGAGAACCCTACCGAAATCTTGCATCTGGTAGATTTGTCTACCAAATATATCCCCACAAACCACAACCCAGAGCTTCAAACCAGAGGTCTTAGATCTAACATCCCAACTTAAACCGCAATAAATAAATATATAAAAAACAAATGACAACTTCTATTTCCATCTTCACGGCAGTCTAAACACAACAAACGCCCTCTACATGCTAAATCTCCACCAACATCGCCCCAACCTAACATGCACCACAAACCATCGAACAGATCTACAAAACCGCCGTCTCAAACAACACAATGGCAACTCATCGAAGCAAGCCCCCTCTGGTGCCGATCTGACACAATCTGCTACACATAAGACAAATTCGGCGCTACAGTACACGGTCGTCGATCATGGAAAGAATCATTATAGTTATACTCTCACCAGAGTCCCCGATCATCAAAGTCAGACCCAAGACAACCACATCTCTGAATCCCAAACGCACCCATGAATAGTGCCCTGGCCCATCCACCCTGACAAAAGACCCTTATCAGGAATAAAAGTCCTAGACAGGAACCGCGTCATAGCAGGACCAAGCATCTCAAAAATTCTCTCCCTCTCCGGCGCAGACGTCCTCCGGATCTCACCGCGTGGTATACCCGAAGCAACAATTCAAATGCTCGACACGCTACACGGAAACTGGGATCGGACATTGTTTTGAAGAGGGTTGAAGGGAAATTGAAATTCAGAACCCAGCTTGAAGATGCGGATGTTTTGCTGGATGGGTGTAGGCGTGCTGTTCTGGATCGGCTTCGGATTCGACGGGATATGGTTCCGTAGGTTGCGAAGAGACGGGGGAAGGGGGATTGTTGTTCATGCGAGGAAGAATACTTATGGATGGGCTGGGGAGTTTTGCGAGAGGTGTGGGTACGCGCAGCTTAGTGATTGTGCATGTTGTTTTTTTCTATTTCTTGACTTGATGGTGAGAATTGCTGGTTGATCTTGATATAGGTGACGGGTGTGAGCCGGGCGCAGGGGAAGTTTGCTGATCTTGATGAGCCTGCTGTGCCATTGGTTCCGAGTTTGGATTATCAGTAAATTCCTTGAAGTCAAGATTGGAAGTGGATAGGGATCATGCTGATGTGGTAGGGTTGGAATTGTGGGCACCGTTAGGATCACGCATGTGTTGGACCGACGTGTAGAGGTCATAACATTCTGATACGTCGTTGAATCAGTTTAGTAACTGGTATTTTGATCTGGGGCTGCATGGGAATAAGGCACTGGCGGCTATCAAGGCTAGAGATCCGGGGTTTCCAGGCCAACATGATATGGATCTGTTCACGATGGCTAGTTTGACGCAGCAGAAAATTCACCGGAGTTGGAAGGGCAAGCTGTTCGCTCTGACTCTGTTCACGTTGTTGAGACGCGACGGGGAATAGAAGGGGAGATGGCAGAAGTCTTGAATTGGAAGAAGGTAGTCCGATTTGAGGGAGCAGATGGCATACAGTACGGCTATGATCATGGTTCACATTTGCCGGGGGTTAATCGGGCTGAGTGGATGCGTCCCATCCATAACGCTAATGTGATTCTGTAATAAGGTGGTGGCTTTCCAGGTCCAAATAGTGCGAGAATAAGTGAACACATTCGGAGATTGTCTATGAAATAAGACATATCATATTCAACGATGGGGAATGCCACTATATTGGTGCCAAGATGGAACCGCGGTCTCGTACAGCAGTAGCTCTCTGTGGCTTGCCCTAGCAAGACCCTGAATCCCGGTGTGGCCGTGTTCGGAGAGAATAGACCCAGCCACGTCCCCCACAGTGAGACATCACGAGATGGGGAAGGGCCATGGTCATGCTATTGGATCGAATCATGGTTTCTTGCTCAGGCCGTGTCTCAAGGACAAGTTGTAACCCTGATCGGCGAGCTTTCAGGTGGAATCCCGTGGATACGGGATCAGCGAGTGAGACAGCAGCGGGGTGAAACAGAAATGGCAAATTGACTTCCGCTGCCAACTACCTAGGGATCATAAGTTCTCAATTATTAGGGCCAGGGTTGGGATATAATTGAAAAGAGTGCAGAGTGCAGAGCGTAGAGTGCAACGTGCGGATGTTGCAAGGGAGAAAAGTATAAGGCTGATCGATTGCTATTTCCGGATACTCTTGACAGTACCTTTGTCCCTTCTTTTGATTGTTAGCAGACTGTTATTCGACTTCAGTTCTCGCAAGTGTGCAATTCCTACTGTCTTCAATTAACAAATTACCCTAGGTGTGTCTATATAGCTGCAGTTCCAAGTCGAGCTAATAATAACCAACTCCACCGGGCCAGACCCAACAAGGCGCAGCAAAAACACACCCTGTGCCTAACTCACCCGACACTTGTCACTCTAGCACCGACAGTCCCCTCCTATTCGACTTACGTACCTCACGTTTCTCTCCCCTCTTCCTACTTTCCGACTCGGATCTGCTCCCCCTCATACCCACCCTCGAGTCCCCTATCCGCCCCTCGGACGCGACCTGGGCCGAACAATTCTGACACCAACACAACGTGGATTCGATTACTCGCTACGGGGGCTGACCTCCCCTAGGAGGTCATCCCAGATGCCTGAGAGAGACGAGATGCGTCACAACTCGACGCGTATGCCTGGGGACCCGGCCCCAGCGAGCTCGTATTGCCCACGCGGCCTCTCTGTTTCCCACCGGCCCCGAAAAGCCTCCACCTCCACACGGTTGACACTAGGATGGTGGATTGCTCTGGTCTGTCTGCTCTGGACAGCGCCAGCAGCAGCGGTGCGGCTAGAGTTTGACAACTGCCTGAGCAAATCGATCCTCGACTCTAACCCGGCGCAGCTCCAATACGTGCCTCTTGATGTCGCCGTTAGATACAACCTGAGCGACCCTTTACATCCGCTGAATGTGACGGTTTATGGAAATGTTACAGGCACAGCCGACCGGACGTCGGACTATCCCTCGTGGAACTCCTCGTCGTGGAGTAATCCAAACGACACCCTCGGCAAGATCGTGGATCTGAGCAGTTCGAACAACAAGTACAGCACGCTGCTAACCTCGTTAGACGTGCTGAGCTTTTCGGCATATTCCAATGCCTCGCGGTTTTGCGATTCTGTCACGCAGGGCGAGTGCCCGCTGGGCCCAGTCTTCAACTACAACTTGTTAGTGGATTCTTCCCTCACGCTTCATCTTTATCTAACGCACAATTCTCCCTAGGAGTGACTTGGGCACCTTGCGCGCTTTCTCTGTCCAACATGACATGCTTTCGACGTATCGCTTTTCTACCATCACCCCGACTCTAATCATCCGATCCGGCGACGCAGATGCAGCGGAGATAGGTTGCATAACGATACCGATCACACCAGACTTCGGCGCGACCCTCAGAAATGCCTTGGCTTTCGTGCCGATGGTTATCCTGATCTTGGTTGGAGTTGCAACGGTGACTGCTGCTATGTACAGCCCATGGGGAACTACGGATCCTTTCCGATGGACGAGCAATTACGGGCGCGACGAGGATGTTCTTCGACTGATGACACCTGGATTTGCAGATTGCCTGCAGTACCTGCAGTACGTCGTGCTGACAGGCGCTCTGTCGTTGGACTACCCCGGGTATTTTCAACCAGCCGTCAGCCACGGATCTTGGTCTGTTCTCATGTTCAACCAAAGCTTTGTCCATCCCGATGGAGGCTATAACCCGGTTGTAGATGGTGTCTATGCGGTCAACGCGACCTACGGACTCGAGCGCATGAATCAATTGGTGGGAATGGCCACCGCGCGCGATATTTGGCCGGGCATGATAGTCTGGCTACTAGTCATCTTGATTTGCATCACGATCCTGACCCAAATTGGATTTGGGATACGCTGGCTCCTCCGTGAGCTGGCACACAACACAGAACAGGATCTGCGTTCAAAGAATATGCCTTTCACCGTTGGCAATATCATTCGCGTTGTATTTAACTACCTGCTCCTCCCCCTTATCTCGCTCTCTTTCTTCCAGCTGGTCATTGCTAGCGGGTCTCCAGCTTACAGCGTTGCGTTGGCGGCACTCGTCATCCTGATTCTAATATGTTTCTCAATCTGGATGGTTCGTGTCATTGCATCGACTCGTCCCAAGTCTCATCTCTTCGACGACCTTCCGACAGTGCTCTTATACGGGCCACTGTATAACACCTACTGTGACGATGCCGCGGCATTCGCCATGGTTCCAATTCTCCTCAACTTTGCCCGTGGCGTGGCCATTGGAGCCTTACAGCCCTCTGGAATTGCTCAGGTTGTCATGTTGGCTATCTGTGAGGTTGTCTCTGTGCTCACGCTCATAGCATTTCGCCCATTCCCTGCACCGACGCACATGAACCTCTACCACGGCGTTTTCTCCATCATTCGATTCTTGACGATTATACTTAGTGTTGTGTTTGTTCCATCTCTCACAGTCTCAAACGCCACCCGCGGATGGGTCGGTTATGTGATTCTCGTGCTGCATGCTTTGGTTCTTATTTTTGGATTCTTCCTGAACGCTCTTCAAACATTGATTGAGGTCTTGGCCAGACTCGCTGGTGCTGGTGGTGCTACTCGTGGTGGCTTGGTTAAGGTTTTAGGTATGCGGCAACTGTCAAGACGGGCACCGAATCGCGATATCACACGCCAGAGCCTCGGATCAGAGGCAGCTATGCTCGCACACGTTGACGATCGTATGTCATCTCAGTTTGACGGGTCCCGCCCCCGCAGTCTATCGGGCAGTTCTGCCTTGCTGTTGAACCGTGCTACGGCTAGCGAGGGACGCGCTAGTGCAGTACTCGAGTATGCCAGCTCCCAAGGTGGCACACACAGCCGCGCTGCTAGTGGTGGCCTATATACGCAGTCACCCACTGCGTACACCGGAGCTGGCTTCCCCAGTGACTCACCAAATAGCAGCACCTTCATCGGCGCGCATCCTCGGGATCCGTACTATCGACCGCCTCGACCTGGGCGTCGAACGTCATCCCAGCCAGACTCACCGATTGAGCCTCCACCTAAGGGGAAAAGAAGCTCAAGGAGCTTCATGAAGTCTAGCCGGGCTAATACGGACGAGGATTTGGAGTTCGCAACGCCAATGTCGGGACGAGGCACGCCAACGCCAGCTTATTTGCCAGCTCCCAAGGATGATCTGGAATTGGAGGATCCTCGGAAGCGGAAGGATTATGCCGTGCGTGAGGTGGACTTCTATTATCGCGTGCGCGGTCCTCCACTATCGCATACCGGCACTCGCAAGTTGAAGACGGGACCTGCAGATCCCACAGGCCCCGTCTCTTCTGCCACGGGCTGGTTCCGCAACATGTTCCAAGGCAAGACCAAGGACAAAGGAAAGGGGTTCGAGGTCGTCCGAAGTGCTCGGGCACCACCTCCCGGTCTCTTCCATGAGGGCACCTATAACGAGGAGCCATATCATGACGATCCTGAAGATGCAGCGGTTGGCGGCCACTCTCGTCAAGTCTCTGGCGGAGAGGAGCCATACAGATACTCCGAAGGGGACCCCGAAGGCCAACGGTCCAACGAAGCCCGCGCTCCTGTTCTGCCCCAAGTGAACTCGGTCGGAAGCATCGAACTCCCCAGCCGAGTCGGCTCGCGCCGCACTCAAGCACAAGAAGGCACGGAAGAACCGGCCGCACCCCTCCCAATCGTCACCGAAACAACCTCCCCCCAGCCAAAACCCGGCTCGGATCCCACCTTCCCAGATGAAGACCACCTCCAACCCTCCTCCCCCGCGACAGCCCGCCTTCCATTCAGCGGCAGCAGCTCAACATCCCGCGAACGAGGCCAATCCCTTGCCTCAGCATCCGGTTCCCAAAGTTCCTCCCACCGAACAGGTCGCGAAACCCGAACAGACCGCCCAGACCGCCCCTCAAGCATGGGCTACGTCCCATCCCACTTGACGCAAGACAACATCATTCACGGCAGTCCCGAAGAGCCCTCCTGGGCCGGCAGTGCCGCCGAACTAGTCGACGATGCAGAGCACGGACACGGACACGGACACGAGCACGAGCACAGGATTGGGCAAGGGAACACAGAGCCGCCTGAAACCTAAATGTATCTCCACCCTCAACCAATCGTCCTCTCTACCTCCTACCTTCTCTAGCACCGGTAGTGTACATTCAATATATCCATGTTCCACCACACGCACATGTAACAAGTATCGTTCGATCGGGTCGATGCCGTGACGAATTTCCTTGGTACTTGTGTCGAAAAATTTGTTTGGCGTTCTTTTTCTTCAATATTTCCAAAGTTGTTTAGCTTGGAGCTTGGTGATACCGGATTTGACTAAGCCTGGTCTTAATGGAGTGGTGATTAATTTCTTGCTATTATTTGAACCATTCTTTGCAGGTGCCTGTTCAATGTTGGATATGTTTATGGGATTCTACTAGTATATGTGATGTAGCTTGGAGGATATAATGCATTCGAATGATTGAAGACTGTGTTTAGAATTTGAACATCAAGCTTATGAACGCGTATTATCTGTGTTGCCTTGAATTGTTGGAGTCTGTCGAGGCCAAGTTGACTGCACATGGTCCTGTTGTGGAAGAGAAGCACAAGACTTGCTTTTGTTTTGTTGATCGATATATCTGCCGCCCAGATACCCCATACATGGACTAGTCATTCCTAAATAAGGCCCAAACCCTTCATACGATATGTTGGGATATTTCGCCCATGTGGAGTCTATAAGTTGGTAACCTCTGCAGTTATATTGCTCCTGATTGTGAAGGTAAAGGCCAAGGAGAGGTGAATCAAAGTCAATATAACTTGAAGTCAGGAATTCGGATGAGGCCAGCTGGCTCTGACGACAATCCTGGGAGAAGAATTATGGTGAGCAGGACCGGAATCTCGGGCTTGGCGGTAGAGGAGGAATCGAATCGCCTGGTAGATAAGAATTTTGGAAGAGAGGTAGGTAAGAAGATGAGGAAGAATAACACAAAAGATGAGAAAAGTAATAAAATAAACGATCTTAAATTAAGGTCACTACCCATGCCGACTATAGGAACAGGTAGTCCTGGTAATAGACAGTAATCCCCATAATCTTAGAAGATATAGATGTCCCGGAGATGAAGCCGAATATATCTCAGTCTCGGCCCGGTTTTGCCACTGCTGACCGTGTTTGCGACTCACCGCCCTAGTGGCTCAAGGCCCCACTGATAAGGCAATCCGGACCCAAACTTCACCTTTTGCATGATCTCCGGCTTGGTGACGGCTGTATCTCCAGTCAGTTAATCCAGTCAAGCGCTCACGGACAACATATTATAATCACTTATTGAATTACTGCCTGATTTATTGTTGTCACACCATCGCCCTTGTGTTTCCACCTCTTTCTCTAGTCGATAAGGGGTCACGAGACATTCCAGCGACTTGTGTCTTTGAGCGATCTCTCATTCAATCGTCACTTTCGCGTTCGACAATCGCTACCTACCCGCCGTATACCTCTCTCGCTCATTGCCGAAGCATCGCAAATATATCACCAACGCGTTTGAAGAACATCGCCCTCGAAGGCTCCATGACCAACTAGACACTGGATGCTCGAGACAAGTCTCGATGACAACAAGGAAATTAAGAGATTGATTACATCAACTGGATATAAACAGAGCTCTATGATGTCTGGCTCAGGTACTGCATCATCAACGCCCCCCTCGACAGGTCCTTTCTCCGCTGGCGAGAGTGGCGGATCCAGAACTGTTGAAGATAATGAAGGGCTGGGCGCTGGACGCCACACGGATTTTAGGGTCGCAGACGAGGGAGACACCCATAATGGACAATATCCAGGGGGTGAACATCGCCGCGGAAGCACACAAGATATGGAGGACGTACCAGAAGTCTCCCGGCAAACGAGCCACCCCGACGTGGCACCATCAAGGGCAGGACCCATGATTGATCTCACTAGACCGATGCCTTCGCACCCAGCAAGACATCGCAAGCGACGGATGGTAAGTCTTGGAGAAAATCCTCGTCTGCAACGTACTCGGTCCGGAGAAGCACCCTCTCGCGAAGCCATTACTCGAGAGGCATTTCCTCACCGATCGATATCCATGATCGTCCCATCGTCAGGAGCTGGCTCTTCCACTGTGGGGTCGTCATACGCAACGGCAATCGATATAACATCTTCTCCCCCTGATCAAGGCCGCAGGAATTCAGTCTCTCGCGAGGAACAGGGCCATCCACACCATCCAGCTGAAGGGACTCCTCGTCTCGGTGCGGGGAACGCGGGCTCACCGGCGTCTTCAAGACGGGCATCAAGACAGTCTGTCTTGACAAACCATGATATGTCTGATTTCTTCGGACAAGGTCATGAGTTATCGGCAGGGCAAGGTGGCACCAGCCAGTACGATGAGAACCCTGAAGCGGAAACAGACTTACCCAGATGGCAGCCTGATTCAGAAGTCTCGGAATGCCCGATATGCGGCACAGTATTCAAGCTCTGGTATCGAAAACATCATTGCCGGAAGTGCGGCCGCGTCGTTTGTGCTGCTTGCTCCCCTCACCGAATTACCATCCCCAGGCAGTACATTGTGCGTCCGCCTGACTCTTCTTCACTTCCCACATCTCCGCCAATACCTCTACCCCGCCAAATCGTTGATCTCACTGGAGAAGAACCTGTGTCTTCATCACTTATAAATCCTGCTCTGGGAGGTGGTGAAGAAGTACGACTTTGCAATCCCTGCGTCCCCGACCCAAATCCTCACCCCCTAAACTACGCGCCTGTACGGCCTCACGGTCACCGGTCGACCCAGTCACTCTCTTCTACCATGCTTCCGCTCTCTGCTCGTCAGTCTGCTATACGTCCAGTAAGTTCTAGTTGCTATAATCTAGCCAGTGCGTCAGGCTAATAATTACTTGCAGGACGACACTCGTCAGGAACGACGCCCGTTTGAATCGTACCGCCGCCTATCGCTGCGTCAGGAAGCTGTTCACGATAGCCGCCACCCCTACCCTTACAATCAAGGTCGAGCTTATGAGGACGAAACTCGCCGTGGCAGTCGTCGATTCACCGGCCCCCCTGCATTACATTCTTCTGGTGCCGCTTGGCCTGCACCAGCACAAAGCACCTCCACCAGGAGAGCCCCTCCTCCTGTAAGCGAGCGCGACCTATGCCCGATATGTGGTGCCCTCTTCCCTCCTCTTAGCGCCGACGCACCCGATGCCTCTCGAGAGGCTCATATTGTGCACTGTATCGAAAGCCGTGTCTCGCCCGCCCCACAGGACTCCTCGACATTGAGCCCCTCGTTGTTGAGTCCGTCTCCTGCCTCCGCAGTCGCTCGTATGGTCACATTTATGGCTACGGAAAAGGACTGTCTTAGCGGACTCAGCGAAGCGGCAGAGTGCTCGATCTGTATGGAGGATTATGAAGTTGGCCAGGATCTTGTCCGTCTTGAGTGCCTGTGCAAATTCCACAGGGGATGTATTGTCGACTGGTTCAAGCGAAAGCCGGAGTGCCCGTTGCATAAGGTGTCCTCATAAGCTCACATGTACTCGGCACACCATTGTTTGGCATCTTCAACTCGACACGTAACTCAGTTGGTGAGTTACTATTTCTTATTTTCAATACGCAGAGGGGCGCTGGTGAGGATATGTATTTTGCTCTGTGTACTACTAGCCTATGATGTGATGATGAAATGAACCTAGCATAATTTTTAACCTATCCGTAAACCGTGACACGGCGTACTTGTGAAGAAACCAAAGCACAAACATAGAAAGACGTTCCAACCCACGACTAGATCTATTCGCGTCTGTATCGAACTGGTGTCAGATCAGCTTGTTGAGTCTGGTCACGTGTCATGCTGACAAGACCGTCGTCGCCCGCTTGAAACGAAACTGCGATGTCAAACAACTTCGGGTTTCCAAAGTCCGTTTGATTTTCGAGTCAAGGGCTTATTTGACTCCTGCTAGAGGTGTTGGTTTGGCTCCGCTTATAATCAAACTGCTGCAGCCACTCGCAGGGCAACTCAAGACAACATTGCATCGGCGGTCGGTGCTTGCATTCACCGTGCTCCGCTCAAGCTCGTGAGGCACAAACAGTCACCTCGTGGGCTTCATTCACACTGTAAGCTCGACCTCTTGCCGGATGGGCTCTCTAAATCCAATGGCTCCAACGACAAATAGGCTAACATTCTGCAGCTCAGGGGCTCCAAGCCGAGCAACCAGCCCCGCTGGAATTTGACGTGACCGGCGATTGCTTTTGCCGTTCCATCCGCGATGTCCGACTACCCGGAGCCACCGTCGCACATGGCCATGCATTCTCAAGGGGGTGCTTCCCCGGATAATAGGGCCGAGTTCCCCATGCGGTCGCACCCTGCCGCCACCTCCACTGAGCCTGAAGATCATCAAGTGGATCTCAAACGGTCTCGGGCTTGTGAGCCCTGTCGCCAGCTCAAGGTGCGATGTGACCCGGACCTAAACAACCTTGATGCACCATGTAAGCGATGCGCCAAAGCGCGTCGTACATGTATAGTGACGGCGCCGACTCGGAAACGCCAGAAAAAGACGGATAGTCGGGTGACGGAGCTCGAGCGCAAGATTGATGCCCTAACTGCGACGCTACAGCAATCACACAGTAATGCAATTGCCATGGCGCCTCCAGCGCAGCAGTCACAATATTTTCGAGAAGAACAGCCTGCCTCAGGGCGATGGCTCTCTGGAGATTCTCACGTGGCGGGGAATAAGCGCAGCCACGACGAGCTTTTGGCATCGCAGTATTCCCTTTCTGATAGTCCACCTACAGAGCAAATACACAAGCCTTCAGTCTCGAAATGGCGTGGTCCTTTTGCTGGCGAGACTGCACCGCCGAAGGTTGAGGCTGCCAATGAGTTTGCGGATGTTGTCGATAAAGGACTCATTGACATTGAAACGGCCAATCTTGCTTTCGACCACTACGTCAACAAAATGGCAGTAGAGATGCCCATGGTGGTGTTTCGTCCTGAAACAACAATGGAAGACGTGCGCCGCGACAAACCTACTTTGTTTCTCTCAATTATTGCTACTGCGGTTGGCAAATTCAACAAAGATGCCCAGCTCCCACTTGTGACTGAGACTTACAAAGTAATCGCGGATCGCGTTATTATCAAGGGTGAGAAGTCTCTCGAGCTAATCCAGGCAATTTTGGTCTCCGCGATCTGGTACTTGCCTCCAGATAATCTTGAAGAGCTCAAATTTTATCAGCTCATCCATATGGCCGTGGTCTTGGCCATGGACATTGGCCTAAACCGCCGGCTTCAGGGAGACCTCAAGCCCTTTGCGCGTCTCAGAGAACTTCTGATCAAAAAGCCCCAGGGCCCGAATGTCGATATTCAAGGGCCCGAAGCGAGACGAACCTGGTTGGGATGTTATTTTATGGCCGTTCAGTGAGTTTCCTGTGTTGAACTGTTTGAAAATACCTAACATAATTAGGGTGACCACTGCTTTGAGGAGAACCCATCTTGTCAGATGGCATCCATACATGGATGATTGTCTTCAAGTACTGGAAACCCACCCCGACGCTTTGCCATCTGACCGGCAAGTTATCTGGTGGGCCAAACTTGGATTTATCATGGAGGAGTCAGGAGTACAGCTATTGAGCGATGACCCTGATTCTACGACCTCGTTTGCAGACAGCAAAACACGATATACAATCAAGGCATTTAACAATCAGCTAACACAATGGAAGAAGGATATCCCAGGGGATCTCTTCACGAGTAAGTTATTTTCTATCGACTTTGCATGCTTTTCTAATATCTAAAGTTCCCTTGGCACATACATTCCACGTCGTCAATCTTTTTGTGCATGAAAGTGCCATGAGTATCGACTGCAAGGACAGTGTCATACCCTATACTCCGGAGAATAGCGACTTGCCTGCCTCGGCTCTTGCACCGCTTATCGATGCTCTCACCACATGCATCAACGCAATCCATCAGAGCTTGGACGCCATACTTTCAGTCGAGCCGCAGCGCCTTACATGCCTGCCGACTGTGTCTTTGGCTCGAACATCATATCCTGTTGTCAGCCTGATCAAAATCTACTCCCTCTTGACTGCGAGTGAATCGCGCATCGGCCAAGTCATCGATATGCAAAGCCTGAAGCTCGAATGGTACCTCGAAAAAGTCATCAACCATTACCGCACTGCCGCAGCTCTTGACGCAGGTCGGGCCCCAGCCAAATTTGGAAACATTATCATGATGTTGCGGAACTGGTTTGTCAAGAAGAAGGAGAACGGACCAGCACTGCGCGAGATCTTCGGAACCGAGATGCGCTCAGACACACAAGACGACAAGCCAACACCGCAGCAAAACCAGATGAAACAAGGCGCGACACCTCTCGATCTTCTCAGCGAAGTCGCAACAGGGAATCAATCCAGTCGAGCTCAACTCAACGGCTCACTCATGCAACGTCCCCCTTCCGGCCAGGGATCACTTTACTCACCAGCGACCATGACTCAAAACATGTCCAACTCACCGACACCAGGAGGCACCACCTACGGCCCAGCGGAAGCACCGACAACATCATGGTCAACACCATCCTTCACACCATCCATGTCTGGCCACACTGATCCAAACATGGGAAGTCGCGCTTACTACCAACCCTTCACACCCACAGAGCGCGGAGCACTCTACACAGTGCCGTCCACGATGGGCGGTACATACGTGGACATGTCAGTAAACATGCCCCTCGGCCAGATGAGCATGCAGACCGGACTAGGCGTGGAAGAAACATTCGATCCAGATAACCTGTTCGCGTTAGGAAGCATGATGGACGAGGGATTGTTTACGTTCCCCTCGGCATTTGATGGAAATTTCTGGCTCTAGACAGTCTGTAAATTGGCGTTTGCGCTTTTTTATTCTTCTCTTCTCTCTTATACCCCTGACATTAGATCTCATATCAGTTCTTAAATTATATTCTTCTCCCTCATATCCATATATGTGTATTACCTTGGCGGATGGTCAATTCGTTCAAGGCAACAACATTCAAGCATCATAGCAAGTGTAATCTCAGGTCGAATGCAAATAGTCAAGCTTTACAGTGTTTCAGTTCTATACGCTTTGAATATTAGAAATAGGATTCGGAGATGAAGAGACTACTGGAATAATGAAAGAGCGGTCTACGGGCATTCAATGCGGGAAATGAAACTGCTGAAGCCATGGAAGGCCGATCTCCTCTTGCTTGCCGATCACGACTGTCCCTAAAAGAATCCGTGGGCGCCATCAGTACACATTTGCACAGGCTCAAGTTTCCCCGCGGGTTATATTGATCATTCAACCTTCGAAAGAAACAGGCGATGTTTTGGTTGTAGTCAATGATATGCAACGTATACTTACACTTGGGACTACGACTACCCGCAACCTCCCAGGGTCTGAAACTCTTCCTCAACGTCCAAGCAGTGCAGACCCTGGATTTCGCCAATTTTAAGGTTGATATGGGCCCACTCCTGCATCATGGCTCTAACAAGATTACCGCTTTTGTGCCGACGTTGAGGTGGAACTACTACGTCCGCAGTGTTCACGATGAGCTGGAGATCTCGGGGTTGAAGCCGACGTTGACCACTTTGCTGGGGAATGTGGATGCGGACTGATTCAGGATGTGAGGGCTGTTCCTACACCAGTCATCATATTACTCTTTGATGCGGCTATATTTTGGTTTGAAAACATATCAGAGAATAGTTGACTTTTTGTGGTTTCTATTTTTTTTACTTTACCTCTAGTGCCTAACCCCTTCGGCATCTAATGGCCTGATCATCTAGCATTTGTCGATCTGCGTAGTGCACTCATTCCGTTTTTTTAAGTGCCTCCATAAGAAATCTCTGGTATTTCTGCCTATCTCTCCGCTAGAATGCCTACACCCTTGCTCCACCTGCAAACGGTAGGATACCATTCCGGGATGGCGCTAACGGGCGGGCCGGGTCCACCCATGAGATTCTATGCACTAGTTAGTACTTTTTGGGGAGATGCGATTGGTAGACTCGGTTCTTAATTTTGTCGTAAGACGCGAGGCAAAGAAGCGATAGGTGGAAGAAGGGGGAACGTCTCGGTATAGGGGCATATGGAAGTGTTCATCTGCATCGATGCCTGACAAGACTGTCAGTAAAAGAATGATGCCTGATGCCTACAGCTGGTATCATGTGCCATCCAGAGCTGGAAGCGATTGCGAGATTCTCACGAAGAAAGGTTAGAATCTCTACCCTGAATACTCTCGATACCGCAGACCCACTGTAGTATAGTGGTTTATTTGTTCAGTGCTGTAACAAACATAAAGGCAGCAAATCGAGAACCAGGAGCGGCCAAGACGAAGAAAGGATGAAAGCGACTATCCATCATTTTGCCCGCATGAAACATCGATTGACCACCCAGACGATGACATAAGCATATATGCGGAGGATAACGTGGTTCACAAGCGAGTGACGCGCCCAAGCGAGTGACGCACCCACCCATTTTTTCGCGTCTCCGCGCGTCCATTCATCTTCTATCAAGCACCATGCCTCCAATTCGCGTCAGATCAAGCCAAGATTCTATCCAGCAAGAGGGCCGTATATCAATTGCTATACAGGCTATTCAGAATAAAGAAATCAGTTCTATACGCGAGACGGCACGTCGTTTTAATGTGCCTGAAGCTACGCTCCGCCGTCGACTACGCGGTACTACAAATCGCGCTGACACTCGCGCAAATAGTCTTAAACTGACAGATATTGAAGAAGAGACGCTTCAAAAACGGATTCTATCGCTCGATCTACGCGGAGCAGCCCCTACACAAGCTCATGTACGAGATATGGCGAATATTCTCCTTGTAACGCGCGGTTCTACCCCCATCCAGACTGTTAGCAAAAATTGGGTATATAACTTTATTAAATGACGCCCAGAACTTAAATCTCGCTTTTCCCGACGATATAATTATCAGCGAGCAGAACAAGAGGATCCAAAGATCATTCGAGCGTGGTTTGACCTCGTACAAGCCACAATTCAGCAATACGGTATCCTACCAGACGATATCTATAATTTTGATGAGACTAGCTTCGCGATGGGCCTCTGTACGGCCCAAAAAGTGATCACTCGATCAGAATACTACGGTCGGAGATCAGTTTTATAGCCAGGAAACCGCGAGTGAGTGACTGCGATTGAGTCAATAAACGCTTCGGGGTGGGCGCTTCCACCAACGCTTATCTTTAAAGGCAAGCTATATAATCAAGTATGGTTTAAAGACCTTCCACCCGACTGGCGCTTCGAAGTCAGTGTAAATGGATGGACAACCGACGAGATAGGCCTTCGCTGGCTTCAAAAACAGTTTATTCCGTCAACAAATCATCGTACGCGTGGACGATATCGCCTTCTAGTCCTTAACGGACACGGAAGTCATCTAACGCCAGAGTTCGATCAAATCTACGCGGATTATAATATTATTCCGATCTATATACCGCCGCATTCCTCGTATCTACTTCAGCCTCTTGATATCGGATGTTTCGCTATATTAAAGCGTTCGTACGGCAGTTTAATCGACCAAAAGATGCGGCTCGGGATTAACCATATCGACAAACTTGACTTCCTTTTCACATACCCATAAGCTCGCGTCGACGCCTATAAACCAACTACAATACAAAATAGCTTCCGAGTAGTAGGACTAGTGCCAATTAATCCTCAATAAGTGCTATCAAAGCTAAATATTCAACTTCGGACACCGACACCTCCTATAAGCCGCGGTAGTCAATCAAGCGCGTTTTACCCACATACGCCCGCGAACGTCGACGAGCTTTTGAAGCAAGCATCCTCAATTAAAGCTTTCTTAAAGCGACGCTCAAAAAAGCCCGCTATCGCCTTCGCAAACCGCGTTAAACCAGCTTATCAAAGGCTATCAGATCGCAATGCAAAACGGTATCCTTCTTGAGCAAGAAAATAAGCAACTACGTGCCGCAAACGCTACGCAAAAGCAAAAACGTGCTCGCAAGAATAGATGGATAGCCCACGATAACGGTCTATCCGTACGAGAAGCATTAGAGCTCGAGGAAGCTCATAAAGAGCCCCCTCAGGTAATACTAGCTCCACTAAGCCTACTACCGCGGGACACACCAGCACCGAAGACGCGTCGTCCACCTCAATGCACTAATTGCGGAGTGATCGGACATAGAAGGAATGCCTGTAAAGCTAGAGATTAATCAATATAAAGGCGTTGTGGTTGATTAATATGCATAAAAGTGTAGAAAATTTGGGTGGGTGCGTCACTCGCTTGGGCGCGTCACTCGCTTGTGAACCACGTTAGTTATAACTGTCACTCCTCAGCTCGCCGAAAGAACCGGGTGGCACGTGGAGTTGGAGAAGACTTTCCAGGAAAAAGCCATCAAACGAACTTGAAAAGAATTGACTGGAATATTTTGTTTTGTATCTGTCGATTGAAACATGGGGTATATTCTATTCATCCGGGACTTCGCTGCCACGTTTGCAAAATCCGTCGCTCCACATAAGCCCACGGCCATCCATTATCCCTTTCTGTGCGGCGGAGGAGGTCGAAAAGTAAGTTTTGCGCCTGGGGATCATCTATCCATGAGCTGCCTGTAAATCAAGAGATCAGTAAGGTGAAGATTGAGAAAATGAAGAAAGACAGGGATAACGACGTACAAGCACATAATGCATGACAAGCCATAATCCGTAAAGATGGCTCATCATCTGCCGAAAGTGCAATGCCCCATAGGTAATTCAGGTTATCCGTAATCTGCTCCTTGATGTTCATATGATGCTCCGCGGTCATCATCCTCCGATCATATCCTTCGAACTCGCGAATCAACAGTAACGCCTTCGCAAGGCAAACGTGCTGCATAGCCGTAGCTGTCGAAATAACATTAGCACAACCCCAACTCCCCGTACAAAATACCCAGAATAGACACTCACAATGCCATAAACTAGTATACCAAACAACAGGAAAAGGTTTCCCTCTCCTGGGCTCCGGCGGCGAAACATGCAACGGCGTAAACGTCTCAGGCCTCGTCGTCTCCCATTCCAGAATCCTCTGCTTCAGTGCATTCTCCCTTGCACCGAGATCCGCCCCATACCGACCAGAAACATTATAACAGGACTCCACAGTCTCAGCGAGAAGCCAGATGGCGCGATTTACCCAGTCGCGCTCGGTGCACGGCTTGGCGACCCACCAGTGGCGGAGCCGGTCGTCAAACGGCGCGAAGGTTAGCCGAAGACATTTCTGGTACGTAAGGGCAAATTGAATGTCTTGGATGACAAAGACCCAGAACGATGCTGATGCGAGACCGCTGGATATCGCACAGTCCACATGCGAACTGATGTATACGGAGCCGGCGAGGAGATGGCGTTGTGGGTCGTTTGAGGGGGTGTGGGCTGTTTTATTATGTTAGTGGGGAAGTGGGAGGTTGGGTGATTGAGATCTTGGTTAGCGGGGAGCTGGGTAGGTCTGGGCTACGCACAGGAGATCTGTTCGAAGAAGCGGAGGATGACGGTTGAGCTTAGGAGGATGTCGATGCCGATCTCGAATTCGGGCCTGTCGAGCACCGGGAGCATGATTGAGACGCAGCGCTCATGATAGCTATCTGCGACGTCTGGAGAGATGGTGTTTGTGGTTCTGGATAGATGGCATGCTGCTACAGCTAGGCAAGCGTATAGCAACAGTGAGGATGAACTGGCTCGTCCGGCTACATCCGCGCAGAAGTGTCGTTCGGGATCTCCCGCGTCAAGCTGGACTTTTGTTAGGCGCGCGGTCTGTTCGCAGGAAAATGACTTACCCATGGTGCTAGGTGGATTTGGAAATGTCGGAGGAGATAAGCTTCAGTTACACTTGCTAGGCGAGGCTGGCCGGGAGTCGTGCTAGATGGACGGGGTGAGTTTGCCGAGTTGGACCGAGTCCCGGCTTGAGAGTCTGCGATGTAAAGTGGGAGTTTGGTGCTTGAGCCGGGTAGAGAAGGTTCCATAGTGGACGAGCAGGTCGAGCGAGCTTCAGACGGTGACCTGGAGAGCGATTTATTGCTCGTCGCCGGTACGACATGATACTCGGACGCAGTCTGGTCGGTTTCATCTTTGAATGAGACTGGGAAGGATGAGCAAACTTGAAAATTTCAATTTCACGCACAGGGTGGCCTACATTCTGAGGATGTTTCAACCCAGACCTGGTCCTCAGGGAAAGTCAGGTCACTCTCCCCATACCTCGGGGGCCCCTTTCCCCTTAGGGATGGGTTCTGGCCATGCCGAAAGGAAACTTCCTCAGATTTGCCCGGGGCGGGTACGCAATCGCGACCAGATCGCTGGCAACGCAGACATCTTGTTCCTGATTTGTCACCTGCAGGATGATGAAGGTTAGACCCAAATGGTGCAGTCGATGAGCGATATCATACATTTCAGATGGCGCAGACGACAGGTGAGGCTAAACAAGGTCAGCTGTTTCAGTACATGATTCCCAGGCTTCCGGATTCACAGATCAGTGGGAATAGGAGAAATACGAACCATCCCCTCATTACGCAGAGTGGCGAGGAAAACGACTAAAACAAGAACATAGTCGGCATCCCAGGCCCGAGGATGCTAGATATATGCAATTACGATTCATGAAGCTCGAGTAGTAATCAACAAGAGGCGGAGACCAAGTGGGGTGGGGCTTGCAAATGGGTCACGATTGGTAGACGGCAGATCATCATGAGGCCAACGCAGAGTTTTTGGGGTACCAAGCCATCCCAAGTTGGAGATTAGCTCGGTGGAGCGGGTAAACGGGTTTCGAATGTACTGGAACTTCACTGGAATTGGCTGATACTGATACCTGGACAGGGTAAACGCCTTGGGGCCGCTCCTCATATTTCCTCGACGCCAGGTGCAACGCTCCCCACAAGCCCCATTTTGACAGTCTCCTACTGTATTTGGTTGGATGGCACGCACCCCCACGCGCGTCCGACAAACTTTTGCTTCCACCCTACCCCGATCAAAACCGATCTTTGCCCGAAGGAGCAAGATCTTAGATGCGTTCTGGCCGAGATGTGCGGCTTCCTTCGGGAACCCGGGCGGTAAAAACAAGCGAGTAGAGATGGAACAGCGGGCTATATGGTCGAGAGCTGTCGAAAACCGTGGCTGTTTCTGTTTCCGACGGGAGCCGTGCCCCCTTTTTTTTTTTTTTTCCCTAGCGTCCCTTGGTATCTCGGTGAGCGTAGGGATATTTATGGTATGGATTTCCCAGCAATGTTGCGTATCTGCGTATGCATAAAGCGTAAAAAACTTGGGGCCAATAATGGATGAGTGTGAACGGCAGGAGTCTCCACGAATGTAAGCCGGCTATATTCACCAGCAGGATCCGAGAGCTGTCGTCAGTCTCAAGCTTCCAAAGGAAATAAAGTGAAAACACTAGCGCCAGCATCACTCAGCATCCACCGGGACCTGAAGTCGTCACCGCTGCTATTGTTGAACCATGTGGCGGACACGCTCATCAAACTCAAAATGAGCTCGAAACCCAGCATGAGGGAAATCGCCATGAATGGATAAGATCATTGGATCGGCGACGCCGGGATCTATTCTGTCCCTGACAAATCCCGCACGGGGGCGGGGTCCATCAAAGTAGAAATTTCGGCACTGTCCGTGATTTCGGGTCTCATTTCACTGGACCCGTGGATGGCGTATGTATGGACCCGTCGAACCCTGCAGATCTTGGGGAGCCGTGCACACGATGCCGAAGCCGTGATTTGTGGTTCGGGAGACAAGACGCGTCTGCAGACCCTCACCTGGGCGGGCGTCCGGAGCAGATGCCAGACCTGTGTGTGTTCGTCCGTGGTTGATGTGGGGAGGGTAGATGCCGAGGAATCCAGCTGCCTCTTTGAGCGAACTCTACCGAGTAGGTTTCGCAGATTGTCTCCGGATCGGGATGACACAGGGGCATATCAGGGGGATCAGATACCGGAATATGAAGACCTGAAGATCACCCTCCATAAATAGGAGATTGCATCTTGGATGATTATCGGACATAGGGGAAATAGGACCAGCCACCAGCCACCTTTCCTCCTCTGGTTAGTCAGCCACCATGGGAATCAGGTACCCAGGCACGACTTGGGAATCATGGGAATCATGGGAGTCACGTTACTAGTTACATAATCAGCTGATCACCGTAGATCTCATCATGTGACCTGCTTATCTCGTTGGTAATGACGTGACGAGATAAGAAACAGGGATTAGGATAGCACTTACCTGACACCGTCTTAGTGCAGAGAGCAGTGCTTTAACAGCTTCCGTTGTGGCCAACTTGCTTTTTTTCTCCATCATGTGCTGATATTGATCTTGATATGTCTCTTCCTCGTATCTCCTTCCTCGAAGGTTGGGATCGCTACCCAGGCGGCCCCGTCCGTGCCCGAGACGCCGCGGCTCTATCAGATACGGAATCAGAGTACGATCTACCAGAACCGTCCCCGCTGTCGTCCTCCTTCCCCTCGACGTATAGCAGACTTAATTTCAACCCGTATGCGGGACCAGGTTGGAACGAGAGTACTGACGATCGTGATGATCACCCCTCCTTGTTTGGATCCCTTCTCTCTCCTACGGCGACGCGGGACAGTCGAGTGGAGCCCCCAAGTGCCGACCTTGGCTTTGCCGCTGGTCCAGGGTCCAAGGATCCTTGGTCGGTTACGAGGCCTGCTTACGAAGTGAGCCCCGCTAAGCGCATCGGTATGCCGAACTTTTGTTTTTATTTTATTTATTTTTTCAAGTAGGCTTTGGGGGTGCTAACATCTTTCAGCCCAGGTTTGTCTTGCTGTGATCTATTGTTTCCTGGCTGCGGGAATTGTCTTTGGTTTTGCGGCCATTAAACCAGTTCTAATCCGCGAGAATGTATATCGCAACCTCTGCTCGCAGGACGAGCTCGAGGATGATGTTGATGTCTGCTATGGTCAGGAAATCAGGTGCGTTTGTTAATGCCTCGAGCTAAGATCACCACTGACTCTATGGCAGGTTGAACCTCATGTTCACCATTGCCGCTGTGGCAACCAATGTCTCTGCCCTCCCCGTAGGAACCATTCTAGATGCGTATGGCCCTCGTGTATGTGGCTTCATTGGCAGCGTGTGTCTTGCTCTTGGAGCTGTGCTATTCGCGCTCGCCGGCCAATTGCCCTTTGATGGGTATATCCCAGGATATCTATTGCTCTCTCTGGGTGGTCCGTTCGTGTTCATCTCATCATTCCAACTGTCCAACACATTCCCCACACGGTCTGGGCTGATCCTATCCATGCTTACTGGGGCTTTCGATGCGTCAAGCGCCCTGTTCCTGCTATTCAGACTTCTGAGCGAACACACAGATGGCTACATATCAAGCCAAAAGTTCTTCCTAGCCTACCTGATCGTCCCGGTATTCATTGTGACTGTCCAGATTACAGTGATGCCCAAGACATCCTACAAGACAGCCGGCGAGCTAGTTCAAGAAGCATCAGTGCACGTCGCCGACGAAATGGCCGACCGCGTAGATGGTACAAACCAAGATGCCGAGCGGGAGCGGATTGATCGTCGCGCCCAACGCCAGAGCATCGTAACCCAGATCCAAGGCCTCCTAGACGACGGCACATCATCAATTCGGTCTGGCGGGATCAACGACTCTGTCTTCCAATCCCCGAACATTCAATCACCGCGCCTTGGGCCCACTGAAGCGCCTCAGCCCGTACCCGTCCTCGCAAACACACCAAATACCCACACAAGCGGCGTCTGGGGTGTTCTTCACGGCAAAAGCGCCCTTCAGCAACTTTGCACGCCCTGGTTCATACTAATAACCCTATTCACGGTGCTCATGATGCTCCGAATAAACTATTTCGTCGCCTCCCTCCGCCAACAATACAACTATCTCCTTGACCCACTCCTAGCCCGCCAAATCAACACAGCCTTCGATATCCTTCTCCCCGTCGGCGGTCTCTTTTCAATTCCATTCATCGGCACATTCCTTGACACTTTCAAAACCCGCACTGTCCTCACCATCCTGGTGGCAACGGCTACCGCTATTGGTGTTCTGGGATGTATTCCAAACAGTACGGAAGCTGCGTATGGAAATATTTTGCTTTTCGTTCTCTATCGTCCATTCTATTATACCGCTGTGTCAGATTACTCGGCAAAGGTCTTTGGATTCCAGACGTTTGGCAAGGTTTATGGGTTGATCATCTGTCTTGCTGGTGTTGGAAACTTTGCACAGGCCGGTTTGGATACATTGACGCTCAAGGCTTTCGGTGGTGATCCTGTGCCCGTGAATGTTGTTTTGACTCTTTTGGTTGCAGCCGTGGGGTGTGTGTTAGTTGTGTTTGTCTCTTGGAAGACGGCTGTAATTGCGAAGGAGGGGAGTGGACCGGAGATGAGGCCTAGTTTGAATGCGAATGCGAATGCAAATGCTAATAGAAATGGGGCTCATCCGGAGGGTGTGTTGACGATGGACTGGGAGACGAGAAGGCTTCTTTCTAACGATAATGAGCGAAGAGGTTATGGGTCTTGATTTTGTAAGAATGGGGGTGGTACGGGGACGACGGCGATGAGTATAGTTACATATTACGACTAAAGAAGCTTGACAGAGAGGTGGCATGGTTGGCCATGCTATTGTTAACGAGTTCAAATGCCCTACGGATGATGCGTTCCTCAAGTCCCACATGTTCTGTAGACGCAAAATCTTTCGCTCTTGCTCCAGCAGTAGTAATGAGGGGAATATTGAAAACCGATGATGCTCAAAAGAATGAAGTGCACTTGTCCCGGGATTGTAGGTTTCAATCACAATAATTCGAATAAAGTCCAATTCCATCTCCTTTCTTCAGGTGAGACCTTGCGTGTTCCTGCAGCGTGTTCTTCCGACCAGATGACTCGCCACATTTGCATTTAAATTTGAGTTAAAATCTTCATATTTGACACGATGATCTCGGGGCTCTCATTTAATACAATATCAGAATTTAGGTATGTATGCAGAGGAAGAAGCGGAAGCTCGGAAGTCGATCGCCTCTGTCAACATCGAACGTCATGTGGAGCTAGACAAAATAAAGCAGACGGCAAACGGTAGGTAGTTACATACAGCCCATACCAGATTTATCCCCGAAACACCCCATGTTCCAATTTTTGCCGTACCCCTGCACCATCAAATGAATTCGTGACCAAGAACATATGCTCAAAATTTTCAATTACGGAGACGTGGACGGCCTCCGTTTCCTTACCCGATCATAGGATGAGATCGCAAATGCTGCTGGAGATTATCTTTTTGACCAAATGCTCCATTGCATCTGTGACAGTCGAGTTTTCCAGGGAAAAGATGTGTGGAATTTGACATGTCTAAAAAGGGACTGTCGATTCTGAAGCCACCATCATACGTGCAATCAACCCAACCACACCTTAGTTGAGTGGTGGGAATACACACAAGCGTTAAACCATAAGAATATGGAGTAAAGTTGAGAACCGCCGAAGGACTCGCTAGACCGTGCTTTCCAGCAAGCTGTATCCGAAAAAGAGATCGAGATCCTAATGGATATGGGTGCCTACTATTGGTTCATCGGCCTCCTTGAAGAGGTGACGTTGAAGCGGAAGGCAGACACGGGAAGCCGAACGGTCGCCGTTTGGCGGGACTGACTGGGGGTATCCACTAAAATCCACTAACTCGTATCTTATCCAGGGCCACGGTGACGGCGCCCGTGCACCTGCAGCTCAGGGCCATCATACGATTTCCTAAGCACTCAGAGTCACGCGCCTCAGCGTGGACTTGATGTACCGCTCCCTAGGTCATGTATCCACCGTACGCCCTCTCAATTCTCCTTATAGTGACAGGGATGCCGGTGTCAGTTGTGGGGTCCCAGAGGTCCAATCTTCGTTTCCATGGCCAGAAATTGACCCACCTTTGAAGGTCATGGTTCTTGCGTAGTTTTCTTCTTTTCCCGCGCGCTATGAGACGAGCAATAACGAATCGCTACCGCCAAGGAGTGAATGATCAAAGCGGGTCAATGAGAGGAATTTATCTACCTAAATGCGTTTCAGTTGATCACTTTCATCCATCCTTGAGTTAAAAACTAAGTACTTGACATAATAAGGGGTGTGGATTCTCAGTCAGTACAATACGCGAAGACAGATCTGTATGTGGAGGAAAGGGAGTTGGAAATCCAGGCGAGATGGACTTTACTCGATTAGGCTGTGGCTACATACATAGACAGTTTGATCTACTTGAATCCAAGCAGAAGGTCATGACTCGGTTCTGTTAATGCCAAATGCAGAAAACTAGAACATGTATTTTACAAAACCTTGCCTTAATCGACCGATAGTGATAGAAGCCAAACGCCCTGAAAACTCAAAACACATTTATGGAATATCATAGATTCAGTATCGCCATTCTCTTATTGTTTGCAACAAACAGCCGTAAGAGCCACTGTTCAAAGAGGCAGGGTCGAAATCTGGACCGACTTAGTCACAGCAACCTGAGCAATGACCTTTTCTAGGTCGTGGCTTCGAATGAGCATTCCACATATGCTCCTGAAGTTTATCATTCCGCCCGAATGCTCTGCAGCATTTGCTGCACTTGAACCTCTTGGGAAATATATGTTTAGACTTAATATGTCTCCACAAGGACGTGTCGCGGGTAAAATTTCCAGCATAGGTGCAGCCCGCCCATTCAAATCTCACTTGACTATATTGGGATGTTAGACACTAAATACTCATATAACATCTCGGGCTTACTCAGAGTGTAGTTGCGCAGAAGATCTCGGCTTTTGGAGGACCTGATCCACGCAGTGGACGGCACGTTGAACATCGGATGTATGAAGTAGATCAGGTGGAGGGCGGCCAAGAGTTGAGTCCTCTAATTGAAAGCTTTCGCAGGAAGATCCTCCATTGATAAAGATGGGTATTCGCGCTGGGATAGATTCGGTATACTCATCGGTCACCCGGGTGGATGGATGTGGGCTGTTTAGTTTTATCTTGTTATGTTTAGCGCCCTAATACGCCGTCACGTAACCTCTCCTTAGACTGCCTGATATAAAGACCTGACCTTACCCTATTCTTCTCCGTTTCTGTCGAGGGTTCCAGGGTCCCTATGCGGCAGGGCTTTCCTAGACCTCCGGAGATCAGCTGACACTGCGGTGTGCTAGCTGACCTGGATGATGACTAGTAGTATTCAGTACTGCAGCGTACTAACTAATCTATGAATAATAGGAGAAATACATGACATCTCCATAAATGAAAGATAATATAGATAAAATAGATGAAATCTCCCTGGTCTGCCTTTTATGAGAGAGAAAGGGTAGTGGGAGGTAAATTGAGATGAATGCTCTTATTCTTATTCAGTCTAGTTATGTAGCTATATTTATAGATTTAGCTCACTTAGCGCCGATTGGATCATGAAATTGAAAGAGCCAGGATACTGTGTAGCCGAGATCATACCTGGAAAATTGTCCGCCCCGTCCTTTGACCATTCAAAGTTTAACCCGCATTTTGTTTGACAAGACCTCCTCTACCAATGAGGTCGCCATGGCTGCACAGCCAAACGAAGCCTGATATCCAAAGCCTCCGTGGCCATAATTATGAACGACCGACACACCTTCCACTTGATCTTTCTCAATCCGAGGCCCACCATCGCGCATAGGCCGCAATCCAACGCCGTGCCGAACGATATCCAAACCTTCAATACCCTGGCCCTTTTTCACGAGCTGTGGACAAATGGCGATAGCACGTTGCATGATACGATTTGCGAGGTTTGGGTCTGGCAAGGCGTTCCAGTCGTGCTTATGGTGTGAGCCGCCAATAACTGTACCTCCGCCTGCGGCGCGAGTCATGATATATGAGACTTCCTCTTTCCTATCTTCAGTCTCCGAAACAGAGACAATAGAACCGGGATCATTGCGAACGATGACAATCTGACCCCGGTCTGGATATAGCTTGTCATCACGAACTCCGTAGAGGAATTTAGAAGACAATCCTGTGCAGTTAACTATAACATCTGCTTTTTGCCCCGAATGATGTGAACCAGCGGCTTCGGCAACATGCTTGAAAAAGGCTCTGTTGAAAATGACGCCGTTTTTGACGCATTGGCCAACCAGCCATGGTAAATAGATGGCGGTATTAATACAAATAGAGGTGAAACTTTCAACACTGTCGATGTCAGGTGCCAATTGGTCCTGAGAAACTAGTTTGAACTGAGCATTTAGAATTAGCACGAATTTCTCGATCAGGCCGAGAGGGAAGCAATCGATTCTGTACGCATACGTTTGGCACGACGTCGGCATACCAGGGATGCGGCTGCACGGCCTTCGAACTCCCGTCACTTGAAGCAGGCCCCTGGACTTTCTTGCGCTTGTAGATCAAAGAGTCTAGGATACATATCAATTGCAGCCAAGGTAGGATTGAGACCAGTGGTCACTTACTTCGAAAATGCAAACCTGCTTCAGGGAACTTTTCTGCTATCTTTTTCAAGGCTGGCCAAGAAGCCCGCTCCCATTTACGTTGATTACTGCCTTCCTTTCCAAAACTATAAAATTTAGAGCATCATAAGAAGTTAGATTTTTATGAGTAATTGATGGGCTGATCTCACGGCAAATAGTCGGCACCAGCCCACGGAGATGGGTATTCGATATCGTAGTCGCCGGGCATATGCTTTGCTAGTATGGTGAGTTTGTTGGTCGGATCTTTGGACAACAGATAGGCAGTTGTGAGGCCCGAAACACCCGCCCTGAGATGCGTCAGTTCGACATCATTGACATGTCTCATATTATTCTCTGTTGGATTTCGGGGGCGATTACCCTAGAACGACAATATTGTTTGGCATAGCGGTTTTTGCTATTCTCAGTTGATCGTAGAGCACAAATTATACGGATGCGCGAGCAGGGACACGCTGTGTTACCAGAGTGCACAATGAACTCAGACAAATCATCCAGGGTAAAATCGAGCGGGGAAAGCGGGTTCCAGTTGACGGGGACCCAGGGGAAGTTGGCTGGGACCCAGAGAATTCCTGACTAATCCTGAGTCCCAGCCAGCTAGGACCCTGAGAACAACTTGCTGAGGCCCAGTTAAATCTAGAAATTCTGGAAGCAGAGCAGATCAGTGTGCACGGAATGCCAAGATGCCTACCATGCACGGCGTCTCACAGTATTCGGGTCTGTTCTGAGTTTCCGTTTCCCCTAGAGATCTCGATCTATCGGCTCCTAGTCTATATTCACTTCTTACCCTTAGCTCTCCACACCCACCCACAACGTTCGTTTATGTAGTAGCGACATCACTCAATCCAAAAATACTTCTCTCCCGAGGAACCAAACGGACTGTTAGTATTATTCTGTCTCTCGGCGTTAACGCCCTATCACCGAACCCCAATTCTACGACGTCATTGAGCAACAAGTAGACAAACCTCAGGAATGCTAGGGCCCCGAGCGCAGTCCTCTTGAAAAATCTCTATCAGATATCCCTCACTTTTCATCCTCACCAGAAAATTTTAAAGAAACAGTGGACCTCAGTACGAACCAATTTTCTTCGCAAGATAGCATCATCCTTAAAGTCCGACCCAATGGGGGACCTCGCAAGTCAGTTCGCCCTTCCTCTGCAAAGTAAGCTAGCGATAGTAACTGGGTCATCACGTGGTATTGGTGCCGGCATTACATGGGAGCTTGCCCGCCGTGGTGCGAATGTAAGGAAGAACTTGCTATAATGCAGTCATTCTTTCTTTAATGTTTTTGGAAAACGAGAACTTGAAGGTTAATGAGAGCCAGGTCTGTATCACCTATGTCTCAGACAACAGCAAGTGTCCTGCCGAAGACCTTAGGGCTAAGATCAGCCAACTCCCTCATAAGCCGACCACATGGACCTGCCAGGCCGACCTGTCAACGACCACGGGCGCCCAGGAGGTCATTTCAAAGCTCAAGTCTTACGTTGGCAAGCGATGACTTTCAAATCCACATTTTGGTGAATAATGCCGCCACCGAGATGGTGAGCAATATGCAGAGCGTGACGCTTGAGAATTATAATAAGGTTTTCAACCTTAACGTGCGTGGTCTCATGCTCATGACGCAGGCCGTAGTTCCGTACCTAGCACCCAAGGGCCGGATTATCAACTTAAGCTCTGTAGGAGCGCGCTCCGGCTTCAAAGATGTCAGCATTTACAGCGCTTCCAAGGCTGCTGTCGAAAGCTTCACGCGCACCTGGGCCAGCGAGCTAGGTGGGGATGGCACGACGGTTAATGCTGTGGCGCCAGGACCTGTACCTAGCGATATGCTGGACAATATCCCTAAGGAAATTGTCGACATGCAGAAGACGACGACGCCTATCGAGCAGCGACTTGGCACAACGGAGGAGATTGCGAGCATTCTTGGGTGGTTGGCAGGACCCGATGCCTCATGGGTGTCGGGCCAGGTTATCTGTGCAAGTGGTGGCTGGTCAATGTATTAGGTTATATAAATAGGGTGTGTTCTTTGTTAAATTGGAGATGATTGTTCGAGGTTATATGCCAGCCATCAGGTGTCGAATAACAAGGAGGTTGTTGGTCACCGGCAGTGTATCCAATCTTACCCTGGCCTAGTGACATACTAAGCTATTGTTTGTTATATCTAATAACTCATTTGCATTCGGCGGGATATATACCTTCATGTGAAAAGTCAAACAAAACCCCCGGACCAACATTGCTATGGAAGAGAGACTTGTTCCCCAGGGAAATGTCGCGGTCTGGCCAGGGCGCGGGGTTCCCTTCTGTCGACTGCAATCTCCTCCTGAGAGGGTAACGTGCTGAAGATACTTCCATTGATGGCATCAACAGCAAATTCCTTGTCAGCCTATCCTATGAGGGTAAGTGGGGTGCAATACATACCTGTAAGGGTTTTTGCTTAACTGTAGGAGAAAAACGGCGCTAGTGAGTGCATCCCAGTTGGATTTATCAGTGGGAGAACTCTCAAAATTAAAGCTTCAAACTAGCGCCTACTTTATACCTGGTTTCAATTTCAAGATCGTCGAGCGAAAACAGAAGGTACTTATCGGCTAGAGGTGGTGTAGCTCGTCGTGCAAAGTTACGGGCGGTAAGGCGGCCGTTTCTGGCCTCTAAAGCGGTCATTTTCGGCGCCAATTTCACAGATCCTCAGATTCTAGTTGGAAAATACGATCGACTTGGTATCACGGCCGCTCCAGACTTCAGTCCCTGTTTCCGATAGAGCTCTGTTCATGGCTCACATCTCTGGGTATAGAGCAGCCCTAAAAGGTGCGGTTTCACTATATCTTTGAGCTTGCTTCTAAATATAGTACATGTATTCGCATAGGTTCCAACCAGCTCTGCAGGGTATATTGTTTGAAGTAACATTTCAGATGAGAAGGTCAGAATTCATACATGACAAGTCATGCGCATGCTTCTTGTGACATACATGATTTTTGCTTTGCTTGTAAGTCTACCAATTCGAATGAATCTGGAGTCTACTATATCTATGCCTGATTCATGTTTTCTCCGGACTCAGTGCTTTTCATCGATGATAGTTCTGCATTGTAATAAGAATGTAAATCCAGCTTGTATTTCCTTTAACCTATTCATAGTTGTAACTCTTCTTTGAATCACAGTCATAGCTCTCTCCTCCCATTGATAATTGCAATGTTTACGCTGTTTGCTCTCCAAACATTTGAATGTAGACAACCGACTAAACTCTCTAATCATGGGGAGGTAAACGACCTGACCTCGGATGAGAAAGTCGTATATGCTCCCGACACTTATCCCTCCGACCAAAGGCCTTCTTGCACTTGTGACATCTGAGTTTGTTGGGGTGGACGTGTGTGGTCTTGATGTGTCTCCAGAGAGACGTATCGTGAGAGAATCCACCGTTGTAGGTGCAAGCCTCCCAGCGACATTTCAGCGGAGTGGAAGAATCACTATGTTCGTTTTAGAAAAGAATAAGGCCCTAGAGTTTAGGTGCTTTGTGTTTGAAATAATGACCAACTTACTCCGAGTCCGACCGAATAGAACGATAATACTTCGGGTCTCCAAGGCTTTCAGCATATTCATCCAGAGACCTTGTTCGAAGTAGCTCGGGTTGAGAGCACTCTGTTTGTATCTCTCGCGATTGGGGGTTGTTGTGAGACTTGTTATCATTGGTACAGGGTAGACTATTCAGTTGGAGATTCAAAGTATGCTCATCGGTCAACCAAGTGGAAGGCTTAGGGCTGTATTTTGTCGCGAAAGAGGTGGTTGGAGTAGTTAAATTTAAAAGGCATGGTTGGTACCGGAAGGTATCCGATAGTATTTGACTATCCGGAGTCGCAAAAGAGGTATTGGAGATATGGTTGCAAGTAGGTATCGAGGATTGGGTACTATCACTTTGACAGTTCCCACAGATTAGGCATTTCCAGCTCATGTTGAATGTTTGACTGGGCGTATCTTCGATGAAAGTTATAGAAGTAAAATGATCAAAATATTGTTCAATTCGAGCTATGTGAATGAAAAAGTGGTTTAATAGCGGGCTTGACACCTTTTTATCTTCTGTCTTCGATGTTCCTTTGCTAAGCCGATTGAAGTTGATTGGAGATTGAGTTTATTCGGTGTGTTATCCGCTAGGACACTACGCCGACTCTGCCGGTCTAGAAGGGGTTATGATTCGGGCAGTTCTTAGAGTGACGTGGCTTGGGCTGCACCGGACTTCGCAGGTCTCCGAATTTATTTAGCGTCTGACTGTACATGTGCGGCTCATAGCAACCTTTACCCCTCCAAGTTTCCTTACATATATGCTACCATACAGATCTTCGTTGTGTGTAGGAACTTCAAGTTGAGATACATAATGATGAAGTGATTTGGGGGAGGAGAGGGGAAGCAAAAGCGCACTATATATGGAAAGCATTTGCCAGATTTTTTTTATTCATATATGCATTAAATCTATTATATTCATGCAACCTGCACCCATCAGGGTACCATGGTCTGCATTGCATAAATTGTGGGTATGTGTCCAAGGTGAATCCTCATCTGATTCCTAATCCTAATCCTAATCGTTTAAGATAAGATTGAGATTCGTTCAGTTCGGAATGACAGAAAATTTCGTTCAGAAGTCAGAGATCTGCAGAGCACAAGTGTGCGATGCGTCTCTTTCGGCGGCTTTCATAGCTGGAATGTGCCAAGACAATACCTTTGATGTGCGCAGGTCTCGCGATAGCTGAAGTCGCGCGGCGCTTGTGATGGGTTGTTTGGGTGTGATCGCGTGAGTCATCACTTCATCTGATCATTCGATAGGTCTCAAAGTCGGGCTTGAGATCGCCTCGAACCATAGGATCTGGGCGGCTTCGTCGCAGGCTAGATCGTACCAAAGCATCATGTCCAGGGTAAGTCTGATTTGTGGCCAGGTGGTTAACCCGCTTCGTCGAGCGGTTTCACCTAGTGCCGAGACGAAGAATGGTCGTTCTGGTGTATCTGTTGCCGCGATACCGCCTAATGTCAAAGCCCAGATTAGGGGGATTCGATTTCGCGGGGCGGACCACATGGCGGAAGCGGTGGGTAAACTAAGTTGAGCTTGGATTTGCTTTGCCAAGCTCTTGAGGGGCGTGTTTTGTGCGGGGATAGGGAACATGACGCCGACGCTGAAAATTAGTGCGGTTAGTCGGCAGATGTCGTAGGTTGTTGCTTCGGTGGGATGTGAGAATGAGGTTGGAATGTCGGAGGATGGTAGGAGGGAGAGGAGAGTGTGTTGGGTGAGATTTCGCTGGTCAGCGAGTAATGGGAGATCGTAGCCTTTAACTAGACTGACGCGGACGATGTTGATGTATGTAAAGGCGGCTTGGAAGGCTTCTGCCATACTGGGGGTGATGCCGATGTCTTGGAGTCGGCCGAAGCCATGTTCAACGTCTGATGGTCCGAATCCCAATAACTCTTGTAGGGTGATGCCGTTGCGAGACACGTCTAGAGGCCAGAAGGCGAATCCTGGGTGGGTGCAGAAGACCGAGGCAGTGAAAATGTCCGAGCTGGGAATGTAAGCAGGTATTCCCATCAGGGAGAGATTAGAACGTACAATGTAATCGTTGGGGGCAACCCCGTGAATTGGATATTCTCCAAGCCACCGCGTAGCTTAATCAACTGGACCAAGCCACCAATATGAATCAAGTTTGGCGGCAGACAGCCATAAACATCAATCCACTGCAAACGCTGAAAAGGCGGATTAAACGGCGTCTTCCGATGTCGCTGCCGCTTATTGTCCTCGGGCTGATGATGCGCCATACAGATAACACTCAACAGCACGGCATCGCTCACGGCGCGCGAAGGATCTCTTACGGCCTGATTGATCAGCTTAATCGACTCCATCTCACACAGCTGCAGGATGCGCTCATGTTTCGGACCCCAGGCATCCCTGGGCACCCAATTATTCAACCACTGTACACGCTGATGGCATAACGAGCCGAACATGAACGCCGTGAACAGAGCGGGGTCGGACAGCGAAAGCGGGAACCACGACGCTCCGGCCTCTTTCAAGTTTGCGCGGGTCGGCACGAGGCCAGGCCAGAGGACTGTTAAGCCTATGAGGGAAAAATCTGTCAGTTCAACGCCATGCACAGACCAGGGTGGAATTCCCCACAGTATTGCTCGCAGAGATTGACGACCTCGGGCGAGAAAGAAGACGGATATGTGCAGAAAGGATCGATGACGCCAGTAATGGGTGATTCGATGCGGGGATTTTCCCAAGGGAGGGCGGGTTCGCTCGAGTGCGCGGTCACGGAGCTATTGTCGTCGCTACTATCGCTACTATCGCTCGCATGCGATGGGGGAAAGGGCGAGCTCTGCCATTGGCGCCGACGGTCTTGGAAGCGGGGAAGACCAGGGCCGATGCCATTCGCGCGATGGGGGGAATAGGTCGAACGCGACACGAGGGTGTAGGATGAGGGGCCGGCCTGGTCACTGGATAACGGCGAGATGGAGTCGCGGACGGGGTGAGAAATGCGACGAGTCGCTTGAAGGGCAGTTGAACGGTCTTTGGTCTGGTCGGAGATCCAACGGCCGACGTGGGCACGTACTAGACGCTGCGCTTTCAGGCGTTCGGTCTCGGAGGCGGGTCGGGCGTTGACGAAGTGGATGCCATCCTTCTTGCGAGAGGCGTTCTGTTTTTTGCGGGACGCCATGCTCCCAAATGATGATCACCGTGACAGATTCAACATCCTTGAGAGGGGGGGGGGGGGAAGATGGGGTAAGAGTTCGTTCCAGGAACCCGGGTAAGTGTCAGGGTAAGAGTAAGGTTAAAAATAAATGGAGACGAATAAAAGTACCGAGCAAGTACCAAGAGGTAAAGTCAAGGGAGAAAGATGAACACCCAGGAAAAAGCCCCGTGACCGTCTTGGACTGGAAATGAGTTAAAATGACTTGCAGTCGGTGGAGTTGATTCCCCTTTGGCGCTTGGCACTTTTTCGGTTTACTTGGCTTGGACCTCTCGCTCTGAGCAGATACATCCCATCTCACCCCCATTTCAGTCCCTAAGCGAGCTATAAACTACGAGCTACGAGCTACGAGCTACGAGCTACGAGCTACGCGCTACGAGCTACGCGCTACCCTAACGCTCTGATCATCGACCCGCCATACTGGGAGCCAAGATTTCATTCGCAACCGATCCAGGACTCCCTGAACTCGGACCCCGTGCGAGAGCACCCGCGATACGAGAAGCTCAAAATCTGGCACTGGGGTGGACCGCGAACCTGACATGTCGTGACACCGCCGATCGCAGCTCGAGAGACTAGAAATTGATGACTCGGTTAGTAATTAGCCGGGCCCCGCACTCGAGTAACACAACATTCCGACTAGAGGTTCTCGATAAGAAGCTGAAGAAATGGATTGTGCCAAACTAAGTTCTAGTACTAAGCTACTAGTACAGATTAGTACTAGAATAATTCACACTAGAGGAAAGTGATCAATCAATCTCCAAAAGGCTGTACTTAGCGCTCTCCCCAGTCTGCGGATCTTGGTACGCTTCCAGCGCCTTCTCCACAACGGCCATGTATCCAAGAACCTGCTCCTCCTGCCACCTGCGCCCAACAACCTGCACTGCAGTCGGAAGACCCGCCATTTTAATTGAGTCGTAATGTTTCCATGCCCCACGAGCGATCGCATGATTAGCCCCGAGTCGCTTCAGGGTCGTCTTATACGGGGACACGAGCGCGTCGTGGATGGGATCTACATGGCCGACGGGCATGACGCCGGCAGAGTAATCGAGCAGGTTCCAGAGGAAGGTATACCCGCATGACGAGACGGCGTCGTGCATGGCTTTGTGGGGGAGGGCTGGGGTGGCGTTCGCCGGACACAGGATGAAGTCAAATTGTTGTGGTTGCGAGTCCCACCATTCGTGCCAGGTTGCGCGGTAGGATTCGCGCTGGGCAGTTAGGGGCCAGAGTTGTGCGGCGGTTTTGGGGCCGAAAGACCGAATGAGTGTTGCGAGGATGGTATCGCGCTTGATGTAGCGGACGTACAGGTAGTAGAGGTAGCGGAGCGGGCCGGGGAGGTGCGCAAGGCGGGAGAGTTGGATGGCGCCCGGGTCTGAGGGCTCGAAGCTGCGGAGATTGGTATTGAAGTGGTGGCAGCCGTCCGAGTTGAGAAGCTGGGAGGCCAGGTCGAGGCCTTTAAAGGGGTCGGCGTTGGCCGGGGGTGTGATTTCGGTCACGGTGTGGCCGGCTTCGGTGAGTGCGGCGACGGTAGTGGACACTGCGCGTTCGATGGCCGGGGTGGGAGGAACGACGCCTGAAGATGTTAGCTGGGATCTGAGATGGGTTGAGATCGGACGTACCATCATTGCTCATCAAACCGATACGGAGAGGCTTGCTCTGCGCCTCGGTCTCAAGATCACCTCTCCAGGAGATAGGATGTACCGTATAATCATACTTCCAAGGCTGCATGCCGATAATGGCCTTGGTGAAATAAGTGAGGTCATTCAACGTGCGAGCCATCGGACTGAACACACTCGGAATGCCCTCTTGACCAGCCATACTGGTACTGACGCCGACCTTAGGCCAACGACCCGTACTGCAACGAAGCGAGTAAACCCCACTCCAAGCAGCAGGAACACGTACAGAGCCAGCAACATCAGACCCGATGCCAATCCGGCCACCCTGAGCAAGCAGAGCACCCTCACCACCAGTCGAGCCACCGGGAGAATACCCAGGGACATGGGGATTAAGACAATGTCCCCAAAGCCCATTAGCAGACTCAAACGAAAGCAGCGTAATAGGCAACGCAGTCTTCACATAAGGCACAGCACCTGTAGAATATCAGCAACGATCCCAACACCAAGCCAAGTGTAGGAGTAGACAAACCAGCATCCTTCAACAACTTAACCATAGGGCCATCCTCTGCAAATGGCTTCCCAGCAAGCTTTGAATACCCAAGTGTAGTATCAAAACCCTTGACCTGCACCGAATCCTTCAAAGAAATGGGAATCCCCGCCAACGGGCCCTCGAGGTTAACCTCACTTTCCAACCATGCCTCCGCCTCCGGCAACAACAGTTCAGTAATACAATTAGTACGCTCCTGAGCGCGCACAGCAACCTTTCCGTACGTGCGCAGTACGCTTAGTGGCGAAGTCGTCTCATTCTGGATATCGGAGACGAGCTCTTCGATGGGCTGATTGATTATCTTCTTATCGGCGTCTGTTATGGCGAGGTGGTAGGGGTATGGAAGGGAGGCGAAGCGAGCGGTGCGCTCAGCTTGTTTTTGGGCCCTTTCTTTTATTAGTTGAGTTCAGACCAGAGGGAAAGGAATACGTACCGTGTGCGCCGATAGGCGAAGTAGTCGAATGGAGGAAACATAGTTCTTTGTTGGAGAGATGGGAGTTCGGGGGTGGAGGCCTTTTATCTGTGCGGGGATGTGGAGAATGCGATAAGCTAGGCCCGAGGTTACCCTCTAGTGGTTGGAGCGGTGTTTAGTCCGCTTGTTATCTCCAACTCTTAGCCTTTAGGGGGGAGACTGGGATTACTCTGGACTAGGATCTACTAATCGTGTGGGCCTTTTTGCACTGTCTGTGTATCTATTCTCTTGTGTGACAAGATAGCTGGCCCTGGAGCCCAGATACGCCGGGACTAGCCCCGTTCCGCAGGTCCACCCGTTGATAACCTGATACAACCGAAGTGCGTCCAGATGCCTATTAGGTACTTGAATAGTAATTACAATATTTTGAATACTTAGTCATTAAAGATCGGAGCCTAGTGAAAGACCCAAAGCATAAATCCACATACAAGATTTCAACGCTCTTGGGCGTCGTCTTTGAGGCAGGAGACTGGTGAGCCAAGGTATGAACAAGGTTGGAAACGATCAGAGAAGAACCAGGGCACAATAGCTCTCCCATTTGACAATTTAAAATGCAGTACCGTGTACCTGGCATCGTCCTCATTGGATTCCCTCATTGGATTCCCTCTGCTACAACAGGGGTTTAAAAGTATTTTATCTTGATAAACATCGGAGAGATAGCACGCTCGAAGGGTATTCGAGGGAAGAAGGTTCTTACGTGATCCGCTTCATCACCTAAGCATATATTATTTTGTTCTTAGATAGAACTAATTCAGATGGTATATATATCTCTTATTCATGTCTTATTGTCAATGCTATATAAAGTATCTACTAACGCCAACAAAAAGCCGCCCTGGAGCCGCGGCGGGTATATCTCCAGATTTTCAAAAGCCATAAACGCCATGTTACTCAGATAGAATGCAATGAAACGACAAAGGACCCTGGCGCTGGCTCATGGTTCAGGGGTCTGGAGCCAGTTGTGCTTAGCTAGCCACCAAATGATCACGCCGCCGACGACAATCAGGATGATGAAGATGAAGATGACAAAGCCCCAGATGAGAGAGCGCTTGCTTTTTTGGCGTTCTCGCTCGAGCCAGTTGTCGGGTTGTCTATGGGCCGTTAGGTGGTGTTTGTAGGGTCAAGGGGGATGGGTCTACCTTTTCTGCATTGATTCCAGGTCTAGTGTGCTCGCACTCTTGGCTTCCTCGTCTAGATGGACTGCTGTGCTGAAGCGCTTCCAGAAATATGGGTCGCGGACAAGAGCCATTTCGGGTTGATGTGTTCGTTTTGTGCAAGGGGCGACACAATTCGATCTGATGCCCCTTGGGGATGTTGACGAGTGTGCGGCGCGGAAGGCAGGTAGGCTAGGAGAAGGACTTTGGAAAGTGGACGACGACGACGAGCGAGAGGTTGTGGATCAGTTTGTGCCTGGGTGAGAACCAGTGTAGACAAGATTAGATACGGGAGTCGACTTGCACTTAACCGGTCAGATAAGAGGGGCTCGCGATCAGATGCCGCGTAAGGAATTCCACTTCATCAGACGACTGGAGGCTGGTCGGACAAGGCAGCCCATAATTCACAATATCTTGTTTGTCCTGCCGAGCTGTGATATGCGAAAGGGGCATTCGACCAATGCCCTGCGTGGGTAGAGTGGGCTGTCCTCGTGGACTTATTGCCATGGCGACAGGAACGACCAGTTATCGGTGGTGAGTAGTCGTTAAAATGCCTCATGGGGGCATGGCATGTCGATTGGAATGAAGGGGGTGAGATTTTGGACATTATGTATGGTCGGATTCGTGCTGGCTGGATCTGGGCCAATATGAATGCTCGACGGTGTGGAATGTAGATCGTGTTATCCACGGGAAGGGTTCGGGATGGGCTCTTGGGATGATCGCGAATCATGATTTGTATAGGTGTATAAGATGCAGACGTTGGCCGGCCATTGAAACCGTAGAGCTGGCTATGGTGTTTACTTATTGTTCTATAGGTTCTATATAACGTGGCTGGTTGATATCAATTCTAGCATGAATTCATTGTTGCGGTGCATCAAGGGGTCAATTCTTGGTAGATGAAAATCAGTACCTTTGCAAAAACAACACAACCCTACGCTGAATATAACCTATAATATGGTATAAACCTCAGCTGTATACCGCGAGACTATAGAAGCTACTTAGTGTAAGTCTTGATAGGTTTGAGAAACAATGAAAGCGTGCAAGGTGGTGACCTCGATTTCCGGAAGTACTGTATTTCGGGGCCAAGGGGATTTTGATTTCTGACAGATGACCCATCATTAAAGGAGGTAACATGTGGGCTTCGCAGCTATCACCCAAAACCTAAGCCATTGCACAAATCGCTCTTCCAGATGGTGGCATATGCTTCGTCGATCAAGTACATCGCTACATAATGCCAGGGGGCATAGTTTCCGGTGTGGCATACTTTACGGTTGGCCACGATAGTGAAAGTGTCGACGCCACCATTCATATTCCGCAACGGCATACTCAGAATGTTGGTAGCAGTCATATAAGAGGGGATTGTAAACCATCACAACGACTTCAAGCCGCGTAATGATCAATAATTTCGGAGAATAAAGTATTATACATGACTCTCTCAGCTACAGGCTCACCTCATGATGCACATATCTGCAGTGGTGCAGCCAAGGAGAGATTGGCACCCCTGCTAGTTTTCCCATGCATACGAAAGAAAAGAGCCGCTTTCAACACATAAACCCGTGATATGAAGCAAGAATGAAAAGTCGGCGGATAGATGCGATTATTCGCTAATGCTGCCACGAGGTCAACAGATGTAGTATAGATCACGCGACCTTGATCGATCTGATATGACCATTCTAGATCTATCTCCTTTGAAGATAACGGCACAGTATCTGACCAGAGCGCCTGCTGAGGGCCCATGGTGGAATCATTCTTAAGATCGGGGAATTTGTGCGAAGGCTCTACTCCGTAGAAAGTAAATGCTTTGAGTTTGAACTGAGTTGATAGATGGTTTGGTGGCAATTGGCCTTCGTGTGTTGGCTCAAACCGCAAGTTGAACTTGAGTGGAATCGATGCGTCTTCTGGTTGGAGGTTGTGCAGCTGGATCGCAGGCGGTTGGGCTACCGATGCGATTAGGGCACCTATACTCGAGCTAAGTATACCTCTGCCCAGATTTTTTTCCGTTTGTAGTTTATAATATTTGCTGTGTGAAGTGAGAAGCGGGGCGCTTTCTTGTCGAGTGGGAAGGATGTAAACAGGGCAGAGCGCTTCTTGTGTCTTTTTTGCTTGGCATCCCTTCAAAGCATCGCTATCCCATACTTCGAACTTAATGTAGTAGTTGATTTGGGACGTCTTAGGTGCCATATCATCGCCGGCATTCAATAATCGAGAGACAGTTCCTAGACTCGCAGGTAGTTGGAGGTGTTCCTGCTGGATTTGGAAATTGGCGCATTCGTGATGACACACTTGGACTGGCAGCTGTTGAGGAACGACAAATTTGAATGGTATATGATGCATTTTCCCTGACTCAAGGATTGTGTCAAAAAGACCGTCGAAAACTGGAAAGTCCATCCGAAGGAATGGTTTTTCAAGGACGTTTGTCGATACAGGAATGTGAGTGTACATGTTCTCGACTTCCATTCTCATGATTCCTATCAGTTGTCAGCAAGCCCTTAAATGGCCGGTAACTTGATCTATACCTTGTAATGAAATGGTTACGTTCTCCACTTTAACTTGTCGATGCGGTGTAAACAAGATTTCGCCGTCAATAATGTCGTCTGTCTTGTAGATTGCAGACGACCCTTGCGGGTCTGAAAGAACGAACTCCACACGAGGACGCTTCATTTTCAGCTAGTTGATGTTTGTGTGTTTCATATTTCTTGTACACTTGCGGATGAAGACTTAAATATGTCCTGTTCTCGGTCTGGGGTGCGGCTCGGTAAGATGTCGCCTTTCCGATCGAATTCAAAAACCTTCATCCGCCCAAAATGCAACCTCAGCAAATGATTAATGCAGATATGAGTCACTCTGTCAGTATTGAATGTTCTTGGTTTACTTCTCAATTTGAAACAGTGTGCAATTAGAGCACTGAATGAACTGAGGGCCCCTGAGACCCGCTACAGAGAATATGTTGACATCTGGATCCTCATCGATTGATGGATTCATACCCCATATAACTATGTATGCAACTTCATTACAAGTATGCTGCCAGATTACATCCTGTTATAATATCTATCTTCTTGATGCGGCATAGATAGAATCAGTCCGTTAGACTTACTCCGCCCGCGTAGGATTTTCTGTTCGACCATTCGATATAGCACCTTGTCTTTCTTAACATATTTTATCTAGATTTTATTCCAAGCCATTGAGTGGTTTAGAAGTTTGATTATTCTCAAACTATCCTGGTGAAATTTAAGCATAGTTGATTACCAACGGTAGGTACTACGCTTCTGATTGCGGCAATTGCCACTCGGCAAGATAAAATTTTGCCGATGCGCCGACCACCTCTCCCACTCGTCAAACTCCCACAACACAATCTCTTAGGCATTCAAAGATCTCGCCAAAATGAAAGCATCCACATCAAAAGTACCAAGTGATTCGGTGGCTAAGCGACAGACAAAGAAGTCCATCGCGTGCGTATCTGGCCCGCCCCGCTAGTGCTCTGCTAACGCCGTTAGTTGTCGCCGATGTCATACCCACAAAATCAAATGCTCCGGAGGCCAACCCTGCTCCAAATGTCGGAATGCGGGGTGTGCTGCCGAATGTATATATGTTAATCGGGATCGGCTGATCAAGATCCATGAAAGGTAGGCGAATTGTCCCGGCATGCAGTACTTGACTCACAAGGCCAAAGCTACCTCCAGGAACTTGCTGCTGAGAATGAACGTTTGCGCGAACAATTATCCCATGCACCGAGATTGGTGACAGTGGAAGACACTGCCCACTCTGAAGGTTATCTTCACTTCGTCGATATGCGAACGATTTGCTAAACACATGCACAGGTGCTCCAGAAGCCGCACCCGATACAGACACGAACGTTCAAAATCCGATGATATGCCAACGCGGATGGTTCCAGCCATATGATTCATCCAGGCCCCCAATTCACATTGGTGAAGCAGCATGCACAGCGTTCGCAACGCGACTCCGACAGGTACTCACTAAAAGCAAGACTACATCACACATGCCACGTGTGCAGTACACGCCCGAGGAAACGCTGATAAAAATCCGCAATCCAGCGATTCCATGGCCCACTTTATCACAGGCTAGATTACTGATTCAAGTTGTCTTTAATCAAGTGGGCCGTGTTTATCATTTGATGCTCCGCAAGTCGACAGTCGAGGAACTTGAGTTAGCTTATCGGCAGGCCGATTTTGATGATCCCGTATTGACATGTAAGACATGCAAGTTCTTCGCTTTATTTGCACTAGGAGAGGTCTATTCGGCCCGTTCAAACTCGAATCTTGAGTGTGCCGTTCCTGGGGCTGCGTATTATGTGAATGCGATGATGTTGATTCCTATCTTGCCCGAGCGACCCAGTTTAACCCATATTGAGGCTCTGCTATTATTGGTAAGTATTTCCTATATTAAGCACAATTCTCAAAACTAATTCTACAGTCACTTTACTCATACTTTTTGAATCGTCGACATTCTGGCTTCCTACTCGTTGGTAGTGCTATGCGCCTCGGCTTGACCCTGGGCCTGCACCACGATATTCCAGAATCTCAATGCCCTGATCCAATTGATCGCCAGCACCGAATTCGACTTTGGTGGGGAATCTATCTTCGATCGCATGTACGGCTCTAAGGTTGGCTATCCGATCCAGATCGCAGATGATGATATCTTCGTCGAGATGCCCTCTGATGCCCTGACCGAGGATCGAGATGAACAATTTTCCGACACTCAGTTTCTCGTTGCAAGCATCGATCTTGCGAGAATAACAGGACAGGTTATTGAGAAGCTGTACAGCCGCAAAAAACAGCCTGACTCGTTCCTCCAGCGAGAGCAAAAGTTGCTCATCGCCTTGAAGCAGTGGTCACAAGGCCTACCTCCACATATCAGGTTGAGCCGTGATGGATATATTCCAAAGAACGTGGTGTCTCTGCATCTTCAATTAAACCAGTGCATCATGTTGGCGACTCGACCTATTCTCCTCCACGCACTGATGCAATATCGATCCTCCAAACCCATCGGTGACAAAGATACCTCGCCGACGAATACCCAGACGCTCAAGACACTTGGCGATGCATGCATCCACGCTGCAAGACACACGCACTCGCTTATCGTGGAAGAATGGACCAACGGAACCATGCCCATTTACGGCTACTTTTATGCACACTATCTATTCTCCAGCGCCCTTATTATGGTAATCTCCAGCGAGATACACACCGAAAACTGCAACGACTTTGCCTTGTTCGAAACAGCGACCGAAATCTTGCGTGCAATGAGCGACCATGGAAACTTGGCAGCCACCGAGTTCCATGACAATCTCGAATGTGTACGACAGTGTCTAAATAAGAAACGAGGGTCACGAGCCCGCAACTCCCTCCCCAGCGAGGCTTATCTGAATCCTAGCGAACCACTAACCCTTTTCACCGATCCAGCTGCAAGACCTAGTGAGATGGGACTTCCAGAAGTTTCTTTACCGACCGATGACATGGGGTTCTTGGGACAGAATATGGAGGAGTTCCTGGCGTTGCCTGATGTGGATTTTGGGCCACTGGACCCGGGGATGCCGATCAGTGCGGATGCAACGTACTCGTGGCCAAACTACTCACTGTGGACTGCATAGTACATGTGCATGAGTGTGGGCTGATAGGGTGTGCTGGTATCTCTAGGTAGTGTCAGCCTAGAACTGGTACCTTCGGGTACCTGATGACGAGCCAACATCATAGGGTGGTGCCACGCGAGTGCGCCACTTGAGTTCGAGAAAGATCACATGGAAAGAATCCAGTGGCAATCACATTTGTATATAGTAATCTACTGAATATTTCTATTGTCATAGCCTAGCTCTGTTCCACCTCCGAAGAACCAACGTCAGCTGTGAATAAACTCGTTACGAACCCGTGGATCGAACTCCCCCGCAGTGGGTCAACGTGTGCCTGACCGCCCCAACTTGCCTGACGCTGCCTGTTCGTCGATCAGCCTTGAATTTCAATTCTTTGCATCCTGCACATCCTGCGCATCCTGCATCCCAGGATTGTAACCTCATGGTGCCATGGCATCCACTTCAGCCCACTGGGGAACTCTCATCAACCCAGACAAGAGCCCTGCACCACTGCTAGAGCAGCTATGTTTGGGCATCGCACAGCTGATGGTAAGCACCTAACACATTCTCATGTCTCACGAAACTGACTGTTGACCTGAATAGCCCTCATTTGACTCAAACGGTACCACCGATTTGACTCCTGATCGGCTAGCTGCATTTTACCGTAAAGTTGGCGGCGATTATGACCCACTCTTCCTTGCAACCAAGGCCCAGTCGCTATCCTTCATCTACCAGTCCCTGGGCTGCTTTCACAGCCTTCAACCTTCGACAAACCCGTATGAACCGCCATCTATACCATCACTTCTACCAAACGGGTTTGTGCGATGGCAAACAATACAGATATTGATGGACCCAGACGAGCACTCGCGGTTCCTACAAGAAGCCGTCAAACAGTGGGATATTGTCGATGCTCAAGGACAAACCTTCCCCAAGGAGATACCCCGAGACGCCTTTCCCTCGGAGCCCGACCCGGAGATGATGCAGTGGCATGAGGGCGTGTGCCGGCGACTAGAGTACGACTTTGTCAAACGGAACGTCCAGCATAATTCACCTCCGAATTTCGGGGCTTATCCTCATTACCATTTCAGCGGCAAAGATCCGCTTCCCGATGAGGAGGATTACTTTGCGCGAGCTCCTGGAAGGTCTAACTCTCGGCGCCAGAGCCACTTCGACTCGGATCGATCTAGCGGTCGACGTCATCACAGGCGGCTCAGCGCCGAGTATCCTGCGTCCAACTCTCGCAGACATGAGCCAGGTTTTGCTCCACGCCCAGATGGTGGTAGATCAGGCGTGACATCACCGAGAGGACCATCCCCAACTGGCTTCGCCGAACGTTCACGCCATTCCCGAGGCCGAGACCGGCCATCTGGACATGCACGGGATGCAGAGGATGTACCCGATGACATGGACTTTTCAGATAATTCAATGCGCCACGAAGACCCCAACCTTAGAACCAGACCCAGGCCCAAACACAGCTCACGTCATCACAATCTCTCACCTCCAACGGACTCCCGTGCGCGCCGCCATTCACACGACGCCTATATACGCAAACCCGCGCGCGAAGTCTCCCCGACCCCGAAAAAACGCTACGAAAGCTACGACAGACGCCCCCCAAAACCCAGCAAATCAACCTCCGACCGACGCCGCGAAGCCCGCTCGCGATCCCGGCCGCCAGTCCAATTCCGTGAATACATTTTCGAACCAACGCAAGCCCCAGCCCCGGTCCCAGCTCCAGCTCCAGATCCACCACAGTACGCCGCCCCCCCACCCCCACCACGAGGCCCACCTCGCCACCGGTATGATGCCTATTTAGCCGAAGACGGCAGACGAGGCAGTTACAGCGGCGGCAGCACAGGCGGAAGTCGACCTAATAGCGGAGGTAGTGGGTCTGAAAAACCAAGATCGTACAGTAGTGCAGGGCTTTATCCTCGTACCGGAAGGTGGACTAGTCCGCAGCGTAGCTCGGCTGCGAAAAGGTACATTCCGACGAGGGTGGCTGAAGATTCGGAATACATACCTTCCCCGCGGAGGGTGATATGATTGATCAATTATGATAGCGTTGAATTCCTGCTTTTTTTCATGGCTTGTTTTTCAGGCGTTGAATTGCATTTGAGCATCTCTACTACACTTTCTTCACGACTTATGATATGGCGCTTTGTGTGGAGGGTTTGAAGTGCTGACTTCTATTTTGTTCTTTTGCATTTGTGACTTTGGTTTTGGCCAGCATTTTAGGAGGTTATGAACAATGAAACATGCGCGATTGAGGATATTGCCTACCTATCTTGGGGCATACTAGATAGCTCTGTATTTTGATAAAATAATCAGAGATGTCTAGAGAGAGGTTTGAAATCCATAGATAGACATTACTCAACTGATGTCAATGGAATACGATGCTAAAATCCAGTAACATACCATCATGAGGTTACCTTAAAATACATGGATGGGATCTTGGAGTATGACACATGCTCTTCGACCTTGCCTATCTGTTATCTACGGATACAGACGCGCTCATAACCGATGAGAAATAAGTTGCTTAAATTAATATTTAAATTACAAATATCGGATCTAAGATCAATAAAACATCTTCTCCACAGCCGCCTGGAAGGCCGGCGAACCTTCACGGTACGCGACCAATTTATCATCAACAATTAATTCCTCCAGACTCTTCTTGCTGTACCCATCCACCTCCCAGATGTCGGATCCAATCAGCTCTGGTATTTTTCCGGCTCCCCAGATCCTGCGACAATACCATGCATTCGCGAGGGGCTGGCCTTTGTCCAAGCGGTCTTGGATTTGGCGATCCACTTCTTCTAGGCTGTGTCGGAAGGTAGTAGGAGGAGCGCTGTGTCTTTTTTCTAATGCTGTTGCAACATCTTCACCCGTAGCTTGAACCTCTGATAGACCGAAGACCTTGTTCTCTAGCTCGAGGATGGGAGTTTTCGCGAAAATGGCTGCGTATGCGGCTGCGACGTATTCTCTCGTGCTGCAAGTTCGTCATTAGACAATCTTACCTTCCGACTGGGAATTTGTATAAAGTAGTTGAGAAGCCTTGTTTGGTACTTACCAAATGTTGACGACTTGGTGTCCGCTGTCCCCACTGAAGACAATCCGATTCTCGGATACGTCAACTCCGACCATACTAAAATTTAACCATATTAGTTTTAACTCCATGTAAACCACGAAGAGATGGGATAAATACCCAGTACTCAGGAAGGACTCCGCAAAGAAGCCAGGAAGAACGATAGTCATCGCGATGCCTGCCTTTTTTGCGGCTTCCTCCACTTCAAATTTCAATTGATTGATGGGAACTCGCAGTCCTTGTGCATCACAACGGAAAGCGAGGTCTGAGGGAACGAACAGCTTGACATTGGTTTCAGGAATGGCTTTCACGAGTCCATGTTGTCGGGGAACACCCTCCTGGCCGACCAGTGAGCTTTCAGATTGTCAGTAATCTGATCTTCAAATGTCTGCGGTTGTTGGGATGGAAAGGAGCTCACATGACAATATCAACATCTTGCAACGCGGCTTCAACCGCCTGCTGATCTTCCACGTCCACTTCGACGGATGTGACACCTTCGGGAAGATCACTGATGTCGGAGCTCGGACGATAGAGAACCTTGACAGGGGCGCCGGACTGTACAAGGGCGGCAAAGATAGCAGAGCTGACCCAGCCCCGATGTCCGTAAACAGCGATCCGATTGTAAGTCATTTCGTACTTTGATCTATGCGAGCAATCGATGGTAGTATCTGATGTCTGACTCTAATATACTCACCCCCCGTGGGATTTCTCATTCTTTTATAGCTGGTCCAGAAATATGCAAATTGCGCCCAGATATTTTTGCCTAATTTGCCAAAGCCACATTCAAAACATAAAACATGACACCGCCACTATCTCTAGGATTCAAGCGTTTGAGAGAGATCTCAGCCAATGACTATGAGCGATACAGATACAAGCCTTGCAAAAGTACCATGTTTGAATGATTTGGGCTGTTTGAATACTGTTTGTTGTGTTTGGAACGCCGCACTTAAAGTGCTTCCATTCATCATTGGCTACAGCCAGTTAACCCCCGACGGGTCTCCGTTCGGCGCTCGATAGCCGTTCCCAGATTCCCTGGTCTGCCCCCGGGGCCGCCCCCGGGGCCACCCCAGGGTCCGTGCTGCTGCTTGCACATATTCATGTCCCCTCAATCTTGCTTTCCATCCACGGGAAGACTAATAACTGATTTGCTATGATTGGCCATAGCAAATCCACGGATCTTTATTTTCGAGTAAAGATTGCGAGATCTTGACATGGGCGTTCGTTGCGTGAGGATGCAGGCTATACAATAACTAAATTCTGTTCCCACGAAGACACCTGAGAGTGCGTTTCTTGCACCGCTTAGAAATAAGAACAGGAAAATCACCATCGTTACCGCCTCTGCTCAATATACCTAGGCTGAAACTTCGATTGTAGGCGAGCATCTCTCAGAAATGGACAGAAAATGATGCAGTAGTCTGTTGATTGGAACCTTGGAATGGTTTCCCTAATGATTGCCAATTTTGTGCTGGAAATTGAAGGCAATCAAATGACAAAGGCTTTTTTGAGCCACTAGTAGAAATACGTGCAGATTGTTAAATGTTTCACAGAACGTCTAATATCAGGCATTGTTAGATCTTCAGGATTCTGATGTTATTCCAAAAGTACATGGCCAAGAATTCAAAGATTATGAAGATGATGAGCATCTTCCTGGCTGTTCTTTCCCAAAGTTTCCTATAAAAAGCCCTTGGCAAAGCCTCTGGAAGAAGAGACTTGAGAAACGTAAAAGCAATCACCAGAAATTGAAGGCTGCTTATTTATCGGTGTGCTTGTGAAAGTATCCTCTTTGTTACATGAATTCTTGGAATGAAAAAAGGAGAATTTTTGAAATTGAATGGAGCAGACCGAAAAATACCTCGACTAGATTATCAGAAATGCTAACGTCTCGGTAGCATCTACCGAGACGTTTAACATTTCGATTACCCAGATCAAACCTTCGAATCTAACTACTTCAGGCATATATCTGATTTCTGAATGGCTAATCACCGCCTGCCCCGCTTAAAGTTACACGGTAGAAACTTGTAGTGTATCGCTTGATTAATATAGGTTGGAAATTTGCTGCTGGAACAGCGCCGCGGGTCATCGGTATGTTGGGAAATCCTAGGACGGACTTGGTCTCGGCCTCACTAAGATGATACCGAACAGGATTGTCTATATGTAAAATACTATTGCGGCCCTAAATTATATCTCTGATCCATGCGAATTCGCTAAATACAATGCATCCATTCAGTTTGGGCTGCGACACTGCCCATGATGAATGTTCCAAGCCAAATTCCTCCCAGTACGGACAGGAAGTATCCAAGATTCATGGTCATTACCGCAATCATCCTGTCACACGTTAGAGAAGAGTTTCTATCAGAGAATTGATCAAACTTACAGTAGATATGCAACTCCAGCAATGAACATCTCATACGTGGCACGACCGGCGGCAGGGTTAACGCGCCACCTAGACCACCGATTGCCGAGCTCTTGCATACTCAATTGGACACCAGACATGCGCTTCGTCTGCATGTCCTGTTTGCCATCAATCGTGGCGTGTTGCATGCCATCAGTCCATAACCGACCCTCGAGAACGGGTCTGATGGCAATGAGGACGCGGAGAATAACGGCAAGAACGATCAAGAAGATACAGGTACCAGCGTATTGGCCCTTCGAGGTTGGTGTCCAGTCTTCGGAGAACAGAGGTGTCTTGAATGAGGTGAAGAAGGTCATGATCATCTCAGACATGGACATTGTCATTGAGGAATCGGACATGCCAGACATGCCGGACATGCTAGAAGTGGCAGTTGAGGTGGCCATGGACATTGTCATGGACATGGTGTCCGTCGCTGTCGCCGTCGCCATCGACATTGATGTCGTCATATCACTCATGTCCATTTTGGCGGGTGAAATTAAGAAGAGTTGTTGGAGATGCCCCTATCCGTTCAGCTGAGATGCACGAATCGAATATTTATTGCAACGAGCCGAGTCGAGGTATCACACCGAAGATATGTACAAGGCAAATAAAAGAGATCGCGACCTAAGAATAAAAGCCCATGGACCATTTTATCAATTCGCGACAAAGGCCCCCACCATGTGGAAAAAGGAAGTGATAACCAGGCAGGTTCAACTCTGGAGTGTGCGGGTCGGTTTCCGCAACCCCACATCCAGCAACCCGATTTGCCAGCGCAAAGGTCAGCCTGCTCATATTCGCTCTCCCGAACATGCTATGCCTGAGCTTGCCTGACTCGCGCCGCTTTCTGACACTGTCTATGGGGCTAAATGGGCTGCCATCCTATGCGATTCCACGATGCTCAGAAATTGGATGCTCGGACCGCGTGCGCATATCCGTTCGGAGTTGAAGATTCGGGGTTCTGATTGGTGACGAGGAGCAAGCGGGCGGAGCCGACGCGGGAAGATCCACTTGAAATGGACGCAAATGTGCTCACCTTGAAATCCGCGTGGACTGTGGCTCTTTCATCTTGATCTTCTGTCACCCCGAGTCCCTGAGTACCTTGAGAAAGAGGTGGAGGCAATTGAGTCATAGGCGTGTACATGTACGAAGGATCTGATGGTAGACCACAGTACTCTGTTGCGCGGATGAAAGCTGCAACGCAAACTTCAGATCGTGCGAGTCTGGGATGTAGTGAAGAAGCATGACACATGAAGCCTGAGCTTTGACATGCCCAGAGATGATAGCCCTACGAAGCTACGTAATTAGAGATGAGCACGTTGGAGCAGGATAGAAGCGGCTAGACTTGAGCAAATTCTGGGTGGATCCCTTCCGATCAAGGAAGCCCACGCGAGTTACTGCCCAGGATATATGGCTGCCATTATTAATACTGCTCATGTCTGTGGAATTGGATATTACTCGACTTCACTTCTACACGTCTCTATAGCGATCGTCGTGAGCATCCTCCGACACACACTCCGCCATGGGAATGTTACCGTGGCTAGACCAGCCGGTCATGCTGCACTCTGACCGTGACCCTGGGATGTGTATGATGACTGCCGAGCAATGTGCTTATAAGACGGCATACTGGAGGAACTGGTATCAAGCAGACCACCGCTTCTCGTTACCAACCGTCGCATTTTTCATGGTCGCCATTGGCCTCTTCACAATCGCCCACATCTTGACCCTCATCTTCCCAAGAAGCTTCCAACGAAACCCAGTCTGGTCACGCCTAGTGGCCTTGTCTCGGTTCCTATCCTACAAAAGCTGGAGGGTTGCGGGATGGAACACAAATTCACTTGGCGTTTTTCTCCTCGGAGGTGCAGGTCTCGTCTTTTTCCTATCAATGACTCTCGGACCAAAGCCTTATTACTGGCCTAATACCAAGGAGATCAGCTATGGTGGCTCTCCTCCAATTGCTACCCGCAGTGGCTTCATGGCCCTTGCCTGCATGCCATTCTTGATCGTTCTCGGTGCGAAGGCGAACCCGATCACAGCCTTGACTGGCGTCTCTCACGAGAAACTGAACATCTGGCACAACTGGGTTGCCTGGGCAATGTTTGTTCTTGCCTTGATTCACACTTTCCCATTCATTGTGGTTCATGTTCGCCAGGGTGATCTCCCTGCGCAGTGGAATAGTGGCGGTGTCTGGGTGACTGGAGTTGTTGCCATCATCGCTCAAGCTTGGCTCACTTTCATGTCGATTCCTTGGATTCGGTACGTACCTACTGACTTAGTGACTTCTCGTTGTCAAGCATCATTCTAATCACGACTATTAGCAATCGCTACTACGAATTCTTCAAATCAACACACCTCTTCATGGCCCTAGTTTTCGTCATTTTCTTCTTCTTCCACTGCGACTTCCGAATGTCTTCATGGGACTACTTCATCGCCACCGCGGTATTATATACCCTCTGCTGGTTATACGCCCAGTGCAAAACTTATTTCGAGCACGGCATCCGAAACAAAGCTCGACTTATCGCCGAATCAAACGATACCCTTCGCATCACTATCGATACAACCATGGAATGGGGCCCTGGGCAACATATCTTCCTCCGATTCTTGACGTGCGGTGCGCACGCTCTTACTGCGCACCCATTCACCATCTGCTCTGTTCCCCAGCCGGGTCGGAAAAACACACTGGTCTTCTACGTCAAGGCGCGTGGCGGAGTCACGGGTCGTCTTATGGCCATAGCTAGGAAGACGCCTGGTGCGCAGGTCCCAGTTCTGATGGACGGGCCATACGGTGGGATTCAAGCCGGAAAGCTGGAGGACTTCGATAAGAATCTTATTATTGGCGGAGGTGCTGGTGCAGGTCTGACGCTGTCGATGATTGAGGACTTCATTCGATTTTCCAACACACAAGAAGAAAAGAGAGAGTTGAAGGTTATTGTCGCAACGCGTGATCCTGGCATGCGTTCTTGGTATACCCGTGCCCTTGAAAACATCGCCGAACGACAGTCCCACGAGTCATTTATCCCGGGATTGTCGATCCACATTCACGAGACCTTTAGTGGAAATGCTGGCTCGGAGACCGAGAGCAAGGAACTGGAGGTAGAAGGGGGAACCAAAAGTCAGAGTGTGGAGTCTAAGGAATGCAACCCACTCACAGCGGAGATCTTTGGCGTCCAGGTTTACGCTGGACGCCCGGATTTACCAGCATCCATGCGTCAGATGGCAAGCCAAGAAGGTGTTTCTGTTGGCGTTGTCGTCTGTGGACCTTCATCAATGACTCACGATGTTAATCAGGCTGCCTCGGAAGTACAAGGCCATATTCTTGGGAGGAAAGCTGGCGCTGCCCGAGAGTTGTGGCTTCATACAGAGAATTTCTCTTATTAAATATTTATATACCCCCAATGGAAAGCGTCAATGTGCTGTTATACAAATCCCAGTGTTCAGAAGTTGGGTGTCAATGCTAGACGGAGTATGAGCAATGAGATCCTCAATGTTGGACGTCCTCGCGATTATCCTTATTGTATCTGGTAGAAAGTCAAAAAGACGCTATAAGGATTGAGATAGAATTAAACCCGTCTTGTACTGAGATGGGCGAATACTGCAACCGTTAAATGGATTACCGTACAACTGAGAAAGAAGAGGGCTTTAGAGCTACAGGAGTTTATGAAGCTAGTGAAATAAGGATCGCTTGATATGTAATATTGAGATAAAAACCTGGAAAAACTGCGATCATTGAATGTATTAGGTGCTGAATTATGATATTAATATACCAGAACAATTATGTTTGTTATAATGCAAGCAATATTTACGCTCCGAAGCTCCCTTACTCCTCCAGACGCCATCCACCACTAGTCCGCTTCTGAAAGAACCCATCAGGATCATAGCGCAAGCGAGCGTCCAGCGCATACTGCTTAGACTCGGGCTTGATACGGCCCCAGTAGTCCTGTCGGAAATAGGCATCATTCATGAAGAGAGGTCGGTAGACATCCGGAAGGCGACCCTCGTCAATGTTCTTTTGGACAAGATTGCCCATGCCGCCATACAGATTTTGGTTGGCTTGGTCAATCTTCTCGTCGTCTGCGGCAAAGGCGTAGGAGAAGTCGAGCTCGATGAAAATGTAGTTGGTGTCGGTTGGGACGGAGAGAAGGTCCTGGGCTTTGTTAGCTGGGTTGTTTCCTGGCAAACTGGTAATAGAGAGACTTACACCGCCACGCTCGACGGCTTTTTGAGAGAAGGCCTTCGGCACGGGCTGGAAGGCGATCGAGCCAAGCACGCCGGGGACTGCGAGGACGGACTCGGTCACGTTGTACCAGTGGTCGTAGTACTCCTGCAGCACGGAAGAGCCAACGGCTTTACTGGGGACGGGAGTGGTTTCGGTGGCAATGGTGTAGCGTTGTCCACTGAGAAAGGTTAGAATCGTTCCAGATTCATGGGTTGGAAACACTTACTGGAGAATGAAGAAGTCGTTGTTCTTCAACAGGTCATAGTAGCTATCCCAGGTCTTGGCCGTAGAGGTGTGATCAATCGCAGTGAATTCGTCAAAGACACCCGCCGGAGGCGTAGGTCCATCGTAGAAGAGGAACATGATCCAGAAGTCGATGACTGCTCCATGCTCGGAGGTCAGGATAATAGCGGCCTTCTCATCAGGGTAGTCGTCCACAAAATTGCGCAGAGCCTCCAACACCTGGGGAGTCTTGTCGGCAGTGAAGATGTAGTTGCCACCCCAGACCTGGCCGATAGGGTGTGTTTGCATAGTGTACGCAGTGACAACACCGAGGTTATTGCCGCCGCCCTTCAATGAGTGGTAAAGATCTTTATCAAATTAGCTCTGTGAAAATCGACTAACCCTCTCAACTTATTCTTACCGACGTTCTCCATCTCATTGGCATCGACAATCGTGCCATTGGCCAGAACGACCTGGTAGTTGGCCACGTTGTTTGCAGCCCATCCGTACTGGGTGCTCAAGAAACTCATTCCACCTGTTCACGTTAGAATCAGACAAAATCCTTCTTTATGACCAACATACATCCGAGCATATAGCCTCCAATACCAACACCGCCAAGTCGGCCACCGACAACAGCACGGCCAGTACCATCCAATCCCTTCTGCGCCTGCTCCCAGGATAGACCGGGTCCAATGACGGCAGTTTCATCGTCGGGGTTATAGAAAACCTGGTCAAGGTTTTTGGTCGAAACAAGCAGTCCATCCTCAATACTGGCGAAACCATTGTTAGGCATGTGTCCACCAGACTTGACAGCAAAGAGCGTCTCGAAGTTGTGCAACTCGGTGATGACATGCGACATTTCTTCCGCGCTAGCTGGCGCCGCAATGCATGTGGGCTTCAGGTCTCCGCATGCAGCCGACCAGTACTTGGTCAGGTCACTCGAATAGTCCAGCGAGAGAGGATACTCGATATCAATTCCGGCCTGCTCGAGTGTCGAACAAATATCGGCGTGGACCGCAGGCGCCATGGCAGCAATGGCCAGCGCCAAGGTACACCAGCTAATGCTGGGAGCCATGGCAGAGAGAGCGAAGTGTATAAGATGCAACAAGGTATAGACAGAAGAAAAGAACTACCGCAAAGCGCTGATATGAGCTTTGAGCTTGCGACGAAAGAACGATTAGGTTGAAATGGAACACTCAAACTCAGAATCAACCCTGGAGAAGCGGGTCTTCAATTGATATAAATAGCCATGGTTAAAGCGTTCCCAAAAGACTCGGGGGTATCCATCGAGCCACTGCCCCTCCCGGTGGAGCGGGAAGGATGGGACTGGACAAGGCACTACTGTAACGGGGTTCTGCAAAGGCCTTGTTGGTACCATTACCGCAGTTCCCCGATCGGGTAGGGAGTATCTGGCAGTTTATTTCCAGAACTTGAGCTGCCAATCAAGTCTTGCAGAAATGATGGCTATCTCCATCTCGGTTTTTGGTACTTGTGGAGTCGTTCGGCTCTGTATGTAAAGGGCACATGGCAAGGCAGATGGTTTGCTGAAACCTCGGGTTTCTTGTCGGAGGAAATAGCTACTCGAGTGAGATCACTCGATCAAACCTCTTTTCTAACCGAGAGTCTGTTTGCTGTCGATCTTGCGGATATGCATTATTGAACGCAGGCCCTCAATGGCATGGAAGCTTCTCTACCCGAACCGAGAGCCAGATGCTGGGCGGTTGCTACGCCGGGTTGTAGCGCGGATTGTATCTTTGCGCCGTGAATGGTGGAAGATTGCAAGTTTGGTTTCTAGATCCACTGATAATCCTTGAAGATATTTTGACCCAGGAAAGGGGCTTAGAATTGAAATGCCGCTAGACGCAAAAAAGATTTGTGGAGGAACCGTGGGCAGTCCGAGCTCTCTGGCCGCGATTGTTTGTCATTGGGTTTATAGATAAGCAAGCCTCCTTTACACAAGTGTCGGCGGACACGTATCCAAAGACCTCGATGGAAGGAAAGAAATAGAAGAAGCGCAGTTATCAAAACTACCACCACCCACGCCGTTTAAAGCACACTGGACCCATTCTCTGATCGACGGCGGAGAGGCATAGATAGACAGGGCCCTAACGCTCCGGTAAGCTTGCATAGTGGGCCGTGTGGGGGATACCCCTGAACGGTTCCTGGAAGGGGTAGGCACCGCCGCAGCTAGTTAAAGGCGTTCGCTTAGACCATTTCGGCAACGATGTGCGCCGAACATCAAGTTTTTTTAGGCTCTCGGTCTTGTGTCCCCGGCGTGATCGCCCGGCTAGAGCAAACTCCAGAAAGAATACTCCGGACAGGCAGATCCTCGTGTGGGGCTTATTCTCACATGAAGCCGTATGCGCTACCGAGGTGGCTGATCATGGGTTTTTTAAGGAAAACGAGAACGCTGTCTACGAGGGCTGTGCGGGATACTCGCAGAAGACATGTCTCGAGAAATAGTCTATGGGAAGACTCAAAATATCTGAGACATTGATGGGGGCAGTGGGCCTGCGAATTTTTGTGATCTGTCATGGTTTGACCATACTTGGAACCCCTGCACCGGGTGATGACCATGAATGGACGTGATATTAGTACTAATCGGAGAAAATGCCGAGTGAACTCTAGTAGACGTGTAGACTAATCCAGTCACGCGAACCAGCACAAGACATGATACAAGCGAGTCAAATGCCTCTCACTGCGACCCTGAAATTTGAGGCTCGCTTAGAGATAACTTTCGGAGCCATCGTAATGAGCAAGGCGCTTTTTGACAAATCAAAATTACAAAAGGAGAAGGTAGCAGAAATAAACCAAACATCTCCCTGCGAAGCTCATCGCATGTGTTGACAGGTCACGAGATCAGACGGAGACCGCCCTGGGCGGTGTATTATTATGCCAGTCAAATGATGCAAGTTTCGCGATCTGCGACAGTCGTTTCTCGACGCCAACCACGATTATGGTGTTTCCGAGGACAGGGTCACTTCAGAGCCTTTCTATTGCTAGACAGCTCTGTGTGCGACGTGCTGTACGACAACGGCAGGCAGAATGCCTGCTCCCCGACCTGCGGCTTGCACGCCACGGCTTGAACGGCGCTCGCTGTCAACCACAAGAACTCCGAGGTCAATTATCGCCAATGAAGTAGATATCGAGGTGCGCTGCACTATCATTAAAGCTATTTGACTGGCTAACTAGATTGTTCTAGGATCCTGCCGCTGAAGACCCTCCAACTGCGCAAGAGCTGGAGCTGGCTCGCCTGAACGCCGAGTATGCGAAGACCAAGGATATACGACAATACCTGAGGCAATGGAAAGAGATTGTTCCTCAAACCCTAGATTCAGTTCAAGAACCCGGGTCGAACATGTCTGTCAACGCACAATCTGTCGCCATAAACGGCCGTAACTCCGAGGAAGGCCACCGAACTCACTCTCAATTGACGGAGCGAACCGATCTTGACGTATCGGAGGAGTTTGAGGGTGATCACTTGGAACCCGGTGACATGATATCCTTAATGAGAGGAGACGATACATCTTCTTTGGCCATATATGTGCAGTCCGTCAACAGACAGAAGCAGTTCTATACCGAGCGTGGATTGTGGCGTATCTGCCCTGCAGGTGAATTGGATTATGTGGTTAAGGGCTTTGCTCCTCCTGAGTTGCTTGAGCCTCTTAAACCATATCTACCTACTGAACTTGCTCGTCCCAATTCCGACATCCAGCTTGTTGCGGAGGGTGGCATCCCGAGACCAATAGGAGCGCCACTACTGGAAATGATGGGCAACTTCTCAGATCATGCGGCGGATTTTACTTTGGAGAATGCTCAACGGTTGGACAATATCTACGAAATAGCGGCCGATGACCAGGAATTTCAACGACTGACCCTCGACGAATTGACGATGAAGGTTTTGGATATCGATGAATCGGAACTGACCGCTGTGAACCTTTACGCTGTGCATCAATCTGTGCGAAATCACCCATTCCTGATGGAAAAGGACTCAACCTCTCTGTTCTGCAGCCTGTACCTGGTGGAGCCGAAAAGAATCGCCAAAATTGTTGAGACAGTTACGAAATGGGTTCATGAACATCAAAACATTCTGGTTGAAGGGATCGCATCATCTAAGACCGCATCTAATTTCGGTCATCCGATGCAGTTGTTCATCCAAAAGGCACAGCGGCTCATTCGTTCGAGCCGAAAAGTTCGCTCGCCGACTATTATGTCCAGCGTGGGACCTACAACTCAGCAATTTGAGCCCGGGCAGGATGGCAAGCCCATGCTGTACCGTGAAATCTTAACAGAGAAATTCACAGAGAATGACCGCATTATTTTGGAATATCTGCAACTGTTTGGCATTCCATCTGTGATAATGCCGTCTGGGACCTTGCGATCTACCGCATCGCACATTATGCGCGCGACGGGCATGTACAATACTCTCGGTCTCAGTGAGGCTTCAAGCCGCCTCTTCCTGCAGGAAATTGGTGTCATTGCCCCATGGGAGAACCTCGGCCTTCTCGACCAAAGTCTTCTTCTTCCGGGCCACGGCATGTCCCTTTTAGAGGATATGAAATGGGAAGAGATCGAGGAGAATTGCAAGAATCTTACTCTCACGGACTCAATGCACAAGCTTCGAAAGGACTGGGGTGATTTGCCTGTCTACTGTATAGACGATATCCATGCTCAAGAAATCGACGATGGCGTTTCTTTGGAACGGATTCCCGGCTCGAACGACACATTCTGGATTCGCATTCATGTCGCCAATCCAACAGCCTTCCTGCGTCATGACGACCCTATCATGGAGTATGCGGGCTCTCGGTGGTTTACCACCTATGCTCCTGAGCGTACCTACCCCATCTTCCCGAGCTCTTTTACACAAAACAACTTCAGTTTGTCAGCTGGCCGGCCTACGTTGACATTCAGCGCGAAAATGAACCTACAAGGCGAGATTCTCGACACCGAAGTGACAAATGGAAGTGTCCACAATGTGATCAATATTACTCACAGCAAGCTGCGTGAGCTCTTCAACCCCGACAGAAAGGAGTCTACAAATGCATTGCAAGTCGGCGGTACTCCCATCGACCAGCCCCTAGCCGCCGATCGAGTCATACGCGATACCCTTACATCAGAAGACCAAGACACTTTCACGACTCTTCGCAGTCTAATGCTAGGCTTCCGTACCCAGCGGCAGAAGAACGGGGCGATGGACATGCAACGCCTGAAACCTAACCCAGCCGTCTCCGTTCAAATGGGCATAATTCCTGCAAAGCCATATGAGATGCAAATCACAACGGGGAAGACTTTCATTGGTGACCCAAAAATCCAGCTTCGTATTCAAAACTTTGACTCGCACGAAGTCCAAGATGAGTCCAAAGAAAACCTCGTCTCTTTACTCATGAACCTGGCTGGCCATATCGCGGGCCAATTCTGTGCTACTCGCAATATCCCTGTTGTCTTCGATGGTACCTGGTATGACCCGGAATACGCCCGCGTCACACGCGACAACATCGCTCAGTTCGGCGGCGAGAAATTCTTCCAGTTCGCTATGCCAAAGGCTTTGTCTAAGTCTGCTCCCATCAAGCACCACTTCCTGGGCATAGATGCATATGTCAAGAGCACGAGTCCGCTGCGTCGTTTCACCGATGTGGTTGCCCATTACCAGATCGAGGCTGCTTTGCGCTTTGAGCATGAAAATGGTCGCCAGTTCGATGCAGCCATTGACATGCCAGATGAGGCCGAGCTTCCAGCTGAAAACGAAGGCGAATCTGAACCCGTCCAGTCGGACTCAAAAGCTGAATCATCTGTTCCGGAACAATCTTCCCTTCCCCTCCCTTACACCCAAATCGACTTGGACAACATGATCCACTTCGCGCAGCCCTTGAAAACACGTCTCAATGAGATTTCTTCCTTCTCCCAACAACACTGGGCCTGCATGCTCCTCTTCCGCGCCTTCTACTTCGCCGAATGCGAATTGCCACCTTCGTTCCCTGTCGTCTTGCGCACGCCGCGACTTACTGGGGTCAATCCCGACGAGGGACTGGTCTATTCGGGGTTCATCACAAGTTTGGGTGTTAGGTGCATGGTCACCATCCCGAATAATTGTCCCGGTCGAGAGGATATGGATGTCTTCGGAGTTGTTGAGGCTACTATTCAGGCTGTTGATATGGCGAGGCTGGAGGTGAAGATGGAGGCAACTGGGTTAATTAGTCCTTTTGAGAGAAGGGGCGAGTGGGCTTGAGCTTATCTAATGATATGTCTCTGCCTTTTGTATAAAACTGTATTATAATTGGATATATGGAAAGATCTCCATCGAATACTTCATCCTGGGCGTGAGATTAAATCACACACGAGTCTACAATGAAAAGTTTCATGTCGTACCTTCAAACCCAATCAAGGGGTAAAATGATGTTCAAGCCCTGGAGCTAGGCTTTTTTCTCTTCTTTATCGATATTTTCCTGGCTTTTTTGTCAAAAGTTTTCGTTCCAATATATCACTTTCTCTCTTTCAATGACAACAGGTCATGCCTAATTACACCCCCCGTTTCTCCTCTAATAATCGCAGGTGATCACGAATTGCATATTTCCACTCCTTCGCCACCTTATATACCACCAGAAAGCCGAAAGTGAAGAGAAGACCACATGACGCCACTATAAATGCGACACTAATCCAAAGCGACATACCCATTGTCCAACTGCTTCCAGCATCATTTCCCACCGAGGCGACGATCTGCAGTCCACTAAGAATCACCGAGACAACAGCTAGAACAAACAAGAATGGCGCATAGAGACGTGCGAAGTATTCCGCATACTGGTAATCGACTTTTTGAAAGTGTGACTTGCCCAGAAGTATTGGGGCATAGAAGTTCAATCGGGTCAGCCGTATCTCGCCATAGGCATAACGCGGAGAAACTTTCTCGTCTGCGATGCCAGCTAGGCTCGAGGTGAAGTTGCAGAACTGTTCCCAGGTGATAGCCGCCGGGATTAGGCCAAGACTAGGATCCTGTGCAATTCTCAAGTCGGACTCGTGCTTTATCAGGTGGTAGTACGTCCGCAAGAATCCTAGTGCGGCTCGACGCGTAGGTGGTCCACGGCCTTCACTGCCAGCTTCTATGCATAGATAATCCCTCCAGAATGTATAGGAGCCTATGTAGCGTGGGAGTGGCTTGATAAAGATGCGGTCGTGTATCCACACCAAGTGGAGCTTCGGATCTTCCGTCACGACAATTGTGCGACGTTTCACCCGCTGCCGGTGAAGTGGAGATATACTGCCGCTGTCTTGTTTCGACATCCACCAGAGATGACTGGCAATGCTGTCTAACTCCGAGCAGAATTCGTTGACGAGCAGATCCCACACCTTACGTCTGTCAAATAATGGAACGTGGGGGTGTCCGGGTACATGTCGGCTCGGCCCGTGCAGCTCCAAAGTTAACTGATGGGTGAACTCGAAGGGTGGACTTTCGTCGGATGCCATGGTAGTTGAGGAAACGAGAATAACATTAGCGCCAGATAAAGCCTCCGCTGTAAATTCCATGTTTCAAGTAGTTACGAAAGCACCGCCCCATTGCATGGCGCTAACAACCTCACGTGGATCTCAGCCGCATATCCCTGATGCAGGAGGGAGACATTACCTTTCCATTCTGTCCGCTCCAAAGACCCCTCCTGCAATTTATTACTCTCCTACCTACCTCCTCATGGGATCGGAAACCAGGGCCGAAGTGATTGTGCTGGCGGTTACCGCGATCATCGGCGTCATCTTACTGTTTGCCTTCTTCACTCGCGAGAGGAAGCAGACGGAGGCGCCCAGGCCCAAGAGTCTGACATTTCGAGTCGACGACATTCCAATTGATCACCAGAATAAATTCATCGACAATCTCAAGTCTGTTGCTGAGCAGGACCCAGATTTAAGGAGGGCAATAGCCACCATTACTCGTCACACTCTGACGCCAAAGGACAAGCGCTTCGCCTGCGCTACTATTTCAATCAGCACCACGCTCACAGGGGAGGAGCTTTGTACCCGGTTGAGTGTCGCTGGAAACCTAAAGGGTTATAAGTATAGCTATACCTGTGTATTTGACGGAATTACACCGCTCTACGAGCACCAGAACGGTGCAGATGTCGAGTACGTGCATACTCCGCAAATTCTTGTCACTTTTGCTCACCTTCTTTTAGCGTCATAGCTGTTCCTGGTCTTGGAAGTCACGCCTTTGGCTCTTGGAAGGCACCAAATAGCGACGAAGTTTGGCTACGTGACTTCCTGCCCGAAGACATTCCCAATATCCGAGTGCTGCTCTACGGTTACGATACAACGCTGTTAAATAGCTTTTCGAAGCAATCCATCGAAGACTTAGGCAGAATCTTCTTAGAGCAGATCACTGCCTTTCGAGCGAATGATGGTGTAAGTAAGCCCTCGTGGTATCTGGATCATGTTAATCTCTGATAGACTACTCGCCGTCCGATCATCTTCATCGGTCATAGCCTCGGCGGCCTGCTGATCAAAGAAGTAAGACCTCATATTACATCGCATGCAGTAACGGACCTGACCAGCGGTTTTAGGCACTGATCTGGGCTCATCGACCAGGGACTATCATGCAGTCAGAACTTTCCAAGGCATGTTTTGGGCTAGTCTTCTTTGGAGTGCCAAATCTTGGTTTGCGAAATGAACAATTGAAAACAATTGTCCAAGATCAACCGAACCAGGCATTGGTTGACAATCTTGTCGTGGATAACGACAATGAGCCCACGACCTTGCTTAAAAGGCTTACCGACCAGTTTGCAGAGAAAAGCAAGGGTCTCTACCGAGTAGTGACTTTCTTCGAGCGCAAATATAGTCCAATTTTAGAGGTGAGAAGCTTAATACTCTATGTAGGATGTAGAAGGGACATTCCAAGCTAATCTCCGTGTCATAGGTCGCTCCGGATGGAAGACTGCGCAAAACTGGCCGCTTGTCTTTACTGGTGACAGAAAAGTCAGCTACAAGCACAGGCCTAGTACCGATGGCCGATGAAGATAACATTCCCTTTAACACTGATCATTCTGGGCTTGTGAAGTACAGATCCAGAAATCAAGGCGATTACACCGTTGTGAGGGAAAGAATTCGAATACTGGTTGATGAGGCGAAGCTGAAGGTGGCCAATCGATTTCTTGAATACAGTATGTCTTTCTATACGATATTTTGGTCAAATGCTAATTCTGTAGCCTAGATCTACATGTTCCCTGTTCTGAGAATATAGCAGCATGCCTAAAATCACTAGCCTTTGCGGATATAGACAGCCGACAGAGTAGGATTGAAGATGCCGCTACGGGCACGTGCGAATGGCTTCTTCGTCATAAAACTCTAGCACAGTGGTCTCGTCAACACAGAGGTCTACTCTGGTTAAGGGGGAAGCCCGGATCTGGGAAATCCACAGTCATGAAATATGCTCTCCGAGAGCTTCCAGCCATTTATGATGCGGAACCTATTACAATCTCCTTCTTCTTCCACGCCCGTGGTCATGAGCTTCAAAAATCTCCACTTGGCCTTTTTCGTTCTTTTCTGCACCAAATACTTAGGCGCGTACCAGGCGCACTCCGTGACATGATTGCCTATTTCGATGAGCAGCAAAGAACAATCGGTGAAGTAGGAAAGCAGTGGACATGGGAGCTCCAGATTCTACACTCATTTCTCGAATCATCTCTTCCAAGAATCCTGGAAAGGTTTCCAGTCACTCTCTACATCGATGCACTTGATGAATGTGGCGAAGAACCAGCCGTAAAATTGATTGCATTCTTCATACACTTGCTTTCAGTTCTTCCGTCGGCGGGTTCTCGACTTGGCATCTTCTTTTCTTGTCGCGACTATCCTGTGTTAGAGCTCCAGGAAGGATTAACTATTCAGCTAGACGCAGAGAATGAGGATGATATCAAGACATTTGTTCGAACCCAGTTAGACACAAGTGGAACAGACCTTGAGACGCAGAGCATGATCTGTGATCATGCCCAGGGTTTATTCATGTGGGCTCGCATTGTTGTGGCGCGCGTGCTGCAGATGGAGCGCCAGGGCAAACAGAAAGAAGAGATCGATGCAGAAATCAGAAACGTGCCCGCCGGTCTAGATCTCAAATACCAAACACTTGCTTCACAAGAGCTTTCTTGTTCACTGCTCAACATTAGCAAGGCAAATTACCAACACAAACCACACCCAGGTAGAAAAGAGAAAAAAACTCACCCTTGCCCATTGCATTCCTCGGAATCGCATCTAAAACTTTCATCTCCTGTGGAATCTTATACAAAGCCAATCGATCCTTCAGTGCTCGTCGCAAATCCATCGGTCCCCACGCCTTGCCGTTTCGTCCCGTACTCGCCACATTAGCACCGAGGACGACAACAGCAGCGACTTTTTGACCCCATTTTTCCGAGGGGAGACCCACGACGGCAGCCTCTACGATTTGAGGCCTAGTAACAAGTCAGTAAACCCCCGAAGAACCTAAGATCAGGAAAACATACAGAGATAGCATCTCCCTCTCAACCTCCAACGCGCTAACCTTCTCCCCGCCCGTCTTGATGATATCCACACTCTTCCGACCCTGAATGAAATACATAGGACCCTTCGCCCATTCACCACTAGATCCGGACCCGGCCCCCTCAACGACCCGTCTAGTCGCGACATCACCAGTCTTAAACCACGATTTCCCGCCGTCGTCAGCGGAGACGAAGCTTTCAGTTGTGGCTTTCTCATTATCCCAGTAGCTGTGGAAGATAGTTTCACCGCGGAGTTGGATCTCGCCTTCGCGAGTACTGTCTAGTGGGATTATTTCGTCGGTTTCTGTGTCGACGAGACGGGCTTGTACGCCTGGTAAGGGCCAGCCTACGCTTCCATCGATGCGGTCATTTGGGTCAAGACCGCAGCTTATGGCCATTCCTACTTCCGTCATACCGAAGCGTTCGAGGAGGATGTTGCCAGTGCTTAGGGAGGTCCATTTTGTTTTTGTGGGGGTTGGAAGGGCCGCAGAGCCGGAGATGTTGAGGCGGAGATTTGATGGAGATATTCCTTGTTTGGCGGCTTGTTGGGTTTCTAATGGCAGGGTGGTAAAGGATGTCATCAGGCGGTTGTAGACTGTTGGGACGGCTGTGAGGAAGGTAATTTTTGGTTTGGGTTCGTTTGTGAATGGGGCAGCGAGGCGGCACCAGACTTGGTCTGGGTTGAACGGGTACATGAATTCAATGGAGGAGCCGGCGAATATCGGGGTTAAGATTGCGTTGACCACGCCGTGGATGTGGTGGAGTGGAAGTAGGTGGAGTAGTCGGTCTTGAGGTGTATAGTTCCATGCTTTGAGGAGGGAAGTCGCTTGTGCTGCAATTGCGGAGTCGGGGATGAGTACTCCTTTCTGCAGAGTGTTAGCACAATTCTTATATTATTGTTAAAAGGCACCTACCGGTCGATTCGTAGTCCCAGATGTATACAGCATCATACCCCCAGAGGCAGGCTGCTTCAGATTCTCCAATTGAACAGACTCATTCTGAGCGCCTTCCTTGAGCTTGTGTCTGATATCGAACAAAGGGTCCCGCTGCAATCCAGCCTTAAGAACCTGCTCTGCCTTGTCGGCATATTTCTCCGTCGCTAGGAGCATCTTGGCCTCCGAGTTGTCCAAGATATACTGCAGTTCACCAATAGGGAAAGACGGGGATAAAGGCAATGCAATAGCGTCGCTTGCAAAAATAGCCAGCATAGTCACTATAGCCCATTATTATTTGCCTGCAGCTCCAGCGACCCGGGTAAACATACCTACGTAGTCATAGCTATTCTCCGCCAAAAAAGCGACTCGCTCCCCAGCCAGCTTGCCCGTGGTCTTGTATTCAAGCTGCTCCTTCGCGCGGATAACATCGCCGATCAGACTTCCATATGTAAAGGAGCGCTCGCTCAAGCTGTGTACGACAGCTAAACTGGCCGGGTCGTGGCTCTGCAGAGCTCGGAAGATCGGGGTGTTCGGGAGCGTCGACAGCAGTCTTGCGCGCGCCGCCAGACGTGGAAGCTGCAGGCGCGGTCGCAGTCGCGAGATCAGGCCGGGCATTTTAATAACTTTGAAGACTAGGGTTATGGCGAATGCCTCATAGCTCGAGTTGAGGCGCAATGGGTTGATGTCATGTGGATGAAGTCCCGCGGAAAGCTCGACTTTGCGACTCCGCTTTTCTCCAACGCTTATCCTCCTCTATAGCCTATACCCTATAACCTATACCCTCGATACCCTCGTTCTATACTCCTCTTCCTTCCTTCGGCGATTCCCCTCCGGCTGCATTTCAGCACCTCCAATGCTCACTCGCACCCTCCCCGGCCTCCTCCCGCGCCGCCTGTTCTCCGTCTCCGCGAAAATGGCCTCCACAACCCCGATGGAAGATTTGATGCGCGACAAGGTCCGTCTATACCGAGACTAAACCCTTACTCTAGAAGCCTCCCTAACACTCGACACTATCGATAGATCGCTACCGCCTTCACCCCCTCTACCCTCGTTATCCGCAATGACTCCCACAAGCACGCGCACCACAAAGCAATGGAGGGTGTCGCCTCGAAGGAGACCCATTTCCAGTGCGTCTACGCCCGATATTTACGAGACCGGAACTAATAGCTGCTAGTGTCACGATAATCTCGGATGCCTTTGAGAAGAAAATGCAGCCCGCGAGACACCGTATGGTCTATGCCTTGTTGAAGGAGGAGATGAGTCAAGAGGGTGGCATTCACGCGCTGCAGCTGAAGACTCAGACTCCGGCGGAGGAGACGAGGCAGAAGGAGAGGGCGGCGCAGGCTTGATTGCATTACAAGAACTGTTAGTCTTAGCTCTTGGGGTTGAGGCTCGAGTGGTGTGGATATGTCCACATGTGCAGTGAATGTGGATGTAGGGATACTTGATTAGAAATGCTCGACTTGCGAGGGTCGGGGTTGGTCAAATGTTCAAATGTTGACCGGATGATACCCAAAACTATACTATGCATACGAACATCCACGGATATCATTCTTTTGAGGTGAAAACCCGCACATGTATAGCAAACAGAAGGAATCGATTATTAGACGTATTACATAGATTTAGTGCCTGGGCATCGGCAATTAGCCAAAGCAACAGGTCACTCACGAAAAAACCAAACGATCTAGTATATACATCCATGCGCGATCGCGCATGGAGGCACAGCACAGCGAACAGAATCATCATGACCGGAGGTCGTGGACGCTGTAAACAATCCTGGAGAAACAAGACAAAGGAAAGAGCGGATCGAGCATTGCTTTTACACGAGTAAAAAGAGAAAAAAATATGACATGCGAGAGGGTGGTATAGAAACGAGGGGGAAAGGTACAGGGATATGAGAAGGTCGTACACGAGAGAAAGAGGGGTAACGGGTGTGCAGTGCAATGCTTATTTCGATGATTTGTTGGCCTCCGTGACTCCGACGGCGACACCAACAACGATAGCAATGATAATGACTGTGGTTGGTTAGTTCGGAAGGCTCGGATAGGAGGGGGGGGGGTTTGCCACGTACTGACGATGATCAAGGCATACCACTTCCACCGCCGCGCGTTGCGGGCGCTGGTGATCGCATTGTCCAGCTTGCTGTTGGCCTGCTGCACGTTGCGGTGTGTCTCCTCAGCACCCTGATTGATCTGCTGCACCGCGGGCTCTTGCTGGTGGATCAACTCGGCAACCTCCTGGTAGAGCTGGCCGAGCTGGACCATGTCCTGTTCAATCTTGCGGATTGCGGCGGATCGCTGCATGGTGGCCTGGCGGGCATCGTTGGCCTGGCGGGATCGGGTGCCGGGGACCTATTACGAGTTATTAGCCATGTCCGCGTAGTCAAGTACTAGAACCAAAGCTTACCATGAAGGCCTGCTCCTGACCAGCCAGGACATTCTGCACACCCTGCTCGAGCTCCTCGGGGGAAGCCTCGGGGTTGGCGATCGCATAACGGCGACGGACCTGCTCCTCCAGCTTCTTGCGGAAGTCGGATTGGGTGCGCTGGTACTGCTCAATCTCACGGCGGAGGTTACGGTTGACATTCTCGACCTGGCCCGAGACACGAGGGTCACCGGAGCCGGGAGTCTCCTTGATGCGCTTGAACTGGTCGCGCAGGTAGCGCAGAGCGGTGTTGATCTCGTCCTCGATGTAGTCGACGGTCTGGCGCGTCTGCTGGTCCTCCTTGCCGGTAGCGGACTCCAAGAGCGCATTCTGCGCGGATGCCAGCTGGCCCTCGCGCTTGGTGCGCAGCTCGTTGATCGAATCGTTCATCTCCTTGCACTTGTTCAGGATCACGGTCGGGCCGCCGGACTCTTGCATGTTGGACATTTCTAAGCGTATCGAGTCAGTGCATATTCCCAGGGGTCATGTTGGCGGGATCATTGGGAATGAACTCACCATATCCGCCATTGCCCTGCTCAGCAGCTCCAGACTGCTCATATCCACCACCGTAGCCATACTGCTGCTGTTGCGGCTGTTGCTGCTGGGCGTAGGGATTTTGCTGGGCGCCGTAAGGGTTGTACTGGCCGTAGCCTCCTGAAGCATTATCCCCTAGGGCCTGGTACTGGGTGTGGTTAGAAAGAGACTAGACATGTCATCGAGGGCAAGAACTCACACTCATGATGAAGAACGGGTTTCAGGGCAATGAAAGGGGTCAGTTGAAGAGGAGTGAAGGGTGAGACGGGAAAGGTGGAGTGAACGGAAGCGCTGGCGGTGGCAGGGGCAGAATGTTTCAACTGTCACAATACGAGATAGTCAGGGGTGAACGCCAAAATTAGGGATCTAAGGGTAATAAGGAGAGATCAATTTGAAACTTTGTTTCGAGTTGCTAGGTTAAAATTATTTTCTCCCAGCCTCCTTGCACGGTGGACCCTTAAAGGGTTGAATTGTGGCTGATGCTGCGCCCGTTGCTATTTATGAGCTTGCGATCGGCAGGGTGGAGTTCTCGGAAGGGTTCTGCTAGGTACTGGTACTTCGTCAAAGGTGCACACTCCATAGGTAATTAAGTACTAGTACAAGATGGTAACTGCAGTCTGCACGTCATGATTGCAGGTTACAGTGGAAAATGTATGCGCTACGAGTAAACTCAATTGATAGAACTGATTTGCTTGTATGTCCTTGGCTCTCGCCTATACTCTCCGCCGTCAGTGAGTTATCCTTACTTCCACTTGTAGTAATCTGTCAGTTCACCATGAGCTCACTACTAAATTAGCGCTTGCTAAGATTACAGACGGGGCCTGTGCTGTCGATCATAGCCAATCGTTTTGCTTAATGTGAGATTCCGTGTCCTTGCCACAGATCCTAGTCATGTACATATTGCACGTGTGGCAAATTGCGTCTCTATCCAGAGTTCTATACAGCCCGACCGCGATGATGATCTAGGCCTACACACTTGATCTTTCGGTCTTTTGCGATATCTTTCTACGATTTGCCCTAAATGATTCAGGCCTTCTCTTGTTTATTGTCCCAAGGTATCCTTTCAATGACTTCAAATACGCCTGCGGACATAAATCACGGACGCCTATTTTAAACCATTTGCGTGATGATCCGGCTGTCGATACTCCAGGGCTACTAAGCTCAACCCACAAATATTCAATGTTCAAATGGGATTATATCAAGAAGAAGCAACAGATACTTCCAGCCTTGGAACCACCATCTAGACATTCTATTCTAAAGCCTGTGCCTCACACATCTTGCGATACATCCCACCCCTCCCAATTAACTCCCGATGCGACCCCATCTCCTCAACGCGCCCTTTATGAAATACACAAATAACATCCGCATCTTTCACAGTACTAAGTCGATGTGCAACCGCGATGGTAATCCTATCCCCACCTATCGCCGCAGCCAGCGCATCATGCACAACCCGCTCACTCTCCGTATCAAGCGCGCTAGTAGCCTCATCCAGTAACAGAACTTTCGGATTCCGAATAAGTGCTCTTGCAATCGCGATACGCTGTCTTTGACCACCGGATAATTGTGACCCTCCGAGCCCAACGGATGTTGATACGCCGTCGGGAAGTGAGGAAACGAAACTCCATGCATTAGCTGCGCGAAGAGCAGACTCAATCCTGTCGTCGATTTCTTGCAGTCCGGGAGTGATCTCGTTTTTGTCTAGACCGAAGATAACATTGTCACGAATTGAAACTGGGAATAGATTCGGTTCTTGCTGGACGAGGGCGATGATGTTGCGGAAGAGACGTGGGTTTAGAATTGATAGAGCTGAGGAGTTGATTTTGATGGAGCCGGTTGATGGGTCATAGAATCGTTCTAAGAGGGCTATCATAGTTGATTTACCACATCCTGATGCGCCGACAAGGGCTATGAATTGGCCCTTTTTGATCTGTGGATGTCAATTACTCTGATGTCAACTGCGATAGAGAGGGTGGGGTCACCTACATTGAGATCAACGCCCTTGAGAATCGGCATGTCGGGGCGGAGAGGATAGGAAAATCGTACTTGATCCAATTCAATTGAATCTCCACCTCCAGGACCATTGTCCCGATTCTCATCGGTCTCTTGCACAATTGGCTGGAGATCCTTAAGCCAGAAAAGGTAGTTTGCAGCATTAACACCTTTCGTAACGCTCGTCGAAAACTGGAAAAGCTGTGACGCGCCTTGACCGGCAAAATATACCCCGAGGAAAGCGACGAAGAAGGCGTATAGGGTAATCTGGCCAAAAGAAAGGAGACGACAACCATACCAGAATCCAAGAGCCATGAACCAATACTCGATAGACTGGGTAAATGCAAAGCTGACCATCATAGTGAACAGCGGACGTTTCAGATCCGTCACAGCCTCATCCAATTCTGCAGTATACCTCTCCAACACAGAATGCTCAATAGCAAGTGATGAGATTGTCCGGATAGACATCACAGCTTCTGACGCAATAGAAGCACTTACTGAATATCGTTTGGAAGTGTCACGATCAAGCTTCGCATCAAGTCGAATTTTCAGATAACCCGCGCCAACCAATGGAATAAGACCCGCGCAGATAACAACAAGCCCAAGTCTCCAACTATAAGCTAGTGCCAAGATTCCACATACAGTAACATTGAGGAAGGCCATCAGCATAAGACCGATATTGTACCCCATTAGCTCAAGTATAGCCTGTGGGTTCGAATCGATGCGCGCAGCGAGTGCACCGGTGCTGTTCTCTTCGCAATCGAAGAACTGGAGATCTTGTCGGAGCATGTCGCGAAGACTTTGTCTGCGAAGCTTGTGACTTAGATGTTGGGCGACGATGTTGGTTGCATAGCCGAGGACGAAATAAGCCACCAGACAGCCGGCTGCGAGCACTATGAACATTTTTGCGAGGAAATTTCCTTTGCGTTCCATTTCGGTGCTTGAGAGAGTGAGGACGTCGACGACTCTGGATAGAAGGATTGCCTGGCCGGGAAATGTTGCTCCTATTTACTTATTCAGAAAGGCTGGTGGAGAATTGAGAGGGCTTTTACTTACCACCTGCTAGACATGCGGCTAATACCAGGCAGTATGCAAATGCAAGCTCAGGCGTCTCAAGGACCAGGCGGTAGATAACGAAGATTATGTTGCGTTGTTTGTGGTGATCGTAATTATCGCGCTCTTTCTGAGTTTTAGCTGGTGAGTAGGATGAGTGAGTTGGAGCTTTTGCAACGGCATCTGCTTTGAGATCCTCCACAGGCTCCAATGACAGGTCAGATTGCGAAGAGCTACTCGAAACAGTCAAGTCCTGTATTCTCACAAGCTGAGCATAAGTTCCATCGTGGACAATCAACTCCTCATGGGTACCTTGCTCAACAATTTGTCCCTTATTCATAACGATGATATTATCGGCCTTCCGTATAGTTGCAAGCTTATGAGCAATGACAATCGTAGTTCGGCCCTCCGAAGCCTTATCAAGTGCTTTCTGAACAACACCTTCAGCATGCGGATCCAGGGCACTAGTCGCTTCATCCAGGAGAAGAACCTTCGGCTGAGACACAATGCTGCGAGCGATAGCAATCCGTTGCTTCTGACCTCCTGATAAAAGGCCACCACGCTGCCCAATCTGGGTATCATATCCATCAGGGAGCTCAGCGATGAAATTGTGGGCAAATGCCATGTTAGCCGCTTCCTGAATTTGCTCCATTTGTTGATTTCTTGGGGCATGTTCCCATTGTGTACCGATCAAGCCGTGTCTGATGTTGTCAAAAACGGTGCCTTGGAATAAGACAGGCTCTTGCTGAACAAGACGGATGTTCCTTCGGAGCCAGTTCAGATTCAGTTCGTTGATTGGACGACCATCCAGTTTAATGGCTCCTGTGGAGGGATTGTACCATCTCTCGAGAAGGCCGACGATAGTGCTTTTGCCGGAGCCGGATTGACCCTACACAGCAATCAGCATGGAATGAAGGTAGCATGATAGACTGAACTTACCACCAGCGCAGTGACCTTGCCGGCAGGGGCTTTCAAAGTGAAATTGTCCAGGACAGTCGCTCCGGGCCGAGTAGGATAAGCAAAAGTAACGCCATCAAGTTCAATCTCGCCGACTGTCTCAGATGGCTGCTCTCCGGAATTGTCAAATGGGTCAATTTGAGACTTCCGATCGATCAACTCAAAAAGCTTGGCTGCGGCACTAGCAGATCTGGTGAAGTCGATCATATATGGGGCAAGCATGGTCAGCTGAGTGGCAGCAATAATGACCGACATGATGACACTATACCGTTAACAATAATTATTCTGGCAGATACAATGCAAGACTCACGTAAAGATCCCACCAGACTCGACAATCTCCCCTTTTGCCAACATGCGAATACCCTGCCAAAAAGCCAGACCATAGCCCAAGTAGACGACACAATAATCCGCCGAGAAGAATATTCCGAAGATAAGCGAAAGCTTGTTCCCAATCGTATGAGAGTAGCCCAAATAGTCATCGAACCTATCAACCAGTCTATCCCTGATCTCAAACGCATGAGCAGTCCGCACACTGGAAAGAACGCTCTCAGCAAATGCATTAGCCTTCGCATTAATCTCCAAGATCTGGTTCTCATAGGTACCCGCAAACCAAATCGCACTACCGGACACAATGAGAACAGTTGGGACGACACAAAGGCATATTAGGGTGAGTTTCCATTGGACCACGAAAGCGATGATGAACGAAGTGATGATAGCAGCGATGCCTTGGAATACGAGAGCTAGCTTTTCGCTGATTCCGCCCTGAATCAGTCTGCCGTTGGAGGTAGCTTGTGTTGCGATAGAGCCACCAGACCCGAAATCGTAATATGCGACTTCTTGGCCAAGCGCCGATTTGAGGTAATCGTGTCGAATGTTGCGAGTGGTTAGATGAGCGGCGAAGGTGAAAAGTGTGTTGTAAATGTATGATAGAATTAAACGGCCAAGTCCAAGGAGGAAAAAGTATAGAGCTAGTCTGGAGGCTTCTGAGCGAAGGTTGGCTGCAGATGATTGCGATGTTGTGAAGTCCGTGATGGCTGTGACGAACGAGCCTAGGATGAGGGGTTGGAACGCTATGCCGGCGCCAGAAGCGATGGCTGCTAGGGATGCGACGGCTTGTAGAGAATGTTCAAAAGGTCCGCCATATTTGAAAATTCGTTTGAAGGCGGCGAAAGAGCCTTCGGATACGTCTGGGGCTGGTGCTGCAGGTGCCTCCTTCTCGCTCTTGATAACCCCAGCCTCCATTGTCGTAGCCGCTGTTGGTTGGATCACAGTCAACAATCTCAAATCCAAAATTATTGTATCGTGACGCGAGCGAGTTATTAGTTCGTGTATCACTTATTTTCTTGACTAGACCGGCGTGATATAGCAGATGGGAACTCAACTAGCTCTTATTGTGCGCAGCAGCTCTAACTTATATGTTTGAGGCCAGTTCTATGGAGTCTCAGAGTCGGCTATGCAGCATCCGGGCCATCTCCGGATCCAATGTAGACTTGAAGAGGCCTGCGCCAATACCGTGAGACTTGGCTCTTGGACGACGGGACCCTCGGGCTCCGTTACTTGGCCACGAAGCTACAGACGGGCCTTTGATCTACTTTACCCAGAATGACATAATAAAAGCGACTGAACCTTAGAACACGATTACTAGCAGACACTGAGCGGAGACAATCAGGCATAGTGTCGAGAAGCTTGGCTCCGGGCCGCGGTGTCCTCGGGTTCCGTGACTTCCACAGTCCAACCAAGGAGATAACGTAATCCACAGCCCATCAGCCACCACAATCCATCCGCCATCTCATTTAATTTTCGCGCATCCATATAACCCCCACCACTTCGAATCACCTACTATGCCACTAATTCGTTCTTCAATAAGGCAAAATTCCATTCATCAAGAGACTAGGGCTGAAATTGTAATCTTAGCTATTAAACAGAAGAATGTTCCTTCCATTGCGGCAACCGCGCGCGTCTATGATATACCGCGGTCTACGCTACGCGACCGTATCAATGGTTACAATCTAAAAGCTACCACTCGCGCCGATGGCCATAAATTGACTCAACTAGACGATGATGCGCTTATGGAATGAAATCTTATCTTTTGAGGATCACGGTGCAGCCTCTAGGCATAAGACGGTACGTAATACAGCTAATATTCTTCTTGCGGCGACTGGGACCGATACGGTTAGTGTGAACTGCTTTGGAAACTATATTGAGCGAACACTAGCTATATAAATACGTTTCTCGCGTCGATATAACTATCAAGGCGTAGAAAAAGAAGATCCACAAATCTAAAATAATTATTTTTGACTATTATACACTATATGATCCTACCTAATAATATCTACAATTTTGATGAAGAAGGCTTCGCAATAGGCCTATTTTCTACCGTAAGGATTATCTAACTATCAGGCGCAGATGAGCTAAGCAGAAGTCTGGCTTTTCGCTCGTTTATAGAAAACGAAATATGAATTTAATGTAGTCCAAGATCAGAGAGTTTTCTCCGAATCCTGCTAACCCTGAGCTATACAAATATATAATATAAGATACCTTATCATCTTGTCAGCCACTATGACCAGCGCAATGGCGTTGTTGTTTCAAATGTTGGAGATGTCCCGGCGCTTTTTGAATTGCTCAGCAACCGAGGGAGCTAGCGCAGATGAAATTAGGGAGGGGGGACCCTTGTCTAGACCCAATATCTCTGCCATTCCGTGCTCGAAGGGATCCTTATACAGTATTAGCCTATATTATAATAATAAGTACTAGAATAATTAGGCTAGAACATTGAATTTTATCTTTGCTATGATAAGATACGACAGATAAGACCGATAAGAACAAGGTTTAAAATGACTACTTGGAAGATGTGGTATATTGAAGAAGGGAGGAAGAAGGAAAGAAGAGAGAAAATCTCAAGGGTTAAGTTGTCTAAAATAGGATTTTAGACTTAAGAGAGCTATAATAGACTCACCGTTACAAATCTCGCCTGTGGGGGTCCTTAATACGAAATCTTAGGATAAGAAAAGCTTATTTGTCATATAGTCGGAACAATCGGCAGCGTCTTTGGATCACGGTATCACTCGCTAAAAAGGAACTCTCGCCAAGCTTGCCAGCCTGTCATAATCGAGATCGAATGGGACAAAACCGGCTGCAACACTATCTACTGGTATCCAAAGTGAAAGGTCCTGATCAAGTTCACACCTTTATATTGCTGAGGCAAAGCTTTGGGAACGGCCACAAAGAAGGTAATTGGAAGACTCCGCCAGGGTAGATGAATGGGGTGTTGTATAGGCAAAATGATTGAGAAGACCTGTCATGGAAGCAGGTGTTGTGATCTTCAACTAATCAGAAGGCTAATAATACAAAAAGTTTTTAGCTGTTTTTACATAGTAGGCCACTCCATCTTGATAGGTTCCAAGGATCCAGGGCCCCTAAAATCCTCCAGAATATCTGCTTGCTCGCTCAACATCACCCTATCCGCCTGAGACGCACCAACCTTCGCCAGATCCCTCCAACGAGCGAGATCCTCCGGGTTGCGCTTGTCGCCATGTGCGGCCTCATTTTGGGTCCAATGACCTTTCGAGAATCCAAGTAAAGTCGATATGCGTTTGTTGGGGATATCGTAGACGAGCGAACAGATAGTGCCGGTCTCCTCGAGCCAATTGCACTGCCATAGTTCTCCAGGGCGGATGCATTGGTAGGTTACGGCCTGAAAATTCTTTCTGCCGGCCATTGGACCTCCGTGGATCGCGTAGACAATGCGATCCTCGTTGTAGAACCACATCTCATATCGCCATTTTTCAGGATCTCCTTGAGCGTCATGTGCCGCGTAGTCGTAGATCATGTGGCGGTCTCGAATGTCGGCGTCGAAAGTCGAGCCTTCGAGAGACGGTAGAACTGGCATTTGGATGTTTGGTCTGCTGGTAGCTGACTGTATGAAGGAGTTGAGAAGATAGGAAGACTGAATCTTTGTCTGTAGATAGTGAGCCTACATACAGCGAATTTTTTCATCTTAAGTACTGTCTCTTAGATTCTCAATGCCGAAGATCATTCCGAAGACTTTGGACTTCCTCGGCGCCTCGGACTCAATGAGGTCTGATACGGGACCGGGAAACCGGCTCAGTCGGGCTGATAATGCTGTGATATAGATATGGACCTGACCCTCGGGCTCGTGGTGGGTCGACCAACGGCCCGATAATTGGTGGCGAAGGCCATTTTCTAGACTGCCGAGGACAGTCCCGTATCGCCACAGTACAATACCGTCACAAGATTCCCGCAGAAAGAAGCGAGGCTGATGTACTTATCCCTTAAACAAATTACAGACCCAATCATGTTCCATAAAGGAAGACTTGAATGGAATGATTATCGGTGAGCATTTCCGGAAGGCCGCTGAAAATATTTTGGAAACCGGCGCAGCATGCTATGACATTTGGAAAAGCGCCACTAAGCAAGGATAGGAGAAAATAAATACGAAAAAAAATTTGACATTATAGGTTGCAAATGAATGAATGCGCGTAGGGTTGTTGACCGCAAGTACAAGACGGCAGTTATTATAAATGGGCAAACATTGAAAATTGGCTTTTTCGCAAACATCAATTGCCTGAGGGAAGATTCCAGGGCTAGTGCCTCGATGAAGTGAAAAACTCGTTTGGGCTCTCAGAAAGAATATAGAAACACGGAAAGACTTGCTCTGTACATAAAGTTGCCAGGTCCTTTGAAGCAAACTTGAGGGTCTGGGTGAATCTAGGGATATTAATGTCGTATTTTACACCGAATCAAAGAAGGTATCAATCTAGTTGCTTAATATATCGTCCAAACTATATCAATGAGTTTCCATGGTCCTGAGCTTTTCAATTTTGTTGTTGCGTTCCTTCTCACGGTCTGACTAATCTTCACATTCGTAAAGCGTGTCTGTTTCTTAATGGTATGTCGAAGTATATCCCGTTCATGCATGGAACTGAGCTCATTAATCTCCCTAATGACAAATTTGAGAAAGCATCCGCTGATTGGGCCTCGCATGTTACCGTGGCGAAGGAAGGGAGACTGTTAACCAGTCAAAGTCGTTTTGGCATTGGGACGTCAAAAAGGCAGATAACCTAGTCACCATCTAACCAAAGAGGACACCTGGGCAATGATGATGGTTACAATAAAGTCTTAACTCCAATTAATAGGATTTTAAGGTATTTTGAGCATATGGAGTAACACGCAGGAGGATATATTTCTTCCCAGAACGATACACGGTCATGAGAACTGTGTGATATAGAAGGATTGGGCAATTTCCTAGCCGAGACTCGTAGTCATTTTAATTACCATTATCTGTCAGGCTGTAGAACTTATGCTTGGAAGATTGGAAGGTTGGGATGAAGAACATAGGTAGATAATAATCTATTCACATTTAATATATACTAGAGATTAAGAACTCGTAATCTCGTCTCACATCTGCTCCGTCACAGGAAGATCCTGCTCCCTTATGCAGTACATGTATCAATACAAATCATGCCACCAATTCAATGCAACGCAATCTAATGCTTATGCTGCGCATGATCAACAGCATCAACAGGCTCAGTAGCATGAGGAGCCACTGTCTCAGCGACAAGATCGTCATCCGCATCCAGCGCATTCATGTCGTCTTCTGTGGCATTGAGGTGGTGGAAGACGAGGAAGAAGATGAGACCGCATGCGAAGGAAGCACAGGCCAGACCGACGAACATCCACATGATAGCGGGGTCGAAGGCGGCGGGAGTGAGGGCTTCGGCGAGGGCGGAACCGAAGGCGTTGGTGAGGAGGTACATCGACTGGACGAAGGATTTCATCGAGGGGGGGGCCTTGGTGTAGGCGTATTCGAGACCGGAGACGGAGGCGAAAATCTCGGAGATACCGATGAAGACGTAGGCCGGGGTCTGAATGGCGATGTGCACTCTGTTGCCGGTAGTTGCGCCGTCGACGATAGAGGCATCACACTGGGGGTGTCCGTAGCAGGGTCCAGCGGAGTAGATTAGGTGCTGCACGATGGCGGCGTACATCATTGCGAGGGAGGCGACGATGAAACCGAGAGAAATACGGGTGATGGGGCGGAAGGGGATCTTCAAACGGCGCATCAGGGGGTAGACCAGGGTCTCAAGCAAAGGAATGAACACGATGATAGAGATTGGGTCGAAGTTCTGCATGAGATCGTTGGGGATGCCGTGGCCTTCCATTTGGCCGGCTTGGGTAACGAAGTTGCTGGAGAACTGGCCGTAGACGACCCAGTAGATGGGGTAAAAGGCGAAAACGCGGCAGGCGACAAGGGCACGCTTGAGCTCGTCGATGAAGTGGTCGTCCCAGGGGACGGTGAGTTGATTGCCGCTGTGCTCGGCTTGCCAGCTGGGCTTGGGAGCGTCCATGTTGCGGTTCTTGACCATGATCCAGAGGGCCTTGAAGGCGTCTGTGATGATGGAGCCCTGCGGGGGACGGACGACGTAGTACTTGCGGCCGAAGATGAGAACACCGGTACCGGCGGCGAACATACAGAGACATAGCAGGTAGCCGGACCAGAAGCCGATGTACAGCTCCATGTAGGGAGTGGCCAGCAAAGAGAGCGAACCGATGTTGATACAGCCGTAGAAGATCATGTAGATGCGCTGAATGGTCAGGGCTGGATCGATGACCACGCGCTCACCCTTGGGAAGGGTCTTGAGGGCCATCTTCTTGCGCTTGTACTGGTCGGCGATCAGAGGAGCCACGTTGGACTTGATACCACCGGTACCCAGGCCGATAATCAGAATAGCCACGATGAAGCCACCAAGGCCGGCACCGTGCTCCAGAGCACTGGGAATGGAAGTGCAGACTAGGATCAAAAGACCGATCAGGTAGATACCGCAGAACCAAACAATAGTCTTGTACTTGCCGAGGTACTGATCGGCCACAATGGCACCGAGGATGGGGGTCACTGTAGGCACAGTCAGCGTCGGTTGACAAGCGTCGGTCGGTGTGTATTAAGCTTACCATAGCACCAGAATTGGAAGAAAGTGGTCAGACCAGTCGCACCCTGGTGGCCCATACCGAGAGCACCACGGCCCTCGCTGCCGTCAAGCGGGCGCAGGACGTAGTTCTGGAACAGACCAGACATACCGTAGTAGGTGAACCGCTCGCACAGCTCGACCACGGCCACCAACCAGGCGGAGACGGGCAGGTTCTCGGCGACGTGACGCAGAGAACGCTTCTCGTCCTCGGTGGGCTCCCCGCCGTCGGGGGTGACGGAACCATTCTCCTTGTCAATGGATATATCGTCTTTCTCGTTGCTCACGACGATGTGCTCGACGGGGGAGTCATTGTGGGGTCTGGATGAGTGTTAGCAAGCATTGCCAAGATAGCTGTGCACTGTATAAACAGGGGCTGCAGGGCAGTCCTGTGGAGCACATACTGGGCAAGCTCAACCTCGCGATCAGCCGACATGATTCAGATTCTCTCGTGGACAAAGAGAAAAAGAAAGAGCGGGCTGGCCTAAAACTATATAGGGCAAGGAATTATGATCACACATCCGAGGTCCGGTGGGGATTCTTATCGGGGCGTGGAGCCAAAAAAAAATGGACGCCTTCTCGCTACAAAACAAAATAGACCGAAAGTCCGGGAAACGAATCCACTCGAGATAAAAGGAGGAAAGCCGAAATAACCACTGTTCGCAGCTTGTTCCAACCGTGGGTGCGATCGGCGCCGTCTGCCTCGCCACGCCAAATCAGCGCGCGCACATTGGGAGAGACCCAATGTAACCCCAGAACGGGAGACGGCAGCGACAGAGCGCAAGGAAAGAGGCGAGATAGGATGCCAAGAGAATGGTGCCAAGACACATTGATATGGTGCTCACGCGAGGGACTAGAGACTAGAAGCTTGTCCTTGGATCAATCAGAGGCCGTTCACGCCGTTGTTTGTGGAGAGAATTCTGGAAACCCGCGGCTCTCCACCTGTATCCAGCGAATCAGGCCGCCAGGGCCCGTCGGGGAATGCCGGTCGAGATGAAAATTTCCCAAGTTGTATAACTACAGCCGGACACGAGCACCGGAGACGGTTCGCCACGAGGGAATCCGCTCGTGTGTCCCACCATGTTGATGGTATGTGCCGGAGTACTCTCTCCGGACTCCGTGATTCGCGAGTCGGTATCTGTGTATTTTCGGCCGGGCTTTGCTGTTTGTTGTTTTTCCTGTGTTCCTTGCGTCCCAAGGGAACACAACCAAATGAAAGGAGAAATCGAAATCAACACATTCGGGGTGGCGATAAGATGTGTGCCTGAGTCGGACACGGAATCGAACTCGGAGTCGAAATCGAAATCGACCATCGCGCATTCCTGACCGCTTGGGCCTCCCATCCGCGTTCGGTATCGCCGGTGTCTAGAAATCGCAATCTGCAATCTGTTGCGATCATGCGATTATCTGCCATGGGGTAATCCCGTGTTTCCACGATCGTGCTCCATAGTCCACCCCATCTTCGGAATAATCCATAATGCGATCAGGTAATTCCGCTGATAGCACCCCCGGTCTCCTCTTTCTCCATTGCAACGTTGGGGATTATCCCCGCGATGCTTATCAGTGCTTTGACTTTCGGCAATGTCTCAATGGCTCCATGTCTCAAGCGGACGAGTCTCGGGGGTGCGGCCGTTCTGATCCCCCTCGGAGTCTCCTGTTTCGTCTTGACTCAACCCCTCAGAGTCGGGGGTCCTGCTGGATCCTTAACTTCGCGGGGCGATGATCATTGTGTACATATCCTGTAGCAGCCGGTGATACCCAGCCCGAGCAATTGGACAATTCCATCGCAGCGGTGCATCACCGCACATCACCACGCATCACGATCCGGGGTAATTATTCTCTCGTAACAGCGTGGCGGGAGATTGCTTGTAGGAAGGGCAGGTGGAGTCTGGCGCAGGCTCGACCGGGTGCCAAGACTGAGCCGGTGATAAGCTGGTTTGGACATGTCGTGTGAATTGGTCATGTTGGAGGTGAAGAGGGGTCACATCGTAAAGATGAAAGTCCCGTGTGAAAAGTGACCATGTTCAAGGCACAAAATTGCAGCAGAGATCATCAGAAAACCAAGAAAAGCAGATCGGCCGCGTCTGATGGGGAAACACCCATAAATAAAGAGCCTCGTCTTATCGGACTCCGACTTCGCTTGCCCTCCCTGCAATCGCTGACAGGGCGGCGTGGGCAAATGAGGATGGAGGCCGAGAGTTCCACCATCTCTCCGACGTATCCTATGCTTTTCCCCTCGCTGCCCGGTGCCTTTTTCGGTCGCTAGTCCCAACGAAGGGCGCGTGTCCAAGCCCTTGGCTGCCCACGCGAGCTGCGCAACCCTTTTTTGTGAGGCTAACCAAGACTTTCCAAGAGGTGGGCAGTCCGACCACTTTCGTGGCATTCCATGGCATTTCCTTTACGATCGCTTATGTATATCCGACACCGGGACTGCGCGGATATGGCTCGAGAGCACGCGTGTCCAGGATCCATTCTCGGATAAGCATTTATTAAGTCGCATGAAGCTCTTGGCACTCGACTCTACCTGGTCTGGCAACGCTCAGGCAACGCTCAGGCACTCGACCTTTCCTCGGCTGTCCTGTCCCTCGCAAGCCGAAGTCGCCCATCTCCAGATCTGATATTGCGACATCATCGTCCACTCATGATCTTCGCAGTGGATCTCTATTTCCGGGGCTCTTCGGTTGTTCTCCGGGTCTGGAGCCACTCACGCATCCGCAATTACTGTTAGGGACACGTTAGACACCATATTCACCGCGGCGCAACTAGTCCGTCGGAGACCGGGCGTACTGCCATTTCGAGATCCACCGTTCGCATTGGACCCCTGGCGTGACATGTTCTGGGTACAGGCTTCACTCTTCACCCTTCACTCTGCAGTGCGTCAAACTTGATCGGCGAGGCCCGGTCATCTGGCTCCGTCCATCCGTAACCCATCACTTATGAGATGTGCGCCGCTATCTCGGCGTTGAGGAGGCGGCAGACCAGGTAGAAGGTGTCATCCAGGCCGGAGCTGATTCCACCCGAGGTTATCATTTGCACGCGGGTTCCATCGAGGTAGCCACCGTCCACGAAGCGTCGATACACGATATGCGTCGGTTGTTGGTCGCCGTGGACTCGGGAACAGAGATCTTCTAGATTGTCTAGTGCGTAGCGGTGTGTTGTCACGGTGAGTCCGGAGAGCCTCTTGGCTGCAGCGAGTAGGAAGGCGCCCATGCAAACTGAGAAGAGGATGGGCGGGCGTGTGGGATTCAAGTTGGCGTATGTTTGAATTAACTCTATCTCGAGAGCTTCATTTTCCACAAGTTTCTCAACGATAGGTGCTGCTGCACCGGGTATAACCGGGATATCGTGTTCCGTGATTCGATCCAGCGCGTCTGCAAAAAGTAGATCCGCCTCGACGGTGAGTGTCCTCGCTGCCCGAGTCAATGCATCCCTGGCCACTACCTTGATCCCAAACACCCGTCCAGGTCATCTTGACTCTAATTGTACGAAACGGAGGAGAGTATCTCTATAGTCCCAGTAGAATACAGCATATCAGCCCCCTCAAAAACAAGAACGGCCACCTAGTAGTTTTTCAATTCAGCCATAGTCAAAAATTAGTCACCTCCAAAGCTGTCTACGGAGAAACAGAACATTTAATTAAGCGAGGCCATTAAACGACAAGAACCATGTGAAGTAGATATCAAAATTGTATGACCTCGCCATCCACCTTTATCCGCCGATGAAGGAAGTCAATTGCCCTCCTCAATGCCGAGAACACCCCAACGCTCAAGATCACACCCGCCCTCTCTTCTATAGGGCCATGTTCGGAGATAAGCAGGTACGCATGTTCCAGCCAAAATACTCCGTTGTTCACGGAGGAAAACTCGCTTCAACCTTGTCACTTCATGGGTTCCTGATCAGTCTCTATACGCTCACGCTCTCGAAAAATAACCCTTAGTCCCAGCGGAGCCATGATCCCGCCCTGTGCCATGTCAGCCGATTTCTTCATTCCATTTCCGTTACCCTTCTCAAATGTGGGATTGAACTGAACTGAACTGAAGTAAACTCACCGAAGTTAACTTCAACTCATACCCAGGATGTACATCCCACTCAGCCCTCCACACAAGCTCAAACATCAAAACCTTCATCTGCAACATCGCAAACCCCTGCCCTAAACACTTCCTCGAATGCGCATTAAACGCTATAAAATGACACGCCGTCGTCTTACTCCTCACTGTGGCCTGAATACTCTTCACATCCATCCCCCACCGCTCAGGTTTGAAGTCCCTTGCGTCGGGGCCCCAGATAGTCGTATCCGTGTGCACGCCGTAGGCGTTCCATCCGACCCATGTGTGGCTTGGGATGGGGATGACGCCGCCTAGGGTACTGGGGGATGTGGTGACACGGTTGATTAGTTGGGAGACTGGGGGGTAGAGACGGAGAAGTTCGAGGATGGTGGATGTTAGGTAGGGGAGGGAGTTTAGGAGGTCTGGGGATGGGGAAGTGGTGTTTGTGCAGAGAACTTCGGTGCGGAGGGTTGATTGGATTGTTTTGTTGGTGCCCAGGACGTAGATGGTCGAGTTTAGGAGTTGTTGGGCGTTTTCGTGGGCTGTTAGGAATGTTACTTTGAGGTTGGCGCGGTATTGTTCCAGTGTGATTTTGTTTTCTTTGAGCGCTCGGTCGAGGAGGTCGACTACTTGGTCGCCGTCGGTGGAGGTGGTGTGGATTCGATGCTGGACGGTTGAAACTAGGAGGTCGCCGAATTCTTGCATTATGGCGAATGCGGCACGGCGTTTGGGGAAGATGGTCGGGTATTTGTCTAGATCGGGGAAGTTGAAGAACAAGGGCTTGAAGAGGGTCTTTTTGATGATTGTTTGAAGTTCTTCAAGGCGTTGCCCAGGTCTTTCCAATGCCTGTACTTTTTAGTCTCGATGTGGCAAGTCCGCTCAGTGATAACACATACCTCAAGGTCAACATTCATGAAACTGATTCCCATACAACTAAGTGCCCATCGCTGTATAATTGGATTCACCACAACCCCCTTCTCCCCCGGTTTCTCCTGCTCCTCAAGCAGAATATCCACAAAAAGCCTCGACTTTTCTAACAATGGCCCCGAGTCCGTGATCCGTCTCTGCAATCCAGACTTCATAATAGATGTATAAAGCTTCCAGTTCTGCCCATGCGCATTGATAATGTTATCGCCCACCAGCGCGGCAATCACACTCCAAGGAATCTTCTTCTGACTTCCGGCTTTGGCGTATACATCTTCATGCCGGAACATGTCTACTAGGAACTGTGGTCGTGTTGCGAGGATATTCCAGCGTCCTGCGAACCATATTCTCACAGCCCCGTGCTTCTCGAGTGGTGTGCGCAGCCATCGGTCGAAGATATCGTCTTGACCCATATCGCTCCATAGGCCTAGGAGGGAGATGTAGATTGGGATGGTTGGGATGTTCTTGGGCATATCGGATGGGATTCGGATGTACCAGTATAGTACTAGGAGGGCTGTGAGGAGGAGGGTGGGGATGCCTTGGCCCCAGGTGAAGATTGTGGTCCAGTCGATCATTGCGATGGTGTTGATTATGGTGACTGGTCGATACTGAGGTGTGATGAAGCTCTTAGGGACCTTTTGCTCGGTGTCAAATTGAGCGGTAATATCGATCATAGCTCGGTGACAGAAACCACGGCTTTAACACCCAGCGCAAAGTTTCTCTAACATCAGCTTGAGCCTAGTCGGTGACTATGCTGACTACCACTACTTGCCACGAGTGAATCACCGGGCGATATAGTTCCCGCTGGGAACACAGACTGGTCAGCACACGCCTAAAATCGTGTACTACAGGTGGCGTGTACCCTCGGATTTGTCTAGGCGTGTGAGTTCTCCTGGGTTTATCATTGATTGTTTGTGTAAAGGGTCAAGACTAGGTGGATGTCAATCCCGTTAGGGCACTAGATAATGCCTTTCCCGGTATAAGATGGCTTTGGACTTGACGTAGATGAAATATCTGCATATTTACATAGGCCTGGTCTTGTGCTTGGAGCTGATGACCATAAATTCTTGCGAGGCTGTAAGCGTCACTGTTTCAGGTATTCTTTCCTTGCCTGTACATGTGTGGTGCCAAAGTCGGGGGGTTAATCTGAACATGCTGTGTCCCACCCTGGTGCAGATCCTAGAAATATATCGCGGCGATCTCGGGCCAAAATATCAACCACTCATGCACATCATTCCACAACTACACTTAAGGAAATCCGTCCAACATTGTACATCTTGAAATTAGAATACACGGCCGAAATGAACCTAAATGCTATCTACTCAAGGGTGTCAAAGACCAATTTCCTCCGCACTGGACCCAGGACCAGGCTTTTTTTAACATTGAAGGTTCCAGGTTATTGGTTTCATAAATCGTCGGTAATTTAGTGTACCTCTAAAAATGAAAATACCATACAGACAAGACCAGGCAAAGCCCAGTGCCACGACATGCCTCATAAAATGCGTTGTTGGGTAAGATACATGTCGCAAGCAATCAGGTCGTCACTGCAAATGCAGTAAAGCTAAGGGACTGGGAATCAACTTTTCTCCCACGACCGCATGGGTCTCCTCCATCACTCCATGCTCCATTCTCCATTCCTCTAGACGGTGTACTTGGCCTTGGCGCGAGTGCTGCCGCTGTGTGCGCTGTCCGTGTGGCCCGAGAATTCCACCACTTCCGTCGCGTTCAGTCGGAGAACGTCCTTGAATCGCCCGCCGATCGCCTCCAGAATATCCTTGCCCTGCGCCGGTGTGCGGGTGTTCTTATCGCCTGGGATGCTCTTGCCCACAGTGCGTGTCCACAGGCCCACACGGTAGAAGCCCTTGCGCACGTTCACCACCACACCCATGACTTCGTTGTCATCGTCGGTCTCGAGAGTCTCGCCGATGGCGGCGAGTTGTGCGTGCAGCCAGAGGTCGTCGATCGGGACGGAGCGCTTGTCCTTGAATTGGTACGACCACTTGCCGCCGTGCTTGTTCTGAGGGTCCTCCCACTCCGGTCGTACGCCCTTCTTGAAGAGGTGGTAGTCGGCCTTGAGGCCCAATTCGGAGGTGGGCGTGATGTTGTTCTAGATGGGAGATGTGTTAGCTGGGCAAATGCGATTGGTGGGGGGTGGAATGCCGTACGTAGATGCCCCAGAACTCTTCGACGGAGCTGAATGTCACCACTTCCTTGAGGAGATCATTCCAGTTGTCGCCCTGTGGAAATTGTCAGCGCTGGAGGTTTCGGATTTTTACCGGGTTACAGCGACACTCACCTTTCCACTGGGGGGCTTGGTGAACCACAGAGTCCACTCGTGCATGAGCGGGTGCTTCACATTGAAGTTCTCGGGGTTGTGGAAGACGGTGACAGCCTCGTCGGAGGCGGGCGCGGTATTCTCATCAGTCACAGGGTGACCGTTCTCTGCCACAGCCGCCATTGTGGTTGTTGATGGGAGAGGATGAAAGGGGAAGAAGGGTGAGTCGAAGGCGGTGTTGAAGATGATCGGAGGGGAAAACTTTCGGAGCGGAAGGCGCGCGGGTCCGAAGTGCGAACAAAGAGTGATTCTCTAAGTAAAAATGGGCAGCCAGTGATATCTGCTCCAGGCAGAAGACAGGTTAGAGGTTGATTCGAGAAAAAGACCCGAGATCGACTTGATCGAGTTGAGATTTGACGTTATTGCGGTAGCGCAAAAAACTGCTTTGCCTCAATTTGGGTCGGGCCGATTCCAGCCCTAATATTACAAGGTTCGTCTGAGTAAACCTACCCTTTTCATGCGCCATGTTTTTTTTTTTTTTAAATCAAGTCCGGTACCATAAGATACTCTACTCATAGCATACGTCCTTTAATAATATGCCGAAAAATCTTCATGACCGAAATAGGCCTTTAAGTAACAGTAACAGGAACCAGCACAACCCGTATATATAACCCAGGAACCAAACCAAAGCGACCGAAACTCTATGAGAAATGCTAATGGTATCACAAAAAGCATGGAAACTAAAGTGATAACGATGATCTATCACTTACTCTTCATCGCTGTTCATCAAACTAAGGAAGCAATTCCAGCCTGGACAACGTTAGTACTTGGATAAGATATTCAACATATGGAACGAAACTCACCTAAGCTGACCACGTTCACAACCAGAACGCGCAGCTCCAGAGGGACAAAGGCAAAGTTGGCACCCTGGACGAACGGCCAGACGAACAAGTTGGCCTTGTAGGCCGGGCCCCACGAAGACTTCAGCTTCTCCATAGGGCTGCTACCCTCCATGATAGCCATTGAAGACAAGAAGCAGGTCAGTTGCACAGGGGCGAACAAAAACTGGTCGCATGCGACTCGGGCCAGGGTGGTTGTCGCGGTGCTCTTGAGGACGACGTGGTGCTGGAGGATGCTGAACCACTTAGTGGCTACGGGGCCAAAGACAGCTAGAAGGAGTTAGCAATGAACCGTTGCTCATTTATATTGGATGCAATTCTGCATACCTCCGCCGTACAAGGCCATGCGCCCGGTGCGGCTAAAGTCGTGCTTCGCAAGACCCCTTCGATCGACGGCCTGCTGCGCAAGGACATCACCACTGCCAAACAACACCTATTATGTGTTAAAACGGAGGTAGCTGGAGTATATCGGGAGGAGAACGAACGGCGCTGGTGATGCTCGCGGTGAGGATGGGCCGCTTGGCCAACTTGCTCTGGTACCTGAATCGCGGTCAGTGTTTTGATCTCAACTAGGCGCAACCAAGAAGACCCTCTGAATAGAGAGAACGAAGGGGGAGACACTCACCAGCGCAACATGATAATGAAGGACTAAACAGGAACAGAGCGAAAGAGGGAAGGAAATGCAATGTTAAAGCTGGGGTCCGCTCATCTTTAAAATGCGGAGTCAACTTGCTGGAGGGCGCTTCTTCCCTGCTAGGAAATGCACCCGCCGGGCGGGAACCCCCATTAGGCTTTAAGATAGCTCTGACATCATAGGCTGATCAATTCGAACAAAGCTATGGTAAGTGATAAATTGAAAGAATTGATTTGTAGTGATCAAGCGCTATGTGATTATCCAAGATATGACCGTCCTGTACTTGAGGTACAAAGGTACTGAGGTACTGTCCCTGTAAAACTAACTATGACATGGAAGATCCGGTGGAGATATCACGTGACAACCCCTTCAATCAGTGCACGTGCCGTCCCAATCCGGCAGTTAGGGCAAAGGGCACCCACTAGGGCTGGTCACTCGCTTAGCCCACCCGAATTTTCGGCCCAAACAAGTGTATCGAAGCCAGTCTCCGACGACATTGACATATCCCCAACGACAACTCAACCCGTCGCCCTACAACATCCAAAATGGCTGACGCTGCTCCCCGTGGACGTGGAGGTTTCGGTTCCCGCGGTGACCGTGGTGGTGACCGCCGTGGTCGTGGCCGTGGCCGTGGCCGCCGTGGTGGAAAGCAGGAGGAGAAGGAGTGGCAGCCCGTCACCAAGCTCGGTCGTCTCGTGAAGGCCGGCAAGATCACCAGCATGGAGCAGATCTACCTCCACTCTCTGCCTGTCAAGGAGTTCCAGATTGTGGACTTCTTCCTGCCCAAGCTCAAGGATGAGGTTATGAAGGTACGACTTTGCAAAGGATTCGCCAATTGGGATTGGAATTGGATTTTGAACTGCGATTGGCGACCCCAATGCGCACAATCGCGCATGCAGATGAATAGAGGATGAGTCGCTGACTCGCTTTCAACCTACAGATCAAGCCCGTCCAGAAGCAGACCCGTGCCGGTCAGCGTACCCGCTTCAAGGCCATCGTCCTCATCGGTGACTCCGAGGGCCACATCGGTCTCGGAATCAAGACCTCCAAGGAAGTCGCCACCGCCATCCGTGCCGCTATCACCATTGCCAAGCTCGCTGTCCTGCCCGTTCGCCGCGGTTACTGGGGTACCAACCTTGGTGAGCCTCACTCTCTGCCCGTTAAGCAGTCCGGCAAGTGTGGTTCCGTCTCCGTCCGTGTATGTATATCTCGAAAACCAGGATCGACGACCGTCCCACTAATTTCTGGATCTAGCTCATCCCCGCTCCCCGCGGTACCGGCCTTGTCGCCTCCCCCGCCGTCAAGCGTCTCCTCCAGCTCGCTGGTGTCCAGGACGCCTACACCTCCTCTTCCGGCTCCACCAAGACCCTCGAGAACACCCTCAAGGCCACCTTCGTCGCTGTTGTCAACACCTACGGCTTCCTCACCCCCAACCTCTGGCAGGATACTAAGCTCATCCGCAGCCCTCTGGAGGAGTTCGGTGATGTCCTGCGCCAGGGCAAGAAGTACTAAGTTTTTTGACGCACGCATGAATTAGTTCCGAGTTTCTTTACCCCTTCAATGTCTGCTGGGAGTGACAGTGGCTGTTGATTCCCCATTCGGTCGACGTGGGTGTCCATGGATGTATTTACGGGAAGGGAAAACAAAAATAGCGAATCCGCTCCTACCAGCCACTTGTGTTCTGAATTCCTCGTATGATGTATTGATTGTAGTTTGGGCTGGGATCTGTGATCAGCTGCGTAGTCGACCAGACCGCTATCCAGAATTGTCTGAGATGGAAGTATACTAGGTTAGTATACCAACACAATATTCAAAGCACTGACACGTCATAGCGTCAGCCGCAAGTACAAAGTCGATCATTTGCAGATTAGATGTTACCCCAGCTCCAGAGACTAATGGAAACGAACTATACGGCAGAGCAAAGACCTTTGTGTCGGGGCAGCTCTTGCCTAGAAAGGCAAGCATGAGCTGCTTCGACTCGATGCTCTTACACTCGACACTCGACACTCGTTACATCTGCTTACTCTCAACGCGCAAGTTCTAATCAACTCTCTTGTCGATACTCTACGATGGACCAGTTCCCAGAGCACTGGAAAAACTCACTCTTGGGACAGGATTTCTGGACAACAGCCAGTCTGAACGAAATGAAAGTTGAGCTTCAACCTCAACCTCAACCTCAAAATCGATCTCGATCTCAGGGTATTCGCTCTGCCCTGCACATCGCAATCGGTACGCCGCCTTTCTTTGAACCTACCTTCCTATCCCTCTCATTAACACCCTCAGATTCCCCAGCTCACGACCTATCCAAACGCTTCCCATTTAACCAAGACCTAGACAAAGATTTACTCCCCGGATCCCCAGGAAAGGAATCGTTCAATGAACTCCTTAAAATTCCACCAAGTCCATTAATGGAAAATCCACCGGATCCATCCATCACTCCAAAGAAAGAACATCATCGCAGCATGAGCGCCGATACCTCGAATCCAACCCTAACCCCAACTACACCTCGACGCTTCGGTTCCTTAACTCACTCGCCACGTCTACGCGATCTGGCTCGTCGTGCATGTTCCCCCGAGAAGAGGTCGGCTCCTCTATCCCCATTGAAGAGATCTGCGCCTGTTACTCCTGTCGGTCCGCGCTTCTGGTCTGTTAAGTCTTCTGCGCCTACTTCTCCTGCTCCAAGGTGGATGTTGCCTTCGCCACGGAAGATCCCCGAGTCTTCGATGACAATCGTGGAGAGTTTAGAGGTTCCTGAGTCGCCTACTCCTTCACCTCGTCTGCCTCGTCGGGTCATTTTTAGTTTCAATGTCAATGTTGGGACGCCGATGAAGCCACTTGTCGACTTTCGGGGTGGTATGTCTTGGCTTTCTCTTCCGAGAGACAAGTCGAAGTTGGGATTGGATTTGTTCTCGTCTTGTGCGCAGGGACAAGAGAATATCAACTGTCTTGATCTTATGGAGTTAAAGCCGCTGTGTCAGTTTCGTGGGTTGCGTTCGCTCAAGCTTTTTGGTATGATGCAGTCTTATCAGACTTACATCTGGCAGACTGCTTGGCTGAACTTGGGTCTTGATGAGCTGGAGCTCGGGATGGTGCTGAAGCCGGAGATTCTGAGTGTAACTCACGGTCGTCAGTGGAGTCTCGTCGAAGAAGGATGGTCAATGAATGAGAAGCAGACTGCTGATCCTGTTTACCAGTAAGCTGACTCCACCGCGATGTGAAAGAGCTAACAAGTTTAGCGGACATCTCGGCGACGGCGAACTCCACCCGAGAATCGGCTACGGCGAATACCTCGACAAACACAGCATTGAAAAAGCCAAACTCCTCGCTCTGACAATGGACCGTACCAGTCACCGCCTCACCATCAAGACCCTCACTCTTTCCGGATTCGTCGTCGACGCGGACCCTTTCCTGCAATGGTTCGATCCCCAGCGTTTGCGCAGCATTCACTTCAAAGGCGAATGCATCGATGCTGGCTTCTGGTTGCCCCTTGCTATGCAAAAGGTTACGGTTAGATGCTCGCGCAATATCGATCTCGAACCGGTGCCTGTTGGGATCCTCGCGCTGAATCTACCGAGGGATTTGAGGGTTGTCGAATTGAAAGATGGGAAGAAGATCCATGACGTAGTGTTCGGTGATTCAGGGATTGTGATGGGTCAGCCATGATTTGATATGCTGGGGCCTTTTGTGTCTTGGTATATCTCAGCTATTGGAAGTGACTGCAATGAGAATTCCAACCTACAGGGCTGGAAACGCAGTACGCCATTTCAATGGCTGGGATAACCAACATTCTACATATGTAATTGCTAGTTGTGCTTTATGGGCACCATGACAGACCGAGGGCTGAACTAATGATGATACGTCTTCGCGCTGACACGAGATATGATAGCACCAATTGATTAATGGATATGGTACATGCAAAAGGAAAGTTCAGTGCCCGACTTCGTGCATTCTGGGGCATGCGATAATGATGAAATTGAAATTGAAATTGTAATTGGAATTGAAAATGAAAACGAGTGAGGTTGGAGGTCAAATTGTAGACCAGAGGGGAAACATCCTGAGACCGAATCTCGAATGTCCAAAAGACGATTCATATCCAGATACTCAGATACCCAGATGAGTGGGACCACATATCCAGAACATGCATTCAGTCCAGATACGCAGTTTTGTCCACGTAGGCAGAAGACTCGCCGGATCAAATATCCAACTACGCGCCCTCTTCATCCGCCAGGCGAATGTTACCCTCGCCGCCGGCGCCGTGGGCCCAGAAGCCAGTCAAGGCAACACTGTATCCAGTTAGTAACGCATCCTCAATGGAGGGAAATGGGGTCACATACAGCCCGGACGAAGTGTCATGGGTCAGCAACAACCAATAACCCACGATACCTTGTGTAAAGATGTCCAGAACGGCGAAAAGGACTGTCTCGGTATCGACGCTGACCTTCAAGGCTAGGGATCCAGCCGCGAGGGAGCTATTATCCATGAGTATTAGTATACTTCGCACTCAACCAGTGGAAAGCATAACGAAAGGAAAGGAAACATACATCGGGAATAGTGCGAAAATGACCAGCGAAGTACCCGAGAATGCACCGAAGAATCGTCTGAACGGCGCATCCTTACGCTGTGCTGCGCGCTGAGCTTGGAATCCGGCATGATTCAGGACAACCAGGTATCCGATACAGGAAAGCGTCAGCCAGGCCCATCTCGCCTTGGTGTGTCCGGCAAACGTGCCCAGGAGTCCCGCAGCAAGCATGACATAGTTAGCTGCGATGGCGGCGAGGAGGTTCGCGCCGGGAAGACCGGAGATCAAGGCGAAGTTGGTGAAGAGCAGGGGGTGCTCAGGGCCCAGTTTACGTAGCGGAGCCAGAGAACTTGGCGGAGGGTGGTGGTGTGGGTATTTGGGACGTGTTTGTTGTGGTGGGTGATCGCCTCTTCTTTAAATGCGATTCCTTGGCCCGTGGCGAGGGCAAGGTAGGTGATGAAGGAGATTGTGGTGATTAAAGCGCTGGTGGTGTGAAGGACCCGCTTGGGCTGTTTAATAAGGTTAGTTCCGGGCTGCAGATCGCGGGGTTGGCTTAGTTCCTTACCAGAGGGGCTCGGGCTGCGAGGAAGTAGAAGACGACCGAGGAGATGGCCATGAGAACCGCTACAACCCTGTTCGCTTTGTGAGCCTTGGTCTGGATGCTTTTGAGATGGCTTCTTACCAGAGAGTCCGCTTTCCGGTGTCGCCGAGCTCCTGGATCAGTGGAGTTCCAGGGACCACGGTGGGGATCGGCGCGATGCCCGTGCTGGTAGGCAGGGCCGGGAAATTGTCAAAGTCAGGAACCATCATGATGATTTTGGAGATGAGATGAGGAGAGTGCGGGAAGAGGAGAGCTCGAAGCTCGAAGCGGAGGTGGAAGTGTATGTGTTTCGGAAATCAGGATTTGGGCGGGATGACGATGCGTCATCGCCACAACATAAATTACCGTTACTTGTTTGATGCAACACGGCCGATGGTACGATCTCGTGCGAACTTGATTGGATCTGGTATCCGGGGAATTTAGAGATGCCAGATGCCAGATGGAGATCGGAGATCGGAGATCGGAGATAGGGTATTTGTACATTGAGTATAGTTACAGATAGGATACAGCGACAGCTACTTATTTAAGAGTCAAGCTCCGACACCACTTCTTCGCACCGCTGGCAAATCTCCTCCTCGCTTGCCATCGGAACTGCATACCGCCAGCATCGCCCACATTTGGATGCCTGTGGCGCGTACACATAAACAGTGCCCTTGCCATCCGGGAGCTCGCACTCTTGCTCGTACTGCCATTCCGCCTCGCTAATCTCCGGAACGAGCTCGCCGGGTGCGCCGATAGTCACGGAGGACACGACAAACAAGTCCGGTAGCTCAGAGAGGTGCTCGTGGAAGGTGGTAGAGGTGCTTGAGTCGCCGGGAAGTATCAGGTGCACAAAGGATTGCAGCGATGAGCCGAGCTGCTTCTTTCGCCGAGCTTGTTCTTGCAGGTTCTTGATGACCGAGTGCACAGCGGTGATTTCAAGGTGTCTGGTGTCAAGCGACGGGTCGTGCCATTCCTGTGCGGGGGCGGAGACAACGCGTTGCAAGGGGTGGGGGTTGTGCGAGCGGATTGCCTCGGGCGTGTGCTCCCATGTCTCCTCTACAAGAAGCGGGGTGATGGGTGCGAGAACTTCCTGAAGGTGAGTAAAGATGTAGAACAGGGTGGTCTGGACCGCTCGCCGGCTGGTGCTGTTCTCGCCCAGTGTGTAGAGTCGATCCTTGATGGCTTCCATGTAGAATGCCGAGAATTGGAGGTTGGCCCACTGGTTCAGGTTGCTGACGGCCTTGTAAAACTCGAAGTTGTCACAAGTCTTCTGCGTCGTTTGCACCAGGTCTGACAGGTGCTTCAGCGCAATTCGGTCCACCAGCTGCAGCTCCTGGTACGGCACCGCACGCTCGGGCTGGAAGTCGCCCAGGGAACCGAGAAGCAGCTTAAATGTAACTCGCAGCTTGTGGAGACTGGTGTGTACGGTTTGGAGAACCTGCTTTCCAATCACCACGTCGCGCGTGTAGTCACTACTTGCTGCCCACAGTCGAAGTACATCCGGGCCCAGGGCGTCGTAGGTCGGTCCCTCGCTTTCAGCCTGTTTCTTAGCTTTGCCCTTGCGAGGTGGGAGAGGAGGCAGTAGAGTGCCGTCCATGATAGTCTGCGGAGCAATGGTGTTGCCAATCGACTTGCTCATCTTGCGCCCGTTCTCATCAAGGGTAAAGCCGTGCGTAATGAGGTTCTTGAAAGGAGCACCGACACCCTCGGTCTTTCCAGAGGCAAGCTGGTGGGCAATGTAGGTCAGGAGACCAGACTGGAACCAGCCGCGGTGCTGGTCACTTCCCTCCAGGTACACGTCGGCCCGGTGGGTTCGGCCTTCCTGGGCAACGTCGATTTCCGCCCAGCTGGTGCCACTGTCGAACCAGACGTCCATAGTGTCTGTTCCACGTCGGTATCCGCCCGAATCATCACGAAGAGACGGAAGGACCCAGGCGGAATCATCAGCACTATCAGTCCACCAGGCATCGATGCCGCGCTCTTCAATAGTAGACATAATATGAGACACACTTTCCTTGGTTAAAACCGCCTCGCCTGTAGTCCGGTGATAGATGGCGGGAATGGGGACACCCCATGCGCGCTGTCGCGAGATGCACCATTCGCTGCGGTTCTTGACAAAGTTCTCCAACCGGGACTTGCCCGCCTCAGGAACAAAGCGAACATCTTCCAAAGATTGAAGCGCACTAACCCGGATATCGCCCACATCGGCAAACCATTGTTCAGTAGCGCGGATGATAATCGGCTGCTTGGAGCGCCAGTCATAGGGATACTTGTGCTCGTATGCGTGCTGGGCAAGGAGTTGACCGCGAGCTTCAGCATACTCAAGGACAGCTTTGTTGCCATCTCCCAAGACAGACTTGCCAGTCAAGCAGGTAGGGTCGTGGGGCATCGCCTTTTCTGTAAACTTGCCATCGTCATTGACGGGTGCGAAGACATCGATGCCGCGCTTCAGACATGCTTCGTAGTCCTCCATACCGTGACCCGGCGCACAGTGAACCAAACCAGATCCCGAGTCTGCGGTCACAAAGTCCGCCCCGATGATCGGCTGGGGCTTGGCTTCTGGGCCCTTAAAAAGTGCTCGGTAGGTGGTCTTTTCAGCCAGTTCTGAACCCAGGACTGAGGGAATGATGACGGAAAGCTCCTCCTCTCCCAACATAGACTGAAGATATTCGAGCCGAGACTGGGCGACAAGTAAAAGTCCGTGTGTCTCTGACTGCACGATGGTATACTCGAGCGAGTCACTCACCGCGATGGCAGCATTGGCAGGCAAAGTCCACGGCGTAGTGGTCCAAATAACCACGTTCACCTCCTTCCCCACGATCAACGGATCCTTAGACAAGTGTACCGGGATCTCAACAAGCGGAAACTTCACCAGAGCCGCCGTCGACATGTGATTCTCCTGGTATTCCAACTCCGCCTCCGCAAGCGCAGTCCCCGACGACGGCGACCAGTACACCGGCTTGAATTTGCGATAGATGAGACCGTGGTCAACCATCTCCCGAAACACTCCAAGCTGCCGCATCTCAAACGCCTTGTCCATCGTCTTCCAATGGCCTTCCCAATCCGCCATCACGCCAAACCCTTTGAATTCTTTCATCTGCCCCTTCACCGTCTGGCGCGCAAGCTGCCTCGCAGACTTCCGAATAACCGCCGGACTCATCGAGTCTTCTGCGACACCAATCTGTTGTAACCCCTGCAGCGCCTTCAACTCGATCGGCAGCCCGTGACAATCCCATCCAGGCACATAGCGCACGCGCTTCCCCCGACCCAATTGGACGCGGTTGATGATATCCTTGAGGATTTTGTTTAGCGCGTGGCCGATGTGCAGCTCACCGTTTGCATAGGGTGGTCCATCGTGTAGAATGAAGGGCTTCGAGGCGGGTCGTACGCGCTGTTGCCAGGCGTAGAGCTCGTCGGTGCTGCGCTTTAGGTATTTGGTTCGGTCTACCAGCGACACGCGGGGCGGGAATGTGGACTTTGGGAGCTTGAGGGTTGGCGTCCAACTTCGGGACAGCAGTTGCGTCTGTCGCATTATTCCTGCATATCCTCTGTGGTTGAGGACTGTTCGTGAAGTTGGAGATCGTTGATTTTAGAGAACTGCCGCTGTTGCCGTTTTACCAAAGTTACGTGGTGGGGCCGCGCGATGATGGTAAGATACTGTTTCATGTGGTAATTAGCTTTAGACTCACCATATAGATGGAAAATATTTGTTTGGAATCAAGCAGTGGATTCCTCGTGTTGAATGGGGCAGTTCTATGTGTAAAAATTTGATTTCATGGCTTTGTAATATGAAGGTATGAAGTGTACATTTCAAGCATGGCGGATATGTATTTGAGCAGTGGAGACATCAAAACGGCTATGTCTACCTCCAAGGCTGTCATCTAATAAACAAGCGACTAGAAAATCACAAGGAAATATGTGGCAGCAGTTGGGCTGAAACCCGCTCCTTCAGAAGAGTCAAAGAATATTGATGGAGCCCCGAGTGAGCTCAAAGGATGCTTAAAGGCTTATTTTGTACTACTTAGAAATAATGGTCTTGTATAGATTACTCTTCATGATATTGGAAACCTGGTCTAACCCAAAAATCATCAAAATGCGGTCGAAATGTACACCCAAACTCCAGATCGCTCATGTCGCATATAAATTAGCCCGGAAACGCCAAATGCCCAAAGTCCCCGTTGTATTAATAGACAGTCAAGCAGCTCACGGCGCCATTCTTCAGCACCTCGAACAGCAAGCCCGGGAACCCGAAAAGCTCAGTGTTTCCTAATCCGCCATCGTGACTGTCGCCACCAGCTCGGGGCCCTTTAGATGTGGTTTCTTCCCAGCCGCCGAGGAACTCGACGCTACTCTCGGGACTATCGCCCCAGCCGCGGTTGAGGACCATTGGCCGTTGCATAGCGCGCTCTTCGCTCGCATTTGCGTACGATCCTTTCCACACACTGCGTAGTTGTGAGGATATCTCGTCGTATGGTGACTCGGAAGTCAAACCGTTGCCGGACTGGTCAAGGTGAATAGCCCAGCGGCTTCGGCGGTGACGATTGAAAGGGTAAGATCCCGGCACGTTGCCGTGTAGGATGATCTTGGTTACGGTCAGTTGTGAGGAGGCTGATGGCTGAGGCGATGGGTCTGGTAGTTCAGAGGTTGGGAATGCTGGGCCCGGGGTAGTGGGATGTGAGATGAAGGCGTCAAAGCCGTGGTGGAAGTAGTTGAAGAAGCATTCTGAGGGCAATAAAGCTGGGTCACCGATGCTAGACGGTAAGATTTCTTCGTCTGAATCATCGGTCACGCTGTTGTTGGAGGAGTGATCAGTATCTGGGATGTCCATGCCTCGACCGGGCGACGGACTTAGGTGCAGTGCGTCGCCACCTGCTGCACGATGGATGGAAATGCGCCGGTCATTTTTACGATAAATGGCATCTGGAGGGCCGAATTCTGCAATTAGGTCCTGGGGTGTGGTCTCTCCTAGATTAATCTGCAACGGCGCACTCGTCCGTCTGGTTACTTCTAGTTTCCCGGACCCGAAGATGTGGAACTCCTCGATCTCGTCGGCAAATGAATCGCGTGTTTTGCTCACCACTGCCAATGAGCGTGGGTATTGAGGCTGTTGAGTAAACAGCTTTACTCGGGTCTCTGGCCATGAGGACCCTTGGAAGATGGCCATGGAGGTAGCTGACAAAGCAGCGGAGGATGAGAGCAGTGCTACAAAATCGCAATGCTCAGACCAGGCGGAGTGTTGTAGAGGAAAGGAAAAAGCTACTCCGGGGTAGGACAGGACGTAGGTTCCGTAGGGTGACTGGTCCGCCGGCGGGACGTATTCACCTGGGAAGGATGGACCAAATAGGCGGTTGTAGACATGTCGGAAGCTGGGACCTTGGGGAGACGTGGTAGGCTCAGAGGACTTGCCGCTCTTGAGAACATCTTGGTTTTTGTAGACTAAGTCCGCCTTAGAGAAGTCCAACACCTCGATCAGACGGAGTCTCTGGTCCGGGCCATCAAACCGTAGCCGTAAGCCGTTGGAAGGTAGGTTCAACACCACAGGTTTGCGAAGTGGATCGCAGGAGGAGTATGCGAGATCGATGGAAGGAAATGTTTGGGGGTGGGATTTGACTCTTGTCAGGACATTATGCAGTGATGCACCCAGTGCTAAGCAGCTGTTAGCTAACCCCGCGCGTAGATCATCGGAGACATACTGATATTGCCCAGGCCTTTGCCCGGGGAGATCTGAACTGGTGCAGCTCGGGCAGTCATCTTGGGTTCACCTTCATGCGATATGAATAATGTCGAAAGCGTGTTGAAAAGAGTATCGAGGAAGAGAGGGAAGTGAAAGGCAAGATAAGGAGATCACACGCGGGGAAACAATGACGCTGAGTCATGTGCGAGGGGAAGCGTGACGGGTCACGTGTGGTTTGTTTTTGTTTTGCCCGATCCACTCATTGTTCATCTTTACTTTAATGCACGGATCTGCTTTCCACCTTACCTATCCTCAAATTGCACATCATGGCAGGCCCACCTCGGCCTGCATCTGCTATTCCAGCAGCTGCAAGAAGGACGAATTTGCGCCAACCTACTCGACGAGCCGGCTCGACTATCTCCGAAAGGATGGCCTCGCCCGCAGTTACGGGGAGACCGACTACCACTGCTGCGACACGTGGAATCAGACCAAGTCCGGACCAGTCTGCGACTGCAAAGCGAAAGGAGAGAGAGTATGAGCGCGAAATCAACGAAGATACCAGCATCCATGTCGTCGTGCGATGCCGCGGTCGCAACCAGCGCGAAATCAAGGAGAACAGTGGCGTGGTGCTATCTACTGAGGGTGTGGCCGGAAAAAACGTCGACTTGTCAATGGGACCAAATGCGATCTCCAACAAGACCTACGCTTTCGACAAAGTTTTCTCCCCGGGCGCCGATCAAGTAATTGTTTACGACGAAGTGGTTGTACCCATTTTAAACGAGGTGAGCTGGTCCTTGTCATCCACGCCAGAGCGTAACAAACTGATGAATGATAGATGCTCGCTGGTTTTAACTGTACCATTTTCGCATATGGACAGACCGGAACTGGAAAGACCTATACCATGTCTGGAGACATGACGGATACCCTAGGAATATTGTCCGACGACGCTGGTATTATTCCGCGCACGCTATACTCCCTATTCAACAAGCTCGAAGATACAGAAAGCACAGTCAAGTGCTCCTTTATCGAACTTTACAACGAAGAGCTGCGCGATCTGCTGTCCGCCGACGACAACACGAAACTCAAGATCTTTGAGAACGAAAAGAAAGGCCTTGCGGCTACCATGGTCCAAGGAATGGAGGAGACGTACATTGATTCGGCTTCATCTGGTATCAAGCTGTTGCAGCTGGGCAGTCACAGACGCCAGGTCGCCGCGACCAAGTGCAACGATCTCAGTTCCCGCAGTCACACGATTTTCACCATCACCGTCCTTACGAAACGCCTTACCGACTCCGGCGAGGAGTATGTCAGCTCTGGAAAGTTGAACTTGGTGGACTTGGCTGGTAGCGAGAACATCGGTCGAAGTGGCGCAGAGAACAAGCGAGCCGCCGAGGCGGGCCTGATAAACAAGAGTTTGTTGACATTGGGACGTGTGATTAACGCGTTGGTGGACAAGAGTGCCCACATCCCATACCGGGAGTCGAAGCTCACTCGCCTGTTGCAAGACTCGTTAGGTGGCCGAACGAAGACGTGCATCATCGCCACAGTCTCTCCATCAAAAAGCAATTTAGAGGAGACAATTTCGACTCTTGACTATGCATTCCGAGCCAAGAACATCCGCAACAAGCCTCAAATCAACTCTCTCGTGTCGAAAAACAAGCTCCTTCGCGATATTGGCATGGAAATTGAGAAGTTGAAGAGCGATCTCATTGCAACCCGCCAACGCAATGGTGTCTACCTGACTCCGCATGCGTATGAGGAGATGACCATGGAGAGTGAGTCCCGGCGTATCGTCAGCGAGGAACAGCGAGCCAAGATTGAATCCATGGAAGCAAGTCTTCGCCACAAAGTGCAAGAGTTGTTCACCCTCACTAGCAACTTCAACACCTTGAAGCAGGACAACGAGGATACTCGGCATAAGCTGACAGATACCCGTGGTGTGCTGGAGAAAACGGAGAAGAGCCTCAAGAATACCTCCGAACAACTGGACGAGGAGACACTTGTGCGGAAAGCTCATCAAGAAACCGAGAGCAGACTTCGTGAAATTGGAGCAGAGATTCTGACTACTCTGGATCACACCGTCGCGGATGTTAATGGTCTGCATGCGAAGATAGATCGCAAGGACAATTTGGAGTCGGATAATCTTGAGACATGGCAGTCATCCTCAGGAGAAGTTAGTGAAGTCACTCGTCAGATTGATGCACGCCTGGAGACTTTTCAGACTCAGCATGCTAAACTGCTGGAGAGCATGTCGGGCCGGATCGGTCGGTTTGTTGACTCTGAGCTCAGCACTGTTCAGTCTGCTAGATCTCAGTTGCAAGAATTTGGCTCTTCCTTCGACAAGGTTGAATCCGAAGCCAAGTCTCAGACTTCCGGTGCCCACGATGAGATGAACGAAGTTCTTGAAGAGATCAAGGTTCTCCGTGAGGACGTCAAGACCAAAGTTGGCGAAGGTCTCAATGGTCTCTCTGCCGCCGCCGCTCGCATCTCCAAGGAGGTCATCGGCGAATTCTCCGAGTTCCACTCCCAGCTGCACACATCTTACAGCACCCTTGGCAAAGATTTCAAGGGCATGTTCGAGAACATGGTATCGCATCTGGAGCAGCAGAAATCCGAGATCAACAAGCTGCGTCTTGAGCTTCAGGAAGCCAACCGCCAGTCAGTGGAGGCTAACCGCAAGGCTTCTCAAAACCTTGCCCAGGTCATGGAAGAGGAGCATGTGAGTGCCCAATCCGAGCGTGACAACCTGATGTCTCAGATTCGCAGCCTGCTGGATGAGTCGAGCTCCCGGCAGTCTAATCGCCTCAAAGGCAAAGTCGATAATCTTCGACATGATATCACCGCGTCTGGTGACTCTCTTGAACATGCGACTGCGCAGTATGACAGACATATTGATGAATGGATCTTTAAGGAGGAGCAATTTGCCAAGGACGTCACTGGATCTAGGGACGAGATCAAGACGAAGATGCAAAATGACTGGGAGGTAAGGTTTCCCTGCACTTTATTCTGAAATCCAATGCTAACCACAACAGACCTTCGATCAACGCAATGCTTCCATCCAGCGAGTCACTGAATCGGTACACCAAGAGACTGTGCGGATCGTGGATGCTCAAATGGCCGACATGAGCAAGCAAATGGAAGCTCTTGACGATTTTGTTGCGAAGGCCCGGTCTCACAATGGCCGCTTCCACGAATCAAATATGGGCAGCCTGGACACCATTTCGAAGACAGTTTGGGAGTCTCGCACCGCCATACAAGCCCAGCTGGATGGATTCGGCGAGCGCATTGGCCGCCTCCAGGAGGACACCAATATGCATACCGAGGAGCTTGAACAGTCGACTGCACCCCTTGAGGATGAAGTCCGCCAGCCCCTTATCAGTCTCCGCGCCAACATCCAAAGCCACCCCTTGAAAGAGTACCTTCCAACAGGCGTTACTCCTCAAAAGCGCCGATATGAATACCCCTCAGATTTCCCTCGCACCGAATCCCATGAGGGTCTCCGAACACGGCACCGGGTTTCCAAACAGTTCACTGCTCTCCCATTCAATGAAGAACCCCTGCCACCCCCCTCCCTGAATCTCCAGCTGTCGCCTCTCCCTCAAAATCCTATGTGTACAGCGATGCCGCGGAAGAGGTAAATCACCCCTCTTCCTCATCTGCGCCCACCTCCAACACAGGCCTTAGGGAAGTCGATGTAAACGTCGCCAGACCAGTCGGATACGATGACGACGAAACATCTTCCAAACCCGAAACCCCCACTGCTCCCCCGATTATGGATCTGAACGAAACCCCCGAAAAGGACGAGCCTGAGCAGCCCCCTCTCAAGCGTCGTCGCTCCGCGTCCACCAACCCCGTCGAAAGCAAGCTACCTCAGAAGATGCTCTCCAAGAAGATGGCCGGGATGATGGAGGGCCGCGAAAACGTGCCCCCGTCTACGACTGGTCGTCGATACCTTCGAACCCGTCCCTCGGACTAAACACACAATTTTGTTTGATTCTTTTCTGTGTCATTTGATACCCAATATCGCTAGTCTTTACCCCCTGCCGACCGGAGTTTCTGGTGGGGAAACATTGCGGAAACTCGTTCTCTTCTTTTTTCTTTTTTCTTGTGTTGGAGTGTTGGATCTGGTCTTTGGCGTTGGGATCGACATAATAGATATTTTATTCTTATGGCCTTTAGTCTTAATTGATTGCATCTCATCTGATACTGAAAGTTGAAAAATAGAAGTAAAGTTGACTGGTATCCCCATAAGAGTGTCACGTATGGACTAAACGCCATGCATCGAATCTCAGAATCGCGCTATATGTCAAGGAGCCACCAAGCAAACTTGGATAAATCTCAAGTGTCTTTCTCTTTCTCTTCCTCGTCTTCCTCTTCTTCCTCTTCATGTCCTTCATTCTCCTCATCCCCTTCCTCCTCTTCCTCCTTCATCCGCAGATCATCTTGGATATTCGCCACTTCAATAATCATCTGCAACTCCTGCATCCTCTTCGCAAACTGATCCATCATATCCTCCAACCTCTGCGTCCCTCTCTCCCGTTCAATCTCCCCCGCTAACCCTCCCGTCCCACGGATCTTCAACATCAACCCATGCCCCGCATCCCCGGGATTCCCATTCCCATTCTCGAAAGTTGGCGCAGCTACCATCTCGCTACTGAGTATTTGCCAACTAGGTGAGAAACTCTTGGCACTGGTTACACGGAACTGCGGGTTTGATCCTGATGATTTGCCTGGTGATGTAGATTTTGTCTTCTCACCAACCCCCGAATTTGGGTCAGGGACTGAATTAGGATTAGAATTTGGATTTGGATTTGGATTTGGATTGGAATTTGGATTTCCTGCTGCGGGGTTCAGGTCCGGGGTTGGGGTTGTGCTAGGCACTGGCTCGACGTTTAAAACGATGTAGTTCTCGCGGACGCCTGGAACAGGCGGGGGAAGGAGAGTTGATTCTTCGGATCCATCTGATTTGGGGCCGTCTTTGTGCACGGAGGGCGCTTCTAGACTGCGGAGTGCGGCTTCCGTTACGATATCTGTGTCGTCGTCTGAGAAGATGTAGTGCACTGTTGGGTGGTGGTAGTCTGTTGTATGGGCGTCTTCGACTAGGGTGAAGAATGGTTGGAATGAATTTCGTGCGGGTTGCGAGCTGGAGGTGACTGAGGGGGCTGAGTTTATGGGGTTGTCGTGTGGAGGTAAGGCGTGTACTTCCCCCGGATGCAGCTCTGAGGCTGTTGGGGCCTCCTCAGGTCCACCATACTGATTGTGAGACTGTGAGATGCCCTCGGACTTGTCGTGCAGGTCTCGGAGAGAGGATGTAGGCGAGAAGGGTGGGTTGGTCGACATCTCAGCTACATCGTTGGTGAAGTCAACCAGTTCAACGGTGATGTCGACCCCAGCTCTTATCGATAAGAGATTGCCACGTGATGCTGCTACATTGGGGAATAGTTTCGACAAAGAACCAAAGCCAACCGCTTATGTCTTTTTGGATCTGGCCGGTGGTGATAAAATTGAAGCGGCAGAACCTGGGTGACGTGATCAGAGATGGGTATTGAGCAATGTGGTAGTGCATACTCGCCATCGCTCCACAGTATCGACTAGAAGATTGTATACCCAACTTGGAAGTCTTTCCGATATCGTGGGCTTTATTGGGCTGGAGAGGGGTTGTAACCTTGTCATGGTGGTAATGATGGGGGAATCAACTAAAAAATTACAACAGTGAATCACAGGTGCTACCTAGGTCTCGAACTTATCGTAGGTTTAGTGCTGGAGAAATGTGTATTTCAATACTGAACAACGAAATGCTCTGGATATAGAAATAGACAAGAACAAATCGGAGTATGTCCGCCATAGACACCATTGTTGGCCCACAAAAATGCGCCTTTTGAGAAATACTGCAGGGGTATCCTTGAATCAACCCATTGAACGCCGGAATATGCAAGATTGGACTATCACTCCTCCGTCTGTTTCCACTCGAACTCTGAAAAACAAAAAAAAAAAAACACGATCGTTAGCAACGTTCATACAATCCATACAAATTAGATGTGGGTGTCATACTCTGGCGACACATCGGACACAGTCCCTTGGAAGATTCTTGTTGAATCCAGGTCATAAGACAATGCTGTCCACTGTTAGCTCCGAGCACTAGTCCGTAGGCGTCGGTCTCACCATATGAAACGAGTGGCCGCATTTGCCAAGTACTGTATATAATTAGTCCGTAGCTCTGGAATCGGAACGCATCAACTCACGGAGCGAACAGTCATCGCCGGGGAATTTGCAGGTTGGACAGGTGCCGTCGAACTGAACGCGACAGATACCACAGACTTCATCCTCGGGCATGTCCCAGTGCCAGGTAGCGATGGCGCTCCATTCTTTCAGCGTGACCTTCATGTTGTCGTATTGAAGGAAAAGGTGGAAAGTGGAAGGTGCGCGGTAACTGATAAGCCCTTTGTTTATCGTTTATCACATGAGCTTCTCCGCACCCTCCACAGCTGCGTCTCTTGCACCATATCTTGCTGCGAACATGGCTTCCATGGCTTTTCGCTCTGTAGCTTCGCCTACTCGAGTGTTCCGTGCCAACATGTCCAAGTTTCCCGGCCACCGCAATATCTCCTTCTCCTCGTACTTGGTGACCCCGAACCAGCTCAGTGAGGCTCTCAAGAAGAACTCTCCGAGCAAGATCTCCACTTCGCCCCGAGTGATTCCCCTCTGTGCAGCTTGGTTCATGCCCAATGACCCCGAAGGTCGTACGGGAATTGATTCTTTCCGCAAGTCTCGTATCCCCCAGTCTCGCTTCTTCGACATTGATGCCGTTAAGGATCATGACTCGCCTTATCCGCACATGCTGCCCACCTGCGAAACATTTGCAGAGGCCATGAGTGATTTGGGTATTCGTCGCGACGACGAAATTGTGGTTTACGATACTGCCGAGCTGGGTATCTTCAGCGCTCCGCGCGTGGGCTGGACCCTGCGCGTATTCGGCCACCCCAACGTGCACATTCTCAACAACTATCGTCTTTGGGTGAAGGAAGGTCTTCCGACTGAGAGTGGTGAACCGGCTTCTATCGAAAAGTCCAAGTATCCCGTCCCCACCTACGACTCGAAATTGGTGATTTCCTTCCGTGAGATGAAGGAGCTCGCGCTGGACTATGGAAAGGAGGGCACCGAAGAGATCGAGATCCTGGATGCGCGTTCATACGGTCGCTGGGCTGGTACTGATCCTGAACCCCGGCCTGGTCTTTCGTCGGGCCATTTGCCGGGCTCCAAGAGCATGCCATTCCAGGAATTGCTCGACCCGGAGACAAAGACATATCGCTCCCCGGAGGAACTGCGCAAGTTATTTGAGGATCGGGAGATCAACCCGGAGCTCTCGATTATCAGCTCCTGCGGTACTGGCGTGACTGCGAGTATCATTGAGACGGCCTTGGGTGAGGCGGAGTATGGAAGCCCGAACCTGCGTCGGGTATACGACGGCAGCTGGACGTGAGTGTTATCTATTTGAGATCATCCAATACCTGGACGATTATCTCTAACTAACTATTCGCTAGTGAGTGGGCACAGCGGGTCAAGCAGTCGGATGGTCTTATCAAGAAGGTGAAGCAATAGGGAATGCAGAGTTGGATACCCAATATCGCGATAGCAGGCAGATCGACAGCACTTTTCTCTTCCCTCATTTGTCTTATGTCTCTCTTAGCTAGATACATATAGATGCATCTGTATATCTCATGTCTCCTCTCTCACTTTCTGTTCGTACCTGACGAGGCCAGGGTACCCGCTTAGTCAGACCCTAGAACGACTTCAATTTCGACATCCAACTTTGTACTCTGTGCGCAACCAAGATGCTGATGTTATTGTATTGTTCCCTGGCTTTTCACTGTGAGTGCTCCGCGTTATACCGGGCGCCCGCCCGCCCCCACATTCCCGTCAAACCTCCTTCGCTCCCTGCTGACCTCCCCTCTCCAGCGGTTCACACATCATCCCCGGTCTAGGGCATTCAGGCCCTCCGACTTCCTCTGCGGGACACTCATTTACTCGCCATGTCACTCGGACGTAAAACCTTTCACTGCGCCGTGGACGAAACGGCTCTGACCACCAATATCAGCGAAATCAAGAAATGGACCACCAGCGGGGCCATCGACCTCATTGTCCCTCTTTACAGTAGGTGCACACCTGGGCAAAGAGCGAAAGACCTTCTCTCCGTGTCGTCACTCTAACCCTCTCTTTCCCAGCTCTTGAACGCCTCCATGCCTTGAAGAGGGCGGGGTCACAAATCGCTATCAATGCCCGCGAGGCCGTTCGCTTCCTCGACCGCGTCACCTCTGGAAAAGATCACATCGTCGCCGACCGTGTCGCCCTCCAGGGCCCGATGGAACAGTACGAGCGTTGGGAGGATGCCGAGAAATTCTTTCTGCCAGAATTCGAAGAGGAGCCCGAGGTGCTCGACGAGACCGCTTCTCCCGATTCCGCGACCGAATCTCCCAATCACCAAGCCTCCGAATCAGATGATCTGTCGCAGATGCTGCTGAGCAAATTGAATTTCAAGAAGGAAACCGAAGCCGCTTCTGTCACCTCCGCGGGCTCTCCCAGCGGGCCCAGATCGCGCACGTCCTCCCGCAGTTCGCGCACCAGCCCTGAATGCGCCCAGCATGAGAACGGCAGTACCGGCAAGACTGAGAAGAAGGGACACCAACGTACTTCCTCTGCGTCTACTATTCCTGTGGTTCCGCTGGTGCTGCGCCCGTTGCTGAGTGCGCTGCTGTGGCGGCTGCACAGCGGCCCGGATGCGGAGAATTCTGCCAAAAGCTGTATTCTGGTGACCAACGATCGTGCGACCCAGGTATGGGCTCAGAAGTTCGGTATCGGCGTGAAGAATATCGTTCAGCTGCGTACTGCGATTCAATACGAAGAGCGCGAATACAAGAACCGCTGTAAATACGTTGAGAAGACTCAGACTCAGACCCAGGCTACCGAGCCCAAGACTCTGCTGTCCTACGAGGATGATAGTGATGAGGATGAGCTAGTCTTTGTTCCCCGCGGCCGTGGCAGCGGAGGTGGAAACAGCAAGGGCTCTTCTCGTGGTGCACGGGGTGGATCCTCTCGCAAGACCGCTGCTCCGAAGGCTACGAAGGCTTCAAAGGCTCCCAAAGCTACCAAGGCTATCCCAGTGACTCCCGAGACCAAGGCCCAGTCCCCGATTGACGTCCCCACGCAGCCCATCGATCCGAATTCCTTCAGCCGCACCCTCGGCGCGAACAAGAACCCTACGGTTGATTTGAGTTCGCAGCAGGGCGCTACTCGCGGTATGTCCTCGGCCTCGCGTCGCTCGGCTACTTCTCGTCGTGGAGGGTCTACTCGTGGTGCGTCGCGCGGCAGCGGCCGAGGACGAGGCAAGCTCTGGGTTCCTTGAAGCCGCGTGTAGGTCTGCTAGCACCGTCTAAGGACGTGGTGCTTGGCAGACCAGTGTGACTCCATGCATCCCGAACCCGGGTTTGTCTCTTTTCCTTCTTCAGGACGAGCATCGCACGAGGGAAAGTGCTGCGACAGGGTGTTTCCTCTCTCTCCCCTTACCCCGACCCACCTGAACCCCCGGCATCAACCCCAGACCGCGGCTGACCGATTCCCGGCGATGAATCCATCACGATTCCATTCGATCGCGGCTGGTGGTTACTCTTACTCTACCTCGGGCTACCTAAGGTACCTGGACAAAGTAGATGCCCTGGGAACCCGTGAGAAGTTGCTTTTGGCGCGACCCCGTGTATGGTAGATTTCTAATCTACTAAACTCATCTGACTATATTTGATTGCATGTAAATGAAGTAAATGTAAAACACAAGTCGATGTGAAACACGAGTCGATGTCAAGTGTTTCGGGTTTCCCCGCGTGACGTCCCGTGGGACGTCATTTGACTTTCATGTAACTGAACTTAACCTCTGAACTTCCTCCACTGCAGAATTACAGAACTACAGACCTAGAGAACTACACAGCTCAAACACTACCCACTTCATTCCTTCAACCCAATTTTCAACTTTGAAACCCCAAACTTTCACCATGGCCGTCGACGAAAGCCCCATCGCCGCCCAGCCCGAGCGCCGCAACTCGCTGGAGAAGCACCTCCAGACCCGCCCAGACGTGCAGGACCTCAAAGACCGCAACATCCTACTCGACACGAACGTCGCTCCGTACGTTCCATAGTTCTCCAGCTCGTCCATCTACCGTTTCGAACTAACCCCCGCAGTGGCATCCAAGCCGCCCGCCAGGAACTCGCCCGCCAACGAGCTACCGACGACCTGAAGAACAAGCTGGACAAGCGGCCCGAGCGTGACGAGCTAATTGAGCGTTAGTCTCCTAAACCTCCCATTTCTACACCGCTACCTCTACATCTTCCAAGTGCTGGGCCCAAGCTAACACCCTCAAGGCAACATCCTCCCCGCAACAAACGCTGCCCCAGCCATTCAAGCTCAAGCCCGCGACCTCGAACGCCACATGCTGGCCGATAACCTCGAACACAAGATCCAGAACCGGCCCGAGCCTGATGAGCTGATTTCACAGGGTATCTTGTCCGAGGGCGAGGACCCCCGCTCTGCTTGATTGTGACCGAATGCCAAGGCGGGTCTTTCAAGGGCCTTTGCCTTGACTACGACCGATTTGACTCGAATGAGATAATGAAGGCGTTCTGCTGCGTTGCTTACTGATATTGATATCGATATTCATAGTCACTCGTTAGTTTTGATTTTTGATTTTGGGCCAATGCGGGGTGGTGATGTCACTGTGACGCTTTGTTTGTTAGTATGTCTAGGAAGCGGATGCTTTCAGAACCTTTTACTAGACTCCGTGTATCTGAGGGTAGATCGTAATTGGTAAAGTATTGTACATTGTACATTGTATATTGTAGATGATAGAAGGTAGGTAAGGTGAAGTTGATCTACGTGGGGGTTTTCCCCGCAAGATAAGACTATCGGGATAGGTCACCCTGTTCAAGTCTTATTGAAGATGTCGATTTTGACAATCATTGTGCAGGAGGACATCACCTACAAATTGGAAACAATAGACCATCTTTCCACATGCGAACTTCACGGGAAGTTTGGAGAACAGAGCCAGAGGCCGTTGTCCGCGTCGAACATCCATTACCAGGTAACCTATCTGCCCACGTCTTTGTTCTTGGCTGGCTTGGTATACGAAGAGATAAAATTGTATTTGCCGACAAGAATGACCTTGGTGACTATGTAGTAAGTTTTCAATTCATACAGCACACCGTGATTCTCGTCAAACCTCCAGCCACCGGAGGATAGATTTTCTAATGAGCTGATGTACCTTCCGCCGCATCTCTGGACACTCGCTTGTAGTATTCGGGAGATTCCTAGCCAGAGAACTTGAATTGAATCGTTTTTCCCCATCTGCGGATCGCGTTAGCATGAAGCATGTTGAGGTCTTTGTCAAATTACATCCCGAGTGGGACTCTGACCCTGTGTTAGAAGAAGTCTATGTTGAAGGAGAAAAGAGTACAGTACTAAGTTCCAAACTGTTTCTTGAAAATCGGTAGAATTGCAGATGCGACATTAGTTATAGATGTCGTCAAAACGGGATCGGCCCGGGAGACCAAACCGCTTTTCCCGAGCTCGGCAATTTACGCGCCCGAGCCTCAACATCAAACTGAAAGCTAAGCTCGTGTACCCGATGCACTAAACCACAAGAGACATACAAAATGGTAAAACACCCCTCTCATCCCAAATTATAAATAATAAATAACACCATCTCCAGTCGAGACCAAACGCCGGCGCCCTAGCCGTCTCCCTCTTCCTCACCACAGCCGCGATCGCGTACGCGCGAACAGGAACAATCCAACAATCCCTCGAATCCCTCCCCACAAACACTTCTCTAGTAATCGCCATATTCTCCTTCTTGGGTGGCGCCCTAGAATCCATACGCTCTAAGTCCCCCGCCGCAATTCTCCTCGGCCACGTCTTTAGCGCTGTCTACATCGTTAGCTTTGCGCGCCTGCGCGCGGGGGAGTCCTCTGGTGCTGAGATCGGACTCCTAGGATCTTTTGCTTTGGCTGGTATTCCGATTCTGACGGACGCAGGCTGGAATTTAGTTCCTAGGGAACTGGGATACGTTGGAGGGTATGGGGTTGCGGTTTTTGCGAATGCTTATGGGGGTGTTGGGTTGGCTGTGACGTTACTTTTTTCGCTGGTGCTTTTGGCTTTTAAGGATGAGATTAGGCAGATACAGAACCGGGTGGATGAGCAGATTTGAGAAGTGGAAAATTGACTTGTATATATGTGACTATAATGTCCCATCTGTAAAATCTTTTGGCCTGATTATATGGCGTCGGTATCAGCCTTTTCCCTGTTACGCCTAGCAAGGCATTTAGGTTATTTTGCATTGACATCAGCTCAGTGAGTCTCGACCTCCATTGGTGCCGACAGATCCGGCGTCCATCCACTCGGACGCTCGCTGCCACGGACCAGGATTCCATACGCCGCCCGCTCTACCTTCTCCACACTGTTTTGCATGACTTCGACCTTCTTGTGAAGATCACGCAGCATGTGATACTTCCGCGGAACACTAAGCGCCTCGAATCGCGCCCGCATGGCTCGGAGATCCACCACGATACCAGCTTGTTCAGGTGAGAGACTTGGCGCTTGCGGCTCTGCCGAGTCCTGTGTCTCTTGTGTGGCAGTCGCGTTGCCCGAGCTCAGCTGCAGAACTGCGAAGCGCATCATTTCACCGGTCAAGTCAAAGAGTCCCATCACGTAGTCTTCTTCCGTCACCATGATTCCGGCTGGTACCCGTGTCGTCACTTCGGCGTGTGTGATCAGTGTCTGTGTGCGGAGGTAGTGATCGAATGAAATCGCTTCGATGAACTCTTGGATTGCGCCACCAATTTGGCGCTGGTAGCGCCAGGAGTTGATTCCTGCGACATCGGAGACAATCGAGGTGAAGAGCTTGTCGATGGTGTCGAGGCGGGTTTGGTTTTCTTGGGCGATTTTGGGTGGGATGGGTTGGTTGATGGCGCGGACTCGTTGGAGGGCGAAGATACTGCGTTGAAAGATGATCAGGATCTGTCGCATTGCATGGAGGTTCTGCGGAAGCTTACTTCTTCTTGCTGAGCGCGGTGATGTCTCGGCTCACTTTGATGATCCGCTCGCGGCGGTCATGATGCTCGTCCAGCTCGTTGCGGAAGTTCTCAAAAATGGATTGGAAGATGCCCACAGGCTCGGTAGAAGTCATGCTGGCATCGGACTTGGTATGCAGACCGAGAGGCTGGCCTTCCCAGGATCGTTTGGTGCCCATCGAGGAGTTGGAGGTGGAGGGTTTGCACCGATAAGATAACATGGATTTATGACGATCAAACCTCAGCTATAGTCATTGGCCTCTCACTGATGCAACTTATGAAAATAACTATGGTTGATTCTAAATATGCCTTATTTCACACAAAGGTAGACTCGGGAGAATCCCATACTTCTAAAATAAACCCCCAGTCAACAGATATGCACCACCATACCCCCGCCTCTTCAGCAACGCCCAGCTTTAGCGTTTCACTATTCTTTCAATTACCTAATTAGGGATTCTCACGACCGCTCTTCCAATAATAGCATCATCCATAATCTTATTGATCAGATTGGGAGCTTCTTCAAAGTCAAATACCTCAATAGCTGGCGTGATCACTCCCTCGAGGGCGAGTTGCAACAGCTCCGCCATCTGCTCCTCTGTACCGACCGAAGACCCTTTGATGGTGAGCGCTATAGAGAGTCAGCGTTTTTATCTTTAAAGGTCTTGTGACAATCCGTGGTATTGAAAAAACATACCTCGAGCAGCACACAAAGTCGCAGAAATCGGCAGCTCTATATCATTGCGCGGAAGACCAACGCAAATGATATGGCCCATGTTCCTGACCAGCGTTGAGGCGGTCTTGAATGCCTCTTTCGTCCCAGGTACGACGACTGTTGCATGTGCGCCCTCCCCAGTCAACTCGAGGACTCGTGCCACGACATCTTCCGTCTTGAAGTCGATGAAAACTTCAGCACCAGACTCTAGGCTGAGCTTTCTCTTAGCATCGCCACTATCAACTGCAATGACCCGGAGTTTCTTAACTCGGGCTGCTAACTGCACTCCGATATGACCAAGACCACCACCAGACCCGGAGATCACGACCCAGTCGCCGGGTTGGAGCTCGTTGTCGAGATGGCCCAGTGCACCTGCCATGGTTAGACCGGCGCAAAGTAGTGGTGCTGCGACTTCATCGGAGACTCCTTCTGGAATCATAGAAATAAATTTGGCATCAGCGACTGCGTATTGCTGTAGTGTGCCTGGAACATGGCGGCTGGTGTTGAGCTGCTTCGCACAGTTGTTGGCAAAGCCCCGTTGACAGACGGAGCATTCGGTGCAAGCGTTGTAGAGCCATTTGATTCCGACGCGCTTCCCTAATAGAGAAGCAGAGACATTATCGCCTGTTTGGACGACGGTGCCGATGCCTTCGTGTCCGATGATGGAGTTATACGCACCCCAGGCCAGGACAGCGCGGACTTCTGAGTGGCTTCGATTTGAAATGCACGTTAAGGATGAACAAACAAGACGCGAGTTGGAGTCTCACCATATACCAGTGCAGTGCAACTTGACGAGAATCTCGTCGGGGCCAGGATTCCCCACGGGGATGTCATGTTGAAGGACAACTTTATAACTCTCACCGGGGTTCTGCACGACGGCCGCTTGCTGGGAATGAGGAATAAGTTGTGACATTATTTCCTCCTTATCGAGTGAAATATACGATCACTGTAAGCAGCGATCTGAGTGATGCCAGAATTTATGGTCTCGCTAGTTGATGATTGCCGAACTAGCTACCCGAAACGCGGAGTTGGCCCAGTCTTAACCGTGGCCCCGGCTACGGGCTTGGGCCAAAACTCATTATCGATCGAGGAGTGCATTGGGATTAGGTGGAAGCTCGGCATGATCTTGGAGACTTCTGTTGTGATTATGTGATACGAGGGAAAGTTTTAATGTTTTAGTTTAGCTAGCTAGTGTCAGGTCATTAAAGACCTGCTGTGATTATGGAAAAAGCATGGAGTAGTAGACAAATCCTCGATGAAGACGTATTTGGATCCTATATTTCCGGAGAAGAGCGAAATCGCAGATCCCTAGATATCAATTGAGGTTGACTATTCTGCCGAAAAAAAGATCGAGATGGAAGAGAGATCTAGCTTCCGGCCAGGTTGCTTTGCAGATGAGAGATGACTTGAGAATAACTGGACACGGCATGGTTCCTTAGACTTTCTGTCGTATACTAGGACTCTGGATCGAGGAAATGAGAGAGATGGGAAAATTAGGAAGATTGGGAAGAAAATGAGAAAAGGAGAAAAGGAGGAAATAGGACGAAACCACAGGTATAGTCTATGTACGTGTTCCAGCTAGCCGGGACCGTCAGCTGGAACCCGGCACGGTGCTCAGGGTAGTGGGGTCAGGCTAACAGGTCTTGGCGAACTGGCGTTGGGCTTCCAAAATGGAACACTCGTGTTTCTGCGGACATGAGGCGAAAGAGTGGAGTGGAATGGAATTTGTGGCGTTTTTGTGGTGACCAGGTTGGCTATCCGAGGTTGTGCTATTGCGTTCTCACCTTCACCCAGATGAAATGATCTATCTCTCGAGACTCAATCGGCTTCTTTGAAAAAGTTATAAGCACTCGACTGATTTCCAGCTGAAGTATCCGGCAATTTACCCTCAACTTGCTTTCTGCTACTTGAATACTCCATCGCATTGATTGCAGCCGTTTCAGAATGACTTGGCCTCCAGACGGAACCTATCCAGAAAGCTCGAGTATGCTAGGAGAAGACGGTTACTTTGTTTAGGATCCTATTGACCCAATTCTAGGGATCACTAAACATGCAAAACCGGATTCATCTGCAACCCCAATATGTGACTCCTCATTTCAGCATCCCACATCCCACGAAGCCCCAGCTGTACAACCAGGCCAGATAGACATTGGCAAGATCGGCAGATATACTACTGAGGCTTCTGAGCCCAAGTGTCGGCATAGATGGATTGATCATGGATCTTCGCCTATCAGCCCTAGCTACCAATCGCGGGTATCTCCCTCGACAGAAAAGAGCAACGAAGACTCCCCAGACAGGAGAAAACACCACATCTGGCATCTTCAAGGTACCAAGTAAGTCTTATCCAGTACACTCATTTATGCATGGCAGTGAAGTCCAGTCTTATTAACATGTTGTGATCTGCTACCTTAGTGATGCTACTCGTTCTTTACGATGCGGATGGGTAGATTGCAGATACAAAAGCTCCTTCTCCAACAAAGGGTCTCTCATGCGACATATTGATACGCAGCATGTTGCACCACACTCGTTAAAGTGCCCAAAGGAATGCAAAAATATAAACTGAGACAGCATTTGCGAGGGGTGCATTGGGATATAACTTAGAATCATATTTGCCGAAGACCTGCCAGAAAGAAAAGGAATGTTTATTTGGGCGATCTATATCTGCTTACATCCATCATTCCAATGTTGCACTTCATGGCTTGACTGGAAAGGAAGACTGGCCCATATTCGCTTCATGATTCTGCGCTTTTAATTGACTTACACTTTACAATACGGTAGCCTGGGTAGACCCCGGGTAGCTTGCTCTGTTTAGGATTTAAAGTTATTGTTCCTTCTAATAACATGATAATCTTATCAAAGACCCTGAAAATTCTGTCTGTTAGATAGAAAATGGCTCGTTCTCCTAGTCGGACGGTACCGCCTTCAGAATCGCGCTTGTTCTCGTTGAGACAAATCTAAGAGTATGGGTGTTGGTGTCGCCCCAATTAGTTCCCGATTGGGCTCTTCTTCTTTTAAGTCCAGAACGTGCTTTTCTTCAGTATTTGATATATACAAGACACAGACAATTGTCAGCCGGTAGATCAACCGTAAATTATTTATCAGGATGGGACCGATTAGAAATATGTAATTCAGATCAAAATTTGCCTTAGATCCAATCTTGACCTGCTGAAGCACCACGAAAATTCAAGCATCATAGCAACCCAGACAGCCCCAAGGCAAAAAAGATCCATGCCGTTGATGTTCAAGCTGATCCCAGTGAACGAACCCGCGTCCCCATCCCGACAATCATTATCAACATGAAAGATGGTATATCATAAAGAAGCAAATCTCTCCAATTTAACCTAAACACCCCGCTTTTCAGGGTGATCAGCAGGCAGAACATCCGCAATAGTCTCATCAGTACCCGCCAGGTCCTCTTCAACATCAACATGGTCGCGGATCTTCAGGAAGATAACCGGAGCAGCAATGACGAGGGATACAGCGAGGAGAACCCAGTTGCTGATGAATTCCCTCTCAAAGGAGAGTTTGCGAGCGTCGAGGTTGTTGACGATGGCTGCACCGCAGGATTGAATGCCCTTGTAGAAACCGACATAGTTGGCAGAGCGACGGCCCGAGTTGGAGAGGGCGCCCATGAACCTAATTGAAGTTAATACCATGCAAGGTCAAAGATAAAGATGAAGGAACGTACCAATAGATACTAGCCTGCCAGGCGGCATCGTAGAATCCGTAGAAAATGTACAGGAACATCGGACCGACGTAGCCGGAGTCAGACCAGTCGAAGGCCTTCCATTCAGGGTTGAGTTTAATGTTGACAGTCTCACGAGTATATCTCTTCTCGAAAGCATAACCGCCACCCCAAATCGCAAAGGTGAGCACGAAAAGAACGCCCCAGGTAACCTTAGCGCGGAAGGAACGGCTAACACCTTGGACATCAAGGAAGAATCCCCAGATAGCAGCAGCGACAATCTGAGCTAGCCAGTAAAGAAGACTGTTCAGTGACTTGGTGCGGGTATCGAAGTAAGCTCCGTTCATGGCGTTCTGCTGGTAGACGTAGAACCAGTTGGAAACGAAGAACATTGGGAAGAGCAAGATGACAAAGGGCTCGAATCGGAGGGTTTCCCACAAACCGATGAGCTCGGATTGCCAGCTAGGGTTCTTCATGAGAATGACACGGCTGCCATCTTCACGGACGATATCACCGGCGTTGCAAAGGAACATGGCTAGGAAGGCTCCGAGGGCCATCAGGACAATGAAGCCGATATAGGTACCGTCAGAGACTGTTGCGTTTGTCTTGATGTTGATGTTCTGGCCGAGAGGAATCAAGCTACCGATAACAGCACCCATGTTGAAGATTCCCCAGAAGATCGCAAAGTACTTGCCCTTTTGCTTTTCGTTGGGGTAGGAAATCATAATCGTGCCCTGGGCGGTCCAGAGAAGACCGGCGCAGACACCAAGCCAAGCACCGGCGAAAAGGTTGAATCCAGGGACGTTGTCGTGGACCGAGACCAGCAGACTAATTGCATATAGACAATATCCCGTGCCACCGAAGGCCAAGGTCCATTTCACACCGAGCTTATTGACGAAGGTTCCTCCGAAGATACCGAAGACTGCGAATGCACTGTATAGAGCGGTGTTCTAAATGATGTCAGCTTCTGTGTGACCCTTGATATACAATGAGGGGTCTTCACCATGTTATCGGCCAGTGTGGCATCGGTCTTTCCACCACCTCCCAGTCCACCAAGCGCGTTGAACATTCCAGGACACATGAAACAGACAAATGCGACCATCAGAAGCTGCACCTTAGGCGACGCATACCAGGGGACATTCAGTCCGAAGATACGGCGTTGTCTGTACTTCCATCCGGTGGGCAAAGCGGGGGCGTCGAAGTTGCCATTGCCATTGTCGTACTCGACCGGAGCGACATGCTCATCGGTGGTTCTAGCGGTCTCTTTATCGGTAGACATGGTGATTAGGAAACTAGACTTAGACAGGCTCCGCTGCTAGGAACTAGAAGATTGAAAAAGTGAGGGGGAAGACAAAGATTTTATTCTATTCTCAGCCGCTAGCAGGGGTGTCAGCTCGAAGCTGCGACCGCGAGTGAAACCTGATCGTTCGACTGTACCATCGGGATGGCAGCCAAGCTAGCGCGATTGAATATCATCCAATAAGATAGTTAGTATTTCAGCCATTTAGAGGTAGAACCCGCTAGTGGCTTGATAAGGGGACACGTTAGATATTTAGATAGGGGTCGTGCGAAAGTACCCCCCTCGTGACTGCTCATCAACATAGGCTTAGTGCGAGCGGGGGGGGGACCCGCTTGTGATTCATCCCTAAGGTACATAGGTGATGCTACCAACTCCAGAAGTCCTCAAGTAAGGGACGGTACGCCTAAGAAGGTTTTGAGGGGAAGGTGACACGATTCCGCCCGAGATTAGTCTAGAAACATTCCAAGTGCTCTAGGAAGATAGTTGGCCTTACCGGTCCAAGATAAGACATTGCCACGAGCAGACCCTAAAATTAGACCAAACAGAGCACAACAGACATATCAGACAGCTTTGCAGGGTACAATCAAATGCAAAAGTTGGAGTCACAACTAATGCTACCTTAGCATGACACTGGCAGGATACAGGGGCACCCTGTCATTACACATCAGCGAATACGGGGGCCAGTCGGCGCTAAAAGGCTGGCCGAGGCGACGCTTATCTGCACAAGATGTAACATCCACTTCGATACTGTCTGAAGGTGCGTGCGCCACAAAGTTTACTAGGAGACTAACCTCTATGAAGCTCAGACGTGGGGTTTGTCTCTCCAGATTACCGGATCGCATCCTGGGGTCACATTCACTCTCTACCAGCAATATAAGCGATGGGAACTGTCAATCCTCGTGATAAGCTTTTGACCTTTGCTATGCCTAACTTCTCACTCCAACACGCCACAGGCTTCTTGTCCCAAGTAACGGTACTTTAACGATCTGTTCCCTAAGCCAGTGACAGTTACAGTTTGCTCATCGCCCGGCACGATATCCATCGCATTATCACTGATTCGAACGCCCTCCTGCTCTTCGATAACCAGGGCCTTGACCGGCTTCTGTGTGCTAATCGCAACACATGCTTGATCCAAGTCGCGGTGCACCTGAATTTCGAGGCCCCGGTTTGATAGATCGAGGTACTTCAACGGCTGCGGCCAGTCCACATCGCGCGCAACGATCTTGTTCTCCACCCACAACCGCGCGGCAAGGACGTGTGGTTCGTCGGTTGTGTGGTCGATCGACCCCGTTATCACATCCGTAGTCCCGTTAGCTTGGATCGTGACATCGCGTACAATCGGGGATCGGATGTCGCGTCCCGTGTCAACAGATAAGAACCGTAGCTCGATGCTGCCCTGTAGGGTGTGTGGCTTGCTGCTCACTACCCAGAGCTCATACTTGCTAGCTTGTGGGGGTTGGGCGTGGGCTACACTCCAATCATGATGCTCGCGTCGGACGCCGATTGCGATCGGGTTGAGGACTCGCTTTACGGCGTAGTAGGCTGGCTTGGGATTCAGGAAGTAGTCCACGATAGCCCAGGAGATGGTCGGCCAGCAGTCGTTGAGTTGCCATAGTAGTGCTCCACCGCAGTGTCGCTCGTCTCCCCACTGGCGACGCCAGCCTCGATAACCGAACATCATTGTTTCCGCTTGCACGACCTGCGTGAGATAGATGTATGTTTCGAGGTCCGTGGCGGTCCGTAGATTTTCCACCATGTAAGTTGCCAGTCGTCTCTCATGGCCGTCGGCCTTGTTGTGGAAGTCCATCACCTGAGACTGTGGAAACATGTCTGCTGGGTTCTCGACAAAGTGCTCGATTGTTGACAGGTGAGGGAAGGCCTCCATGCCAAACTCACTGTTAAAACGTCCGCCCAGAGTGTCGAATATTTGATATTTCTCCTGCGTGCCGTGCCAAACATTCCATTGGTGCATATCTCCAACAGTCGGGTCAGAAGAGATCTTTCCATCACCCCACGGGCTCCCCGGATGATAAAAAGTCCCAGGGGCATGCTCAGCGACAACCTCCGGTAGCAGCTTCTCGTAGATGTAGCGTGCCGGGAAGTCTGTCTTCAGCCAGCTCTCAGGGTCCTTGTCCTCGAAGTTGTAGGTCAGTCCCTCGGATTCCTGCACCTGATAGTCCTCATTATTACCGACCCAGATCACAATTGACGGATGGTGTCGGAGGCGTTGGACGTTGAATACTGTCTCTTGTTGTATTGATTCGAGGATCTGAGGCGAGGTTGGATAGTTGCCGCAGCCAAACATGAAGTCCTGCCAGACCATCACACCAAGCTCATCGCAGGCGTTATAGAAAGAGTCGTCTTCGTAGATTCCACCACCCCAGACACTGCGTAAAGTCAGCCTTATTCCACAAGTCGGTATTTCCTCCTTACCGAATCATGATCTGCCGGCCTTCCACCATCAGCTCAATCCATTTACGGTACCGCGCTGCATTGATACTTGGCAGTAGACTGTCAGCGGGAATCCAGCATGATCCACCACAGAAAATATCCATGCCGTTGATTCGGAAGAAAAATGATTTGCCATGTTTGTCCGGCTGCTGGATGATTTCTGCCGTTCTGATACCAATTCTCTTGCTCATTTGATCGACCGATTCGCCATTACGCAGAAGTGTAACAGAAACCTCGTATAAAGTTTGCTCGCCATATCCATGGGGCCACCAGAGCTCGGGGCGGTTCAGACGGAATGTGACTGCAGCATTCTGGTCTGTCGAGACGGGAACGTCCTGGTGTGCAATTTCAGTTCCTTTCAGATTCAACGAAAATCGAGCTCGGTAGTCCCCAGTAGCCACTGTGTCGACCTTAGCGACAGCGGTAACCTCGGCAGTCTGATGCTCCACAGCCAGTTGAGTCTGTGGCCAAAGGTCAACAACTCGAGCAGAGTATACTTCCAATCGCACAGCACGCCAAATGCCCGCAGTCATCAAGACCGGCCCCCAGTCCCAACCCCAGTGGTATTGAGCTTTTCGTACTGCTAGGCGAGATGGATCACCGTTGAAGCCCACCCACTTGTGATTCAGGTCTTGGTTTCGAATTTCACGAGCTTTAAGCAGGGCACAGTCAAACTCAATTTCTAAAGTGTGCTCGCCCTCGGCTTCTAAGGCCTTGGTGAGATTGATCCGGTGACCGACGAACATATTGTCGCTTTTTAGAATCGTCTGACCATCTAATTTGACCGTAGCGAATGTATCGAGGCCATCGAGAACTAGGTCAATTGCCGAGCCTTCGGGGACATTCGGTCTTTGGAATGTGTTTTTGTAAACCCATGCCTTTTCGTTAACCCAGCGGGCTTTTAGTTCATTGAACCCGATGAACGGGTCTTCTAGTCTGCTTCGATGTTAGGTCTATTCAGTTTAGCTGAGTTATGAGTTCAAATACATACTTCTGGTTTGCGATGAGATCCTGTTGCACCACGGAGGGAACAGCCGGGACAGGCATCCATTCTTCGGCATCGCGGTCCCTGAAGGTCCACCCAGTAGATAGCAACTGCTTGAAGAGCTCCATTATGGCAGGGTTGAGTGAATTGCTACAGCTCCCGCGAAAGGGCTACTTATACGATAGAAGGAAACAGTTTATCGATAAGCTTCCCCACGCGCCTTCCCCTTTGGGCACGGAGGGCGATAATCACGTGATTCAGAATCCTCGGAATCAGGCCATTACTGGGACTCGATGGGGTATAGGGACAGGAGCTTCAATGCGGAACTGCTCTTCTTCATGGCTTTTTTCAAAAGTCCCACAGTAGAACCATGAATTATATTCAACGAAATATATGTGCATAGATATCACCTGAGGCACCAGACCAGAGGAACGGTAGACCACACGTTCCCTATTTGGACACGGAGCAACACACCCGCTCAGCTTCTGGGGGACTCACTTTCTCCCCACTCACCGAGTTGAACTTACCTTGTGCATTAATATTTTTCCATGTTCACGACCGACCATGGACAATCGATTCAGCATCGGCCCCCCGGCTCGTGATGAAAAGCGCTAGCCTCCTCCCGCTTATTCTTGCGAGACTAGTCTCTCAACCGAACCAATAGCTTCCTTCGGCCCCGGAATTCGGGAGGCAAAGGCGTCGCATCCATGGGCCTTCTCATCAAAGACACATGTGCTCCAGACTTGGCATCTTAACCCCCGCCCCCCACCCTCTCCAGAGTCGAAGCCCAAATGCCCCAGGTTTTATGGAATTGAACTGCCGGCCATGCACAGTTCATGCCTTCCCTGGGATCCATTCGGCTCTTCTTTTTCTCCACTCTACATTGGATTTCATATCCAGCTTTTCATGACAGGCCTGGCATTGGAGGGCTTGGGTTCAGGTCACACCCGAAACCTCATGTTCTCGGGCCCTTGACTCGAAAGAGACATCGTGCCCGCGTCAAGGCCTTGGTAATAATAGCCCACGAGGTGGCGATTGGGTGACTGCCAGGCACTTTTCGCCCCGCCTGATTAGACCGTGCGAGATGAGGTGACTCGTTCCTTGAATGGCCATCCTCGCTTCGTCTCGATGAAACCTGGGAGGGTCGCTGGAATGGTGTTAACAGGAGGAACGTTGCATAGACTCTAGTCGTATTGAGTAGTAGGTGTCTGAGTAGATTCAGGAGGCATTCGGGAATCGGACGAAAGGAAGAAGCCGGAGTAATTTGAATGTTCCAGACACCCTGGTCTGTTCTACTTTGCATCTTCCCCAGCTGATCGTCTGTCCTCCTGCAGGGTTTGCTTCAACGTGAACTCTGGGGGGAATTGCCCCCTCTCTGGAGAAATTGGATCTGACGCCCCAGCGCGTGAAAGGTGGGTGGGAAGAGCATGCGGCGCTCGTAATTCAATGCAATTTGACACCCTGGACTGGCGCGTGGCACCCTTTCGGTAAGCAGGCCTGCCACTCGCTAGTAATTCCAACCCTCATTTAAATCCTTGTCATATGTAGTCTGTATTAGTGACGCACATTAGGCAACTCTGCCATTAAACTAGAACCATTAATCCCGCACATCCAATAAGCGAGGCCCCATAGGAGCAAAGGGTGCGTTCTCCGAAATGCGGGGGAGTTTAGGCCGATCAGGCTATTCTTCACGTTAGCTTGTCTTCCTCTCCCTTATCCTTCCCTTTTATTGAGTTTCAACGCTCCACCTTTGCAGAGACATGATCGCCCTCCTATCATAGCCGTGCCTAATCCGACTTGCAACATTGTGCAGTGCGTGAATCTTACGACTGCATCTCTCACCAACTTCATTTCTCATCCTTCGACTTGAAAACTCGCAAAATATGTGATTTCTGACTGGCTCGCAGTCTTATAGCCACGTAATGTTCCACACCTTCGAGGGGTTTGAGAATTCAGGGCCAGCAACGCCTGCCCGAAGACCTAGCAGCGAGAGGCGCGAATCTGTGAGTCGCAGAGTCACTACTCTACGTGCGTGTACATCTTGTCGCCATCGCAAGATAAAATGTGATGGTGAGAAACCCTGTGAGGCTTGTCGGTGGTACAAGAAAGCAGACCAATGCCATTATTCCGATCCACGCCCTTCAAGAAGGTATGTGTGTCCTGACATAAGATATGAGTGCGACTAACATGCAATAGACATGTCGAGAAATTATCCACAACCTTGGATGAATATCGCAGTGTGCTAGAGAAGCTTTTTCCAGACGTGGTTCCTGAGTCTCTTGTCAATCTCAGCAGAGAGAAATTGCTCGAATTAACGACTGGCTCGGCTTCATACTCACTAGCAGGTGCGCATCCTGCATCGCCTGCAACTTCGGGCTCAGTGGAGGCTCATGTGTCTCCACTATCAAACGAAGATGACAATCTTGAGTCTTTACAAAGTATGCCCGAGGAATTAGATAATATTCGACAGCCCAGCACCAGTGATCTGATCGTGGGTGTCTCTGACGATGTGAACGCACTGTCCCTCTCTGCTCGACCCTCTTCTTCTTATCTGGGTGTATCATCCATTCAGGCGGTTCTCAAAGTCATCGTGTGGCTTGATCCTGGGGCTGGGGCCTATTTCTCTCGGACACCAACAACTCAGCCGTGTGAAAGTGGCCTCGAATATGATACCCGGAATGCATGGAATCAGCCGCCAGTGACACCACCGCACCCTTCGATCCCTTCGACGGAGATGCAAATGCTCGATGCGTATTTCCTTTACTTCCAAGCTTTCGCCCCGATGATCGATGAACAATTGTTCCGCGACACATACATCTCCGGCCGTCGAAGAGATGACCACTGGCTTGCCCTCTTGAATATTGTTCTTGCTTTGGGAAGCATCGCCGCCTCGGGACCGGATGATATGACTCACCAAACATACTTCATACGGTGCAAAAGCCACTTGAGCATTAGCTCACTTGGTAGCTCAAATTTGGAGACCGTCCAAGCACTGGGACTGATCGGGGGCTGGTATTGTCACTACATTAGCCAACCGAACCTGGCATACTCTCTCATGGGTGCTTCACTCCGAATGGCAGTTGGACTGGGCCTACATAAGGAATTCGCAGAAGCACGCCAATCACCAAATTCCGCAAGACTTGCCTCAGTAGATCTGAAGCGCCGGGTCTGGTGGTCTCTCTTCTGCATGGATACCTGGGGAGGCATGACACTCGGTCGCCCTAGTATGGGCCGCTTTGGGCCAAATATTACCGTTAAATCACCCAACTGCCGAGAAAAGGTTAGTCTGAAAAGTCAAATAGTGAAAGGTCATTGCTTACTTTCAAAGGAAAACGTTCTCGAGATTCTCCCACTGGTGGAAAACATTCGCTTCGCCAAGATCGTGACTCAGGTCCAAGAATTATTAGCAGCAGCGCCTCTAGTCAAACATCAAGAGATGTCACATGCAGATACACAACTCCTCGATTGGTGGGAGAATCTCCCACCGGTCCTCAAAGATCACGAGCCCTGCTCTGAGTCTGTTAGTACCGTCCGAACGGTCATGCGATGGCGATATCTTAATCAGCGCATGCTTCTCTATCGACCCACCCTTCTGAGCTATGCCATGCGGCGTGTTCCGTATATTGCGTTGCGATCGGAAGAGCGCACAGCCATCGAGAGGTGTCGCGAAGTCGCCGAGCTGTCTATTCAGAACATTGCTTGCACTGCGCAACTCAACCAGCTCTGTGGCTGGAATGCTGTCTGGTGGACTTTCCAAGCGTCTTTGGTACCGCTAGTTGGCCTCTTTCTAAATGACCCCACAGCCGATGATCCCCGTGCTTCAATTGAATCCTGCCAGGCGCAAGTGGAGACTGCCATGACGATTCTCGCTCGCATGCAATCATATGGACATACTGCGAAGCGGTCTCTTGATGCTGTTTCGTGTATATACGAGGCCAGTAAGCGCGGTCAAGACCTTACCACTTTCACATCTACATCTAGCCTCTCTGCAAGCCTATATTCCGCTAGTCGGGATATGACCTTATTCTCGCCGCCCGAGCCGGCCCGCATGGGCATGCATCAAGGAGAGAATGGTATCGCGGATACCTTGTCATCAACACAGCTCGTTGACGAAACCGGCCAGTACCTGTGGGAGTATCTCAGCTGGAGCGATAATAATCTGTGGCCTGGACTTACGGACCTTGAGAGCCGTGCCGAGGCCATGCCGCTGTTGACGCCGGATCAAGAAAAGGGTCCCAAGTTTGGGGGTCAACCGTATTTTGACCCAATACCGGATACGTATTTCGTCAATCCTCCTCTTTATTATTGAATGTTTCATCGCTTTTGCAACTGTTGACTTGGTGTGTTTGGAGGGTTTTGCATGCGTATTTAGCCTTGGAACCGGGAATGAAGCATGGTGTACATTTTAAGAGAAGTATCAGAAGGGAGAAATTCAGTTTACCAAATGAATGCACGATACTCAGTCCATGTAGCTCCCTAGGCAATGAGGATCCAAGATTACAATGTTATTGCTGTGAGATATGGCGCTCAAAGCAGCGTCGCCTTAGAGCGGCAAGCGAACCACCCAAAAGGGCAATGTTGGGCGCTTACTCAGCACGAGAGCCAACCGCGGCGCTTTTATGGAAATGAAATCTGTAAACATCGCAACTTGGCAAGTTGAAGTATGGAAAGCTAAGCGAAATAAGAAATGGTATTCTTATAGAAAGATTCCGCCTTGTCAGTTTTTCAGTTCATCCGCGGCATCACGTCCATCCAACCGACGGAAGCCAATTCTCTCCTTAAACGCGAGAGATATCGAAAAGGGAGCTTCAAGAAAGTTCACATCAAGCCCCCTGATTTATCGACCTGGTTCATCAATATGGGTCTTTTTGATTCTGCTCCGCGCGTGCTCATCGCCGCCACGGTATTGCGCCTCGTCTTGCTCGTCTACGGCGGCTGGCAGGATGCCAACTCCGCTGTGAAATACACCGACATCGATTACATGGTATTCACTGATGCGGCCCGCTATGTCTCAAAGGGCGAATCGCCTTATGCGAGAGATACCTATCGATACACCCCCCTTTTGGCGTGGATGCTTCTTCCAACGGCTTGGGAGGGACCGGCCCCCTGGTCCACCTTGACTTTTGCATTTGGCAAGACACTTTTTGGCTTAGCTGATGTGCTTGCTGGGTGGTTGGTTGTTCAGTTGTTGAGGCAATGTTATGCTTTCCCAACTGAGCGCGCGCTGCGATATGTGGCTGCAATTTGGCTGTGGAATCCTATGGTTGCTAATATTAGTACCCGTGGAAGCTCGGAGGGGCTTCTTGGTGTGCTTGTTGCTGCCTTGTTGTGGGCTACCTTGACGCAGAGAGCTATTCTGGCCGGTGTCATTCTTGGTCTTGCTGTTCATTTCAAGATCTACCCCTTCATTTATGGAGTGTCTATCCTCTGGTGGTGGGATGCTCAGCGCGATGGTGCCCCTCCCGCCACGAAGACCGGCATATTTGCCCGGATCACATGCTTCGTTACTGCTTCTCGAGTCAAGTTGACTATGGCTGCTCTCGTCACCTTTGTGGTGCTGAACTTGGTCATGTATATTCAGCATGGCATGCCGTTCCTCCATCACACCTTCCTCCACCACCTTACGCGCATTGATCATCGTCACAACTTCTCCCCGTATAGCACTTTGCTATACCTCACATCTGCAGATGTCGTGACGTTCCATTTCGAGACCGTTGCATTCTTGCCCCAGCTACTGCTTGCTGTAGTTGCCCTCCCCCTGGTATTGGCAAAGAAGAGCCTGGCCACCGCTATGCTTGCTCAGACTTTTGCCTTTGTCACCTTTAACAAAGTCTGCACTAGTCAGGTAATTTGATTCTTCCACTTAAGCACAGTATGCATCGCTAATCCCGAAACAGTACTTCATCTGGTACCTTATTCTTCTCCCATTCTACCTACCCTCCTCCTCGCTCATCCGCAAGCCCACATTGGGTATATCGGCTGCAATTTTCTGGGTCCTTGGACAGGTATGTGGCTCCGTTGTGTTGGCTTGCGTCCTCTCAACTCACATGGTATCTAGGCTCTCTGGCTCTCCCAAGGCTACAACCTTGAATTCCTCGGTCTTTCATCCTTCGTGCCCGGGCTCTTCCTTGCATCTGTATTTTTCTTCAGTGTCAACGTCTGGATTCTGGGTATTATTGTGAACGATGGCGGCGCATCCGAGGACGGAAACGACCAGGTTCAAATCAAGTAGTGAGATTGTGGAGGCATAGAGCCAATGTACTATAATAGAAATGAAGCGTTCTACGAATAAATCAAGTCCTATGGAGGGTATGGAAGAGGTATAATTGATATGAATGAGGGTATCGATGCGGAAGTACAAATCGACGCTGGGAAAGATATGCAATACTAATATGAAACCCGACGCCTGGATGCTAACGCTTTCTTCTAAATCGGAAGCGAAGCTCCTCATCGCTGTCTGAATTATTAGCCTGTGTCTGCCGCGGTCGTTTGTGGCTGCGAGCACGAGACAAGCTTGACTGCGGAGGAGTTGGATCTGGAGTGGCCGAGACTGGCACCGAAAGTTCCGATCGTGACACAGCTGATACAGCTCGCTCTTCACGGAGGGGAGCTGATTCTCCACGCTCTGCATGCTGGCTGACCTCGGGTGTTTTTGTCTTGCTGTTGCTGACCCATTGGTACTCCCCGATCCCAAAGTCCTTGCGTGTCACCTCTTCCAGTGGGACAATCACGGCTTGGATTCGCTGGCGGGAACGCTGCGAGTCGCCTTTCCGTCGGAAACGCTTGAAGTTCTTGCGGCCATTCCAATTCTCGTCCCACCTATCAGGGTCTTCGCTTTCGCGGGCAGGTGGTTCTCGCAAGGGGACGTCCATTTCTTCGATGATAGCAAGATTTTTGAGCTCTTCAACATTCACATCCTGCGATTCAAGTGGGTGTTCTGTTGCCTGGCGCTGTTTTTCTTCCTCTTCTTCCCGATGCTTGCGCGCTTCCTCTAATACGTCCATCTTAGGACGCCTCGTCTTGGGGGCCTCTGTTTTGACGCGGGTGGCCCTGCCAGTTTGGGTATCTTCCCCCATCTCCTCGCGCCGGCGTTTCATGGCACGTGCGCCGGGCAACATTTCAGACACCATATCATCTCCGACTTCTTCTTCGACTGTACCGAGGGGCTGAGCCAGGGAAGGATCCTCGGGCTCCATGTCCATTTGTTGACTCTCAATGACATCGTCGGCCTCTGGCGTATGAACTGGGATGGAGTCCATGTCGAAGCCATCATCAAACATTTTCATTTTACTCACGAAGGGGCGCACTCGAGGCCCTCTTGACCTAGATCTTGACCGCGACCTTGACTGTGACAACTCCAGGGGCGTTGCAGAAGCTGGCTCGGGTTCGGATGGCATACCAGCCACAGAGGCTTGGCTCGATCCTTCCTCGCGCGGAAGAGGGCGACAAAGCGGAGAAGCATCATTCCCGAGGATTGCATCTAAGAATTCCCTCTGCTCAATAACGCGTCGGTCAATCGCCAGAGCAACCTCATTACCCAGATCAATAGACCATTGCTCATACTCCCCCTTCGAGCGAAAGCGTACGAGAACAACACCCTCCGGCGTCCCATGACCTTTATAGCCCGCAGCTTGCTTCATAAATTGGATGATCTCCGACGCTGTGGTCACGCCATCTTTGACTTCATATAATAATGCCTTTCCTTGGCCATTGTTGATGGCTGCCTGCAGATTGGCAAACTGAGCAGCATCGCCAAAGACGAAGGTGTAGCCCTCGAAAACATTGACTCGGGAGGGGTTGGGGGAAAAGGCTTCTGTAGAACGACTGGTGGGCTCATTGCCAGCAGGTGGGAGATGCTCCATCGGGTCTGGCCACGATGATTCGAAATCTATCTCCAAGGGCGATAACGATTCCTCATTTTCAAGATCACTCGGAGAGGCAGCATAGACCAGTGCGTCGATATAGGAGTTTTCCACAATGAACTTGCCATTTATGAGCGCCTGGAGACCTTTTGCAGTATTACGCTTGCTTTGGACCACGTGTGTTGTGTGACCGACTAGGTAATCAATCACTGTTTTGATGTCGAGAGCTTCGAGGCGTGAGCGGACTTTGACTAGAGGGTCCTGGGTTCTCATTTCCTTGGATGAGAAGGAGAAACTTAGTACCACTGGCTCCCATTTTAAACTATCGAAGCAATGTCAGTCTGAGGGCCGCACATGTAGGCGGACAACCTACCGGAGAGCGTCTGGAGCTCGACCCAGCTGTATCGTGTGCTCATCCCCATTCAATACCCGCTCGAGACTTTTTATTTGTTCTCCATCAACCGTTGTGCCGCGAGATGATCCGAGGTCGGTGATGCGAATCTGGGTTCGCGCGTGTGTGCGAGTCTGGTGCTCATTAGAAACAAGCTCGGATGGTCGAACGGGCTGTCATACCCCATCTCCTTCCTTCACCTCGAGGACTTGGATCACGATATGTTTACGGGAGATCGTTTTATGGTCAACGGCATGAAGAACTGGTGAATGATCAATGGTCAGTTGAGATATAGAAGCATCGCAGGTCGAACATACCGCCATCTTGCTTGATTCGACCGAAGAGATACTTCTTGCCGGGTCGCAGCCACACGCGCTTCCCTGTGGAATGTCAGTTTTAACCTCTACAGTATTCCGCATCTTCACTCACCGCTCAGAAAATCCCCCGTCGAATCGAGAATCCACATTGATGAAGTTGAAGACTGAAAGTTGCGCCGCCCGCACGTGAACCGCTCAACGCGTGTGCACGTGACTTGGCGTCTCTTTCGCGGCGTCTGCCTACGCTTCATCTTTACTTTCTACTCTCCCTCATGGCTGGAGGATATGGCTACTCCGGGTGTTCCGGTCGACAACAATGAGGATAAGAAAGATCAGTCTGAGCCGGCGGGCGAGGAAGACTTCGAGACGCTGAAATATCAGTTGTTGGGACCCTCTTTAACCAAAGCGGGTCAAGATGCCGTGGATCAGCAAAAGGTGCGGGCAAAATGACGTTATTTATCGGGCTTGGATAGCTAATGTCGAGGGTCAGGTTTCAGAAATCATCTATAATGCCTCGAAAGGTTCCAAATTCTTCAATCATGAGCAGGAGCGAGATCGCAACCTCACCGTGAAGATTGAGCGCATTCTTAAAGCAAAAGCCCGGCTAGAGAAGCTCGATTTGAGTCATGATCTACGACGAGCAGACGAGTACCTTGCCGAGTTGGAACTCAGCCGAGATCTCTCCCAATTTGTCATCCACGTCGACTGCGATGCATTCTTCGCGGCGGTCGAAGAACTCGATAGGCCCGAGCTGAAAACCGTCCCCATGGCCGTTGGCAAAGGTGTGTTGACAACATGCAACTATTTGGCTCGCAAGTTTGGTGTTCGCAGTGGCATGGCGTCGTTTGTGGCAAAGAAGTTGTGTCCCCATCTAGTCCTTCTCCCACAGAACTACGAGAAATATACTGCCAAGGCCACCGAGATTCGCGCCATCATGGCAGAGTATGACCCGCTTTTTGAGACTGCCAGTGTCGATGAAGCGTACTTGAACATCACTGCCTATTGTGATGAAAACCAGGTGGACCCAGAGGAGGCAGTTCAAAACATGCGCGCGCGAATTCTTGAGGAAACCAAAGTATCTGTCTCCGCCGGTATCGCTGCCAATGCGAAGATTGCCAAAATTGCGTCCAACCAGAACAAACCGAATGGGCAATTTTGCGTTGTGAATAAGCGAGAGGCAATCATGGAATTCATGCGAACTTTACCTGTTAGGAAAGTCAATGGCGTTGGTCGTGTTTTCGAACGAGAGCTAGGTTCTATCGGTGTGGTGACGTGCGGGGACATTTATCCACATCGTGCCATGTTGACCAAGTTATTCGGCGAAAAGGCGTTTCAGTTTCTGGCGCAGTGCTATCTTGGCCTGGGGCGTACAAACATCCAACCCATCGAGGCTAGCGAACGGAAGAGTGTGAGTACAGAGACAACATTCAATGAAATTGGCGATAAGGAGGAGCTTCGAGCCAAGCTTCGTTGGGCTGCAGAAGAGATGGAAAAGGATTTGGTCCGCACCCAGTTCAAGGGCCGCACCCTTTGTCTGAAGGTGAAACTTCACACCTTTGAGGTTTTGACCCGCCAGACGGCTCCACCGCGCGCTGTCTCCCAAGCGAACGATCTTTATGCGTTCGCTCTGCCCATGCTGGTCAAACTGGAAAAGGAAATTCCAGGAATGAAGTTGCGGCTTCTAGGCCTTCGATGCTCTAACTTGGTCAGCACTAAAAAAGCTGGTATCAATTTTTTTGGTGTCACGACACAGCCGAGATCTAGCGCCGCGCAAACAACGGAGACATCAGTTCAGAAAGACGATCATGAAATCGGACCGGAGGAAGCATTTGAGTCGTCGGCCAGACAAGAGGTCCAAGATGAGATGAATGACCTGGAACAGCTGAGCCAAGAGGCTGCCCATTTTCCTGATACTGGAGAGTCTAGTGGTGCTGTCAACCCTGGCAGTTCACCTGCCCAGTGGGAGTGTCCCATCTGTGGTCGGCCGCAAGTTGCGGATGATCGGGTATTTAACGACCACGTGGACTTCTGTCTCTCTCGCCAGACCATCCGTGAGGTAGTTGAGGATACTTCACAGGAGGAACCATCAGCTCCTGCCAGTCGCAAGAGAAAACCCTCTCAACCGAGTACTGCCAACAATGATACCCGACAGAAACGGCTTTTCTTTCAATGACCGTGGATCCCGACCAACTCTGCGGAAGCCCCGATCGCTTTCGAACAACCGGTACATAGTCAAAGAGTTACCGGAGCACATGCTCCGTGTGGCATATGTTCCTGGAGATTTCGCATTTTCATTTCGGTATTTGTTGCTTTTCAAACCCGAGGATCCATGATCGACAGACCAATGGGATACCAAGTGGAGCATGAGGATGCCTGTCAAGGCCCTGTATCAATCTTGCGTGGTATTAGAACAGTAGATCAATGAATGTAACAAAAAGACGACTTCTAATCATTCACTATAGCTTTGATTCAGTACAGTAAACCCCAATCTAGATGAAAAGAGCGCCGTGTTTACTCGGAATTCCACGTTGCGGTGAACGAACGCCCTAAACCGCATTTGGGCCGAATGTTTTCGAGTCCCTCGCCTCCCACCTTCACACATCTCTCCACTTCTAATCAGGCCACTCCCTGTCTCCCTATCTCCCTGTCTCGTCTCTATCCTGAGAGAGATCTCGTTGTGGTGTCATCATGCTCACGAGCCTGCGGTGCCTCGCAATGCCCGCTTCCGCACAACTATGACATCCGATAAACAAAACAATGGCTATCCCGCCAAACCGTTCACGCCCACCCTCTCCGCAGCCTTTCACCGCAACAAGAAAGCTCCTTTGACCCCGAAGCTGGCCTCCCCGAGTCCTGGTCACCCCGCTACTCGTCGTCTCGCACATCCTGATCACCCCTATTCTACACCCATTAAAGATGAGATCACCGCCGTCCCTTCCACCTTCCTTAGCACCAATGTCACCCCTCGATCGGGCTCCCGTACGACTCGACGCGATACAGCATTTGCCTCGCCTACGAATACCCCTCCTACTCCATCCCCGCAGATTCCATACTCACAGCCCACCGTGGGCCTGGGACTCCAAGGAGCGCGGAGGACGGAGCGGAGCCCGGCTCGTGGGGTGAAACCAGAGCAGTCAAGGAGTCTGCGAGCCAAAACTTTGACTGCAGAGGGATCGCAAGTCTCGCGTCCCAATTCATTCTCCGACATGGCAGCCGCCTCCCCTATGTTCTTCCATGCATCCGACGCACGATCAACTGCTTCCTCCGATTTGGATACATCCCGCCCTAGGCCAGGGCAGGCGCCGCTACAGGCACCAGCCCAGGGTAGGATGTCTCCGGCCTCGAGCTTTATGTATGCAAACGGAGATCAAGACCGGCAGGCTGCGGATGACTCGTATTTCTTGAGCACTGGCAAACGGCGGTCAGGGGGACTGCCTCGTCCTACACCTGCTAGATCAGCTATTTCTCCCTCCCCGCGTTTGATGAAATCCCCTCGACCATCAGACGCTACATCACCACTCGCCGATGATACACATTCGCAACCCAGTCCAAACCCAGACATGAGCTTTGACAATATTCTACATCGTTTCGACTCTCCTCCGAGCATCATTCCCGATAGACCACAACGCCCGTCTATCGGCCGACATACGAAATCAATAAGTATTGATTCGGCCAGCAACATTTCATTTTCGCAAGACAGTCTTCGTGCCAGTCCGATTATCGTATCGAACAACTTGAACGACGGTACGACACCCGTGATGTCTGATCCAATACCTACCCTTCGCCCTCGCATCTTCAGCAACGGTTCTTCTGTCTCCACCAACCCACCTATGTCGATTCCTGTGAGCCCCGGGAAATCCGAAGTTGGTGAAGGCGCCTTGAATGCTCGCACGGAGCGCAAAATTTTGGATCTGGAGATTAGCAACTCATCACTGCTTGCCATCAACCGAACTTTAGAGCGCGAAATGCGGAACCAAAAGGCTGAGCTTCGACGATTCCGACGCCTCAGCCGATCTGGCCGTTTATCCATGGCACCTTCGGCCCGTTCGTTCTCCGGTACTGCACTGTCAACAACCAGTGAAATGGAAGGAGTCAGCGAACTTTCATCTATCCGATCTCAGGATGACATGTCTGATTACAGCGACGAGGATTCAATAGCCGATGAAGGCATTCTGAGTCCAGGCTCGCTCGCAGAACATGATGCGAAACACCGAGCCCACGACGAGAAACGATTTATGGTCGACCTTGCCCGGCACCAGGAGCTTCTGGTTGATAGTCAGAAAATGAACCAGAGCCTTAAACGATGCCTCGGCTGGACTGAAGAACTCATCAAGGAAGGTCAGAAGGCCCTTGAATATAGTGTTCATGTCCAGGACATCGAATTGGGCGGGCGGGTCTTGTCTCCTGAAGAACTCGGTGAGGTCGGCGAGAGTGGACGCGCACTGCTTAGCCCTTCTACCGAATTTGCTGCTTTCCCTCCTCACGACACACCTTCCGATTCCTTCTTTGACTTTGACGCAGCAACACTCCCTCTACCCTCGTCTCCAGGTGGGACTGATTTAATCTTCTAATCTTTCATTCGTTTGTACCTTTTGCCAAATACCCCCTTGTTCAAATTTGATCTTGCTACTATATCTTGATACATTGCTGCATTTGGTTTACTTCTCTCGTTCGGATTCCCCTCATGTACCACATCTGTCCTTGATGGCTTTCTTTCTTTGGGTTCGATCTCTTTATCGGTGATGACTTATAGATCTTGCAAGAAATGGTTGATTTCGGCTGAAATACTTTGACTTTGTGATTGATACCCGACATGCACAATTTGTCTACTTTTGTACTCGTCCTCTCGGCCAAATATTATAACTTAAACATCCATTGCTACCGGTGCATCTTTTCGACACCAGGCCCTTTGCTCAAATTATTTGGAACACTGAGCGCCCTGTGTGTAAATGACGATCTGGTGCCGTAGGTGAAGAGAAAATTTGCTTTTAAATAAAGAGAAGAGCAAGGACTATAGATTGACTCCACAGTCAGGAAGCGCTCATTAGATTCGTCAATCTTATCTAGTTCCCTGTCGCATATTTTGTACTTGGCTACCACATAGGCAGCTTTTGTTCACCATGACTTTGGGGGCATCTGGAATTACTATCTCCTGCGCCTTTTCGTCAGCCTACTGATCTGCAAAAGCCTTCGACTAGCTTGGCGATGCTGTTTGCCAAGCAAGGCATAGCGGGGGCCTGGGGCCGCCCCACCGAGCGACAAGGACGATGATATAAGCCTTTTTCTCCTTCTCAATCATAACCGCTCTCAAAATGCCTGAAACTGTGCGCCCGGCTTTTGATAGCTGCGACCGTCCCCAACTATCATATGGCATCGAGTTTCCTACCGCAGCTGCTCGACATGTTACCAACACCTTTATGGCATCGCGAGTCTACGTGATCTGCTCCGGTTCTCTGGCACGTAACACCGATGCCCTGGATCGACTGATTGCTGCTCTGGGACCTGAAAAGATCGCCGGTCAGCGGATAGGAATGAAGCCCCATACTCAATGGTCCGAAGTTTTGGAAATTATCGCCGACGCGCGCAAAGTCCAGGCAGATCTTCTTCTTACACTGGGCGCGGGCAGCCTGACCGACGGGGCTAAAATTATCGCATTCGCACTCGCCAATAACGCAAGCACGCCCGGTGAGCTCAAAGCCCTTGCAGAGGGCCCTGAGAAGCGTACTGGTCTTGTCGCATCTACTGTCCCCATTATCTCTGTCCCTACGTCATTGTCCGCTGGCGAGTATTCCGACTACGCTGGCGGGACTGAAGACGAAACACATCGCAAATATATGTTTTATCCCCCATTACGTGGCCCTGAGCTCGTCATCCTTGACCCCCAACTGGTGGAGACGACGCCCGACTCTATTTGGCTGAGTACTGGTGTCCGCACCGTCGATCATTGTGTTGAGACTTTATGTGCCGTCGGAAACACTACCCCGGAATCTGATAACTTGGCGCGAAATGCACTTGGTAACTTGGTGTCGAGCCTTCTACGGTGCAAACGCAACCGCGCAGACTATGATGCTTCTTTACAGTGCCAGCTTGGATCTGTCGATGCCATGGCTGCATGTCTTAGCGTATCATTTAAGCTTGGAGCGAGCCACGGTATCGGACATCAGGTATGGTATTCATCAGACGCTTTTTTAATATACTAACAAACATAGCTCGGTCCTCTCGGAGTTGGTCATGGAGAAACCAGCTGCATCTGCCTTCCAGCCGTATGCAAGTACAACGCCGCACATAATGCAAATAACGAACGCCAGGCTAGCTTGCGCCACTTGATGGCCCAGGATCCAATTATCGCTGAAGTCTTGCGCGAGCGCTTGAATGATATTTCTACTGCTGATCTTGGTGATATTCTAGATGCCGTTATTCGCGAGCTTGGAATGCCTCGGTCGCTAGCGGATGTAGGCATCGGCCGCGACAAGTTGGACATGCTAGCCGAAAATAGTCTGCAAGATCCGTTGTGCCAATCGAACCCTGTACCATTGACGGAGAAGTCGCAGGTATTGGAGATTCTCGAGATGATAGTAGAATGAAGTATAGCGAAGAAATAGTGAAATTCAGTTAACCTAAACTCAACAATTCGATCGTAGTAAACTCAAACAGCTCACGGGAATGGGCACTGTCCCAGCCTTTGCTGTCGAAGAGTATCCTTGATCATTTCCAACTCCTTTCTGCCTTTGCCCTCGAAATATTTGGGACCCAGATCAGGTGTGTAATAACCCCGAGGATAATACTTGTCGCCATCATCACCTGGCAGGGGTTGTCCCATCGCCCACTTGATCCAAGCCACTGGACCCCAGCGGTTCCAGATAGTGGGCTGAACATAGAAAGGTGCGCCTTCGTAAAATGTGACATAGTTCCTACCATGCTCGTTGGGCTTTTCGGTAAAGACATCCAGGCGCATGAAGCTCGGACGAGGCAAAGCTAGATAGCGTAAGATCACTCTGCGCAATTGGAAGATTGAGGCAAATGTGATCCTGAAGAAAACAGGAGGTGTTTCCATCATCATCGCGTTTCGAAGACGTTCATCCATGAGGAACGAAACAAAGTAGACGCCTAGGGGCTTCATAAAACCCGGAAGATTGTACACCAGTACATCTATGGTCTTCTCGGCGATCTCCTTGTTGCGAGGATGCGGCTTCATGTGTTGCAACTCGTAGTAGTTACTCCATTCACTGACTTCTTCCAACCAGTGTATCCCATCCCTAAAGCCAATCTTACCAGAAGGAAGCTTCTCATAGCTGATGGCCAGTGCATCGCCCAGACTTTTCCAGTAGGTGCCGACAGCACAGCGCTCCATCTCAGTCATCTCGCGCCATTCATATAGCTTGACAAACCGGATGGGCTCAGTTGCGAATAGACTCAGTGTGTACAACATGTCGTCTTCCAGGATCTTTCCACTGTCTCGGTAGCCCTTATGCAGAAATTTGGTTCGCGCAATGGCAGTTTGCGCTCGTTCTGAACTAGGGTCAAATGCCATGAACTCGCCGATCAGTGTACCAGTGTCGGCATATCGTTTGAATGAAGTTGCCGAATCCGAGAATTGAGAGGTTCTCAGAAGAAGGGTCGATATCGTGGGGATCCCATAGGTCTATGACAGTATCTGTCAGTTATTTTGCTCTTCTTCAAATCAATGGGACATTCTTACCCGGAAAAGAGCAAATTGGAGTGATTTTAGAACTATGAACGGATACTCCATCTGCATTATTGTCTTCTGGATGGCAAATGCATCGTGGTCCGTCATTTTTCCCATCGAGGCCCGGGTCTTATAAGGGTATTTATTGTGAAGATTGCGACGCCTTCGAAACCGTAGTGATGATGCAAGCACGAGATATGCAGTCAGTCCCAAAAGACCGTAGAAGATGCGTCCCAGTAGTGATACTTGGGACAAGTGGTTCAAAATTGGATTTTGGAGCATGAGATAAAATGAGATAGGCCATGCCATAATGGGAAATAATATCTACTTTCAGCTTAGAAAGTGCAAGGAACTGATTTGATGAAGATGTACTCTTGGGCTTACAGGGTGACGTGCTCTTTTATACATAATCTGTCTCTTCTCGTGACAAGCTCTCCTTCCGAATATCATGGGGCATAATTCGATGATGCTGATGATCCTCCATCTATTCCATCTCATGGTACATTTTCCCCCGAGGCACCCGTCTAAAAGAGCCAACGGACCGAGGAAAGTGAATGCCCGAGCGCGGGGCAGCCCTACAATACAATGCGAGCACAACATGGGCTAGTTCTGATGTCTCATGTCAATCATAAACACTTGAAGTCTATGAATAAGCATCTTGGGTACGTTGTGCTTAGCAAAAACGTATCCGGAGGGGCAATGTTGTGAGATAAACAGTGGCGTGAGCCCACAACCGAGGTGATGCATCGCGACGCAAAAAGCGGCTAGACGGAAACGAAGTGGTGTTTGTATGATTATCTCAGACTTTCAAATAAACAGTGGCCTAGGGATTGCATAGGGTCCACTTGCTCGGCACTTCAGGGCGGATTCCAGCTGGCCGAGATCGTACGACTAACTCGAACGATCACAGCTCGGGAGAAGAGCAGCTTCGAGCGGGGAGATCGACATTCTCTGGGCGAAAAGAGGCTGGAGATCGCCGCTTACAATTCGTGTTTTAGATTCACTGTGGTTGGTTCAGTGTTTGGTCAGTCCCACTTCACATGGAAGATGGCCATGCATTGCGGAGATGTTGTAATTCCCCCGTGTTTTCGTTACCCGGAATTTCATCTACCTTGCTTTCTATTCGGCAATTTCATTTCCCAAAAAAAGTCATCTAGACATTTAAATAGAGATAGGAGGACAATCTTGAAGTTGAAATTTGTTCGAGGCATCCAAATAATCATTGAGCTGCGTTCAGGCCGTGTACATATACACCTGGCCTTCACCTGGCCTACACCTCAAAACATCCTCACGAAACATGCAATGGACCAGTACAGAAATTTTCAATCAATTATAGCAGGTTAAGATCACACTCAAGCTGTCGCGGTGGTCTGCTTGATAGTCGCTTCGTCCTGATCCTTAATGTATGGAATGCCAGTCAACTTAAAGGCCCGCTCGCTCAGGACTGGGTCATTGACCGGCACAGCGCGATTATGCGGATCCTCTTTTCCATCACGCTGAGCAACATTGGATCCAGTATGCTTTGCATTAGGCCAATGCGTGGTACCAACACGTCGATCAAAGGCGTCCTTCTTTCGCAAGAGATCGTCCTGCGACGCATCTGCGACCGGCATAAAGCAAGTGTAAACCGCGAAGCGGGGCTGGTCGTTCTTCGGGCTTAGGTTGTAGTGCGGCGTGCGTGAGTCCCAGAGCAAGAGATCACCCGGTTCAGCGCACACTTTCTCCCAAGTGCATCCGTGGTCTTCGAGCCACTTCTGGCCTCGCTCGGTGAAACCGTACCACTCGGGTGTCCAGGCTGGGATCCTTTCTTCATCGGCCATCTCTTTATGGAACTGCTCGGATAGTAGGTGGCCGCCTCGGCAGACGATCAAGCCTCCATCCTCTGGTCCGTTGGGTAGGGTATTTACCAAGCCTTGCATGCAACGGAAGCCATGCTTCTCCGGGTCTTGATCCTGGTGAGGCCAAGGCTTGTTGGGTGCAATATCTGTACGGCTATATCATGGTCAATTTCTATCAGTTTGTCGAAGAGGCGATGTACATACTTGGGGAATTGGAAGTTGATAGCATCAAAAGATACAATGAGGTCTTCATCGTCGTAGATCTTCTCAAAAGCCGCGACAACTCCTGGCTCGCTTCGGATATCCCACACAAATTTCTCGTGTGGGAGGCCATAATGGAGACACATGCCCTTCTCGTTGATAAGGGGAAGATTGTCCTTGTGGACGGTCGAGAGATCGTTGCGGTCGTAGCCTAGATTGCTGAAAAGAGCATTAATTAAGGAACTTTGAAGGAACCCCTTTGTTATGAAACGTACAAGTTCTCCAACCACGAATGCATCTCATCTGCATACTTCAGAGCCCTTTCACGAGGAATAGCGCCCTTGACAATGGCAAAGCCATCACGGGTCAGTTGGTCACGGAAATCACCGAATTGCTGATCGGTCCCGTCGACGCGCATCCGACCAAAGCCGTGCAGGTTTGGATTGGTCGAGGCCGTCTGGGTTATGGTGGTTGTAGCAGACATGATTGGTCTGAGGTTCAACTTATTTCTCTTCAAAGTAGGTGATCAGTTTGAAGACACAGAAGAAGGTTTGGCAGAGACCTGTGTGTCATTTATAAATCAAAACAACTTCTCATAAACTGGAAATTCCAGGCTTCCACAAGGCAAGCATGATGTCCACAGACACTCCACACTAATTCACCATCATGAGAGGCAAAATTCTCGCTTCGATTGGCTCCAGGGCTTCAACAGTCCGTGGCGACCCTCCTCCATCTTCCGGAAAGTGGGCGGGTGGGGTGGGGATTCGGAATCATGGACATCGGGTATGTGGAGGGAATAGACCAGTGTCTGTGCTTCTCAGCCGACGAGATAAAGGCGGAAAATGGAGACTAGTACCTCGTGACGTCCAAGACTTCTTCTGATGTACTGGAGGGCAAACATTTGCAAACGGCATGCGCAGGTGCACGCTGGGTGCTCACTTGGGCTTGAATTGAACCCTGAGGTCCCGCCGATATATGCAGCGGAAACATGCCCACGATCTCTACGTGTCCTTGGAGTTTCAAAGAAAACATTCAAACAAGAATCGAGAACTTCACTCTAAAGCGAGATCTATCATCATATTCATTGCTGTTGACTCGAATCTACTGAAGCTTCCAGTCATTCCAGAATAATAATTGATTTGTGTTGATTCCCGAGCCTCGGATCCTTGAATCAATTTCTCAAATCTAACCCGGTTCACCTTGATTCAGGGAGCACACAAGTAGGATTGATTTCTGGGCTCAAGTCTTCCACCAGCTTCATTGTTCTTAGCTTCATAAATTTATCTATCTTTCGGTTCAGTACTTACCGGGTCGCAGCATGCGGCGTGCTGCTCAGTCTTGCAGGGGCTGTAGACCTGGCTTCCATCCGCAGCTTCGGACAACTTAATTGCGTGGTTACCTTGATTGAATTGTTAGCGCGTCAAGAAGTAAAAGAAGCGTCTCAATGACACACAATCTTCGCCGGTATATAGGAACGTTAGCAAGATGTCTTGGGTCAGGATCTTGCAGCATAAGCCAGGATCTCCGGCAGGTATTGGGTTGACTGGTTTGATGCAAGTGAATTCGCAGCTAGCCGCAGCGGCGAGGACGATCAAAGCGAGAAGTTTCATGTTGTCCCGAAGGAGTGGTAGCCGGCCAGTTCACGCGGCGTTCGCCAAGGATCTCCATCTCCAGCCCCTGAGAGGGACGAAGAATGATGACGTAAATGTCATTTTAGTGGAGACAATATGCGCCGTTGGAAAGAGGGTGCATGTACAGGCAAAGACCGCGAGGCTAGCAGATCAAGCATCGATTGATGGCTCTTAAAATATCCAACCCCAATCTTCCTGAGAATCTGCTGAGAGCTATGGATGGATCTTGCAGGACTTCGTTCTGTTAAAGGCCATTGAGTCATCCTCCCATGCCCAATCTGTATGTTGCATATCGAAAAGTTTCAAACTTCAGAAATGGACGAGAGAGAACCTGTCAGTGTAATTATGAGAAGAGAAAGAGGGGTCTTCTAGCACCCCTGGATGTTCTGCTAGTGGGCGGTGAAAATCAAGTAGACTCCCGCATAGTCTAACAGTCGCATAACGAACAAGTTAGTCAAATGCCTTTTATTTAATAGGATAGTATTTGATGGTTTTAGCAAATCAAGATATGCAGCCTGTTCAACATGCTCGAATAAACCAAGCGAACGTGGATCGGAAGCCGCAGGTGGCCCGCAAAAGAACGCCTCCCGATCGCCTCGGCTCCCCGCACATAAATCGAAGCTCTTCCCTAGCTTCAGGCCTCTCTAGGCCGCGATGTCTGCCCAAACTACACACCGTTCCCCCGCCACAAATCATCAATGTCCTCAATGTGGCAAGGCATACGAGCGTCCAGACCATCTCGCACGTCATTTGGATACTCGTGAGTGACCTAAGACATGGAGAGTTCCTGACGCCTAATGTTGGTGCATTTTAGATCGTAACGAACGCGTCTTTCAGTGTCCGAAATGTGAAAGAGGGTTCAATCGCAGGTAGCATATCAAGCTCCCGCCTCATCTCCATTTGTTTAACGAAGATCAGAGATGTGCTGCAGAGACACCAAGCAGTTCATGAGAAAGAATCTGCAGATGGAAAGGCCTCAAATCGCAGGGCAAAAGAGCGTGCCATCGCAGCGTGCGAAGCCTGTGCGACCGCTAAACTGAGCTGTGACAACGAAAGACCCTGCAAAGTATGCCATTGTAGCTGGCCATCTTCAACACAGCTGACTCTTACATAGCGATGCCGAGGAAAGCATATCCGGTGTGTTTCACAGGCAGCTAAGACATCGCGTCGGACAAGCGATCGGCGGACATCATCAATATCATCACATCCGCCTAATCTCAATGGTCAAATATCGAGTGGTCTATTCGCTGGAACGCCGGACTCGGCTCTCTCCGATTATAACATGCCCCCCGGATCAGTCTCGTACTCAGGCAGTGCTCATGACCCATACGAATCCAACCTCACGCATGAGCTTTCACTTGATACTTTCCTTCCTCGGGGAAATTTACAGACGTATGCAGCTCTCAATAGCTTCCCAGCTTTCTTTGAGCAAGTAATGCTACCAGGATTGGAATCCAAAGATGTCTTTCAAGAAACCCAACAGCCTCGAGTCTTTGATTTCATGCACGATACTGACTTTGCCCTGACTGATAATGACCTTTTCGGAACGGAGTTTATTCCAGATTTGGACAAAATTCTTGACACTATGGGACCAGTTCCCGAGCTTGAGGACCAGCAACAGTCTCCTCAAGATGATCAGGACTCGGCACGTCGACGAGCAGCCGCTTTTCAGCGGTCTCTATGGTCGGTATAACTTTCATACTAATCTTTATTGTTTGCTAACCCAATGGTTACAGGTTGTGGGTACCGGAAAAGAATCAACATGCTTTCAGCGACGAAGGTAGAATCCCCCTGAGGGATAGCGATAGTATACCGACAACACATCAATCTCGTCTTGACGCGCTTCGAATACCTGGAAATCTTTCGCAATATGCGCGAGACGATATTTTCAAATTGGTGTTAAGGACGGCAGGATCAAGACTCTCTGTTTCGGCTTTCCCGTCTGCGGACTACCTTGATAACCTGATCAAAATTGGGATTGGAAAGAGAATAGAGACAGACGCGTGGATTCATCCTTATACATTCTATAATCAAGAGTACCAACAATTGCGCCCGGAATTTCTTACCGCTTTGGTTGCTGCGGGGTGTGTCTGCTGCGGTCTCCCTTCTATTAACAAGACGGGAATAATTCTCCAGGAGATCACTCGAGTTGGACTGGCGCAGTTAGTAAGTGCTTGTCGAGTCTCATGAATCTTGGTTCTGGGGTCTGACATTTAGATTTTTAGGTAGAGGATGACAATAGTGTCATACGTGATCTACAGTACTTGCAAGCTTCAATGCTATGGTTAGACATTGGCATTTCTTGTGGCTTTACCCGGAAAATGCAGATCGCTGAGAGCTATTTGCAACCACTGTCTACTGTGAGTCTCAGGGCCTCGGAGCTGAAAGTCCGGCTAATGATTCAAGGCTCTTCGAAGGGCAATCACATTCGACAAGTCAGCCTACACTCCGATCACACCATATTTCGCTGCAGATGACGCAGAATCGCTGCAGAAGACCTGGCATAATTGGGTGCGACAGGAGTCATATAAGCGGCATGTTACTTTAAGTCCAATTTTCGATGTCTTCTAAGCTGACTATCAACAGATTAGTCTATCATCTTTTTGGTCACGATGTGGAAGTTGCCATATCAATGAACAGGTCCGCTCTTATCTCATACACAGAATTGACGTTGCCTTTCCCCGCCGCTCGGGATCTATGGCTAGCTCAATCCGCCGAAGAATGGAAAGAGATTTGGACGAGCAGATATGGTATGACGAGAGGATCTGATATGAGCTTGCGAGATTTGCTATCGGATTCATCTTTAATCACCCATGTTTCTCCTGAGCTCGATACGGAGATTGCCCGATCTGCCCTTCTTCATGGCCTGGCTATTCAGGTGTGGGAGTTTCGCCAGCAAAACTTATTATCCCAGGGATCGCAGTCAGCGTCGCGTGCTACTGCCCGTCTGTGGCTTCAAAGCAGACAGGAAGATCTGTATGCACCGAATCCGCCCCTTGTTGCTAATTTGCTAATTGCTTCATAGCTATACAACGCTTAGGACTACCCAAAATGATTCCTCAGACCAACCACCCACCAGCACTCTAATGCACGAGTTTGTCATGATGTACCTTCATATAGATATGGACGCAATCCAGCGATTTGTTGGCAGGATGGGAGAACTAGAAGCGCGGCGCGCATACCCAGGTCTACGGGGTTGGAGCCATACGAAAGAAGCCAGGGTGGCCATTTGGCATGCTGGCCAAGCTTTCAGAGCAGCGCGAGCTGTCAAAGCATATCAACTTCGTGGACTTGACTCCTTGGCTGTTTACCATGCTGCTCTCGTCTTGTGGGTCTATGGGTTGCTGCAATGTGGCGAGACAAGGAAGCTTGAGGTCGGTACTCCGATGAGCGAGGGTGAAGCCGTGCCTAGAATTCCTCTGGATGGATCCGAGGACCAGTTGATCAAGGCTTTCTTGGCTCGCGGGAATGGGCGGCCTGGATTGACCATGAACCACCACAATGGAAACGGAGTGGATCCGAAGACATTCTGCGAACTGAGCAAGCCTCGTTTGGTCATGGCCGTTGCGAGGCAAGTGTTTGAGGGGAATTGTCCTCGTTCCCTACCGGAAGACATTCTTCCCCCCATGGTTCAGAATCTGTGTTCCTTGATCGAGGAACTTGGGAATCTTCCATAGTGTGTGCGATGAGATCTAATGAGAGCAAACTTGTACCATATTAAATGCATCGCCATAGAAAGACTTTCTCTCATGGACGAAATCCAATCTTCCATAGTGTGTGCAATGAGATCTAATGAGAGCAAACTAATACCATATTAAATGCATCGCCATAGAATGACTTTCTCTCATGGACGAAATCCATGAACATGTTGTCTCTCAGGCGTAATACTGACTACTGACTAATTGCGATGCCCCTACTTGATGTCGTCGGCAAAGAAGGATTCAATTGTTCCGCCGGCAAATGGGGGACCCACCCCCACGGGGAACCCGAACGGAGTCAGTGGGGGAAAAGGCAAATTACTTCTCCACTGACAGATGCCAGATCCCCCGGACTTCGTTTAGAGCCACATTGATGTACCGATCGGGTCAATACCCCCGCGCCAAAGGCGCGTGGAGGACAATAGCCCCGTGCAAAAAAGCAGAGCATTCGCCCTCTTCTCTCTTCCTTTCCCCGGAGCTGCTGTCCATCACAAACGCCCTAGCATCATGACTACCATCGACCAGAAAGCTCAGATTGATTTTGTGGAGGATGTTGAGCCCCATGATAACAAGAATGGGGATCTCCTTGTCGATGCTGCGGGTTCTGTGCAGCGGTTGCCCGTGCCCAGTGATGACCCCAATGATCCTCTGAACTTCACGGTTTGGGAGAAAGCTGGGGTTATCGTCAGCTGTTGCTGGTTTTGTAAGATCTTCCTCTCTCAGCTTATGTACTTGGAGCTTGCTGATTGAGATATAGCGATCATGTCGTTGTCGGTGGTCGGAGGCCTGGGTGCTATTCTTGGTGTTTTTTTCAATCTATATGTTCCCCAAGGTCATACCCCAGATCAGGTTGTGTCGTTGACAACTTACCCTTCCCTTTTTGTGGGGATTGGTACGTCGATGCTGTCTCTTGCTATGGGACTTGAACTTCTAACTTGATAATCGCAGGAAACTACTTGATTCTCCCACTGGGCCTTGTGTATGGTCGTCGCCCAGCAGCAATCATATCGATTATTGTGCTCCTGGTTGCAACGATCGGATGTGCCGTCTCGCAAACATTTGAACAGCATCTTGGCTTGCGTATTCTTCAAGGCTTGGCGACAGGTGCCACAGAGTCGGTCAGTGGATACGTCGAAGTGAACAAGGGACAGCAACTGACAATTTGCAAAAAAATAGCTTCTCCCATTGATGCTTTCCGAGGTCACATTCTTGCACCAAAGAGGTATGGTCTTTGGTCTATACTGGGCAACACAGAATGTAGTGACCAGTTGTCTGAACCTGGCTTCCTCATACGAGGCCGCAGCTTTGGGATGGCGCTGGTTTTACTGGGTTTATGTGATTGCTGTCGGTGCAGGCCTCGTCATCGTTCTCTTTGGCTGTTTTGAGACTCGCTATCACCGTGGCGCGATGGTTGTCAATGGGCAGATGGTCATTACGGATCAGTTCGGTGTCACGCAGGTTCTTTCCGGCTCCCAGGCTCGGGATCACTTGCAGGTACTCGAGTCAAATGACAATGAGCATGTCCCGGAGGAGCCCCGGCCTAAAAGGACGTACCTTGAGATGCTGCGACCCTATGATAAACCGGCAAAGAACCCACTTCGAGTGGTTTTGGTAGCTTGGTTTCACATGTTCGAAGCTTTCGGTTCGCCAGGTATACTTTACGCCACGTTGTTATCCTCTGTCGTTCTCGGTTCTACTATCGGGATGTCATTATCATACGACGCTGTTCTCCAGTCATATGGTTGGCAAGCCAAGAATGTCGGCTTGATCAACCTAGGCGGCGTGTTCGGCGGTTTCGGGGGAATGTTATACGCAGGTGTGTTTGGTGATTGGTTTATTCTACGCATGGCCAGACGTTCTGGGGGAGTCCATACCCCAGAACACAGATTGATACTGCTGATCTTGCCTGGAATCTTGACCGTGGCCTCTCTTCTACTTTATGGTTTCACCGCGGGAGGAGGCTCGACGTGGGGAGGGCCATACATGGGCTGGACTTTGCTCCAGGTTGCCTTTGTGTCGGTACTGATATTGGCGACTTCATTCGCTGCTGAAGCCTGGAAGAAGAATCCGGGCCCGGCGCTTGTGGCTGTTGTTGGCACGAAGAATATTATTGCCTTTGGGATAAGCTATGGTGTGAATCCGATGGTTGCAAAATATAGCTACCCAGCGGCGATGGGAATATTGGCGGGAGTCACAGGCGGTGTCTTCATGCTTGGTATCCCAGTATATTTCTTCAACCCTATGGTGAGTCCACCTGATTTTCTGGATAGCAAACGAATTGGCAGAGATGCTAACGAAAAGAAACAAAAACACAGTGGCGGCAATATATGCAGAGAAAATCGCGGCTTTGATCTTACTCACTTGTATATTGCACGGCGGTGGACAAGAGATAGCATCAGTTGTATAATTCAAGTGAATCCATTAGTGGAATATGTACATCAAGTCAAGGAGATGATCGTAGAAGTTCCCATTAGAATTTCCTTAGGACTGGACAGGCTGACCATTCGCAACCTGGATGGTAGTGTTGTAATTCCCAAAGCAAGCCTCTTGGTACATAGCCTGCTTGACTAGTTCAGGAACATAATTTAAGAACTTCTTCATGTCACAGAACCCGTTGAGCGAGCCCTTGCAAGCTTCCAACCCCTCAACGGGTACGGGAGCATTGTTCAACACAAAGCGAATATAGTCGGTTGTATTCGAAGTCGACGACAAATCCGGGTTGCTATACATTTGATTCTGAAGATTGTTGAAGTTGACGTCGCTCGGGCAAGTCCAAACCTCGGTAAATAGACGAGCACCAAATGGGGCAACCTTGCGCATGACGAAGTTGCGTGGAACAGCGTGAGGGACGTCACTAGGCATACCGTGCGGACCGTACTTGAAATAGTTCACGCCTAGAGCGGCCAGCACGGCGACAATCACGGTCTCGTGGGACATGTCCATGTACATTAGCTGGTGCAATGGGAATTCGTGAGTGTTGTCATCGTAGGTGGAGTTGATGCTGCTGTCGCTTTTCATAATCAGATGCGACTGCAAACGCGCGGCTACCTCTTCCACATATCCAATACCTTGTGCGCGGCCGCTGGGGGATCCAAAGTTGTTGTTGCCGTAGAACATCATGTCAATGGCATACTCGAAGTCTTTCCACTCTTGTTCTGTGAAAAGTGCACAGAACGAGGACTGACCCAGAGTCGCATACTCATAAGGGCACATACTGAACATAGCATAGACATCCATGGTGGTGAGGTTGAAGTCCTGTGGCAAAAGAGCCGCGAAGCGCTCTCGGGCGTTCTTTGTCAATTTTGGATAAAATCTAGCAACATCAAAGTCCCTACTTTCGTTTCAGCCAAGGTGAAGATCCTGAACAGGGATAATCGTCAGAACTTACCCATTGCTGCTACCGTTGGTGCAAGTTGAAGTCGAGGAGAGTGTGGTGTTAAAGCCATCATCCTCCGACATGATGGTAAGATCGTACAATGAATAGGAGCTGTTGGCTCCAACATTGTTAAAAAATCCGCCTTTGTGAACAGTCAACATCATTCTCCGTTTTTAGGCCTATAACTTTACTTAGCCACCAGCGTGCACTCTCGAGAATGCGCGGATAGTCGGTCGTGCGGAACGTAGGTTTAGGACGAGACGTGCCATTAAGGAACACATTCATTGAGGGATCATAGATGGCATCACCTCGACCAGCACGATACAACAGTCTGCCATACTGGCTCCAAAACAGAGCGCCTGCCGTAGCCTCAGTGGCTGCGCCAGACGGCAGCAGCAGGTTTTCTCCAAGCATGTACTCCCAATCGTTCAAAAAGGAAAGCGGCCCCGAGCCGACCTTCTTGTCGGGGTTCTGCTTAGAATAGTTGGCAACTTTACTAGCAAAGGTCTCCATTCCACCACCGTCGGTGGGCCACGAAGATGGATATCGCTGTGCATGACGGTGAAGCACATGCACCTGAGACAGCTCACATTGGGCAGGGAACCCCTTTTCAATGCCAAATCCGATCGAGTCAGAGTATGGACTTAGGTTGCCCCAGCTTGTCTTCATGTCGAATCCAGACGGAAAGGAGGTTCCGGTTGGTGAGGCTGGCCTTGAGCTAGAACTTATACTCGGCATCACCGCGGCAGTGCTGCCACCTAGGGCGAAAAGAATAATTGCAAGGGAATGCATCGCTACCTTCTGAATCACTATCAAGTTGCGACTCAATGATGCGACCTAAAGAAAGCTCCAATGGAGCCTGAATCCTTATATAGCTTGCTTCTTGGTTCAAATTGTTACACAATTGGATCGACCCGGAACATTCTATGTTGGGACCCCCATAGGCTCCGTTTACTCTTCTCCGCATTTTTGCAAGGAGCTCTGGGGAAGCAGACTCAATTCGGGAAACGATTGACCCACCTCCACGCGGTGACGTTTTCCGGGTGATGAAGTCATTGCAATCAAGTATGCGGAGTGTGAGGTTGAACTAGAAATGCTTAGGAGGCTTGGAAGTCTTCGTCGACGGGAAAGGCAGACAAGGTAGTCCAAAACAAGATGCAGCCCTATCGGGGGCATAATTAAGTCCGAGACCTTCGGATTCTACGGGCGAACTTCGGAAGGTTGGCCCTAAGCATTTTTACATCATCGGAAGAGCTTGACTGAAGTCTTGGCGTAGTTGGGCGCTCGCTTGGGAAATTTTAGGCTGATGATGCTCAAAACAGAATGATTGATTGCTGATCTTTCGGCGAAATGCGAGATCCACTGAGAACCTGAACTGTGCTGAAGCTGCAAATCGAGCAAACCAAACCAGAATGACTAATATGGAAATAAACACGACGATCCGTAAGCCCTAACTGAATCCTTCTTCAAGCTAGAGTTTCCAATCCTCGTAAATAAACCCTGAAAATATCGGCCCGCGATCTAAATGCGAGAGGTGGAGCAGCACCGTGAACCCTTTTTTGGCCAGCCATGGAGTATTCCATTATTCACTTCGTAAAAGAGGTTGAATGACTCATCACATCCACGGAGTGCATACTGCAGTGCTATGCACATCATGAATAGCTCGGAAAATAGAATAAAGACCTTGCGTATGACCTCCTCGAGCTCTCATTCCGGACCCGTTAGGACCCTAGTCCACACGCTCATAAGCCCCTTAGCGCCTTATGTTTATTCAGCTTCAGCTCCGCAAATGTGCCGGCCCGAAACACCACTCGCTTACATTGCACCGATTTAGGTCAGGGCCAGCGCCATTTCGACGTGGTCACTCGTATCCGACACGAACGACTGGGATGGTGTTTCTTTTGGTGGCGCCGGGTATCCGTCTCTTCCAATAAGGCTGATCCCTGGCTTCTTTTTTCCCTGTCTCGATATCGAGTCAACTTTGAGCCGCACGTGGGAAATGTCAATAGAAATAAAGGGCTGCAAGGGCGCCCCCCTTTGCTGTTGCTGTCCGTCACACTATACCTAGGAGTCTCTTTTTCTTTTTCCTCTTCAGCCCGGAAATATTGTCTGCAACCATGCTGGCGTTCCATATTGCTCTATATGCCATCATCGGCACCTGTTTTGCCTTCTCCGTGATTGAGCTAGGACTGTGTGCCTATGTGGTTGCTGTCTACACTGGTAGTCGCACGGAATCGTACTATGATTTCATTGCAGGTAACGAAGTCTCGCGGACTGTCCACGTCAGTACCCCGGGCATCTTGGCTTTCCTTGTCTTCTCTGCCGTCTGGTCTATGCTAGTCTCAGTCGTTGGCCTGGCCTTACCTCGGCTCCTCACTAGCAAGGGCAAGGCCACTGTCAAATCGAACAATATGCTCGGTGTCATCTTTACCGTTCTCTATGGTGTCACCTGGGTGTTCTGGCTGGCCTGCTTTGCCGATATCGCGGCCAATCTTGATGGTATCACCAGCTACAACGACTACTTGAACGCGGTGATTGCCTTTGCCGTCCTGCTTTGGTATATTTCTCCCTTCCCAGATTCCCTACTACTGAAACGTAACTAATTCTGTATTTGTCTTCTAGGCTCCTCTTTATGGCCCTTTTCATCCTGTCGATTCTAGCACTTTGCGGCGTGCTCTTCTCCGACTGGCTCGGCTATCAATCTATGCGCAATGCTGAGGCAGGCCACGCGCCGCAGGAAGTTCGGGAAGCCGGTCTTCCTGCTCATGATGCCACTGCTCATGATGTGCCTACCAGTACGGTTCCTGCTCCTCCTCCGTCAGAGTTGTCAATTCGCAATCGTGATGCTGAGGCTACGCATAACCAGACCATTAGTAGCACTCATAGCGTCTCATCGCCGTCGGCAATTACCAGCGTGGAGCTTAGCGGGGATAGCGCCGTCCACCCGTCCCACACGAGCCACGCCTAAAGTATCGTTGGAAAGGCGTGGGCCCCCGTTACAATAAGCTCGTGATGGTAATGGTGTAATGGTTGAGATTCATCGAGCGGAATGAATACCCAGAGAAGTTTGGAAACCCTTGAATGTCTAATAATGCCTGTCGATATGTCTTTGAAGGTCTTGTTTAATAATATGAACGTACGTTAATGGAATCTTTGTTATGAGCGGAGAAGAGGGAAGTTCTCGCTAGTCATCGGGGAGACCCAGGTATATCGGGCAATCTATGGTTCGAATTATGCGCAGTGTTCACGCAACATGGCCAGGTCGCTGTAACAGAGGGATCGACTATCCCCGTATCGCAATGGAAAGCAAACATATATATCCAGGCAATAAAGACGAAGGGAAAAGAATTAACACATTGGTAAAAGTGCTCAAGCAGTAGGCTGCTCCGAGGTGTGCTCATGCTCCTCGGAGTCGTGGTGGCCGTGCTTGGACTTCTTCTTTTCCTTCTTCTTCTCATCCTTGCCCTTCTTGGACATAGCCTCAGCCATCAACTGTTCAAACGCCATGTAGTCACCCTCCTCTTCGGGGTCTCGCGCGGCCTATTGTTGAGGTATTAGTATATGCGTAAAAAAGAGGGGCGGGTGTCAATTTGCGTAATCGTACCTTAGCGTAGATGTTTCCTGCGAGGACCAGCGCATGAGCGCGCTCGACGCGCTTCTCCAAACGAATTCGCTTGTCGCCGAGAACCTGGTCGCAAACCTCACGTAGGACACTTTGAATCTCAAATTTGCTGCCACGCCATGCCGCAGCGAGAATCTTGCCGGTCACCTTCTTTTCATACTCGGCCTTCTTCTCATCCGTCCAGTCCTCACCGCCGCGTTCCTCCAATTTGGCCATCTCCTCCATGGTCATTTGGGCGTCAATAGCGGTGGAGATGGTGGTCCAGGTCTCCTTGGCGAGAGTGCCCTTGTCCTTGAGACGCGAAAAGAAGCCGGAGATACCGAGGAACTTCTGCGACTTGAGGAAGGAGGTACCCTTCTGCGTGTAGGTGGCGCCGACGGCGTGCAGGATCTCCAAACCGAAGGACTCCATCTTGAGGTTCTCAACCTCCAGGCGAATCTTCTCCTCGAAAGCATATGTCACATCCTTGCCCTTGTCGGTCTCGGTCCAGACACTCAGACGATCAACCAGCTTGTTGGCTAGAGTGTTAACGCGCTCCTCGCGGGCCTTTCGCCGCTCCTCCTCAAACGCGTTGAGGCGCTCCTGTTGCTCCTTGGACAACCCCTTTTTCTTCTCCTTCTTGCGGAGCTCCTTCTCCTCCTGCGACAGACCAGCTGCCTCCATGCGCGCCTCCTCCTCGGACTTGTCCATGAGAGCCTGTTGACCCATGTATCGTCGGGGCGTGCTGGCACCCGAGCTCTGGCCAGAGGCTGCCGTAGGAGCTTGGGCTTCAGGCTTCCCGGCCTCGGCTGCTGAAGAAGCCTCGGCGGCGGCACCCTCAGTGGTCGCACCTTCGGCGCCAGTAGCCTTCATCTCCTCGTCGTGAATGTTGAGCTTCTCTTCGGCCGAAGCGGCAAGTTCCTCCTCCTCCATCTGCTCCATCGTGATGTCCATAGTCGCGGTCAGGTCTTTCATGAGAGAGATCTCGCCGATGAGGTCAACGAACGCCTCGCCACCGAAAATCATGCTGAAGAATTCGGACGGGTCCTCTGTGGTTGCCTGTTAGCCATTATGCTCTAGCCTTGATGCTCACATCCGAATAATCCGCGAGGTCGACGAACCGAAACCCCCACCGGGGACAGATTCCTCCTTGCCGAATTTGTCATATCGCTTTCGTAGGTCTTCGTTGCTGAGAACTTGGTAGGCTTCACCGATCTAGACAAGAAATTAGTCCAAGGCAGCGACGTTTACTGCGGACGGCGCGCATACCGCCTGGAATCGTTCGTGTGCGGTTTCGTCGCCGGGATTCTTGTCTATCGAAAAGCGTCAGATACATATCTCCTTCAAGATGCGGTCCGCCTACCGGGATGGGTGGTGATCGCAAGCTTGCGGTACGCCTTCTTGATCTCAAGCTCAGTAGCAGTGGGCGCGACGCCCAAGGCGTCATAATAGGCGGTATCAGCGACCATGGTGTGATGCTACAGAGCTGTGGATGCTCTGACACGGTCAAATAAGCCCGGATGAGCCGCGTTGGATAAAAAAAGATGGGATGATAAAAGAGAAAGCACTTTTTTGTTCCCCGCCATATGACGCCGTGTAGGGAATGGTCAGGTCACGTGGCGAAGTCTCTTAATTTCCTCGAGTTCGCCCCCTATTCCTCTTCTTCCCCGAGTCTCTGCAACTTGATTTCTAGCCTGTTTCTCTCTTTCCCTTCTTTCTTCGGATCCTTGAGTGTCCGAATTTGTCCAAGATGGGTTTTATTGGAACTGCCGCTTACCTCGCCCTGCACCCGTTGCAATTGAGAGCAATCGTTCAGTGGTACGTGTCCCCACAGCTTTGGAGCTGCCCTTGCTTGTTTTTGAGCTTTATCACATTCCGGACTAACTTCGTCGGTCTTATAGGAAGGTCTGGCACAACCCCCCTCACGAACGCGACGCCAAGAACGACACCGAGACCCAGAAGCAATGCTTCAAGTTTCTGGACCTGACCAGCCGTAGCTTCAGCGCCGTGATCAAGGAGCTTCACCCGGAGCTACTGCTGCCCATCTGTGTCTTCTATCTCGTCCTCCGCGGTCTGGATACCATCGAAGATGACACCTCCATCCCCTTCGCAACCAAGGAGCCGCTCCTTCGGAACTTCAAGGATGTCTTGACGGAAGATGGTTGGAACTTTACCGGTAACCGCCCGGAGGAGAAGGATCGGGAACTGCTGGTTCAGTTCCAGAACGTCGTCGCCGAGTTCAAGAACATGAAGCCCGCCTACCAGGCTATCATCAAGGACATCACAGACAAGATGGGTAACGGTATGGCGGACTACTGCGCTAAGGCCGAGAAGGACGAGGCGGCCGTGAAGACCATCGAAGAATATGATCTCTACTGCTACTACGTCGCTGGTCTGGTCGGAGAGGGTCTCACCCGTCTGTTTGTCGAGGCAGAGTTCGGCAACCCTGCCCTTCTCAAGCGCTCCAAGCTTCACAAGTCCATGGGTCTCTTCCTGCAGAAGACCAACATCATCCGTGACATTCGGGAGGACTTTGATGACAACCGGCGGTTCTGGCCCCAGGAGATCTGGTCAAAGCACGTTGACAACTTCGAGGATCTCTTCAAGCCCGAGTACAAGGAGGCGGCGCTTAACTGCAACTCTGAGATGGTTCTCAACGCCTTGGAGCACGCCGAGGAGTGTCTGTTCTACCTGGCTGGTCTGCGTGAACAGAGTGTGTTCAACTTCTGTGCCATCCCGCAGTCGATGGCCATTGCCACAATGGAGCTGTGCTTCCGCAACTACGACATTTTCGAGCGCAACATCAAAATCACCAAGGGTCAAGCATGCGAACTGATGATGGAGTCGACCCAGAACCTTGCCGTTCTGTGCCAGACATTCCGGAAATTGACTCGCGCAATCCACAAGAAGAATACGCCTAAGGACCCCAACTTCCTGAAGATTAGCATTGTTTGCGGCAAGGTACGTTTCATTACGAGTTGTTATATGATAAGTCACTAACTGCATGCTATATAGATTGAGAAATTCATCGAGACCATCTTCCCCAGTCAAAATCCCGAGGATGCTCAACGACGGGTGGCCGGCGAGATCACCGCCGCGCAGGCCAAAAAGCGGGAGGAGGATGCTGAGAACAAGTCCGACATCTACTTCCTGATGGGTCTTATGGGAATCATTATCTTCTTCGTTGCCGGTGTGATGGTATGTCCGCCTCGATCCTTGAGAATTCCCCAGCTAACTTTCATAGATGTTTGCGGCCTGGATGCTGGGTGCTCGATTCGACCTGGCCTGGAAAGAGATTACCTCGGGCAATTTGAGGCCTCCCAGCTATTACAAAGAACAGGCTGCTCTCCACGGAGAGCTCTGATGGACATTTTTTTCACTACACGGCGTTACGACTTTTATTGCCTAATCTTCGATTCCCCCGTCCGGTGGACTCTTGTTTTATTATTTCCCCATTCCATCCGCGCCACCGGTGCCTTGATGTGTATTGATAATAATATCCCATATTTTCAACCAACTTGACCTACACTGACCACCCCCTGCGGGATTTCCTTTAGCAAGTCCAGTTTGGCAAGCACGGATGTCAAATTGCGATCCAGCCCTTTCATGGCTGTGGTTGTGCCGAAGAAGTGCTGACATCGACGGGGATTCGTCTCTTTGTCCAGTGAGTACTAGATTTGTGTCCAACGATTCAGTTCGAGGTGGCACACGTCCATTGAAGATCTGGGATATCCGTAAATCATATATAGCCTTGGGTGTTAGAATGCAAATATGAAGCTATATATTGCCACACTACTTTGGCCGTCTTGAACGTCTTTCTTATATAGATATGTTTGTAACAGGGAGCGAGTATATCTCCGGGCAGTCTAACCCTGATGGCCTTTAGACCTGCTATCCACAGATGGTGCACACTACACATATACATATAGCGGCGGTCTCCAAGATGACGTCTAGAGAATTTCTCATCTCATCTTCGCTTGCTTCCTTATGGTAGGGATCTCCATGCTGACCAACTGATTTGCAATCGCCGAACAGTTGATTGCGGGAAACCGATTGGAAGCAGTTGCCGCGATCCACCGTCTATCCGCCGAATCAGAAATCTCTGCTTTCTCATCAATTCCAGATCTCTTCGGAAATGTAATTCTTTCAAGTCGCTTGAGCTTGATCTTGGATCTTGAACTTGAACTACTCTCACGCTGACTCGGCAGTGGTTCTCGCTCAACTGCCGTCCCATGCGCTTGCGACTAATTGTGCCCCCACTATCCCGGGCTCCTTTTGCTGCTCGTCTCTACTCATCTTCAAGATCTTTCAGCGTGATGGGTAACAAGAAAACTGCTCCATGTGAGGGCTCGGGCGGGTCCTTGCCCCCTCTGTCTCCCACTGAATTCCGGGCCTACAACCGGCTGTCGGAACAAATGGACGCTTTTGTCAGTGTTTTAATTCTCACGCCCCGCTCATAACTAGTCACTAACTCCGACTCAGCACAATCACTTCCGTATGACATGGAATCAGCTCTATGATGCTTGTACGAGCACCGGGAAACGGCCTAGTGGTCTCTCCGCCCGTCAAATGATCATGATGGGCCTCCAGTTTTGCTCCCAGCTCGACTTCCATCACTCCATCGAAGAGCAGCACATTTTCCCCGTGCTTGCGAAGAAGATGCCTGAGTTCCGCAAAGAGCTCGAGCTGCTGACCCAGCACAAGCAAATTCATGCCGGCCTGGAGAAACTCGAGGCTTATCTTGAGAAATGTCGTTCTGGCGAGGAAGATATGCGCCGCGAAGAGATCAAGCGCCTGATGGATGGGTTTGGAAAAGTGCTCTGGCAGCATTTGGACCAGGAGGTCGAGACTCTGAAGGCTGATAACATGCGCCAACACTGGTCTGTCGAGGAGATGCGCCGTCTTCCTATGTGATAATTTTCTTTGTTCATTGCAGCCTCAATACCCCAATGCCTGTTACACCACATCTTTCCATACACTCCAATATTCTTATTCATTTTTGTTTTTTTTCCACTGTCAAAATTGAAGATTGAAGATCATTTGGTGTAGACCCTACGCGTCCCAAAATCCTTGGCGAGCATTGATCTGGATCCAGATGACCTGATTCGAGACAGGACATCATACTGAAACACCGTCCATGATGATCAGTCCTGCGTTGGAAGTGACACCCTCCCGTGCCAATATCACCAAGAACAGTTGACTCAAATCTAGCTCTTATGATGGAGTGTGTTTGATTTTACAGCATTGCATCGCAGTCTCATGACGATAACCTCAGGTCAGAAATCTTCGGACCTTATGATTATCGCTGCGATACCCTGAAACCTACAGCAGAAGGTGCCACGGGGAATGCAGATAATATCTCGACCATTTGGAGATCCTATTACTCCTTTTGATCGGCATTGGCTTGCCGCATCGCGCCTTTGTTGCTGCACCCGTAGCGAAATCGAACCCAGGACGGGTTGAGCGACGGAGAGGTCAAATTTCGAGCCAAGAAATGCTCAACGCATTTTACTGTTTTCGGCATTCCTCATTCCTCTTTCGGAGACTGTCCAACCATGCTAGGTGTTGGTCATCTTGGGAATGTTGAACTCATCTCTCAACCCCTTGATTGGCGTGAACGTTCTGCCCGACCCCCCCCCCTTAACCTGTTTTTGTCCACGAGTCCGCCGCAAACACATTCCGTGGCCGAGTTTGATTCTAGATGCCTTCTATCTATGATATCATCGCTGTGCGTGAGCACCATGAGTCTGACTGTCGTGCATTAGAATCCCCTTGTTTGTTGTGTATTTTGAGGTTCACGGCAACTATTTTTAGGATCAACACTACCCTAACCCACTTCTCGTGGGGCTCGATATGGGGTATATAGAACAATTATCTTTGTTCTGCTATATCCTGAGGTTCCCCCGATCATTGGTGGATCCCGTGGCCTGCAGACAGCGGGACTTGCCGATCTTCAACCTATCCGTCGCGGCTCCGCAGCCAAATGTTACAGTCCCTGGAGAATGCAGCCGTCACCCAGATGCGCAAGCCACTCATCACCTTGTTCGCTGTCTCAACCCAGTCGTCTGATGATCGCGGAAGTGTGCCAAATCCCGGCCTACAGGCCACGCTGGTGGTCAGTCTTGAAACGGGCGTGATCAACACTATGCGAGCACCAATGTAGCGCATCAGTCTGGTCTGGATTCCTCGCTGTGATCGCTTGGCTGCCCTGCTCCGTCTCCGCCTCCCCGCTGCGCGGGGCCGGACAATGGCCGGTGAGCTCTTGGGATGGAGTCAGGATACACCACCACGAGATCCACTTCCCCATGCGGCTTCATTGTCGCATGCGACCTTTGAAAGACAAGGATATAAGATTGATTTACCAGCCCGGTGCTCTGAATTTACCTCTCGCCTCGCCACTTTTTCGATCGCTCCTATTATATTCTTTTCCGGAGTCTTGTCTCGCTCATCCACTGCCAACATGAAGTTTACCACTGCGTCCCTCGCTACGGCCATGTTGGCTGGTATTGCCCTTGCAGCTCCTCGCCCTGGTCTTGCTGAGCGCCTGGAGCAGCGTGGTGTCTTGCAGCGCTCGTCTCAGCCCGCTGGCAGAATCGACAACTCCGACAAGGAGAATGGCATCCTTCTCAAAGAGGGCTCCGATGCCAATGTTCAGTACAGCAACAACTGGGCCGGTGTCGTGCGCGAGTCGCCCCCTGCCAGTGCCACCTACTCTGCTGTTTCGGCCACCTTCACAGTGCCCGATCCCACGGCCACCGACAACTCGGGTGACATGCAAGCTGCCTCCGTCTGGGTTGGTATTGACGGTGACACCTATACCAAGGCCATCCTGCAGACCGGCATCGACAGCTACGTCCAGAACGGCGAGAAGACCTATGATGCCTGGTACGAGTGGTACCCCAATAGCGCCGAGAACTTCGACATTGACTTGTCTGCTGGCGATGTTATTGTTGCCACCGTCAAATCTTCTTCGCCTAGCAAAGGTGTTGCCATCATTGAGAATATGTCTTCCGGCAAGACTGTGACGAAGACTCTTACGGCGCCTTCTTCCGATGCCACTCTGGCTGGACAGAACGCCGAATGGATCGTTGAGGACTTCAATGCTGGCAGCTCCCAGGTTCCATTTGCCAAATTTGGCACTGTGACTTTCACTGGTGCTCAGGCTGAGACTGACGGTGGCGCTTATGGTGTCAACAACGCTGAGATTCTCGACATTCAGCAGGGTGGAAAGTTGCTTGCCGAGGTCAACATCGAGAGTGATACCCAGTTCTCCGTCACTTATGAATAAACTTGCGGCCTTTAGACAGCAGGCTGTCAGCTACTTGTATATAGCCATGATAATTGCTTTTCGGAGTTGATGGATTGGCGTTTCTGAGACCGAGGCTATTGGAGCTATTTGTCTATTTGCGATGACTTATCAGGTCGTGCGTATATTAGATCTGGATTATACCTGAATTTCTTAATATCATAGTTGAGCTATTACTATTCTGAGTTATCATGTTCTATCCGTCCCTTGCCTCTCATGCCATCAAAGCCGGATCACAGTATGCTTGAACACATTATCAGGATCATACTGCTGCTTGATTTTTTTTAAATCATTATAGTAGCTTCCGTAATACATTTTCAAATCAAGATCATTCGTGCTCGTTAATGGAGGGTAATTTGACTGCACGAAGTTTCTGGGATCGGTACTTTTCAAGGCCGCAATGAATTTCTGAGCCCATACGAGGTTCTCCTCAAGCTTCTCCGCCGACGCAGCCATCGGGATCACCTCGATAGTAAAGTGCGGGATTCGATTGATGAATACATTTGTCAAAGATGGCTTCAGAGCCTCGGCACGAACTTCGTGAGCAGTGAAGATGACTTCAGGGTTATTGGGCTGCAGCGGTGCGTGCTCGGCGATCACATCCAGGACCTCAGGGGTAAGCTGATGCAGACACAAGGAGTACATCGTGCCATAAGTATGCTTGGGGACCATGGAGTCCGTGATCGCATTAAAATCAGCCAGGCTCTGCACGGTTACAGTGTTCACTGCCACGGGACCCCACGAAGAAATTCTTGATAACCATTTCTGGCCTTCTTCAGTGTCGGCCGAGGCCCACATAAAAAGAACCACAAGAGACTTTCCGACTGGACCGTTCATAACCGATTGGTACACAGTGAGACGTGATGGAATGCCTTCTTCTTTGAGCTCCCAATACTTCATATTGAAATGATGGATTCTTTCACCCAGGTCGCCCGGATTATAGATTATGGCTCCGGCTAGTACCTTTGTACTTGTTAGAATCGACAAAATGATAAATATCAGATATCACCTACCTGATTCAAAGCATAGACTTTGATCTTGAGTTCGTAAATGACGCCAAATGCCCCTCCACCGCCTCGAATTGCAGTGAGCATGGTCTCGTCAGCGTCACGAATAGATCCCCTTGCATCGATCACTTTAGCTCCCAGTATCTGGTCAACACCCATCCCACATGTAGCACTCAGAAGACCGTATCCGCCATGGATCGCCCATCCAGTATAGCCCACGGTTGGTGTCACACTGTGGGGTGTGGTCACTCCATGCACTTCTAGAGCTTTGAGGAGACTCATGGAGATTACACCACCGCCTACTCGTGCGGTCAGACTCTCAACTTCAACTTCAACGTGGGAGATCTCGCGCATATCAATTGTAATTCCCTCGTGGATTTGTGATCGTCCGTACATGTCATGGCCACCCCCGCGAATACTGAAAGGCAGGTCATTCGCAGTCAATACTGATATGAGTCCCGCAATATCCTCGGCAGAACGAGGTCGGACGATCATCGCAGGGACTTCACGAACGTTAAGAATGAATCCTGGGCGAAGCTCCGTGTAGTCCGGTGACTGCGGAGTAGCATAATGAATATGGGTGTTTTCCGACAGAAATTTGGTCAGCTGTTCCATCTTGGTGATACGATCAAATGGGAGTTCTGAAAACTCCGAATTCTGCGGCGAGTTTATAAGTGAGCAGAGTGGCGAACAGAGAGGGATGGACAGCCCATCGTGCTAGGTAGTAGCGGGCACGAATCACGGCCTTGCACAACCGTACCTTCAGTGGCTGGAAAAACGCATCATCCGGCAGGATGTGAAGCTAATACCATTGGATATAGCTTACGATAGTATCTGCGCCACGTAGTGGTCTTTGGACGCCTTATCCCTAGAGTTTTCCTGGCGGAGCCTTGACGGTCTTACTGCACCTGCATCGCCCGCAGCAGCATCTCGTCGCGTTTCTACTGTCCTGAAAGTTCTAAATTTGCAGACGGAGGCTTCAACACAGTCTTTCTTCTGCGAGCAAAGAATGACCGTGAACTGATCGCGCGATCATCATTCGATCAATGGTGCCTGGAATGCGTGGGGTTGGGAAATCGTGCCACGGGCACCATCCCAACGAATGCAGAAACTGAAAAAGAAGAGCCACCTTGCTGTTTCTGAGTCTAGGCTAATCTGGGAAGGAATTCAGTCAACCGACTTTTCAACTACCAGGCAGTATCTGGCCAGGGTCGGGGTGTGACTTGGGATCTTTCGAAGCTATGGAATCACCGGCGAGGAATCCTGGCTACAATGGTGGAAGCATGGGTTAGAAGAAATCTGTGAACCGTCAAGCATCGATGATATCCGATATCTAAGCATTTCAGTCGGTCAACTTGAAGTTCACCGACATCGGGACGAGATCCGACCGTGTGGGGTGGGACATCAAGGTTCCTATAGGTTCTGAGTCATCGCCACCGATATCCATATCTTTAAATCTTTAAATTCTTTCATACCAATTCAAATCCATTCATTCTTTCATAATGGCGGTTCTTATTGAGTCGGCGGTATTCCCTCGTGATTTAGAGGCGGTTCATGCTTTATTTTCGGGCTACTCGTCGTCATTGAGAATCGACCTCACTTTCCAATCTTTTCAAGACGAACTTGACTTTTTGCCCGGCAAATATTCAGAGTCTCAAGGAGGAGTTATCCTGATCGCACGAGGGGGGTTGGCCATGCCGATCACAACCTTGCATTACACTCGGGGCCAACTTCCAACCCGACGGTCCGCATCTTCCCTGCCGTCGGATGCGTCGCGTTAAGGCGTAGTCCCGACAATTGGTGTGAAATGAAACGCTTATATGTGCTGGAAGATGCACGAGGCCTCAAGCTCGGTGACAAACTGGTCGAAGCTATTGTTGCACAAGCCAAAGCTTTTAGCTACCGGGGTATCCGCTTGGACACTCTACCCGATATGACTGTAGCCCAACGACTTTATCGTCGGCATGGATTTGTGGAAATAGAACCTTATTATGACACACCTATCGAAGGTACTATTTTCATGGGCTGTGAATTCACCCGCTCGTGAATATCTCTCCTCATCTCATGGCACAGCAAAGTATCAGCCGACGCTTGATTAGACTACTTATATATTGCTCCGGGAAACACAATGTTTTCGGATCTCTGACTGAGACGTCGCAACCCAAAAGTTTGTCCGACCAGTCTGGTGTAATCTCAGTCTGTGTACAACTGGCTTTTCCATTGCAAATAGAACATTTCACACCAAGAAAGAGCGACCCCAAACCAGTCACCTCAGTAAAATCAAACTTGAAAAATGTATTATTGAGTACAACCCTACGGAGTAATCAATTATGAAGCTCACGAATTTAACATGTGACTTAGTATATTACATCCGAAGTGAGACTCAGGTTTCAGGTTTCTTAGGATTATAATCTTGAACAATAGAAGCCGATCTCGCACTCCGATCTCAGATGCTGTTAGTCACATTGCGTATACAAAAACCCATTCCTGCAGGCATAAAGTGATGGAGCGGGTCTTAAATCCGTACGATCGGGTGATATTTCACCCAAATGAGAGATTAACAAGGGGTCGGAGGTGCTCGGGGTTTGACCCTTCTTAATGTCCGAGCTGCAATGTCTCATCATACATACAAATATGTCGTTCGGGAAAGCAAGTTTATAAGGCCAAAGAACGGAAATAATTAAACCAGAAACTCAGCGAATTTGAAAACAACCTCAAAAGCATTCCATGTCAAGCAAATCATGACCCACCAGCCTTTAGAAGTTCTTGTCGTGGGTGCGGGCATTGCCGGACTGTCTGTAGCTATTGCTCTCGGGAAACAGGGCCATCGAGTAGTCGTGAGTATTGCAGTGCAACAAGACCATATGTGGGCGAGTAATGAAAATGCTGATAAAGAGATGCATATGTGACTTAGATCCTAGAAAAGTCTCACTTCCTTAAGGAGGCCGGAGCTGCAATTCACTTGCCACCGAACGCCACGGCGTTATTGGAATGGTTGGGAGCTGACCCGGCGACTTTCGAGGGTGTTCTACTGAATAAGGTGAGATTTGTTGGAACAGAGATAATATGGCTCACTCATCGGTTCATCTAGATCAACCGATATGACATCGAGGGCGACCTCAAGTTTCAAAGGGATTTCGAGTCCATCAGGCACAAGTGGCAGGCCGTACGTGGTCACATTATTTAGATGTGAGTCGGCTAATCCCCTTCTAGGAGTGGTACCTTGTCCACCGAGTCGGCCTCCATAATGCTCTGAAGGAGCGTGCCCTTGAAACTGCCATCCTCCACACAGGATGTACAATTACGCGAATCGACATCGACAGGCTACGCCCATCAATCACGCTCAGTGACGGCCGTAATTTTGAAGCAGATATTCTGCTAGGAGCTGACGGATTGAACGTCGGTTTCTTTTTACTTATTTCTCACCTAAAGATCCACCTGACCACTTCACTAGTCCCAGCTCCGCAAAACGATTGCGCCGATGGCATCTCCTCCATTTCGAGCAGGCAAGACATGCTATCGCTGGGCTATTCCGACGGCTGATCTGAAGATACATGAGCTTACTCGGGGCTATGTTCAAGAGCCAGGGGTGTTCATGGAGTTTGAAGGCCCAACCCGTCGTTTGGTCGCTTATCCATGCTCCGACAACAACGTCTTCAACATTTGCGCTTTCATCTCCGCTGACCCGAACCAAGAAGCCGATCAGGATGAAGGTTAGTGACTCAATTCCGATACCATGTATTCTAGCTTATATTAGTGTCTCTAGGCTGGCAGACTAGCGCGGACAAAGGAATCGTCGTCGATGCCTTCTCCCATTTCAGCATTGGGGTCAGACAGATGATTGACAGCGCCCCAAACCCAATCAAGACGTGGAGCATGTATGATATGCAGACTTTGCCCACCTGGGCTATACGTAATACTGCACTACTGGGTGATGCCGCGCATCCATTTCAGCCACGTATGCATATTCAAATCTTCATAGTGAAACACTTGACTGACTTGAGACAGACATGGGCCAAGGTGGTGCAATGGCTATCGAAGATGCGGTCTCCATCGCCATGCTGCTTCCATCTGGCACGAAGACATCCGACATTCCGGTACGCCTTGGGCTTTACCAGTCATCGCGTCGACCGCGAGTTGAGATGATTTTGAACTTCACCCGCATGAATGGTCGCGACGATGAAAGAATTTCACGTATGTTTTCCTTCCACTCTGTAACCATGGAATTCGTTGACAAGTTACTAGCCGCTGAGATGGTGAAGTTCATGGAAATCTGTGTGGCGTACAACGAGATGGAGAACTGCACAAAGCTGCTGGAGGCTTTGTGAACAGCACTCCAAGAGCCATGCGCAGAATCGTTTCGTGATTGCCATTCCCCAAATCGTGGTTCTTCTTGAATATGCGAGAGTGGATTTATGGGCCTCACAATCGTACTGTACAATAATGACTTGATGTCTGTGGTGGTGGGCACTTGTCGAAAGTTGTAGCCTATGATGTGATTAGTGGTGTACGTAAATATTTAATGGCGTGTACAATTCCTGCGATCATGGACCATACTCATTGCCACATTGTTGGGGATGGGGACGCATGCTTGAAGTGATTCGGCAATTATTGCCCCTAGGATATGCAGGCGGTAGAGTGGTAGACGCTGTAGGCATGATTGTGGCTACATCGGCATCATCTGTCCTGGGAAATAAAATGTGAGCCAAGAGTCTCGATTCAGGCTGCCTTATTATCGTTGTGGCGACACGGGGGATCGGTTGGACAGGTCTATTCTGTCGACATCCGCTCCACTGAGTCCACGGATTCCGCTTGAGTATTGGTTACCGAATGGCTTGTAAAGGAGGGGGTCTGATCAGACATTGGTGGCCGAAATTGAATAATTACGACCCACATGAAAGTTCTCACAGGTTCGAGTCTCGTGGCCCGTGAGCCATAATTAAGCTTTGACTCGAGCTCGTGCCGATTGTCGAGCCCGATAGTCTGGTGGATTCTCGATGTGGTGCTGACCACGTCGTGGTCTTCCCGTCCCTTCACCGGCCAGATATCCGAATTCCATCTTCTGTGCACTATTTTAGTGGGACAGACTTTTCAAGCTGCACCCCTGCTATCCTAATCTCCACCTGCACCGGTGCGCTGGGTCGGTGGCGGGCTTCTTCGGTTCAAAACTGGTTTAGTCTGGCCCCAATTCCTGCAACTCAGAACGCAGACCGCCTATTTCCACAAAAATATTTCCAAATCAATCGCATTCTTACAGGTGCAGGTGCAGTTGCAGGTGGAATTTGAGAGGGGTCGGTCCGGCCTTGCTTACACCTGGGATCCGACTCTCCGTCTGAACCTTGGGCTATATATACGATGGTCAGAAAACAAGCACCGTGATTCAGCTCTCGTATGATGTTTACAAATCTAGAATTATACGGGCCAATCCATTATTTGTTCACTGATCTAGCTCCAAGACTCGTTAGTTGCTATGATTCCTCTGGAGAGCATCTGTCTTGGGTAATTCCCGACACAATGGTTGAACACAGTGGGTTTTGCTAGGGTAGATATTTAACTTCCAAAAATATGCTCTCACTTGTGTCTGGTCCCAGTAGCTTGGTTCGGGGTCGTACTGTTTCTATAATGCGCTGTCGCTCTCATCACTGCCCGGACTGCGTCGCCCCCAGTCTCGGGCCTTTTCATCTTATTCACTTCCCACACCCAGCCTTTGTCATTTTGCTCACGTCCATCTCTTGTCATATACTAGCATTATTCTGCCATCACTATGATGGATTTCTTCCCACATCTGGGCTCAAATGGAATTGAGGTGGACGCCGAGCCCGGCGTAAGGGTCAATGAAGAACCGCAGTCGTGCCTAATTACTGAATCATTTTCTTCCTCAGTCTTCCAGTGATCACGATAGCATACGCAGTGACCTGACGTCCTTGTCTGAGTCTGTGTACGCGAATGTTTACGAGAACGGTCGTACTTATCACGGTTATCGGCCATGGAGCTATGTATGTTCAAAGCGCAGTCTTCTCGTTCTCTCTAAATCTCTAACCAGTCCAGGTTCTTCCAAATGACCAGCGAGAGCAAGGTAAGTCAATTCTTTTAATTGATTTTCCCTTTTACGAGACCTACGATTGCCATACAAACAAATTGTGCAGACAGATTGCAGGTCATGCATCATATATTTCGGTTGTTTTTCGATGGCGAAATTTGCGCAACCAGACTCGAGAACCCTCAAATGATACTTGATATTGGAACAGGCACCGGCATTTGGGCAATGGAAAGTCTGCTACTTCCCCAGGTGCCAATTTGTTCTGTTATGTCGGCATGTTCACTGATAAAGCTGTAGTCGCCGACCAAATTCCGGCCGCTGAGGTAGTCGGGGTGGACCTTTCGCCTATACAGCCCATCTGGTGAGAATTTCTTTGGGAAATGACAAAATTTTGCTGATACAAACAGGGTCCCTCCAAATTTGCGCTTCATTATTGACGACGTGAACCAAGAAATGCGCTTTCCATCTAATTCCGTCGACTTCATTCATGTGCGGGGACTCGCTGGCAGCATTGAAAACTGGTCATCATTTTTACAACAATGTTACAAGTATGGGCGTCTCACGATCCCATTAGGTCATGTTCTTTGTTTCCAGGAGAGGGTCTAACAATCAATCAGTCGCCTCAAGCCTGGTGGTCGTCTCGAGATATCAGAATGTCGCCCTCAGGTGCACTGTGACGATGGAACTTATCCCGATGACTGTTACCTTCGGACATGGGTAGTAAGTTTGACACTACCTCTGAGCAGCAAACCGCGAGTCGCACGTATATGCTGATCTGCACTAGGATGAGTTTAATCGAATAACTAAGATTCAAGGACGCACCTGGGATATCATGCCAGAGATTCAAGGGTTGTTAGAGGATTCATCATTTCAAGATATCCACTTATCCGATAACAAGATTCCGATCGGACCATGGGCAAAAGATAGAAAGCTGGAAGAGATCGGGCGCTGCTTTCAGGCACAAATGGCCGAAGACGCCATCGAGAGCTACTCTCTTGCCTTATTCACTCGCTTTGGTGAATGGAAACTTGCCGAAGTTCAGGTACTATTGGCGCACTTACGCTCGGAACTCAAATCAAACAAGATGCACATCTACTCATATCTGTATGTTCCCACTAGCCGCCAGCTGAGCAACGCTAATTATTCTCAACAGCACATATGCCACGGCGAAAAAGCCGGCGACATAGCTTTCATTATCCTCCTAGTTTGAGCGTCATTGATCTCAAATGGAAAGATAGATATTGTGGTTACATTCTATCGAGTTTTCGTACTCGAAGGAACGGAATCCGACGGCCCAACAAGCTTCGCAATAACAATGTCACGACGTAATTCTGCTTCGCTTGTAACTTTGAATGATCTTGACTTTCATGCCCTTTCCAAAAAAAAACCCGATGTTCTGTTAACTTGAAATGATGCCTCAGGTGTCCAGATGACTGATCACGGCATCGATCGACGTCGACGCGTCTTTATTCCTTCGCAGTGAGTCATGCGTAGACAATGGAGTCTGCAAATCTGCGGCCTGGACCGTCGGATCAATTCCGTATCAGGCGGAAGCCCGTGTCAAACCCGAATCTGCGTGGAACTGCAAATGCAGATCACCAGTTGTCTCACGCCACAAGCTCCCCTGCTCTAGTACCACCGTCATTATTGCGGCCCCCATCTTATACTGAACTTTATGGACCAGCACCCCAATCACCCCAATTACCTCAACCCGATTCCCTTCACAGGCCCCGAACGGCGGGTGCCACGACGTCAACATCAACGACACCACCTCCACCACCTCCGTCATCGGTCCAGAAAGCATATGGCGAAGCGCGTCACTTTCTCGGTGGTCTCATTAATCATCCAACCGAGTCTAATAAGCACTTTACAATCTTACGGCATTCTCATGGCTTAGTGTTCTATCGTGGTAACACTACATCGGTGGCTGTATCAATATTCTCCGATGCCCCTTTGCCATTTGACCGTACAATATGGTTACAGAGCAAAGGATGGTCCGGAAACACCGGAATGCGTACCAAAGCGCTGCTTCGTCTTAACAATAGCTGGCTTGATGTCACACCGGGCATGCCGATCCGGGCGGACCAAGTGAAGCCAGACGATGAACGCGCCTGGCAGCGCGATATCAAAAAGTTCCGCAAAAAGGCACCTGCGCGTCCTCGAGATACACATAAATTGCGAGAAACGACCGTTGTGCGAATTCCTGCCGAGGCGGGTGATGGCTATTTCCAACTGGTCCTCTGTCAGGGACTAAAAAAGAAGGTTCTTTGCTACAGCCCGGTCTTTCGAGTTCTTTCGACGTCGGCCAATCCACATTCCCTCCGAGGAGCCAGCTTGAGTACACTGCCATTGGAGGTTGGGGCAATGGTAGTCAGCCTCTATGCGCAGACGGCTGCTCGGACAGTAGCTACCCCTGCGGCGGCGGTAGTCACGGCCAAGGTGAATCCCTATCGCCCCTCGTGGGTGACGCAAACCGCGGTGCAGAAAGTCTACTCTGCTAGCGGAGTCCAGGATAGAGTGGGCGGGGTTTTGAATCCATCTGTCGGTTCTAGTCAGAGATCTGCGATTGGTCAAGAACCTCCGCCATTCACGGGTACTGAAGTGTCGCCTGTTCATGAGGGGCCACAACTGCCTTTTCCAATGATCTTCAAAGCTCGTGGGGAGCTTGCACACACGCCGTCTCCCAACAGTCTCAACGAAACTCCAAAAATGGCTCTAACGAAGGTTCCGGACTGGGTTCCCGAGCAGCTGCGTGGCTACTTCTTTGGCTGGGCACGTTTCTGTACAAACCTCACTAAAGATGCTGCTCCTGGGCCGTGGTGTCCTATTGTCTTCTCAATCCGCACTTTGGATCCCCTGCAGGTCTCAAGGGTCGATATGGCACAAATTGCAAGGCGAACTGTGACTCTTCGTCTCTTGGATGAGGTTCCTATCCAGACGACCCAACTTGATATTCGACTCATGGGATTCCTTCGAGATGACATTCCACCTCCGACTGGAAGCAGCAGTCAAGAGCTTGCGGACGCACAGGCTGCAGCAGCGGAGGCCGCCCTTCTGGCCGATGTTTACGATGTATCTGTGGTGCAGAACACATTAGCCCATCCGGCATGGGCGCCAGAAGTGCCAAGCGCTGCCGAAATTCAACGGCAAAATACCAGCTGGGCTGATAAAACTCGGGAAGGATACGCCACTGCGAGAGCCCGTGGTCTTAAATGGGTTGAGCAGGTGCCCTTGCACCGGCTTGGGGTTCGGTCAGCGACAGACGAGTGGAGAGAGAGGCAAGTTGCGGTGAATGGATTTTACATAGTTCGATAAGTCATTCCAGCGCGCTTGTACTTTTCTCTCTTAGGTTGCGAAGTACATAACATACCTATTTAATGTGTATAATAGTTCAAAGTCTATTTTAATATCTATTTCAATCATATTGACTTCATCCCTGGTTGTAAAATGCTACTTCTGGTTCCAAAATTGCCGCGTAGTGGATTACACAGTGATACACCCTTCTCCACGTTGTGAAAGTTAAACAAAAATAGGATACGTTTCTAAACGAGTGTTCTATCGTGGGTATATGACTCTTAAGAAATAAAATCAAAAGCACCATATCCTATGTGTCATGTCCCATCGCTAAGTGATCTTGGTTCAATAAGCCTGGTGGCAAGTCTTATGGTCCCACGGGAGGCTCTGAGGCAGCCAAGTTGCACTGACGGAAGAGGCGCACCTCATCCGGCTTGAAGGCGCCCACGACAGAATGCAAAACACCTCTGTTGTTGAATAGAACCAGATCACCATTCTCCCAGTCATGAGGATAGACATACTGAGGGCTGATGGCCGGTCTCTGCAACTTGTAGATGATTTCACGCACGCGCTGAAGGTCATCAATCACGGTGCCATCGGCGCGGTGAATCCGGCGGATGGCAGACGGGTGCACCTGCATCGCCAGTTTACCGGTGACTGGGTTCTTCCAAAGCATGGGGTAAATCATGATCTTCTCCTTGTCAATGGGAGGCAGTTCTGACTCGGGCAACTCGAGTCCTTCTGAATGCAGACCGAGGCCAGTGGACCTTGACTGGGCAGAGCTCATCCAGATATAGCTAATCAAGACTGGTCAGCGCATTTCCTACGGTTTTTAGCCTGAAAGAGTGACTCACGGGTGAGGAGCATATTCAATCTTGCTCGTTCGCACGAACTCTTGGTCCTCTGGAGATAGACCCTCGTACATTTGCTGGCCGCTCACGAAAGCGGTCGTGCCGAGCGGGACCTCCATGGTCTCGTCAGTTCCATCATCATATAATAGTGTCTGGCGGCGGCCCTTTGGTACATTGACAGCCAAAAGCGTTGTCACCTGGGGCGGGTATAGATCATAGAGGGCCGCATCAATGTGCCAGCGGTAGAATCGCGTGAAGTCGTAATCTTTGTCATCGGGAATGTGGTCTTTGTGGAATGTTCGGTGGTGGGGATGCTTCAGCTGGATATTCTCCAACCCTTCATATGAAGGAACGAAGCCATTCCCGATCACTTGCACTTGTGGCTGGTGGGGAACGGTTTTCAGATCGGGGTGGAGGATGCTTCGCTTAGCGTCGATGGCCTTGCCATGGCCATAGCTCTCCGACGCGGGATCAAAGCGCTTGGTGAGCTCGTATTGCGCTTTGGGGGAGAGCTTATGCTGGTTTTTGAACACGATGACGTGATGGTGATAAAGCGCGTCACGGACGGTGGCAAACTGCTCGTCTACCAGATCTTAGCCAAAGGTCTTCTGAGGAACAATTTTGGAACACGAACTGGTCAAAGTCTCCAGATCGATGCCATCGATCTGAGCACCAAAGTCAATCTTGGAGCCCGCCGGGGGCTCCAGCGGTCGGACGGTCGGGGGAAGCACGGCCATGGCCGGGTTGTGAATAATTTCCGGATCGGCCAAAACAGCTCGGGCCGGGCATAAGCTTTTTAAGTGTATTCGGCACCGAAGAAGACCGTGCGTCTTTGTCGATGGAATGTGTCGAAAGAGAAATCGGTTGACGGCGTCCACCGGAGGAAAGAAGAAGTTATAAGGAGGCAAATTGCCCCAGAGATGCCCCCGATGCCCCGGTTTTCTACTATCGCCTGCGGGCGAGTGCGGAGATCTTCGATAAGATACGATCAGATGCCGAGCGGATGAGATATACGAAGATTAACGAGACTAACTGCCGATCTAGGCCGAACAACGTGAGATTAATTATTCACCTGCGCCTTGACATGAGACTGGGATGTCATCTCATCTCCATCACCGGTCACAATAATCGGAAAGGCAGCTCGGATACATAAACTATCTACCATATCTTCCACCACGGCCCACGCGGCCTCTCTGGCAATTCCGCCTCGATAATCTCCTGCAGTCCGGTCTGCATATCGACTTCTTCCGGACGCCATGCCCATGGATCGCTCCAGTACAGAGCTCGGTGGCCAAAGTACAGCACCAAAAAGGCGGGAATGCCGATATACGCAGTGAAGAAATTGCTCACAGACCACTCGGAAGGGAAAAAGACAGTAAACCCGTTGATCAGCAACATCAAGGTGGAACCGGCCATGCCAAAGTACGCCCCGTATGGCTGGATTCTGGAGCGATATGGCATTTCAATACCTTGTGCGTCTACTGCTTTGCGGAATCGGAAGAAAACGACGCAACAGCAAATCCAGGAGATGAAACCCGAAGTGTTGGTGAAGTTGACGAACCAGTTGAAAACGATTGAGCTCGAGTTGCCCACCGACAAATAGGCAAGTGCTGAGAAGCAGGCCGATGCGGCCACGGCATAGTATGGCACGCCCCATCGGTTGCAGGCCTTGAAGACGCTGGGTGCATTGCCCGACACGGCCAGTGAATACAAGGAGCGTGATGACATGTATAGGAACGAGTTTCCGGCTGACCAGGCTGAAGTTAATACTGCCGCGTTGACAATGTGATCCAGAACTGGAATTCCGGCGTTTTGGATGCCCACCACGAATGGAGACGAGTTGACAGTCCCGTCGCCGGTTGTCAGCCGACCAGCGTTGGACGGGCAGATGACACCAATAGCCAGAACTCCGAAGATATAGAAGAAAACAAGACGATAAATGTATCGCCGGGCTGCACGAGGCACATTGCGACGTGGCGACTCCATCTCTCCACCACTGATGATGATCAGCTCCGGTGCGAAAATGAAAGCAATCGCGCTAGATACTGTGCATTTCAGCAGACCAACGAATCGTCCTGTGTCTCCTTTCACCAGATACTGATTGAAGGAACCGGGATGCTTCCAGTAATGGAAGCCCAGCAATTCTCGATTTGGTCCGCCGCCCCAGAAAAGAATGAAGGACACCATCAGCAGTCCGATCAAGGTGATGATCTTGACGCCAGAGAACCAAAACTCGGATTCGCCATAGAATTTCACGGGCAGGAAGTTCAAGGCGATAATCACAACCATCATGATCGAAATCCAAACCGCGATGTTAATGGTCCCGTGGGGGTCCCAGTATCCAATGACCAGTCCAGCTGCTGTGATCTCGTATGGAACCAGGATTCCAAGCGAGTACCAGTACAAGTATCCCATTGAAAATCCCAAGCTTCGCGATACATATCGGAAGCCGTGATAGCTCATCGTGCCTCCATGGACAGGAAGGTAGGCACCGATCTCTGCGATCGCAGTGACGAGACCATACACCATTGCGGAGATAAAGATGTATCCAATAAGCAATGAGGCAGGGCCACCGGTGGCGAGCGACTGGCCTGATGACACAAACAGACCTGGTTGACTTGGACGTTAATAATGAGCTTCCAGGTGAAAAGCTCGATACTTGGGGAAACAACTTACCAGTCCCAATCGTGCCACCCAAGGCCATAAGCTGAACATGTCGACTCTTTAGACCACGTTGAGTCGTGGCATAGCGATCGTCTAGAAGATCTGCTTCGATGAGCGTTCTCACAGTCCTCCCTTTCTCGGAGAGCGGGGGCTGGTCGGCCATAGAAGTGGTGTGTTCGACCGTCGCCATTTTATGCGAACACAAGTAGAAATAAGATTGAACCTGTTTCAAGTGGAGCACCAGCCAGAAACGGGCATCTTTAAAGCTCTCAAGGTGCTAACAGGGCCTGCAGTCAGCGAACCCTCTGCAAAGACCCTAAGCCAACAGGCGACGGGCAAATGCGGGCTTTCTCATCCATGACTGGTCAGGGGCCTCGTGATAAGCTAACCGATGTCAAGGCTAAGCCACTAACAGTCTGGGGTAGAACACGAGGCTCTAGCCTTAGGCAAAGAAAAGATAACGCCGAAGGGTATGATCTATGTTTCTTGAGGTTTCTTTTAATCTAGCCTCGGAGTTTAACATCGATTAAGGCGTGGCTCTTGTTTTTGAAGTGTTGCAGAATACCTTGTTTTCGGACCTAACTACCCTACCAGCGCTTGTGACTCTAACCGTCCATTCCTGAAGTTGTACGCCGCGGTTGCTGAAAACAAATTCTTTCCTTATCTCTACACTTTTCAGAGGATTGGTTTAACTTGATTCACCTTCAGATAACCAACCTCCAGCTCAAGGGTTGCCAGCCACACCGGCAACTGCCGGTAGACCGGAATGGCGTTGAAGATGTGAGAAGCCGGAAAGCCTCAATGGACGACCCTTTTTGGCAACAGGCTCAGCACCGGACCGGCCACCGGACCGGCAATGTATAAAGTGCCTAGCAAATTAGCTCTTCTCGCGCAAGCCTAGAGTCGACGCCCAAATCCTTTCTGTCTTATCAGCATGCGACAAATACGCAGGGAGTGCGGCCAGCAAACGGAAGGAAAAGCAAGCCGAATGGTATACTTGCCACTACGCTCGACACGGAATAGACTCGGACGATCGCCAATGATATTGCGTTAACGTACGAGGTGTCATCAGAACCAGCCACGGGTCAGGCCCAAGACGGGCCATGCCTGTTATCAGGCATTAGGCTAGACTGGAACTGGAATAGCTACATTTCGCAAATTTTCATATGCCAATAGTCAACTAGATAGTTGGTTTTACCGAAATTAAATTTTAAATTGCATTAGACTTCGAACAGGCTTCTAGAAGTTCGGAAACAAATGATACCGAAAAAAGTGATGCCGGGAGCTCCGCTGGGCATCATTTCGCTGCTACAGGATGCCTGTAACCCCGACTGAAAACAATGCTGAAGAAAAGACAATGAGACTGTATTATTCCTAGTCTTGTGTTCGGCCCAGCTTCAAGGCAATAAATAGATTTGAGAAAGAATGATCTATTCACTTTGAGATTGTATGGCTCTTATGTTGCACCGAGGATCATGCCAAACAAGTAGTTGCCACAGACTTAGTCGCATTAGGAGTAATCACAAGCGTCTTCTTGTATCGCGCGCAGTAGTCGCATTCTTTGTCGTAGTGCTTAGACTTGGCACTTCCGGGTTCAACGTCAATTACACTCTATCTCTCACAGCAGCCACATTCGTGCAGGCAACATCCCCTACAAAGCCGACAGGCGATTTGCTTAATCTCCCCCTAGGCATATGGCTTTCTAGCTCGTCTCAAGAGTAGTGCCCTTGCCAGATTGTCCGGTCATTTGGCCTAGCTAGGTCTTTCAGGGAGTATGCCACGAGCGCAGCTTCATTAGGTTGTAGGGAGCCTCAAGAGCAATCCTTGCTTGTATCCTCATTTATCATACATACCTCTATAAGATCTTGGAGAGTATCAAGTCCTCTCCATATCTATCTAAATTAAGCAGTGTATTATTCTCGGGAGCTCTGCTTTGAGAAGACTTCCCCAGCTTTGAGATGGGCGTGTCAACTTTCAGCGCTGAACGAGGGATCATGCCAGAGTCTTGAGATACCAATTTATTGAAATTCGATCAACCATTGAGGAGTCACTTCGAGATAATCTTGGAACCTCGTCATCAGGAAACTTCAGGGCTATTTGCTGAATCCCTATATACTAATCTTGGGCGGATCTGAATTTCAATGAAAAAGGTCCGTGATGTGTTTTGAGAGCCATCCGCGCGCGTGTTGGGAGGCAACATTTGAACCACATATTCTACGCCATTGAATGTAATTCAAAAAACGTGTCCCCGTTCCATGCTGTCATCCATTCAGTGTGATTCAATGTTGAGTGGTTACGACGGAATAACTCCACCCCCACTTCCCCGCCACGGACCGCCACTTCCGCGTACTACATGGGTCCGGGGTCGGTCGATCACCGATGAGCTCAGACACTCCACTTGGATGTTAGCTGTTGTGGCCGGATTCACCGTGCTGAATGATACTCGATACGAGTTGGTTGAGGGTTACCAAGAATCCGACGCATTCCAACAGTCGCTCCGCACGTTGCCTGTAATACAACTTTTCATGCTGAAATTGGCTCACAAGCCCAGCAGACTCCACTCACTTAAGGTAACAATTAACCGGCCCAACAACCATGAAAGCCCTTGTCTACACCGGCCCAGGAACAGTGGAAGTTCTGGATCGCCTCAAGCCGACCATCCAGGCGGCCACCGATGCCGTCGTACGCATATTGCACGCGTCTATCTGCGGCACGGACCTTCATATCCTCAAGAACGACGTCCCTGACGCACAGCCCGGACTTGTCCTCGGTCATGAGGGTGTTGGTGTGGTCGATTCAGTCGGTTCGGCTGTTCAGAGGATGCAAGTCGGCGATCGAGTGTTGATCTCCTGTATGACATCGTGCGGCGCATGTCGGTACTGCGAGCGAGGTATCACGGCGCACTGCCTCACGGGAGGATGGCGGTTGGGAAAGAATATCGATGGAACCCAGGCCGAGTATGTTCGAGTCCCTCATGCAACGCTCTCATTGCACCCGTTGCCTTCGTCCATCGACCCCAGGGCTGCTGTTGCCTTGTCCGATGCCTTTCCCACTGGGCTGGAATGCGGTGTCCTCAGCTCAAACGTCCAACCAGGAGGGTCCGTGGTGATTGTAGGTGCAGGGCCCGTTGGTATGGCTGCTCTTCTCACTGCGCGACTCTATACGCCGTCGCTGATCGTCATGGTCGACCTTGACGAGACACGTCTTGAAATGGCCCGCAAGTTTGGCGCGCATGCGACTGTGAATTCATCCGGCCCCGATACTCAGCAAAGACTGATGGATTTGACGCAAGGAGAGGGATTTGATTCGGTTATTGAAGCGGTCGGTATCCCTGTGACTTTTGCGATGTGCCAACAGTTGGTTGCCATAGGCGGCCGAATTGCAAACGTAGGCGTACACGGGACTAGCGTGGACCTGCACCTAGAAACACTGTGGGATCGAAATATTAGTGAGTGCCGGAGACTAGGAAAATAACGAGTAGGGATGGTAAGGCTGATGTGTTAGGTATCCACATGTCGCTAGTGAACGCGACGAGCACGCCGCGTCTCCTGCGTCTGGTGGAGTCGGGAATGTTGGATATCGGCTCCATGGTGACCCATCGTACGTATTATCTAATCTCCAGCCTTCTCCCAAAGCGATGTACTGATTCATAACAGATTTCCCGTTCACTGAAGCCACCACAGCATACGATACGTTCAAGGCGGCGTCAAGCCATCAGGCCCTGAAAGTAGCAATTGATTTTGTGTGACATGATGGCCCACAAGTCCAGTCCTCTACACTGGCGATATACGGGTACCCTCTGACGGGTCAAATTCGGATCACTTTTTATGTCGTACCTGTCGTACACAATCACAATGCAATTCACCTTTTCCTCGTGCTCAGTCCCCCTTTTCATGAGCATATGGCCCCAACCCGAGTGGGGTTACACTAGTGTAGCATTCGCGGGAGGGCTGCTCCTAGCGTCGGAGGCCGATAATACACCGGCATCTTCCAAGACTGTTGGTTAGTGGTGCCCAGAAAAGAGGCGTGGGTGGTCTCGTGTCTAGAAACGGGGTTTGTTCCATTTCTTCGCTTCCATTTCCGGATTCGCTTGGGATCCGGGTACCGAGTTTCGGTCCACAGGCAAATGGCGGCGCCCCTGACATCATAGTTCCCCGGAGTGCAGTGGCGTTAGTGCAGCACGCGGATACAAAAGCATAAAAGCGAGTGAAAAATGGACAGGGGGTGCGATAGGTAAAGGGAAAGGCATCAGATAACTCAAAATAACCCAAATCATTCAGCTCACCCGTTATTGCGAGATGTCCCAACAGTTGAACGGATGGAGCCGATCTCGTGAAAGCCCCGACTCCACCACCAATCATGATTTTCCAGAAGGCTGCGCCGAAATTCTCCAGTTGCCACCTTCCAAACCTGGTTTGATTGGCTTTTTCCCAATTGCCTTCCGACGTTTAACCTAGGCTAGGTTTCGAGCGAAATCCTATTCCCCTTGGGGCGCTGCGCCCCTACTCCACTCGTCCTTTTTATCTTTTTTTTTTTTTATTTTAATATTTTTTTTTGGGCCTTCGCTTTTTTGGGTATCATTTTGATCTCGTTACGTTTTTTTAACTACCTTCTTTCCTACCTTCGATTCTTCTTTTCTTCTTCTCTACCTTGATTCCTTTTTCCTCACCTGCTGGCATACTATCTCATGGTATGCTCACCGTTCCGTTAAGCACTTAATCTATATCCGTGATGGCTATCGAGGAGGCAATGCGACGCCAGTCGAAGGTGTCTCTCGGGCGCTCAGAAACGGGCCCCGACACGGACAAGGCAGACCGTGGGCTGGAGGACTTGGGGTATACCCCAGAACTGGCACGTAACCGTTCCATCTGGCAGGTCACCTTCATGTGCTTCATCCTCTCCTCCGTCCCCTACGGCTTGTCGACTACGTTATACTATCCCCTCGCCGCTGGTGGCCCCGCCAATATCATCTGGGGATGGGTTCTCATTTCTTTTTTGATTCTGTGCGTCGGCATCTCGCTCGCGGAAATCACCTCGGTTTATCCCACGGCTGGTGGCGTCTACTACCAAACGTTCGTTCTGTCACCACTATGGTGCCGTCGCGTCGCATCTTGGATCTGCGGCTGGTCATACGTTGCTGGAAATATCACAATCACCCTTGCCGTCAACTTTGGAACAGCTCTGCTTTTCATCGCTTGCCTCAACGTGTTTGAGAATGCCGATGGAACCGGCATCACCGATGATTTCCAGGCGTATCAGATCTTCTTGATTTTCTTGGCGATTACCCTGCTCACTCACTCCATCTCAGCCTTTGGAAACAAGTGGCTGCCCTGGCTCGAGGTTTGTGACCCCTCTCACGTGCCCTCTTGCCTGATTTGGTACTAATTAGATTGCGCCATCAGACTTTTGCCATCTTCTGGACTATCGCTGGCTTGATCGCCATCGTCGTGTGTTTGTTGGCTGTTGCGAAGGAAGGTCGTCACTCGGGTGCCTGGGTCTTTGGCCACTTTGAGCCGCAAGCCGGGTGGCCGGGTGGCTGGTCCTTCTTTATCGGACTGTTGCAAGCTGCCTACGCCACCTCGGCCACGGGCATGATCGTCTCGTAAGTGATTTAGTTGCTGGACGATTGGAGACGGACAAGATACTGACTTTACAAACCAGTCTTTGCGAAGAGGTTCAGGAGCCCGCCATCATGGTGCCCAAGGCCATGGTTGGCACGGTCATCATCAACACGATCGCCGGTCTCATCTTCTTGATCCCCGTCTGCTTCGTCCTCCCCGATCTGACGATGCTGATCGATCTGGCCTCCGGTCAACCCACGCCCGTGATCTTCAAGCACGCTCTCGGCAGCTCGGTTGGTGCCTTCTGCCTCATGATTCCTTTGCTGGTTCTCGGCATCATCTGCGGTGTTGGCTGTGTGACGGCTACCTCGCGCTGTACCTGGGCCTTTGCTCGTGATGGTGGTATCCCCGGTTCTAACTGGTGGAAATCCGTCAACAAGAAGCTCGAAATTCCACTGAACGCTTTGATTCTGGGTATGCTGGTCGAGATCGTACTGGGTCTCATCTATTTCGGTTCAACCGCTGCCTATAACGCTTTCTCGGGTGTCGGTGTCATCTTCCTAACCACAAGCTATGCCTGTCCGATCGCTGTCTCTCTGTTCTTCCGCCGTCGTGAAGACATCAAGAACGGCCGTTTCAACTTTGGAATCTTTGGTGCGATCGCCAACGTGATTGCTCTCGGTATGTTTCGATCCCACCACTCACCCGGTTGTCCTCTCTTTGCTTACGCTCTAATTAGCCTGGAGCCTACTTGCCATCCCCTTATTCTGCATGCCAACCCTCGAGACCGTCACTCTGCAAAGTATGAACTACGCATCGGTAGTATTTGTTGGATTTGTTTTCATTGCTGCCGTGTGGTACATCGTTTGGGGATATCAGAACTACCGTGGCCCGCCTACCGATGCAGTTGAACACGACAGCGACTCGTCCTCAGTGCCCGAAGCAACCGCCAAACTTCCTAAAACCATCTCTGAACTCGACAGCAAATCCCCGGCTGAGCTCGATAGCAAATCCCGCGCTGAACTCGACAGCAAACCCCGGGTTGAGCTCGATAGCAAAACCCGCGCTGAACTCGACAGCGATTAAGCCCATGCTCCCTGATCCCGCCACTGCGCCGCGCCCCCGGATGCGAAACTTCTGTAGTTCAGCCCTCTGCGAAATCTCACTTGCGACCCTCCAACCTCCTAACCTCTCGTCCTCTTACCGCCCCTGCGAAACCGATGCCTGCCCTTCGCGGATCCGATTTGCTTGCCCTCGCGAAATGAATACCCCCCACCCCCGTCGCGTGTTTACTATAGTAAAGGTTCAGTTGGGGCGCGGCCCCTCGATGTACATAAGCATAGTCATGTCCTTTCCATTGTGCAATATATACCACTCGTGGCTTTTGGCCTACGAAGAATTCTCAAGTGTCCTTTCCTTGTTAGTCGGAACAATCTATTGTAATAATTTCTCGGTTTTCGTCTCTGCAAGACTCTGCCGTTAGATCAACCAGTTCGCTTGGGAGGTGAGTTTTGAGAAAGGATTGAATGGCCACCAGAGGCACTCCGTGACGCATCGCCGTAGTATCGTCCCACGAGGAATGAAGTCCGAGCAGGGCGCCGTCCGATCTTCGGAGAAGCGGTGCGCCAGAGTGTCCCCAGTATGTCCAAGCGTTATGTTTCAGAGTGCCGATATCTGAGTTGTCCTCTGGATCTGCACCGGATACCATGCCACACAGCCGACCTTGGGAGATCTCAATCAAATTATATGCGGTCTGACGTGGGACCGCCGACTCCAGATCGTCCGCTCCTGGCTGTCCGATGCAGAGTATGTGAGCCGAGGTCTTCAAGGTTTGTGCGACGGGGACAAAGGTGAAAACTGGTCGAACCGGGCTGCTGTGTTTTTCGGAAGTCTCGATGCGAATGATCTTCGCCAAAGCCAGGTCACGACGCTCATCCCATGCCCGACATTCGACCTGCACAGCCAGTCCGTTGTAATAGAGAAGCCATTTTCGACGCCCGGCTTTCCATTCGTAGCTCGTCTCGCCGAAGCAGTGTGCACAGGTCAGGATCCATCCACGCGGGTCGATGCATATGGCGGAGCCAGCCTCGTGTTGAGCGAATATAAGTGTTGATGCTAATGCTCGTATTGCTTGCCAGCCAAATTCCAGGCTGTTTTCCACCGTCAGAGAGGCCGATGCTCGCAGTCGATGCTGTTTCTTTCGCAGAAGTTGCAGATCAGCCCCTGCAAGCCCTAGGAGCCGCGGTTGGTTTCGGGCGATTACCGGATCCGCAGGGCTCGAGTCTGACACGATAAAGTGGACTGGCTCATCAATCTCCTGGAGGCTGCGAGTTTTCTTCTCAAGCACCGGAGGCTCCTTGGGGCCTGATCGCAGGCGTTTCATTATTTATCTCTAAGACTTTGCGCTCGTTTGTTTACCTTTCAGCTTTTGAACCGATTATGATGACCCCACGCGACCGCGCTTGGTCCTCATAACGTAAGCACATTCCCAAAGGGAGGCAATCCGCATTTTGATCGAAGAATCAGGGTGATCGAATTAGTAAAGTGGTTTGCCGAGTAGTCTTGTGCAGAGCGTTTAGTGCCTTGGTTATTGTAATTAAGGCCAGTGATGCAAGCCCCTTGGTTGCTCAGGTACAACGCGACACATGCTATGAATATATATGCTCAACCCTGAACATCATAACCACCCCTTAAATTGCTCATGACCAGATCGTTGGGAATAATTGGAAGTTTATTGTGTGGATTGAAATCTTGGAATTGATAGTTTCTTAGGCAATCAGTCACAATTGCCACCAGTGCCACCAGTCCGCCTGGGTGGGCACTTTACACTATATATACCTGAGCAGGTAGCTGGAGTATCCAAACTACTAATGTAATTGCGAGTGCAATTGTATCTGTAGGTACCAATGCCCATATTTCAATTTTCGGATATGGTATTCATCCAATCGCAGCAACGTGATCAGTGACCAAACATGTGAAGTCGCTTGTGTCATAATAAACGGTATTGCCATCATTAGGCGACTCGCCAGTGCTGAGGCTGTCGCCATATTGCCAAAACAGGTCGGCTGCGATGCCAATTGTATCGAGGGCCGTCTTCTGCCAGGGAGCTTCTACGCTGCAGTGGTTAGACGTGACGCCATATTCTTCCAGCAAGCATGGCTTTTCAGCTGCAGCGCATGCTGCACCATGTGCCGTGATCCAGCCGTCGCCCCATGCGTAGGTTGTTCCCCCTTGGAAAACGTAAATTAGCCTTGAATCACTGAAAGCTGGAGGAGACATACAGCTGTCTGGATATAGATGGAGCGTGCCAAAGTCGATGGTGTCGATGGCGAGATTCTCGGTGAAGTTGAGACCCTCACTTATGGTGTACGGGTAGCTGCCATCTGATTCGACATCAAGCCCGAATCCCTCTGTGCACCACTGGTTAGCTAGCAGACTCTGACAAAGAGAGGGATCCGACTGACCATCTCCAATGCACACCATGTGCTTAGAATCGAGCGACTTGATATACGCACTGGTCGACTTGACCCAGTTGTAGATGACGGAAGTATCACAACCGTTGCAGCGGGGCTCGTTAGCCAACTCCCATGCAAAGATCGCTGGCGAGTCGAGATATCGAGCTACAACCGCTGCGATATAATTGCGATATGCGCTCTGAGCGTCATCATTTGTGTACCAACTCGTTTGCGTACCCCCAAATGCCGTCACGTACACGGCCATTCCTCCGTAGTCGGACCAGTTGTTCACGAAATTGATGATGAGTTTCACATTGCGCTTTTCGGCAGATGCGACTACATAATCCAGACGTTGGAGACCATCGGCACCCGTGTTAATAGTCGCGGTGCCATCCACGAGGAGCTGATAATAGACAGTTCCCGAGGATGGAACAGAGTTCACGTCGTTGAATCCCCAAACACGCAAGATGCGCAAGCCAGACTCATTCATGTGATCCAGCACCAGATCAACGTCATCATCATCAGTGAGGAAGCCGATCCAGTACGAATTAGAACCTGCGTAGTAGCTAGTTTCTCCATCAATTGTAAAATTGAGTCCGTTGGTGGTCGAGAAGGCGGTTGAAGAGGCACTGGTCGATGTAGTGTAAGTTGACGAGCTGGTCGATTTACTCAAACTTGTCGATGTGCTGGTCGTTGTACTCGATGATTTGGTGGTCAGAGTAGTCCTAGTGGTAGTGGCGATGCCTAGAACACTCAGCAACAGACACATGGCTTCTGTTTACGAGTATTCACCTGTAACACACTGGCTGTACCAGTCACTTTGATACTGACAAACCCATCCAGCCTCACAAGACGTGGATCCGGTGTACCCGGTACCGCCACATTGACCATAGGGTGCTACTTGTGCAGCGGCCAGGCCAGCGAGAAACAAAAGTGCGAATGGCTGCATGATGTCTGAGTTTCGACCGAAACAAGGGATGACCTACGATATTCGGAGTCTATTAAATTATGTATAATAATGGAGATGGAACTGAAGTACAGAGACGGATCATGCTCCGTTTTACATTTGGGCGATAAGTTTAATGAAGGAACTGCGGGTGGCACAAAATATGCAGGTCACTCCGTGTTGTTTAGGCGATAAATTTTATAAAGGAACTGCGGGTGGCACAAAATATGTAGGTCATTCCGTGTTGTTTCGGGTATAGAAGCGGGGAAGAGCGGGAAACGTGTCGAATTGATTGCGGACATGTCCATGCTAATTGATGACTTCTCTTTGTATAGCCAAGAAATTAGTGATGAAATGCAAGTCGATCTGTAAGGGTCAAGGGGGTTTCTTCAGAGATGGGGATGGGCGCACGTCCGACGATCCGGAGAAAGCCACTGCGCGGGGATGCCACATGTCTCGTATTTCCAAGGCGTTTCGATCCGCGTCCATGAACAGCTAGAACAGGAAATGTACTAGAACCCGTCGAAGAATCGGGAACAGTGGAGCCGAGAGCTGACCATTGGGATGACTGCTTGCTATGATCGCTTGGTAGCGATCTCATGATCATGAGCCTCGCCTCAGATATCGATCTCGGCAGAGGAGCCTCGATCCGGCCGTGGGCTCTCATTGAAAATTTCCGGCCTGGATCCTGTCAGCGAAGAATCCCGACAAGAACCCGATCCTTGGCCAGCCCGATGGCTCCATCCTCGGGAGACCGGGACAATCTGCCAATGAAAAGCCCGGCACTATCCGAAATCATCTCTTTGCTAGTGAGGTAAGGCGACCAGGGAGCCCAACACCACATAATCGGGTGCACCTGTGGATGTGGACGCGAAGAAAAAAGAATTTTTGGATAAGACTTTCTCCGCGATGTGTGAGTATCCCCGGGTTGTCGCATCGGGGGCGATCGTTATTTGTTGGCGTAATCTGCCAGGGGCCTCTGCCGCCTTGGGATCCTCTTCTCATATGTATCTTGTCTTCGAGGCTTCTTTTCTTTTTTTTTTTTTTTTTTTTTTTTTCACTAGCGCCTTCTAGTTTTGAATCTACAGCCTCCCACAAGAGCATGTAACCCGGAGTGGATTGAATACATAGGTCATGGAAGACGATCCTGATTATTGTATGCAGATTCTTCAATGACGTATTAGGAACCGAGAGGCGGCTGTGGCGGCGCCACCGACAAAGGTGAAATATCAACAGTCTCGCGTGTGCAGGTTATGATGATTTTAGCTTTAGCGAGGGATTACAGTCGGGACATGACCGAGAGTGGCTTGCAACCGGAAACGGGGCACCAGAGGGGAAAAAGCCTGCACGATGATGTAGGCCACGTACAGACCCTGGAAACACGTGTAGCAGTCACTCCGCGGGACTCCGCATTTCCCCTCAAGAGTTTTTTGCGGCCTTCCTTGTCTGGAGATGGGCTGCCTCCGGGGCACTTTCACCGGGAGACGTATTAGGTATGGATTGTGGGCGAACAGTCTGGAGGGCCTGGGGTCGGAAGACCCGGCTTCTCGTTGGTGACACCCGGCCCACCAACTTCTCCAGGTATCCCGAAACATTTACCCGAACATGGTCAGATCTGGTATACGTCAAGTAGGTTAATCTTCCACGCAACAATGAGGGCGTATCGAAAAACTCTGCCATGGAAGGATGGGAACGAACCACTCTCGGTCCCGATCAACGGCGAAACCGCCATGCCGAGTCAAAGAACGTCTCTCGGGACGGCTTGGCTACGCAGTCCCCGAGTTTTGCCACCAGGTCAACCCGACCTAAAACGTGCCGGGCAACTCGGCTATCCGTCTGACTGGTTCACCACAGCCGATCTCACCCTGGAACCGGCTCTGGCTGGCTCATTCCCCTGCTTTGTGTGGGTTCGTTCGGGAGCCGTGCGAGTCGACTTCGGCCGGTCTGGTGTGCTGATTTGACTCGCATGGCACTCCGAGTTGGTCATTAGTCGTTATGTGCGTGTCTTCTCTCCACATACCCTCTCCACTCGCCCCCCCAGACGAGTGGATGGAGCCGTGTGTCGTCTGTCCTGGTGGGAATACAAAAAGGCTCTCCTTCCTCCGGATTCTGACGCTTCTTTCTTCTTTTCCCCGTGGGCATTTAACATTCTCTTTTGACAATCTTTTTCTTGATCATTAGGTGTTACTTTTCTTCCTAAGCCTTGGCTCTATAACATATCAAGGGTTTGTGACAATAGAGAGAAAAGTTTCACACCCCCCTTCGCTTTCAATATGGGTCTTGAATCAACCTCCCATCACGGGGAGTCTATCACAGCTCCGGCTCAACAGCCCAGTACCGATACTTCCTTCCAGAATAGCCCCATCCAGAAGCCCATGAGGCCGGTTGGCGTCGACACACCCATTCCCCGCATCACCATGCGGTCCCTCACCATGGCCCTCTTCGTCTCAATGGGTGGCCTGCTCTTTGGTTATGATACCGGTCAGATTTCTGGTTTCCAGGAGATGAGCGACTACCTGCGGCGATATGGTACGGAAACGGCTAGCGGCGACTATGCCTTCAGTGACACCCGCGCCGGTCTCATTGTCGGTCTGCTTTCCATCGGTACTTTGATTGGCGCCCTGGTTGGCGCCCCTATGGCCGACATCCTGGGCCGCAAGTGGTCTATCAGTGTTTGGTGTTTCATTCTCATCATCGGTCTCGTCGTTCAGATTTCCTCCCCCTCCGGACACTGGTGGCAGATGGTCGTTGGTCGTTGGGTCACTGGTCTGGGCGTCGGTGGCTGCTCCCTGGTCGTTCCCATGTACCAAGGCGAGAGTGCTCCTCGTCACATTCGTGGTGCTATGATTAGTTGCTACCAACTGTTCGTCACCCTTGGTATCTTCCTGGCCTACCTCATCAACTTGGGTACCCACACCATGGACGGCACTGCCCAGTGGCGGATCACCCTCGGCCTGACCTTCCTCTTCGCCCTCGTTCTCGGTGGCGGCATGGCCTTCTTCCCCGAGAGCCCTCGTTACGAGTTCCGACATGGCAAGGTTGACAGCGCCCGCAGTACTCTGGCCAAGCTGTACGGTATCCCCGAGAACCACGTCCGCATCATTGAGGAAATGAATGAGATCCGTGAACAGTTCGAGGCTGAGACGGAGGGCCAGAAGTGGCATGAGTTCATCACCGCACCCCGCATGTTCTACCGTATCGTTCTGGGTATGGTTCTGCAGAGTCTGCAGCAGCTCTCTGGCGCCAACTACTTCTTCTACTACGTAAGTTCCAGTCCTTATTCCATCGACCTTTTGACAACAGCATTGCTAACGTTATCTTCAGGGAACCACTATCTTCCAGGGTGCTGGTATTTCGGACAGCTTCGTGACTCAGGTCATTCTTGGAGCTGTCAACTTTGTCACTACCTTCGGTGGCCTATACGTTGTGGAGAACTTTGGACGCCGCAAGTCGCTGATCTTCGGTGCCCTCTGGATGTTCGTCATGTTCATGATCTTCGCCTCGATCGGTCACTTCGTGCTGGACATCGAGAACCCTGAGAACACCCCCGGTGCCGGCAAGGGTATGATCGTTGTAACCTGCCTGTTCATTGCCGCCTATGCCATGACCTGGGGCCCTATGGTTTGGGCCATCGTCGCTGAGCTGTTCCCCTCCAAGTACCGTGCCAAGGGTATGGCTCTGGCCACTGCCTCCAACTGGGCTTGGAACTTCCTAATCAGTTTCTTCACCACCTTCATCACCAGTGACATTGACTTCGCCTATGGCTACGTCTTCGCTGGCTGCCTCTTCGTTGGCGCCCTGATCGTCTACTTCTTCGTCATCGAGGGCAAGGGTCGCACTCTTGAGGAGCTAGACTTCATGTACGTCAACAAGGTTGTTCCCTGGAAGAGCAGCTCCTTTGAGATGCCCCCCAACGATTGGATCGACGACGAGGCCCCCAACGGGCGCAAGGAGCAACAGATGTACCATGCCGAAAACGCATGAGCGTCGCCGAAGCATATTTCACCATTTCTTTTAACTTCTTCGAACTGGGTTCACATTTATTTATTTTTATTTTTCTGAGATACGTCGATTATGATGCATGAAACTTGCGCAATCGACACTTGCTTTGGACCTGGAGTAACGAGCTGCATTGTTTTGCGGAGAACCCGCCTTGGTGTATTTTTAGCATTTATCCCACGTCTGCATTGAATAGAATTTGATAGACTAACTCATCACTTCTTCCTATTTTCTCCAATTGTGGTAGTCGTCGAGTGTAAATTGTTTGATTGGGGTTATGAGTTTTATACTATGAGAAGGGAAGATGGAAAGAGAGATATGTAGATAGTAGAGATGGAAGCTATGGATCTAAACTATCAAAGAGACTCGGGGCAAGGGATGCGGTCAAGAGGTGCAGAAACCCTCATTCACTGCGAACATATGAGTGCTGTTCTCTGAAAGAAAGGAATGATATTCTCTCCAGGGCTCCCACGTGCTTCATGGAAGGTGTTCAATTTTTTAGACGTTGTTTCCCACAATGTGAGAAAACTGGTTGAACAGAGTACACGAGATAAGTAAGTCTGTGGCGGGCCCAGACGTCAACAAGCCTGCAAGGTGTCACATGACTTTTTCGTTTAATTTTAAGAATTATGCCACTACGGTTTTATAGGAAACAATTCATGAGAACTTCAGAGAGATTCACATTCAATTGAGGATGGGACGCTGAGGAGCCCGAGTGCGACTACAGAAATTGCTAACTTAGGGAAATCACCTTTCAAGTACGCAGGGACCGAGATTGGAAAATAATAGAGACTGGCGAACTGATACGAGATTAAACAAATACCAAAAAGCAAGTTCAGCCAAATGTATCTTATGGACAAGACATAGTACTTCCAAAACACTGCCCTAGTTCTGCGCCCGCCGCCACAAAGTTGGCTTCCATCGTGGGGCTGACCATGATGAGCTACTCATCCAGGAGGGGTTGGATGTAGATATATCCCAAGATGCAGTGGGAAGTGATAAGGTCAAGAATCCAGAAGAGGTAGGAGTAGGAATGGCGCTTGCTCCAGAGCCTAGACTCCCCACGAGACGGTCACCCAGTGCATGGATGCTGTCTTCAAACGCCTCGCTACTTTGCGCGCTCCAGTCTGCACCGGAACCAGGAACAGCACCCTTGCCCTTGAATGCAATGTAGAGAATATCCCTTTGACCATAGCCATTGTCACCAGTAATATCCGCATTGGGGAAGCAAAACTTTGCGAGAGAGATTGAAGATTCCCCAGTGGAGGTGCCACCATTGGTGTCTCCCCAAACACCATAGTGCTGAATGAGGCGCAAGGTTAAGTTAGTGACTGCTCTTCAAAGCGGCATCAAAGGGCTCGGAGCATAGAGCATACCAGGTTTCCATTGCAGATAACCGCCATTACACTCAAAGGTTGCACTCCGTAATCTTTGGGATTAAAAGAAGGTCTCGAGCCTTCATTACCGAAAGTCACATATGGATGTATGTTGGCATTCAAGTCCGAGATACCATACTTGCTGACCTCGTCTTTGAATGCAGTTTGTCCCTGGCCACTGGGGTCATTAGAACAGACACCAGCACCATTGTCGGCACCATCACAGTCCACGTCCATATCGGCATAACCACCACTATTCGAACTAGTGTGCAGAAAGATAGCTCCGTTGATATCACCACAGTAAGAGACATCCTTGCCGGTGGACCCAGCACTGAACCCCCTGCCAAGAACATTCTGGCAACCGTCGGTCTTTACTTGTTAGGAATTAAAGGGTAAAGATGCGGTGCTTCCTGGATACCTACCTTGTGTGTCTGATAAATGTTTTCAAGTTGCGCTGGCAACTGGTAGGCGGGCACAAGCCCAGCACCGGCAAGAAGCAGAAGCCCGAGCGATTGCATTATCGTATAACTTTACTCGAAGACCGATGACAGGAACTTGCTAAGGTAGACAAGAGAAGTAGAACTCAGGCTTTTAAATATTCGACGCCATTTCGATCACACGGGATCAAGTCAGAAGGATTGAGCTAGTTTGAGCCCTGAGTACCGTATGCAGGAGCGGAAATTTGAACGATCCATTTAAAAGTCCATCTTAAGCGTTACGTAGATTTTTTCCGCACATTAGACATGATTGACCCCCCTGAAATGGCGATCGACAGGGACTATCAAACAGTCGAGCGTCCAACGCTTACATGAGCCTGTCGATCAAGTGCAGTCTACATTAGAAGTACTTGATCTACACCTTAGCAAATACCTTGTTGGGTAAAAGGTGTCTTCCGATGATCAGTGCCGTGGCAACGATTACTAGCGATGAGAACTCAATTCACGTAATTGTTTGCGGATATGGGTAGTACTTGGATGATAAAGAGCCCGGAATTCTTATATCAACGTATATTCTTAGGCAGAAACCTCAAGGCCATGAATTTGTAGCAACGCCCGGCTTAGTCTATATTAGACGACTAGTGTTCTCTGCTATGATAGAAAAAGAAGTTTAAAGCGCTTGCACTGAGATTGAAGAAAGCTCTCAAACTTGAAGTTGAAGCGATGTCTCATCGACCATTATGTTTCCTATGTCGGGATGAATTATCAAGGGATGAGATAAGTTCTGAACTTTGTCAGATTTCAAGCGCGGTCGCTACGTCGTGAATAATGCTGTCAGGGACATGAATACTCACAAACGCCACCGGTTCCACCTTGCTTACTGTACCAAGGGCATTTCGTTCAAGCACGTCCATCACCAATTAACTCATCAGGAAATGATTGACTATGGTCAACAAATTTGGGGCAGAGTAATTGAAGATCGATTTTCCCGCCCCCAAAGGCCATATAATGACACCGTAAACTATTGATGGTTGTGCCAGCCAATCCTCAAATGGAATGTTCAGCTGGAAACTCGTGGAGTGCCTATCTATTAACCTCACTTTGGCATCTGGGTAAGTGTATTGTACATGATACAAAGTTGTTTTCCAATGGTTCTGTTTTGACTAATTGATTACGTACTATCGGCGTTTCTCCAGAACGGGGAACCCGGGTATAAGCTATCGTTAAATCCGACAGCCATTGAATCACGGGTCGAGTCAGCTCGCATATCAGAGACAAGAAGGTTTTGCTCTGTTCATCCTCTTTCTCGAACATCAAGCAAGAAAACCGCTGACATGGAACAACAACCCTTTAAATGCATCGCCAGGGCGAAACGTAGCCCCTTGGAAGTGGCATCGGCCACAAAGCCAACTCAGCTCAATTCCGGTGAAATTCTGATTCGCATCCAATCTATCGCAATCAATCCAGCCGACTTTAAAATGATTGATCAAGGTCACAGAGTCTCTGTCTGGCCTTTTGTGCCCGGTCTGGATGGAGCTGGCGTTGTGGAGGGCCTCGGAAGCGATATCGAAAATATCACGGTCGGGGAAAGAGTGCTGGCCCTATTCACTCCGGGAAAAAGGTCCGCTTCATATCAAACATATGCCGTGGTGAAGGAGAAAGATGTCGCCAAGATCCCTACTTGGTGGTCATTTGAACAGGCCTCAACACTAGGGTAAGTTGCTGATCCGTCTTCTATATTGCAGAACTTTATTCGGTGAACATGAAGTACAGGTGGAACTAAAGCTTCACTCAGGGTCTCATATTTGACAGCCATCATGGCTCTTGGGATTGGTCTGAAGACCCCGTTGCCGTTTCTCAAAGGCGGCCCAAGGACAGGATTCAACCCTTCGTCTGTTCTCATCCTTGGCGGCAGCTCTGCCCTAGGGGCCGCCACAATCCAACTGCTTCGGCTTGCAGCCCCTACTTGCTTGATTCTCGCTACAAGCTCCCCTAGACATCACGAGTATATCAGAAACATGCTGGGGGCTGACGGTGCCATTGATAGAGGCTCTTCATCATTGGTCGAAGATGTAAAGTCAAGAACCCCAGGTTCTCGAGGTGTCGATGCGATAATTGATGCGGTTGGTGCTGGTGGTATCCAAAGAAATGTGTTCGATACATTTGACCCAAGTGGGTCCAGGAGATATGCGCAGGTATGGACCGGTGACGAAGAGATTGATGCTCCTAGCGGCGTGGAATCGACTATGTTCAGAGGACGAGACCTTCCGAATTTGCCGGGCAATGAGAGTATCATGGAATCATTGGAAAGATTACTGGAGGAAAATAGATACAGGTTACCTCTTCCTGTGCATGCAGTGGGCCATGGGTTTGATGTACTAGAGAGGGGCCTGGACTTGATGCGGCAAGGTGTTAGCGGAGAAAAACTAGTAGTCACTCTTTAGGCCACAGAAGCAGCTTGGTGTTGAATATTGATACCACTGAAAAAAGTAGCAACTTCAGATTTTGTATCACTCCCGTGATTGGGCCTTTACCGCGGATTAAGCGGGCCAGGCAATTTAGTCTTGCATTAAGCTATTGGAAAATCAGGACGTGTGACCGCCTTTAGCTAGCAACTTGATCATATTATTTTTGTTCTCTAATCCGGTCACATGTGTAACTATGGGATATTTCTGCCTAGGTATCTGCTTCTCTCATAGACCACGACAAAAAGAGCCAGAGAGCCACCGGAGAAATAGATACATTTATTCGAGTGCATTTTCTAACCTTATTAAAAGGTTTGGAACATTGCTGCGTCCTCTGGAACCGCCCCATGAAAGTGGACGTAAATATCAGGTCAATAGCGCTAAGAAAGACATAATACTTTAATCCAGATGTCCATCCAGAGATAATTCAAAGATCAAATCTGATTGATGCAATACATACGACAAATTCCCTCCTCCTGGATTTCCCTCGCACTGACTCACCACTATTCCTGCCTAAAAAGTGACTCAGGCCACGGCGGTCCCACGAGTCAGCTTACATCAGCTTCGCAGCCTGAGGCTACTTAGTAGACGGGACAGCCCGCACAGTCACGCTTCGCCCACTTGTTTTCAACCTTGGGAAGTTGTTATCTACAATGATAATTGCCCTTGGATGAGCCCATGACTCCACCGTCCGAGGAGGTTGAGAATGCAACGCCTGCTCAGATATGTGCCTTGTATGATCTCGGCGGAGGGGTGGCGTTGCGAAATTCATTTACAATCTATTCGATCGTGGCGCTTTCACCAAATTGGAGCCGTATTATGCTTGACACGAACGTATACGGAAAGCTTCAAGCTGCAGCAAATACCGTCGCAGCTCTACTTCCTATCTTCACCTGTGTGGGTGACGCTCCTTTCGATCTTGTCTCGCTGCCTTGTCCGTCGCGTCAGCGGCGTGAAATCAACAACCTGATTCATCCATGGCATGAGCCTCCATGGTTCTTGATAAATGCGGCGACATACTCTGCACACTGCATATTTGGACAGGGATCTAGGCTAGAGTCTCTTCTCATGGTTCTTCAGCGACCGTGGTGTGTTCTTGAACTCTGCTGTTGCGATACACCAACGTTGGCAGCAGTGTACAAATTTGCAGTGGTGGCCAATGAAATCGATCACGTTAACTACCACCCTGCTGCAAAGCTAATCGCTCACGAGATGAATAGCAGACAAACATTTGATGATGAAAGCACTAGATCGTGCAACGCTCTTAGTCTGTTTCGACAGGAATCTACCTTGAAGCCCTTATCAGAAGCGGGATTGCTATATGCGGACCTATCCAGGGGTTGTCTTAGATCTTACATGTCATTTTGGATCGGTATGATTACAACATGCGCTGTTTACTTGAATGTTGCTTTCTCGGACCTAGCCTTGATGTTAGCTAAAATACTCTGTCACCGTCTCTCAATAAGTGGCCGTGAACTCAGGGAGACTGTGATATACAATCATCGGAAAATAAGATCAAGCGAAGCAAGACTTGAATTCTTAGGACTGCAAAGCAGCCACTCTGGTTTTCGGAAACGACCAACCGCCTTTCACAGTGACTCTGATATAGACTCGAGGACGACCAACAGTGTTGGGTCTGGGTTGTACGGAGTGGGCCAAACAGCTTTGAATGATTTTCCTCTTGATATGAAGCAACTGCTTGAGCTTTATGCTGGTATCTTGAAAGGAATCGGGGAATCTATCATATGACCGATATCCGACATCCTTGTCACTATACTGAGATTGTCTAAATCACTTGATATCCTGTCTATCATAGCGCAGATATCCACCGTTACTACCAAACAGAGAATAACGGTCGAAAGGTTATAATTTCAAACATTTGAAGGCTCCTCAAAGAACTGACTTTCCGATGGTTTCTAACGCTTGGGATAATACTTGTAGGTGAGAGCTGTGTTGAAATTATCAAGATCATGCATGCCTGACTTGATTCTGTGAGCATCGCTATTAATTGCCCTGTAACCGTATTAGACATAAACAACGGTCTTCAGGCCGCTGATGTCCAACGCTATGCCCAAAATGGTACAGTCAGCTTGGCCCCCACATTCGCCTACGAAGCCCTCCCCTGATGATTATTAGAATCTTTGCCAATCTTCTTAACTTTGGAAGCAGCCGAAATTAGTGCGACCCGACTTCAATGGCGGTGATGTTAGCGCTATACTCGCTGGGAATTTTGGCCCTTGTTGATTTCGTTCATGCAAAATCAAAGTTCCCATATCCGCTGTCAGAGGCCCATGCGCAGCTGAAGACAGATGATGGAGTCACCTTCGACCCGCTTGGTGTTGCGGCTGTTCTTTACAATCCTCGCGCCGACAAAAGTGCTGCCAGGCTCTATACTCAGTATGATAGGAATTTATTCACCTGGCCTCATATGACCATGATCGGCGGGACCCTGCCACCAATGCAAATGCTGGTCGAGCGGCTGACAGCAACCTTCAAGTGGATTCATCCAGCAATCAAGATGTGTGCGAAAGATACTACAATGCTTCCCGTCCGGTCGGATGTCTCAGAAAACGTGTTTCGTCAACTACCACTAAATCTGAGTAATATTTGGCTCAGTGATGTTATATCCTTCCAAACGTCAAAGCAGCCGGGAAATGACTTCGCTATCGTCTGGGTCGATACGGTCCACAAGTCAGGAGACGACGGAGAGGGCCACGTTAGAGCGCAAGTCGGCAATATATGGTGGTGGCGTACTGGAAAGTGGGCCCTGGATCTGATGTGTCTGCTGAATGGAGCCATGCTTGTAGCTGCAATGGTCTGTGGAATCCTGGTTGCGGATATATGGGCATTCACGCTGTTTCTTCTTTACAGTTGCCACTGGGTAGCATCTGTATTTATCTCATTCACTGCGATGGTCGAAATCCACAAGCCGGAAATCAGAAATGATTCAATTGACCGATACGCTGTTTATGAGAGAGAGGAGGGTGGCACTGTGATTTTCAAAGGCCCCCAGAAAAAGCTCGAAGAGTGGGCTCGGTCAACGTGGGAATACAATCAAACTTGGGGCAAGGACTGCTTACATTGGTTTTGGATTCTTACTGGGACTATGTCAGGGATAGCGTCAGTTGCATGCATGGTTAATATGTATGGTTACATGCAACTGGCCTTTTTGGGCGTGCTGGTTTATTCATCACTAGCTGAGATTGGAGCGACCAGAATTGCGCGGATACTTCAAACCAAGGCTCATGGAACAATATTCAAAGCCGAAGTACTTGACAACAAAACTCGCACAAGAGCCATCATTCGAGCAACTCTTGAGGTTATTCCAAAGTGTCGACTGACGAAGTTGAACTGGATTAAGATGGGCCTGCTTCCACCTATGCAGGTATTTCAGGCAATGCAAGATCTTCTGGAGGATATAAGTCAAATGCAGGAGGATGTCGGGAAAATGCAGGAGGATGGGAGCTTCACATCAGCTGCTCAAAAATCTCATAATCTTGCTATTGAGCTGAGATGTGCCGAATTCGTCGACCAAGTTCGCCTCGAGGATCCTGAGCGAATCCTACTAGCAGAGAGAATACGCGATGAGGTCCTTGGGACCTTGCACCCAAATTAAGCATCCGGTTGAAGGTCTGAGGGAATGAGAACCTAACTTCGGTGACTTCAATAAGCAGAGCATGATATCCACTCAGTGCCTTGTATGGGCCACCCGCCGTTTTAGTTTAGCCAATCCTTCCAGCGAACATTTTACTTTCGATTTTTTGGATTCAATATAAATGTCGATACCGAGGTCCGACCACGGCTTGAATTTGAGCTGGGTTAAAAAAGGGGAAATATGAGAGAACGTGGGGAATCTCTGCTACCCCAGTGGGTACATATGTGCAGGATATTATCTATGAGACAGAAGAAGGATAAAACCTATTTAATGATCTTATTCATTCGGATCATCGGAGAAGGGAGGCCTTTTTAGATGTGAAATTGCTCAGGTATCCATATGTCCTAGCCCTTTCTGAAGTAGGTCTAGATCCGCACTCGCCTCGATGTCTTGACCTAGTTATCACCTGCTGGCTTCGAAATTCTCTCCGAACTGGAAGAACACTTTCAAGATTGCTACATATGATGCGACAAATATATAAACCAAGATCATGGACGCTGCAAAGATGATGTAGGTCGTGTTCCAAAACCCTATAGTGAGAGGTGTGATAGTCAGTATCAAAGGGGGACCGGCACACTGTGGTGGCTCAAGAAGTCCAGGAGCTGTGTCCCCGCCTAGGGGATCTCTTGATAATAAAGAATATCGACGATTGTGGTATCTTTCTGCTCCTAAGGTATTCGGTCTATCTATAGAAAAGGCCTACACACTGGCGACGTGGGATACATCGACTGCGAGGGTTTCATAACTGTTACTAATGGGATCAAAGAAATCATCAAGGTGAAAGACCTCGCGGTCGCACTGGCCGAGCACTACACTGGTTAGCGCCCCGAGGCCTACGTGGCGTTCATACCGAGTATTTTGCGGAGAAAAATAGATCGGGCATTATCTCTTCGTTGTACAAGAAAGCAAGGTTCGACATAGATGGGTCACGGAGGTCGAGTTACTACAAGAGATGCCCAAGTGTGCCAGTGGCAAGATACTTCGACGTCTGTTGCGTGATTTGGAGTCGGATAATGATGGTCCGGGGACCTTCGTGGGGAGGCGGGAGGGAGTCCAATCCAAACTTTTTAGTTCGATAAATCAAGACCAATGAATGTTGTGGCAATTGAACGAAATTGCCCCCTGGTTAACGGTGCAAGATAGCGGCGTTTCATCATTCATTAACAATATTCTCTATGGGTTGTCTGTGTGTAGCGCTAGGCCACATTTGGGTGTAGATGGTCCTATTCAGGCCAAATGACCAGGAATACGTATCCGGTTAACCAGTACCGACCGGGAAGGTCCGCCCATACCACATCTACACGCCGAGGTTGGGGGGAGAGTTGGAGCAAAACTTGATATCTAACGACCGGCGGAAAAACCAAAATCACAAGGTGACCGGAGTAACCCGAATCAACCTGAGAACGAATCATAATCATAATCATCAATCCTGTCAGCTCCATGGAAAGGATCTGATAGACCGCAAATCACGCATTCCCATCGCCGTCTCTGATGCGTAAGACAGGACAGGAAGACAGTAAGACAGTCTCCAGCCTGGCCAAAGTGGGAAAAGTGGGAAAAGTTGACAAGTTGACAAGTTGACAAGTTTGGGGCCTATCAGGGAGCGAAAAACGGCTCAACGGGGTCGGCAAATTTCACCGGGCCAAAGTTGGACGGTTGACCGCGCGGATTCTAGACCCCGGTGCGCCCCTTCCCGATTGGTCTCGTCCAGTCTAGACTTGTGATCCAGCCGACCCTTCGCCTAGCTGGATTTTGCCTCGCATCTGGTGTGAAACCAAGGATGGTTTCCGGCTCGATACTCTTTTAATCACGGGTGTGGCCGCGTGGTTCCTGAGACCGAAAACCGCCCTTTCCCTTGCGCCTCCCTCCGTCTTTATCGTGAAGATTGTCTCCTCTTCATGAATCGTTCTTCATGAATCGTGATATGATCATCGCGGTCGGATGCGCGTTCCTATCGCCGTGCAGCTCGGGCTGCTAGTCCTGCTGACAACCGTTGTTGGAATTGCTGTCCTCGCCGTTGCAACAGTAAGAATTCGCATCCCCTCTCCGAAGGATCGGCAGCATTGGCATACTGACCTCACAATTAGTGGACCACAACGTACGACTTTGTCGTGAATGTCAAGTACGCGTCGCTTTCCACTAAAGAAGTGGTTACTCCCAAGATTTCCCCGCATGCTAACAATTACCCAGAGCCGAAAGCCTCGAGCTTGTCGCGACCATCAAAGCCAGCCAGATCGCCTCCAATTTAGATCTCCTCGAAGTCACCAGCAAAACCATATCCACACGCCTTTTAGTCCAGTCAGCCCTCAATCGTTATTACAACGGAAATACTTCCACGAACAACTGGGTGAATTCGATAGCGGACGTTCAATCGGCACTGGGGAGCCGAGGCTACCTTGATCTTTACCAAGCAGTCCTCTTCGCGAGGAGCGGGGAGGTGGCGAAGGAGAGGCTGCTCAGCGTGACCAGTGAGACGGTTCCCGACATTGTTCTTCCCTATACCTACGCCAATGGCAGTGAGGTGCTCTTGGGATCAGATGGCGCGGGCTACCCGCCGTCGCTATACCCAAACCTCACGTACACGACCTCGGCCAGCGACGACTCAGTCACCGTGCATGCCTTCCCCGACTATCCACTCGGACTGAAATCCGCCTTACTTCTTGGGCCACTGAGAATCAACAACTCGTTCTCCCTTGTTTCCTTGACTCTACCCATTGTCAACAATACGTCGGACACCGATTTGCTTGGTTTCATGACGTGAGTGAGGAATCTTCCGGTCGCAGTGCGCCAAACCTTCATGGATAGTCATACTAATGAATATATAGCATTGTTGCTAGTGCGGCAAATGTCCAGGACGTTATTACATCTCGCGATGGTCTTGGGAACACGGGGCAAGTTCTTCTGATCGGTCCTTCCCGCGCGGAAAATACATTTGCTTTTTCGGCCCAGCCTGCTACAGCCACCTCGGCCCCGAAAGCTGCAGGGCTTGCAGATGCAGAGGTTCACTATGTGTTCGAGCCCACACCTTTGCCAGGACAGAGTGGTCGGCACAGTGGGCTCACCACCGACTCTTCATGGCAGCTTTCTAGGTACAAAATGGCGTTGAAGCTGATGCTTGAGCCTTTTGAAAACGAGAACAAATCTATTAGTGAGCTTTCGACCACCAATGAAAAGGGATACAGTGTTGCAGTGGGTGCCGTTAGGCCCGATAGTTCCTTGGTTCAATGGATTCTTATCGTGGAAGAGACACACCAGGAGGCGTTCAGTCCAGTTACTCGGCTCCGGAAGATTATCCTTGCTTGTGTCTTTGGAACAGCAGGGTTGGTCATTCTAATGGTGCCTATATTGACGCATTTCGCGGTTGCTCCGATCCGCAGACTACGAGCCGCAGCTCAAAAGTCAGTGAAACCAGAGATCCCCGTTCAGCCATTTCTTTCCCGGCCCGACAGACGTGATTCTCATACTACAGAAGATATCGGAGGTGTTTCGGAATCGATGGAGGAACAAGTCAACGAAAAGGGTGGACCTGCCATGTGGGCGAAGCGTCTTCGGGCTCCGCTTGAAAGACTTAACAGCTCAGCCAACCTTCGCGACCAGGGCAGGCCTCGCCTGTTCCAAATTCCCGGAAGAGTCAAGGAACGCAATCACTGTGTGACAGACGAACTGACGGAACTTACAAAAACATTCAATGAAATGTCGGATGAGCTGACTATTCAATACACACGATTGGAAGAGCGGGTCGCCGAGAGAACCCGGGAGCTCGAGAAAGCAAAACTGGCTGCAGAAACAGCCAACGAAAGCAAAACTTTGTTCATCGCCAACATCTCGCACGAGCTCAAGACGCCCTTGAATGGAATCCTCGGCATGTGTGCTGTGTGCATGGGAGAAGATGATCTTTCTCGCATAAAGAAATCGCTTCAGGTTGTCTACCAGTCTGGAGATCTTCTTCTCCATCTGCTCAATGATTTGTTGACATTCAGCAAGAATCAGATTGAACAAGCCATTCAGCTGGAGGAGAAAGAGTTCAAAATTTCCGATATCCGATCTCAGATTGCAATCATCTTCCAAAACCAGGTCCACGAGAAACAAATCGATTTCAGTGTAAATTGTATTTCCGTGGACAATTCGCAGCTCGCCAACGCCACCTTGTGCCTAGATGAAGGTGCTGAGGGAACAACTTCGGTTTCTCACCCTGAAAATGGGAATCTCATGAATATGGTGCTCTGGGGAGATCAGCACCGAATTCTTCAGGTGCTTATCAACCTAGTCAGCAATAGCCTCAAGTTTACACCCGAAAACGGAAGAGTTCAGGTTCGTATTCGATGTGTCGAAGATGATTCTGGATCTGCAGCCCCTACAACCGCAAGGCGAATTTCGCGCTTCCAGGCGCTTAACCGACTAAACACCCGGAGCTCCGCCGAAACTACTGCAGAGCCCAGGGAAAGCTTATCGGATGGAAGACAACTGATGTTCTATTTCGAGGTGGAAGACAACGGGCCCGGCATCCCTGCGCACTTGCATCGGCGTATCTTTGACCCTTTCGTGCAAGGAGACTTGGGATTGAATCGCAAATATGGCGGCACTGGCCTGGGTCTGAGTATTTGCGCTCAGTTGTCTCGAATTATGGGCGGTGCCATTGTTCTGGATAGCGAAGAAGGCAGAGGTTCCACTTTCACGTTGCGTATTCCGTTGAAATTCGTCAAGCAGGCGCCTCCTAGTACCTTTGTTTCAAGTTCCCCGGGATCAAGAACTCCGAGTGTCTTGTCCTTGGAGGATCTGTCTCATGCTGCAAGGACCCCATCTAATCATGGGTCTCTCAGGGGTGAGCAAGTTGCCCCTGGGTTTGAAAAATCGGACATTCAACCGCGACTTGTTGGTCTGAGCCAGCCATTCTTTACCCCAACGATCCCTTCATCGCCCTCGTCAACTCCTTCAAAACATATTACGCCAAATAATGGTCAGCCCCAGGAGGATGAATCTAAGAAGGTCCGCGTCTTGGTGGCCGAGGACAACTCTGTCAACCAAGAAGTGGTTCGACGGTACGATCAATTAATCCCATTTTGAACACGCAAATACTAACTCGTCTTAGAATGCTTGCTCTTGAAGAAGTCTATAACGTGACAATGGTCAAGGATGGCCAGGAAGCATACGACACTGTCAAGTCTAGCATGGAGAAGGGCCAAGTCTTTGACCTTATATTCATGGATATTCAGGTATTTACATAACATCAATTTCGCCTCCAAGAAGGCACTAACAGAAATAGATGCCAAACCTTGATGGCCTTCAAAGTACACGACTTATTCGAGAGATGGGGTACTCGGCACCGATCGTCGCACTTAGTGCCTTCGCAGAAGAGAGTAACATCAAAGACTGCATGGACTCCGGAATGGACATGTTTATCAGGTTAGTGTTCCAGATATACAACATTACTGTTCTGAAAACTGATAATATACCCAGCAAACCCATCCGACGACCTGCTTTGAAACAAGTGCTGAACAAATTTGCGACCATTCCAGAGGAATCTGAGACCGGGCCATGCGAGTAGCATGGCTACGACTGCATATACATACGTATCATCATATTTTTTTTTAATCAGAGTATTCATCATTCATCATTCAGTCTTCATATTTTCCCTGACATCATGAGAAGGGCAGTGGGGTGTCTCCCATGCGTCATAAGGCCCCTACCCTGCAGTGACTATTTCTATCACTTTTATTGCGTCGGCAGTGAAGGATGAACAACGATCGAGCGTAGGAGACTACACGGAAGCAACCTAATTAAATAGGAGTGTATATGTACCACCTGCGGAAGGCGCTCAACCGATACAAAAGTGAATTTGGATTAAATGGAGACTGATCGATGAAGGCTATGAGGACGCAGGGGGATTGTGGCTTTTTGAACAGGATCTGAACGGAACTATTTAAGAACAGAAGCTGCAACCTAACAATGTAATTGGCTGCCATGCAGTGGATTCTTCATTTCTTTATTCAAAACTGCATTCATTCGTGTGGGTTGGTTGCCAATATTACGATGAGATGTCACCCTCTCCATACCGTCTGGCCCGTTCGCTTCTGTCACCTCTTTTTTGCATCCACCACAACAGAAAGCAAAACGCCTAAAATAAATAACCGTTGAGACCTTTCAAAGTCCGCTTATCCACTGCATGATGCCTGTTCTCCTCCCAAACCTGTCCACCTTCGCCAAATTGATTTGACAAGTGACCCAAGAAGAAATCCAGATTCTCTTGGCACTGCGGGAACGCATTCTTGAAGTATTCAAATAGTTCGTTAACTTGCAATTTAGTGGGAGCGTATGTCACTTTCTCCCCAAGCAGTCCAAGATACTTCTTGGTATGGACGAGATCAGCCTCAGGATCTAGGTCCCATCCTGCCTCCATATGGCCAGGGATGAGTTTCACTGGCTGCAGGGCCGTGATAAGTTCCAAAGTCTGGATCCATGCTTGGAGTAAAGCAGGCGTTTCGACCTCTTCCACCCTTTCGATAACATGAGCTTTGAATTTGCGGAGAGAACAAACTAAAAACTTACCAAACGTGTGTGCTTCTTCCGTAGACTGTGTCGCCACAAATGACTGTTCTTTCGGTAGGCATCCAGAACACCGTGTGATCAACAGAGTCACCCTGGAGCGGGCCCAAGAGCACCACTGGGCTATCTGGGTTGCCTTGCAACATGAAAAAGCTGAAGATGAATTCTTCGGGCTTCTTAGGGGCCTCTGGGACATTCTCTTTTCCAAAGATCGTCGGCCAGTATTTCACTTTATCATCATACTCGCGGTTGATTCCAGCGAGCACGTACGGCGCGGCGTAAAAATTGGCAGTTGGAAAAGTTTCCAAGATAGGATTTGCCGAGAAGAAGTGGTCGGGATGGTGATGTGTTACAAATACAGCTTTGAGAGGGACATGGATTGTGGCTTGGACCCAAGTGATGACCGCCTTGGCATCGGGAACCAGGAAGGGAGGGTCAATTAATATGGCCTCCCTAGTACCCACAATCAAAGTCGTGATACTGGAGAGGCCCTTGACGGAGGAGGAATGGTGGTAGGTCTGGAGAGGCATTCTCCCGTGCTGTCTGTGTCCTTTCTGTCACCGGGAGGATGGGATAGGCCAGAAAACAGGTGAATTCGTCCGGTAGGTAGGTGGAAATCAAGAGAATAATTTCACTCAGGAGGCGGAGAAAACCATGAATAAATTATGGTAGTTATATCACAAAGACTCCACGTCTATACCCCGCCGGCTGGATTGCGTCAACATTTCCCCGCTGCATAGGTGGCGGAAAATCTCCCACTATCGGAAAATCCTCCACATACTACGTAAAGCACACTCTTATTCTACAAGATTGCTCCGTCCAAGAATTAACTTGATTTTGATGTCAGACCCGAACCTGACAGGTGAACTCGGATCTGCCTGCAATGTGTGTTGCCGGAATTGCCGTGGGGTTGTCGATGGACCCGAAACTGAAAAGAAAGCCAGTAATCGTTCTTGATAGCCGGCATTGGAAGATAAATCCGCAACACCCAATGTGCACTAGCTCAAGCCACGCCACTTGGTAGATGAAGAGTCGTCGAGATCAACAGCCGACTAACAGAGCGTATTACGCAGATAGCGATTGGACATGGTGGAAGAAATGAGGTGGTTTTTTTCATCCCGATTGGTGCCAAGTTAGCTAAGACACAGAGCTCGACGAAATGCAAAGCATGGCCTACTATCATGGCCAGTCATGTGATGTTCCATGCAAGGATAATGCTTGACATCTGCAGAAGCCCAATGGACGGACGAGGGCTGCCCATACATCTAATATGAGGCTAAAATGAAGAAAGACTTCTAAATTTCACGTTTTTCGGGAAACTCGGAGTCAAAACTAGGATGTCCCCTGCTAGATGTAAAGTAGATATAGCCAGCGAGTCACTTCTGCAAAGAAGCCAATTCTGGTATGTCTCACATAGCTGAATCTCAATCAGTGTATGAAGGGATCGTCCTTATCACATGAAAAATTATGCACCTCAGGGGCCGAGGACCTCTTATAAGTGGTCACATTGGGACTGTCCCATGTCACTTTTACAATAACAAGTCTTAAAGACTAATGGTCACGTCCGCGAGCCTTCAGTTGATGTCCGCAAAGCCTCTATGTGCTTTTCCATGACGCAGTGTCAGGAAACTACGTCGTTAAAGTCCGATTAACGATTAGCCGCGATTTTCTATGTTTAATCCCGAAGTCGGTTCAGATCGTGAATGGTATGGTAGTGACTCGGAGCATGGATACCAGGGCGCCACTACAATTAAATGGCAGACTGCGGAATGGAGGAAAGAAAATCCAGATACAACCAATTGTATCTCGGCAAGTTGCAAGGAAAACCAAGGCAGAGCTACCAGTGCTACCATCTTGCTGTTGTTTTGACATGAAAACTTCAAAGCACCACCAGTAGCACGAACAAGGAAGTTTATAATTTTCATTCGAGCGCCGGGGTTGAAGGAACTGTTGCTAATGGCTCAGCTTCTCGTGCTCATATAACTCCTCGGGGGCTCTCGAGGAGACATCGAACTATAAAGCGTGGTAGAAACCACCCTTTTTGACAAGAAGCAACAATACTCTTCAATATCGAGACAGTGAGAACTCTATAAGTCGTCATTCATTATCTCATTTCTCACTGGATCAATCAGAAGGACCCATCAGCCAAGTAATATCGTCTCATCAGAGAAAGAAATGCATTTCGCCGAACTGATTGCCCTCGCTGGCCTTGCAGCAACTGCAATTGCTGCACCTGCACCTGGACCGGAGCCTGGTTCGTGGCCCTTGATGGCAATGGTTCAAACAAACCTCATCTAATGTCGTGTTTAGGCCCGGATCCTGAGCTTATGAAGCGAGCCGAAGAGGCGCAAGCAAATAACCAGAATGAGCAATGGGGACGTCCTGGGTGGGGATATGTAGGAGGTTGGGGTCAACCGGGTTGGGGTTATGGCGGTGGATGGGGAGGTGGATGGAGAGGATGGTAGATAATCAGAAAGATCGGGTTGGTTGTGGAATCTGGGGCCGGATATAGGTAACAGAATAGTGCGATAAGGCGGTGGTTGAAAGGAAGATCCAAACGCAGTCGCTCTTTAGTGAATGGAATCACTTGTCGTAACAAGAATGCGTCCGAAAATCCCCGACAGAAAGGCTAAGGTGATGATCTGAATTGGGTCGTGTAATACACACTTTAGTCTCAATGGGAAAGTATGCTCTAATTGTTGGGGTTGTGGGACCTAATGGTCGTTGTCTAATTCGTAAGTTGCCTCGACTGCAAAAAGAAAAAGGGCCGACACAACAGCAAGGAAAAAAAAAATTGACACTTGATTATGATGTCCAAATTCTACAATAGAAATACCACAGGTTCTGCGCGGCTCATTCAAGACATCCGTGTCTCAGATCCAGTTCTCGGGTATGCTCGTTAACCAGAAACTCCTTAACCCATGCGATTTCTTAAACATCATGTCCTGTATAGACCGTGCATTCTAATCAGACACTGACACCGGGGAAGCAATCGGCAAGGCCCTTTTTGTGCTTGTTGGAGGCATGCTCGAGGAGACTAAAACAGATCCGAAGATATGTGAGTAAATTGGGCGCTGACAAAAGATGAGATCGAGGGTTGAAAGACGAAACGTACGCCGGAGCCTTGGTTGTCTGAAGGAAAGTCTGTCTGCAAATTTGGCATTGGATGCTCATAGCTTTCTCATTCTAGACAAAGACACTCGAATTAGCGACATGCGATCGACAACACCCAGGGCGGGGGATTGGAAGTTAGTAACTCCCAGTGAACGTACGGATTTGGTTTGTGATTTGGCAGCTTTCGCATCCTTTTGGTTGCGCTCGCGCTTCATCGAGGCTTTAGCTCCCTGTAAAGTATCGTCAGTTCACCTGTGCGTCAGCTGGTGGCCCGCCACGGAGCGCAAACGAGCCGGTATCACATCGCCACTGTCGGGGTAGGTCTTACGTTGCCCATTGTGAATTATTGGTGGTAAGTCTAGGTGGTTAATGTACAAGACTGTGGGTGATCAGGTGAAAAGAGTGAATGGATGAGAGATAAAAAAAAATGGAGGGGTGGCAATGTCGAAGAGGCCTGGCCGAGTTGGTGATAGCGCGGAAAATTTACTCCGCCTTCCAGTAAGTTCGCGGCTGGCAGGCACGATTCTCGGCTTCTCTAGACGCTCCACTTTCTGGCTAGATCTTCACTTCGTCGCCGCATAGAATGAATACTCATTGCCAAGATGAAACACTTATTTGAGACCTTCCGATTGCTACTCTGCTAGCTTCTCACACAGGCTCTTCAAGGTCCACCCGGCCCACTCGAAGTCGCTATCGTCAAGATACACTTGTCCGCTCAGTCGAACCCACCACGATCCTTGGAATGAGAAGACTGGCATAAACGTCTGATATTGTTTGACCATTTTCTGCTGCATCCACTCCGTGATAGTCACTTCAAGCCCTTCGTCGTTTTTCACTAAGCCTCCATCTCCATCCGTGGGCCTTTGAATAGGCAGCAGAATATTCACCATGCAGCAATCTGACAAGGTATTGGCAGTGTTGTCCAGAACCCGAGTTTTGAGAATTTCTGCAACTCGACGTCCACCGTTACGAGAAAGTTGGGTGCAATACTCTCTGATATGTTTTTCCCCACCACAACCCTCCTCTCGCCACTTTATAGCTTGCGGAACTGTCAAAAAGGAGATGTTGTCTGTGGTGCCAACGAATTCAAATTTCAACACAAAATCCGATTTTCCATAGCTGTCGCCATTGTTTTTACTTGGAGACCTGCCAGCCGGTCGAGATTTAAATCCGTGGCTGGTTGGTAGTGTACTTCGCATCATGTCTTGGTTGCGCTCAGGGACGTAAAACACCGCACATCCACGGGGGGTAAACAGCCATTTATGGCAATTGCTTACAAAGAAGTCCGGGTCCAAAGTTGACAGGTTGAGTTCAATCTGCCCAATTCCATGAGCGCCATCGATCAAGCTCAACACGCCTGCTGATTGACAGAAAGCGGTGAGCTGCTTGAAAGGTAGTCTGAGACCTGTATTTGAGGATATCGTGTCAAAAATGGCAATTCGCGGACGGAACCCCTCTCTCTGAGAAGCTTGGATTGCTCTTTGGAAGCCCGAGATGATCTCATCGTTCTCCACCGGATAGGAGAATCCAATTTTCCTTGTGCGGGCCAGTTGATGCGTCGCCTCGCAAATGTAGCTGATAGTCTTCCCGCATGCACCATAGATGACATCAAGCTGAAGGATTTCGTCTTTTCCGTCGCTATTCCACACAATATTGCGCAGAACTGTGTTCACTCCAGTAGTGGCGTTTGGGACAAAAACGATAGTGGGCTGTGGGACACCAAGGAATTCACTCATTGCTAGACGAGACTCATCCAGGAGCTGAGTGAATCTGTACTTGATAAAAGGGCACGGGTTGGCTTCACACTCGTCCCTTAGCTCGTTTGCTTTTTCGCGGATTGCGGTAGGCGATGCTCCGAACGACCCTAGAAATAATGAGCATAGGTGCAAAATAACAGCGATGACTACACACCATGATTGAGATTTCGATACCCATTTGCAAAAGAGAAATGCCGGCGGATTTCATGGCCAAGCATGGTGGGCTCGAGGTGAGATGAGGGCTGCATACTCGTGTCTGCTCTTGGCTGTGAGGTGTTCTTAGGCTCGGGATGCGGTTCAAAAGCGACCGACATACCATTGCTTCGATAAGAAAAAGCACATCTTATCGTTCTTGTTACCCACATATTCCCTTTTTGTGTGAAAATACCACCAAAGGTTGTAACTTTGTGGTCTCGGACCCTGATGTGGAGCTCGGACTTCAAGCGATATCCTGCCGATCAAGAACTAGACAGGAAACATCGGCAACGGAAGCTCGGAGCAGCCAATGATTTCCTGTCTCCCCTTGAGTTTCAAGCCCAGAAGCTATCACGCCCCAATGCAACATCGGCAAGAGAAGCGACAAGACGAGCGCTCATCTGCGCCTCCGCATATCAAACCCACGCTTCTTGATAACCCCATACGTCCGTGCATGACGTGGAGAATCTATGTAAGTAGCTCTAGTCTCTCCTGCTTTCTGAGTTCCCGAAATAATCGACTTCGGATCACGATATGCGTTCGTCAAATATGACGAGCCATCAAATGCCCACTTAGATCAAGGGGGCATTGAAAGAGGAGTTCCTGGAACTCGCAGCAACCACCAAAGTGTCCCGTCGGAAATTGACAAAGGTGAAACGGAGCAGAGAAACGTCGGAACCCTACGAAGACGTCTCAAGTCACGACACGTTCAATTTCTCGCCCTTTCTGGGGCTATTGGGACAGGTTTATTTGTTGGGGCGGGCCAAGTCCTGTCCCTTGCTGGGCCATTATCCGCAGTTCTAGCCTATTCAATCACGGGGCTCAACCTTTACGCGGTGATCAACAGTATGGGCGAGATGGCAACATGGCTTCCACTTCCAGGTGCTGTCCCTGTCTACGCATCTCGATTTGTTGACGAAGCTCTTGGGTTTACTCTTGGGTGGAATTACTGGTACCAATTTGCCATTGACGTACCGATCGAAATCAGCGCTGCTGCACTTGTGATAGACTACTGGCCTAACAATGTCTCCTCTGCAGTCTAGATCACCGTTCTTTATGTCCTTATATTTGTCATTAATACCTTGCCAGTGCGGGTTTACGGTGAAGTGGAGTTTTTTCTGGGCTCAATCAAGCTTACCACCATTGCAGGATTGATGCTGCTAATGCTCATCATTACCCTCGGTGGGACGCCTACACATGACCGGGTTGGATTTCGTTTCTGGGTTCATCCGGGTCCTATGAACGAGTATCTCAAGACGGGATCTCTTGGACGCTTTTTGGCTTTCTGGAAAGTTTTCATTCAGGCAACATTCAGCTATGGAGGCAGCGAGATGGTGGTTGTGGCAGCAGGAGAAACCGAAAATCCCCGACGCAATATCCCAAAGGCCGTGCGTCGTGTTTTCTGGCGAATTGCCATATTCTATGTCGGAAGCGTGTTCTTGGTTGGTCTTTGTGTTTCATCCCGAGACCCGCGACTGCTCAATGCCATTGACGCTGGTGATTCGGGTGCTGGGGCTAGTCCGTTCGTTATTGCAATTGTCAACGGTGGCATAAGTGTTTTACCCTCCATCATAAACGCAGTGATTGTGACATCGGCCTTATCTGCCGGCAACTCCTTTTTCTACGCGTCTACACGTATTCTGTACGCCACTGCTTTGGACGGCAAAGCGCCCCGTATTCTTTGCTACGAAAAATTCGGGGTACCATACGCATGTGTCGCTGTCACTGCTGCACTCAGTCTACTGGTATACCTCAATGTCTCAGCAAGCTCAGCTGAAGTTTTCTTTTGGATTAGCAATTTGAGCTCTGTCAGCACACTGATCGTGTGGTCCTCGCTCTCTATTACTTATATTCGTTTCTATCGAGAATTGAAATACCATGGCGTCCCGCGGTCTTCGCTACCCTTCAAATCACCATTCCAGCCGTTTATGGCCTGGTTTGATTTGATATTCTCATCGACTGTGGCATTCTTTAACGGCTTCGATGCGTTCTTTCCGGGACATTTCAGCGCCAAGAGTTTTATTCCACCATACATCGACATTCCTATTTTTGCATGTCTCTTCTTGGGTTATAAGATAGTCAAACGGACGAAGTTTGTGAATATTGAAGAAATGGATCTTTGGTCCGGCAAAGAAGAGGCCGATCAGCTTGAATGTGAATGGGAGGAGCCAAAGCCTCGCCACTTTTTGGGTACGTGCTTGCGCCCTTTAGAATACTTGCAAGGTGTAGTAGCTCACAAAAAGCAGAGCGAATCTGGTTTTGGGTTGCTTAGAGGCGAAGTACTGCTCATCATCACTGCATGTATGAACAATTTCACGGTAATTTACCGTGGTGGCGCTGATGGTACAAATGAAATTCTTTTAACAAAGTGTTCCAATCTCGTTCAATCGTTTTCCTCTGCAGCCGCGCAGACTCGGCTGGGTCCTAGAGAGCACAGAGATCTTGCATTATTCCACCATTGCCAATCAATACCCAGGGCGTCTCGAAGGAGAAATGGATGCCGACAGAAAAACACGTCTTATCAAAAGCTCAGTGACCACTAGGGGCGGAAATAGCAGGCCCCTGGGAAACGGCCTCTAACTACTTTTTCCTTTTCACTAGGGAATTTTATGCCAGGTATGCTAGCCTGGTCACTTGCAACCGACTGCGCCCCAGAGACGAAGCCAAGGCCTTACCCTCTACCACATCAGCTATTTCTTTCTACGTTTCAAGTACCTTTTACCCCTTGTCCCGATACTTTCCAATTAGTATAAGCATATTAGCCGTAGGTTTCTTTCATTGAAACCAAATTTTTCGATTCGCCGACCATTATCCTGAATTTTGTCGGCATGAAATCCTCCATTTGCCAGGAAATTTAGATTTATATGTTTTTGCTGTATATGAACCTGAGTGCGCAGCTCACTTACATGCGTCACTCGCTTATTGACCACGTTGTGTGTCGTCCATCCAGGCATTATATAATACTAGAGTTTTCAATATCGCCGAAGAGTTGGAGTTTGAAGAGTTGACCGCTTTCTGTATTTGACAAATTTTAGCTATTTGCGTACATTGACTAGCCGGAGATATCGGCTATTCGGGACCAAGCCTCCTCAATAAACGTATGCCACCAAGCCATCTGCTTTCATACTCTACACATAAGATATGCTACCTGAAAGATGCAATCTCTCTTGACCCACCTCGGCAGAACTGGCAGAAAACGCCGCCGCCCTGCTTATTCTTGTGTCGAGTGTCGCCGTCGCAAGGTCCGGTGCGACCGGGCTCACCCTTGTGGTCAGTGCGTCGCGCACAATGCACCATCCTGCACATTCACCGACAACCGGCACTCATCTTCCAAAGACCCTTTAGTGGATACTCCATTTAATCAACAGGAGAAAACCACACCTATAACTTCTGATGAGAATCGCTCTGGACAGATTCATGGCGCTCAATCCAAGACTCGGGTCTTCGGCCAAGGCCATTGGATGAGTGCAATGCCACTCGTAAGCGACAATGCTTAATTTGTCTCCGTTCCTCATCACTTGCTAAGTGCACGCCAAGGCATCCGAATTGTCTATTTTAGGACCGGTTGCAGAATATCAGAGTTCCTTGTTCCAACCATCGAACCAAGAAAGACAATGTCCAATCTCCCAGAAAATAGACAGATGTAAACAGCTTGCTCGCGAAATAAAAAAACAGCACCCGTGCAGACGGTCCCTTCCGAGTGGGATACATCACCTATTTCCTGACCGTCAAATAATGGAGGACCTAATCCAGCTCTACTTCACGACTTTTGAAGCCTGTTATCGAATCCTTCATCGCCCGTCTTTTCTGTGCGATTATGAGACCTATAGAGATCATCCAGAAACCGCCCAAAATGCCTTCGTGGTACAGCTTCTTCTTATAATGTCTATTGCTGGTGCCTTGCACGCTGATCATAGTATTCGCCGTTCGATGGCTGAAAAGAGCAACAATTGGATTGATGTCACCCAAAACTGGCTTTCGGCGCCATTAGAAAAGGACCGTTTGACATTGAAAGGCATTCAGGTATATTGCTTATTGCTTCTTGCCCGCCAAGTGAACCGGATAGGGGCAGACTTAGTTTGGATCTCCGCGGGATCGTTGATAAGAATGGCGATGCAGATGGGCTTGCATCAGGACCCTGATTATCTCGGCGATACGAATGCGGAACAAAAGGAGATACGGAGAAGGTTGTGGTACACTATCCTTGAGATGAATATCCAGGCCGCCTTGGATTCTGGGATGGTGCCAATGATTACAGAGAACGATTACAATACCCTTCCTCCGTCTAGTATTGAAGATGTCAATATAGACCCCGAGGGAAGCGAAGGAGTGAAAGAGACGACCTTGACTTCGTATCCGAAGTCGCTTCAGTATATCTTGGCCCGGTCGATCTCTTTCAGACTCAAAGCCACCAAAGTCATCAATAGCCTTGAAGAAGAGCCATCATATGAGTCGGTCTTGCAACTCGGACATGAGCTAGCTTCAGTCTGTCGTGAAGCTGCCGTCAGCACCTCTAGCGGTCCTTCCGAATTGGGATCATCGCCGGGAGGCCAGTTTGCGAACAGTTTTTGCAGTCATCTCCTGAATCGCTTTCTTCTATGTCTTCATTTCAAGTACGCTATGCAAGCGACGCAAAATCCACTTTATTCGCACTCACATAGAGTCTGTCTTGAGGTTGCTCTGGCCCTGATTTCGCTCCTCGACGACAATATTTATAGTCGGTTGTTGATCAATGGAAGTGGGATGTTTCGGGATATCATCACACGTGGCGCATTGATGGTTTTTCTAGAATTGAACACCCTTCATCAGTCGGGTATCTCAGAACTGGCCAAGAGACGAAATCGCGCCCGACAAGAGCCATTGCTAATCGATGCCCATCGACTTGTTCGGTATGCAAAAGAGAGGATGTGCCATGGTGAGACAAACGTGAAAGGATATTTGTTTTTGAAACTCGCCACAACTCAAACTGAGGCTTTGATTAATGAAGTACCAGTCGAGCAGGCGATGAAGAAAGCTGCAAGCGAGAGCCTGGATGAATGCGAGTTCATTCTTGGCAATATATCGACATGTTCAGATGTTATTATCGAACCTGGGGATTTCGAGGCTTGGAGGCCTGGGGGATCAACACACATTCCCATAGATCTTAACTCTGGTCTGGACTCTTTGGATGACGACAATTTTACGTTTGATCTCTCAGATCCTTCGACTTTCCAAAATTGGACGGATTTGTCAATATACTAGGATATATCATAGTTCTAGAGGCTTAACCCAATACAGAGTCGACATATCCAGATGCCCAAAGTTCTCATGTTATATAATATATTCTCGAATAATAATTATGGGTCTCGTAATTGCAAGTATCAAATTTTCAATACTCGCCGGTTCAAACCTTTTGGTTGCCACGCAGGCCACTCATTGTTTCAACAACTAGTATTAATTAAAAATAAATTGACTTAAATTACAAGTTGTCTCCTTTGACACAAATTTGCGCCTGACGTCGACGATTGAGCGTATTAGCTGATCGGTAGATTGCTATCCTACAGGGTTAGTGGAATAAAATGCATTCCAGTTGGGGTTTTGCTTAAATTCAAGAGAAAAACGGCGCTAACTAGTTAGTGACTGGTTTGTATCTAGGTTCCTCTCGGCACTCTAGTTGAATTCATCGGTCGGATAACTATAAAATTTTTACAAGTTCTGAATTAGCGATTATCTTATAGCCGGTTTTAACTCAAAGCTCGAGAACTAAGAAGAAACGGTCACTAGTTATAGGGAATTAAAATTCGGATTATTTTTTTGATAGGTACATAAAACCCTATTTTAGTATACTATTTCCCATGTCGACCTCCCGTAGGAGGCCGGCTTAGAGGACGAGGATGTTCTTCACTATCCATTGCCGGCGATGACTGCATCCCGACGCCGATCGGTAACGGTGATCCAGCCATTCTTAGACAGGATGTCTACGGGTTGAGTATGATTTCTATCGAGCCATCCAAGGATTCGATAATCTTGATCTCGCTGATTTTGTAAGTTAGCCTCTTAGCGGTGATACAAAATAGTCTGCGGTGGGCAAATTCGAAGATCAATCCGATAGAGATTGTATTCAAGACATCGACTGTGGAAAGACCGGAACTGGAGTCAGACTTTTCGTAAATGGATTATCAACGAATATGGGTTAATCAATCAATCAATCAAAGTTCTATTTACCTGATAAAGCCTAACTAGATGCGCCGAGGCTATACAGGCGCTTCGTCCAAATCCGAAGCAGAACTTGGTGTCCTTAACTCCAGACTCGCGGTTTGCAATAAACAGTAAAACATAGGACAACCGGTCTCCTGTAGGAGGTCGGCACAGAAAAGAGTGTACTAAATCCAGATCAAAAGCATAGAAAATCTTATATAAAATCAAACCCAAAAGTACAAAGCCCACAGTATTCCACTCTTCTGCGTCCCCTCGTCCCCATAGTATGCTCCTGACTGTCGTTCATCAGTCCTCTCTAAGAGCTTCGGTTCTCAATTGATAATGTTGGCGTGGTGAATCGGCAGTAGTTAAGTGTCCTGACCATTCTCGGTGGTCGGTCTTAGTGTTCGGTGGTGTATACATAGCGTCTTCATAACCTATCCCATAGCCGTAAGGCCGAGCTATTCGTGGTCGTCGTCATCCTTAGTGTCCGGCTCCGTTTCCACGTGTCGGAACCAACCGAGGAGACCAGTAGCGACGTAGTGGGCCGCGCGCGGGTGGGACACGATTATATCGTAGTCCGTAGTGTCTCCAAGATGGGTGCGATGTCGTCTCTAATTCTTTAATCAGCCGCTATTGATACTGTAGGTTCTTCTGTTCTAATACTTTATCGATCCTAAGGGCGCCCACGTTAATATTATGCACGATTACACCCTAGGTCGGTAAATAGACCCTAGCGTCTTTGCAGAGGCCTTTAGCCTACCCTTGATATATCCGTGCAACCTCTGCTTCGTTAGCAGAACGCGTTATAAAGCAGACATCACCCGACTTTAGCACCCGTACGGCTATAAAAGCCACTGATGCTAGATGTTTCAGAAGCCAGAATCCAGAAGCCTAGATATTATATTACCCACCAGAATCACAAGATCTGATCTATTTGTATAGTCTGTTAGTGCAAATGTTAACTTCATCTTTGATGCCACCTTCCTAAGACCACCTCAAATACTTAGTCACTGCTCTAGCTGTAGCACACTGAGATACAAAGATTGCGGGCTCCTGCATAAACACGAGCAGCTAGTTCAGCACGGGCGAGAGTGATAGAGAGCTTCATGTTAAAGATGCTCTTTTGGAGTGCATTTCCAGGTGAGGTGAGGTGAGGGGCTGTGTATGAGTTTGAAAGAATGGAAGATTCAAGATTGACATGTAACAATTATGGAGGACTAGACGGGCACTCTGTAGGCTTTCGTAGACAATATCTTACCCTGTGGGTAAAAATGAAGTACTATTCATAGTCGGCAGCAGATAGGCTATGAGACGGAACTGTCGTACTCATAAGATCGACTAGCTAAAGTGGCTAGCCCGAGGGATAGCGCATTATATATAGAGCTGACCTCCAACTTACGCCCTCCATTATTCTGAAGAATTTGCTATTTGCAGGAGTTACAATCAAGGATATAGAGACTCTTATGGAGTCGCTATCACCATTGTGATAGTACATCGGAAGGTATAATTAACTGCCGTAGGCTCAAGAACATCAATTATCTAGCTATATTCTGTATTGGCCTATGCTTTTCGTCTTATGATTATTCCTCATGGATTTGTCGATGAAGCTCTCGCATCACGTACTGCATAATCGATGTTTGCACGGCTGCAGATGTTTCTCCCTTCGAAGTTGTGTAGTGTGCCATAAGCTCTCCATGACAAATAGAGAGAGGCGGGGTGCATTCGTTCATCATTCATATATTATATCTAGCTGTTCTATAGATTTACAGCATATGTGCAGTTGTGTCCGTATTGAAAAGCGACGGCTCCGACCCAACGGCAGTCAACAGCACTACCATTCCACCTTCTCTCGTGGAACATGATGCTGACGATGCACCAAGAAGCTGATATTCTTCGTTTCTGTCCATCTTCTCTTCTTCATCCCAATCAAGCGCTCCTGTTTTTGGCCTGCCAGTTCCACTTAAGACCTCGAACTCCCCGAACCGATATCGCCGCCCGAGTGACTCAAGATGGCTCTGACGTTTGCCTTCGCTCCATTCTGCTGTGCCGTGAAAATCAGAGAGCATTCGAGTATGTTGTACCCATGGGATGAGAGAGCCGATGGACCGCGGCGTGGGAAGACCATTGTAGCACTTGTGGCGCAACAAGAAGACGGCCATCAACACAGAGAGGTCGAGGGAAAGAATAATGATCATGATAACAAGGATTGTGGAGGAAGGTGCGATCCCCCATTCGGCTTCAGCAACAGTACCGTTGACCGTGACTTGGGGCGTGGTCAGTGGTATAGGATCGAGGTACAGATCGCGCCACAGGCTCGTGTAGATGCTGAAAGTTGATTGGTAGATCAATTGAATGGCGCGGAGTGAAATATCCTCATCTTGGGATTGATAAACAGAAGTTATTCGTCTTTTTTGAATGGAATCGTAAAAATGTTGAGTTAGAATAACAGGCCAATCGAGTTGTATAAACGCTTCGTTGAACGGGAGGAGGCTGTTTGACGCGTTTTGAAACATCGCTCCGCTCGTTATAGCGCTCCCTGTGACCGGCCACTGGGCTTTGATAAGCCCCATAGAATCAAAATAGATGTCGAAATTTTGAATTTCGATCTGTGGTTTGCAATAGAAAGCAGTTGGGTAGGGCTCCAATGTAGTTGTTGCTCTACTGGAATCTCCGCACTTGATGACCACAAATGAATTCTGGCATGAGATATCTCCATCCTCAGGCATAGCAAGATACAAAGAGCCGTTGGAGGAATGTTGGCCATCTGTTGCTTTTTGGTACTTCACTGTACAATTCGTGTCGATGGAGCCCTTATTTGGGTTGTATGTCCAAGAGTATGTCCCAGAATCAACTGATGACCTAATGGAAGGAATCTTCGCACATTGGAGATCGACGCCAACGCCACGTGTGCGGGCCGTATACATTAACCAGTCAACATATTCCGCGTCCTCAGAGTCAATCTCCAGCGGGATAAAGGAAGTGTTTGTAGTTGTCCACGATAGCAGAGACTCTTCACTAGCCAGAGTATCTGCAATAAAATTGTAGCCGTGGAACTCAACCCGAACATCTGGATCGAGAAAGCGAGAAAGGTTGTATCGAATGGACAAATCCGTCGTTGGCCCGAACCATTGATACACAACTGGTTCAAACAATCCACTGCTGACAATGATCAAGAGAAAGTTCAACAGGCAGATCAATGACAAGAGAATCAAAAGAACAGGTTTATTTATGCGCAATTGTTTCCAAATCGTGAGGGGCGTGTGCGCTGCGTAATTTGTACTCAAGGACAGTCCTGGCAAAGACATACCTTGTTGCAACCGGACCCACGGTTCGATAAAACTCAAATGCCGGTGGACTGAGGTAAACAAAGTGCTTATCACGGAGGCGATGACTGTAGGGCCGTATATGAGATAGAGATAAAGGATTGTCGCCCCAGGGGAGAGGTAATCGTCAAACTTGTCCATAGTGATGAACTGGACGGAGACCCCAAACGCACTAAGAACACCAGCGAGCAGGACGCACTCAATAATAAAGTATGTCGGTTTGAGAAAATGCGGCCTGGCGTTTGGTCGGACTCGAGCCGGTTTTGCTGCACGAGAAGCGTGTGAATCAGGGGACGTGGCGTGCTTTTCGCATGGAGTGATGTCCAATCGCTTCCCATCGGGTCCTTCGACCCATTGACATGACAGTGTTTTGGCAAATCGACGAAGTTGGCGGGGGGTGGATTTGTAGAAATCTATATCAGACCGAGTGACATGCTCGGTTGAGGCCAAAATGTCTGTCACAATTGCGCATTGTGCCGCGATAGAGCCTGGGTCACTTTTAAGAAAGCTCAGTCGTCGGGGGTAAATGAAGGCCATGGTAACGAGTACCAGAAAGGCCGTAAGGAAAATAGCTTCTGCGATGAAAGCTGAGTGAGAGGCAACCCCAAAAATGATTTTATCAGTTGTCTGTTTGGCGTATACATGCTTGGGGCCGGCCGTGGTGTCAAAGAACTTGTTCATTGTGATGATGAAATGACTTTTCCAGAGTCCGATGATCTCTTCCTGGTAAATGCTAACGTCCATTGGCTTATGCGCCCCAATAGAAGTGCCATTCACAGCTATCAAGCCAGTAACTTCAGGAATCGGATGCGGATACCCCATATTCCATAGCGCCAAATCACCATTAAAATACTTTGCAAAAAGCATAGCTTGCAAGCCGGTAACACTCAGCTCTTTTGCAGTTAAAGTGGTCTTGGGACGAGAAACATTCTTCACAGCCGCGACAGACGTGTTTGAAGGGAGCACAATATCCGCCATAGAGTGTAAGTATAGGCTGCTACATCCAAACACCGTCGCATTGGAGGATGTACCTTGCGGTGATACAGTGTTTATATCAATAGCAAGGCCAATCAAGGAGAACGAGGCGCATCCAGTGTAGTTCATAGTCGAAGTGCTATCGGCACTGCCATTGGGAGCCAGAGGCTCCCAATGTCGGATTTGAAACGATCCTGTCTGAGCTGATTTAGAAACATTTAAGGAAAAGCCGAGAGAGCATTCGGAGCCTGCAGTAGCACCCAATGGGTTCTGGAGACGAATATTGCGAATATCCCCTGTCAAGCCCGTGGAGCTATGCTGAGCAGCGGAGCTCGTGGAGTTAAGACTATACCACTCGCGAAAGACGAGGTTGTTCAAAGATATCTTGGTACAAGTCAAATCAGCCCAGTAGATAGGATGATGTAGTTCCCACATTGAGTCGCGGTGATGCGCCCAGTGACCCGGCCTTGATATAGGCGGTATCGCATATTCGGGATTGCCATAGAAAAAGGATGTATCTGTGGTGAACTGTGACCCATTCCTAGAGCGAAAAGCTTCTTCTGTCAACCAGGCGTTCTGCTTCTCTAGGCTCAGTAGACTGGGCCAGATGTTGACTGGCTGCCATGCGACTATGTTCGCCTCATCGAGTACAATGAGCCCCGATAAGAGAGACGGCAACATCATGCGAAGAATTAATCCAATCAACGAAACACACGCCACTGTCCAATGTCGGTTTCGAATAGCCATTATCGGGGCGACAATCCCATAAAAGAAGCAGTAGTTGGTGAACAATATCGTCCCGGAAATCCCTTCAGGTTTGGCTAACTGGAAATACGGCTCCAGTCGCAGCACATCAAGGGCACATACGTTCCACAATGCCGCAGCCAGAACAGCAAAGGCTGTCGGTGCGTATGTGTACATGCCCGAAGTAAACTCCCCGAGGACCGTATATGATTTGAGATGGACAAGTCCATGGTGCCGGCTGGAGTACTGGCGAAGGCATTCGATAGCAATTGCCGTAAGCAGAAAGAAAGTAGCGACGCTGAAAAGATATGGACGCCGCAGTGATGTCGGTATCCAGTGCCTTTTCGTTTCATTGGACGGCATATTGGGGCTCTCCACGCTATTTTCAGCCTCAGCCATTTCGCCTAGTCCACCAGTCATCGACTTTGTGGAACTATCGGGGTTATTGCCCGCCTCCTTGATTTTCATGTGCCTTTTGGCCCGTCTCTCCGCGCCATCGTCTGGCTCTGTTTGATATGAAAGGAGTGTCAGCGGTCAGATTCTGCTGTACGAACCTGCATACGCACGTGCACGTGGCTTAGACTTTTCCAAACTTTGACGGATTTCTCCGTAGGTCACGTGATTTAGGTACAGGCACGCGTGGTCCTAGGGACACTACCGCGGTGGACTGGAGATATAATTACCCTTCATGTTAATTAATTATGTAATCTATAATCCCCCTATAAATTGTCAGACTCAGAGCAATACAAAGACAGAGCTTTTGACATCGTACACACTATTGATGCCTCCGGCCTTCAGAGCACGGGAATACTTTAGTCCGTTCATAGCACGGAGACTACGGCGGTACGGGCATTTTGTTACATAAGCACAGGATAGATAACTAATTAACTAGTTAGTAACTATTTAGACCGATCCTTCCCTCTCCGGGGGAAGGATAATCAATTATTCCGTTTCGTTCTCACACACGATCGTCATGCTGCTTCATCCCCCCAAAAGGCCGAGTCAGCTCGGTATAATCAGTAAGCGATAGATTGCAAACTTTCCGCCTTTTCGGGGTCCGGACGAGGAGGTAACTAAGGCTGGCCTACCCTTTTTTCGCTGTTATGGCAACCTGACTTCCTGGGGAAAAGAAAAAAGTAGTCCACTCCGAACAAGAGTAGTAGCCAGGCCGCCGTTTTCATTTCCGCAGCTAGCTGATCACTGTCGCGAGATACCCCACTTGCACACGCCTTAAATATTAGTTGTGTATTGTAGGCGGCTTTCGAAATAACCATCTCTTGGCGATATTGTTCTGTGCGTTTTTCGCTGTGTTTTGCGGTTCTCCTTGTGTCTTCATTGAGGGTCTTTCGCCATTCTTGCGCCCACATTTCCTGTCGACTGAAGTCAACCACCAAAGCCAACACCGCAAATATCTCCAATGGGCGAAACCGCATTATTCCCCGAGGAGGCCTGGATCTTCCCTCAATTCCCGGACCTGCCCCCGGACCTGCGTCTATTATGGAGTTACCGCCTCCCCCATCGCGCTGTGGAGCTGGATACTTCTACTCGCGCTATAGGGCCACCATTACCCTGTGGACTAATCTTGACCTCATTTTCGAATGATAGGCTACCATTTATCTCTCGTGTATGCCGCGAGTCACGCGCTGTGACTTTGTTAAGCCGCTCCATCATTCCGTGCGAAGAGGTCCGAGGGGGCTCTTTTATCAGCGAAAACCTTCACTTTATTGGAGGGTACGAAAAGGAGTCTCTCAGGAAAATGCCTAGTTGGATTGATGTAGTTCGGACAATTAAAATACACACAAGCAATGAATACGCCGACAAGACAGGTCTTTTTGGACTATTAGGTGACGAGTCAGTACAAATGGTTAATGTCTCTGACGAGGACAGAGTCAAGGCTTTTCTTGACTTCGTAGAGGAATCACAGCAAAGGGGACGTATCCGTCAATATCAATATTTCTTCATGCTTCTTTCTCGTCCTATAGATATATGTCCACTACAACAATTAGGTAGCTCAATTTAAAAAATTTGGCATTGAGAAGATAATAGAGGAAGCCAAACATCAGGCATAGAGATAACCACTGGTCGATATTCAACAGAAACACGCGTCAATAGTCAGATCTTATGCGCTATACTTGTTCACAAACTGAATCAACGCCTGGTCCACTTCTTTGGGATGTGAAGCACTTAAGAAATGAGCACCATTTTGAACAGTTACAAGGCGCGCGTCAGGAGAGTTCACAAATAACTTGATCTCGCGCTCGGCGTTGGTCAGGGAGTAGACTACATCTTTAGTTCCCTGCACGAACGGTAAGTTAGTGATGAATATAAACGTATTTATGTTCTTAAATACAAAATCAAGACTTTGGCGAATGAGAAAGAAAGATGCAATAACTTACATGCAACCACATCACGGGACAATGCACATCAAAAAGCCTCGGGTGCAGCCCATCCCGATCCCTCAAGTTTATAGCTGCCATGCGAAGGCGACGCCGGCCATCGTCGCCTAAATAATTCTGGCGGATGGTATTGCGCCAGAAATTGCGAACATCAGCAGGACAGTCATCTTTACCGAAGCCGATGTCGATCAAGAAATCGCAGTATTCTTGATCGGCCTCAAACTGAGGTGTGGGCTGTTGAGAAGTCCACTTCTCAATAGAGGGAGTTAATAGGCTAGGCGCGTCCCAGCAATCAAGACTGCGGGTTATGTCGGTTTCAGAATCCATTGACGTGCCTAGGGGGATGATGCCAGAAATCTCAATACCCATTTGTTAGCATAATATTTTTCTAGAATGACTCAACGTTGTAAGGATTATATCCACCTTGTCCGGCCGCATCAAGGCCATCCGCACTGTGATCCAGCCGCCTTGACTTGTGCCGAGTACAAAAGCCTTCTTGATATTCAGGGCATCAAGGACTTGCAGGTTCATCTCAGCCGTATCCCAATACGTCCAATTTTCGCGCTCAGTGCGTGTCTGGCCATGGCCGAGAAGCTCGATGGCAAGCAGATTCATTGTGTCGGTCAGCTCCTTGTTTGCGTACTGCTGGCGGTAAAGCTCTGACGACGTGGTAAACGAATTGACGAGAACCAAAGTTGGCTTGGTCGGATCGTAAGGTCGAGACATTTGGTAAGATGCCTCGATACCACCAAGGTGGGGGACATGTACGATTTTGGTGCTAGACATGACGATGGAGAAGTACAAAGAGCAGTTTTTATGACGAGCAGCAAATCAAGTTATAGATAAGAAGTGATTGTTCTCAAAGTTGCGCCAAAGAGCCTTGAATCCGAAACGCCATCGGACGGGCTAAACTACAAGGCTATATAAGCTACCGTCCACGACTGATGATCTCATGCTTAAGTCATGCGTGTGACCATTCCGTAACTCCGGGTAGCTCGACACGTCGGTTCTGCGGAGTAACTTGGTTAAACCCGCTTCAGTGGCTCATATTCTGCTCCGCTTGTTTATCTCCCCGCTCCGCTTGCTTATCTCCCCGCTCCGCTTGCTTATCTCCCCCCCCAGTTGCCTGTATCACCGCACCAGTTGCTCATATTTACGCTTTAGTTGTTCATATTTATCACTAGCCAAATTAAAAAACATTACCATCTCAGTTATCTGTCTTACATAGACTGCGCCAAAACCCAACCCAATCCAATGGGATTTAAATCTGAAACTGAAAACCTACAAATCCATTTCTACATAAATTCAAGGTCAGTCGCTTAGTAATCATACAGGGTATTCTTTAATTAATTAATATTGTGATAACACGGCCTTGTATGGGGATACGAACGGTCACGTTACCCTACTTTTTCTGCCATACGGCACCGCCCTTAAGGCATATTTCTATCCTTTCGTACACTTACTTAGCAATACACACCTTTCCACCTCCAGAATCTCACTATATACGCCCGCGAACGTCGACGAGCTTTTGAAGCAAGTATCCTCAATTAAAGCTTTCTTAAAACGATACTCAAAAAGCCCGCTATCGCCTTCGCAAACCGCGTTAAACCAGCTTATTAAAGGCTATCAGATCGCAATACAAAACAGTATCCTTCTCGAGCAAGAAAATAAGTAACTACGTGCCGCAAACGCTACGCAAAAGCAAAAACGTGCTTATAAGAATAGATAGATAGCCCACGATAACGGTCTATCCGTACGAGAAGTATTAGAGCTCAAGGAAGCTCATAAAGAGCCCCCTTAGGTAATACTAGCTCCACTAAGCCTACTACCGCGGGACACACCAGCACCGAAGACGCGTCGTCTACCCCAATGCACTAATTGCGGAGTAATCGGACATAGAAGGAATACCTATAAAGCTAGAGATTAATCAATATAAAGGCGTTGTGGTTGATTAATATGCATAAAAGTGTAGAAAATTTGGGTGGGTGCGTCACTCGCTTGGGCGCGTCACTCGCTTGTGAACCACGTTAGTGGTGGAACGCATAACATAATGAATACAGTTGCGGCCTGAGGTGTCACGAATATTTTGGGTGTAAGCAATGGATGGCCTAAGTCGAAAAACCGTACGGCCTCATTTATGATTGCTGCGCTCAGGATTGCCCGTACGGTCCCACGACCCAACCCGTACGACACTTATGATCTCCACTAGGACGACCTATACTACGTGTTGTGTGTGTGTGTTGTCTGTTGGTTGTTGTTGTCCAGTCTGCGTTGCCAGACAGCTATCGAGCCATCCCCATTTCATTATGTAATCTAGAATCCCCCTAACGTGGTCGGTAAGCGAGTGGTCCATGTAAGCTAGTGGCCACCCGCGAAACACCATAGTTAAGGCCATATTTTACAACTTCATATTCCAAAAACTATGACTTTTTGTTAAATTTTCTTGTTATGAGCTACTATCTATTCTATATTAAGGATATATATAGGGTCTTTCAATGTTTTAAATCACGGTCAGCATCAGAAATATATATTATTAGCCATCAGGGTGGTATTTTTTGAATCAAACACTTATATATTTAATTTCTAGTCGATATATGCTGTTTTACGTACCAAGAAACATTAACATGCTAAGGGCCAGGCAAGGATAATGTATAATTATTAATATCTTGAAGTTGTACAATATGGCCTTAACTATGGTGTTTCGCGGATGGCCACTCGCTTACATGGACCACTCGCTTACCGACCACGTTATAAATTGCAAGAATCAGGGGTAATACAGAAACAGAGCTTTTGATATCGTTGATTGGTTGCATATAAAACATTCCGATATACAGTACCTGCCTGAGGCAGGCATATCCTGCACGGATATGCACTGTAAAATTACAACAGTTTCTAATCGCATTTCACCATCTATTGGTAGAGCTGTATCTGCCTCTTCGGTCATAATATATCTGTCCCGTACGGTCTCATTGCTAAACCATTGCTTTCTCCAGTCATAGAGCTTACAAGGCGAGACAAAGTCTGAACGACGGCATCGATATATAAGACTCCAATCTCGATACCTGCTTTTAGTAAGAAAGTTTAAATAGCCTCGTTCGCCATGGAGCGAAAATCTGGTTCTCCAGAACTATTCACACTCAAACAAAGGGGCCATTGCTTTTGATGAAAGCCCAAGCGCGAAGAATTCAGTGGTAGAGAGATATTGAGCGATAATAAGGCGAAATTCGATGGGAAGCAAGGGAAAACAATCGGTCTGGGAGGTTATGTCAAGAAACAACTTTGTGCCACAAGGCATCCGGTTGTTCTTTCGGAGCTTGCGTAATTGAATAAATGATCTGATTCCTTCATAATTCATTGTTTTGATTGCTGAACGGAAATTTGGAGGGCGACGGTAATCTTGAATAATCTGTTAATTATATAACATTTTTGAGGACAATGAAACTCCCTTGCCTTGGAGTTCTTTATATCTCGGGATTTGTGTTATTTGTAGTACCCTAATCAGTTTGTCAAGACGAGGAAGGTGGTCGAAATGTTTCATCAGTCTGTGCCAGCAGAAGTCGTGAACTAAAAGGATGTTGTCTGCGTTTAAATGAATAAGACGTATCGCAATTTTGATATGCTACATACCAGGATATTGTGGGAGCTCTGTCGCTGCTCTGAAGGTTCGAACTGTAAAGGAAGGCCAAGTCAATTTTTTTATTATTCTAGAAAGATCCCATTTATACACCGCGGGTATCTATTGAGATAATCCACTGGATAAGAGAATCTTCCTCGATTTGCGATAGTTTATGGCCATTTAGACGAGTTTCAGCGCGATTTGTAGTCCCGCGTAGTCGACGCGTGAGCGTAGAACAAGGCACTTGAAATTGATCTGCAGCCTGCCGTATAGTGCCAATTTCTTTGCTTTTGATAGCTTATATAGCAAGTAGGGGGCGGCCTTCTTGCTGGATAGAATCCTGGCTTGATCCGATACGATTTGGACGCATGGTGGTTGATAGAAGACAGATTGACGCGGTAGGACGCGAAAAAGTGGTTGGGTGGCCCACTCGGTGGTGTGGCCCACTCGGTGATGAATTACGTTATGCAGTCGCTTCCTTTCTATCCAGGCATCCTGACCTAAACTCAAACTAATCTGATCCAGCTGTTTGGACGCGATTCTTTCCTTTTTTTGCCGAACTACAAAATTTGCTGCACGAAGACAAAGTCATAGGCACCATATCTCGGGTGTTCGTCGACTTCGGGCTGGAAATGCCCCTCTCAAGTCTACCGCCTAAATCGCGCACTGCAGACCCTTTGCTTGGCGCCGGTGCCCTTCTCGACATCGGAATTTACCCTCTCACTTGGGCTTCGCTGATTTTGGATCACCTGAGGCAAGCCTCATCCCCGGAAAAGGTCGAGGAGCCCGAAGTTGTGTCAAGTATGAGCTTTTGCAACGGAGCCGATGAAATGACCAGTGTCATTTTGAACTACCGGACGCTGAATATCCAGGCTATATGCACCGCAAGCTACTGTTTCCGATCAGGCTCAGAGTTTTGTCGTATTGAGGGTTCAGAGGGTAGTTTTTCTGTTGGAGGCGTCGCTGCGTCAAAGCCGCAATTCTTGGTCATCCGAAAGAAAGGGGAGCAAGAAGAAAGAAAAGAGTTCAAAACAGAGGGCTGTGGCTTTTGGTACGAGCAAGATACCGTGGGCAAAGATCTACTGGTAGGGAGAAAAGAGAGCTCTGTTATGCCCTAGCAAGAAACATTGCGCCTCATGATGTTGATGGACCAAATCCGAGCCTCGAATGGCTTGAAGTAAAGTCAAGATGAGCAGCTGGGGGTCAAATAAGGGGTGATGACTCCAACTCGGATTTTGGATTCATATTTTACCTTTCGTTTGGGACCATGATGATCTCCAGAGTCCAGCTACGAGGATCGCCAGGTTATCCACGAACGAAAGGTTTTGGCTGAGCTCGGATTCGCGATTGCCTTTTTTGGTTGCCCATTTCCGAAAACCATAAGTACGGCGAAAAATAGAGAGAACTGGATCGAAGCAATATTCACGGCCCATTAAACAGATTACCGCCTCCCATTTCGGCCTTTTCGGGATGTCAAGTGTAGAGGATGAAGTGGCCTTGTGCATGGCAGTTTTTGTAGAGAAGACCATATATAATGCCTTGTATAAGACCATTTTAGCCTCCATACTAGATGGCTGATAGAGTATAGACAGGAAGCAAAGTGCGTATAAAATTTATTGCTTTCTGATTTACATACAGTATGAAGACGTAGAAAGACTGCGTTGTATTAGAATTGAGGACTTTAATATATATAGAGCCCTTAATGCGTAATGACATGACGAAAGAGCGCGATAAAAACGACCTAAACGTAGATTTGCAGGAGAAGAAGTCAAGCCCTATCTGAATCTTTCATGGCAATCCCTATGATTCAATGCTGATCACCTTTCTCAGTGGCTCTGTCGCACTCTGCACAATAAGATCGACATGATCAATGAGAAGATTCAAGATACTTGAGGCATACTCCTCCGATGCTGTTGATGTCCAGTAGCGGAGTTCAATTCCAATTTGGGAGGGAGAGGGAGAGACGGCAATGCAAAAGTCATACTGATCGAGAACTCATTAGTCTCTTTGTATCCTTGATTCAATTACGGACACTCACCTCCGTTGGATCTTCTAATTCAAGGAGCTTGATCTCGATCTCGCTGGCCGTGTGTCTTTCTCCGTGCGAATGTGTAGAGACTTGATTCTGCACCGTCAAGATGGTATTGAAAGGTAGCTGGTCACTTTTTGAAGCTTTTGTGTCTGAGTTGTGAACCATCTCTGGCATGGAACAATTCTGGTGATCATTTCGACTTTGAATTGCGTCTTGATTCTGGTACAAGGTGTCGAGAATTGTACAGTCGGGATCGAAAGAGAATCGACACGGTAGTATGTTGAAAAATGAGCCAACTATGTCCCAGAGTTCGATTTGGGAATTCTCGCGTCCTGAGGTGATTGTGCCGAAGCAGACATCATGGGAATTTGTGAGATTGGCCAGAGTCAATGCCCATGCCAGTTGGAAGATATTCGTGACTGTGAGACGGTTGAAACGCCAGAAAGCGTCGAACTCTTTGAATTTTGCTAGCGAGAGGCTTCGACTCTGGGTGCGATGCTTGGATTGAGGAAGTATGTTTTCCAGGGCCTGTGTGGAGGGAAGTCGAGACAGGTGAGACGAGTAATCACCATGAAGTACCAGTGCCCAGTACTTTAGAGACTTCGTGTGAAGTTGATGGTCGAGATGAGAAAGGTATTCTCTGTAGGTGACAGCGATCTTGGGTAGCGTCTGACCATCGAGCAAGACAGAAAGCTCCTTTATTAGAATTGACATGGAAAAAGCATCGATAAGAGCGCCTCCCGTTTCTAACCTCATGAATACCTCTCCAGAGAGGCTTTGACCGATGAAAAGCCGATGTGGAGGTGACAAGTGCCAAGATTTAACAGGCTCAAGTTTCCTCAACTCGGACAGTGCATTCTCGCTAGGCGGAAGGACAAGGACCTGCGCTGTTCCCTGGTTGAGAGTAACGTGCAGCCACTTTGCGTGAACATTTGGGTCTTTCAAGAGAACCGTACGCAAGGCAACGTGGCGCTGGACAAGTTGATTCCAAGCGTGACTCACTTCGTTTGCACTCACTGAGCCCACAGGAAGAATTTGAAAGATAGCCGTACTTGTATTCTCGAGGTTATAAAACTCCAACACGCCGCTATGAGCATTGGAGGCCGGATATACGCCCTCGATGGAATCTGATTCCAGCAAGTTCAAACGTGACCGGATAATTTCATACTCTTGAGCGGCATTCCCAAGAGGCATAAACGTAACTTCACTCTTACCTTGATTGTGTGTACTAACGTCTGTATCGTAGGCGCACTCCGGAGAGTGCTTTTGGACAGTATTGAGATGGGCACAGAGCGAGGACACGGTGTCGTGTGAAAGAATATCCGACATGGAGATGGTTATATTGCTCTTCCGACACAACGTGAGAACTCGTATGGCACTGATTGAATCGCCTCCTAGGGCGAAGAAGCTGTCGTCTACCCCAATAAGTTCGCGTTTCAGCGCTAAAGCTTTAGCAAAAATCGACTGAATGAACCGCTGTTGATCATCTTTTGGTTCAGTCTTCGTTGTGGCCAAGCCGCCCAGATACATTTGCAATGTTTCCTTTCCGAGCATCGACGCAGCTTTCCTCAGTGTCTTGCGATCCACTTTGCCACTTGGACCGAGTGGTACACACGATAGCTCCAGTATATAAGATGGAATCATATACGACGGAAGGTGCTGGCTGAGATGTTTCCTCAAGCCGTCCAGGAAGCATTGATTCTCTGTTGACGGTGGGATGAAGAATCTTTGTTTGCCATCGAGATCAGGTGTGATCGCTACCGTCGTCTCTGCCGTTGTTGTATTATAGGCGAACATTACCAGGCTGGATGTATGGATGCTGTGGAATTCTACCAACTCTGCAATGACCGCACTGCCCTGTTGGTAGCTCTCAGCACAATGCTCAATCTCGTGGAGTTCGATCCGCTGTCCATGAAGCTTGACCTGAGTATCTTTTCTACCGATTAAAATCAAAGACTTATCAGGGTTTAATATGGCAAGGTCTCCGGTTTTGTACAATCGAGAACCTCGCAAGAAAGGAAATTGTTGGCTCCAGGCAGGGTCGAATATAAAGGCACATTCCGACTCTTCGGGTCGATTGATATAGCCTCTCCCAACAAGAGGACCACTGATCAGCAATTCTCCAACTGTGCCTATGGGTCGAAGTTCATCATGGTTATCTGGGTCGATAATCCAGTAGGAAGCGTTCGGGGATGATCCAACGTTGGTCAGATCCGAAGTGGAACTCAATCGAGCTGTTGTTGCCGAGTACATGGTACACTCTGCCGGTCCATATGATTGATGCAGTCGAACCCGCGAGGCCCACGTTGCTAGGTCCGAGACCGAGGGTGACTCACCACCGAGGATCAATGTCTGAAGAGTTGGTACCTTGTCTGGTGATATGGTCCGCACCACTGAAGGGGTTAACATGGCCATGTTAACCCGCATCATTGTCATCGTGTCTGCAAGATCACTCATGCGCTGGGTTTCTGAGGGAACACAGACGCACCCCCCTGTACCAAGCATGAATATCACTTCGGCAATGCAAATGTCGAACGCGGGCGAGGCAAAGAGTAAGCACCGAGACGAATTCGTGGCGCCAATGATATCCTTGTGAGCCCAAAGAGTCGAGTAAACCATCCCATGCTCTATTACGACTCCCTTTGGGGTGCCCGTTGATCCAGATGTGAAAGCGATGTACATTGGATCACTGGGATTGACCGATGGTGGAGACCAGGAATCGTAAGCCAAACAACTTACCATGTCAGGTATCACAGGAATGACTTTCATCATATTCTCTGTCATACTTTGGAACTTGCCCTGGGAAACCAGAGAGCATAGAATCATTCTTGCATTGGCATCCCCCAAAATTTGATGCAACCGCTTCATGGGGGACTGTGGTTCCAATAGGACCATAGCAGCCCCTGACATCAAAACACCAAGAATGGCAACAGGAAACAATTTGGAGCGTTCCATACATATCCCGATGACTGCGCCGGGTCTGGCACCCATAGACTGGAGATGACCTGCAAGACCTCGCCCCAAGACGAGTAGTTCTTCATACGTGAGAGACCCATCCCATGCGCAGACGGCTTCTGAACTCGGTTGTGTGATACTAAATCTCTGGATCACATCATTGAGGCACTCTTGCTGTATATGAATCTGTTTGTTGATTTCTGCCATTTGCTGCCATGATCGAGGTGGAAGAAGCCGCAGGTCTCTGATTTTACTTTTGGGCTTCTGAAGCACATGTTGCAATGACGTTTCGAAATGATCTAAAATTGTTTGGACGTGGTAGGGACTCAGAATCTTGCCATCAAAGAAAGCTTTGATTTCCAAGAAGTTGCGTCGTTGTTGGGCCACAATTGAAAGGGGGTAGGATGCAAATTTCATGTCTTGATCCTCATTTTCAGGCAAGTCAATCAGAACTGATGAGGAACTTTGAGTAGGGTGGAGCCGAATTGTAAGGAGGTACTGAAAACTGCAAGCAAGGGCCGCTTCTGGACTTGATTCCGCGATGAACCTGAGACCATTATGCTCAAATGGAATGATGGAGATGTCGTGCTCTTGGAGCTGAGATAACATTTCTTCGACTGATTTCGAGGAGCTCAGCTGTGTCCTGAAAGGTAAGGTGGTAAATGTTGGGCCAGTGATGTGATCGATTTCTGGGATAGGAGCGTTCCTGCCAGAAACAGTCAACCCATATATGACATCGTTAGATTTTGTTTGAGAAGAGATGACCAGTGCCCACGCCAATTTGATCTGGTTAGCAAGTTTCCAGTTGATGTTCAACTTGGCTAAGGAGACTTCATGCTTTCTCACAAGCCAATTTGGTGCGGTTGGTGGTCGCCGGGATGAGAGTGGAAAAAAGTGTTCTTGAAGATTACTGAACTCTTGCTTCCAGAAAGCGCGGCTCTTTTCGATGTCAGTTGTTGAAAGGTATTTGATATACCGAGCGAACTGAGGCCGCGGCGGAGGTGTAAGTCCTTCATAAAAGCGATCTAAGTCCTGAAGTAGCTGTTTATAGCTCCATCCATCAAACAGAACATGGTGAATTGTAAGAATGAATAGGACACGTCTGCCTGAACCTCGCTCAGCATGGATCCTCAAGCGTGCCAGGGGGGTCCCCAAGCCCATGGGCTGGTCATCGTCGGCGAATGATTTGTCCTTGAAAAACAAATCCGCTTTCGTGACGACCTGCATCATGTTTCCAGACTTCTCCAACACAATACGAGTTCGTAAGATTGGATGTGCCCGCCAAAGCTGTTCCCATGCGGCATGAATCTGGACCAGGTTCGTTGAAGGAGCCGCTGAGAACTGAAAGGTACCCATAAAGGAGCCGGGGCTCTTTATAGACAAGTACATGAGACCTTCCTGCAGAGGTGTACATGGATATATATCATCGATCTGACTCTCTGGTATCTGACATTGTTCAGTGGCCGCGCTTACACTCTGATCAGCGTCAACCAACAGCGAGAAGGGAGGGATGACCGGGGTTTCTGCGGTCTCCATGGAGCATTGAGCAATCAAATGAGCTGTCTGAGAGTACATGACGTCTGCAACGGTAACCTCTAAACCTTGGCTTCTTGCGCGAGAGACAAGTTCTACGGCGGCTAACGAATTTCCTCCTAGCTCATAGAAGCCGTCATGTCTGGCAATACTTTGTTCAGGGCAGCCCAAAATTTCGGCAAATAATGACCTCAAAGTATCCTCTTTTGCTTGAAGACCTGGATTGAGAGTATCAACCCTTTGATTGGTCTCCTTTGAGGAATCGTGTCTGGCAGCGGATGAAAATGAAGGACTTGAGCCTGCTCCAAGATCAACCAACGCCCGTCGATCGAGCTTTCCTGTTCTGGTCAAAGGGTAATGATTGACCCAAGTGTATTTAGTTGGGACCATAAAGGCAGGCAGGCGATCTTGAAGCCAGCATTTCATGTTCGTGGATATGGTGCGCATGGCACTATCTGGATTAACAACGTGACTGCTCGAGGAGCCAGGCATGGCATTGGCATCCGAGGATGCAAGGAACAATGTAAGAAGCTTGCCTGCGCTGCTACCATCCACTTGTATCACATCGACGACTGTAATCGGTTTCTCTGGAAACTTGGAGGCAACATATTCAATCTCTTGCAAGTCAATACGCTGACCGTGAAGTTTAACCTCTCGATCTTTCCGTCCGACGTATCGCAGTGTACCATCTTCGATATTATATCGAACAAGGTCCCCCGTCTTATAAAATCTCTCACAATCGGGAACTCCAAACTGCGCTGCCCAACGGGGCTTTCTAATAAATGACGTCTGGCGAGGGTGATTGAGGTAGCCTCGAGCCACGGTCGGTCCACTAATGAGTAATTCACCTATGGCGCCCAGTGGCTCAAGCTGTTCATGGTCGCAAGGATTCACAACCCAACAGTGACTGCTGTATGAGCGCCCGATATTATGTGGATCATCCAACCTCGCATGGTGCTGAATAGTGGTCACCACGCTGCATTCGGCAGGACCGTATGCATTTAAGAGTTGCACGCGGTCTGCCCATTGCCTGACATGATCCTGTGACATCGCTTCACCGACCAGTAGGACTGATTTGACGTCCGGTACCTGCTCGGGCTTGATGAATCGTGCAACAGATGGGGTCAGCTCTAGCCAGTTTGCCCGCAAAGCGCAGATCGCGTTTGCCAAACCATTTAGCCGCTGCTCATCGGAAGGAATACAGACACATCCTCCGGCAATCAAAGTCATGAGCATCTCAAGAATACAGCTGTCAAACCCATAGGAAGCGAATTGGAAAGCACGAGTATGTGTGTTTAGGCCTTGGATTGCATTTTGTGCAAGTGCATTTGCGCAAAAGGACTTATGCTCAATCACAATTCCCTTGGGCTTTCCTGTGGACCCAGATGTGAAGGCAATATAAGCAGCATTTGATGGCTTGACGCATGTTCTCAGGACTTTATCATCACCCTCCTGAGATTTATCTCCAGGGACCACAACTGCCTGTTGACAAAGTCGACTGCCCAATTTATGCAGTAAACGGGAGACGACGACAACTGTCGCCTGAACTTCAGAGCAGATTTCCATCAGACGAGTCTCAGGATGGGAAGGGTCCAACAGAACAAAAGCACCTCCTGCTCTCAGCACTCCTAGCATGGCAACCGCCGTCCACCGCGACTTTTCGAAGCAGAGCGGCACAACTGACTCTGGACCGACCCCAAGAAAGCGTAGTTGGATACTGATTGCCGTTGAAAAACGATCGAGCTCGCTATAAGTAATGGATCCATCCCAGGCATATAGCGCTTCAGCATCAGGCTGCGCGCGGCAGTTTTCCAAGATCAGTGTGTGGATACAAACGTTCGGTCTTGAAAGTGAGTAACGGTCATTCCAACTATCAATCAAGTTCCTGCTATAAGAGCCCAGGAAATCTACCTCTATCAGAGGCAAGTATGGGCTTAGAACTCTCTGTTCCAGGATACAGACCAAAGCAGCCAACTGTGCGCAGGCTGAATTTTGTGTGAGAGTAGCTCTGGAGTATTGCATGTACACTCGAGCGGGTGAGATACTGCAGTCCAATAAGAAAAGGATTCGGAAACCATGTGGTAACTAGGTGACTATCAGTCTTTTGTCCGATGGACACATACTAAGCATCTACTCACAGTCATTGACCCGTCAATAGAATCATCATCCCATCTCATGACCAAAGCCGTCATGGCGTCAAGTTCGGCGAGACCCTCCGTCGGTTGTTTCTCAGCTGCATATAGTAGGATGCTATCAGGGTCTTCTGATAAGGTCCAGGCCTCTACATGCGGAACAAATCTTGATAATTTGCGAGATCGATTGCTGGGAGAGACTGCTGGTTTTTGAAGCATTGCAATTTTGGTATTTCGCACACCTGAGATTCGCGAAATCAACACGATCCATGCTGCCTTGAATAAATCAGCTTCGAGAGTAGAGTTTCCTCTCTCGGTCGACCATGCCGTTAATGTTCCCTCACTCAAAGCGAGAGAAATAGTATCAAGATCATGAGAAAGGTTCATGGTGACGCTGAGAACAAAGTTCAGGACAAGGTAAGTCCCGAACCATTCGTTTCTTCACGGGAGTAAATAAATCCAACAAATATCTCAGGTGAAGGATCTGGCCCCCGTGTGGTTAATTGAGCCAACCCATGGAATCCCTCCCCTACTCCACATTCTCCGTTTGCCAGGAATTCGTCATTAGTACTGCGATCTTGATTTGGAGTGGATGCTGCCTGGTCACCTAGTACGCCAATTATTTGACCGCACCTAGAAATCTTCCCGCCCAGTCCTTGCATAAGAATATCAGATCAATGTTTTATAAGGCAGAACATAATACTACCCTACAGCTTAGCCCTTGCATATGGGCTCCACATGACCCCCATGTACGAAGGAATGCACCCAGGCTTGTACGAGTTGGTCTGCAATATACTGAATGGAGTCATGTCTACAGTACTGAATGTAGCTTCTAGCCAATTGCTGAACAAACTCATTTTAGTCAGACAGATCAGTGAGGCCGAGACTTGGCTTGTTAATCATGCGAGGGAAATATTCCCTTACAAAGGGTTTGAAACGACGTTGTATTTCAACTCCCTCCCCGTGTCGAAATAGCCATTTGCTAATTCGATCACTCGGTTCCAGGCTCACAAAATGCCATATCAGTTGTCCTTTTTTATACAATTGGCATCTGCCTCGATCTCGGTGGTATTGTGGCGCGCATTTCAGCCAAAAACCTGGGCCAATCGTTTGGTATCCAAGGTGGTCAATGTTTGTGCTGTTCCGAGCAAAAAATTCCTAATATGAGCTAATCTTGAGGGGTTATCTCTTATTCTAGTGCTTTTTGCTCTGGTGGTATCCTATCTATTCAGTAGACGGCCAAACACTCATCCCGACATGTCCATACCAATTCCCGGATGGCGGAGGGAGCATCAAATTTCTTGAAGGGCAAAGCATCTCCCGTCAATGGGCGGAAAGCTATGGACCGATCTATCGCATATGGGTTGGTCTCACACCTGAAATGTTGGTTATGGCCCACCACCTTCGGACGGAGTTCTAATAGATATCAAGCATTTTGACGCGAGCGGACGAGATAAAAACGGTTTTCAAAGATTCCGGAAATCACCAGAAAGCTTCAAACCTAAACGGCGGATGGGTCATGGGCGACCTAGTTGGGGACGGTGTGGGTCTTATTAGCCAAGAACACTGGAAACGAGTCCATGCTGTGGTCTCACCACCTTTTGCCCGAAAGCCTACGGCATACGTTCCATTCGTCCAGGCGCGGATTACTCGGCACTTCAGAGATCTCTATCGGGAATATGAACGCGGACAGTCACTACGAATAAAGCCTGCTGAAGATCTTAAACTCCTGCCTTTCTGGGTTATAGGTGATCTCCTATACGGGGAGTTATCTCCAAAAATGGTGGAAGAACTCTTGCACATTACTGAATTGCGGACGGATGTGTTCCAATATGCTTTCAAGGGGGGGCTTATCACTCTTCTCTATAAGCAAGTTATTCTCACCGAGCCTAAGGAATAAGCTGTACGTTTTCCACACTCGCTGGGCCAGTTTCAATCGACAGGCATATCACAATGCAAGGAAAAGTAATAAAGCCTCCGATTGTGCTATTGTGCCGTTGTACGCAGCGGTTGAGAATGGCCAGATCACCTCAACCGAGTTGATGCATACATTGGACGAGGCTCTCTTCGCGAATATCGACGTCACCATCGGCAGCTTCTCATGGATCCCGTCGTTTCTAGCTGAAAACACCGCTTTACAGAGCGAGCTTAGGACGGAGATATCTGAGGCGCGATCTGAAAAGTCTCAAGATTCCTGGACAAAATACATTGCGAGTACTTCTACTCTATTAGCCAGCTGCATCAGCGAATCGGCGAGATTGAAGCCAGTCACCAACTATACCTATGCGCAATCAATGCCCACGGACCGTGAGGTTGGTGGGTATCGCATCCCCAAGGGGACGTACATGGTTGTCGACACAAATGCATTGAACATTTGGGATGACGCTTGGGGCTCCGATAAAATGAGCTTCCGGCCTCGAAGGTTCTTGGAGGAATCCAAGGCGAACTTTCGATATCGCTTTTGGCGTTTTGGCTTCGGGCCTCGCCAATGCATCGCACAGGCGTTAGCAGATACGATCCTGAAAGTACTCGTTGCATATACAGTCGAGCATTATCTTCTGAAGTCCCCAGGTCAATGTGTCAGGAACCAAACTGAGCTTCAGAAACGAGCAGACGCATGGTTCAAGGTCGCCGAGCAGGAGATTATCTTGGAGCCTATTTAATTATTTCCTCATTTTCAAGTTTTATTGTCGTGATACAAGATTGGAACTAGGCAGGTTTAGGGAGAATATACCTGGTATAACTTTCTTGAATTCAATGATTCTTTTCAGATGCCTTGATATTTCACCGTCAGTCAAAAGGGCTTTCCTAGAGCCATTCTTTTCTGTAATTAACACAGTTTCTTTTCGGAAATTCAAATGTCTGACCACCTGCGCCGCGCAGAGTCAAATTACACGTCAAAAGATATAATGTTCTCCGACTAGATATTGTGGAGGACCACGCTATGGCTACAATGCTCCACATATTAATGTTTACGGAACGGCCCTTTAGCTATTCAGGTAGATCAGGAGTCCAAATAACTTGGCAAAAAAAGGCAAATTATCTGCATGGCTCCCTCTGGCGGTGGACATTCGTCATCGCGGTTTTTCATCCCTGTTAATACAGGCTTCGAGGCGGTCTGGCTCATTATCCAAAGCCCGTCGCAGCTCCTTGCATATATTAGAATCGGGGCACGATGCCACACAAGCTGACCTGAATCTATACACACCAGCACACCGCTATTCGGCCTCATCTCGTAGTGCATCTATTGTGATATATCATGTTGCTTTCGGATTTCACTGGAAGACAGTAGCGTAATGCCATTTAGTTGATCCATGGCGTGCGTGGCGGCATTTCGAAGTCAGCCGGTCAATGGTTTATGATCGTCCAGAGTAAGCAGCAAGAGTCTAACCTGTCATTATAAGATAATTTTTATGTTCTATTGTTTCTTGTTGCCCGCGATCGTGCTGCCCAAGGTTCTTCTGTACGATGACGGCTATTGAAAAGACAGATGAGCAGAAGCTCGCTGTTCAGAAAGCTGTTGATGACTTGACTGCCGCATCCCAAAGATATATGATTGATAGTGCTGGGGATGAGGTAAAGGTTGACCTCCAGGCGAAGGCATCAAGTCTGGTTCAAACACTACGGGGCCCTCTTCTGTCGGCCTTGACGCACTTTGAGGATGTCAGTGAGCAGCGAAAAACTAGCAACATGCTACTAGCTAACACTTCCATAAAACAGATCGTCAAAATGGCATCTCTAAGAGCACTCCTTGAGGCAGGGGTTTTCGATGCCATACCTAAAGGAGGGGACACGATGACCGCCAGCGAGATATCTTCACGCACTGGCCTCGACAAAGGCATTCTCAGTATGTGGAACATATTTAAAATCATGATCAAGGATAATCGATGTTAACTTGGGTCAGTACGTTTGATGCGCGCTGTGACTCCCTCAGGCCCGTTCCGCGAGGTGGGTGAAGAAGAGTATGCCCACACCGTTTTCTCTGAAGCATACTTGACAGCAGATATTGGTGGCTGCTTTCCGGTAATGTGAGTATCAATGAGACCAACAGATCTCAAGTATAGTTCCTGTCTTACAAATACACAGGTCGGACTTCATTTTTGCGCCAATCTTGCAAATCTGCGAGTTTCTTCGTCAAAACGATTGGAAGGATAAAATCACGACGCGAAATAATCCATTCACCATGGTACATAATTGTCCAGGACAGACTATGTTCGAGTACCTGTATAAGAATCCAAACCATGTTCCTCGCGTCACCAAGGCGGAAGCGGCAGACCCGGACAAGATCGCCATGGATTTATATCCTTGGGAGAACACCATTGGCGCTGTCTCGCCCAACGACTGTATTGCCATTGTCGATATAGCAGGCAGCCATGGCAATGCACTGAGGCAAATCCAAAAGAATGTACCTGGGCTGAAAGGACGTCTAGTGCTACAAGATCTGAACCCAGTCATTCTCGAACATAGCGAATCTTTGCGCACCGACGGTATTGAATCCATGTCTTATGATTTCCTGCAAGGGACACAGCCGATTCACGGTAAGACAAGTTCTATATGACGCCGGCTAGTGTTGCGATCGTGCTAACAAATCAATTCCAGGGGCCTTGATCTATTATTTCCGACGCGTTTTCCACGACTGGCCAGATTATCCGGAAGGAAATCAGATTCTACAGAACACAGCGGCTTCAATGGACCGTGATCGGTCTAGAATCCTGATTCATGATATCATTGTGCCGGAGGTTGGAGCTACAATGACTCACGCTTGGCAGGATCTTAGTCTATTGGCAATCGGAGGCGTTGAACGTACAGAGAAGAATTTTTCTCGTCTGCTCGATAGTGCCGGTTTGGTGCTTGTAAAGATTTGGAGAAAGCCAGGAGAAATCATGGGCATTGTCGAGGCTCGGCTGAAATGAGAAGGCTAGAAACATTTATAATTTACCAATGAATGAATTTTTCGGGACCACATTTGGTCATATTCATGCTTTTATGTTGTGACGATCGCCGTGTAGACTCTCACTTCTTGTTTGGATATATCTGTCTTTCCCATTTTTCTCAAGAGACTATCCGATTCAGTTCACGAAAGGAACAATAATTTGCTACGAATTTGGTCTTCTGCCATTCTAGTGTAGATACCTTGTACCTATTTTGAGAAAGTGTTCAATTGTTCGAATTGTTCGCTTGCAGCTTTTCTATTACGGCCGAGCTCATCACGTCTAGTGTCTAGAATAGACAGGGAGTAGGTTTATTGGTACCAGGAGGAATACCGCGGCATACCCGATACAGTGTTCTTCCGCTTTCGCTTACCGCCTTTTGTGATATGGTTAACGTACTAGAACTGCTAGTTGAAGTGTGTTACAAAGGCAGTGTTTGTTTACATCGTCGATTGGCTCTATACTGCACATTCCGATGAGTGAGGCAGCCTCACGTAAAATTTACACCGACATTATTGAGGATTTCTCGTGTCCTACGTCCGCCTTACGAGAGTCAGTTGCTTGCCTCATGCTGCTAGCTCGCCTTCTCTCCAGGTAAGACATGATCTTGTCACCCTTGACTGCGTAAGGCTACAAACAAAGACAATATACAAATTCTATGACCTGCTCGTTTTGGAATTGGGTGAGCTTCGCACTTGCTTAGACATTCCGCCAATAGCGGACCTTGCACGTAGAATTACATGCACCTATGCTGTTACTTGGTCGCTCTTACGAAATGTCACGTCAGTTGCATGAAGTATGTCCATGAGATGTTTAACACGCTCGGACACTCTGCCGGGGAGAACAAGGATAGAATGCGACATAAACTCAAACTTCCGCCCCATATGCAGCAACTCACTGCAATATGAATACGTGCAGAAATGGCTGTCACACCGCTACAGATCTGACTCCTGTGACGATTCAAACATCCTTGCTTGGTGCTTGATAGGTCTTCGGACCGCATCATCTTGGCACAAGGGGCCGCCGAGAAGCTTGCATGATATCCGCGTCCAAGTATCTTGCAGAAAATCATACATACTGGGGAATTCTCCGCCTTTTTGGTATCCCTTGCTTAGCCGGCCCCACGTACTTTACTGCGTAGTTAGATGAGGAATTCAGACTTCGGAGAGGCCCTTGGTTCCAGTGAACTTGATTCAGTACCCCTCCACCCTGTTTTCATACTCGCCATGTGGGTCCTTACAACGAAGGTCCAGATGCTACTGGGAAGAAAGGGGAAGCCTGAGTCAATCTCTCGTTCTAGGTCATGAGTTCAGCTGAGACGACTGGAACCCATGCAAGGAGACATTGAGTCCGTTAGCCATGGGAGGAGGTCGTTTCTCGCTTTCTTCATTGCAAACTCTGATCAACACGGAGGCCAAAGATCGGAAAATACGAGTCAAGATGACAGTCACCCAATACGTACGGCCTGATGGCATTACTGAGCCTCGATCCAGTGGGGTTGACGTTATCATCGTGGGACTCGGAATCGCTGGTTTGGTGGCTGCAATTGAGTGCCATTACAAGGGACATAAGGTCGTAGGCCTCGAGAAAAGCCATGATGTTAAGGTGTTGGGTAAGTTCTACGGGATCGCAAGTCTTGGCCCAGCTCATCAATTCGAACAGGAGATAGCATCGCGTTGGGAAGTAATGCCGCAAAGGTCTTGCAGCATTGGGATAACGGCAGAATCTTGAATGAGTTGACAAGTCAATCGGATGATGTAGCCGCGATGGAGATCCTAGATCCAGCGGGAAAGCTGTATGCGATGGATTCCATGGACGGGTATGGCTTTGGAGAAGGGATGATCATCCATCGCGGAACCCTTGTCAATGAGCTATACCGCCATGCTAGGTCTTTGGCGATTGATCTACGTTTTGGATCGGCGATCACTCAGTACTGGGAGAATGATGGCCACGCCGGAGTGGTGGTAAATGGTGACCAGAGACTCTCAGCCGACTGTGTCATTGGTGCAGACGGAGTGCACAGCAAAACACGGGATTTTGTGCTCGGCTACCAGATCAAACCCCAGGCTTCGGGGCTTGCCGCATATCGAGCATGCTTCAGTGCAAAATTGGTCTCAGGTGATTCTGAGGCCAGTTGGGTCCTGGAGGAAGCTGGCTTACGCGACCGGATGCGAAGGTACATCACCGATGGAGGCCTGGGACTGACACTAGCAACTGGAAAACGTGGTCAGAATATTATCTGGCAGATCTGGCATCGAGTACGTCTAATTCCGATATTATGTGAGAATAATGATAATGACTGACCACCGACTCAAAAATTCAGAACGACACGACGTCTGAGGAGTCGTGGGAAAATACCACGAAGGCCCATGTGGACGATGCTCTCGCTCTCATTCAAGACTGGCCAGTCTACTCGCGAGTGGCCGCAGTTCTAAGACATACCCCAAGCGACAAGTTGGCCGACTACAAGATCATTTCCCGTGATCCTCTGCCGACCTGGATTTCTCAGGGTGGTCGCGTTATGATCATTGGCGATGCCGCACATGCAATGTCCCCTATTGTAGGCCAAGGAGGTGGACAGTCTATTGAGGATGCCGCTACGCTGGCTATCTGTCTTGAGCTAGCCGGTAAGACCCAGGTAAAATCGGGTCTTCAAGCGGTTGAAGCCTTCCGACACCAGCGCACCAGGATCATCCAGGAGAGTGGTAATGCGATTTATAGCCAGATGCGTGATCCTGACTGGGCGGCTATCGAACAAGACCCCTCAATGATGAAATTTCCCCGGCCACAGTGGATCTTTGACTACGACGTTTACCGTGACGTTTACAAGGAGTTCCCAGCCGTTATAAGGGCGGTACAGGATGGGACCAAGTACCGACCGCAAAATATTCATTCGGACTGCAAGTAGGAGATAATGCTCAATCAAGAGCGGAATACTTCGGACAAGGAAATTTGTTTACGTCGTACGAGCAGGTCTTTTAAACGAGCGAAAATGGATATTCGATAATATTTATTGTCATTTTCGGTTGGCATTAAAATTTAAGGCCAATATAGAAACAGTCAGGATTTTCTACAACATAACTTCTGTCTCGCGAAGTTTGACCGACATGACCCCCCTCGAGTCCCTTTGGATGAACATGCCGCGGACAGCCAAGTTTGAAGCGTGTTCGTCAGCTGGCTTAATGTCGTACTTGAGCAAGATATGACATAGGATCAATTTTGCTTCGTCGCAGGATAGAAAGCGCCCTGGACATGCATGTCTCCCATGACCAAAAGCGAGGTGACTCACTCGAGTCTTAGTAAATTGGGCCAGCCCGGCTTTCTCGGGACTCTTTCTCATGTTCTGGAACCGATAACCATCGAATTTTTCAGGATCAGGGTACATTGATGGATCCAATCTGAGTTCGTTTGCAAATGCCAGGCTGGTACCCTTGGGTATGATCGTGCCGTCCTCCAAGGTCACTTTCTCTTTGGCCACACGGAACATTGATACTAAAGAAATAAGGAACTCGGTCAGCAGAATACTTAGACGTGGTAACAATAGAAGAGCGACCTACTTAGAGTGGCAGGTTCCAACCGCTGGCTTTCTTTCATCACACTCTCCATGAGTGTTAGCTTAAGAAGAGAATTGTGATTCAGACCACTTTTCTCGAACGCCAAGATCACTTCGTCACGCAGTGGCTCAATAAGTTCGGGATACTCGCAGAATCTCGCTAAAACCTTTTCCACCATATCGGAAGTAGTCAAGACCGATACAGCTATTAGGCGCAACTGGGCCATAGTAGCGTCATAGCGGGAGCCTTGAGCATACTGATCAATAAAAGTCAGTGTGGAAAACTCATGTTCGGTAGAGTGATCTCCCGTGTTGATTGACTGTTTTTTATGGTGCAGAACTGGCATAAGGATGTCTTGTGCTCGCTTGATTTGGCGGCGAACAGCCTTGCAAGTAGGCAAGAACCAATGAACGACTGGCTGTAAAATTCTTGGCCAGGATTGTATGTCTGCAACGGCAATCGCACGAATGATTGTAAAGCTGATGGCAATATCAATCCACTCAGGATTACGGCAGAGCTCTGGGCCAATAAGTGCTCTAGTGGTAAGCTGTGCGACCAAGGTTAGCACCGTGTCATGGATGGAGACGTTATGCCAGCCTAGAAAATATCAGACCATGCGTGTTTCACGGTATTATGAGTTGCTTGCAACGTACCGGTCGCGTCAGTCCATTGTGCTTGCAAGCACTGACCGGTTTCATCGGAGAGAGAACGCGTCAAATGAACTATGTAGCAGCGATCAATATGCTTGGTTCAATAAAGCGAGGATCGGCGAACCCACCTAGCTCCCTGTTCAAAGCCCAGACTGCAACGGGAGACACATGATTATGCAATGAACCTTGAAACATGGTCTCGAAGCCAGGCAGTTCGAGGAGGATAACCTATACAGTTTAGACAAATCGTATTGGCAAATTTTGTGTTCTTTGAGAAACGGACATACATCATTTAGCGCATCGAAAGCACTGAATCTATCATCATTTTTGATTTCTTCGGCGTATCGGTCTGACAGTATCAGGTAAGTTCCCATGTTAGTCACTAGCTGAAAAGCAGAGCGGCCCTGCGGTTGTCAACCAACTTTCAGCAAGGCAATCAAACGATCTGGGTTTTTTGTGCTCACCATTTGGAGGCCCTTGTCTATTAGTCCTCTGGCATCGGATTCGAACTCTTGCTTGGCTTTGCGCTGAAATAAATCCCAAGGGTATGAATTGATGCATGTGAAGGAGTGGCTCTCATGGCAGTAAAGCAACAAGATGAGCCCCAGGATGAAGACCAAACTTGCGTAACCTGCTCCTGGATAGAAGAAGTCAAAAATTTCTTTCGCTTGCATTGTCTACTGGACTGTGTGCATGTGTATTAATCAAGACAATGTCCAGCTCGTTTGAAATACACAAAATCGAGATTGGATTTAGTCGGGAATTGCCTAGTGATCCAGGTCTGAGTGGCGGTCAGTACGCCCGAAGCAAGGTTGATGCAACATGCGTGACTAGATGATAGCTGAACGGATATTCTCCAAACTCTGCATCATTTTGTGTCTTTTTACGATACATCATACCTGGAATGAGAGACCTCCAGTCTTGTGACTCGTGCGACTCCTTGCATCATGACTTTAGAAAGCGCAAGTATGCTGCATAGGTCAATATCCCTGCTTTCGCGGAAAATGACTGCAGGATGTGGAGCTTCGAGTGATCAGCAGTATGATTACTGAATTCATTATTCTAACCGCGTCTGTTTTGTTTCAAAATTTAGCACCTGAGAATTTCCCAGACCTTCCAATTTTGCTATTTCGAAATCGTTCATAACAGATCGTTTGATATCACCACTTACAGCAACAATCGTTTCATCATGACTCGTGCCACAACCTTCACAGAGCTCTACTCGGGCAAAGGAATTCTTGAGACCTATATGATCGCGGAAAAGATCACCCGTTATTTCACAAAGGACTTGATTCAGATGTCAGGACTGACCGAATCAACTTTGCGACCCCTGAAGGTGCTCGACCTCGCTTGCGGAACTGGTGTCGTGTGTGATGATCTCCATGAGGTGTTGGACTCTCAGCTGCACGATACCTGGGAGCTCACCTGCGGGGACATCTCGACTGAGCTCACTGCTCATGTCAAACGCAAAATCCTTGAAAAGGGTTGGAAGAACACGAGCGCCACAATTATGGATGCGCAAGACACTAAGCTTCCTAGTGGGTACTACACTCATGTGTTCGTAGCTCTAGGTACGTCATGATATCCGAACAAACGTTTGCTTTCAGGACAGTGAAGCTAATATGAATTTTTGCCTCCATTTAGCATTTACTTCGTTCCCTGATACTCAAGCGGCACTGAAAGGTGAGAAATAGGCGACTCGGAAAGATGACGGAGCATATGCTGAGAAAGATATAACAGATGTTATGCGAGTCCTCCACCCGGGAGGAAAACTTACCATTTCAACCTGGCAGCGAAGTATGCTTGTAGATAAATATCCATTGATTCGGACCTTTCTAACAGACTATAGCCGAGTGGCTTGCTGTCCTTGAAGCGGCAGTTGCCACGATTCCGGGAAATCTTCCATTTCCAACGACAAAAGAGTTCATGTCCTGCATGAACCCCGGCTGGGACTCCGAGGATTATGTACACTCTAGGCTTGTGGATGCAGGGTTCCAGGAGGTTCATGTTACCACGGTCTCGAAAGAATTTCATACAACCACGGAAGACTTGTTCGGTATCGCTGAGCCGGTAATTCCTATCATCGTAAGCAAGTGGTGGAGTCAGGAACTGAGGGAAGAAAACGAGAAGAAAATCTTGCCTTCACTCAAGAAGCATCTAGATATGACCTACGGTACAACTGGCTTGGTGCCCCAGAAATGGTCTGCCGTTTTTGCAGATTGTCAAAAGAAGGCTTGATTGATAATGTCACAAAGCCCCCCTTAGCTTCAATCAAATTTCCATGATCTATCCTACGGATCAGGTGAATGCACTCCTCATTCTGCGGCCTCGCTGCATAGAATAAGACATAAATTGATTCTTCAATCTGTAGCAGCGACAGAATTTTCTGTTTGGGTGCCATAAGGCCTATCAGGCGACCGAGGTTTGCTTCCTCTAGCACCTTTGCTAGTGATAGTACATGGTGAGATACGGTCCTTTGCTCTTCGAATATGAGAAGGACAGCCATGCCTGATGGTCAGTTGCAACTGCCAGGTCCTTGCTGGGGCTTCAGTGAGAAGACCCACATCAGTGACAATAAAGAATCATGGGGAGTCATGGAAAACACTTACTAGTATGTCTGCAGATTGTTGCGATATACTGCGGCCTGCTCGGGCATATCGTAGCGTTCAAAGAAAGCAGTGAGTACATTGGCAATCTTCAGCTCGGGAATTCCAACCAAAGGGAAGTAAAATTTCGGTTTCGGTAACGCCTCGTCAGGTTTCATTTCGTAATTCATGATGAATGGAACAATTGTATCGGGATCTCCCGGAAGTGAAGGCCGCTCGGGTTCATTTCGCATTCCCTCAACAATGCCAAGCTCGACCCATAGCTCACGCAGCATTTGCAGACCGACTGATATATCGTGACCAGTTAGGATTCCACCCATCGTCCAGTGCTCCTCAACTTTCGCCATTCTCATGTCAAGCTCCATAATGTAGAGCTTGAAACGGGTATTAGCTGGATCGCAGAGATCACAGGACAAGAAGTACAGGTCTGTATGATCCTGGCCTCTAACATAAGCCTTAATAACCTTGCAAGGGGCATCAAAAAGTCCTTGTTTGTCCACCTTCCTGATCGCAGAGAAGCAGAGATTGGCCACACTCTGACCTGTCACAGAGGCCTTGAGTGCAGGATAAAAGTACTCTTTGACCGTGATCTCCGAGGTACTCAAATCCAAAGCGAGAAGTATTTGTGTTTTCCACGCCGTTTTCAAGACCTGATCTGAAGTCATGAGTCTCTCCTCACGGTCCGTCAAAGTTAGCTCACTGACGAGCAACTGATGCAGCTCCATATCCACATTGGCAGATCCAATTGTTCTCAACTCCGCCAAAGTGGCATGTACGACGTGTCTGTTAAACGGGTCTGCCCCGGTACTGGCGATGTAACTCGTTGGCTCAAATGCGACTCGCGTAGTAAAGCCTGATCTCTGAACATTTTGACTGAGTTCTACTGACCCAGTGCCCCCAAGCAAACATTTGTAGATGTCCTTCTGGCCTGGAAAAGGCCCAAGCCTTGGAACAATGATATGGGCGAACAAGCACAAGTATTCATATTGCTTGTGGACACTGTAATGACCGTTGGAGAGCATTTCTCCCAGCATGGGCGCGACTGCGTGCCAGTACTTGTATTGATCCAGGTTTGAGAAAGGCATCGACTTGCTTAGTGTATGATACGGCGTATCTGACCCCATCTCGAGCTCCGACACGGTTGCCTCTGGAGTCTGAGTGGATGAAAGAAATGTCATTGTGCGTTGGAGAGGAGTAAAATGATGTTGTGAGGGGAGAGTAGGAGACCTTTGACGCTCATCAAGGACGATGGGTTATTCCAAGCCAATATCATTAGGTCCCCTTCCAAAGGGTTATATTTCTAGGTTTCGCTATCTGAAGGAGGCTACATGCGCTTGAATGCGTTTGGCGGTCTCAGGTGTACATATGTAAGGGACAAAGGGATGCTACCTCGGGGTGTCACAACTGCTGCATCACATTTATCCTTGATGCAATCGTGTCAGAATGCCGATCCGCAGTTTTCGTTTCATGTTCTGTTGCTCCAATTTATTTACCGTCCAATGATTATATCATGCTAAGAAGATCCCCTGCACTCGAAAGTTCATTTTCGGATTAGAAGCCGCAGGTTGCAGCTATAGTCAGCTTGAGGCTAGAGCCACCCAGGCGCCTTTGTATACATGCGTCCAAAGAAAGCCTCTTCAGGCCATACATCTTCATGTTGTGAGTAAATGGACCCTGCTTGAAACTAGGGTCCTTTCTCCTCGACAGGCTCTGACTTTCGGTTCTCTTTGACAGACTTCCATTCCAACGCAATGGTCCCGAGCAAGGAAAGTCCCGCCAGAGCCACTGCCACATAGAATGCCTGCGTCACAGCAGAGTTATAGCATTCGAGAATGACTGGAAGCTGGTCTTCAGAAATATTTTGGTGAAGTGTGGTTGTGCCAGCTGAGAGAACCTCAGCCACGTTGGCCGCGGGGTCTTTAGCATGCAAGACGCGAGAAAAACGATTCTGAAAGACATTCTGAGCCACAGAGATGAAGATTGCACCACCCAAGGTCTGGGCGATTGTTATCACGGCGGTTCCAGTTGGTATGTCATCATCGGGTAGCATATTCTGAACCACTATAAATGGCTGTTGCATACCCAAACCCACACCTATGCCCATGAGAATTTGGTAGCTTATCCACATGGCATCACCCGACTTCGGCGTTAGCGTACTCAGTAGCACAGCACCAACCACCATCACGATGGAGGCCAGGATCATGATTGGGTTGTAGTAGCCGAAAATAGTGACAAGGATACCCGATAGAATTGAGACAATAACGACAGATATAATGCTCGGCAGGTTCATAACGCCGGATTTAGTGGCTGACGCCGATTTAATTGCCTGAAACCAGATAGGGAGCTGGGAAGGTTAGCTTGGTAACACAAAGTTGGCTCAGCCCGACATACATAGTAGATGAATACCAAGTAGGCACCGTTGAGAGTAGCCGCGTACCACGCTGAGGACCAGACGTTTCGATTCCTCATTATTCGTGGTGGAAGTGTGGCCTTTTCATTTAGCCTAACTTGGCTTCCCATGAAAGCGATCAAGAGCACACCGGCAAGCACGAACAAGACGATGATTCGAGGATTATTCCAAGAGTATTGACTGCCCCCCCACTGCAGAGCCAATAGAACACAAACAATAGCGGGTAGATACATGGCGGTGCCAATGGGGTCGAGTTGGCCTAGCTGTTGGCCTAGCTTTGGGCGGCTTTTGACCGGCCCGTCGCCATGGAAGAAGAACAAAACGAACAGTGTCGTCACACCACCGATGGGCAAATTGATGTAGAAACACCATCGCCAAGAGACGTGATCTGTGAGAACACCTCCCAACCTATTCCAGTAAGCGCGAATTTTGTGTAAAAGGAATTGGGCGAGCTTACGGAGGACCCACAACGCTAGCAATGCCGTACATGCTGCCCAGAGAGGCTGTGAAGATTGGGCGACGATGCAAAGGCACAGTTCGGGCGATTATGAGAATACTCCCGGTGAATAGGCCTCCAGCACCTAGACCAGCAATGCATCGACCTATAATAAAAGCAATAGAGTTAGGGCTAGCCCCGCACACGACTGAACCTATCTCAAACAAGCACAGCGCAGATAAGTATACCCATTTTATGTAGTAGAATTTGTACAATTTGCCAAAAGCAAGGGTTGTTGCGGAATTTGTGAGAAGATAAGAGCTGCCGTACCAGCCCAAGTCGTCGAATGAGTTGAATTGATCCGTGATATGTGGAATGGCGGTGGTAATAATTGTGACATCCTGAAAGATTAGCATATATTGTCTTAGATGTGGCCAGTTTGTAAAATAGCTCGCTCACCAAGGACATGCAGAATATGCCTAGACATAAGGCGACAGTGAGAAAGGCCAAAGACCAGGCTTTGACCTGAGGCTGGGAGGTAGTTTGCGCTTCATCCGGTGTGGCATTCGGTGGTCCTTGTGTTGGGAGATCTGTCGAAGCTTTTTCCATTGAGAGTAACTTTCTCAATCGATAGGCATTGGGGAATCAAAGTATGAAAAGCGCTCTGTATTTATGATTGAGGTCCCAGAAATAAAGGGAGGAATCAAAACATCGGCATGCGCAGCTTTAGCCAATAGTTGGCGCGAATACTTGGCTACCAATCATTCCTGGCGAATGGAGCGTGATTGGGCCCCACTTTAGCCAAAGGCCTGTAGCAATGCCAAATTTTCTTACATGAAATTATAATTGCATCTTTTAAGGACCTCCCCCTTGCGTACTACTCTGTGGTTGGTAAGAGAGTAATATCTAGAGACATGAGAAAGAATAATTAGCTATCAGTTGCGCATCGAGATACTGCATTGGTCTTCAGGTAACAAGTCAGTATGCTAAAGATGCAAGGAGACCAAGATCATGAAAATATTAGGAACTGCAGTAAGTGGTGCAGCCAATTCTTGAGTCTATTTGTAATACTAAGAATATGAATAAGCTGCGGCGATTTATTGAGTTCTTGACCGTCGCAATTTCTTAGGGGATAGTAGAACAGTTACGTAAATCACGGAGTAAACATTATACTATGCCCGTCAACATTGCATCACCATACCCCCATTCTAGTAGTCGAAAACCGGCTCAAAATAAAGTCTTATATAAGCAATATTGATACAACGTATTCCACCGCCTTTCCGCCCACACCGTCTTCCCTAGACATTGACATGGGCCGTCCACGGACAAAAGGTCCGTATATTGAGTAAAACCCAGGTCCTATCCCATGGGGGTAACTGTAATGCAGTGCATTACAGTTTAGTCAGCATTTTTTTATATAGCGTTAGGGTTTCCACGAAGTTAGATTACAGTTATTTAAGCCACTGCATTACAGTTAGGTTCCCGCCGAGTAATCTATTTCAAATTTTCCCCAGTTTTAAATCAATACTGAAAAGGGGATGGCTCGATGGCTGTCTGACAATACAGACTGGGCAACAGCAACCAACGAACAACACACACACAACCTGCACGTAGTAGAGGTCGTCCTAGGGGAGGTCGCGAATGTCCTTGGTGAGGCCGTGAGGTCGTACGTGCAATCCTGGACGCAGCAATCCTAAATGAGGCCGTACGGTTTTTCCCGACTGAGCCCGTATGGAATGTACTTAATATAGCATGTTGAATGAAAGAATGTAGTGACAACTGGAATGAATTGGGTAGATGCTTCTTCAAGGCGTAGAGGTAGCATTCGTTAGACAATGTATTCAAGGGAGATTCTGAAAACCGTCTCCATAACAGATCCTTCAAAATTCTCGTATTAAAGTGAAATTTAGTGTCGAAAGTACTTGTTAGCGCTCATCTCCAAATTCAAGTAACTCCAAATCCCAATTTTACGTCTCTAGACCTAACCTAAGCAATTTTATGGTGCCAGTCTTACCGTGGCGTGACAGTGATAGAGGAAAAAGGTGTGATTTTGAACTTCAGTTGGTAATAATTGTCACAAAACCTGCCTATATGAACCATTCTCATGTGGCCTAAATAATACTGTGTATACCTAGGCACCTAGGTCGTCACCGTGTGTAGGTGTGGCTTAGTCACAATGACTGATCTCCCGGGCATTCCCCGAGATGCAGTGGTGTTTTCAAATAATAAAACAATAGAGATTTAGCAAAGCTCTGATTGACCAGTTCACTGGTTCACTGCGTCAAGGCTGTCAGGACCACTGACTGACGATACCAACTACGGCCTGAGGCATACTTAGATGCCATGGCAGTATCATGTTGTTGGGCTTCACCGCCCGCAGCCGGGCCAGTCTGTATTTAAGTGAAGCCCCGCTGGACCTGAGAAGGGCCAGCGTTCAGTTTATCTTACAATCCACTACATTGTATTACACGCATATTAGGTGTCTACCTCGCTTACCCATCCTGACCTAGAGACTACTGCGTGGTCTCACACTATACTTACCGAAATGGCCAGTGGCCAAAACTAAATTCGAAAACAGTCCCCCCTCCCGGACACTCACGCTTTGTTTCTCGGGCTGTACCCGAGACTACACTAATCTGTATTAAGGTAAGGCGTAAATAATTGTGTCCTAATAATAGACACTTTTTTTATTTCCAGAACGGCCACTTTATGTATAAAACCGTACTTTACACTCCTACCTCACTGCACCTCTATACCTCGATCTCTATCCTTCATAACACCACTATCTAAGATCTGCCAGAATTGCCGCGCAATATGGCACCGAGACTATCTCTGCCCAAGCTACATCTCATCAGTGATATGATATATGTGTATTTTTTAGTAATCGAATTCAGCACTTATTCTTTAATATCTAATCGATATATGTTGTTTTACGTAGCAAAAAAAATTTACATGCTAAATGTCAGGCAAGGATCATGTATAGTTATTGAAATCTTGAAGTTGTAAAATACTGCTTTAACAATAGTGTTTCGCGGGTGGCCACTCGCTTACCGGCTACGTTCAGACAAGGATTTTCTCTTTTGTAACCAGCCATTCTTTTCAACTATTTGAAAGAGAGAACAAAAGGAGAGGGTCCTTTGGCAGCGTTCCTTACTCTTCCATTCAGCGCCCGCCCATACATCTCCCCTGCTTTGTCCATCTTTCCTTCGTCAGCATATAATCTCCCAAGATTGTTGACAGTGATAAGGGTCAAAGAGTGGTCTGGACCCAACACTTTTTCCCTCCCCGCTAGCGCTCGCAAGTACATCTCCTCGGCTTTGTCCGGCTTGCCCTGTTCACTGTATAGATTCCCCAGATTGTGGATAGTGAGAAGGGTTGGTATATGATCTGGTCCTTGCGCACTCTCTTGTCCAGGTAAAGCCCGCACATACATCTCCTCAGCTTTGTCTAGTTTTCCTTGGATCAGGTATACGTTCCCGAGGTTATTGAACTTGCCAAAGGTCGATGGATGGTCTTTGTCATACCCATTCAGCGCCCGCAGGTATAACCCCTCTGCCTTGTCCAGCTTCCCTTGGTAAACATATATATTCCCGAGATTATTGCTAGCATCAAGCGTTGAAAGATGGCCTGGTCCTAGCACTTTCTCATACCCAGCTATCACCCGCACGAACATTGCCTCGGCTTTGTCCGCCATAACTAGGTGAGTATATAGAAGCCCGAGGTCATGGACAGCGGCAAGGGTTGATATATGATCCGCACCTAGCGCTTGCTCATACCCTGCGAGCACCCGTACGTATAGTTGCTCCGCTGCAGAAAGCTGACTTTGGTATTGAAGCAATCGAGACACATTCAAGGCTATAGCGAGTCGATCAGGCGTAGAAATAGAGATCATATCATGCTCGAGGAAGCGGCATTGCACTAGTCGTAATGCATGACTAGCCGCACGGGAAAATTCAACATGGCCAAGAGAATGTTCATCAACCCCACTCGTAGTTGCATTCACGCAGTTAAAAGCATACCAATAATGCTCTTCATCAATACTATCATTCAGTACTGCCAAAGTCCAGTCATGCACACAGTTATGCATGCTCCATGATTCTGATGCCAAGTGGACTTCGAGGAAGTAAAATTCGGTCAAGGTTCTCATCACTCCCTGGAAGGCCATATCGTCTACAACGAGTTCACGAAGCCACTTGGGAGATTATGTGGTAAGTCCGTCGTGGAAAAGATCGTACCAAAGGCTATTGTTGCCGAAGTAGGCTAACAATTTGAGTAATTTTGCCGCAGCCGAGTCGATAGTTTCCAGACGAGCGTATGACAGATTCCAGGTCGTATAAAGTGTACGTTCACGATACTCCTGGAGCTTTGTGGGGTGACGAGGATCAAGATTCCAGCGTTTCTCGTATTCTTGTAGGTAGCGTTCAAAGCTAAGAGTACTTCGCTGAAGATATGTCCCAGCAGTTGCTAAAGCAATTGGAAGACCAGCAAGCCGCTTTGCAAGGCCTTTTGCGTGAGGATCTAATGGCTTCCTTTAGTTGGTCCTATTTGTATTCGTAGGTATCATACCTGATTCAACATTCTCTCTTTTTGACCGGGTTCGTAAGACCGCTAGGCTATCTTCGATGTCCTGCAACGGCTTCACATGTAAAAGGTTTCCGCCAACCCGATCTGGCCATCTGGTAGTAACTATAATAGCCCCATGACTTATGGTATGTGGGTAGTAATTGTTGATCTCAAATTGGTCGGGGTCGTCATAATTATCAAAGATCAATAACCACTGGGTATTTGTCGAATCAGATAGCCATTGGTGTACACGTCCGATAGTATCTTTACCCTCTAAGAGTCGAGAATCTTGAATATCGAAAATGAGGCTGGCGATTGATCGAAAACTATCTTTCAGTGTAGCCTCGGACGCTGCATTCAGCCAAAATACCGAGCTATAAAATCTAAATTGCGACTCTGCGTAAGCGATAGCAAGCCGAGTCTTGCCAATACCACCCATCCCACCGAGAACTAGACGTCGATGCTTTTGAAGCTCCTGAACCGGGTGTAAAATTTCTGCAATTTCATCAAGCTCGGAGCCACGACCGATAAAGAGTTCTGGAGCGATATAAGGCGCTTTGCCAAGACAAACACCAACGGGTCCATGGAACCCAAAGTCCTCTTTCTGTTTGACCTCAACTACATGTAACCGTTAGCAGAGCTTCTTACTAGCGTTCAATAACAGTCAAGATAGGTGAAGACAGAAGAAGCCAAATCGGCAGTCCTAATTATGACGGATGATAATATAAGACCCAAAACCCCATTCTTTGCAGAATTGGCCGAACAAATTTCCCTTTCATGTTGCCGGCTCAATAAGAACGCTTCAAACAACTAATCCTTACCGAAATGTTGGATCTCAGCATTGTACTGCTTTCCACCGTTGCTGATATATTGATCCCCACGGCCTTGCTGGACATAGTTTGTCTGTGCCCCGCCTCCGCTGCTGAAACTCATTGTGGTGCCCAATTTTTCCGTTCCTGAAATGACTGACCTCATTTCATTGATAGTATCTTCAAGCTGGGAATTTTGCTCTCGATTGGCAGACTTGACCGCATCGTGATTGACAAGCAGTTGTACGTCTTCGGCCAAACCAAGCATAAGCTCTTCGACTTTGTTCCCTTTGCCGAGTCTGCGGAGAATTTTCAAATAGCGTTGTTCTCTTGTATCGCTTTCACCGGGTACGATCTTCTCAAAGATTTCTTCCAAGTTCCTTGCTTTTGTACGGCAGGCGTAAAGGGTCGCCTCTAACGCTTCACAAACATCTTCGGGGATCAATTCTTTTCGCGGTGCGAGGTTTTCTTTGCATGTCAAGAGGGTATCGAGAATAACGGGGAGTCGGCGTCGAACAGCTTCGAACGTCTCAGATAATTTGATGTCCTTCTGAGCGCCGTCGTATAGTTTGATAGAGGTCTCGATGACGGTGATGATCCCGGACACAAGGCCGATAACTTCCGCCATCCTGAGAGGATATTTTGGTAGAAACTTGCAGTCGGCCGAGTATCTTAGACTCCGAGACGTGGTATCCTAGATAGCACTAGGATAGTTGAAAGCGAAGGAGGGGGGTAAAACATTCCCACCTTGAAAATATTACAGCCGCGTGCCATTCTCCCCTGTGAGTGATCAGGACTCTCGGGCGCTTCGACGGGCACACGTGTCGACAGATGATTCTTCGGATGTGATCGCTCGCGCATTAGTCCGATTTTCAAAGACCCCTGCAAGCGCCAAACAAATTGAAGGCGGTGATACAAGCAGAAAGTTAATGATCGGAAGATGACTGCAGAGGACGCACTTGATTAGCTTGGCAACGCTCAATGCGGCAAATTATCCAACACAAAAATAGAAACGCCAATACCCAACACCAACACGTTTTTCTATACTATTTCAATAATAGGTAACTTAGACTCGGCGCCAAATTAATTGCTGGCCGCATACAATTTCTTCAGCATCTAGCTAGGCATCTCGATCATCAAGCATCCTTCGTGTGACGCAAGATTTACCTTTCTTGTCCCCTTTCCGCTCAGCAGATAGAGAAGTGCAATCCTCTACGTAGTTGAAACTGACCCTCAGTGTGAGTCTTTTCCCACGACAGAATGACTCGACCACATCCGCAACTGCTTCTCGATAGGAGCCCAAACAATTTCGGTCTCATTGAAGCGCTTAATCTAATCACGCTGGGAACGATCATTGACTGCCGCAACAATCGCCGTATCATCTATCCTGACCCTCTTGTTGCGAGTGATTTTCTCTCGCAGGACAGTTTGTAACTTCTTTCCAGGAACAGCTGCTAATAGGCGCTTGGGGCCAATACCAGGTCTTCTTCCGTGTCCCTTACCACGGCCTTATTATTGAGGGTGACACGCCATTCTATGAAGTAGTAGATACAACTTAGCGGATCCTCGTCGTAGATCTTATCCGCATGCCACTCAGATTCCTGGAGCAGAGGTATAGCATTTGGCTGAGGTCGGCCTGCAGGGGTGGGCTCATCTATCCCATGGGGGGTTATGGGATGCAGTGCATCCCATTTAGGGTTTGATTCTTAACTATGGGTGCCAAGCCACGCTAAGGGGTGCATCCCAATTGGACTTCGCGAGTGCATCCTATTTGAAAATAACGGTCGGACGACGCTAAGATTTAGAGGAGTTCTAAGTGAGCGATCGGTTTATCTCCGGTTTCAAACCTGGACTTATACAATCTCTTAAAGAGGGTGTTATAGGGATCTGAAATTCTCGTGAATTTTTTGATGGGATACAGTTAGTACAGTTAGGCTAGTCGTACAAACCCTTAACTCCCTTATATAACCCAATTTATATAAGCATCCTAAGAACTCTAGGAATCTTAGATATCGGGAAAGAAGGTATTTTACGGGGGTTTCCTTGTTAACTTAATTTAATTTAGGGAAGAGAGAGACTTCTCTTTATATAATAATATCTATTTTAATTAATTATACGATATTCAAGATTATAGAGGTCGACTTAGGATATATTATTTATAATATATATTATATAGTTATAAGGGACATTCTTAGAATTTTAAGTCCTAACTAACTTAACAGATTAAAGCGGATTCTCGCTAAAGATTATAATATTATAGTTATATAAGGAGTAGGAAGTCGTAGTTAATTTTATATAATAAAATTGAGATCGTAAAAAAAGAGTAAGTCAGAAAAGATCGAGGTAGTAAAGTTAAAAATATATCTTAGAGGCTATATTAGAGTTAGTTAATAAGCGGTAAGCGATTAAAGTGAAGTTTTACGATAGTATAAAGGCCGTAGAAGTGAGATTGTATTATTATTTTAAAGCTTTAAAAGTGAAGTGATTAAGTAAGATATCGATATATAAGTAAAGTTATACGATAGTCTAGATACTCTAAAAGTGAGGTTACTTAATTATTTAGGTGCTGTGAAAGTAAAATAAGTAAGTGAGCTATAGCTATAAGATTAAGATCACTAACTGAGCTATAGCTATAAAAGTGAAGTTATACGATAATCTGTATATTTTTGTCTCGCCAATATAGACACTTTGTAGGTTCCTAGTGCTATAGAACGTGACTACGGGAGGCCTAGGATAACGCGATAGGTCTGCGGATCGTGATATCGTCCTAATAAATATAAAGGTTAGTAAATAAAACTAGAGTTATATAAAGTTAATCTTATACGATAACTAAGTACCGGATATAGATAAATTAGAAACCCGAACTTTCTAACTCTCCTAAGATCGCTAGATCAATTACAAATATAGCCTATATTAATATTAGTTAAGTACCTTAATTAAGAAGGCCTTCTAAAAGCTTTTAATATTAACTTATATTTTCGCCCTAATTAGTCATAGTAAGGTTGGTAGTTAGAATCGCGATATATATATAGGTTAGGTGGAATAAGTAATAGTAAAAATAGGTTAAGTATTAATATCACGACTAGTATTTATATTTAGCTCCGCGCCAAATATCTATATAATACTAGCACACACTATTAAATCGAAAAGGATAACCCCTTTACTATCGTATAACTTCACTTCTACGACCTCTAATACTATAAGATTAATACTAGACGTGATATTAGAGTTCGCCAAAGTGAAGTTATACGATAAGTTAGATCTAGATCTTTGTCCGGGAGTTAGAGGTCGTGGTATAGGAGTTATACGATAGTAAGGGGTTATCCTTTTTGATTTAGTAGTATATACTAGTATCGTATAGATATTTGGCGCGTAGCCGAATATTAATACTAGACGTGAAATTAGAGTTTATGAAAGTGCAGTTATATAATAAGTTAGGTATAGATTGATATTATGGAGTTGAAGGTCGTCGATATGAAGTTATACGAGGAATAGGTGTCGATATAGGTTGTGGTATTAGAGGTCGTGGAGTTAGAGTTATATAAGATAAGCTAGGAGTTAATATAGATCGTGATATTGATACTAGATATGAAGTTAGAGTTCGTGAAAGTGTAGTTATACGATAAGCTAGGTATTAATGTAGGTAGTGAGATTAGAGGTTGTGGTGTTAGAGTTATACGATGAGCTAGGTATTAATATAGATCGTGATATTAATACTAGATATGAAGTTGGAGGTCGTGAAAGTGCAGTTATACGATAAGCTAGATGTCGGTGCCTCGCTGGAGGTCGTGTTATTGATAGAGGTTGCTACCTTGATTGAGGTCGCTGCCTTAATAGAGGTCGTGAAAGTGAAGTTATATAATGAGTTAGATGTCGGTGTCTTAATAGAGGTCGTGTTATTAATGGAGGTTACTACTTTGATTGAGGTCGCTGCCTTGATAGAGGTCGTGAAAGTGAAGTTATACAATGAGTTAGATATCGGTGCCTTAATAGAGGTCGGTGCCTTGGTGGTGGTCGTGAAAGTGAAGTTGTACGATGAGTTGGATGTCGATGCCTCGCTAGAGGTTGTGTTATTAATGAAGGTCGGTGCCTTAATGGAGGTCAGTGCCTTAATAGAGGTCGCTGCCTGGTAATCACTATAGATAGAGATCTCCGGCGTTGTATAATATCGATAAGGGTAGACTCGAAGTGAGATAGAAGTTTCCTTGTATAATCCAACGATATAAATTCACTTCTTTTCTCTCTTTCTAACCTTCCTTCCTTCACAACTCTCTCTCGTATACGTGTTTTTTCTTTATAACTAATATATCTGCCGCTTACAATATTCTTTATCTCATTCTCACTCTCTCGTCCGCCTCGCCGCGCTAACGCTACGCGCGTCAAAATATCTTCCTTATACGATCCCTGATGATACGTGCCGTTTGTTATGATTTATAGTGATACTAATAAATATATAGTTCCGGTCGTGGTGGTGGCTGTGGTGGTGGCCGTGGTTATGAAGATGGCGGTAGTGCTAGTGGTAGGGATCTTGGTCTTAGTCGTGGTCGTGGTCGTGATTGTGGTTAGGATGCTAGTTCTGGTGGCTAGGGTGGCTCTAACTCCTTGTATAACTCCTTATTCTATAACTTTCTAGGACGTGAAGCTAACCCTCGTATAATGGCGATCGTGAACCCTGGGACCCTCGGCTAGGCGAAGGTATTCCTAACTTTGGACCGGGAGAGTGGACTAGGTAAGTCGATGCTTCTACTATATCCTGGGATCACCTACTAATGTACGATGTCGAATAGATAGCCCTACTCCTATACCGACTAAGAAGGGAATATCTATCTTCCTCGTACGCACGCCGAAGGTATCCAGTCCCTTATCTAATACACTGAACGACCCCACGGTGACTAGGGGCAGTTATAACTGCTAGTTAGTGGCGATGAGCTTGCTTAGATGTGTACTACGCCGATGCAGCTTAGGCTCCTCGCGGAGCGTGGATGTCCTATCTGGCATATATGAGGCAATATTAATGGGCAGTAAATTGTCTCCTAGCGACCCTCGTACATCAATACACTATTAATCTAGTCCCGTAGGAATCCCCTTATTTGTGTCTGTGATGCCTATTTAGAGCGTTATAAACCCTTCCCGTAGTGTATCTGTATCCTAGGCTACTTTGACGGCTATTATAGTAATTATAAATAGCGTGATTACGTATCTCGGTGCACTATACGAGATGATTAGCCGGATAATGCTACCCAACTATGGCCTTAAGCCCCCCCTCGTCCTTTACCCATAGCGGATAATGTGGTGGACCTAACGAATGAGTAGTAAGTCGTCTGGTCGGCCCCTCGGCCTTCCTATTAGGTTTATCGACACCCACGTGCGGATAGCGAGGTCCAAGAGATCACTATCGTGGATTTAACTCTGGAGGATCCCCCTCGTCCGACTCAACCCCGCCCTTAACCCCGTATTGCCTAGAACCCCTCGGACGATAAAGCGTGATCGTAATATACGATCGTTAATCCAGGTAGTGAAGACCTAGCGTAGCTCGACCTCCCCCTTTTACATAAATACTTAGGACTATTAAGCTTGTAGATTTGAATTAATTTTTTTTTTTTTTAACTTACTCCTATAGTTAATACAGTTCGTACATAATGTCATTTATTCTCCGGTCCCATAATACCTTATCGTACAGAGCTTAATTGAACTTTAACCTATATACGAGGGACGAGCCTATTACACTTCATCACGGCTTTAGCTGGCGTGGCGGGAGAGTTTAGGGGTAATCACAAAACTATAGCTGACCCCATAGGGATTTTTCTCTCGTACAAGTCTTACCTGTGGTGATTATTCGTACCATTCTAGTGAAAATATATTCTTGATCTACTATAATCTATTATATAATAACTTCCCTCACCGCGGCCGAGTTATTTATCTAGCTCCCACAATATTCTATAATTATATGCCGCCAGTGTTAGCATGCTATGCGACTGACCTAGGTCGTGGCCTATTTAACCTATTCGCCCTATCGTATAACTATCCCCAAGGCCCGGTAGGTCCAAGCGACTATCCACGAGTGGGCCTAGGTCGATCTAGAGATAGATCGGTTAACCTTTCCAACCTCCATCGACTAGCCGATCCCTGAGCTCGCTATATACACAGACGGTCTCCTATGTACGCGCAGCCCGAGTTATACGTACGTATATCGCGGAAAGAAAGTCTCCGCAAACATTAGCGTACGAAGCATTAATGGTCACCGTACGGTCGCTATCGAGGCCATCAAGCAGCCCGGTATATAACGACCGTCCAAGCGGCTATCTAAGATGCTATATAAGCCGTCTCGTGCCAGCGATTTTTTACTACGCAATCCGGTTCGCATTATATCCACGTACGACGGCCCGGCCCATTATATAACCCAGTGTCTCCACCGCCGCACCCTACCGTGGTCTAAGGATTAGTGAACCAGCTCGAACAGTGTTTTACCGCGTCGTAGGCCCGCGATAAGACTATGATCTAGGCCGGCGAGCTTAATAAAACGAACCCATAGTTACGACGGACCTAGTGGGCCTAGTATTTACACGGGATCCCCGGACGACCATTAATAGAGTCTATTACGACCCCCGATCCGGACGCAGAAGGTCCCGAGGCTATCGTACGAGCCATTTAGGATACGATAGATAGGGTGGCCTAGGTCAGCTAGCGGATCACTAAGCAATATGGCTATTTAATTCGTATCGAGGCCGCGCGGACCGAGGAGCATCAGAGTCCGTACCAACTATTACAAGCGTATATAGACATAGATAATATCGGATAACACGTGGAGCCATAGTAGCGCATTTTGATATTTTTTGCTCGTACGTAGTAGCCGCATGAATAGTCCAGCCCCCGATACCGGTTAATACCGCGGTAGTAGCGTACGTGGCAGGCATTATAGCGATATGCCTAGTCCACCGTCAACCACCTCAGCAGCCTCAGTCATACGACGGATAAGCCCCAGCCATACCAGCTTATATCTATCTAGCGGGTATATATAGATTTTTATATCGAGCTATTAAACCAATAGGTCAGTACGGAGGAGTATAAGTGTGCATTAGTGTATGCATTGGCTATATTAGGCCGTAGCCGGGATAGGTGGTAGACCGTAGAGTTATACCCACCGATATTATCTAAGATCATTAAGATCGCGCGGTTTATAGTGTTATATAAGGCATTACGATTAGATCCCTACGCGAATGAGATCGTATAATTTTTATAACACCGACATAGCGTGGGCGAGTGGTGGAGCTAGAGTCTAATAGACGACCCCGAATATTTATTTATTGGTCAGGACGAAGGATACACCAGCCGCAGTCCTACGCCCACGCCCGAACCCGATTCATCCGTCATATAACATAATCGGAGTTCCCCTATACCTAAGTTAATATCATTCACGTAGTAGCAGCGCTAGCAGCGATCGCGGCTATTCCGGGAGTGGTTAAAGTTATTAGTCGACATATTTTTGGTCCGCGGTACGCATAGGCCAATACAGTAAATATTAGATTTACGTACGTACGGGTTACGCGTATATTATAACACCACGACGCCCGGATATATTACGTGGATGGGCCCGGACCAGTTATTGTATAAGGAAGTGCATTTCACGATAGGGGATTTCCGTGGGTTTATATATAGGTTAGTCGGATCATTATAGGGGATTTTATGAGACGAGCTATTAATAACCACCCCGTCGATACCTATCCTATCTATCCTATCCCATGGGGGTGTGAGCATCCTACCACGATGCCCATATTAGGGTTTCCTTAAGTATGGGAAAAAAAAGTGGGTCAGGGGTAGGATGCCCACATTTTCGGACCCAGGATACCCATTAATTCCACCGGACGATTACCCTCAAAAGTTTATTAGTTTTAAACTCGTACGTGATCTATAAATAGGGAGAGTTTCAAGATAACCCGGCCACATTAAAGGGTACTATCCCATGGGGGTGTGAGCATCCTACCACGATGCCCACATTAGGGTTTCCTTAAGTATGGGAAAAAAAAGTGGGTCAGGGGTAGGATGCCCACATTTTCGGACCCAGGATGCCCATTAATTCCACCGGACGATTACCCTCAAAAGTTTATCAGTTTTAAACTCGTACGTGATCTATAAACAGGGAGAGTTTCAAGATAACCCGGCCACATTAAAGGGTACTTGCAGGGATTCAAAAATTCGATTAGTTTTTTGATGGGGTGCGACCGAGCGCTATCACGGCCACTAGTGTTCAGTTAGGCTTAGGGTTGGACGACCACTTATTAGATAATTCAGCTTAATATTGAGGGGTAACTTAATATCTAAGATTCATACAACATTCCGTATGGCCGACCAAGTATTTTCCCGGTCCGACGCATTCCCAGTGATTATTTGCCGTACGTGCAAGCACGGTGTCCGACCGCAGCATATCGTCGGCCATTTAACGGGTAGTCCGCATCGATTATCTATTGCCGCCGCCCGTACGATCGCCCAAGAGGTTCGGAGTTGGAACGGGGTACGCGGTGACCCAGACCAAATATGGTTACCTACCCAGATCGACGAGCCTATCAGTGGGTTACCTATTTATTCGGACGGTATCTTATGTATACGTGAGCCCGATTGTGGGTACGTTTGCCGGAACCCTAAGTCGATTAAGAACCATTGGCGCCAGGAACATCAGTGGGCGATACCTCGTCCGCGCGAGCAGCCTACCGCGGCTACCGTCCAGGCCGCCGAGGATACTATTCAGGGCTCGATGCAGTCCGTCGTATGCCAGCGGTTATTTCACCGTGGGACTAACTCGCATTATATCCACGTTCGCCGGCCCGGCCCGTCGTACGAGCCGATGGAGCCTCCGCCGCACCCTACCGTGGTCCAAGGGTTAGTGAACCAGCTCGAACAGTGTTTCACCGCGTCCCAGGCCAGCGACGAGACGGTCGTACAAGCCGGCGAGCTGGATGAGGCCAACCCGTGGTTACGGCGGACGCAGTGGGCCCAGTATTTGCAGGGGATCCCCGTACGACTATTGTCCGAGGCCATCGCCACCCCCGATCCGGATGCCGAGGGCCCCGAGGGCGTCGTACGTGCCATTTGGGACGCCATGGATCGGGTCGCCCGCGTGAGCCAGCGTATTACCAAGCAATGCGGCCATTTAATCCGAATCGAGGCCGCGCGGACCGAGAAGGACCAGAGCCCGCATCAACCATTGCAGGCGTATATGGATATGGATAACATTGTACGACACGTGGAGCCATGGCAGCGGGTGTTAATGTTTTTTGCTCGTACGCAGCAGCCGCACGAATGGCGCAGTCCCCGGTACCGGTTTATATCGCGGCAGCAACGCGCGTGGCAGGCATTATGGCGCTGTGCCCAGTCCACGGTCCAGCTGGGCCAGTCGTCGTCCGCGCAGGGCGCCGACCCGGCCACCCATGGTCGTACGAACGATGATCCCGAGCTATACCAGTTCACACCCATTGAACAAGCATGCATCGACTTTTGCATTGAGTTACTGAATCAGCGCGTAGGCGCCGAGGAGTACGAGTGTGCATTAGTATGTGCATTGGCCGTATTAG